GGGTGACAGTCTTTTGGGTGACAGTCTTTTGGGTGACAGTCTTTTGGGTGACAGTCTTTTGGGTGACAAAATTTCCTGGTCCAAAACAACGACGGAGGTAGAAGGCAGTGACAAGATGGGTGCTGCAGTATCATAAAATTTAACAGTGAACTCAGGCAGAATGTTCTTGTGTTCATAATCCGTGACAGGGACGCGACAAATTTTGATCATGTTAATCCTATCTCCTTACTATCATCTACTGCGTCTACCATTCCATCGATATCGCATGCACCTGCTGTCGACGCGTGGATCACACGTCCCAGCAGTCCCCAGTTCCGATTATTCCCAGCGTTCACGGTCAGTCCAATCCTAACAATGACTCACTTTCCCCTTCCAGAATCATCCTTGCGATCTGGTCTTCATCAAGTCCGCCCGCCCTTTCCATATCAAATTGACGAAGATACCGAGGTCATTATCAACATCCCAGATCAGCAAATCCCTCTTAGGGGATGCATTGTGATGGACTCTGCCGGGACTCGAAAGGTTGTTCGATTGGCCGAATTACCTCAGACTGTCGAGTTCCATCAGGACTTTATGTTAGAGAAATTTGCATACGATCTAAACTCGGTAAGTCTCTGTTGGTTGCTGTTCAAGTCCATCTGACAAATTGCTGATCAATGCCGGTGTTCCAGACTACCGTAACCAAGATCGTCATAGAAATGATGTCTATCCGAAACAATTCAGCTGCGACAGTTCTGACCCACAGATCCAGTAGCAGTGACCTCCAGAAACTTGCGCCACCATATCCTACCCAAGCTCTGCGCCTCCCTGACGGTTCTTATGATCCTTGGACCAGTTGGGACCATTTCCTGGCCGACGCGCGGCGTGCAGGAAAAGTAATGTCACAGAGACGACAGTCAATGTCACAAGAACTTTGGGCCGTAGCAGAGTGGTGTCGTTGGGCAAGGGTCCGATACATCCACGAGAGGGGAGAGTTTGTTCAAGATTTGGACAATGATATCGAGTTGATAAGAAGGTTGCAGCCACCCAATCCCAAACCCGGAGTCATCACCCGTGCCCAAAGAAGATCGTCAGTCGCAGATGTCCAAGGAAAGACGTGGGAAGTCAAGCTAGGCTACCGGCGCAGTGTCTGTGACGGTAAAAACTCGCCGCCGAGTCCATGGGACGACACAGTCCATACAGATTTCGATCAACACGTCATTGCTTGGTATGAGCGGTCAGTCCCAGATCGCTCATTGGCATCGATGCGGAAAGCGGAGAAAGGGGGAGTGGTTCGAGAAGGGCGACAAAGACGGAAAGGGCCGAAAGCGCAGTTGAAAGCCGCTTGACGTTGTTGAGGATCTGTCGATCAGACGAATCAGGGACATGGTGATATCAGAGGTGTCTGAAGAACAATAGCCATAATGTCTCGAGAAACTTCTTGGAACAAAGGAAGCGCTCCAGTGCTGTCAGTGGCTTGTCATATCGCGGGTTCGCCCACAAAGGTGTGCATGGTCATATTTGTTTGGCGTGGTCTTGGTTCCATTGGACACAGTCTTCAAACTTGGCGCCAGAGCCGCCAAAGACATCGAGAGCACTTCCAATAGTCAGGTCAATCTTTCCATGACTCGATTCATTGACAAGATCAAGGTCTGCTACTGTCCGTGCACCACCTGCATATGTGACCGGGGTACTACACCATTCGGCAAGTCTGGCCACTAGATCCGTGTCGATGCCTTGCTGGAGACCTTCATTGTCGGCGGCATGGATGAGGAATTCCGAACAGTAGGGTTCGAGAAACTTGATGTTGTCTAGAATTCTTGGTCAGTAGATTTTCGCCAACCTGAAAGGATAGCCCAGGTAGATAGATACCTTTGGTGATCTCCATCTCGGTGAGCGTTTGCCATTTGTTCATTGCCACGAACCAAGTGTCACCTTTCCGCCGACAGCTCAGATCAATGACCAGTTTACTCTTGTCATTGTTCAACGCCGAGAGCACGGATTCGAGTCGCTCCAAGGAGAATTTACCATTTGGAAAAAGGAATGATGTGATAATGACCTACTGCTTGCGCCATCTTAGACGAGATATCTCGTACAGTATATGGATCACTTGGGGGTTTTAAATGCTCACTTTTTCAGCTCCAGCTTCGATCCACTCTTTGGCATTAGAATCTGTGATGCCACCACCGATCTGCAGACCTCCCGGCCATGTTCTCAGAGCTTCTCTAGCAGCGACATCATTTCCAGGACCAAGCATGATCACATGTGCTCCTAGCAAGTTGGCATCTCGGTATAGTTTAGCAAAGTACTCGGACGGATGCTTGGATATATAATTTGTTTTTAGTTCTGACTCGGTCGTGCTGAGTGTGCCACCGACAATCTGCTTGACCTGACCGGCATGCAAATCGATGCAAGGCCGAAAGCGAGTCATGTTGTCGTAATGTAGGTTATGTCTATGCAGTCAACGTATTGTGCTTTTCAATGCTCGAGTTTACAGATGAGAGACAGTTCGGTGCGGTTTATTGAATTTCGACTCGTTGCGTTGTTGAACATTCATTTGTCTGACATCACATGTTTTATTGCCAGACGTCATTTTTTGCACCTCATGAACGCATTGAAAGACATATGGACTAGAGAAATCACGAGACATTACATTGGAGCATTAACAAAAATATTGCTCTGACACTAGAGGCTTGGGTTATCAAATCTTGGCATCAAACCTTGGTTTGTTGCGACCTCGAATTCCTGAAAATAACAATTCTAGTTTGAATCAGTCGCACGACCATCTCAAGCCCTACATTAATACTCTAATTTTATAGGGATAGCAAGACAAGTACTAGGCGGCCCTCACTCACAAATGCTTTGACGACGAAATGCTGGGCAAGCGGAAGAGGGATGTGGCAGTGGCTCGCCGTCAGAACGAATCGTCACTAGAACAAGGTCAGCCGGTTTCTCCGGACGGCTCTGACAACAACCAAGACGTCTTTCGCCGCTACTTTGAATCCGCATTTGAGCCACTGCCGGAGGGTGAGAAATTGAAGCCCTTAAGTCACGATTCGGACGAAGAAGAAAATGAAGTATCTGATGAAATTGAATCTGATTGGGAAGGCCTGTCCGAAGACGGGGCGGCGAACGTCACGGCCATTCAGGTTGTCGAACACAAAACTGCTCCAAGAACCTCCGATCGCCGAGAAGATGAACGGCAACAATACAAGTCATTTATGGTGAGTCGTGCTTTTGCTTGCGATATCATTGCGGCACTTATTGAATGTTATTTCTAGACGTCGAAACCACCCAAAGGAGCCGAGCAGGCTTCGAGAAAAATGCCCCGGGCCCACAAGGCGGAGGGCAAGGATGAGGAAGAGGAGCAGTCTGAAGCACTCAACCTCAAACACGATCTTGACCTTCAACGACTCCTCAAAGAATCACATCTTCTCGAAAAGGCAAAATCTTCAGCAGATCCCGGGTCGCACAGGCACAAAGCCATCGACATGCGGATGCAGACCTTGGGCTCTAAGGACTCTCTGTTTCATCAACAAAGGATGCCAGCATCGCATCGCAGGGGCATAGTAGCTAAAGCCGCCTCGAAGGAAGCTATGCGAAGGAAGGATGCCAAAGAGAACGGGATCATCCTGGAGAAGGCTGCCGGGAAGACGAAATCGGCCAGTCGTCGAGAGCGGGCAGTCGACGTTCCAGCTGTTGGCAAGTTCCGAGGCGGCACTTTACAGCTCAGCAAACGCGATTTACTCGACATACAGGGGCCTGGTTCTCGGCGGCGGAAGGCCGGCCGATAGAAGAACTCTTTGCACCCGTCGTCATCACAATCATGATGATCTAGGCCATCATGCGCAGATCGGCCAAGGAAAAGCTGGTCACCGAGGGGACGTGTCTCGAATCCAACCAGGATACTTGTAATCGGGCGGGGATGGCTCCAAGCACTCACGAAGACGTGGACGTAGCGGGGATGAAGAGTACTGGACTGAGGGCATACTACATCCCGGGCCGCAAATTTTGCTCTTCTCGTGGTTCGCCCTGGAAGAACGAGCATGGATACTCCTCGACTGCATCCTCCGTACTGTGCAGTTTACACCCAGTGCGCGTAGACAGCTTTTGTCAGAAACCTATGTTCGGAGACTGGGCAGCTTAATTGGGCAGGTGTGAAACATCCATCCTCGCCACGAGCTGGTCGGCTTGGCAGTTTGCGAGCAGAAGTTTGTTTGATGTTGCACCACTGCTTCAGGCTCGAGGCTACGGCGTGCTCGGTCCAGGTCTAGGCTGGCACGATCGAGGGAAGACAAGTGGATGATTGGCGAACGCAACGTCTGCTCGGTCAAGTGTTTCAAATCGACCGGATTTGGCAGTTTCCGTGATGAGTGAGGTCAACGAGGATGGGCAGGGGACCTCAGAAGGGCAATTGAAGTGGAATGAGAACTACTTTCAGGTCACTGTGACAAGAGAGGAGACCCAGTCTCTGGAGGGGAAAAGGAGTGTTGACCATGTCGGAGATTTGCAAGGGTTGACCTCGTCCGAAGCGATTGCGCCACTTGACGAACAAGTCAACATGAACAACACTCCAGATGCTGTTGTGTTTCACGAGTCCTGCGCGGACAAGGCAAGGTCCTCGATAGGCGCCGAAAAGATTTTGTTGTGGAAGGCTCTCAATGCCTCTGACCAACATCCCTTCCAGAGAAATCCATAGGAAGCGGTCTTTTCGCATGATTGTTGGACAAACGAAATCGAATGCCTCTGCAGGAATGATGTGCAGTTGCTGGGCCCTCATGTGCAGCAAGTCCAATCATGCAGTGTCCGGAGAATAGTCAGGCGGGAGAAGAGGAAGGACATGAAGCTGACAAGTCTAGGCATCGGAGACACACCTTGTTCTGACCAATGTGGGGAGGAACGAAAGATTAATCTGAAACGTAGCGGCATCTGAGTCACGGTGAGATGTGGCGCGTGGATGCAGATTTGGGATGGGGAGCCTGTTGGCAGCTGACTGGTCCGCTTAGTCGCTGTGATCGGAAAGTCGACAGCTGTATTTTCGTGGTACTTTCACTACTTTCACTAATCAAAACTATTAGCCAGTATGTGAGACCTGGAGGTGTAGCGAGGACGCCAGTCTCGGGGAAGACAGTGTTGATGACACTCGAAACCCAGGTTGGTTAAAGAGCGTGGAGAACGGCGTACACGGCGTTGGGGCAGTGGATGCGCTTTGCACAACAGGTAATTTGTACACAAAGATTGAAGATAACGCAGACTGCAAACCGAGAGGAGGATGCTGGGCGAAAGTGAATCATGGGGTTGAATTTGCGAGGTTCTTCGCTTGTCCGAGCGAACTCGGTAAATTGATTCCAAGCCTGCAGATTTCCGAAGAAAAGAAAGTCCAATCACAACAGTCACGTGTAGCACCTGGGCTGTGGCAGGAGCTGCCTACGAATAATCACGGCTGAAGAAGGACGGCATCGTTAATATTGGTGGCAAACCAGACAAAACAATCAGATAGCCATAATCCATATATCAACGTCATTGACTCTTGTTCAACATGGCCTTGGTCAAGGAACTGCCCTGCAAGTGGTGACTGGGTGACTGGGAGAAATGCTGTCACAAAGTCAAAGTGCCGCAAATCGAAGCTGGGCTCTGCACGTGTACGCGAAAGAAAGGGGTTAAACCCATGTTGAGACCTCTCAAGATTTCTTCGGGAGCCCACCTGGTCCAACTTCCGCTATTTCTCCCTCATGTACGGATACGACCAAGGGCCTTCCCCAACGCTCGCAAAGGTATGGTGATTATCAAATATGTGTAGATAAATCAAGAAATGGGGAAAGGTGTCGAGTAGCCTTGACCAACATAACGTCAAATGGGGTGGTCCAAGTGGCCAGGATGAAACGAACGAGGCACATGCGGCGCCTGTTTGAGAACTGTTTGGAAATCAGGGAGGGGGCGACAACGGGCGAGGGGCGCCCTGGGGACTGCCTCAAGTGCCATAAGCCTAGAGCTTTCAGCGCCTCTCGGCGCGAGACCCCACAGCTCTGGAGGCTAAAAGTAAAGGTGGCACTGGTGCCACTGGTTATAGGGTTGGCGCCTAGGCGGGCCCTGGCGGACTAACAGAAGCGTGCATTGTGTGTCAAAGTCAACCGCCCACGCCGCCATCTCCAACCAGCTCCCTCCATTCGTCCATCTTGACAATCATCCTCAGCCACTCGTTTCATCAATGCTGCCACACCACAATCATGCTCCCCCATCGTCCCCGTCCAAGGGAAGGCATGACTTCGCCTTCTGCCGCTCAGCGACACGCTGACCTCGAGCCAGCATACCCTGCGTCATGATCCAAACGATCAAAATAGCAACCTCGAATCCACATTCGCCATCGAGTCACGCGTTGGTAATAATTTGAATGCTTGGGGCTTGGTGTATGGTCAATGGCTGTCGGGGACTTTGGTTATTGTCATGTGTCAAGCGACCTGTCAACAACAACCTGTCTTTCGGGAGGAGGATCCAGCACATACCAAGGACGCTTGCAAAATCGATGAAGCCAGCCTACAAAGTGGTTCCTCCATTTCGGAAGGCTATCGGCCAAGGTGAGCTTCATGCCTATTCAAGAATACTGCCAATAGCGAGTCGTGGAAGCGAAACAAAGCTGGCGCAGAGCCCCGTGGAGCCGATGGAGGAGGATCATTAAAGGCCATTTTCCAAGTGGCCACAAATACCTCGTACACATAGACTACTGCATTATGTAGTGCCAGATGTCCTGATATAGCCTACAGTGCGGTCTTACGGCCTTGGATGAGTCCGACTCGAGTCCCAGCTTGGCTCTCAAGAATGCGGACTGGCGTGTGATTGTCCATATTGCAGGGTAAACAAGACGGGATCACACCTTGCAAGCTGCCCGCTCCAGATGCTCAGATGGCTGTGGAGTGCTCAGTGGGTCCCAGGCACAGACTGCAGTGGGACAGAGATGCGCGGGCCCGGGAGCCTAATTAACCGCTAACTCCAACAGTCGTAGGGAAGATCCCCTCAGGCCTCATGCTCTCTCAGACTTTATTCGTACACAGAGCATCATGGCCCCCCAAGGCTCTAACAGGCAAGCGGCTATGAGCGGTTGCATGGTTCCACTGGCACATCTTCAGCGCGCCATGCAAGGCCTCCCCAAGCTTGTGTAGGTCGAATGGCGAGTTGAATGTGCATCAACTCCAGAATCATTGGGTGATGACAACCAACGCCTAAAAAACTTTGTGACACAAACAAGTCAAGACGGAGCAACAACAGCGAGCCGACACGACATGTATAATCTTCTAGTTTTCAAGTTTTTCTAGTTTTCTAGGTTAGTAGGCAGTGTGGTAGTCTCGTAACACAACACCCTGGTCCTCAGGTTAGAGACCGAAATACCAAAGTCCATCAATGGCCCCTCTCCTACCCGTGAACCGTGGTGGACAAACTGGAGACAAAAAGTAGCGCCCTAGTCGTCGGCTATCACCGTTGTTCCCCTAGTCAGTTGGCTGGGGATTGATGCTCGTCCGCGTACCTAGTACCTACCTGACTGAGAAGAAAGAAATAGAGTGGTACTGTAGGTTGGCGACCCTGGGCAGATGTGGGTATCGACAGACGACCACGGGGATGTTGGCAGTTGTGACTCTGACCAGTTTAAGACTGGGAGTCGCCTTCTTTTCATGGGTGTGCTCGCGTCTGGCATGGGGTGGACAATCCATACTGGTCTTGTTTTCTTGGGCTATCGCCTGTGGAAGGGTGTCCACTGTCAACTGTCCACTGTCGACAGTCTGTTAACTGGTTGTCCACTGCCCAGATGCCCGCGTCTGGTGGACCTCCCCATAGCCGTACTACATACTCGTACTGGCCGGCTGGGTGACTGGACATGGCTAAATCCCAACTGTCCAGAAGCCCCGAAGCCACCAACTCTCTAATAACGACCAAAGTCGATTAATCAACCCTGATGCCCAGTGCCCACATAATCTTTTCACCCTTTCCCCTCTGCTAAATGCCCGTCGAATCACTGCGCTTCCTACTAACGTCCCTGGCACCCTAACCACCCAGGTGGTTTTCCTGCCTTTCTAGACCGTCTTTGGCCTTTGCCTGTCCCGCCCTCTCCTCTCCTCCCACACGCTCGCTGGCTCCGGTCTCACCTCTCTACTCGACCCTCCTCTCTTGTACATCTTCCCTCCCACTCCCTCCTCTTCTCATCTCTTCTCACTTTATCTGTTTCACCTCCTCGTTGCCAGACCTTGCGGAGTTCCTCATCCTCCTCCCTCCTCCCTATCGACCTTCCTTTCCTTGTTCCTCGGCTTCTCCCCCTCGAGCACTTTTTCCATCAGAGACTAGCCTCTCTCCTTACCCACTTTCGTTTCACCTGTGCTCGCTTGCCTTGGGTCGAGACAGGAGCTTCACCACGTCTGGACGTCCGATCTTGCGATAGCTGGTCTCTCGCTTTCATCCATCAGTTTACATCATCGACACATTCGCTACACTTGTGAACGGTTGCTACTCATCCACTTTCATACATCTCCACCGCCCTCCCTCCTTGCAGTCGTCTCTGAACTTCAACACAAATCCAGACTCTGAGACGAGACACCTTCCCTGTCTACCAACGAGTACCTGACCCGACTCACGTCCTCTGGCAAGCCTGCAACGGCGTCTCTTTGTCAATACTGACACCGCCAACTGCAACTCCCTTTAGACGCCATGTACCCTACCAGTGGTGCTCCAATGGCGCAGCCTCAGAAACCCGAGACTTTCATGCTCTCGAACGAGGCTCAACAGAGCTTGCCTCAGGATGCGCAAGTCGCTCTGCAGCAGGTCGACAACCTAAAATACTTCCTGATCTCTGCCCCTGTGGACTGGAATCCCGATTCATTGATCAGAAGATTCCTCCTGCCAACCGGTGAATATGTATCCTGTGTCCTATGGAACAACCTCTTCCACGTCTCCGGCACCGACATTGTCAGGTGTCTGTCGTTTCGCTTCCAAGCCTTTGGCCGACCCGTCAAGAACCCAAAGAAATTTGAGGAAGGCATCTTCTCCGATCTTCGCAACTTGAAGTCCGGCACCGATGCTTCTCTCGAGGAGCCGAAAAGCCCATTTCTTGACTTCTTGTACAAGAACAATTGTATCAGGACACAGAAGAAACAAAAAGTCTTTTATTGGTACAGCGTACCGCACGACCGTCTGTTCCTCGATGCCCTCGAACGTGATCTCAAGCGCGAGAAAATGAACCAGGAGGCAACCACAAAAGCAGTCGCAGAGCCCGCTCTGTCGTTCGAATTCGATTCTTCACAGTCGCTCTTTGAGCAACTCACCAAGGCTCAACAGGCCAGTTCCTCGTCATTTGCTACTGCCAACGCTCATGCCCAGTCCACATACTCGCAGTCCACATCGCCGGTCCTTCGTGCGGTCGATTCCATGCCTCCTCCATCGCTGGTCCCACCTCAAATGGCACGCTCTCAGGAGCCCTCGCATTCCATGTACACCAACATGGCCGTGCAGAACCATGTGAATACTCCCATGGGAGGCGTTGCTCTGTCACGGGAGCAAGACTATAGCCATCACCCATTCGATCGTACTAGTGCGCCTTACGACCGAACTCATATGCGCCACGCCTCCATGCCTGCTTATATGGAATACTCCCCCGCTCCTTCCTTCGTGTCGTCTCATTTTGAAGATTACAGCACCCGCGACCTGTCGTATGGACCGATCACGCCTCCCCAGCATGCTGTCCAAGTTGGTACAGAACCTGCATACATTGCCAACGATGACACTGGTCTCTATTCTGCCATCCCTGAAATGCATCCTATGCCGACTTATAACCCAATATCTTCATTGCCCCCTTCTTCAATTGCAGGCCCAACCTATGCGCCCACCCCGCGAGCGTTCCCTCCTGCCAATGTCTATTCAGTCATTGAAGGTTCTCCAACGTACAAGGCTCGCCGACGGCGGTCTTCTATTCCTTCATCAATTATGAATGCTGTTGCTGCAAACGCTGTTGCTCAAGTGACGCATGGTGCAATGAAAACCCATCACCCACAACGCCCAAGCGATCTTCGAAGGTCCATGTCAAGCTCGGTGCTCCCAATCGCTGAAGGTGATGAGTCGGCGGATCATTCCCCTAATGGCATCGTCGGGAGTTATCCATCTTCAATGCACCGAGATCACCTGCATGACTATTCCCGCAACACTACCCCATTACCCAGTTTGGAGGAAGACCCTTCCCAAGCTATGGGAATGGTCTCTGGCCAAGATCCCCTGTCCGGCATCGCTGGCGACGACATGCACCACATGTCTATGCACGCAAATCATGCAATGAAACTCGACCGACCAGGACCTATTCGAAGAGCTCGCAGCGCGACAATGATGGAACTTGGTGTTCCATATAAGTCGCACTCATGTCCAATTCCTAGCTGCGGACGATTGTTTAAGCGCCTCGAGCATTTGAAACGGTGAGCAGATGACCCCCTCGGAAGTCCTACATGTCTGTCACTAACATTGCCACGTCGTAGCCATGTGCGAACTCATACCCAAGAACGACCTTATGTCTGCCCTTATTGCAATAAGGCATTCTCACGCTCCGACAATCTTGCACAGTGAGTACATCTTGATTTGACCACATCCCACATGCAGTTCTGACACACGCACAGGCACCGTCGTACCCATGAATCCCAACAAGACGGTCAACCTATCCAGGTGACAAGTGAGGAAGAGCTTGAGAACGAGGACAATGACTTTGGTTCCATGGATGAGCTTTCATCTCCAGACGAAATCCACCGGCCTGACGTAAATTCGGCCATGGTCACCATGTCGATGCCCCCGCCCTCAACGCTTGTGATGCAACCAGTCTCTCAACCCATGATGGCCCCGAGCCAACTGATCCAACCATCAATGTTGCAAAACATGTAATAAAAATGCCTTTGTGACGAAGCCGATGATTCCACATTGCACCACTGCGGATTATTTATGCGACTTGAACCAAGCACAGCTAGCAACATGAACCTACGATAAACGAGAGCTTGGTCGAATGAAAGGGTGTGGGAAGCGACTAAACACCATGGGCTCAACATTATTCTTTGAGCCCTCAGGGGAGGCAAAAGTCAAGCGACGTACCCGACTGGACCTCGGTGGCACTGACGGTGTGTCCCCCAGAATTCTAGTCAGCTGCCTCTGCCGTTGCATGATTTGGATACCTGTATTCGGCATGGACGTCGGATGCGATCTTTCTTTTTTGTATTTCTCGGGCAGCGACCTAGATATCTGAGCCGCCCTTGCGCTGGCGGCCCCCGGACCCACTGTACATATATAGCCATCTTTTACTGACTAGTTGAAATTGCCGTTTTCATGATTGGCGAAAAGAGCTCTGAGCATGTTGTAACCCGATCTTTTTGTATTCATGTCTTCTTAAGGAACCGAGTCGTGCAATATTCGTTATGTCAATGTGCAAGAAACAAGTTGAAGGTAGTCGAAGATGCAGTTGGGTAGATGTCAATGGTACCAGTTCGTAAGCCCAAGGGAGAGACCAAAGCCAATAGGGTGATCCGGCGGGTATTTGAGATGCAGGAGGATGGGCACTTTACTCGAGGATCTACTTGGAACAGAGGGGAACGTCCAAGTATGGGCGGGTCGACGGGTAATACACATGGATGGGAGAGGGTATTGGTAATTGCGAAGGTGGCATGAACCAATGGTTTGTCATTTTGTGTATCTGACGGAGGGAAGATGATCATGGGCGCGTCACAACAGTGTTTCTCTGTGCCGTGGGATTGGGGGACTGATCTTGACCCTCATCCTCACTGTCGTCTCTAAAGCCTTCCTCCAGCTCACGACTGAGCCTGGGGTTCAAGTCTGCAGGATCGCGCCGTTGGGAGCGAGCCACGGTCCTGGCGGCGGCGTTCATGTCTGAGACCTGGCGCTCCATGCCATCTCGTCTGCGATTGCGCTCTTGTACATCAAAGCCGACCATGGCCTCGCCAGATTCCTCATCAAACAGTTCTCCATCTGCACTTATGATACTATCCCTACGGCCGAATCGGTTCCGAAACGCCCAGGTGGAGGGTAGGAAAAGGCGAAAGAAAAGGACTGACATTCGGTCGCGCAGAGTTGATGGTTGCAGGGCCTCTGGTAGATGAGAGGCGAAGCTGCTGGATTGTAGGGGTAGATATTGCGAGTACCTCGCGCGGTGTCGGCGGTAGAGTGGTAGTAGAGCGTGGAAGATGATTAGGTAGAGTGCGGCGGAGATGAGCATAGGGAGGACGACGGTCTTTTGACATGGTGGAACAAGAGCAATTAGATTCTTTTCGTTCTTTCTGGAGTCGATTATGTTCTTACCTGGAAGAAGGTGAGCATGGCAGAGCCCGCCATGGTTCCCTGGGAGTCGGACTTGGTGGTGACGGGCGGAGCCTGCTCGCCTGCGATATGACCGGGGATGGAGCGTTGGATAAGTTCCATCATGCCGCCATGGTGGGCGGCAAACAAATGGCAAAAGAGGGGATCTAGATAATAGATATAATCAAGGAACTCGGACGGCGGTCAGTCGGGATGTGTCAGAAGACAATCAAGGTGTCAAGGTAAAAAGGGTGGTGGACGGTGGACGATGGACGGTGGATGGTAGATGAAATTGAGTTCAATGGTTCTTCATGGGGGGGCTTAAGATTGACCAAGATTGATGGTGGCACAATTCGACCTGTGATGCTACAGAAGGGAGATCTGGTCTATGCGTTGGCTTCAAGCATTAAAATAAAGGGTGGTCAGAGCCCAGAGGGACAATTATTTAGGGAAAATTGTAGTCTCGGGCGTGTGATTGGGGTCCCTGGTGGAGCTTAGAAAACGCTCGAGCCTTTGATTTTCATGCCTAACATCGTCACCTACGCAGTGTGCCATACGTGTTGCCAACAAGCACGAGACACTTTCGAGTCTCAAGCTTTCCCACGTGGGATCAACGATCAAAATCAACGACTTCGAAGTTACCATGGACCGGAACATAGGTGACGTTTCCACCCCCCCAGTGAAACTTTGCAAGTGTAGTTAGAGCCCAATATGTCATGGTGTCCACGACTGGTCAAACACTTGATCAAGTCGGTTGATGGCTGATACAAACAGATGCCAGGATTTCAATTTCGAGAGACAGTCTTTGGTACCTCGATTCTGCGCTTGAAATAAGCAACTCATTACCAGTCCGAGTGGAACATATAAGAGTCCGTCTGCCTAAGGATATATATCCAACATATATCTGTCCCGTAAAAGATACTCAACATACTCGAGGCTTTGGTCGAGGGTGACAAAGCGCCGAGGGGCCATGGGGAGTCACACCTACGGAGTATTGGTTTGCAGGCTTCGGCCCCTCGGGCCCCTCTCAAGCCTCTCGGCCTTCTTAGGGCTAGCCTGGACCGTTGGGATGGCAGGTGATCTTCCACACCACTACCAAATCTGTGAGTCGCCCATCAAACCTGTTGAGTCTACGACATTAAATCATTGGCATGTTCAATGTAACCTCCCTATGCACAATACTCGATGAGTTCTTAGTTGAAGCCTTGTCCTGTCTGTCAGCGATGAGTATGCGGAGAAAGATCACCCGCAATAGGGTCATGCGGTAAATATCGCATTCCAGGCCTTGAATCGCTGGGGTGTCGAATAGCAACCAACGGAAAGACAAGGGCCTTTAGACCCCTTTTCCCATACTTGCCAATGAGGTCCGTCCTCGGCCCCTGAAGAGAACTGGCACCGAAAATTTAGTGCCTTGATACCTACAGTACGGAGTACTCACGTACTCTATCACGGACAACCACCCACCCGATCACCAAGCAATCATTTCATACTTCATAGTACGTGGTTCCTGCAGACACTTACTCCGTAGGTCAGATGGACCCGCCCTCTTTGTCATGAAGGAGTTGAGTCTTGACTCATGTTTCGTCCAGCACATTGTGTCGTGTCGTGTCGTATGAATGCTCCATGTGTTTAGTATTTCCGATATTGGACTCTAGTATCTGGTACCGCGTTCTAAGATAAGTCGCATTCACATAGCTGTCCTCCAATATAGGTTCGTGGCCCTTGGGTTAAGGGGAATTTCGAGGTCCAATTCAACGTTGTGGGCGGCAGCGATTTGTTAAGCGAGTAGACTGCACCTGCCACTGCGCTGCGCTTGAACCGCGCCTGCACCTCACCACATCCACCGCCCATGCCAAACACAGTCCGTCCATTCCTCCAACCACAACCACACATCAACAATCACCCAAACTCGTCTCCCCTTGCTCCCCTTACTCTACCACTCAACCCACATCGCTCTGAATCGATTCCTGACCAGTTCCGAACATCTACCTCCTCCTCCTACTCACTATTTTCCGTTCTGGTTGATCCCTGGTGCAACAATGTTCTCAACTGGCCCAACGATCTGACCGAATCGACCAACAAGGGGATTGCGTATTCAAAGAGGAGGACACCCCCTCTGGGGGCTTAATATTAAATCACACATGATTTCGGTGCATCTGAAAACACTTGATCGAGGATGCCCCCCACATCTCAGACCGACAAAGCCACTCGTCAGTCGTCCGCCAGTAAAGGCTTCTTTCGACGCCACCGAGACACCAAGGATGCCTCCGACACCGCCAGCATCAATACTGTCAATGGTTCATGGCCTTCGCGGCATGCGAAGAGGGACTCGGTCGCTTCCATAGACGGGCAAGACAACGATACTTTGGGTCTCTCTATGACCGCCGGTGTCATAACCTCCATCCCTTATTCTTCCACCTCCGGCTCCCAAGCGCCTGTCTCCGTCGATTACTTGCCTCGAGACGACCACGTTCCGGTTCGAAAAGACCCTCAGCCTCACCAGCTTGCCAGAGGCTCCGATTTTCATCAATATCCTGCCTTTACTGCTCCCACAAATGGCGCGACACACCCGACCGGACCTCGCCCCCCGCCACATTCCTCCACCTTGTCCGGTGTCACTATGGCTTCCAGCAACATCGGTGACAGAGGAGCAAAATACCAACAATGGGGGCGCCCCTCCAGCAGAGAAGGTTCTACTCATCAGCACTCAAACTATGACTCGGTCTCAACCAATGACTCTTACTCAGTCCCCCGTAAATCCTTCGACGCTGCCAGTATCCGATCAACCGCCTCTTCTGCTACCAGGGGTTCTAGTCTCTTTTCCTCCGAGAGCTCAGCGCGAACAGCTATGCCATCGCGACAAGACTCAGACTCGTCCATGACCCTCATCTCCCCGACTCACTCCCGCTTATCGAAGTTCACCTCGCAGTCGGGCTGGCCCACCCAGCAAGCCTCCGCGTTTAGTTCCACCACCTCTTTCAACCCCGTCGGCTTTTATCTGCCAAAGCCCAAAAGCGATGCCGAAGTCGAGAAGCTCTTTCTCCAGCTCATGCACAAGCGAGGTTGGCAAAACTTGCCCGAGCAGGCGAAACGCCAGATGATGGCATATGCGCCGGCCAAAAAATGGACATTGGTACATCAAGATAAATTGACCGAGTGGCAAGGCGAGCAGAAACGACGACAACAGGCTCGTCAAACCGGCACGCTCGATGGTCCTTCTTCGCGTGATGTCGATGGAACTCCAGAATGGTACGTCAAGAGAATTTTGGACAACACTATCACCGCCAAACAACTACAGTCTCTGAGTGTGAGCTTGCGAACTCAGCCCATTAGCTGGGTCAAGGCTTTCATCGAGGCTCAAGGCCAAATAGCTTTGACCAATGTCCTCATGAAAATCAATCGCCGGCAAGCCAATGGTCCTCCCCAGCCCAATGCTGCTCCCATCACGGACAAAGATCTCGACCGAGAATATGATATTGTCAAATGTCTCAAGGCTCTGATGAACAACAAATATGGAGCTGATGACGCCCTCACCCACGAGCAAATCCCCGTTGCCCTCGCCATCTGCCTCATATCTCCCCGCATTACCACCAGGAGGCTTGTCAGCGAAGTCTTGACATTCCTCTGCCATTGGGATCAAGGCCAAGGCCACCTCAAGGTTCTCCAAGCCATGGACCATGTGAAAAGCATGACTAGTGAAAATGGCCGCTTTGACGCATGGATGCGCATCGTCGAAGTATCCGTGGATGGTCGTGGTAAAATGGGAAGTTTGGTAGGAGCCAGTGAAGAGTTTCGCAGCGGCGGAGTTGGTATGGAAAATCTCCTCTTGGAGTACGCCGTTGCAACCATGGTTCTGGTCAACATGTTGGTAGACGCCCCTGCTCGTGACTTGCAATTGCGCTGTCACATCCGGGCGCAATTCATTGGAACAGGCATCAAGCGAATCCTCACCAAGATGGAGACTTTTCAATACGAAGTCCTCGACAAACAGATTGAGAAGTTCCGCGAGGAAGAAGCCATTGACTATGAAGACCTCATGCAACGTGATGGTAGCAGTATGGTGGACAGCATTGACGGCGACGCCAAAGATATGACCGATCCGAGAGAAATCACCGATGCCATCATGTCGAGACTTCAAGGCTCTCGCACTCAGGACTACTTCATATCCGCCATGCAGCATATGCTCCTGCTTCGAGAGAACGGCGCCGAAGAGCGCCTGAAAATGTTTCAGCTCGTCGACTCAATGCTCAGCTATGTGGCCATGGATCGACGGCTACCAGATATGGACTTGAAGCAGAGCCTGAACTTCACTGTGCAAAGCTTGCTGGACAGGCTACACACCGACGAAGAAGCCAGAATCGCTTTCGATGAAGCCACAGAATCGCGCCAGATCGCAGAGGCAGCCATTGCCGAGCGTGATGAAATGTCTGCACAGATCGCCCTCGGTGCCGACGGACTCGTCAAGAAGTTGCAGAAGCAAATCATCGAACAGGCGGGAATTATAGAGATGCAAGGCAGACAGGCCGAGTCACTCAAGTCCGAGGTCGCTGAGTTGCAGAGAATACGGGCGCAAGAATTACAACGGAATGAGCTGGAGACTAGAGAGCTGTACCTCATGCTTCGAGATGCCCAAGATGTGGCTGCTTCTCGAGGTACCAAGGAGAGCGCGCCCGGCGTAGACCCTGCCCAAATGCAAGGAATCCTGGATAGGGAGAGGCTTATGGAGCGCCTGGAACGCAACCTGGAAAGGACCAAAACGCAATTCAAGCTGGAAGGCAAGGTTTGGGGTCAGACCGGGCCGTCTGATCGCCTGAGGGAGCTTCGAGAGCAGATGGATGACGCTGTCGATGCTGACTTCCAGGAGAAAACGCAGCGTCACCTGACCACCAGCATCATGGGGAGTGTCCGCCGAAGCAATGCTCTCAAGGGTCCAAGACGGGCTGCTCTGGGTGCTTTGGCCATCAGCGAAGAGGCCGAGCATGAGGAAGATTCTGACGACGATGCAGTCATATATGAAAAGCCTCGCCTAGTTGAATATTCTCGGCCAAAGATGAACCCTGATCAGCAGACAAGCCTTCTCGGAGAGCTGACATCCAAAGTCAGGAGGATAGATGGCGATGAGGGCGACCAGGCAGCCGCCGACGCAGATGATGGTGGCATCACCACAGGCCCAACTCATCCCAGCTTGGAGTCCGGCTCACCGAAAACTCCTCTTGATGAGATCCCAGCGGAAGCAAAATTCAATGGACCTCCACCGCCTCCGCCGCCACCAATGGACCCATCTCTGTCTGGTCCGCTCACACCGTCTCTCATTGCAGGCTTCGAGAATGGCCCGCCCCCGCCGCCTCCACCACCACCGCCCCCGCCTCCTGGACAACCCATGTCTCCAATGACACCTGGAACCATGCCAGGATTTACTGGCGGACCACCTCCGCCCCCTCCACCACCCCCTGGCTCTCTGCCCATGAGCCCGCTATCCCCCATCCCGCCTCCGCCGCCTCCGCCAGGCGCACCTCCATTACCTGGCGCACAACACGGCCATTTTATGCCTCAATCACCCATTATTCCAGCAACAATGCTCAAGAACCCATTTATGAGACCCAAGAAGAAGCTCAAGGCGTTTCATTGGGACAAAGTCGACACGCCCCAGATCACTGTGTGGGCGGAGACGGCAAATCCATCTGCCAAAGAAGAAAAATATCGTGAATTGCAACGGAAGGGGGTCCTTGATGAAGTCGAAAAGCTTTTTATCGCCAAGGATATCAAAATCATTGGCTCAGGTGCCAGTAAAGGGAAGAATGATAAGAAGCAGCTGATCAGCAGTGACATGATGAGAAATTTCCACGTCTCGATGGCCAAATTCAAGAACGACTCGGCGGATGACGTTGTCCGAAAGATCATTCACTGTGACAGGGAATTACTTGACAACACTGTAGTCATGGACTTTTTACAAAGGGACGACCTTTCGAATCCACCAGAAAACTTGTCGAAATTAATGGCGCCGTACAGCAAAGATTGGACAGGAGCAGACGCCGCAACCTCGAAGAGAGAACAAGACCCGAGCGAATTGACACGAGAGGACCAGATCTACCTGCAGACTGCTTATGAACTACACCACTATTGGAAAGCGAGAATGCGGGCTCTGGCCTTGACCAGGAGCTACGAGAACGAGTATGATGAGATTTCCAACAAACTGAAGGACGTTGTCAATATCTCCGAAGCAATCCGCGACTCCACATCGTTGATGAGCGTCCTAGCTCTGATTCTTGACATTGGCAATTACATGAACGATTCCAACAAGCAGGCATCAGGCTTCAAATTGAGCTCACTGGCGAGATTAGGGATGGTCAAGGATGACAAAAACGAAACAACGTTTGCCGATCTTATCGAACGCATTGTCCGAAATCAGTACTCTGAATGGGAAGTTTTTGTCGAGGATATTGCAGGCGTTGTGCCAGCTGCGAAGCTGAACATTGATCAACTTCGATCAGATGCCAAGAAATATATCGACAACATCAAAAATGTCCAGTCTTCGCTTGATGCTGGCAACCTGAGTGACCCCAAGAAGTTCCATCCTCAGGACCGTGTCGCACAGGTTGTCCAGAGATCAATGAAGGAAGCCAGACGCAAGGCTGATCAGATGCAATTGTACCTAGAGGAAATGTCAAGAACCTACGACGACATCATGACATACTTTGGAGAAGATAACCAAGATGAGAACGCGAGAAGGGACTTTTTCGGCAAGCTTGGTGGATTCGTGACCGAGTGGAAGAAATCAAGAGAAAAGAATATGACCATGGAAGAAAATAAGCGGCGCGTTGAGGCTAGCATTTCTAGAAAGCGGGCCATGGCAAGCGCGAATGTAAGTGGCACAGGTAGCGGAGCAGACACCCCTGGCAGTCCACCGGCAAATGGTGCAATGGAAACCCTCCTTGAAAAGCTCCGGGCAGCAGGTCCGCAGCAAAAGGATCAGCGAGACAGAAGGCGGCGAATGAGGTTGAAAGAAAAGCACGATCAACGCATCGCAAGCGGCCAACAGGTCCCTGATCTGCCTCTCAGGGAGGGCAATGAAGAGGCGACGGGCCTTCATGCTGGCGATGAGAAAAAGGCGACGGATGACTCTCTCAGTGTTGATGAGGCTAACAGTGGCACTGGCAATGTCAGTGAAAGTGAGGATGTGGCGGATCGAGCCCTTCGAGCCTTGCAAGAAATGAGGAGTTCCGCGCCATCTACAGGAGATGAGGTTGACGTTCGGCGGCGGCGGGAGGGAGCAGACGAGGAGAGAAAAAATAGGAGACTGCGACGGCGAACAGCTCAACAGAGCGGCGGCACCGCTCGAGATTCGATACAGTCGCCAACGGAGTCTTCTGTAACAGTCGATGGCGAAGCTAGCTATGACGATAAGAGATCGTCTGGAGGTACATTGAGCCCTGTCACAGGCCAGCCTACTCCATCGATCATCGTCAGCCCCACCGAAGAAGAAGATGGGGCCGAAGCCGGCGATGGACAACCTTGATGGACGCATTGGAAGCATCATCTGTATATGAGGTAGTCCCAGGGGTTTAGCATGAAGGCAGGAAATTGGAGAGCATTGACTGATGAAACAAATGAGTCCAGCATGCATGTTTGGAGTGGCTTCTTGGAGAAGGATTGCCAGCAGCGATCCTGGCAAAGATTGTACGTTGGAGATAAGAGTGGATAAGAGGGAGTGAGAGAAGAAGAGAAGGATAGTGTCCTCGCTGGACAGAAAGAAGAAGTGAGGTGTTTTCAATCACGGTGCATCAAGCATGGTCCTATTCTTGCGCTTGTGTAATCACCGAGATACCCAATTGTTAATTTGATTTTCCATTCCCTATACCAATTTGGCGGCCAAAGCGTTGGCTCACACCTGGATTCTACACAAACATGCCATGAAATAGGTCTTGGACACAGATAATCATCAATCGCGGTGATGGTGGCGGCAATGAGACTTGACTCTTCGATCAAGTGCTGTGACACGAGGGTATGAGCAATTCTCTCTGTCCTGGTACTCGCAAACAAGATCATTTCCAACCTCCGTTGGATTGGTCGTGTGCTGCATTTCTATCTAATTTGATTACATGTTCTGACAGGTAAATGTCCATCTTCTACGATGGCAGAGCTCACATACTGGGGCAGTTTGCCTCTAAGTAGGTCTCCGAACCTCTGAATGTACGTACTACCAACCAATGGAACACATCGACGACAATGCGACTTGTGTATTTAGCAAATTTCTTGACGCCGTGCGAACCCATATCTCTTCGTGCCACCTTTTTGTTCATAGATGGCCTCGTTCCTTGAATCCTACACTTGTTCGTTGAGAAAAGGCCAACGCAAATAGTTTACATGGTAGAATAGATCCAGCCCCGAAGGGTGCCACAGGGCACCAGCTAGACAGGAGGTGGCCCCTTGCCTTGTCCCTGATCCAGTAACAAGTGCGGCTTGATAAAATCCTCATCCAGTTGCTTGAACCAAGCCGTGTGATCCGCTGTTGCGCCTCGGAGTAGATCTCTTATGCGCCCAGTCCCCGTCAAGTGGGATGCCGATGCCCCAGGCGTATTTGAATTCGACCCCAGTCCCATATCGCCATCGCCAAGAGGATCTTCACTCAAGATATTAGGTGCTGAACGAGTCCTATTGTCCAGGGTGCCCGGGCCTGTGGGGTAGTTGCCGCCGCCTGACATGGCCAAAGGTGAGGGTTTCCTTCGCGGAGCAGCGGGAGGAAGATCCAGATCGATGGTGTCCGACTCATCATCGCTCATTGAGCCATTATCACCAGACAAGAGCGTCCCATGTTGTGCGTTAGCTTCTCTTTCGCGCTGGGAGATGCTTGAATTCTTGCGTTGGCCGGCTAACCTGGCAACATTGAGCGGCGGGGATCGGCCATTGCTGCTGCTGAATCCGCGATCTGCTTGGCCACGGTTGTTGCCTGGGGCTCCAACAGAGCCATTAACGGCGCCTTGCCGGCCTCCATTCAAGTAGTCCAGATTGATGTTTGGAGGACGAGGATTGTTGCCAAATCCTGTACCGCTGGATCGCTTATAGTATGTACTTCCGTTGACCGTTTCAATATCGAATTCATCATCAGAGTCAATCTCCTCGACGACTCCCGTACGTATGCCCAAAATTTCGAGCATTCGCGCAGTAGTGCCACCAAAGATGATGACGGTCAAGACAACAACAACGAGAACTGTTGCACGAAGTGCAGGTCCTTCATTGCCTTGCAGACCAGCGGCAAGCGCTACTCCAACGGCACCTCGGAGCCCGGCCCAAAAAAGCATTGCTTGATAGTGCCATGGGAGCTCTTCTGCAACGTCCTGGCCGCGCCTTTTGGCACGCAATCTGATAATATAGTTGATGGCTCTAGAGAGAGGAAAAACTGCGAGCCACCTCGCAGCACAAATGCCAATTACCGTAATCAGGATAAAAAGTGGCTTAAAGACGAGGTCGGTTTCGGTAAACAAGGTGAGACCCAAGTAGATGAAGATGAAATTTTCTGAGAGTTGGGCCAGAATCTGAAAGATAAATTTGGTTGTAAGCTGTGTGCGGCGAGACATGTTGTAATAGGCATAATGCTTGAGAGTGATACCACAAAATAGTAACGAGACGATTCCTGAACATTGTTAGAGCGGGATGGGAGGAGGCAGCATCGAGCGGATGTATTACCTGACATGTGGACACCATTGGAGAAGAAATAGCTGGCATACGCGATTAGAATGACCAGACAGCTCTCGAGCTTGGGAAACCTTCGAATGAGGGTATACTTCAAGACAAGCGCAGTGCCGACACCGACAACCACACCAATCAAGAGACTGGTGAAGAAGACCAACAGGAAGATGCCAACAGCCTCGAAGAGGCTGACAATGCCGAGATTGCCAGCAGAACTACCATCTTTATACCGCTGAGCGGTTTCGAATAACACGATGGCGATAGCATCATTGAGGATGGATTCGCCAAAGATGACAGTGTACAGCTTGGGTTCAACCTTGTAAAGGTTGAAGATGGCGAGGATGGTGACAGGGTCGGTGGCAGATAAGGTGGCTCCGACCGAGATCGCCTCGACCCAGGAAATGGTGAGGCCATCAAAAGGGATTCTGGTCCATAACCAGAGAATCAAACCGAGAGAAACGGCGGATATGAAGGTGCCGGCAAAAGCAAAGGTCAAGATTGTGCCGATGTTACGGAAGAAGTTGGCCTAGTCTTGTTCAGCAATAATGTTCTGTCTTTGGTCGAGGTGAGCGCTCTGACCTGATGAAGTTCGTAGCCAGAAGCAAGGATGATGGGAGGGAGAAGGAGGTTGAAGAAGAACTGATAGTCGAAACTGACAGTGTCTTGAATAGCAGTTCCTGGAGAAAGTCTTATGATCAAGCCCACCACCATGCCTGATCGAAGAGATTGTTAGTTGGCTGTACAGTGGAAAGAGTCGCATTTCCGGGGAAGGGATTGCGGGGGAGGGAGAGCGCATGGACGCAGTTCAATCGACGAACCAGTGAATATGGAGATGACAGTCTCGTGGACGGCTTGGATTCTCTTCTGTTGGAGAATGTAGCTGGTGAACAGGGCAGCTATGAGAAGCATGATCAAAATGAAGAGAGACCATGACGAAAAGATTTCCTTTTCACCGGCCTCGGAGGGTTCTGTGGCGGCGCAGTCCTGTTAGTTTAGGAATTCTAGGCCTGGCAATGGAGCGGGAGAGGGCTGGAGAGAGGGCTAGCATTACCGTCGGGATCGACATCCTCTACCTGTCGGCCTGAGAAGCAAGTCAATACAGTGGAAACGTGGGGGACAGGGTGTGCAGAGGGCATACGCAGGATGTTGAGAGTCGCGCCGACGACACTGCCGGGGAGGGCCATGTTGGAGAGGAGTAGGCGGGGTCATTCGCAACAGAGCATTGACGGAGTGGATGTGGAAGTGAAGGGAGAAGCGGACGAGTCCCAGTATTGAAGTCCAAGTCGAGTTGCGGGCAAACCAAAGGTGAGTGAGGATGTTGAGACGAGGTGGTGGTGAAGTGGTGAAGTGTTGAATGAAGTAGGGGATGGGATGTGGATGCAGGCTGGATGTCGATAAACATGCAGGAAGTGGCCATCATGGCTCACTTGCTGGCAGGTCGTGCCTGCCAGTCGAGGACTCGCGGCGCAGGCAAGGTCGACGCATCATCACGTGATGGGAATCTGAAGAGCACGTGTCATGGCAAACCATGAGATGGACAAGTCCCAAGAGGCCACTCACCCATTATTATTATTATCAGGTCAGCCTCAGGGGCGCCCCAGGCACATCAGGCTTATCTCGTCCTTCCAAAACCTCCAGAGCCACTATCAGACTCACTTAACATACGAAGCCTTGGTGGCAGCCCCTTTCTACCTAGGTATTCCAAGGCTTGCAACAGCCGTAATACCGCCTTGTCCCCCTTTATTACCTCACCTACAGTCTCTCCCACCATCTGTTCAATACACTCATGCGATACAAAACGCCCTTTTACTATCACATCTTTTTTTGTATTTGCTCCCTATGCTTGCTTTTCTAGGGTCCATGAAAAAGAATCTAACTCGAACAAAGACACGCCTCGTTCGAGGCTGCAAAAATCAATCCCATAAAGCCTGGCCTGTCTCGGTGTTGCGAAAACAGGTCTTGAATGTGCATCCCAGTGTGGCCGTTTCGCATAGCTCTGATGCATGTGCAATGCTGATCCAGGCCTTCCCATTTCGTCACTTTGACCTCCCGTTCGCCTGTGATTATGGTACAGCTCAGTACACTTACATGCATGCTCTCCGCTATCCACCCTCCGCCCTCCGCCCTCCGTCAAACCTATTCCGCCCCGCTGGTCGTGCCATTTGTTCCCACACCATTGCTACCTCCACCCAATGTCAATCGGAGTCTGGTTCCTCCCATTGGTGCAGCCGATCCCCTCGGTGTATCAACGCTGGACGCTGCAGCTGTCGATTCCCCGTCTATAGCTCGCTCTCCGATCAGGCCCAAGCTGCCATTCTCCTTGGTCACCTTGGCGATCATTTCTTGACAATGTTTCTGTTCAAATGTTAGTCATTGCTCTACCAATCCCAAATAATCTCAGCACTTACCTCAATAAGAATTGCATCATTGTACAACGTGCTGCCGTCTTCGTTGTACGTCTTGGCATTTCGGGCCAATAGACTCACATCACGCTCGAGGTCCTTCAAGCTAGTGTATTGATGCACATTGATTCGCTTCTCAATCATGTCCATCGCGATGGGTTCCTGAATGAACTGGTAGTAGTCCGCGTACAGCTTCTTCGGTGGCAGCTCCAAAAACGGCCCGATGACCATTCGCGTCGGTGGGTCTTCATTATCACTGTCATCATCCGAAGGTTCCTCGGGGTCCGAGTCTACCACTTCCAGAAGTTTGAGTGATTCGAAGACTGTCCGTAGCGCTTTCTGAAGAGCTGCTCGCTCCGACGGAGGAAGACTGTCTGGCATCTTGTTGGGCTGTCTGCCACGTTTGCGTTTTGCCGGTGTCTCTTCCTCCAGTTCATCGCCCTTGCGCTTCTGTCCCGCTGACTTGCGTGGGCCTTTCTTCTTGGGTTGTGGCTCCTCCACTGCGCTTTCTGGCTCCGGCTCCGGCTCCGGTTCGGCCTCCACTTCCGGCGATGATGCTTCGCCGTTGGCGTGGCGCTCCCGCTTGGCCTTGTTGGTACGTCTCTTGTCGATGCGCGCTTGTTTGCGCTTAGCCGCTTCGCCGATCGAATCATCCGAGTCGTCCACGGCTGCAAGCCATTGTTCTTCTGTGAGACCATCATCGTACTTGACTTGGGTTTTGACACGAGCCCCGCGCCCAGCGTATTCTTCTTCCACTTCCTGCACAGGGTTCTCTTCTGCCATGTAAATTTCTGGCAGTTCGGCTTCGCCCATCAGTCGAGGAAGCGGGCGCCCGGGTCCATATTCGTCCTGGGCCTCACGTTCTTCGTCCATCTTCTTGAAGAGGGCTAGTTCCTCCTCGGATCGAGCCATGATTTCGTTCAAGTCGTCATCGTCCATTTCTTCTTGCTCGCCTGCGACTTCTGCTGCTTCTGCTGATTCCAAAAGCGTCTTGAGGAAAGCGTCTCGCTCTTCCGCCGTCGACTTATTGTCGAACTTGCCGGCCTGGATGACCTTGCCGTCCATATCGAGCTTGAACTGAGCCTTTTCCAAGATCTTTTCTTCGACCGAATTCGAACTGATCAACCGCAGAATTCGCACTTCATTCTTCTGTCCAATACGATGCGCCCGGTCTTGAGCTTGCAAATCTTGATGCGGATTCCAGTCCGAATCGTAGATTATAACCGTGTCTGCAGTCTGAAGATTCAGCCCGAGGCCGCCTGCACGAGTCGATAGGAGAAAGATAAAGTACTGCGAGTTGGGTTCATTGTACAGCCGCAACAGCTCGGATCGGTCTTCGGCTTTGGTCGAACCATCGAGTCGCAGGTAATGAATGCCTCGAAGGCGCAGAAAGTCTTCCATGATGTTCATGATTTGCGTCATTTGGAAAAACATCAAAACACGATGGCCAGTTGCTCGGAACTTGGGTAGGATACGATCCAAGAGCTCAAATTTGCCGGCCGTACGCCAGAGGGAGTCGTTTGTGCCCCGGCCGGGGTTCATCTGATCCTCCACAGGCTCAAAAACGTAGGGGTGGTTGCATAGCTTTCGCAACTGCATCAGCATATTGCTCAATCCTCGCATGCTAGTCTTGCCTCCTTTACCATCTGCAACGGCAAGTTTGTTGTGGGTCATGAGCTGCATGTAGAGCTTGGCTTGCAAGGCTGAGAAGCGACACTTGATGACTCGTTCTTGCTTGTCGGGAAGATCCTTCTCCACGTCCTTCTTGAGACGTCGGAGTAAGAATGGTCGCAAAACCTTATGAAGACGTCTGATCACGAGCAGCTGCTCTTCTTCTGTAAGATCGATACGGTCTTGGCTGCCAGTATTGGCAAACGGCGTATTGAACCACTCGTCAAATGATTTTACCGATTTGAAGATGGTCGGCAATACGAAATTGAGTAGTGCCCACAACTCGGGAAGATTGTTCTGGAGGGGAGTGCCCGTCAGGATGAGTCGATAACGAGTCGTGTAGTACTGTGTGATGGTGCTGCTGAGCTTCGACTCGGCATTTTTCATACGGTGGCCTTCGTCAACAATCATATGAACCCACTTGATCTTACTCAGTATGGGTCTATCCTTGATGATGTACTCGTAAGTTGTCAAGAGAACCTGGAAATCCCCTTGCCGAATTCTCAGCTGGTGCTGCTTCCGAGTGTTCGGTGGACCTTTATACACAATGCGGTTAACAGAGGGTGCCCACTTCTCAAACTCCAGGTTCCAATTGGTAAGCGTGCTGAGGGGAACAATGACCAGGAAGGGGCCTGGTTGTCGCTTGCGCTCGATAAGGTATGTGATCAGACTGATGGACTGAATAGTCTTGCCCAATCCCATTTCATCGGCCAGAATTCCATTAAGGTTATTGTTGAAGAGAGAGATCATCCATTGCAGACCCTTCATCTGATACTCTTTGAGCTGGCCGCCGACAAGAATCGATGGCTGTGATGTGACTTCTTCCTTGATTCGATGGGCGACAGCATAGTAATCGACCTTGCCACCAGTCTCGTCGTCCGAGCCGTCAACGTCGAGATCTTCGTCATCCACGTATTGGTCTTCGCCCCATTTCTCGGCAGCACTGCGTTGTTGTGCCCTAACAGATTCTGCAAGTTGCTTCAAGAATCCATCGGTCTGTTTCAACAAATGGGTGATGCGAGAATCTTTGGCCTGGCCCAAAAGTTTCAAGTACGTCTCCTCATCGTTAGCTTTTAGGGCTTGCAGACGCTGTTTCGCGGTGCGCTCGATTCTCTTCTGCTCTTCGCGCTCCATATGCTGATGATGAACGACCATCATTCTTCCTAGCTTCTGGGAACGGTTGCGTTGGGCAATCGCACTGTTACGAAGATCATTGCCGTGGTTGATGATCGCAGCCAAATGATTTTTCTGCTGGGTCTTTTCCTTGTTTTCTCTGACATCTCTCTGCTGCTTCTCAATTTTCTCGGTAATGCGAGCTTCTCGAAGGGACGGCTTCTTCATTCGTCGATGTAGTGATCTATTGGCAGTCATGGAATAGGTGTCCATGCCCGCCATTTCTTGAGCTATCTCTCGACGAAACTCCAACTGTCGTTTCATCTGTCCCAGCTTCTTGTACTCTATGAGGGCCTGGATCTTCAGATCATCTTCAGGTTTAGGATTTCTCGCAATGCTAGAATCCCAAGAGGCGATACTATCGAAGAGGGCTTCCAGCTCTGCTTTACGAGCTGCAGCTCGAGAGAAGAGGAGTTGCTCTCTCTCTTCACGCACCTGTTCAAGGTCGAGTCCAAGAGGCATCAGGCTGGGGATGTGCTGCCGTTTGGCTGGATCTGAATGATCGGCAAAGCTTATCGCGTCATGAATTAGGTCGTATGGTGACTCAAAGGTGTCGTAAAAAGACTTGGGTGTCGATTCTTTGGCAAGCACACCCTGTGACGGTTTCGTTGTGTCCGAGGTATTCGCATTGCTTATGGTCGCCTCATTGGAGCCGGAAGCCGTCGGCTTATTCGAAATAAAGAGTTGTTGCTGTAACTTCTCTGGGAGGGGCAAACCTTTTGACAGCATCTTAAACGCATAAATCTGAGTTCTCAGCTGGTTAAGCTGGTCCGGTGCGAAGCTGCCATTTCCCTGTGGGGCCGCGCGTTGAGGTTGGGCTTGGGTCTGGGCTTGAACCTGCGTCTGCGTCTGAGACTGAGCTTGAGCCTGAGCCGGGGCTTGAGCCTGCGTATGACTTCCCGGAGCGCCACTACCTGTATTAATGTCAGATGTGGCAGCACCGTTTGTCGTAGAAACGGGGCGATCGCCCCCATTCATGGCTGGATTGATGGTGGTCCCATTGATTTGTTGGTTCGAGGGAGGAAGGAGGTTTGCAGGAGGAGTTGGCTGGGCTTGTTGTGCTTGCTGTTGCTGCTGCTGCTGCTGCTGCTGCTGCTGTTGCTGTTGCTGTTGCTGTTTGAGCGCCGCTCGACGGTATTGGTGCTGTTGCTGTACCGCCGTAAGGAACCGGTGGGCTTTAAGAAATTCAGGGTCGTTGTCAGGCACTTTCGCTGCCTTCATGCGCTGAAATCTCTGTCGGGTCGTCAGTAATGTCCGAGACTTGATAGGTGCAAGATGAGAGGACCAAGAGATTCGATGAAAGATCGAAGACCAAGTAAGGGATATTTCACTATGGGAGGAGGGGAGGAGCTTGTACCTGATAAACTTCTTGAACCTGGGCACTGGAGAAGTTTTGAGGGGGTGCAGAAACACCAGGTTGTAAGTTGGGGGCAGACTGGACGGAAGCCATGTTGATCCGACCTAGCCGAAGCCCCTTCAGATCAGTCGAAATGATCCTCCGATGCTTCGTGGATATGGTTCGTGAATCAGAAGGGTTGATGGGGAGGGTAATGAGAAGCGTAACGAGGGAGGACGTAGGAGGTCAGAGTCTAAGGGCGCTAGTAAGGACTTGTCGTCACGGTCCTGGAGTGAGTTACGTTTAATGGTGCACGGTATATGCTGGCCGGGATCCTGGAGTGGATGTCGACAGCGAAATGAAGATGTGCAGATGATCTTTGGTGAAGAACGATGAACTTGGCGCACGGCAGCGCAGTGAAGATACCGTGGTGAAGTGGTGGTGTCGTGAAGGTAGCGGCTGGGAGAGGCGTGAAGGGTCAAAGGAGGGGACGAAGAGGTAGCATCCAGGGGGTGGGCGCACTCCTCAGGCCGTGTCGAGTCTTGTTGATGCTCGATTGAGATGGACGGAGATGGCTGCGACGCGTTGATGATGGTTTTGCGATTGGAGAGGGGCCTTCTCAGGGCTGCGCTGCGAGAAGTCACACGGCGGCGAAGAGGAAAACCACCAGACTTGGAAGTGGAAAACCACGCTAGAGCTATGGCAGAGTTCTGCTGCTCATTACGCTAAGATCCACCGGAGCTGCACTGGCTTGGCATGATTGGCTTTTCTGAACTCTGGGAGCCCACCTGCCCAACAACCTACTGCCACTCAGCTGGTCGCACTTGACTCGGTGATGGACGGACCCACCTGAATATTTCCCACGTGACATGCATCCCGAGCATCCACAAGACGCGACGACGCGACACCACGAAGACGCGATGACGTGAGGAGACAGCCACTGGAGAGAAGAGTCAAGTAAAAGGTTACTCAGGCCGAAATGTTTTATCATGAGCTGCTAACTCTATCATGTAAGATATGTGCCATGTCCAAAGACCACGCCCGAAAACCCGTCTCTGCTCGAATAAAATCGCTCTCCAACGCGAGCGCCGTAGCCACCAACGCCAAACTGCCCTCGATTGATATTTTCTGCTTCTCGGCAGTAGCCTGGTGCGAATGATTACGTTGCAATCAGGTGATCGCGGTTCTTTTGGCTGGGATTGGTGGTGGAGGTGGCTTCTTAGCTCGCGAAGGAGGTGGAGGCGGTGCTGCGCTCTTCTTGAGCGGTGTAAACGACCCACTGCCCTGTGAAGTTGCCGGTGATACAGATTCACCGTAGCCATGATCTGGGCTGCTGTTCGTATATGATCCCGAGTCGTCCGCAAAAATGTCACCCTCATCTAAATTGCGCAGGTTGGAACGAGCTGTCCTAACCATGAGCGAATCACTGGGAACTCGAATCATGCGAGGCATAGTACCTGGAGACAGCTCACGAATCACTTGACGCGGGCTGTCGAGCGTGGTAGACCTCGTATACCCGGGTCGTGAAGAGGAGATGGCAGGAGAAAAGTCGGAGAGGGGGTTCTCCACTGATCTACTAGTCATACTCCGAGCAGATTTGATCGAGGGTCGCACGTCTACTACAGGTACTTCCTCAACAGGTTCAACGTACTGTGTATGCGACCGGACGGTGTTCGATCTGGAGCGCGGTGTGGGTCGGCTTGGACGACCTTGCGATGGGAGTCTGGTCCTCATGGTCAGCTTTTCGAGAAAGAAGACTCTCGGGTGTCAAGTCATACCTTGATGGCCATTCATTTTTAAGCTGCAAGAGTGCGTCTCTGCACTTGTCATGGTAGGCCAACTGAGCATCAAGGAAAGCACCAAGATCGTTGACGCTGTCAGGGTCGGACTCGCGGACCTCTTCCATTCGTCGCATCACATCATCGGCGGATTCTTCGTATTTGGCCTTTTGACTTCGAAGTTCTTCCTCGACTCGGAAGTCCTCCCTTTTCGCCTTCTGCATTTTGGCCAGGGACGTGTCGTATGCCAGCCGTCTGGTTTCAAGTTTCTTGCGAGCCGCTTGGTATTCTTTCATCTGCACGAGCGATCGCTCCAATGACTCAAGCCAGGAGGTGGTGGCGCCGACTATCAAAGTTTCCTGGGCGCGTGCTAGTCGTTCATGGCTTCTTCCCATCACTAATCACCACGAGTCAGATTGTTGAGGTTATTTAGAACCGGGACAACGTACTTATAAGGCATTGGCCGTACTCTGAATCTGATTCAAACTCTTCACCGTGAGAAATCATTGTTCCACCCAGATGGGCGATCGGTAGCGTCTTCTCCTTGCCCTCTATCTCGGATCTTTTGGAAATAGCCTTGACATGTGCATTCATGGAGCGCTGCATCTTTTCGAGCCCTGAAACAGAATGGTCAGTTGTCTAGTTCCGAGGATAGAGCAATGGGTGTACGTACCCTCCTGGCGCAGGGCCATCTCAAGCTCCATTGCTTTGAAGTCATCGGAGACGTTGGTCTTGACTTCTCCGCCCATGCGTTCCCCAGCCCATTGCTTGAAGCGATCCAGTTTCTTATTGACATTCATTGTGCGGGTGAGCTGGACAGGGTGGCGGGGCTCGATAAAGGGCTACCTATCGGTCAGGTGCGAGGTGGGAGGGAAAGTAGACGGAGGGAGGACTGTAGATAAGCGTGGGTTATGTGATGTTGGAACAAGCGAGCGACAAGTGACGAGTGACGGAGGGCCGGCGGCGGTGCGGAATTTCTGTTGGAATGCAACCACAATCAACTAGAAGTGGGAAGTGAGCGAGGAGCAATGTCCGGCTGACTTGACAATGTTGGTTAGTGAGCAGCAGGCGCGGAATAGTAACAACGACGGCGGCAATCGAGAACAGAAGAAGATCAGACTACTACCAACAAACGAATGTATGCTGCTGAAGAACCGATTCTGGAACCTGGAACAAGGAAGGAGGGACGATCCAACAAAAAGGGCACCAGGGCCAAACAAGCCATTCTTTTGAAATGGAGACCTTGGAACCAGCAGGCCGTTGAGCGAAGCGGCAACTCTGACGCGGACACTGTTAGGGAGCAGCGAGACAGCCCAGTAACCACCAACAGGGCATGCCTCATTGCTATCATGACACAGGGCATGTCTCTCACCGAAGGGCTCCATCAAGACTCCTGGCGAACCAGTCAACAAGAAGAGTTCCGCATGTTAGACACCGTCGTAATCAGGAACCCACAATTTCCCTAAGCATACGCATTACGGAGTACTTCTTTTTTGGACCCTTCCAGGTGTCCAGACTGCCCAGCCGTGCCCGCGTCCAGACTGTAGGCCATTTTTTGCCATGGGCTTGCTAGAGACTACCCCTGACCTTAAACCCTCTTCTAGCTTGTCCTCCACCCCGAGCCCCGAGCGCCCTTTGGGACTGGAGGGCTCCTGCGCCACCCCGTGCCTTTGAAAGCCTAACCCACCTGGTTGAGGCAAAGTCTGATTTTGGCTCCAATAAATCTCTGTATTGGCTGTTATAGTAACAGGTACCAAGACACGTGTTGGGACACACCATGAAAATTCTCCGTCCCTCTTGTCTGTTTTGTACGTGTCCTTGTGCAAGCATGGTAGGCATATCGAGGGAACCTTGTAGCCGCTCACGCCGCTGTGCCGCTACATCTTCCGTCGCTAGGACCGATTGTAAGCAGCACCCATCTCACAGACAACTTCTACGAATACTCTTTTGTGGCGCAACTCCGCCCCCGCCTATCTACTATATCGACTCGGGTTTGCGAAATTGCCAGCACGTCTGTAGACTGTCCGTCAAGATTCAGGAGAAGTGACAGCCCATAGGCGTCCACCACGCCCACAATTCTACCACGCAGACCTCCCGACACTACTAATAAATGTACATTATGCACATAGCGTCACTTTTAACACAAGGTCGAGGTCGAGGTACATGTTCCCTGAGCACAAAGTTACTGCAACTTCCTTTTCAAGTATTGTTTGTCTGAAGTGTGTTTGGAATATGGTTGATTTTGGAGACTGTGTTTCATTGGCCTATGGTGATGCGTAATTCGAGTGCTCAGCCTGCACTGGGACCTTGGTCGATGCATCAATGACCTTCCCCACGTTTCTCTGTGACCGTCTCAAAACTAGAGCTACAACTCAATTCGCGCCGTTTTGCCAGTTGCTCAAATAGCTAGACCATCTAGTCCTTGGTCTTTTGAGTACCGCGGAGTAGACCAGTTCTTCGGGCGGCGATGAGACCAGCCTTTTGACCTTGGGCGGCATATCTGGAGATGGTGGATGCTTTACCAATATGTTGATGGTTACCACCACCGTGGGGATGGTCGACGGGGTTCATGGCAACACCACGAGTCTTGGGCCATGAGTTGCGCTTGACGGCGAACTTATGCTTGGCGCGGGATGCCTCTGTATCGTTGTTAGCCAGAGATCACAAAGCATCGAACCCAGGTCGTCCTTACTGAGAATGGGCTTGTCTGTTCGTCCACCACCGGCCACAATTCCCACCATGCCTCGAGCCGAGCTGAGAATGACCTTCTTCGCGCCACTGGGGAGCTTGACTCGGGTTTTGCCCTCATCGGGGTTGTGTCCAATCACCGTCACATAGTTGCCAGATGTTCGTCCCAAAGCACCTCGGTCACCGGTCTTCTCTTCCACGTTCGACACAACGGTTCCTTCGGGGAGTGATCCAACAGGCAAGATGTTTCCAATCGTCAAGCTGGCATTCTTACCGGCATAGATGAATTCTGCAACCAGATCAGTACCCAGGCACTATACAGGCGGAAGGGCGACGTACGGCCGGTGAAGAGACCTTCGTTGGCGATGAAGGTTTCGACTCTATCCTTGAATTTGTAGGGCGATCTGAATGACACTCGTGCGAGAGGGGCACCTCGACCGGGATCGTGGATGATTTCTTTTACCACACCTCGAACATACTGTTTATCCGTCAGTCCTGAGTCCATTCATGTTCCTCAAACAACTTGCCCCGTGACGCTCTGAGAAGTCGAGTTGTCGGAATTTGGCAGGTGCGACTCGGAGTCTCTGGTGGGCGGCTGTGAAATTTCAATCAGTTTCAAGGACGGAAGGTCGTAGGAGGAGAGATTCAGGCGTACTGAAAATAGAGCCGCGGCCCTTTCGCTGATTTCGAATAACGCGACCCATCCTATACAGCGGTTAGATTGAGTTGCGCTGACGAGACTTGACTGTTGGTCATTTACCTGGCGGTTGTCGATGGATGAGGTCGATGTTGAAATGCAGGCAATTGAAGATATGGAAAAATGGACAGTCTGCGGGAAGTGCGTTTGGTTGTTCCAAAAATCCAAAAAGGGCTTAGCATTGAAATCTTGGCATTTGCTGTGATTGGTCGACAGTCGTCATGACCACAGACCTCCGTCTTCTGTTGATTTGTACAACAACTTTCTCAACCTGTTTTCTCTCATGAATGAAATTCCAGCCAGCGCGAGACAAACTCAGAAGAGTTCATGTCTTTGGGGCTTTGGCGATAGTCTTGGAATGTTGTTTGAGTGCAATAGCCTCTCCTTGTAACAGACGCAGATCTCCATGGCTGGGTCAATTACTGATCAACCATGCTCCGATGGTCCAACTTCTCCTCCTGACCATTCCGCCTTGTTCGCTGAATGCGAGGCCTTTGCTGTTTTCTGCACCAAACATTGGTCCCACATTGACAGGCTTCAAGACGGCTCGAGCCTTTCTCAATCGCTAGAATTGCGAGAGAGAGAGAGAGAGAGAGAGAGAGAGAGAGAGAGAGAGAGAGAGTACGTTGGTAATTTTTGACATTAGGAACTATCCTACCAGCAGTCTCGACCATGTGACAGGCTTAAATAATCAATATGACATCGGGGGGTACTAGAGAGTGGCCATCAATGGGTGTGTTGACAACAATTCATTCTTTCACTAAGGTAGGTGAGGCTGAACAGAGGAAGCGAGATCCGAAGGTGTGCAAGTTTGCCAACTGAATTTTGACTAGAGACCGTGGGGTCTGGATTTGTGTCAAGATTGCTTACCCTCTATCATGGTCATTCAATAATCTCGTTCTCAAATATGGAAATCCTTTGGGGGATGAGTTGCGCCTTTCCACCCCGTTTGTTTGGCGGCAATGAGCAGAACCAACATTTTGTTGACTCACAGCAAATGGTCACGTTCAAGCAGTTCCAGTCCCAGTCCCAGCTCCGTCGCTTGGGGCCAACCGGAGTACTCCGCATGCGCCAGTTGAGGGGGAATGCAAAGCCTTTTGCGGCTTGAAGCGAACAACAGAACAGATCACGGCCGCTTTGTATGATCTAAACCATGGTTGGACTCTCGTGAGAACTATCAAGAGGTGTGACGGTTAAGGGCGGCAGCAAAATTTCAGATGATATATTTCTATTTGCTCCAAACATTCGGGTGCTTGCCTGACAATTTTGAGTTATGTTGGCTGGGCGTAGCGTAGCCTCTGTGCCACACTTTGCTTATAAAAGGCATCGATACCACCCCTCGTCTAATTTTTTCTCTTTCTCCTTCGTCATCTGTGTAGGAGACTCATCTCTAAGCTACTCTTGTCTGGTCTCAAAAGGGACTGTGATGACATTCCATCTGGGCTATAAGGCTACACTCGGTCGCTTTCTTCGGAATGTTGGCGTGGGAGTCCTCTTACTGAACAGGACGAGGCGGTGACTCTCAAAGCCTCAGGGCTCTTGGAATACCCTAGGTATAGAACCCAAGGTACTCCGTATATGGATGAACGAGATACTGGTGGTCAACTTGGCTCGAGCGAGCCGGTGTGACTCCAGGGCCGCATCACCTTCGTTCTAATCGGGGGTGAACTGCCTGCGGTTTTCACTCATCTTGGCGGTGTACCTCCATACTCCGCCGATGCATCTTTCCAACTCGCGTGGAAACCTCCCTCGATTGATCCTAAGGGTGGTGTGCCCACTTCCCGACCTCTCGGTCCTTAGTCCCTACAAGGAGCACGTGGAATTAGGATGAAGCAATTGCCACAGATCTAAAATAAAGATGAGGACCAACAGGGAGCAATGTAGAGTGTGATTGGCACGCGTAACTTGCGCGCCAATGTATGTCGAAATCTAGTACTCCGTAGAAGTACGACGGCCAACTGCCAACTGCCATTTGCCCTTTGACATTGCTACTAGCGGTGGCTCGACGCAAGTTGACTTTGTTGATTCCATTTTATGACATGTTCTCTAACCCGACCACCTCCTTCCTCAATAACCTCGCACCTGCCCTCCATAATCTCGTGGACATTCTAAATTTTTCTCATCCTCGACCATGGCCGATTCCGATAGCTCGTCCCTGTCTTCTGCCCCGTCCTCTGACGATGAGGAAATGGAGTTGAAAATGTCCAAACCCACTGGGTTGAATCGGTACTTCAAGCCTGCGCCAAAAGCAGACCCGACTCCTGAACCGCCGAAACGCGCTCCTTCCCCCCCTCACGAGTATACCTTGGCCGACAATGAAGCGATCGCGTTCCTGGTCATGTTCAGAAGCCGTTTTAGTGACGCGTTTCCTCGGTCACTCCCACATTTTGGACCACAAGACATTGAAAGAGGAGTTGGCGGCCCGGTGCCAGACGAGCATGCAGAAAGGTTACTCTGTGCACTGCTCGGTCTAGTTTTGAATCGGAAGAAAGATGTCGAGTCAGTCATAACCCCTTTGTTCAAACTACGGGCTATATTCTAGCATGCGTTGCTCCAAGAAGATGCAGGCTAACGGGGTTCTTTCAGACGTGGTCACTATGGACGGGCACTCGAAGATGCAGTCTCCAGCAACCATCATCAGTGGCTGACGGCCTGGAAAGGCGTCAGTCCTATACAAGGAGGCAAGACCTTCAACTCCATGTCCCCGGAGGAGCGAGTACGTCGCCCCTTTACAGCTCAGGATTCTTTGTCCCGCTCGTGCTGACCTTGTCGCAGTTGAGTCTCCTCAAAGCCCTCGCCTTGTGGTCCTTGAATCAATCAGAGATACTCCAGAGCCTCATCAAAGAATCGTACAAGCAGACACGAAAGGACGATGACCGCAATCAGCCACGCAGCGTGCAGCCGTGGTTCTCCGATCAATACCGTCGGAAATACTGGCTAGTCGAGGGTCTTGAAGACTCCCACTTCCGCATCTACCGTGAAAATGATGGCAAGACAGCTAAGACCAACACCTGGTTCAGTGTTGCAGGGTCAATCCCCGAGCTTGTGATGCTGGCCGACAAATTCAGTGATGAGCACACTCAGAACTCGAAGGTCAACAGTGACAAATTAAGATCAGCTATTCCCAGATTCGAAGCTGGTGATGAGGTATGAGATGCCACTTTGCGGTCGAGACTGAGAGTACTAATTGTGTGATAGAAACGAAAACGACGCGATTATCGTCTAGCACGCAAGGCTGCATTCTCTCGTCCAGAGCCTGGCTTCTCTCTTTACGAAGGCCGAACGAGGGGCAAGAGAATGAGGTATACCTTCTCCGACGATGAATTTGGTTCAGATGATCCATCCAGCCGGAGGTCCACTCGGAATTCTGGCTTTTCCACCCCACAGGAGACTGGTCCAACTGTGACTGCCAGTGGCAGACAGGTCAAGTCCAGACAAGGGGGTGTCTATGGCGAGAGTATGCTGGTCGATCAACGGAAAGACCTCGAACGGAGTGCGGGTGACGGTCATTTCACGGAGACCAGCGAAGATATGCCTACTACCGTGCCAAGTGGTAGAGGGCCACGCCTCTCTCGATCGGGCCGACCTGTGAGACCTGCAAGACCACGATCAACCCATGAATCTGATTCCGAAAGCGACGAGAATCAGTCGTCAGGAAAAGAATGGAGTGGAGACGAAGACGAAGGCGATGAGTCCGAGCCGGACGTCGAGGGAGATGACGAGGAAATGAGTGATGAGCTTCTCGATCAGGATGACCTGGGGGATGACGACAATACACAAGAAAGCTTGGTGGTACAACTAAGGTATCGAAAGGGCGATGAGCCCACAGGGCATGTCCCTCAAGCACAGCCTCCACCACAGCAGTTGGACTTGAGGCTAACGCCATCAAATGGCAACATACCGAATGGCGCCCTCGACGCGACACACAGCACCAAACCCGTATCATCATTCACACCCTCACCTGTTCCCCTTCCATTATATGACACCATTGACGTTGCACCTCGAATCAACGGAGTGAATGGGATTGAGAAGGCGACGAGTGAAATAGGCGCAGCAGTCAACGGAATCAATGGACCCAAGCCCAGCCTTGAGCAACCCGACAAACACGTCCAGGCTCCCATGTCACCGCCGCAAGAGATTCTGGTGCGTTCTCCTCCACAGGTCATGGATACTTCATAAAGGGCCGTCCAGAAGAAGATACTGGTAGAGTCAAAAAGTGGACCATGAATGTTGCTCAGGGTTGCGGGAATGACCACGCGACAGGATCACGTTAGAGACCTGTAAAGTGAAGCCCAAAAGCAAGACCGATAGGATATTCAATATCCAGGATTTGCCGTGATTGTGCGTATGTACGTGTATGACATGAAGGATTTAATATTCATTAAACTCCATACGGTGCAGCGTGGAAGTTACCTAGGCTCGCGGCTAGGGAGAGTGGAAGCGATAGTGATGTCGATATTGTAGACGAGACCACAGGTTAACTCGTAGATGCGTGTCTACCTTGGGTACTAAAGACTCAAGAAAGCCCGGTAAAGGTCTCTTTTGAGTTGCGCAGATCAATCAATAAATGTGGTTTCTGAGATTGTCGCTTTCCAAGACGGGTGGACACAAATCCTTGAATATAAGGTATTAATATTCTACGAGGCCGTTGTGAGATGAGGGGGTAAGAATTGTCAAGTAGACAATCCAAAGTCAACTATGCCCAAGTCAAACGTCTATGTAGGAAACACATACATACATATATATTTTGAGGAACTCAGTGTAAGGGATGGGAGGTCACTTTCCAGATTATTATTCGACCTATCTCTATAGTACTCACGATGGATTCAATCGCCGTCAAAATCCCAGCCATCAAATCAACATTATGCATACCTGTCTCTACCTGAGAGCCCCTCAACGCGAAAAACAGGAGTCAGTTATTTCCTCAAGACTCTGCCTCTGCATACATTTACCAAAGCCTGACAACTGTCAAAGAAAATCAATACAGGCATCAGGTGGGCTTCCCTTGCCCCATGCATACACAAGGCTCACCCCATCTCTGTCCCGCTGATCGAAAAGGAGATTCCAGCTTGACCTGACCCGTCAGATCATTTGCACATTGTTATTGTTGACACGTCTACCAATCACTCCCCTACTAATAGCAGTCACATCACAACCGTGACAATCCATCTGAACATGACCAACGCCCATGCTCATGCCATAGGGAGCAAGAATTTCTCTCTCAGCAATTCATCTGCACCAGGTCTCTTCTCATGGTCTGCTTCAAATGTCTTGTTTAAGAAGCGAACTGCGTCCTCGGAAACATTTTCGGGAATCGTCGGTTTCTCGTTGTTGCTGCCCACAGCAAAGAGTGTTTGCAACGTGGTCATGGAAGGGAAGGGCCGAGAGCCCGTAAACATTTCGACAATGAGACAGCCAACCGACCAGATATCGGATTTGATGGACTGGCCGCTTTGACGAACCACTTCAGGGGCCATCCAGAAGACACTACCTTGCAGTGAAGTCCTTGTTCCAGGGCCCGCATGAATACCATTGAAGCCTTGCTTTTTGGAGACGCCAAAGTCGGAGATCTTGACGGCTCCCCTGTTGTCGACCAAGATGTTGGCCCCCTTGATGTCGCGGTGAATGATGTTCCGAGCATGTAAATACGAAAGTCCCTCGAGGATCTGTCGAGTAAAGTTGCGCACCAATGGCTCTTGGAAGGTGTTGTACTGCTTCAACATGCCTGCAATGGATCCACCAGCGACGTACTCAAGAAAAATGTTCAGGTGAGAATCGTCGGATGAGGTGCCGAGGTATTGGACAATGTGTGGGTGGCGGAAGCCTTGTAAAAGCTCGATTTCTTGCTTGAGAGCAGCAATCATGCTGGCTTTCTTTTTGTCCCCATCGGTACCTTTAGCTACATCTGGTAGCTCAACCTGTTTGACAGCCATGAGCTCACCAGTGATGGCATGCAGGGCAAGATAGACACTGCCAAAAGAGCCTTCTCCGATCAAGTCTCCCTTCATCCAATTATTCTTGTCAAAGCTGTTACCCTGAAGGAACGAAGTGAGCTCCTGGTCTTCTTCTTCGCCGTCTTCGGCAACAATCACCGACAGTCTCTCGTTGAGGTTATCACCACCAGGGCTTTCGTCGATGAAGCTGGCTCTCGCCGTTTCACTCTGGTTGGCAGTATCGGAGCCACTATCAAAGGAGACATAGGATTTGCGATTGGGCTCGATGGGGGATTCTTCCTGTAAAGGATGGAGGGTGGACGATGCAATAGAATCCCGAAACGCGGCGTTGGGGAGATTGAAACGCGTCGACATAACGGAGAGAGGCCTTGCGGTGGAGGCTCGAAGGTTGCCACCACCATGGGACAACCAAGACTCCGCAATGCTAGGTATGGTGGGGACTGGAGGTGCATCTCTCATGCTCGATGCATAACTAACGTTGCTCATGATGCTCAGGCGGCTGGCGGCTCTACTCATGCGCTGTGAACGTCGCACAGACATCCTCATTGTCTTTTCAATGTCTTCACGCTGATGGGCGGGGAAGTAGGATGTCAGCTCCTGGACGATCATCTCACTGGGTGGTCGAGCACCGAAGAACGAACGTAGCTTTGTATCTTGTTGGCTAGGGATTCGGAGGTGCTGTGCCTCCTGTCGATCATACTCATCGGCGGTGGCGATGACATTTCGGTTCCGGTCTGTAGTAGTGACGGGGGACATTGGTGTTTGAATGTGATGCCAGGATTCGCCAGTCAGTTTCTGGAGTTTGATCTGATTGCGCATGTTGTTGGAGCTCAGAGCGGTGTTGTGCAGCACTTGGGATTCGTCGACGGCGATTTTGGCCGCTTTGCGAATCTCCTCGATATCGGGGGGACCATCGTTGATTCTTCGCAAGATGAGACGGTTTCGTTCCGATCTGGTTGATTCGTTACAGATCTTCATGAGGTCCACATCAGAAACGCGACGGCAATTGGCAGGGTCAGGTTCCAAGCCATTCAAAATATAGAAACAATAATTTCGAAACTGCGACTCCGAAAGAAGCAATTTCTTGAGGACAGTGGATGTGACATCCTCAGCAGTCCTACAGAATTTGATATTGACAACCTTGGTCTGACCACCGTTATGGATGATTTTGATGACGGGGGAACCCTGAGGAAGACCGCCTGGGGTGAGCCCATCAATACTCGAGTTTTGGCGAAGATGGGCCACTCTTGTAGTTTGAGTTGGCATCTGAGGAGTCTCTGGGCGTCTCCCAGAGGTAGAATTGGCCGAGGTGGGTTGACTGAAGTAGCCAGCACTCTGGTTGGATCTTGCAGTTTCCATTGGACTTTTGACATAGTGATGGGATCTGATGGCGGCACCCTGGACATCGGCCAGAGGGGAGCTTGGGCGAGATCCGACCTTGAAGCCAGTACTGGCCGAGTTGAAATTCTGTAAAGCTGAGGGATCAAGTTGGCGGGAGTACCGTTTGCTGCTGCCGGTGCCAGACAAAGAGCCGTGGGTGCGAGGCGAGTCAGAGGAGGAGGGAGTGGCGACGGCGGCGGCGGCGGGGAAGTCGTCAAGGATGGCGAGAGAGTCTCTGTTCCTCTTTGTGCGCATGAGAGAAGCCTTGTTACGGAGCTGCTTGATGGCGACATTGATTCTGACACGGTCTCCTATCTTTTTGATACCCATCTCGGACAATATCTTCTGGTCGCATTCTAATAGGCTTTCCCCAGTAAAATTGTTGAGCCTGAATAAAGATTCATACTGACCGCAGCGGATGGTATGGAGCCACTCGCCCACTCTTTTCTCGTCCCAAGCACGAATCGACTCGAGGCCGTCAAAGGCATCAGAGAATTCCGAGTTGGTCGGAGAGGTGAACAGGCCATCCTGGAGGGCCATGGAGGACGCCTGTGTGCGGTACGAGGCTTCGGAGATGTTACGGGTGGGCAGTTGAATGCTGCCGGCTGTTGAGGCGTACGGAGGTTTGGAGGCTAGCATGGTGGTTATGGCTCAAAGAGTCTGGTCGATGGGCATATTGAGAAAGTGTAGCATCGACGGTCTTCTCTTTCATCTGAATGACATGGTTATCGCTTGTGCTTAAGGGTCCGTGTCTGCAAAACGATCTGATATTTGCCTGAGGGCGTGATCGACAAGATTGATAGAGAGGGATGACGTTGTTAATTGAGGAGCTCTTGCGATGATGGGCTTTGATCGAGAGTGTTGTGGTCAGCGGTTGAGTGTGCTTGTATCAAAGAAACCAAGTGGTGGAGAGTAGGAGAGATGATCGAAGGGTCTGGGGGACAGTGACAGCCGGTGCCTGTCAGCCAGCAGGACGATATCTGAAACGCGAAGGACTGGCCGAACAACGAACAATGAGGAAGATGTGGGTATGGAGGTGCGGATGGAGCAGCGGCGTGATGGTGGACGTGAATGTGGATGTGGACGTTGGCTGCGTGTCAGGTCGGCGTGGGCGTGATCAGTGAGGTTCTTGACCTGCTCCTGAGGGCGTGTGAGGCAGGCACGGGGAACGCTTGGGAAGCCACAGGAAGGAAGGAGTGGAGCGGACCAAGGGCATCAAGAGAATCAGGGGAAGGTGCAATGGGTGCACCAAAAGCCCAATGGAAGCAGCAAATCAGGCTAGTGTGTCACGATGAAACATCCCTGGAGCCAAGGTTCTGGCCTTCTCTGTTCCTGCCTCTGTGTACAGCCCAAAGAGAAGTGAATGGGTTCGTTTAAAGTTGCCACAATTACACACACCATAGACGGCCTGGAATGCCTGGACAGTCGCTCCGTGCTCACAGGGTTTCAGGCACAAGACGCCTTATTTAGGCACCTGTGGACCGCAGATACTGTGTTATCGTTGGAGTTTAATTATTATTAGGTGCCCGCCCGAAAGGTAACTGGCCAGCCCTCAATTTTCAGAGTTGGCGCTTGTCTGCATCATTCGCAACATGGATGAAGAGCCTTGTAACGCTCATAATTGGACTGCTCTCTAGTTAACATTGACAAAACCTTGAATGATGGAATTTGATTCTTGACCGTTGAGAATGGGTCAAATCCTGTATGGGATTCAGTGAATCTGAATAGGTGAAGTTGACTACCAACTATAAGTATGCGTCCTTATAGTTAAGATCGATCGGGTCGGCTAGGCGCGAACGGACGATCTTAGCTGCACCTATGCCCCGGCTGGGGCCGAAGGGCCTTAATCTGGAGCTTGGACAGCCAGTACCAAGCCTGTGCTTCCAAACTCACTACTTACCGTACAATCCAGCTGTACATCAAAAATCACTACAGCATAATCCAACATCGACGTTTCAGATCATCATCCTACATAGAAATGAGCGCCTTGTTCCCTAAACTGTACTAATCACTCCTTGTTGGCCATCTCAGCCACAGACACACATGGTAAGCTCATGTCAGGCTGTTCCGTTGGGCCATGGGAAAGCGGTCACGGGGTTCGTCCCCGTCTCACAACAGGCAGGAGAGCGACGACAATCTCTCAACTGACGAGGGGGCATCTCCTCGACCTGCCAAACTCAGTGCATTTGTTGACGACGATGCACCTCCTACGGCAGCACCCTGCATCATCCAGTGCTCTTTGGCGCCTCATCGAGACCCTCTCGGCTTTGCGAGTGCCGCTGACTTTGAGCTTCATTATGCCAAAGAACATTCGAATCGATGTCTAGCGTGCGGCAAGAACTTTCCCACTGCACACTTCTTGGCCTTGCATACCGACGAGAATCACAACGCCTTCCGTCAAGCCTTGCAAGCCAAAGGTGAGAAGACCTATGCGTGTTTTGTTGAAGACTGTCTCAAATCCTGCTCCTCACCGCAAAAGCGCCGACTGCACCTCATAGACAAACACCTGTTTCCCAAAAACTACAACTTCCGCATCGTCGACTCGGGCATCGACAAGTCCATTTCGATGCTTCGAGATGGCCGCCGCAGACGAGTGTCAACCACATCCGATCAATTATATGCCAGGATTCAGCCAGGCCGTGACTTGAAAGCGGACGGAGATATACAGGTGCAGAAAAAGGGGACCGCTATCGACAACACCGCAGCCTCTGCCACTGGTCATCCTGAGGCTCGATCAGCTAATCCAACTGAGCGACCAGGTTCCAAATCTACCCACCATGTCTCGGATGCCTCGATGAATGACCTGGACCAATCCATGGCAGCTCTACGCTTTGTACCACCAAGTGTCGCGAGTCGACAGCGAAACAATCCCAGACCCAGTTGAAAGTCACAATGATGTATCTGACTCCGAGTCCACATCCACCCAGAAGGTTGTTGAGCCTCCCTTTTGTTCTTCAGAAGACTCAGCACCATCTACTACCTGCGTGCCTGCGTGCCTGCCTGCGTGCCTCCATTTCCTCTCACGTGCCTGCGCTCCTCTCCTTCCCCTCACGAGGCTTGCAACATGCCATTTCTCTTCTCCGCAGTCCCTCCCCTCCACAGGCCCAAATCACGAACAACACCAATACCAAGTCATCACTGTCAATCCTCCCACGCCTCCATATCCCTGGGCCATTTGCTGGAGAAGATACCCCGCGAACCACTCCAACTGTGACAAATTTTGTCCAAGATGCACCAAGTGGGAAAGGCTATCAGAAACTTGGAGAAGGCATTCCGATGTCCAAAGTGTGCACGTCCATCACCACCAGCTTCTGTGCTTCACTACGACGACAGCTTCCACACTCTTGAACGAAACCCCTCATGCCTTCCTCCACCTCAGTAGCGCGAGAAGTGGCCTGTCGGGTTCACCACTCGACTTGAACGAAAAAGGCACAGGGGTATCCATAGAGCCTCTTCTTGGGCTTGGTGCGGGGAAAACCTTTAATATCAACAACTACATATCCCCCCATACCTCACCAACAGCTTGAGGATTCTGATTTCTCGAGCAGCAAAAGGTCTTGGAACACCCGGTTTGCACCAAGCGTAGACTGGTTCCAGCTCTTTCAGAGGACAATATTCTACGCTTCCAGAGGCCAGGAACGAGTGAGGATCTGACAGCTTGCTTCTATACTTCGTATCCCCTCAACCATCTCTCATCATGGCGGCGACAGTCACAGTTCATGCTTTGGACGCGGGTCATATCACCATTGCCGAGCGCTTCTTCATTGTCCCGTCTGATCCAGACGCCAAACATACCGTGCCCTCATTGTCGTTCCTCGTTCAGCACAAGAACCCTTCCACTGGCCAAATTACCCGTATCGTCTGGGATCTGGGCATGCGCCGTGATCTCAACCTCTATCCGGCGGCACTTCAAACTCATATAGAATCTCGACGGCCCGTCGACACCATGCCTGACGTAGTGGCTTCGCTGTCTCGAGGCGGCCTCACCGTTGATGACATCGACTACGTCATGTTTAGCCACGTGCACTATGACCATGTCGGCATGCCACGCGATTTTACCAATCCCAAGACAAAGTTTATTGTCGGTAACGGCGCCCTCGATCTTCTTAGCGGAAAGACAAAGCACGATCTGGGCAAGCACATGGTTTTTGAGGCGGATCTATTACCGACTGACCAAGCTGTCGAACTGCCTCCCAACGACAACTCTTTAGCCGATAGTCCATACCAATGGACACCACTTGCCAGCTTTCCACACGCCATCGATTTCTTTCACGATGGCAGTGTCTACATCCTCGATGCCCCAGGTCATCTCCCCGGACACATGAATCTGCTGTGCCGCATCTCCAGCAACCCGACCAAGTACGTCTGTCTGGCGGGCGATTCCTGTCATGACGTCCGTCTGTTGAGTGGAGAGAAGGATATTGCTACGTGGACTGATGAGACTGGCCGACATTGCTGTATACATGTCGACATCCCTAAAACCAAACAAACACTGGCCAGACTTTATTCGGCGTCTAAAGACGGCATTCACCTCGATGGTGAGGCAGCCAATGCCCAAGTTGAAATCGTTCTCGCGCATGACTATGCGTGGGAAGCAGATGCTAAGAAGGCCGGCAAGTTCTTTCCTGGCGCCTTGAAGTAGATTATTTTGCATGATGACGCCAGATAGTATAAATCGATGTGTCTTTGACGTTGCTCTGTTCCTATCGATCCCCGTGTTCAAGAATGAAAGCTTGAGCCACTGTTGGTTCCGAAAGACGTAATCGTCTAATGATCAATGGTATTCCGGGGAGGGGCATGACTTTTTCTTATACAATGTAGTCAGACCCTGTTCCCCTGCATGTTATCCAAAAGTCCTTTATGATCTCATTCGTCTTTCGTGCACCCCTTAACATATCGATTTGCGCTAGAAATCGGTGCCGCTGCTCCAAAGTCGTCGCTCTCAGTGCTTTGTCACTCAGCACTCGTGACTCATCCTTGATAGCCTCTCGCAGAATCTGCTTGGTCAGTATCGCTTGCTTTCGCGTAAATCTTCTCAGACATTCGGCGAGATTCTCAAGCTCAGACCGAGCGCATTCACCGCCAAGGAGGCGCAAAATAAGCCCCAGAATCTCTGGGCTAAATCGTTCAAGCGCAAACTTCACCTGAGCGTCGACGCCCACCAGGGAAGAATGGTCGGTCGCACTGACATCTGCAAACGCCCCAAAGAACGCTGCTGCTGCACGTCGTGGCAGTGTATCCGGCTCCGAGAGCACCAACAGCCCCAGGACCATCGCCGGGATGAATGTACCTTCGGTTTGTGGGGATTGAAACCAACCCTGATTCCATCTGCCAAAGAGTCTCGTGAGAAATTCAAGCGAGCTCGATAGGAAGCTACTACTGGGGAGTTGACCTGAGCTTTCGTACTCAGTCAAGATACGCTGCTGGAGATCGGTAATACGGGCCCAAACTCGGCTGACCTGGGCGTGAGCTCCGTCGCGCTCTATAGAGGCAACGAAGCCGGACGCACAAGCCATGGTGCAGTCGATATTGGGATTTTCAAGGGTGATCAAGCCAATCACGAGGTTGGCGCCGACGCTGTCAGAAAATTTAAAGGGTGATGGATGTTGTTCAGTGAAACCGGACCGAATAAATTCGCAACAAGCCTCAATAAATCCGTTATCGGCTCTGTCGCCAACCTTTTGGACAATGAGTGAGTATAATTGGAGCACGTTTGATTGAACATATGCCCCTTTCCCTTCAAGCCAGATCGTACGGTCACGAGACACCGTGCTATCAAGATCGATTGGTGTTTCAGACGGTGCTCGTGAACCCTTGCCAATTGAAGCAAGCGTCTGCATGGCGTCCGTGCAACAAGTCAACACCGCCTCCGTATCTGATTGATCAAAAGCATCTATGCTGATCAAGCGACCAGTGGCAGACAAGAGTCTAGAGAGTGGCTCCGCCTTTGCAATCTCGTCTGGAAGAGCCTGGATGACGGCGCTCACTGAAGCAAAAATTCGATGCCGTTCCGTCTCATCAAGGTCGCCTATGGTATCCAAAGCAGCCATGAAGTGAGGAAGACCTGGGGCGAGTATGCTTCTCTGGGAATCACACAAGCTGTAGACCGCCCGCGAGGCTGGCATTGCGGATCCTGGAGAATGCAAGGAAGAGAAGAGAAAGTCGAGGATAAGGAACAGGCTGGTGGAGTGGCGCTGCAGATATCCAATGTTCTCTGTGACGAAGCGAATGCTGGTTCGCCTAGCTTTATCTGGAATCGCCGCACTCGGGTTGAGGACCTGAGTCCAGCCGGCACTGTTGAGTACGGCGGTGACGATGGGATCGTAAATCTCAGGATCCGAAGACATTGTATCTGAGAATGCGGTGAAGACAAACATGCCCGCTTCAAATATGGACCAATCCACCGTGCCCTTCTGCCTGAGGACAACCTGGGCAGTCTCTTCTATAAGGTCTTTGCCGAGTAAAGAAAAGGCAGACTGAAAGAAGTCGAACACGTCGTAGCGAAAGTCTTGAAACTTGGCTCGTTCGTCTGGCTCCCAGTCCATGGTTGAGTCGGACATTTGATTTAGAGGCATCCTGACTTTCAGCAAGCATGCTTGACAGGCATCAGCAGCAATATCATGTAGGAGCTGTTCGGCCTCGGAGTCTGGGTCCCAGTCTATAAAGCCTTCGACCATCTGGCTGACTTTTTCGACAGCCACCTGACACGCCAAGTCCTCGACAGCTGCAACTCCATCGCACCGCAAGAGCTGTCGGAGCTGTTGGAAGGCCATATTGTACGTGTCAATTCGTAGGTAGTCCGAATTAGTGGTATCGACCTGGCCGATGAGTATTTCTAGGAATTCGACATACAAAAGGTCGTCAGCATCCCAGTTACCACTAACGAGGCGAGTCATCAGGGTATGTGCGGTCCGAGAATGACATATGGGTGCGGGAAAGTCATTTATGGCGTCACTGCTAAGTCTGGGGTAAGTCTGCTGCAATGAGATGAGCAGCTGAAGAACAGAATGGCTCAGATTGTCATGGTCGAGCAAATCTGCTAGGGTTCGGATGCATTTTCGTACACTGTGTTCTATCATCTTCGACTGATTATTATCCGCATGAAATTCTGCGTGTCGTGTGCGACTGGCCCAGAAAGGTATGGCCTTCATCAGGTGCCGGACGAGTTCTGAGGCCTGGCCTGGAGATGGATTTGCTGGGAGGTGATTGCCAATTGACAGGCTTGGCAGCAAGTGATCGAGAAGGGCTTGCATTAGGAGCCAGGCATCATAACAATTGACAGCGACTCGAGCTTGTAGATTTCCTTCGTCTGAGGCTGTGGAAGACAGACTGGCAAGATCTTCGGCGAAAGTCTTGATCAGTAGGATGAGTGCCGCCATTTGTTTCGCTGAGCATTGTTTGATTTCCTCGATCATTTTCAGGATTTCAGGTAAGTTATTTGGGGCAACGTAGTGTCCACTCAGAAAGCAGGCAAGAACGTGTCGGATGGGAAAAGGCCAGTTTGAGTCGGGTTTAGCAAAGAGAGTAGTCAATGCCGAGCATAGTTTTTGAAGGACTAACGGCACATCTGGGATCACGGAGAGCTGAAGATAACGAGAGACCAAGGATTCAAGGAGATAGCTCCTCATTTGATCATTCTTTCCGATCTGGTCGTCATCCCTACAGGATACGTTAGTGGTGTTGCAGCGTCATGTTGTTGCTCTGAACGCACCAACAAGCGTTGATCTTGACTATCAAAGTATGAGCGCCATAGAAGCGTACGGTTGAGTCATCTCGGCCGAGGAGATCAAGGCCAAGCTGCCAGCTAGTCTGCTGTCGCTGCAAATGCTGGATCTCCCTCTGGATCTCTGCAATACGATCCGGGGAAGATTGATTTGCAGGGCTATACAACTCTGCGATGAGTTGCTCCATGGTGATCGAAGTGTCGGTGTCGGCAGGACAACATGACTTGTCAGATGAAGAAGCGTAATGGGCTGGCTCAGCAAGACTGTGAAGCCGCTGATGGAACGAGCGACCGAAACAGAAGCCCGCACCCGCTTTATTCACTCTGTGTTGGACGAGATCGATATAGGTGATGGTGCGAATGGGCAGAATTCTGGTGTCGCAGGCTGAACGACCCTTGAATAAGAATCAAAGGCCACGGCTTGATTCGAGAACAACAAGACAAGATGCTCGGAGTGGGCAAGTCCTGGGATTTTGACGAGGCAGATGGTCAGATACGTGAAGGTCTCATTGTGGAACTGATGATGCGGAAGTCTGGCTTTTTGGAACGTTCAATTGCCCTCTCCTTCAAAATCTGCGTGAGATTGATTGTTAACGTGATGGACATCGGGCAGGTGCATATGGGCCCCTCGAATATGGACCATGCAGTGCCTACCTTACGTGCCTGATTCTCATGTGCAGCCTTGTGCTTGGCATGTTTTAATCATTTGGTTCTGCGGACTTTATCAGAAGGAACTCAGTAAGGCGCTTTGTCTGGATTACTGAGGGAAAGAGCCTGAGAGTCTACGACTAATAAAGGCATCTTTGCTCCTGCCAATAAACTACCTTGACTCTTGAGACCAGACCATGTTCCTTTTTTGATATCATTTTGGCGGATGCAGGAAGCAATTAGAACCTCAAACTATTAAAGACCGAGAGAATTGCATTTTATGTGCTGCATGTATATATGGCCTGCTCTGTGACCTTTTCCCTCGAGGCGAGGTGCCTGCCCCCGCCCCGCTTGGCAGATACCCCAATTCTTCCTTGATGGTATTCCTCCAGTGAGTGAGTGACAATGACAACCACGATTGGTGACTTTGACTCCTACATCATCTCATCCACCAATCACACTATCATTTGGTTTATTCCAACAATCGACTCTTGTTCATCTATAGATACCGCCCATTCTTTGAATTATTTGGCAGCCTCGGTTCCACGTCGATGCGCCGCTCACTGGTTCGACTGCGATCCTTGTTCCGACGGCCGTCGACCCCAGTCTCGATCGCTGTTGGCTACCCTTCGCACCTCCCCTCGGTTCGATCCTTCTCATCCTCCTGCTCCCTTCAAAGCCTCGAAATGGAGACCGTCGACACCTCAAAGCGCCTGTCGCAGTTGCGGGACCTGATGCGAAAGCACGAGCTAGATGTGTACATTGTTCCTTCAGAGGACAGCCATCAATCAGAGTACATCGCCCCCTGCGATGCAAGAAGAGAATACATTTGTGGCTTCAGTGGCTCGGCTGGAACGGCAGTCATCACTCTCGACAAGGCTGCTTTGGCTACCGATGGGCGGTATTTCAACCAAGCGGCGAAGCAGCTCGACCACAACTGGTCCTTATTGAAACAAGGTCTTGAAGATGTGCCCACATGGCAGGAATGGTAAGGCTCGTCACATGTTGCCCAGAGTCTAATGACTGAGCTGAACCTAGGACTACAGAGCAGGCCGAGGGAGGCAAGGTGGTTGGTGTCGACCCCACTGTCATCACTGCTTCTGATGCTCGGAAACTGAGTGAAACTCTAAAGAAGAAATCACACGCAACTTTGGTGGGAGTTTCACAGAACCTGGTCGATGCCATATGGTCCGAAAGACCAGCGCGGCCAGCCGAGCAGGTCATGGTTCTCTCCGACAGGTATGCCGGAAAATCCTACCTGGACAAGCTGGACGAGTTGCGGAAAGAGTTGCAAAAGAAAAAGGCCGTTGGTATGGTGGTCTCGATGCTGGATGAAGTGGCATGGCTCTTCAACCTTCGTGGAAACGACATCCCCTATAACCCTGTCTTCTTCTCCTACGCCGCCGTCACCCCAACCTCCGCCACCCTCTATGTTGATTCATCCAAGATCTCAACAGATGTCGAAGAACACCTGAGCAGCGTGGTTCAGATCAAGCCCTATGACGCCTTATTCTCCGATCTCACGGGCATTGCTGAAGCAGCAGCTACTGAGGCAGATCTAGAGCTCTCCAAATCCCATCCTCCCAAGCTCCTCCTATCTAATAAATCGTCGTGGGCTCTGAGTCTCGGTTTGGGTGGCGAAGACAAAGTCGAGGAATCTCGAAGTCCCATCGCCGATGCCAAAGCCATCAAGAACCAAACCGAATTGGAGGGCATGCGACAGTGTCATATTCGAGACGGTGCGGCTCTGATCGAATTCTTCGCCTGGCTGGAAGAAGAACTCGTCGTCAAAGGTTCATGGATTGACGAGGTTCAAGCGGCTGACAAGCTGGAGGAAATTCGGTCTCGAGGCCAACACTTCAAAGGCCTCTCATTCCCAACTATTTCTTCCACTGGTGCCAATGCTGCTGTCATTCATTACTCCCCTGAGCGTGGCAACTGTTCTCTAGTCGATCCCAAGGCGGTCTATCTTTGCGACTCAGGTGCCCAATACCTCGACGGCACGACTGACACCACCCGGACACTTCATTTCACCAATCCTACGGAGATGGAGATCAAAGCATACACCTTGGTGTTGAAGGGTGTCATCGGTCTCGATCGAGTTGTATTTCCCAAAGGTACTACCGGCTTTGCCATTGACGCCTTTGCTCGACAGCATCTGTGGAGGGAGGGCTTGGATTATCGACATGGAACTGGGCATGGAGTTGGCTCTTTCCTGAATGTGCACGAAGGACCAATCGGCATCGGAACGCGCGCAGCATACTCGGAGGTCTCCCTGAGCATTGGCAATGTCATTTCGGATGAACCAGGGTACTATGAAGATGGCAACTTCGGCATTCGAATTGAAAACATGATCATGGCCCGGGAAGCAAAGACCAACCACAAGTTTGGCGACAAGCCGTGGATTGGCTTCGAACACGTCACCCTGGTGCCCATGTGTCGAAAGCTGATTGATCCATCGTTGTTGGATAAGGATGAGATTCAATGGCTGAACGACTATCACCAGGAGATTTGGGAGAAGACGAATAGCTTTTTCACAAAGGATGACAGAACAACCAAGTGGTTGAAGCGAGAAACGGCCCCTATCTGATGAGAGTTGGTCATCGTCTCCCTGACGTATAACAGCGCACAAGATACCAACATCAACTGCCTAGATTTAGAAGACCTGAAGAATAGTTGCGCATCCTCGTGCAAATTTATTTACAGGACTGTCTTCGTCCGTGACACCATTGGATACAAGATTCGAGTAGAGATGGCTGGATGGTCATAGGTGGACACGTGGTAACCCCAACTGGGACAGTGACGATCCCACCTTTCAAAGCAGGTTTGTCAACGCCACCCAACCCAGGCTGCCACAAGAGATACATATAGGTCTCTACATACTCATTTGAAGCTCGAATCTTCATCATTATAGAGCATACATACTACTGCAACTCCGTACTAGTTCAATCTGATAGCATCAGCCACAACAACCATGAATGTACCCAAGTTCAACGAGCGTGAGAAAGCACTGGAGAATGAATACATCAGAAAAAGAGAAGCGGAGAAATTCAAGCCGGCACCACAGCCTGGAGCGAACCAAGGGGCACCGAAACAGACAGGAAACTCTGGCCAGACTGTGAGTCGTCATGTTTGATCCAGGACCCAAGGGCCATTCCGTTACTGACCTTGATAATTAGACTGGAAATCAAAAGTGACCATCACGAGGAAGGCTTGCATGATAATGTGCGAACTGCTCAAACCTGCACGTATCGCGAAATCTTCTAAAGCAATCCAAAGCAGAAAATTAATCTCATATCATTTATAATCTTCTAAAGCAATTCAAGGCAGAAAGTCAACCTCATATCATTTTTGTAGTGACTTGTGTCATGACTTGTATCGAACACACTTGGTCACTGAAATTCAGATCTCATTTTCCCCGGCTCCGATGTGTTTTGCTGTCTCCACCGCCCATATACCAGGCATCAGTTAAATATCCACTTTATTCTCCCCCCAAATAATGCTCTATTCATATGTTTTACTGTCCAAATTCCAATCAAAAGTCCCGTTGGTGTAGTGGTAACATTATTGCCTTCCATTTCAGTTCGAGTAATTGTAAGCTTAGCAATAGCCTCGGGTTCAATTCCCGAGCGGGACATGTTGTTTTTGTGTTCTTTTCTTTTTGAATATGATAATGAGGTTTTAATTTGGTGATTAGAAATTTCTTTTTGGTGAGAGGAGGCATAACATAGGATTTGGATACGAGCAAGCCACGAGGAGAAAAGGCAGGATCAAACTGGGGGAATATAGCTAACATAGAGTAGGAGGTAGGTAGAGGCGAGGGGGGGACATGGCCTAATGGACTTCTGAGATGAGTGCACTCTCTGTGCTTTTAGCCTAACCATCCCCTAATACTATACCTTGTCAACTTGTCTAATTAAAGTCACGGTGTTGGGTGTTTGACATCTCCAACTCCAGATTCAACCCCCCAACTCACAATCATCCTCTCCCGTGTCACCCTCATGCGCACGTCAAGCATGCAACATCCCTACAACCGCTGGACGGCGTACGTATTCTTTTCCGTGCACATCTAGCATGCTTCTCGCGTCGGTAGCACCTTCTTCATGACTTCGCGATGAGTTCAAACAACCCTTACGCTGTCAACGGCTACGGCGGCTCGCGATCCAACAACGCGAATCCATACGCAACCTCGACATCAAATAACCCAAATCCCTACGGTACCTCGACATCCAACGCAAACCCCTACGCAACCTCAACGTCCAACAACGCGAACCCTTACGCTTCCTCCAACGCCTCGAGCACCACAAATCCCTACGTCGCTACCAACACCTCAAACACGGTCCCCAGCGGCCGCTACGACGATTCATACCTTTCTTCTCAAGCAAACGCTTCCTCCGCCTCCATCAACAGTGTTGGCTCACAAGACCGGAGAGCCAAGGCAAATCCCTACGAACAGCGCGACCGGGAATCACCAGGACCGGGCTCGCTGCCTTCAGGGCGAAATGGGTCTGGTGGTGGTAGTGCAAGCGGAGGATATGGGGGACTCGCTCGACCTCGCTTTGCCGACAATGCCGCTCCTCAACGAAATGACTACGACTATGGCGCAAACAGAGGCTCACAAGAAACTGACCGCCGACAACAACGACCTCCAACTCGGGAAAGAGACAGGTCATACAATGAGCCCCAGAGCAGAGATCCTCGAGATCCTCGATCAGCCATGCCTCCGCCCCCATCCGCACCTTCGAAATCATCCATCTCAAGTCTAAACCAGCAGTCTTCGATCAACGGTACCGGCGCCCAAAAATACCCTCCACCAGCCCCGGAAAACATCAACCGTCTCTATTCCCCTCGTCGTCCTCCCAAAAGCATGGACCAGATCTTGCGCCATATACAGACCGATTGGAAGGACATGGAAGGGGACGACTGCGTCCCGGTAAAGATTGCTCTCAAACTCATGGATCCCAGCTCACTAGGCTTGGCCGACCGAGAAGGCGACTTTGCAGACACCCATGTCGACCTGCAGAGGAGCTTGAAGACAGTCGTCAATGAGCACTATACAGACTTCAACAGTGCCGTGGGAACATACCACAAAATTCAGAACGCCATCAGGGAGAGCCAAAGTCGAGTCAGGCAATTAAAGACCGGCATGATGAACGTCAAAGGCGGCATGTTGACAACACGCCCAGAGCTGAGAACTCTCGCTGAACAGAGCGGAGAGCTTGACGATATGCTGGTCATGTTATCCAATATCGAGGCTCTGAAGATGATCCCCTCGAAGCTCGAAGAAAAGATCAGTGAGAAGAAGTTCCTTGGAGCGGTGGATCTCTTGATGGAAAGCCTGAAAGGTGTGACCAAGAGTGAGCTCGACGGCATCGGTGCGATCACCGACCTGAGGAGTTACTTCACCAATCAAGAAAGCACTTTGTTGGACATTCTCGTCGAGGAATTGCACGACCATCTGTACCTGCGAAGCCCATATTGCAAAGACAGGTGGAAAGGGAAAAAGGCCAATGGCGACGACAGAGATCCGAGAGACAACCTCTTGGGTGTAGGTGTCAATGCCTGGGATCGCCCATTCAATCACTATCTGACCAGTGCCGACACCACCGCCCCAATGCTTGAAGACGCTTCCAAAAACCCCGAAGCCGATACCTTCTACTACATTCACATGATCTTGGAATCTATTCACAAGCTTGGCCAACTCGGCGAGGCTGTATCAAGGATCGAACAGCGGATGCCCATGGAACTTTACAAAGTGGTGGAAAAAACCAATCACGACATCGACGCCAAATATCCATCTCACCTACGAGGCCAGCTCAACAAAGGAAACAAAAAGGTCATTTCCCTACAGGTCGATGAAAGCAGAAACCAAGTTCTCTCCGATTTCTTATGGACAATCTACTCCAAGTTCGAAGCAATGGCAGAGAGCCACCGAGTCCTGCACGAAGTCATTGCCGGAATTGTGCTTAGAGAGAAAATGTCCAAGCCTGAAAAGTACACTGCAGGTTTCAAGGAGCTGTGGAAACTCTATCAGATGGAAATGCGATCCTTGCTACATGATTATCTTGCCACCAATGGTGACATGACCCTCCGCACTACCATGACCACGACAAGCAGCACCGACATCTTCTCCCGCTCACAGAGAGACAAGGGCAAGAAGATGTTTAGAATTTCCGAAATGGATCAAAAGTCGGACGCCATGAAACTTCAAGAGGATGAACTGAACGACATCCTCAAGAGCTCTGTCCCAGGGCTGGTCAGCAAATCTCGTGCCAGAAACGGCACCGATCTCCTATCTGATCGCCACGGGCAAGACAGTTCTGCGGCTGGACATAAACTCCTGGTCGAACCTGGAGTCTTCAACATTACTGTCCTCCTCACCCCATCTCTCACCTTCCTACAGCGACTCAAAGATGTTGTCCCTCCAACTTCCAACATTCCCATGAGTACACTGACTTCTTTTCTTGATGATTTCCTCATCAATGTTTTCCACCCACAGCTGGAGGAAGCTGTTACAGAATTGTGCGCGCAGTGTATGATCGATCTCGACGCATTTTCACAAGATATTCAATGGTCAAAACACTCTCCACATCCCATTTTCAAGGGTACTGTCGCTTTCCTAGGACTTGTCCGAAGCTTTTCCGCCTTGTTGAGTACCGTACCTCAGGATCAGATCTTTACCCAGTTGATTATCAGTCAAATTGTCACATATTACGACAAGTGCTATGGTTACTACAAGTCCCTGGTCAGCCGCGTTTCCTCAGCAAACGGAAACTCGAATGTGACCACCCTCTCTTTGAAAGCGGCCGCATCCTGGGCTGAGTCTGGTGAGGTTCGCGAGGCCGCAGTAGAGATTCTCGATCAGTCGTTTGGCCAAGGTCCACTGCTTCCTGACACCGTTGCTCGAGAGGTTCAAGCGCTACTGTCGGCTTCAAAACAGACCCCCTTGTCATCGTATGATATCATCTCCGACTCCAAGACCGTCCACCAACTATCCCTTCTATACAACAGCATGCAATGGCTTGCTTCTGCTCTGAGTCAACTCCGCCACGTTGAAGCGACCTCTTCTTCCGGTCATACTCGCACATCATCCCAGACCAGAAATCCACGAAGATGGACACTGGTTACAAGCTTGCGTTCTCCAAACAAGGGCTCATCCCTTCCTGGCGCTCTCGCTCGCGTATTCCTTCCACTCACCTCCGAGACAGCTATTCCCTTTGACAACACGATTGCCTCGATTCGCACCCTTGCTCAAACAACCTTGTTGACTCTGCATATCGATGTCCGATGTGGCGTCATGAATCAACTGACACGAACGCTCCGAGGCCCAGACGTCACAAGCCCAACTTCACCATCTGCCGACAACCGCGACTCGTCTCTACTACCTGCGATTGATTCGGGTCTTTACCCATACGTTCTGGCGTCTCCTCCCAGCTCCGCCTCACCTCTAGTCCTTGAACTCAACAATAACCTCATCACTTTTGACTCCGACATTGCTGCACACCTGGGTATCAAGGAGCAACACTTCATTCTCTTTGGTCTTGCCAAGTTGATTGATCGATTCCTCGTTATTGGGGCAGATATGATTGGAGTCATGAACACAAACGGTGCAGAGCGAATCAGGATAGATGCCACTGTCATCCAACAGAACCTGCGGGCCATACTTGCCAGTACCAAGTTAAAGCAGGAGAGTATCTCCGACAAGATTACTGACAATGCGGCCACCGATGAATCTGCTGGCCTTGGTATTGTGACGAATTCTGGACAGTCGAAAGAAAACGACCGCACACAGGATCCTGACTCTAGTGTGTTGACATCCTCCTCGCAGTATTTTGATCTTTTCCTGGGTGGGGCCGACTCAATATTACAGTATGTTCAGGATACAAAGGCTCAAGGCAAGCCAGTGAACTACACATACGACGAGCTACGAACGTTGGTAGAGCTCTGTTTCAGCGCTAGGCTTCGAGGCGAAGACCGTGAGGAAGGGCTCAAGGCTCGCAAAAGACAACAGGAAGTGTTGCTCGAGTTGGGTGAGAAGATGTGGGATTCATGATATCTATTCCAAGTCATAGGGTTTCGGGCAAATGATGTCTGATATAAGAACTGTTTTCTATTGTATTCAAGAAGCATTCGAGAATGGATGGATGATCAACCGACAGATTGCAGTATAAAAGCAAGACATGTCGAGAGCGACAGAAACCAAAGATACATCATGCACAAACCATTATCATATCTGTGAATTCACTCGTATTGCCTCCTTCTCACATCCACCTCGCATGCTTGAGGTCCCCGTCACTATTCAGGAGCTCATGCATCATGATCATATCCGAGGGGCTCTCGCCAATGAACGATAGCAATAACGCCCATAAAGGACCTATGGCTGACCAAAAGAGGAATCATCAGTCTGATATGCTCAGGGATCCTCCTCCCTCGTGTACACGGGTGGATGGGCGAGTACCTAGGTACACAAGATGATATTTTCAACAGCTGGATTTTTCTTCTTTTCCTCTTCATCCCCTCTCTCTTTTTTTTTTGAAGGCCACGGTTTTTCATCCAGTGGTGTTTCTGCAGGAGGAGTCGAGGGTAAGATCTTCGGGTATGTTGAAATGTTTGTTTGTTCCTTGACTAGTTCCCTCTTCGCCTTCTCTTCAGTTAAGCCTTGCGCAAGATAGAACCGAAACATTCTAGGAAGTTCCGACTTGTTCCTGCGACGCGATCGGGACTTTATTGAAACTTTGAAAAACAGTGATTGTCACGAGATGCCACTGCAGCTTGTTGTCCGAGTTGATTCAATATTGCAAGGCTTACCTAGATTCAGGTTCTTCACTCCAATCTTGATGATTGTGGCTCGGTGTTCAAGATTTACCTCGTACGAGATCAAAAGGGGGATCGCGCGATGGTTCTCTTTGCGCAATCACTTGGGCTGCTTGTCGTTTCCTGGAAACTCCTCAGATGGACCTGTTGGTCATACTCCTGCATCTGACAGGTTATTTCGCGGGCTTCATGGGGAGGAGGGCCGTGATGATCCGTGTCATTGCATTAATTTGCGAATAGAGGCCTGGGCGTTCAGGTCATGTGAGCGATTTGTAGCATAGCTTGATCAGGGTGTTGTTGAAATCCCACCTGATCGAGGCACGTGGGCTATTGGTGACTGATATAGGAGCATTTGAAAGAGGAGAGGGCTCGTCTTTCGAATCGCAAGGTGATGGACAACCTGGTGTCGAGAAAAACAAGAGCGAACAGCAGGTAGGAGAGGGTATCATGTCCGGGGGGGTGGGGAGCAGGACTGGGTACTTCCGCGGCCTCATCATCGGACAACATCTATCGCAGCTGAATGGATTCCATCCAAGATGCGAAGGCCAACTGTTATCGATCCACATTTAGAGGACTTCAAACGCCATGTTTGTCACTAGCCAATGACTGGGCACAGTTGACCATGGCAAATTGGCTCTGGTTTGATGAATTTGAAGAATCCACATGTACGCGGAAGTTTCGTCCGGTATCAGTATTTCGCCTTACCAAGTCGAATCTAGTGTCCCTTTTGTAAAACCCATATGTAATATTCCCCATGTTGAAGGTGAGATCGAATGAGAACCCAAGGTTCATGGTGATTAGATGAAAAATGAGCTCAGAGCATGGACAAGATCAATCCAAATTTGTAGACTGAGTACATCGAGCTCAGCTTCAAGTGCTTCAGATAGAGCGACTCAAAGACTTTGGAGTCAACAGGGATGGGGTGAGGGGAAGAGTTCTCCATGACCCACAGATCATGGACCGGATCAAATTTCCAAGGAGTATTAGGGCTTTGTTGTCGATTGATGAATCTGTCATGACAGTACGGTGGTGGCGACCACCTCGACTGGACAGAAAGGTATGAAAGTCATGGCCAACTCTTGACAGCCAAAAACATGCAAGTTTTTACATCGGAATTGTACCTCCTGTCCAATGCTTTTTCTCGGTCCAATACAAAGTTGCTGGAGTCTCCGTAGACCGCCAATTCTAGGCGAGCTGATGCTGCCGGCCATTAGCAAGAACGGTGGCATTCTAAGCCTTGCAATATGGGAAGCCCAACTTGAGCCGGCGAATCGACCTGAATGCTGGACAAGGATACAGTCCTTCTACAGGGTTTTGAATGGAGAGACTTTGGCTGTAATCTAGAAGAAGAAATCCCTGTACAGTCCAAGTTTGTTCGAGGGTCGTCCGTTTTGTCTCCCGCTAGACTGCTCTGTTAGCCTCTTTGAGAGAGTTAAGTAAAGCAAAACCGGACTCATAGCAACCTACATTACGACCGTCCTGTGACGCAAACGCGATACATTGGACGATCCACCTACTGTTCGTCCAATCTGGTAAAGTTCTCGTAGAGTTGGAATCCTGGTGCACATCTCTGTACTAATCAAGCGATTTGGACGACTGAGATAGCCAGCGAACGCCAAGAAGCATCTTTACGCATCGATCGAGTTGCCGAAGTTGTTCGGTTTGTTTCTTCTCTTGTACACAACGACGCGAGTCTCCACGCCCACATCGTGGCTTGAGCATTTTAACTGGTCTTGTTGGGTTTACCTTGGTGCCCTAGATTTTTGACTGCACACACCCCGTGCATCTGTTGTTTTGACACAGCGGGCGCCTAACCAAAACCCGTGTTGCTGGTTACTTACGATCTCGGTGCGTTGGATTTTGGCATGGACAGACTTCTGTCCTTCCGTTGGTAATGAAACTACTTCCCCTCAAACCCATTCTCTCCTTTTCAGTCGTATAGTGATGCAGAGCTGGTCAGTCTGTCAACAATACGTAAAAGACGGGAACAGCCGTGTCGAGGTCGGCCTTTCCAGGACATTCCTACTTTTCGGCCGTTGGAATATCCAGTCGAAGATGCCAACCACATCTGGAAAGAAGCCTAGCAAGTCGCTGCAACCCAACGATCATACTGATCAGGGAAAATCCCGAATACGTACAGGTCGTGCGTGCGATCGGTGCAAAGTGAAGAAATCCAAAGTGAGTCGGAGATTCCAGTGTTGCAATGGCTGCCAGGTCACCCATTGCAAATTGAGAGGAGAGATCTGACTTAGACATAGTGCGATGGTAACAATCCGTGTTCGGCCTGTGCAGTGAGTGAGAGCATCTGCGAATATAGCGTCCGCCGCAGAAGAGAAGCTCGAGACTGGTGGGTACCTTCTCATGGCCTCATGGCGTTCAGACAACGCCGTACTCGGAAGGAGAGGCTAACCAGATATGGCACCAGGTATTGGAGTACGCGTGAAGTCATGGATCAGGCTGTCCAAACGCTGTACTGGGCATGTCGACAAAATCGTGGGTTTCCTGGAACGATACCAGATGAAAGTAGCGGGTCGGTCTCGACAGATGCGATACTGCGTGGGCTGGGATTGACACCTCCCTCGGCGAAAATGGCCGAAGAACTTGGTGTCAACGCTGATTCTCAGACGGATGGTGTTAGGTTATCATTAGGGAGAACTTACCGCGGACCAAGTAGCGTATCCGAAGACATGAATTCTGGTGCAGGTGTTCCAACAGAAGAGGCGTCGGAATTGCTTCCGCGACATCATAGGCCGGTACACAATCAAGTGATCGAAGAAAGACAGTTGCACCTCGGTCACGGTATAGCACAAGGGGTAGGTGGATCTGAGGAAATACCGATGCTGATGGGATATGGCCAATCTTATCACATGGTGATGGATGGCGGTACAACAGACCCTCTGCTTATGGACGAACACAATGTGGAGGCGAGGTATGACTCGCTTGCCCATCCCATTATAGATAGGCGAGGGTCAGGAGATCCTGGACAACACTTTCACGGAACGCCTGGGCCCACAAGCACTCACGATGGAGTGATGGTGGATGGGCACAGCGATACTGATTGGAATCGACAATCAATCCAACGAATATTGAGGCCCCTACCTTGGCCGGGGACATTGGCCGCCGTCCAGACTGAGACAGTACTCGGCATTGGAGGGCCCAGCTCCGAACAGAAGCCACCAAAGAAATGATATGCTTGGGCCACGCATATCTTCAAATCTGGGGCCCAGAAGATGCTCGAGGGAAGCTGGAGTCGCGGGCCAAGTTCGTCGTTGCAAACACAGAACCTATAATCGCAAGCTTGAGATGACCAGCTCTGGCACCACTGATTCACCAAGAGGTTGTTGGTTGGGATGGTGTAATGTCGTGGGTGGCGAATACATCGAGGCCGCCCTGTTTGAACGTTCAAAGCACCGTAATTTTCAGCGCTTGACGCACGCAATCAAATGTAGGCACACCACAGCACCGAGAGAAATATGAAGCCTTTTCTGTCCACGAGAGGAAAATTAGAGAAGATGGAAAAGATGAGTGGATGAAGTGATGTTTGTGGTTGGTTGCTGAACCTCGGCGGAAATATTTTCCGTTAAGTTGAGAGACGAATTATCACGTGGGACGAGATAGCATCGCTGGTAATTCTACAATCTAACTGATGTATGCATGGCGATCCTTCCTGGACTTCCTGGGATTGTCCGACTGTGTGACTGTCTATCGCATCTTTTGATATCTATCGTAGCACGTGTTAAGGCCTACGATGGCGTGCCCGGGCTAGACAAATCAGCCCTTTTAGCCATTGGTGATCCATGAATTGCTCTCTAGGTGGTTCAATCTTGGAGCATGTAATAATTGAAGGCTATCTAGCCTGTTGATCTTGTCATTATTTGGGAATACTGCAAGCGTTGCCTCATTTTCGAAGCACAGGGTAGGCGTCATAAAAAGTAGCTTCCCTTCTACGATATGAAACATCTTCGATTTTGATCTTCTACAATCAATCCATGCCTCCAGCATATTCCTTAGCCTATAGCCAGCCGCTATCGTCTACTTTACTTTTGTGTTCTCTTGTTCAGGCAAAGCGTAGATTCCCTTCCCTTGTCTGTCAAACTGCTGTTTTTTTGGTTGTTGCGGTTATTTCATCGATGCATGTTCTGGTCTGGTCTCTCCTCTAGGCTAGCATCAATTGCCATATCCGTTTCCACCGTCAGACATTAATCGAGCTTTGGGCGCGCACATTGCCGAGGAAAATATTCCTCGTCTCGGGTTCCTCTTTGACAGGCAACGAATCGACCATTGCCAATTGATGCTACTTAGTGTAATTAGACAAAGATGTGAGACGCCACTTCCCTACCTAAACCTCGGTATGGGACATGGCCTCTCTAAATATCCCTTCGTCAAATAAAGTAGTGATGTTGACAGAAAGAATAACAGGAGAATCATGACAGTCTGAATACAAACAAGCTTGTAAAGAGTGCTGCAAGTGTGGGTGATTCAAATTTTGGAAGAATCGACGACGACATCCTGAGTGGGGCTTGAATCGCCGAATGGCTACATCCTCAGCATGACGGGCCGCCAAAGGCTTCACAGAGAAGTCTTGTGCACAAACCAAACAAGAGGTAGCATGTCTTTGCATGGCACCATGACTCGTGTTCGCTTCCGAAAATGACTTCAGGCCTAGTGAGGTCCCAGCTCCACTGCCCAAAGCAACAACAACAAAGGCTAGAAGCCCAAATCAATGACCAATTCAACTCCTCAAAAAATCCATCGTTCGAGGTACCAGCTCTGGTCTCTGGGGCCAAGTGGATCTGCTCGAGCGTGCGTACGCATATGCATGGCGTTTCGACCCCTGGCCATGGACCTGGAAGAGCGCCAAAGGTTGTCCGTATCAACCTAAACCTACGGAGGTAGGGTCTGGGAAGGCCGAGGGCGTCTCTCGGCCCCAAATGGGGCCTGATGATCGACACGCCTCCTTGATAAGCAGGCTTGCCAGTCGCGATCGGGCCCGACTACTTAGTGTTAATTCATTCTGCACGAATTGGGGCCTTTTGTCGAGATGCCCACCAACTTTCTCGCTTAAGAGAATCCAACTCGCAACTTTTGGCATCCTTTCGCGCTGTCGCATAACGAGTGATGGACCGTGCAATTGCTTTGACAATGTCCCCATTACCAGCTTCGCTATTGCTCTTCATATCGTCAAATAGCGCCGCACTGGCGCCTTGCAGGGAAGGCACATAGGTTACGCATACAGTACAGAGAGTGTGAAATCATCGCAGTGGGCCTTGGAAAGTGTTCGCAAAGTTGGTCAAGCTAGTATTACATATAAATATACGGAGTACTCCTGTTGAGGCCCATGATTGATCTGATCTGCGGACCTGTAGGATACTACTTAGCGTGAAGAATGCCACCGTTCCTCATTGTCTTCAAGGGGCCACGGGGGCTGACTAGATGAATAATAGCGCCCATCTCAAAATCATGACCATACAAGTTTCCTTCATTATTATACTCCCTACCACTTAGAGCTCGTTCATGCGTCTCACTCGGACAGTCATGACTTTTAAAAGGCCGGGACCCGCTAAATCCTGTCCTGCATGGTTAAACCCCACGTGGAGGGCCACATGTATGGTTGTGCCATTTTTGAGAAGTCGGGAGTTACGTGGCCTGTACAAAGCAACCAGGGTTCAATCCGTTCGGATTTGGCTCGACTCTCAACAGTTCGACACGAATCATAGGCTTGCAGACTTCCCATAGGCTATCAGTAGTCAGAATTTGGCAAGATTGTCCAGATAGCCAAGGCCACCAAGTGGACACATGAACAAGATGGTCTATGCTGAAAAATGCCCCCAGACCAGAAGAGGGGTGATATGCAGTGTCTCCTGACATTGATGCCTGAAATACGGTCTAGAAACATTGTCTGGATACCTAGGTACTTTACCTGTGAACTCAGCTCTGTCGCCTGGACACTCAAGGCCACTGTCCAGTCGCGCCAGTCCAACGACTGAACCAGAGTATTTCATGTGTCCAAACTCAAACAGAGCAATCCTTCCTGAATAAGGTATTATTATGAGCCTGGGTTAAAGTCCCATGGTTGAGCACCGCCACATGACTCTTTACGATGTCATCAACATCGGTTTGGGAGAGGATCTTCCATCGGTGGAGCTGGCACTGATGATGATCCTGGACAACATAATCTGTATCTTGACAACACGGCCGACATGATCAATGCACCATCTCGCGCTCCCCGAGGCAATCACCCTCGCATGAGCACACGCACTCGCATTGGCAGGGATCATTTATTTCAGTACGGAGCAATGGTATTGTGAGGGTGGGGACATGGTTAAGTTACAAGCTCCCCGATCATCAGATTGCCACTACTGCCCTCTTCTCCAATTGCTGACATTTAGTGGTATTGATGGGCGCCGTTCAGGCCAACTGCCTTCGCTCAACCACCGTTGAACATCTTTACTATAATGTGTCCAGTGTTACGAGGTGCATGTACACTAGATCATCATTGCTGTTTACTGTGAGTATTTACATAAGGTGTGACTAGGGTTGGTAGCTCCAAACCAACCCTTGTGTTGTTGCCATACCTCTAGTTAGACAAAATTGAACACCCACTACTTTTTTTACCATAACATAACCGACCTAGCTGACGGGCATGTCTTCTGAAGTTCAACGCCCTCTCTCCCTTTCCAACCTCGCACAAGACTTGATGCCGCAATAGTGGATGCGCATCTTATTGTATTGACGGTACTTTCGAGATCTTGCAAGGAGTGTATCCACAAACCAGGACCTAAGTGGTGCGCTTCGTGCATCTTGTAGGGGTCAGTCGCAAAGTCTGTTTAGACATGCGAGTGGTCAAAGCTAATATCTCCACCCACGAGGAGACTTTCGATAGCCGCTGAGAAAACCCAGACTCGGCTCCAAGGGCTCCGGGGTCCGCGACAACCATCCCTAATTGAATACTGGCCATCTGGGTAGTGTTGCACGCATAGGCCATGGCTTATTGACACCCGGTTTTATGATTAATAGCTGTCAAAAGCGCTGTCTATGCCTATCAATTGTGCCCACGAGTCATGTTCAGCCACTATAGTCTGCCCAATAAGGGCTTAGCAAGAACCGAGAATTATTCATGCGATCCTACCTCCTGCATGGCACACAAAATCGAAGCAGGGGGGAGACCAGTCAGCTCGGAAACGTTAGTACGCTGAAACAGCCAGTTGGCATCCTAGAAGGCCGATCAGATCATCCAAAGTTAGAAACGAGAAATAGTATTCATGTGATCGGCAAATTCCATCATGGCCGAAGGACCCCGCGGATTCGTCCTTGCATAACTTTCCCTGCCTGGAAGGGGGGGGGCGACTTTTGAGATGGCATGGATGGCTTGGGATCCCCGAGGCGCCACCAGTAAGAGCTGTCAGCTGGGGAGCTTCCTGTGGTTTCATATACCACGATCTCGCCGCCACTGGATCAAAGCATTATTTTACGCATACGCATCGACACAGGGCTTATTAGTGGAGTAGATCTGCCCAGGCTGATTTATTAAGTCCTCCGTAGGTTTTCCCATTATCATTTGTCGGGTCGCCCACCCGAGGGCTTGGATTTTAAGCAGCGTGCTCTACCCAGAGAATTTGCTCCTAAAGCTTAAACAACGTTTGGAGTGGAGGTGCTAGACATCGTGGCAAGCGTGGGTATGCAGTGATGCGTCGAGATCTCGACCTGGAACCTATTTGCTTGATCTGACATGGGTCGCAACCACTGCTGGCGTGGATTTGGGCTTGCGCTCGCGTTGCTTTCTTTCTGGACTTTTGCCTTGACGGGTGATCCAGATGTGGCTGTTTGATGTGGGATGGACGAACCACTTGGTCTAGCGAATCACATCAACTTCCCCGAACCAGAATCCATGGGCCTGGGTGGATATAGTCGCAATAGCATACCACACCGATGGCTTGGCTTGGCCTGGCCTGGAATGGCCTTTTAGAGAAATGGCGTGAATGTTGAATCATGCCTAACAGCCCACCAGCCATGACTTTCCCCTCCGGCTGTCGGCAAACTCAAGCCCATTGTCTGGACGAGCGAAGACCCATACTTCGACAGCTGAACACTAATTTGGACTTGATAGTCCCTTAGTTCATCCCCACTCCTGCCAGGTCCCAGTCAGAGTCTTTCTGAGTAGAACAGGGCATCGACGGAGTTACTGAGTAGCTCGTGGACGGTGCGATATGCGAGGCCCTCGCTCCCTCGCCTTGCTCACTACTCCACAGCCTTCCAAGTCGGTCTCAAGATATCTCCTACTTCCATGCGCCTCCAAACCTAGTCGATCCCGGGGTTGGCTTGCTCTGTCGGGAGCCCGTTAATTTGTACCTTTGAATCAGCCTTCCGACAGAGAGTTCCTACATACCATTTGCTGAAAGCTTTCTTGCCTCTTCTCTGTTCCAAACAAGTGCTTCCATCGTTTGCTATTACCATGCCATTCTTGTCAGACTGGCTCTTTGTGCGAATTTGACTCTATCTTCTCTTTCGCCTTGATACATGCTTTGTCATATTCCCAGCCTCGGCCAAGAGCGCTTTCGGTCGTTCTCTAGTTTCAACTTGATCAGTATCTCGACCACAACAGAATAATCTTGCGCTCGCTTCCCTCCTCTATCGCGCTATAGACAACCTCTCTTCACAGCCATCTTGCGCTATTGGGGCCTGTCATACCCACTCTTCGTCGGCCTTGTAATTGAGCTATTCTGGTTCTTTCAGTCAAAAAAACTTCAAGAACAAACCGTCTCTCGTGGCACCTTTGCGACTAGATCGAGTGAACCGTCCAAACGTCGCCATTATTTGTTGGCTGAACCCGGAAAAAAGAACAGTCGCAGTCACAGTCTTATCGACGACTTGAAAACCTACCTCTGTCGCTCAGCAGATGGCGCCGACACATTCACACACATTTTGGTCATAAGTTGTCGAGCTGTGTCGTCCGAGTCCGCTTGCAAAGGCGACCCACCTCTGTCACGTCTGGTCGAAGTGTTGTCTGAACTCGGCACTGAAACATACCCATAGACGCGTCAAGTCCGTTTCTTCGATCGAGGAGGAGTGAAGGGCGACGCAGAGAGAACCAAGAATTTCGAGACGAGTGAGATCTTCTCGCTGAGCAGGAGAGCGCGTGGCTCTGAACATGCCAGGACTGGTCCAGCAGGAAATCCCGTCACCCATTTCACCGACTATGTCTGAGGGACCACCCCTGTCACCCACCGACAAGAAACGAAACAAGCTGGGATATCATCGTACCGCTGTCGCGTGTGGTAAGCACTGACATTCGTCAGTATCATGGAGACACACTAACAACAGATAGGTCACTGTCGGCGAAGGAAAATTCGATGTATACCAGCATTTGACGACAACAGTGGTCGATGTCAAAATTGTATACGTTTGAAAAAAGATTGCCAGTTCTTTCCGGTCGACCAGCAGACTCCTCCATCTGGCGCAAAGCGACTTCGCAAACCAAACGAAGGGTTTCTCAACGAAAGTGAAGCATCTGTCTCCTCGTCCCCAGCAGGTGGCATTCTCAGGAGCAGCTCCTTTGACCGCCTTGATCAATCAGAAGACCCTTTGGACACTCCACCGTTGTCCAGAGGTAGTCCCGGATTTCAATACCAACAAATTGCTCGCTCGTTTTCTGGCCATGGTATGATGATGCTTTTCTTTCCACCCACTTGGATAAATTGACCTGATATTTCATAGCCATCGATTACCCCCATTCGTATGACGTTGGTCATCCTCAACAAGTCTCCCAGGCCGAGTACCTGACCTCACCGTATTCCAACCAGTCCATTCGGAGTTACGGCATGGAGCAGACAAACTCACAGTATTTCAGCCAGTATGCGACGCCTACACAAGGCCAATACCCCGCTGCGTTTTCTCCTGCGTCACTATCATCGAGCGGTCCAGCACTTTCTCAAGAAAGCTCCTATCCATACCCTTCAACGGCTCCAAATGGCTATCAGTGGGGCCAGGGCCAATCTCTCCCACATCAAACCTCGAGGTCCTTGTCGATCGGGGAATCAGAAGGTAGCCAGGGTTTCGCTCCTGCCTACCGAACACACACATATCCGTCTCTTGACAGACGAAGCGTGAGTGACATGCAGCATCATTCATCTACCGTCCCAACCTTTCACCGAATGAGCACTGAGGGACAAGTGGCACCGATGGCCGCACCGTATCGAGATCCTGCCTCTTATCAATCGATGCAGGGTTGGCACAACCCGGGGATGAGCGATCCGGGCCAGGGTATTGGCATCTATCAGCCACAATGGTATTCCCAACAAGGTCTAGGCGATCTGCGAGAAGAGGAGGACATGTCGGCGTTGATGTCTGCCCAGGGAAGACGCCCACACGGCCAACACAAACCAGGATAACGTGCGTGGCAGAAGCATGATTTTACACCATGAGCGATACTTGGCTCAGGAGAAAGTAGGGATATCCAATACTTCTCACAACACCGATGATGTTGCCGCTCGCAAAAATTTCAAAAATCTCGAATTGCCGGTGGAGACCAACATGTCGAAGCAGCACATATTCTGATTCACAATCTCGTCCGAACCTGTGGGGTACGCACACAAAGTTAGAAACGAGTCATATGAATTATTGCGGAATTGTCGCACGTCCTGCATTTGCAGACACACAAGTCTTAATGGATTTTAATCCATTTTGGGTTCAAGTTTGCCCCATTCAAACAAAGCGGCGCTGGAGAAGCCCAAATCCACTCAAAGGGTGATTATCACATGACCAGAGCTCGATCACATGATTCAAGATTTCTCGTCAAACGCCAGACATCCTTACCTTGGATCTCAATCTTTCGAAAAAGGGGTTTATGGAAGGCTGAGGGTGTTCCAGCAGTTGAATTCCCATGGATTGCATTAGAAGGTTATCAGGCGTGGTCCAGACTTGGGCAAATCCCAGTCATTCTCAGAAAATGGACTTTTCATGGATGGGTCACCGAGGCATCTAGTAAGGTATCTGGATATCAAATGTCCTCCGTCTTTAGTGGAAATCACCAAGGACACTGTCGACACGGATGAAAAAAGTTTATGACATGAACCTCAGCTACATAAAGATGATCCAACAGTGATCAATGATCATTCGATTCGACCTTACTCCAGATTTCTTGGGTATTTGTTCTCAAATGGAGCGCCCCTAAATACAGTACCAATTAACCCATCAGATCCGTCCGCTTGCTCTCCAGACCTAAAATTTCGTGATCAGGCCGAACCCAAATTGCATAAACCAAGGAAAACTGCTCCCAACTCATGCTTCATAGGCTATAAAGCCTCTACATCTCTGTCCTCCTCGCAGTTCCTACACAGCCGCGTGCCACTTGTACCATCTGCTGGTCTCTCAGTATGATCGATCCCCCAACAACGCAGGCAACGATTTGCTCTTGTCATGGCCAGCCCACATGCATCGTGTCGGTTTGGTCCTTGAATGTTGGTTGGTTTGATTGGCGTGGAATTTCTGGCGCCAGCGACCATGTCGGCGAGTTGTATCTTGTCCAAGCATTCGGGCGAGCAGACTCCCTTTGCACGATGGAAAGGGTCACCCCGTTGGATGGAATTACAGCCCTTGCACACTACGCAGGACTTCATGGCCATCTTGAAAACGGTGCCTGGCAGGTAGAAACCCTTTTTCAAACCACAGGCCATACAGAACCGTAGTCTGGCATCCTTGTGGCCGAGGCTCTTGCTCCCTGTGATTTGTTTGTCTCCGAAACACTCCCTTGGCAAGGTGGTCAAGCAGGAGTAGCAGTTGAGCCGCTCGGCTCGAGTGATGTAGTTTTTGTGGAGATTGCTGATGGTGTCGCTTGAATAGTAGGTGCGGTATTCGTTCGGGTTAGGTCGTGCCCATCGTGAGTAGTTTGCAAACTTGCGCTGGCGCAGCGCATAGTCTGCTTTCTCCTCGGCCAACAGCGAGGCTTTGCGCCTGGAATGTGCCCTCTTGATATCCGTCTCTAGGTCGACGATCTCGGTAGCTGCTTTGCAGGTAGCGCGCAAGGAGCCCAGCTCTGAGTGTGTTAGGCGATTGTAGATGATAAGAAGGATTTCTCGAGGCAGAGGAAAGAAGCAAGACAAGGAGTCTGAATTCCCGCTTTGGAGTGTCATGGTGTAGGAGTTGTCGTCGTTCACGGCGTTGGTTCTTGACAATGTAGAGGACATAATGCAACCAAGGTTTCACAATAAACCTCGTGTTAGAGCTCCGTGTCTTTATCTGATCGATGGTGCAGTCATTCAAGCTCTCAATCTGGAGATAAGCCCTCGTTCAAGGTGGCAGAGGTTGATGTGTCACCGGTCTCAAATAGCGAAAGCCCAAGACTCACCTGGGAGGTGGTGCAGTATATCTATACACTAACATTCCTTCTTCGTTTGAGGGGCTCCCCATGATAGTTACGGACTTTATTGAATTAACGGAAAGCTCTGACTTATAATTGTCTGGCGTGACAGATAACCGGGTTGGTGTTTGATGATGATCGTAACGATAGGCAAACTAAGCGTGGCTCAGTGCACGGTTTGACCAATCCACGTCCAAGCTCAAACTATTTCTCCTCGTTGCTTCACATGATTGTCACTTAGTGCATTCCGATGGTGGGGTAATCCAGGTGAATGTGAAGGAACCTCGGGCACATTTGGTCAAGTTACGAGCAAACCCTAGACATCCTTTCTAACATGACTGTATATGATATGCACAGTGAATATATTGTAGCACGTGTCGTTACGACATCCAGAAGCAATCAAGGCTGTAGTGACGATTTGGAAATATGAGAGGTGAAGGGAGCTGGTTCAAGGTTTCTTCGCAGAAACCAAAAGAAAGTAAGGTCTATGGCCCTCGCCCGTCTCTTCCAGTTTCGTCTCGAGGTCAAGTCCTTCCCAGGCTTCCTTGAAAGCCGTCAAGATGAGGCCAGCCTCGATGAGCAGGGTTAGGTAAGTGTCGATGGTGCGATGGTACTTGCGGACGCCGGGAGTCATCCAGTCGGTGATCCTTAGGCCTTCCTTCCAGTATTGATTTAGTGGCCAGAATACCTGACCGTTATCCCATTTCCATTGCGCATCGGACGGCGCCGTCATCACAGGATGCTCCACCGAGAAGACCAGCTTGCCGCCCGACGATAAGCTCTTGTAAATCTCCGTGAGCAGACGCCTCAATTTGTCGGTCGGTAGGTAATGGAATGCGAGCGAGCAGTACACAAGATCGTATTCGCCCTCGGACAACGTCAAATCTTCCAGATTCCCTCTCTGATATGTAATCTTGCCTTCAACAATGTCCTGCGCAGCCGTCATCTCTCGCGCCCGTTTCAACATATTTTCGGATATATCGATCGCATGTACCGATCTAGCATCTCCTTCCTGAACTGCCCATCGAGCAACCCAGCCAAAACCCGTGGCCAGATCTAGGACCCTCTTGTCTCTGATGTCGCCAACTAGCATTCGCAATGTCGGCCATTCTGGTGCTCCGTCCAGGCCCCGCATCGACCTTGGAAGCTTGGAGTACTCGCTGAAGAAGTCAGAAGTATCGTAGATGTTTTGTGCCATTGCCAAGCGGGTTTATCAGAGAGCCTGCGACGCAATTATGGGCAATGTGACTGTGTTTCACTGTGGAAGCTCTTCAAAGATATGTGGTTCTAGCGACGGTATATATTGGCGGATGGTGGAGACGGAAGCCTTTCACTCCGAGGGGGCAGTACTACTCTACACTAAACACTTATCACAAAAGAACGCTGAAAGTTGAGATGCTCTCAAATTCTCAAATTCTGATGCGCCTTGTAGAGAACGACAACTCTCCTATACTATCGTCTATCATAGTCCCCTTGGAAATTCTCTGTTCGAGGTTCACCTGGTTCCCCCACGAGCGTGAGTCACAGCTTCGACTTGATTGGATGACCAAACTCAATAATGATAGGTGTGTGGCATCGGACCCCGCCGAGCTTCATGCTTCATCCAACGATATCTTACCTACCTATTCACTGCCCGTAAAAGACAATGAACCCGAGCGGTTCTAAGCATACCGTTTACTGTTTGTCTTGAACGCAAGCACCGACAGGTATGAGGTTGGCACTAGCTTTGCATTCCTTCTATCAGATAACTTCGACCAAATATACCAAAATTCATCTTATCAAATGACGCGAGACAAGCATCAAGCTAGTGATCAATGTGTCCTAAAACTCCAAACTGTGATGCAGTGGCGCTTTTATTGCGCTGCTTTGATCATGTCGGCTGCCTTTTCCGCAACTCCAAAGGCAACAGCCTGTAAATGTGCACCTGGCACCATGGGATAGATGCCAGTATCCACAACTCGAAGGTTCGACGTTCCGTAAACAAACAAGTCGGAATTGACAACCCCTCCTAGATCTAGCGGCAACATGGCTGTGGTCCCACAATAGTGGAATTCAGTCCCGATACCAGCGCGCAGGATTGCGCTCAGCGTCTCTACATCGGCATTGTATGGGACATGGCCGTATGACGGCTGGAGTTGTTGAATTGCGTTTGTATTGAGGATCCGTTGGTTCAGTTGCATTGCAAGAATCATGACTTCAAAATCAAACTCGTGGGCCAGCCATCGAGGGTCAATCCTAGGTGAAGCGAACGGATCCGCTGAAGTGACGTGGGATGTTCCGCGCGAGAGGGGCCGCATGAGCGCCAAATCAAGCCCACCAGCATTGTTGTTGAGGTTTTCAAAAGCAGGAATGTTCTCAGATGCGAGTTCGCTGAGAATACTATCGATCTGTTCCTCATACCCGCGCTGAAGAGTAGGTTCATTGACGTATGTGTCTGGCAAATTGTGAGGCGCTGAGCGGGCAGCGGATAGTGTTCCTGCAGCATCAGCGGTCGACTGTTGCAATGACGGGAATGCGACGGCACAACTAGGCTTTGCAGTCCAAGGACCAGTCCTGCTAGAGTAGTACTCGGCAGCAGATTCATCGTTGAAAGTAGAATTGGCTGCGAAATCATTGATGTCAAGCACGTTGGGGTTTGTGTAGGCGTAGTCAAGGTGTATCATCGCATGGTCTTGGAGATTATTACCAACTCCAGGGAGATTTTGAAGCAATTCGATGCCGGCAGCCTCTAGAACCGAGGCTTGCCCAATCCCAGACAGTTCGAGAATCTGGGCACTATGGATTGCGCCAGCCGATAGAATGACTTCGCGACTAGCATATGCCGTCTGGGTTGCAGACGATGGACCTGCAGCAAATTCGACTGCGGTCGCCGTTAACGAATCCCCCTGCTCGAACAGGATTCTTGTTGCTTGAGAGTTGACTTGGACATTGAAGTTGCTGCGGCCAATGTTGGGGTTGTAGTACGCTATTCGTGCATCTGATCGAGTCTGAGTATCGGGGTGAATGTTCAGTGGCAGATAGTATCCCCCGGCAGAAAGGCCCTCGTTAGGCTCAGCCGACGTGGGAATCCCGAGGGACTGTAGCGCCTCAAACCAATTATCTGCCTGGGGCCAGTAAAAGTTTGGATAAGAAACCTGCACAGGACCATTATGGCCATGGACGTCCGAATCTTGAAGGACTGGCTGGATTTCGGCCCCTTCGTAGCTTTTAGGAGTGTACGTCTCGGACTGAATATCTCAATCAGTACCAAGTATAAGAAGATTGACAGTGGCTGGTACCTTCTCAAAAAAAGGCAGAAGAGCATTCCAGCTCCAGTTGGTATTGCCAATGTCGTCCCAAGCGTTGAAGCTCTGCTGGTTCCCTCGATTCCATACCATGCCATTGATCAAGGAACCACCACCGACACCCTTGCCCATTGGGATATGACGACTTGCGCCATCCAAATGACTTTGAGGGACTGTGTGATGTCCCCACTCATAAAAGCCAGGAGGCTGAAGTCCGATGTAATACGGTATCGAGATTTCATCCTCGCCTTCATCTCTGCAAACTTTTAGCATACCTCTCGGGGTATGGGCGCGAATGATCCTACAATGCCCCTGCCTCAAGACAGAGCACTGTCATGTCTTCATCCTCACTCAATCGTGATGAAACTACCAAGCCAGATATGCCACAGCCGACGACAATATAATCATATGTCCGACCCGCAGCATCGTTAATCAGATTTCGAGACGCAAGAGGATCAGCAAAAGCAAGACTGAATCGAAGAAGCAAAGGTAACGTCATCTTGCGCTTCATATCTGCGTCTGACAATAGATGAGAGATTACGCCAAATGCAGGAGATTGAAATAACCGATGTTACGCATTCGATCGCCCACTGGCGCAAGAGAACTCCTGGAGTCTTTTCAACAACACTTGGACTGAAAGTGATGAACAACGGGCAAGGGACAAGATTTGTATGGGAAAGATCACGACAAACAAACAGCGAGGACAACAATCAGCTCGGTGCCCTGATCGTTAGCAATCAAAACTCAAAGACAACATAAATCGATCAGTTTGCACACACAGAGCAGTATTGAGCGTGTGTCAGATCGTATTCGTCCTCGATCAGATGCAACGTGTGACGGCTGATACTGGAAAAGGAAGGCATAGTATGGTGGAGAGTATCCAGTGCGAAGGTGAGGGCCCAAGTTGGCTCCGGAGCCGGTCATGGCGGAAAAATGTACAGCCATGCAGAGAAGTCTTACACTAGATCAGATAGGTGGATGAGTGAAGAATCGATGCATGTGTAACATGGACCCGTTGTGGATGGGCGCCGGGACAATGGAGCCACAAGAGAGACAGATATTCGATTTTTGACAGTCTTGTAATAATGCAGATATTTGATAGACACAGACCCACATGGATTTCATAGACTGGATAACAAGAAAGCGAATCCGACCCATCAGAGACTTGGACGCTTTTACACCATTCAAGCGTATGCGACGAGAACTCGGGTCAGGGTTTAAAGCGACCTGAAGTCACCTTGATACCATTTCTTCAATTCATAGGGTCTTGAAAGTGTTCAAACGGAAGTAAAGGTCTGTGGCACCATTCAGAGACACAAGGTTGTCTTGAAGCCGTCAAACTTTGCAACAAAGTAGATTTTGAGCACAATCGGCCAGGTTAGCTGTGGAACACATCAGTGACTGCATAAGTGGTTCTTCCCAATCCTAACTGATAGTGCTTGCATGAAGACGAAACGCTAAAAGAAGATGTACCGTTTGCGGTGCCCACAGATGGAGTACCAGGACTTGATGAGATGGTCCAATTCTGTTGTTCAATGCAAGAACATTGGTTGTGGATTGTGTCAAGTGGAACTCTTTTCCAACTTTGGGGCAAATCAGCTCTTGGCAGAAGCAGCGGGCTTGAAAACATCAGAGCACTGTTCTGAGTACTCAGTAAAACGTGGCACACTGAATCGACCTTGCTCATAGCACTTTGCTCAAAGAGAAGCTGATGGCCAAAGCCCACATGGTAGCCAAGGCCGACCGGCCAGGTATTTGGTGATGTGAAACGTCGTAGATTCGCCGTAACTGCTTATCTAGCAGAAAGACAGTGGGATGGGATACATCCAATCACTCACCATCGGGGCGTCTCAGAGTTAGCAGAACGTGTTGGGTCACCTAAGGACCAATACCACAACGTCGCAGATCTTTGACCTCGCTAGGGGTGAACAACCCGGTGGGCAAATGCAGACCCTAACTTACAGCGGAGTTGGGTCCAGGGTGAGCATCGATCAAGTTGTCTTGGTCATTTGGTTTTATCAACCTCGTCTCGAGGCCAGGTCCTCAATCTTCGACCTCAGTCTCACGTTCTTCAAAGCGCAGAAAGTGCTCGTCTACAGCCTCTGAGCCTAGAATATGTGTCCACACCTCTTTGACCGAGGCGATGATATCATCGGAGAAGGACAAATCATGAGCTCGGCGCCTAAAACAAAAGAGCTTTGAGGCTAAGTCGTCGACGCCAAGCGTCCCCTGTTGATCGGAAGTGGAAACGCGGTATGACAAGGTCCAGAGGACAGACTGAACAGCACCACAACCCTCGACGAAGTCGTCCACTGCTGCTTTCAGACGTTCCTGAGCTGAGGCTGACTCTGACATCAGAGACGCGTAAATGATAGCTATCAGCTAGAGTTAGCTGCGATCCAGGCTGGGCGATGTTTGTACAAAACATGGGGTAGGATCCATTTCAGGTTGTCAGAGGGTAATTATCAGCAAGGCATTAAATGCTCAGGCAATGTAGATAAGTATTCATAGTTGGATCATCATGTGGAAGAAGAGGGGAGAAGGAAGTGAGAAGGCTTACATTGACCACTTGGACACTCCCCAGTATCCTCAGAATGAACCTGCAGGTATATTGGGCCTGTGGCTGGACCTTCCGAAGTGGGAGTGTCCACCAATACGATCGCAACCGCTGGTACGGGCCCATTGTCGGCAGTCTGAGGAAAGAGGCTGCGCAGCGGATCGGCAACAATGCTGATGGTCCTCCAAACATTCACCTGAGTCGTAGCTGACGACGCACGCGGCATGTCTGGAGGTAGATCGTCCAAGCTACCAACAACGACTTTGGACCTTATCGGTGTCCCGTCGGAAAGAGTGCAATGAAAAAGGCTAGAGTCGTCTGTACTCTCGCCACTGACCGTCGAAGTTGGAAGCTGGACCTCTGTCAGATGATGACCCAACAAATAGACGGCCCCGCCAACAGCCCCGGCTCTACAGGCAACTTGTGCCATCTCCGAGTTGCCACCATATTTTGCAACAACTGCACCGAAACCAGGACCAAAGTAACCCATGGAGCGCATGTGTCGTCGGATTCTGCTCAGCGCCATGGAAAAGGGCATGGAGGCTGCGGGTGTAGGTGAAAGAGCCAAGGCCAGTAGCGGTGCCTGAAGATTGTCGCGGATTTTGAACGTGTTTGAAAGGACATTTGTAAAGGACAGGGCTGGATCTACTGCCTCAAATGAAGTGTCCTCCTCTTGCTGCAATGCAAAACGTAGGAATTTCATCAAACCACGTTTATCCTTCATGGAAAGAGTCTCATCGTTGAACACATCTTCGCGAGTGCTGGGAATCCTGTGCAATTTCTTGTCACTATGAATCCACCAGGATCCTACAGCAAGGAACTCGAGTTGAGAGTGAATTCGTGATGACACGAGGGTAGGCAAGAAGGAAGACTGCGCGTAGATGATCTGCGGATTCAGGCTCAACGTGTATGATCTCGATGATGCGAGCCGGCCGGTAGAATGAGGAGCGGCTTGCCCATCGTCAACAGAGACCGAAGCCTCGGAGAAGACATGGCTGGCTGCTGTGGATTGTCAGCCGAGTGAGTCCATGAACATCAAAAATATGGTCAAAGACCTTGAATGGGATGGTGTGCCCAATCCACAGCTTCTTGGAGACTCAAGCCAGCATCCTCACCACCGTAATATTCATGACGATCAACATGAAGAATCTTCTTCCCGGATCGTGAGAGAGCTCTAAGAGAGATGGCTTGGTCAGTCAGTTGGAGGCCGGGGCCAACAACTATGAACCACTCACAATGCGAGGAGGGCTTGTGGAATGCTAGTCCCGGCGATCACCACGTCCCAAGTCTCCTCGGAGAGACTGTCCATCGTGACATGAGAGTAGCTGTCGGTGCAGGAGTAAGTGACTAGTCGATTGGAAGTGGAAGATGAGAAGAGAAGGATTGTCTGGCACCTTCTGAGAAAAAGTAATAATGGTTGCTCCTTCTCATTCTGGGACTATATTGGCAACTTAGCCGAACCTGGAATCTTGACCGCGAGTCCTCGATCATTTCGCTGGACGTTGGGCCTCAATACTTCGTCCACCTCGTGCAATCATTGCAGTGCTGGTTGGTTCGGTTTAGCCTTGTCCTAGCCATCAAACATGCCGGGTGTGGGCTGACAGTCGATAACCCTCTCCCTATGCACCTCGAAAGATGTTCTTCTGACGATCTCTGACATCACCTCACCACACGTCAAATGTGAGTACTGCTCCTTCGTTCTCTTTGTCTCATCAGAGATCGTCCTACTCGACCACCAATATTCCCTTGAAGGAATCATGGCGGGCTCATCCGGCCGCTTGAAAGACCGCATCGCGATAGTGACGGGCAGCTCCTCTGGATTGGGCGCCGCCATTTGTCTCGCATTTGCTGCTGAAGGGGCCACGATTTTCTGCGTTGACTTGTATCCTGCACCTCGTAACGCCACTAATCCGACAACTCTCCGCGCCGACGACTTCAATGTTCGCGTTACAGGCCAACCAGGAACCCATGAGCGCATTCGGCATCTTGGTGGGGAAGCCACCTACCATAAGGCCGACGTCACTAAGCCGCGTGACATGGACCTGGCAATTCGCGCCTGCGTCCAGCGTTACAAAAGGGTGGACATCATGGTGAATAATGCTGGAATCTCCGTTGAAAGCACTCATATTCGTCCACTAAGGTGTCATGAGACGAGTGAGGAAGACTTTGACAAGACCATGGCGATCAACACAAAGGGCATGTTCCTAGGGTGCAAGTACGCTCTCAAGCAGATTCTCGATGGCCAGCAACAGTTGTACAAGTCTAGAGGCTGGATCATCAACATTGCTAGTGTACAAGGACTGGTCCCATATACGGGAACTCCATCGTACTGCGCCAGCAAAGGCGCGGCCGTCATGCTAACCAAACAAATAGCCCTCGACTACGCCAAAGATCTCATTCATTGCAATGCTCTGTGTCCGGGCTTCTTGGAGACAAGCATGACGCAGAATCTGCAGGGACAGGAAGATGTCCTCTCCGAGATCGAAGCCAAACATCCGTTCGGTGGCAAACTGGGCCGAATTGAAGATGTCGCAAAGACTGCCATTTTCCTTGCGAGTGACGACGCTGCTTGGATCACCGGAGTACCACTCCCAATTGATGGTGGTTATCTGCTCAGATGAGATTTCTTGAGCACCAACAGCCGATATTGTCAGGCCGCAACCCATTGCACACCGATATCCGACCCCCATTCTAGGTCTTTTGAGCTGCCTCGATTCCCAACCAAAGTTCTATCCAACCCCGTGCTGTTCCACTTAATGCTTCTGATGGCTGTCGATAGCAAGCATCCAGTGCCTCGAGCAGATGCTCTCTTAAGATCTTGAGAGCCATGACTTGTTTGTAGTGCCGAAGAGACAGTCTCACCTTTCCAGAATCTACGCTGACCACGCCTGCGAAAAATTTGTACTCGGCTTCACCCAACAAAATGGCCATGCCTGACTCGGGGATGGCAGACGTTTCAAAAACATTGAGGCTTCCACCATGATTTTGTCTGGCCTCATAGAAAGACAACCACCGTGGCGCCTTTGGATTTCCATGATTGATAGACCGGCCGGTCAGATAGAGCTGCTGGTTCGAAAAGACGTTGCGATAGGCCTTGCCTTCACGCACAAGTGTCCGAGGGTACAAAGCCATGGCGATGATGCAGTTGAGGGCCCGGTCAGAGACGATCCTATTGTAGCGTTCTGGCACAACGTAAAAGCTCCCTCCACGCCAGCTGCCTGACCTTGCTCGGCTCAGAGCACTCTTTTCGTGGCCTTGTAACAAGACCAGTCCAGCATCCACCAGATACACCAGCAGTTGAACCTTCTGCTCTTCAACTTGTAACATTCCCTGATCACTAAGGTGGAATTTGCGACAAAACTCCTGTGCCGATCGTGCCACCTTGTGTTTCTTCCATCCTTCATATGCGTTGAGCGAGGACAGGAGGTCAGAATCACTACGGGCGAAGACTGCTCTGGAGTCAGCTTGTGATTTGGACGGCGAATTGAGAAAAGGAGACTTGGAAGTCAAGAGCGAGATAATTGCCAGTATGGGATCCTATATATAGTGTTAGCTCCCCAGGTCATAGGCAGTGTGTGAATGTTACTGACCAAACAGCCAAACACGACCCCAAAGATCGCCAATTTCGCTAGCGACACTTCCAGAGGTAGTCGAGCGATTTGCTTCCCTAGGGCCGTCAAATTCTCTGTCTTCGTCAGAGCGCCAGCATCCTTGAGCTTCTCAATTGCACGCAAGATGTTCTTCCGGTTCGGCGGATCGATTGCTTGGCTCAAAGTCTCTTCGATGCTCCCAAGATTCCAGACCTTGACGCGGAGCATGGGGTCCTGGAGACCCAGTCTGAGCATTTCTGGGACTTGCTGCTCTAGCATGATGTTGTCATGTCGGTGTTTGGTCACGAGATGGAAACATAGCCCTTCTTGTACTCGGGCTGCGCGACCACGGCGTTGACGGGCCGAGGATCTGGAGATGAAGCCTTCTGACAACCGAGACGACTGGCGACGTTCATCGAAGCGATTCAGTTTCTCTTTGCAAGTATCAATCACTGCTGTCACATCGGGTATAGTGATACCTGTTTCCGCAATGTTGGTGGCAATGACTATCTTACGGTAGCCGGGTGGAGGTATCTCGAAAGCTCTTTCCAGCTCTTCTGTGGTAAAAGTCGAGTGAAGGAGATGGATGACCCATTTGTTGTTGTTGAAGAGATCGAGCGACAAAAGTACGCGGTGGAGCCGACGCATCTCTCCCAGGCCGGGCATGAATATCAGAATGGCACTGCTGTAATGTTCGTACTTGGGTTTGGTGGCAATGGCAGCGGCAAGCTTCACAATCAATGAGTAATCAATCTGGTACTCGTCCATCGCTGCAATGATCCTTTGCGTCTTCTTGCTGTGTTTATCGGGCTGTAGGATGATTGGGCGACCCTTCTCAGCAATGGCGTCCTCGTCGAGGTCTGGGATCTCATCCTCTTCCTGTAATCCCTTGTCCTGAATGTCCGAGAGATCATTGGTGGCCTCGACTGCATCCTCCAGGAAGCCGACTTCAACTGGAAAGGTCCTGCCGGGCAAATCAAGCACAGGGGCACCGCCAAAGTAGTCCGAAAATTTCCTCGCATCCACCGTGGCTGACATGAGCACAATCTTCAGAGTCTTCCGTCGAAGCTGGAGTTTTTTGAGGGCAATGAAGAGGAGGTCAAGGTCCATGGTGCGTTCATGGACTTCATCTAAGATGAGATAGTCGAGCTCCTCAAGGTCTGCGCATTCTTCCAGCATGCGGAGCAGCACACCGGTCGTGGCGTACGTGATTCTGGTGCTAGCAGTGGTTTTACTCTCCAATCGTATCGCATACCCAACAAGTGATCTCGAAGTACCAATGTCATTTCTGCTCTCACCCAGCTCTTGTGAGACTCTTCTCGCTAGAGTGACAGCCGAGATTCTGCGAGGCTGTGTCACCAGAATTCGGCAATCTTTTCCCGCGGAAAAGTCATTTTCAAGCAGTAGGACCGGGATGCCCGATGATTTGCCTGCACCAGTCTCTGCACAGATGACACTGACGGCATTTTGATTGATACAGTCAATGATAGTATCCTTGAAGTTGTGCACCGGCAGTTGACGTCGAACGGCCAGCATGCGCTCAAACGAAGGCTGTGAGGTTCTGGTCGTCCATTCATGCAAGACCTGTTCGCTGGTTAATTTGACTGGAGCAAATCGTTGTGCTCGTTCCATCACATGTTTGCTTGCAGCCGTCTCGCCATGCTGATCTCGTGGAGTTATTGTTTCTTCTGCCTTCTGTTCTTCCTGCGAAATCCGAATCATGGATCGCAGTTCGCGTAGCGTTTTCTTGTGTTCCTCGTGAACGAGCTTCTGTTGAACGTCTGTCAGATCTTTGATCAAATCCCTCCAAACGGTTGGCAGTCTAGCTAGTGCCTTCTGTTCCTTCGAGCCTATAGAAGACACAAGGAAGAGGCCTAGACATGAGATGTAAGCCTCGGACTGCAGATCGGAGGCCGTAGCAATCTTGTCCATGGCTAGTGTCCAGACCCGAGGCTCTGTGGCAGTAGTGATGCCGCTAGGTAGAGCAGCATTAACCTCAGAGTCGGGCAGTGTGTCGGTCGACCAGTAAATGCTCAGACCTCTTCTCGATGCAAAGGAAGAACGTTGGATATTATGCAGCTGGACTCGGCATTTGGCGTCGTGGCCTCGACAAACATCATCAAGCAGCTTCCTCGGTGATATACCAGTCCACTTTCCGAAATCAAGAATGCGAATCGAGTCGTCCTGCGGGTTTTGGCTTGTAGTGTCATCGGAGTTTTCTCCTTCGACATCGAAGAGACCTCCAGTGATCTCTTCATCATTTTCAAGGTCTGGCGTTAAATGACGGGATGACGGTTGCGACTGGTGATCCTCCTGTGTGGTGTTGTTGACTCCTTTCAACGCTTTACGGCGGAGTTCGCCATGTTCTCTCAGTTTCTGTCGATGGCTTGTTTGCAGCTTGATTTCATCCAGACTCCAGTCCTCTGCTGCAGCGTCCTCATCAAACAAAATGTCTCGTTGCAAGTCTTCAACCTTTTTGGACAGCCGTAATAGGAGCTTCCGAGACTTTGACACAGACTTTGGCGAGCTACTGGGGTCTGGATTCTGGATCTTCCATATCCGGGCGCGGAGCTGCAGATATCTTTGCTTTAGTCTATCTGGATCATCGTCTTGATCATTATCAGAAGATGAAATCGACTCTGAGTCTTCATCCGCATCTGAAACTGTTGCAGGCGTGGTGGCTGGGCTTTGCCTACTCCTCGGAGTTGAGCCAGGGTCTAGATTGGATCACAGTCAGTTTCAATGGGGTTTGAAACGGGGGATGATACACGACGTATAACATACCTGGTGTTTTCAGCTGCGGACTCTGAGTACCACTGTTGGGTGCGCCTTTACTTGGGAGCGAATGATCATAGTCAGGAAGATCGTCAGCCTGAATGTCCATGGCATACCACTGGAATGCCTCCAGCATGCCGGGAATGAGATCTGTGTCGATAGCCAGCTGACCTTTAGCTGCTATCTTAGCGACATTTAGAAGAGAAAGGTGAATGCGAGGGAATTTCAATGCCTGTAATACTCTTTGAAGTGTCCAGAGGTCAATCAGCAGCTTTTCATCATCAATGATGGTGCCGGTAGATAACCTGCTCGTATCCGAAAGTTGCTGATGCATGTCAAACAATCGTTGGATCAATTCGTCATTGAGCCAGCCATAGGTAGTGAGCGGATAAGATTGAGCACGTAGCTGGCGTTGTTCCGTAAGCAAACGTGCTGTTTGACGAGTGGACTCGGCAAGACAACGACCGCCATGTTTCTCCAAAAGCGCATCCAGCTCGGCATCCTCAAGATGGGCTTCCAATTGTTCTGGAGTCATCTCGGAAATCTGAGAGGGAACAGTCGCGGATGCCGCACTTTGGTTGTTATTTTGAGCGCCATGGTAGACCTCAGCTGTCGATGAATGAGAATTGGGCTTCTGTTCACCCGATGAACTTGCTTGAACGGCCTCATCGACAACTTTAGACCGTGACGGCAACGAGGTCGTTGCGAACCCTCTTGCAGGGTTTGCTGCAGGCTTTTTCTTCTTTTTATTTGGTGCCATTGTTTCTTGACTGGATGTTGGTCAGGGAAGGCTGAATATTCCAGGGGCCAAGGCTACGGAACCGAGATTCCCAGATAGTGTCCTCGAAGTCGTGGTTGGTCAGCCTGCCAAGTGACCGTACTCCATGGTGAAAGGGAAGGTAGATTTGTATTGCATCAGGATAACCCCCACAGCTCCAGAGCACAAGCCAATGTTGAACGAGTTGTAGACATAAATGATTGAGGTGAAGAGGACGGACAGACGCCAAGCCTGAGATATTTCAAATGACGTGATGTCGGCGTCCACGGTCTCAAATGACTTCTAATATCAAGCGTCTAGGTAATCTCAGAATTTCACTTGATGCAACTTGCCGTTAAACTGTTGAACGTTGATCTGTCGACGCAGGACTGGCGTTGCCTCTAAAAAAGGATTCTACCATCTCTCGTCTGTCTCTGGTGCAGCCATGCTGGCGCTGGCGCTAACAGCCGAGTTGGAAGGGTACGACCGGTCGATGCTTGTTCGAAGCGCCGTAGACTAATCTTGTTACAGAGTAACTGACCTGATTCCTATCGATACCGTCGAATCTCCCTACTATTATACATTCAAAGTGCAGTGTACATCCTGTCGAGAAACTCACGCCAACTGGGTGGGTGTCAGTCGTCATGTAAGAATCAAGCCGAGGATACGTGGATCTGTCGTCTGTTGATAGGGTGCAAAAGCCATCTTTGATGCTGGAGGCATACTACGGAAATTTCACGAAATGGTCACTCGGGCACAGGAGCTGACTGCCTGTTTCAGGAATTGAACGATCAATCAGGTAGTAGGGGCGAGGCGAATTTTGTGTGGAAATGTAAGAACTGCAAGGTTAGATCATGTGTTCCGGCTTAGCAACTGACCCTGATGATTGACCTGGTCCTCTCCAGCGAGAATCTAGCGCCACCATCAAGGCGGCGCCAGAAGCCTATGCTCAGACATCCCCCGCCAAATCAAAAAGGGTGATCGAGATGGATTGCCGTGGTCTCGAATTCACCGACTTCAAACCCGATGTAAGTCTTCTGCTCTGGTATTGTGCCTTGGAGGGTAGTGACATTGGACAAAGGGCGAATGGGAGGCCAAGGGAATAGAGTCGGGCACGAAATTTAGTGGCATTGATTTGTCGGAAGGGGAGTGGTTTGACTATGATGAAAAAGCGGGGGAAGAAGTCAGCATCAAAGATATCAAATGGGAAATTCGGCGTGCTTAGAGACAGTGATTGAATTCATGTGTTGAAGAGTGCCTTTACACCGTTCAGTTTAATGAATTTACTGAATGCACGTGATCTAGTCACAGTTTGCCAAGAAATCCCCAGTTTTGGACATTTTCGGTGCTCGCCAAACTGCCATGGTTGATTTATAGCATCTCTGCAGAACAACGGCTCTTCGACGCGCCAGGAACAATCGCCCTTTTAGACTTGCTCTCGACACTGTCGAGATTTTCTCTACATTGAAATTTGGTCTAAAGCCAGGTCGCGACGATGAATGTAAGGCGCTTCCACGATGATCAAGACCCTCGCTGACCCAGCCGCAGTTTGCTCCTCTCAACCCGCGCCCTCTATTGCAGAACCTGTACGTCTCACAATCTCTTTAAGACTAGAGATTGAAGCCTTTGGTGCCACTAGAAGCCTGAGCAATACCATGCGAGCGATGTCAAAAGCATGTGACACTAACTGAGCAATTCTTTGCAGAATCAACGATGAAGTTATCATTCGATTGAAGTGGGGTCAAACCGAGTACAAAGGACGTTTAATCAGTGTCGATTCCTACATGAATATTCAACTCTCCAACACAGAAGAGTACATTGACAGAAAACATACGGGCACACTTGGTCAAGTGTTGATCAGGTAGGGTGGTTGTCCAATGTGGCGTATGGCCTCGATGCTGATGTAGATGCCTACAGGTGCAACAACGTTCTCTGGATCTCCGCTGCGAAAGGGGTTGAGATGAATGGCGAGGGAGCAGATTCGAAGATGGAGGAATAATTCCAACAGACCTTGGATTATCCCGCCGAAACTTTCTTACTCGCGCCAGCGAGCCTCAACACATTCATCGCCTGTGGCAAACTGGAATCAGCATCATGTCCCTCGACACAAAACGGGTAGCTTGGAAATCCGAACAAGTTCCCGACAGTGACTGCATCTGCCAACGTCGAGTCAGTGTGGCGATCGATCATGGTCATATGTACACCATCAATGCGATTGGCGGTAAGAGGACCAGAAACCTGACCCAGAACCTGCGACAACCTTCGATTTGGTTGAGAAAGCATTGCGATTTCACAGCGCACTCGCAGCGATTGGACATATCAAACTCCAAGCACTCCTGTACAGTAGCATGACTGCACAGTGAGCAAATGCAGAGACAAAGATCTTCAGAATCGTGAGTGATTCTGGGACTAGTAGGGTTCAAGGAACTCGGAGTTTCATGCTCCTGACCAGGAATGGAGATGTTAGTTACAGCCTTGAATTGCCATACCCGTGTGAAAGCCCCCGACCGAATCATACAGGGAACATTAGTAGCAGACAGGGCTTGAATAGATGATCTTCATGCGCTTATGTGGCACCCTTACGTAGTTTCCCCATGCTCGTCAAGTGCGAGTTGCATGTAGCGTCGACAACTTGGAATCATCCGCACACTTTCAATCTGCCTCGTAAGCCACCAACAGATGGCTCAGTATTCCACGTCAACTTGCAGATCTCGAAGCCCATTGCAGGTATACGGAAGGCTTGGCTGTGATGATAGGAGGTGTTGGTGGGTTGGACGATGTTGACCAACGGGTCAGTCAAGAGTCACGAGCAACAAAGAAACTCGGCTGGAGGGTCTTACCGAGGTGCTTGAGGATTAGGAGGGGATCGACTGGCTAAACCAACGGTCCAAGCGAATGGTGCCTGAGCGACATACAAGTCGCTCATTATCATTGGGACTAAGGCACTTTCTGCACGTCTAAAGGCACTTGGGCAGGGTCTCAGGCGAGATTAGGAAGCCCAATGCCCCTGGAGCAGTAGAGCAATGCAGAAAAACATAAACGAGACACTGGCGTACTCCGTACAGTCCATTAAGGATGCACTTTCACAGGCTAGTTGAAGAACTTTTTGTTTGAAATGCGCGACGTCACATACACCATGGTCTCATGGCTTTTCGCTTTCGACATCGAGCATGTTTCTAAGTAGTGAGATCGTCTCGAATGGCAGTGATCAACCAAATCCAACGAAGTGTGCGTACGTTGATGCACACCAGGTGATGTGGCTGGTGCCTGTGATCTACCGTCCTCCGCGTGGCCTGGCCACGCCATGAGTAGAATTCTTGCCACTTAACCACTCATGTGTTCTACCCGGAAGGGCCCGAGAAGCGGCCGTAGGCCTCCAAAAACACCCTGGCAAGTTTTGCGTGGCCGCCCTGGCAAGGTCCCCCCCGAAGTCATCAGATCGCCAACCGTCTCGTGGCTTCAGCGGTAGTAGTTTGCTATTTCTTCTGAGGCCAAGTGGCCAGTGCTGCGCTAGGCAGCCACCTTTCCTACCTTGCCAACCTGGCCATCTCCCCGGGCCCAATTCACGCCCTGTGCTGCGTTTCCGCCACGCGCCTAGTGGCCACGACCACCACTAACCCCGTCGAGCCACGAATGTGAGGCCCCGGCGACCTTTTGACCCTGAAGACCATTGCTTCGGTAAGGAAATTCTAGGCTCCTGGTAGGTTCTGGTTGGGTCTCGTGGGTCTGTCTTTTGCCTGCGATCGCTGCTCCAGTCCCCTCCAGTCCCCACCAGTCCCTTTCAGCCCCTGCTTTGCTTTGACGGTCTCGCCCACCTGGGTCTTCCCCAGCCAGGAAAAGTCTATTCGTGGCCATGACGAGGCGGCGTAGGGACCTGTTGAACCATTATTGGATCCAGAACCCATGACAGGGAGTCACCTGTGAAGCGAAGGGTGGTTGCTGGCAATGCCTCAAATTCACGGACCTGCTCGTGTGCCGTGGTCCAAAGTGGCCTCTGACAAGCAGCCACCGTTAAGAACCGGCTTTGGTGCTTCATATTGAGCAATTATTGTTTCTTCCTCGACTTGCATCACGTTTGCCCTTCGTTACACTCGTTTCCATCCTAGACTTGTCCATTCACGCAAGAGGTCATCCAGGCTCGTTGCCATCCTTTGATCAATCCACCCCTCTATCTTACACTCGACCTTTGAAGATGTCGTCCAAATTCACCGAGCATCTGGAGCCCGGATTCAAAAGTACATCACCACATTCAGACGTCAGACTAGAAGACATCATCGGCGCCGTGGATCTTTCAAAGCGCCACAGAACATCGTCAGAAGCGAGCTCGCGGAGCACAAGTTCATCGAGTTCGGATCGAGCGGAAGTGAAAGGACGGAAGAGGCTTTCTAAATTGTTGACGGGAAAGAGATGATGCGACAGCAATATGCGTCCTTTCCGGAAGCCTTCTATCAATCAGCCATGAGGCAACAAATTTTCTTGACACGATCAACACCACTTTTTCGGTGTCGTTGGCGTTGCAGCCATACAAAAGTTCACCCATCCATTCGCCATGTCGAATTATCTCCTTGACTGTTGGAGCAACTTGCTGGACTTTGTATTATTGTCCTTTGAGGCTAGGGTGTGAATTGCATACAGTCCCAACAACAGAACCCCTTGTCGATCATCCTGGCGAGCAGTACTGGTGTCGACATTTTGCCTCACACAAGCACCAAGTTCTAGATTCGAGGATTGAGGAAGCCACCCTCCCAAAGAAAGCGAAGATCGGCAAACACTAGGACTTCGTTCTCGAAATGGGCATTGAGTGATCCAAAGCCCCACTCGAAGTCAGTGAGTGCAGAAATCTTGGGGCTTGTCGATCGAGGGCACTGGCAACGCCCGCCCGGCCCACATTCGTGGTATTACTCACCCAAATTCATTCTGTACAGTACTACTGTTAAGAGTTCAACACCACCTGTACCACCAAGGTATGGGTTGGCCGTTTTGACACTCATTCCTTCATTGTGAATGGACTGTGAGCACAAAGTTGGTGTGTATTTCTACGAGGACCATCTCGTTGGGGCACGACGCGACGATACCAATCAAGCCAAAACTCTCCATTGGATTTGAAACCTTGGGGCCTTGTTCAATTCGTCAAACAAATTTAAGCAAGCGATATGAATGTTTCTTCAACCATAGTCCAAACAATCACATCTTGATTTCCCCGTGTCCTTAGAGTCCCGAGCCGAAGGTCCACGGTCGTGTTCAAACCTTGTCTCCTGAATTAGTTCCGGCTGCCCCTGGTTGTGAGTCAAGACTTTGTGCGTGCCATGAGATGTGCAACACTGTTGTGGCATGTCCCGACTGTGCGAGCCGCCCGCGAGACCCCCCAACCCTGTGGTTACTATTACGAGATCATCCCTGTTCCCCCGCCATGACCTTGAACCCTTTTGTGTGTCTCCCCTCTGTGCCCCATCCCACCATCACCTCAAACGCGAGGTTGCACTATCCCCACCCACGCCACCTTTCCACACCTCAACTGGGCCACCAAAATAAAATGAAACAGGAAATTCCACAAAAAGGAAAAGAAATTGACACTTGGTAGGTATCAAAGTCAGTTGAGAGGAGTGGGATTCGAACCCACGAGGTTTCCCACTGCGGGATAGATTCAGGTAAAATAGATGACCTAAACACAGCGCCTTAACCGCTCGGCCATCCTCCCGGGTAAAATTGTCAGAAATTTTAGGGGGAAAAAATTATGAGGTGACAAGGTCACGTGAATTTCTTGTGCCTAGAGGTCTGGAATCTAGGTCGGGAGTGTGGGTCCACTAGGCCGAGGGGGCCTAGGCGATGGGCGTGCTGCTAGAGATTCAACCCAGCTTTGGAGGTCGTTCTTACTGTCAGCGGGGCAAAAACTATTTGGGTGCTACCCGGACGCATATGACCTCAGTTGATTCTTCTCGTCAATCAAGTCAAGTACGCGTCGTCGTGCGAGTGTCTACGTGTGATAGAGCTAAAGAGCGCGTCTTGATGTACGGTACACTACATTAAGGTCCTCTACTGTCTTGAATCTTGTGTTGGCCATGGCTACAGACGCGTCTCAGCAGCAGCCGCGAGAGTTTGAACTGAGACGCGCAGAGATTGTTGGGCAAATTGGCGAGGTGAGTCAAGTTCATATTCAGACTTTGGTCAGGGGTGGACTGTTCTCGGTGATGGAATGTTGCCCTACTGCCCACCGTCAGAACGACGACCGAGCAGACCAGAGAGATTCGCTTGATCCTGCCCATGACCTCGATTGCTACCTCACACTTGCACTGCTGACAGGCCGACATCAAGTCGTTAGAACAGGTCCTGGCACAAATCAACGCGTTAAACCGGAGTCTCGAGGGTATTATCGAGGTAAGTCTTTGGGTCCTGCTGTATACACCTGTGTAGAACGCCCATGTCTTTTGTCGTTGACTCCTTCATCTAATAACTTGTCTGATTAAACTTCCTCACCAGATTGGGAACGAGTTTGCGTCAGTGGAAGCACTGTGGAGTCAGTTTGAGACGGTCATGGGACGAGAGGGCAATGCTGCCACTTCTGCAAGCTCTAACAACACTGGATATGATGGTGCATTGGGTGACGCTTCTGCCCATGGTAACCATCGATAATGCCGTATGATTTGGCATCGGCTTGCATACCTTGAACGCCGCAATACCACCACCCGTCAAAAGTCGATATTCGTCTTCCGTCAAACCCGAGGATCGGGAGCGACCTGCAAAGAAGCACGCCACGAAAAGTCTTTAAGCCGTTCCAAGGACCGATCTTATTCAATGCTCAGATGATGGACTCTGTGAACAACTCTAGACATCTTGTCACCTTTTCATTCCGAGGGACATACTCAGACACACAAAGCCTTCCCTTCCAACGCCAGTCATGCACTTGTGCAGCAACGCCATCTAGTATGTGCGTACAATCGTTCAGAGCCCGGTTGACCTGTCAACGCAAATACCGAAATTACTGGTACTCTGAAGCCCAAAGGCCTCGATCGAAGCCCGGGCTTGGATGAATTCGGAGCAGCAGGACTTGCTCAATGGCCAGACATTCCAACCAATATCCCCGCCATGATCAAAGTATGCCACACTTTCTTTTCCGGGCCCTTTTCACCTTGACACCTTTGGTATTGGGCTTGGCCTCATAACTCTCCTCTTCCGCCTGAATGGCAGTGTGAATGGCTAGGTCAAAGACGTCTTGAATGCCTCTAGATTCCTTTGCACTGCATTCAATGTATGCTGCGCCCATCTGTCTGGCCACTGCTTGACCTTGCTCTGGTGTGACGGGTGTCAAGCCTTGGGTGCGGAGGAGCTCGATACACGTTCTCTTGTTTCGGAGATCCGACTTCAAACCCACGAGAATGAGGGGAGTAGTAGGGCAAAAGTGCAAGACCTCAGGATACCACTGTGATTTGCAGTTAGTAGCGGTCGATGAGGTAACAGGGAAATCGATGGACTAACCTTGTCCATGACGTTCTCGAGCGAATTGGGGCAGTCGATCGCAAAGCAAACAAAGAGAAGATCAGTTTCGGGATAGGAGAGTGGTCGAAGGCGATCGTATTCTTCTTGACCTGCCGTATCCCACAATGCCAGTTCGACAGTCTTGCCTGTCTGCTTGTGTATCGTTTGAGTAATGTAGTTCTCAAAGACTGTGGGCACGTATTTCTGATCCAGTTAGCCTAGGTCGCCATTTTGGATTTTATGTAGACATACTTCTGGAAAATATCCTTGCGAATAGCTGATCAAGAGACAAGTCTTGCCACAGCCACCGTCACCGACTACCACAAATTTTTTGGAATATGAAGGGGGTTGTGTGATGTTGGTCGCTTCTGACATTCTTCCACTGCTCCCATAACTCAGATTCGTGCTCACTGTGCCGTTGCTTGTTCTGGTGCTCTGTGCTCGAGTTGGCTTCCGCCGAGGTGAGGAGGGATTGGTGATGTATGAGGCGGATAGGTGTTTTTCAGACATGACAGTAGAGTATCTTGACTGGTAGTGATCCATGGTGTCTGCTTCGTTGGCCATGATTTCGTAGACCACACGGTCGGAAGTGAGACTGAACAGGGTGATGGAGGCCAAAGAGGTGAAGGTGTGAGATTTTTATGATGCAGAGGCGTGTATTATTATATGGAGTGTACAGGTGCAACTTATGCAAATGACGATCAGTAGCGTAGGTTGGAGAAACAACTGCGCCAGGTGGAGTGGTATCAGGAGCGAGGATGGTGTCAGTCGCCTTCAAAATGCAGGTAGATGTTGATACGCCTGCGTTGCACAGCAACCGTGTCACTGGTGGGGTGGCACCTTCCAAGTTTCGCGCATGAGAGCAAGTGGTTTCAGATCTGGCACGGAAGGTGGGCCGAGAGCGCCGAGGGTAATGGCCGAGGCAGGCCCCTGCTGGCAGCAAACTTACCGAGTAGGTAACCTTCTAGAGGCCTAAGCGCCAAGGTGAACACTGAATGTGAGTGATGCCATACTACGGAATAGGTAGTGAATTGTGCATGAATGAGTAAAAGGTGGAACTGACAGGGTTTAAAAGCAATAGGGCCATCAACACTTCTTTTCAGGGTCTAACTAGATAGGGGTAAGCTGTATATGTTTCAGGCGTTTTACAGTGTTCCAATTGAACCTGATGAGCAGCAAGATTGCCCAAGGTCCCATTTCTTCCCCATTATTCACGCACATCTATTGTGCTGTATCATAGGTTTCAGGTATAAGTTCCGCCGAATGCGCTGTTAGTAACTGCTGCGTATGAAAGATTTTCTCCTTTTCACTTTTATTAGTTCCATATTTTCCTACGAATAACTACCTAGATACCTTAGGTACCTAGGTATGTACATTCTTTTTGGGTAGGTGAGTGAACAACGGGCCTGACCAGGGTATCTTAGATATCTTGCTGCTATATTCCAATCAATCAGTCGAGACTTCATGTCCCTATAGATGGAAAAACTAGAGTATATATAGCTACTCCGTAGATGCAGCTGAAAACGACTGTCTGGCCTATCGTATCGTAACTTCGTAATGCTGACAGGCCCGCCTTCCAATCATCTGTAGAAAAATAGTGTATTGTGCAGTGCCAAGCCTACACAACCTGGGAACTGTTCTTGTAACCTGGCACCACACAACCGATCGAACACCGCGCTCCCGTCAAACTCTAACAGGTGGGTACACCTATACTTCATCGCCTGATGGCTTCGATTGGTATTTCCATCCCTTGCTTCTGGCCTGGTTGCCAACACCGATCAACAGGTCTAGGGAACCTTGCTTCTCATCTTGAGTGGAAGCATGGTGTAACTGACGGTTTCGGCTGCCCTCATTGCGGTTTCAAGCATCCAGAACAGGAAAATGCCCGCTCTCACATCCAATTGCAGCATGGAAAGCAAGAAAACCCACCCCAAGCTTCCCTTGCATTGGCGCGGTACTATCGAAAGCGATACCAAGATACCGATCCAGTTGCCCATAACATCCCGGCCGCTGCGTTCTGGAATAGGGGAGTTAAATCCAACTCTGTCGAGGGCGCTTGTCCCGAATGTGATGATGCCATCGAGCCTTATACTAAGGACAGCATCATACAACATCTTCGTCACCAGCACCGCATTATCGTCGACCTAGACTCTACGCAATTAAAGAGTCGCTACAAAAGAGTTGGAGTTGATCGACTTCCGAAAGACATATATCAACCGCCGCCGATTACCGAGGAGTCTGAATCATCTGACGTCGACGAGCAAGAAGGGTTCACTTGTGACGATGAAGATGAAGAGGAGGACGAGGACGAGGACGAGGACGAGGACGACAACATAATGGAGATGAACGATCCGGTGCCATCCTACACGTCTCCGTGTGAGACCCATTCGGAATATCTACTCGAGGCTTTCATAGGCTGCATTCAGGAGGAGTCAATTGAAGGCTTCAAGAAGGCCTTGGAGATGCACGAGACGAGAGAATTCGGGGGCAGAAAATACCGCGTCAACAAAAACCTAGCGTCTGATATGAAGCTCGACTCAAAGGAGATCGTCTGCGCCGCACTTACCCCTGGTGGTTGGCGTTGTGAGGTTCCCCAGTGTGGCGCTACATTGGATGAGATATTCGCGATTGACATACACCTTGAGGCGCACGGTGCATTGGTGCTTAAGAACTGGTATTGTGGCGAATCAAGCTGCTACACTGATCACGAGAGGGTCTTTCATACCCTGCAGGAATTTGAATCCCACATTGCTACCGAGCATATGGGATCAAACTATAGCCTTCTCGCTCAACGCCGAGTCCCAAAGCATGAAGTTTTGGTAAACAGCCTCCAGACCCGATTAAAGTTTATTCGCAAACTTGTCAACAGTTCAGACCATCCGAATATGCGCATAGAAGCTTCGACTTCTTCAGTCACAAACCCCGATATACTTGAAGAATCAGGATCAGAGCCAGTATATGATGACTCGAGCGATCATGTAGTGCTGGAAGAGCGCGAATGGATTCGATTCCGTCGCTTCCTTACTTCAGGAGGAAGGTCTGGCCCACGCCAAGACCTTATGCCGGCCCAAGATGATGAATTCCGCCGGCATTGTCATGGGAGCTATGTATTTTTGTCGAATCCGCCAAAATCGCTACCTCCAGTTCTTGCGCCGCATTATTATTTAGTAGAGACATTGACATGTCTCAGGCAGATGAAGGAAAAAGACGCCCGGGAATTCATCATGACTTATTGCCAATTCTGCAGTATTCTTGGTACGAATGATGTGAATGAAGTCCGTAAGGCTCTTGGCTTACCGCTCCCCAAACCCTTGAAAAACAACGAGCAGAATACTGATCAAGAAGGACACGGCCAGCAAGATACTCAATGCCAAGAGGATGACGAACCCCAGAATAATGACCTATCCACCCAATATTCTCTAGGTTGCCCGTGGCCCGAGTGCGAGTTCATATTGATACATCCCTTTCAGTGGCCATCAAAACGGCGGATAAGCACTCATGTCTTAAATACTCATCTTGGTTGCGTCTGGCAGTGTCCCGAGAATGACTGCCAATATTGTGGTTACCTATGGCCCTCACATCTGGAACGTCATAGAATGAACTGCCATGTTGGTAGTCCACTTCAATGTGGCCACCATGACTGTACCCAAGTTCTTGTCCAGCAAACATGGGCAAGTAGGGGACATATTCGAGAATCCACTCTCCGGACGCATTTCGAAACGTACTTCAATCACAACCTCCAGACTTCTCAAACGCTGCTCTCAAACTCTAGCGCTAGTTTACCCGGTGAAGTTCATGAATCTCAGAACCAGCTACCCTCGGATATCGATTATATGGAACGTTTCCGAGGGAAAAGTTCCTCATACTTGAGCCATCATCGTCGATCACATCGGCGCGCACGAAACTTACGGTTGCTAGCAGCGCACAAGATCAGCCCTGATGACATTGAGATTCGGGGCAGCATGACTTGCACGGGATTTCGATACCAATATCGTCATTTCCCTTGTGTCGACTCGGTCGCATTAGACCTCGATACAGCAATGTTGATTTTTGTTCCATCGTTCCTACTCTTTACAGTGGCGCCGACATGCGATCACTGTGTTTATGTTATGTCTCTAATCTCGCGACCCATCGCAAGCTTGCCTCTCCCATTTCATTTTGGCCGTAGAAACGCGCCCAAGCGAATAGGCATTGGTTCATCAATCCACGACCACTTCTCATTTCTCCAGGTAGTTAAAGCCAACCCCTTGCTTATACCACCAATGGCGATGAAGTATAAAGACATTAAAGAGTCATCTCCTAAGAGGATCTTCGTCGTTGATTTCGAATCTGTACGACGTTCGGACCGTGGACTGCCTTTACGCCCAACCGAAATCACAGTTCGAGACGGAAGCCGAGCTATCATTCTCACGGGTAGAATCAACAGAAAGGGTCTTACAAACGCGGAGTTTGAGAACGAACTTAGGACACTGGGGTATACCGATCCGACAAGCTTTCAGTCAGCGCGACGGATCCGAGGTGGCCCAGAGAGGAGATTTCCAGATAACGCCAAAACACCGAAACAGATCGTAGATGCACTATGTCTGGCTGGTCTAAGCCCAGATTGTCTGTGGGTCGAATATTCGACTATGCTATTTGATCGCAAATGCATGGAAGTTCTGATTAGAGAAGCTGGGTATTCGGTCGAGTCGATACTTCCGCCACCTGCGCGGTGTTGGACAGTGGTTCCAGACCTCGCGCGCTCTCTCCCTGGTAAGTAAGAACTGTGTGCCTCCATCACAATTTACTGATCAACCCTATAGGACTGGCTTCATACCAACTTGGGAGGGTTGCAAAACTGATGAACCCCAATAGTCAGGACTTGCTGAGGCTCCATTATTCTGACGCAGATACCGCAATTCTCTACGATCTTTTAGATAGCTGGATCTTCAAGTATGGGCGCTGAAAGTCAAGGACTTACACAATCTGGTTCCTGGAGAGCAACGCCTCCTCGCCGGTGTCGGACAAACAATGGAAGCCCGTTCCGAGTCCCGTCGTGATGTTGGCCGGGATCATGGCCGGTTCTTTCAATCTCGGCCAGTCGGCTTCCTTTGGAAATTGCAGAGGATCAGTCCTCGGGCGTGTTCCTACTGATCGTGGGCCTAAAGCATAAGTAATGTGTCCATAAACGTACCAATTCAGAAACTCTGGTTTTGGGATGACCTCGGTGCAGTTGCGGCTTTGAAGCGCTACAACCCGTCTGAACTTTTCGCTGCCATGGTAAAAGTGGCGGACTTAATGACACTAAAAATTCCTGCCACGCCTGCCCTTACGTGTCATCTCGCTATCGTAGATGTCATTCTCGTTTTTGTTGGTGAAAAGTCAGTTGCGAGTGTGTTCGATCGGCGTAAGTATGTTTCTGGTGGCACGGGGGAGTAGGGTGCCAGGTACTCCCCGTATCGAGTCTAACTTCCAGCCCGCAAAACAAACAAAATTCATGTAGTCCTAAGCCTACCTCATCATGACGCAATACAACCAGAATGAGAGGGAACGGAAAAAAATGGCAAAAAAGGGATTTTGGTCACTACGAGGGTCGAACTCGCGACCTTGGAATAATTAGTTAGCCTTAATCGCACTTTGGAAGATCTAGCAATTTTGCTTACCTTGGCGTTTGCAAATTGTGTTTGCTATTAGCACCACGCTGTTCATTGTTAGATCAGATGCTAGGAAGCTGTTTGGAAAGATGCATTTACCTCTAACCAACTGAGCTAAGCGACCGTTGTGATTGTTGAAACAAATTTCAGCTTATTAAAATATATACAAATAGTTTAGCCGTGCCAAGAAATTGACATTATACCCTCGTGTAGTGCGAGTTTGATATCCTACACCAAATATACCTAGGTACTACCTAAGTCCCCTCAACGAGCTTTAGTTATGTTCCTCATCTCGGAATCAATTGACTGCTCACTCATACACCGGGAAACTGGCGCCAAGAAGAGTGGCAAGCCTAGCTGGGTATTCATTGCCTTTTTGTTCCTATCAAGATGGCATTCTAAAAGATTGCCATCAAGTCCCTTCTGTGGCATACATTCATGTCTTTACTGCATCTGCATCAGCAGAGCCCAGCACTATGAGATGCTATGGATGTAAAGACAGATGCGCAAACCTTAATTATTGACAAATTTCCCGGCACTTTGGATCAAGCAGGAGTTTCTGCTGTGCACTGTCTGCCGTCAACAGAATCATTTTCTCATACCCGCAGAAGTGTCCCAAAATCGGTTCTCAGATGCAAGTCCTAGATAGGTCGATACGAACGAGTGAGTCCGCTCGAAGGGGTTTATCTGAGGATACTCCGCGTGCCAGGAAGCCCCATTCAGTATTCTTGGTTGCATTAGGACAAGACTTTTCCTCGTACCTGTGCGTCCTTGTTGCCTCCTCGGCAAGAACACTTGTCCTCTGATCTACACCTCCCAGACTATTCTTCCCTACGACTTTCTTCCTCCAGATTTTGTCCTCGCATATTCAGCCAGATCAACCGACTACTAGTGTTCGTGGACTAGATTGAGAAATCGAGTCGGGCACACAGAAGTCGATCGAATCTATCTTTGTGAAGGATGAGATCATACAATGCCTTCAGAACAAGAAAACTGCCGAGGCACGACGCCTACAGGAGCAAGGCCGACGGCGATGAAGCATGAAAAGGAAACTATCCTCTGCTCATGTAGGTAGATAGATAATGCAATCAATGAGTAACAGTGCATATATATGTAATTCAAAGATCCAAGTCCACTATTCATCCACTTAGGTCATAATCTCCAATGACGTGTTAAAGCTGAGCACGTGACTTGTCTAATTGTGAGCCGGGTGGAGCGAATGTACTCGTACTTGGGCTTTTGGTCCATTCTCCCAGGTCCTAGGGTTTTAACAAGGTGAGAATATTGCCTCTCAGACGAGACAGTCGCCTTCAATTGCTCCTCGATGTCGCTGTAGTCTTCTTCAAAATTGGTGGCCAAACTCACAAGCAAATGCCCGCCCTCCGTTGAGATTGGCCGCAGCGGAGAATCGACGCCTGCGGTGCCGTTGGTCCACCGCCTCTCCAGCCAACGACCTAGGCGAACTCAAGTCCCCAACTGACTGAGAGTTGCGACTTATCTTCCCACATGTGAGCAGAAGGCATTCGACATCATAATGTACAATTGAGCCTTGCTATTCTCCCATCTTCCCTTCACCTTGTTACTGCGACGGTCAGCTGTCCGGAAACACCGCCGCCGATACCTAGCGTACCCGTTGCGAAATATCGACCTTACTGCGGGCAGCCAGCGCAGTTCAGGTCGCCGTTCGGCGTCCCTAATACACGCCGATCAAAACTTCGATGTTGGCAGCAAAGAGCCTGCTGCAAGCCCATAACATGACACCTCGCACGATATAACCAGTTGAGCAAGTACGATAACATTCCCGGCTTCGATGAGATTGGGTTTATCAAAATGGAGAAGGAAAAGGGAAATCCAGATGCCGGACTGCGGAGTCTTGATCATTGTACGTCCGTCTGTATTTTTGGAGAATGGCCGTTCTGATAACGACTTTCAGATAATATCATGCTCCCAAGATGGCGGTACATTTTGAGAGAACAGCTCATTCCCATTGTTCGATGGGAAACTCCTTATGTTGCATGGTTACAGAGCACCCTGAGGTCTCCAGCACTCGACACGTATTTCGCCATGTCTGCAAATTTGGGGACCCATACATTCTTCAACATCATGCTTCCGATCTGGTTCTGGTGCGGTTATACTGATCTGGGCCGAGGGTATGTCTCTCCTTGTCCAGTACTCATTACCAGTGGGTCTAATGGATAGTAGTATGACCCATATTCTGGCCATGGGGGTCTTTTTCAGCGGTTTCATCAAAGATCTCGTATGCCTGCCCCGACCCTTGTCCCCTCCACTTCAGCGAATCACCATGTCGGGGTCGGCGGCCCTGGAGTACGGCTTCCCCTCAACACATTCAACGAATGCGGTGTCGGTTGCTGTGTATGCCATTCTGTTACTCAGGGAGAACAGTGCTGAGCTGTCGCCTAATATGAGCTTAGCAATCCAAGTCCTAGCCTACTTCTACGCCTGTTCAATCATCTTGGGGAGGCTATACTGCGGCATGCATGGATTCTTTGACGTTGTCTTTGGCAGCGCTCTCGGAGCAGCTCTCGGGCTGTTGCAATTTGCCTACGGGCCTGTTTTTGACGAATGGTTCTTTGCCGGAAATATGAAACGTGTTCTGCTTGTGATACTCAGTATTCTGGTCTTGGTCCGAATTCATCCTGAGCCAGCAGATGACTGTCCTTGCTTCGACGACAGTGTGGCTTTTGCAGCAGTGGTCATAGGCGTCGAGTTTGGTACCTGGCACTTTGCCAAATCTCCTCACTCATGGTCATACCCATCTCATGGGACAGTACCCTTCGACCTGGAGCAAATGGGATGGTTCGTGGCTGTTGCCCGCATCTTGTTAGGAGTCGTGGTGGTCTTCGCCTGGCGAGGTGTGATGAAGCCTTTGTTGCTCAAATCTCTTCCGCCCCTGTTCCGAATCATTGAGCAGTTAGGGTTGAGTCTTCCTCGGCGATTCTTCAAACCTGCGTCTCAGTATAAGACGGTGCCTCGACAACGCCATGACGACAACGTTATTCCCTACGCGAGGGACATTCCCGAGCTCATTTCCTCGTTACGTCGGAGAAGGGCTGTCTCCATCGGTCCACAGTCCGAAGCAGACGCGTACGAAACCCTGGCGTATCGTGAGAAGAGGCGACGTGACAGCCTGACGGCAAACGGGTCACCAAATTCTCCCAAGGGGATCTCGCCCGAGCGAGGCTACGTTGGCGACCAGACTACAGATGGCCACGTCAGTCAAAGCGTTGGTAGGAACAGATCCAGTAGTCTTGAAATGTTTCGAGCCCAGATGGGTACGGGGATGGACAGTCTATCTCCCCAGCCAGTGCGCTCGCCTCCGGAGGTGGATGGAAAGGGCACGTCAGATATGGACGAACTGCAAGCCAAGAGTTTGTTCTCGAGTATTCAACGACCACGCGTGAGATATGATGTGGAGGTTGTGACGAAACTGATTGTGTATAGTGGAATTGCTTGGTGGTCGGTGGAAGGGAACCCACTCCTATTCAAATACATTGGTCTTGGAATGGAGTGACGGACCGGTCGGCCGTTGGAACAGAGGATTCAAACGGTTGTCTTCCAAAGCGTTTGCAAGCTTGTATTGGAGATATATAATAGAAGATAGTTATATTGATGAAGTCTCAAATTCTCGCCAAAGAGTGAGAGATGAGCGGTTTGGTATATATGGAAGTATCCACGATGAATTAGGGTAGGTACCTGCCTGCCTAATGTCTTCTAAGGTATAAGACTTGTAAAGGGTGCAAGGAAGGAATGACCGTATCAGTCCGATCTGGCCCTGCTAGCAACTGACCATTAGCGTCATACTAAAATCCGATTGATGGCTTGGCACGACTAACGTAGTTCTAGTTCATCTCTCCACCGTCGCGCGTTCGTTTTCTGTTCCGCGTGCATCATCTCGTCTCCAACTTTGTTCACGGCCGATCTTCGAGTCGATCTCAAGTTTGATTACTTTCTCAAGATTCCCTCATCTCCATCTCCTTCGCAATTCTTTTTACGGAAAGATACATACTTGCGCAGTGTCCCCGAATTCCAATCCATACTTCTCCCGACACTTCTTCAAATCCACTCACATTCCGGTCCTCGCTGCCGGCGCAATCCAACTCCAACTTCTTCCCCCACCACCCTCACATTACCTCCATCGTGGCTATCTCAACGAGCGCCCTTTTTTCCTTCCTTCTACCTGCCAACCATGGCTGACTTCTCGTCTTTCATGGACTGGACCCCTGCGACTCCACCTCCAACAATCAATCCTTATCCTGAAGACTACATCCCCGGTGGTTGGGTTGACAATCTTGCTGTACCCGGTGCTGGTGTCTTCGCGCGATCTGCGCCGGAAGGCTTCCTCCCCAAGGCAAAAAGACTCTGCTTCGGTTTAGCACAAACTACCCAATACCTCGCCAATATCGCCGCAACTCCTTTGTACTGTATCGTACGTCGAGTTCGCAAGCAACAGTTGATTCGCTTCAGAAGATCGAAGCCGAGACAAACTCTTTCACCCAAGAGTTCACACCACGCCCCCCAACGCCCATCCATTGCTCAAGCGGCCAAATCTGTCGCATCCATCCCCTCAACAGATGCCCAGACTCAGACCACCTACACTAATTCTATTCATCGACATACACCAACTCAGTATCATACCCTGCCTGCCAGCACGGTCAAACCGACGCGAGTTGGTACTCGATCAAATACCCAGGCAAAGAAGATTTACTATACACTACCGAAGCTTGAAGACTTCTTGCAACCAGTAAATCGGCCCCTTAGTGGCCTCAAGAGGAGACGAGATAGCACAACTGATGCTGCTCAAGTCTCACGCAAATCCAAGTTTGCAAAACGTCCCCATATCAGAACGCTACATCACCAACCTCTCTCCGGCCGACAGCTTAACAATCAGCCCCAAGAGGCTCAAGGAGCAGCAGAGATTTCTGAAGCAATGGCAAATGATCAAATCTCTTCGTCCGGGCCTCCACTACTACTGGAACAACAACAAACAACTTCGACGGTACAAACCACAGAGTCCGATAGCATCCTCGATAGCATCCACTTCACTCCACCTCCTGAAGATCCTCCGCAACAAGTCAAGACACCTCAGGCTAGACCACGATCACAGCCGCTGCCTGTAGGATCTCTAAACCAATCGTTCCCAGTATTACGCCCGATCTCCCCGCCTTCAGAAACAGATATTAACGCCCAACATGAGGACAATGAAGAGGAGGAGGACAGCGATTCGGACGACGACTATCTATTGCATGCTGAGAGAATGTTGAGAATCGGAAGTCCGCCGATCAGAACTGCACAGTCACGGGGAACCCGTAGCGCACAGACCGCGTTTGCCGTTGCATCGCGTCCGAGCGCCCAACCAGCCATAACATACACAACATCCTCGACTTCACCAACACCTCCAATTGTTGTTCATGGCGAAGCATCACCGTTGACACTCAGCTCCGATGATGCTCTTGAGGAGTCCTTGCTATCTCCACTCCGAATCAAAGCTCGTCGTTCAACAACACCAAAATCCACCAGATCCATCTCACCGACGTCTCAAAAGACTCCAGAATCTGATATTTCTTCTGCATGGGAAGTATCTCCACGGGACATGTTGCCCATCGAGCTCATTCTGTCGCCATGTGCTGGCAGAAGTTCTTCATCTCTGGATATCTCACCACCTTCTCACGGGATGGACATGCAGGAGATAGCCATCCCCGCTTCTGGAGGCGACTCGCCTGCTCAAGAGGCTATCCTCACAACCAAAGACGCCGACTGCATTGCCAAGAGCGGTCAACAGGTACCGGACGAGGCTGTCCTCTCCACAGAAACACGTGAAGCAAACCAGGACGTGTCAACAAATAGCGCTGACACACTGTCCAAGCCTCCTGAGACAGTCAAGAGTACACCGGTTGAAGGTGTAACTCCCGCAACAGAAGAAGATCTGGCGGAAACAAGCAGCTTTGCAAAGTTGGCTGAATCTGGTGCAAACACTCCAGAACTCTCAGCAACAAGCGATTCGCCTGCACAGACCGATGGCCAGACGGCCCCGACGACACCGGTCCGAATCCCCATTCAAGCATTCCGAGAGCTTGACCTTGGCAAGGATTTTGATTCCGATTTAGGAACACCGAAAGCAAACATACACTCTGCTCAGAAAAGTCAACGTGTTACTCGAGCTGAAAGTAAGAGACTCGAGGCGCTCCAACAAGCTCAAACATACGCCATCAGTCCACTCGCAGAAGAATGGAACCCAAAGATTGAGAAAGCTTTGAGACATGGAATCAAAGGCTACCAGGCAACAGATCTCACTCGCGTGGTGCCACTTACCAGAACCGACAGCACCTCCAGCTGGTTGAACGATGAAGTAATCAATGGATATTTGGAGCTCATTGTCAAACATGGCAATCAGAACGACCGACCCACGCAAAAGATTCCGTCGCTGGTCACGTTCAACTCATTCTTCTACAGCAACCTCAATAGCAAAGGCTACGACGGTGTGCGACGATGGAGCAGCAGAAAGAAGATTGGAGGCAAAGCCTTGCTCGAAACGGAATATGTGTTTATTCCTATCAATCTCGGCGCCCACTGGACACTCTGTGTGGTGTCGGGCAAGAATAAAACAATCACACACTACAACAGTTTAGGACGCGGTGGCCCCTTTGTTGGAAAGGTTCTGAGCTGGGTCCAACAAGAATTGGGCAGCGCGTTCAAAGAAGAAGAGTGGACACTCGAGGCCGATGGCCAATCCCCCCAACAGACCAACATGAACGATTGTGGCGTTTTCACCATTACGAGTGCGCGCCAGATCATGCTAGGAATGACTCCTATGAGTTATGATGCCAACGATATTCCACTCCAGAGGAGGAGAATCGTGGCAGAACTCATTAATGAAGGTCTCATCCAAAGCCTATGAAAGTAACGAGCTGAAACGAAATTACGAACAAAGGATGTGATACCCACGAAGAAACGCAACAGAACATTAATCGTGCACAGATAAGTACGAACAAGGACAGTGATACCCAGGGGAAAAGGATCATGGAATAATACAAGCACAGGCGTTTGATTTGGAAAAGCATGGGGAATGGCCGAAGAGTGATACCCAGAGAAAAAGATCAAGGAATGATACCAACCCTGGCGTTTGATTTGGAAAAGCCCGGGCAATGGCCGAAGGGTGGTCTAAGCAGATTCGAGATTGATGGCACAGGAGCCCCGTGGCGGTAAGATTAGGATATTGAGAGCCATGTTCAAGGCTCGCTTTTTGAAAGAGGCAATCCTCCTATGGGAGAAGGAAAATGCTAGATAGGAGCATCAGTGTAAATCAGACGTACAATCCAATGTGACTTTTGTACAAGTTGTCAAAATACATCAGCATGATCGATGCCTGTAATTGAGGAAGAAGAGCTGGCAACAAGGTTGAGGCTTACTTGTCGATGACTGGGAAAAGAATATGGTTTATGGATCAAATTTTCGGAAATCGTTGCTTAAACCAAGTCAAACTCTGGCACGAATAGTTCAAGGGTAGAATCTCAGTTTCCCATACTGAGGGCCCGCGTTCGAGGTTCGTTGGACTCTCCTCATGGAGTGGCTTTGAGTGGTTCCTAATTGTCTAATGTAGTCGCGGTTCGTGCATCTGATTTGCTTTTTGCAAGTTTCTTTTTTGCATCCTATTGTGAATGCTCAATATGAGCCACCTGTGCCCCGAGATGCGAATCATCCCTGGGGAGGGGTGAGCAGCATCTCCAGTCTCACTTCTACCTTGAGTGCGGGGTGCATGATGTGAAATCTCACGTGACTATCTAGACGAGAACGTCTGTCTCACGTGGGCTCGTCATTGGTCCAACTGAGTGCATCATGCATCCATGACATTCGACTGCGACTACGCCACACCACAATTCTCTCACATCTATCAATCGGCACTCTTCTCTCGTCCTACTCTTGCCCTCGTTCCAAAATTTAGCCGCAAAGTACCTCGAATAGCCCTAGGCCTTGCAAATATGGCATCAACTGCTAAATACCAACCTGCACCGCAGCGCGACTCTCTCGACGAGCCTCATTCCGCCTACACCCAGGCACCACCGAGTTACCAAACCGCAGGCCCCAGCATCAACGAAGGCGGTTATGGAACTCCCCGGGCTGAAGATGACAATTTACCAGATGACTTCAAGGTGAGATTGATGCCCCTACGAACATCTTGAGTTGTGTTCTTGACCTGATCATGGCTGACTGGAATGATGTGTATAACAGTTTGGAGGCTCAGTGGCCGAAGCGACCCTCGACATCCGCATGTCGTTCATCCGCAAGGTCTACAGCATCTTGACGGTCCAGCTCCTACTCACCGCAGCGCTATCGTCCCTATCCTTCTTCTCCACCGGATATCGCAACTGGATCCAGTCCAACGCATGGATGATGTGGCTGTCGCTCTTCGGAGCCATTGGCTTCATGCTCCTCACATTCTGGAAACGCAAGTCATATCCGACCAATATGCTGTTCCTGGCCGGGTTCACGGGTCTCGAGGCATATAGCATTTCGGTCGTCACATCCTTCTACGAAAGTCGAATCGTCGTCCAAGCCTTGATCCTCACCCTAGGCATCTTCGTCGGATTGACCTTGTTTGCCTGCCAGACAAAATATGATTTCACAAATTGGATGCCCTATCTGTTTGGCGCCTTGTGGGTATTGATCATCTTTGGCTTCATGGCGGCTTTCTTTCCCGGCGGCAAGACTATCGAGTTGGTCTATGGTGTGGTTGCGGCCTTGATCTTCAGTGGCTACATCCTCGTCGACACTCAGTTGGTCATGAGACATTATCACGTCGAAGAGGAGATTGCCGCAAGCATCAGCCTTTACCTCGACATTCTCAACCTCTTCCTCGCCATCCTCCGAATCTTGAACAGCCAGAACAACAATTAAGCTACGGGGTCTGATTCTATATCGAATGACAGATGTCGGTGCAATAGATCACCCTAAGTCTCGATCTACTTCAGCCTATGCACGACACAAAGAAAGCAATTCCCCCCTTGACACACGCCCTGGCGGGAGACTGAATCCGTTGGCATTGGTTCACGTCATATCAGGCAATGCGCGTTCGTCTGTAAGCACAAGATTGTGGACAAGCGTACTTGCATGATACGGACAAGTCGGCATGGAGGATCAACGACAGTATCTGGTATGAAATGAAGGAAGGTGACTTGTTTGGATTCTGACCTGTATCAGTATGGATGGAGGCAGTCTGGAGTCGATTCAGGCAATTTGGTATTTGACAATCGTGTCCGGCCGTAGCCACAAGTTTCTATCATAGCTAATATACAAACTTATCTGTGTATTGTACTCCCCTTTCTATGCATTGATCCGAAAATAGAGGTGTATTATATATTTGAAATTGGTCGCAACATGTCGACGCTTTTTGGACGACATGCCATAGTTTCTTAGAGTAGAGATAGACGCCTCCCCAATAAAAATATATATAATGTTCCTATCACCCACAAATGTCGTTTCAGAGCCGATTGTATCTCTGTATGACATAATATGGACGTTATTTCAGTCTCTACCCGCTGAACATGGAGAGATGACAGGTATGTGTTTGTGAGTGTGTGTAAAAATAATTGAATACGCCCCAGCCTAATTCCACCTCCTGTCCTATGCTATGCTCTAATGTGCTCCGCCATGCGATACTATGCTATATCATCAGACGCGCAATGCAGTACAACGCAACGCCGTAATTTCACTTAATCAAAATGTCTGCTGGCGTGGAAGACCAGTACTGTTCCGGATGCAAACGACCACGTAGCTTTTCAGCCTCGCACTGACACGGCGATTGGGCTGAAGAGACATGGAACTTAGGTCGATCCAAGACGCATTTCGTATGGACCAGCTTAGCTTGTAGCGGCCTGTGAGACTGGGGACCAAATTTAACAGCTCCAAAGTCTCTTCGTAGTCGAGTGGTTGAAGAAATGGAGTCACTTGGAGTGTGTTTCCACTTATCGACCATGGCTCGGGTGTGGTCTCTCATGCTCCTGCAGTCCAAACATGATCTGCTTCTCCGGAGTCGATACCTGCGTACTGGATTTTGGGGAGCGGGCCTTGCGATCAATGTCCTGAAGCGTTAAAGATAATGTTAGTCGTCAAACAGGTGATCATGACAACAACACCATAGATTGCCAACGCGAGGCTCAGCTTCCGTAACAAATTGCGTCGGAAGGTTCGAGTACGTCTCAAAATACTTCCAGCTCCGATGCTTAGAAAGCCAGAATTCGCCAGCAATGTTTGGCTTTCCCGAAGATGGTCATCAGCTGCGTTGTCATCCTCCTCAGCTTCGTCGCCTGACTTGCTGGCGCCTTCTTCAGCGTCGTAATCATCTTCTTCTTTGAGAAGTCGTTGATGAAGGGGCGAGTCGGGTGAAGAGATTTTGTAATAGAAGAGACCGGGCAGGATGAAGGAGATGGACGTACTGCCCGTGGACCCGACATAAGCGAGAACTCGGTCCAGACTAGCGACAGTCATTGCGACAAGATAGCTGAGAATTATGATGACGGTGGTGATGGCAGCGAAGCGGGTTTCGCTCATCTCGCTTGTACGCGGGCGGCCTGCAAGAAGTGGAACAGTACGAGGCGGACTCGATTCCACGGAGGGAGTGCCAGAGGCAGATCGAAATTTGGACTTTAGCTTATCGCTGGGGCGCCATTTCAACACGGCATCCACGCTGGCGCGGCAAGGGTGTACCTGAAGGGGGTACGAGAACATGACCAAAATGACGATCATGGCTTGACCGATGGTGGTTGATACAGAGGGCGCATAATTGGCGACGATGTTGCCGCTCATTTCATTACCAAAGGATAGATAGCCTGCCACTGCAACCAGGACATAAATGCCTCCAGCTGATCCAATGGAGGCTGTCACGACGCTGGTAGTGCGGAAATGGGAATTGTCGTGGATCTCGTTGAGGATGCTGAACATGTTTTGGTGACAAGTATATGCAAAAACGATGACGGGAAAGGAGGACAAAGTAGGGACGACTCCAGCCCATTTGAAAACACGCAATGGCGTCTTGTATCCCTCTGGGGGCAAAGTGTCGTGTGCAGCAAAATGATAGACAACGAGAATGACCAGATATCCAATCGAGATAAGAGCAATGACCGAGGTATACTTGAGCGAATCCAGGCGGCGTAGAAACGAAAATGGAATGACGACAAGCATGAAAGCAGTGACCCAAAAGTGTCGGTCGAACATGAAAGGTCCCAAACTGTCCTCACTGGCAAAGCCTCGGACCACCTTGGGCATCAGGTCTCCGATGATAATCAGATAGCTGACACCCACTCCAAAACACTTGACTGAGATGGCAGCATCGAATATGACGGCGGCGTTGGGGTATGTGATCTGCGACAAGGCGAAGAAGCTGGCGGAACCGCGCTCGAGGTAGGCAGCGCAGCGAGTTTGGAGGTAGAGTCCGAAGCCCGCAGTTGCTCCCGCGAACAGGATGACGAGCACGCCCAGAAGAATTCCCATATGTGACAAGGCCAGTGGCATGGCCAGGACGCCGGCGCCGACAATGGTATTTAAGAGGTTAATGACACTGCTGGCCCATGATGCCTGGCCTGCAGTACCAGTGAGGTCACGTTTGGAGCGGGTGGGTGTGCGGGCACGCCTAGAGACACACGTTAGAGACTCGACGCGGACACCAAAGTGACAGCTTGTGTAACGTACCGACGTGCACGAGAGTGCGGTCTGCTGGACGAGGCGGAGCCTGAGGCCATTTTCAGGTCAAGAGGATAAAGGGCAGATGATGAATCGGTCGGTCGGTCGGTCGGTCGGTCAATCAATCGATCAATCAGAACAGTTCAGTCGTTTCACGGGGAGCTAGTCCTCGCCCATGACTCTGTTTCGACCCGCGCATATATTGAAGCCAGAGTGGTATATGTCATGAATTGACACAGAGAGGAAATGAATGATGCAACAAACGCCCAATGTCGCAATCGGTGACTGGGGTGAATTTGGCATGGCGGATAATTGAGAGAAGAAAGCGTGACGGCGCCGAGACAATGGGTCACGTGCGATCATTTGAAGCTCACGTGTCAGCCTGCTGAAACTACTGAGTGAGCCTTGGCATGTCTTATTGCTTGTGTAAGATCTATCTGTTTCATTCATGCTTGTCTAGAAACAGTCATGGCTTGATTTTTACATTCAAGCTACTGAACCTGACCCCAGCCTGGCTTCAACAAACCCTGGATTTCCTCAATGATAGGCTCTCCATGACTAGCCGAGGCACCAGGTGCTCCTGACGCGTACGGCCCAACGTTGCCAAACATGGGTACATCTCTGACGGTGCGCGCTAGAACCTCGAGGACACTACCTCCGTGGATATCAATGGTCTGATCATTGCCGCCAGCAGTGGTTCCCAGGACAGTGCTGACCGATTGATCTTTGACGCATGCCAACATGATCCTGGCCACATTCTCGGGCGTCACCCACTCGTCGGTGTCCTCGTTGATGATTTTTAACTTGTCAGGATCTTCAGTGAACAATGGGGTCTTGACTATTCCGGGCATCACTGCAGTGACACGAATGCCGTAAAGTTGTTCCAAAGGCGCCATTGCTCGCACCAGAGCCTGGACTGCGTGCTTTGAGGCATGGTAGACGGGAAATGGAAGAGACGCCGTCTCTCCAGCGATACTTGAGATGTGGACAATGCTCTTGGGGTTTGACGCGCTGGAAGGGGTTGAGGCATTCAAAAAATGGGAGATAGCCATTTGGGTGACACGGATTGGGTGAGTCAAGTTGATATCGAGGTGCTTATACCTCCCTCCCAAAGGATCATCCACTGACTCTGCCGATCCGGGGGGATACCAGAAGTTGCTCCAATGTGGTTCAAATACACCAGCACCTGGGCATACAATGTCGACAGAAGAGAAGTTGTCAATAGCAGCTTTAAACATATTGTTGAGGTCGGCCCATGAGGTGACATCGGTCTTTTGGAAAACGGCCTTGGGCTGGGACTGGTACTTGTTGACAAGATCTTGAGCTTCCGGACGCAAGGCCAGATCGCCAATCACGACATTGGCTCCATTCTCGAGCAAGAGTCGCGCAAATTCCAGATTGATGCCTAGGGTCATTGGACATGTCAGTAGCCAGCCGTAGAGGTGGGGGGCGAGGGTGAGGGAGATCACGGCTTCATACCGGAGCCAGCGCCCGTCACAATGGCCGTCTTTCCTTGAACTTGTTGGGCCATCTCGAATTGGGGATGTGAGAGGTAGATATGAATTTGAAGGGGTCAATATCACAAAGACTTGGACGGGGAGAGAAAGCTTCGAGGTTATTTGAATACTGGGAGCAGACTGGGCATGATTAAATGAAAACGACAAACCGTTTCCTCAACATCACACCTTGACACCTAGTCGAATGGCTTCTGCCGGTGACCCATTGAGGGTTCAAGCAGGTCAGGCCGTTGAGGGGTCATTTGGGGTTTGCCTCACCTACACGAGTCGTAAAAAGCTTCAGATCAGTGTAATCCGAGGTTAACAGAGGTGGAGGGTCTGCCAATCAGCGTTCACGAGTAATTCCTTCTTCGTTTGTCCTCTGTAACTTCACTAGTCCCGATTTGGCAGACTATCCGGTATCGATGTCGGAAGACTTCAAGGCATAAAAGAGTGATGCGCAACTGGAGGAAAAAAGTCGAACAACTTGAAATAGCAAACACCTCAAGTATAGGACAAGAAAACGCAAACCTTTGCAAAGATGAAGCAGAGTCTCTGTGCTGTCGGAAAGCGAGCTGCATCGACTCTGACCAAGGAAGCTGGAGATATCAGTTCTGTCTTCCCCTCCTTGTCGGGTAAGAAGCCAGACCCGCTTCCGCCAAGGTTTAGCCAGTTAAAGAAGGAACTGATTCGGGGGAATGAGAACGCCATCAGAAGCTCCTGGCAGAGGCTCGTAGAGAGCCTGCAGGCCGAAGTACACGAGATCAAATCAGCGGGCAGTGATGTATGTTAGTGACCGATCCCTCTATTGACCAACTTCTGAGTCTTTACTCCTCTAGGTCATCCCCGTCATTGACTATCACGAGGTCGCCTCGGGGCAAGTCCCCGAAGCAAAGCTAGCCGAGATCCGCCATCGTGGGACAGTGGTCGTTCGCAACGTGGTCCCAAGATCCCAAGCGTTGGACTTGAAGCACCGAGCAAAAGAGTACATCGCCGCAAATCAATCGAAGGTTAGAGCATTCCCTGCCGACGACCCTGCCGTATACGAGCTGTACTGGAGCCCATCTCAAGTCGAGGCGAGGGCCAATCCCAACCTGCTCAAAACGCAGTCATTTCTTGCGTCCTTCTGGCACTCGTCTGATCCAAAGTCGGAGATCTCAACGAGCTACCCTTTGTCATATGCAGACCGATTTCGCATTCGACGGCCAGGCGACGCCAAATTCGCCCTGGGTCCGCACACAGACGGGGGTAGCCTTGAACGATGGGAAGATCCCGAGTACTCCCACGTGTACCGGCCCATCCTGCAAGGGCAATGGGACAGGTATGACCCATTTGATGCGTGTCACCGTATCAATGCAAAGATGGACATGTACAATGGTGCCGGAGCCTGTAGCATGTTCCGGCTGTTCCAAGGCTGGCTGTCCATGTCATCGACTGGGCCTGGAGAGGGCACATTGAAAGTCTGCCCTTTGCTACGACATGCCACGTCTTACCTGATGTTGAGGCCATTCTTCGACTTGGAGTCAGGCAGGCTCAATCTTGATGCCACATTCCCCAACTCAGTGCCTGGAGCTTGTCAAGAATACAACCCCCAAACACATCCACACTTGGAGCTCGACTCAACCATGGTCAGCATGCCCCAAGTTGAACCTGGGGATTATGTTGCGTGGCATTGTGACACCATTCACGCCGTCGATAAAGAGCACGTAGGTAAGGGGGATAGTAGCGTTCTCTATATCCCCGCCTGTGCGATGACGAAATCCAATCTGGAGTTTCTGGGGCGGCAGCGCAAGAGTGCTTTGAAGTACAGTCCACCTCCTGATTTCCCAGGCGCTGGTGGTGACGGAGAGATCGGGTTTCACGGCGCGATCGATTGGCATCAAGTTAATGCCCAGGGGAAAAGGGCAATGGGTCTTGGGAATATGCCCTGGGATGTTCAAGAGGGGATGAGTGAGGGAGAACGTCGAGTCATTGAAGAGGGCAACCGTCTGCTCTTCACCTGACTGGCGGCATCAGAAATCCGGTCAGTGGACAAGGTGAGACAAGACAGTGTTGCATCAAGGCTGGCTGTGAGACTTCACAGGGTAGTTGATGTAGATACAGTCACGGGAGAAGAGTTTTTAGGATCCACATAGATGGGACAGTGTTCTGTCGGTACAGGCAGTGACGTCGAGCAGCCATTAACAGTGGATGTGAAACAAAGTCACTGCATGTGGGGAAGACGCAATCAGTCTGCCTTTACCAAGATCTGAATCCTGGTAGTTTCAGGAGGACATCGATCGACAAAAGTTGAGGAGGTAGAGGATTCCCTGCCGATGCAGATCTTCTTCAAAGCCAAGTTAAATGCTTGAGGTCCAATGGCCGCCTGAAGGGCTTCTACGGTCAATTTATGCGCAAGGTGCCGGGAACATCAGAGTGATGAAGGGGTTGTTGAGTCACCCTTGTTATTGCGTCCGAGAAAAACCTAGTATGTGACATGTCCCCCGTCTGGATTTTTCGCACAGATGCATAGAAAATTCAAAATGGTCGCGAGAGGCCTTGGGAGTGGTAGGACGTGGCAGCTGCACGTGGCAGAGGTGAAGCGAGACGCAGGGGCATGGTTGAGTGGACTCTGAACATGGACTGGCACGATGGTAACCGAAGAACGAAGCGGGTTGAAGAACAACCTACAGACGCGTTAGTGGAAGCAGGAAAATGGAGGGGCACGCACGGGGGACAGTGGACACATGGGTCTTTGCGGGCTTATAGCAAATCGCCGCACTTTGGCGTGTTGTGAGTGGCTAACAGCGAGGGAAAGCAAATGAAGGAAGAATCCTCATTCGAGGGAAGAGAGAAAGTGTGTGCGTCTTGTGATTGAGAGTTTCATGCCGGCAACTGCAGACGCGTCTCGGATGCAGAGTCGTGGATGACGAGGATGACGAGGATTGTCGGTCTCCATCGCCTGATGAAATGGATCCAGAAGCGGGTTAGATAGCTGTCTGCCACGCCTTTGAAGATGACACTGGCAGCACCCTAAACGTAGGCGAAACCCGGGAAAACTTCGATGTTGATTGTGACGGTCAACCTTGTGAAGACGTGCAAGAAAAAGTTTTGTCGACAAAGCACTCGACAACATGAACACCAAGAATGACCCTGAATGTTGCTGGACCCTGTGAATAGATGTTGGTGGTTACTGGAGGCTTCGTGAAAGGTTGCCTGAAGTAGAGTTTTATCTGGAGTAGAGAAGGGTCTGGACTTGACTCCAGATAGAAGGGTCCTCAGGGCCTCAGTCCCCAGGTGCTCGGCCCTGACAGCGTGACAGCCTACGACGTGGGTTTGACTTTAGGCCCCCGGCCCTCCGAAAGCCTAAGGGGCAATCACCGCCTTTGGTACCTGAGGTAGGTACCTGACCTACCGACCTACTCCGTAATAATTGATTGGGCGGGCCACTCTCCTGGAGAGTTATTTTGAGGACCAGCCTACTTAGGGCGACTTGCGACATTTGTTAAACGAAGAAAGGACCACCTAAAGTAGAGTGACTGTTAGAGTGACTATTTATTACTACGAATACATACGGAGTAGGTACCTCGTGTATTGGTCTACCTGTCAGCACTTCTCGCTTATCCACCATCGAGATGAACGCCGAAGAACAGTGCCAGCTAACTACCATGGAAGTCACCGAGGGGGTTTCTCAGTCGTTTTCCAAGCATCCCCCCACCACCCGAACCTCGTGTTTTCCTTCTTCAGGGCAGAGCGAGTAGCATGGCCGTAAGCTAGGGCTCAGGATTGTCCAATTTACAAGCTGTATGCCACACATAGGAGAGGACTTGAGACCGAAGCTGAGCCTCCGGTATCGTTGTCGTGTACAGTACATACAGTGGGCTGACACTGTGGAAATGTACCTGCATGGATGTGAGAGCCGCGGACGGCAGGGAATCAAATACCCGATTGGGATACCTACAGAACTGCAAGTAAGGGCGAGGACGTCTCGGCCCCCATAGGTCCCCTCGGCCATACAGTAGGTGTCCAGGGTTCAGAGATTGTCCACATATAACCATAGGGTGGGCAGAAACACTCGTACCTAAGGTACCTAGGTACGTAGTACCTGGTCCCTATTGAATTCCCGAATGCAGGTACTAGACTTTTTCGACAAGGGGTCCAGATACAGTACGATGACCAGATTCAATTTGAACCCTTTTGAGGAGGTGGTGCAATTCAGAACAGATTGTTGATTCATGAACCATCGTCTGATGTCCAAAGTCCCTCGCACAGAAGCGGTCCAGTGGATGAGAGTAATTATGTTAAGTACCTAGTACCGCAACTTAAGCACCTCGGCATCGAACATGTCGATAATGTAAAAAGCCCAGTTCATAATTTTATTGATGCAGATTTTCCCCCAACTTGGACCCCTGGCGCAACGGTAGCGCGTTCGACTCCAGCGATGCGGTATCGAAAGGTTATCTGTGTACGTATCTTTGCTCAATGGATGTACCTTCATTCCACTAATATGTTTCATTGCAGTCAAATCAGGTGGGGTTCATCTTTCGTTTTTGCTGCTCTCCTTTTTTTTCTAAGACTAGACGAGTGATGCTCAATTCAAGGCTCAGTCATAGGTCAGGCTAAAGCGGCCTTCGCTCGGTCACGAAGATCAACACCATATAGCAGTTATGTTTTTCGTTCTCTAGTAATTACGGTATTGTAGGGTCGACAGCTTGCTAGATGATGCCTACGACCTGCGTGGGGGCCACAGTGGGCGAATACGGGGTATGTGTCAATTGCAACGCCTTCGGGCGGTGCCTCCCTACTGGTCCCTCCCTACCAAGGTGATATGTGATTGTACTTGGGATAGACTTGAAAGTACCAGCACGCCTGTCCCAAGTTGGCCATTTGTGAAGGTAGCTACGTTTCTGGCCCATGCTTGCACAAGAGGTAACGAGTATGTCCATCCGAATGGCTTCGCCTCTTGGGTCCGCACGAGTATTACGATTCTAAGTTGGTCTCAGGTACCACTTCTGCCACTGAACCTTGCACCCGAATCGATCCACAAGCTGTCAGTCGCGTTTTCCTTGTTCCTAGCTGTTGGGCCGTCACTGTCAGTCAATCAGTGTCAGACGGGCAGACGGGCCGGGTCCAGACGGCTGTTAACCATCACTCTGGGTTCGGGGGCCCCCTAGACTGGAGCGCCTGCGTACCTAGGTAGGTACCTAGGTAGCCATGTGTGCAGCGGGCGTGGAATTGAGCACACCAGCCCAAAAGTGGAATGATGCCATTTGGAGGCCTCGTGGGCGCCCCTCGGCCGCTCGTGCCAACAGCGGGCGATGAGATCAGAGGACCTCAAGCCTTGCCTGGTCTAGCCATCTCTTCTGTATCAATTCTCAAAAGCAAAGTCCAATCTCAAGAGCCCACCTATCTTATCTTGATCTTGGAAAACAATCCCACAAGGGTGGGATGTGCACAAGTGGCTTAGTTCTAACTACTGCATCTCTCCAAGCATGCAGGCCGCCTCGCAGCCTCGTAAGCGATGCATCCATCGAGATTCGTTAAGCTAACATACTTGAGCCGTCTATCAATGTGCACAGAAAATGCGGCGTGGCGTCTGCGACCGCAAATCATGGCGCCTGGGCGGTCAATGACATCAAAGGCTCAACAATCGCGGTCGAGGCCCGAGAGTCATGACGGAGCGTTCACCCCACGCAAATCGATATCTCCAGGCAGTCTCGAGACCGAGACGAGGCAGTACCGAGCTGTTCTTTTGCTGTAGGCGAATGCTGTGCTAAGGTACCTAAGTTAGGTCTGTCAGGTAGTTTAGGTAGATGGTTGGTGTCGGCATCTACCGTACAGCATACCTAACTTGCTCAGAGTATTGCAACTCCGTCCAATCGTGACAATGGTGACCTTGATGAGGCTGCGCGTGGCATTTCTCCATCAGCAATAGACACAGGTCAGTCTGGGGGAAGCGACATAGCACACCCCTGATCATGTCACTCGCCTAACCAAAAGAATTTGGATGGCTGAAAGGTAGTCCATCATAGGATCTTACTTGGAGCTGGCGCCGGGGGATATCCCAGGGCTCTTGTTCTTCCATCAGAGTTGAAACTATAGGGATTTTGGCTGGTCCCATTGACTGGACAAACAGTTCTAACAATCATGGCAACATCTTGTCAAGAAAGGCTGCAAGAAACTGGCAACGTGGTCCATCGCCATTGAACCTCGTCTCGACGTTTGAGACTGGTCACCGTTGGTAAATTGCCATCATATCCTATGATGCATGGAAACATCTTGTTGGACCCGGATATCCAACTTTGACAACTCATCGACACATTAGGAACGATCGCTGCCTTGATTGTCTTGTTTGGTTTAGAATCTCATGTCACGCATCCCAATCTGGAGGAACTTGTAGTCTCGAGGATCAGTGGACCCTCAACCATGTCGCAAGTCATTTCGATCTGCGAGGGCAAGAACATACGGATCCGTTCTCGGGTTCGTGTCCGGCTGCGAGTTAGACTTTGACCAAGTAACATTTTCACAACTTGGTACTAATGGGTTGTGTCTCTGTAGAAACGAAGCGTCGGTGCTCCGAGTCTTCATGGTGAGTCCCGAGATTGCTTCTGGTCAGCACAAGACAGATAGGATGTGTGTATGTATGTACATATGTACTCCCGACCACTCTCAATCTTTCGGAGACGGACCTGACTTGCCAAATCAATGCTACTCATTATTGCCTCAGGCACTCGACCTAGCGGGGTGGATCGTACCGTGTGGGTGCGCACGCATACACTAATAAATAAGTACGCATTAAGACGGTTTTGGCTCCGGTCCCCGCTCCAAAGTGTCGCCATGGGTTCTTTGGCCTGTCGAAGCCGGATTTACTCGAGGTGTGATTCGAGAAGCAATCCGACAATTCGCCTATACTCCGTGCAAAGTCAACTGTCATGACTAGGGATCCTGGGTCACTCAGAGACAAAGCTTCCCCTTCTCGAGTACCATGTCTTTTGATACGTGCCAATCTGTCGGACGCCCAGCCAGCCTCACGAGAAAAAGCACGTGAATATGCATACAATAGATAAGCCAATCTCTCGGGCTATTGATGCCATCTCGGAGGCTGTTGGCGAGCGATAAGTTTCGATCAGCACGATTTCGTTGGTGTCCACTCCTACCCAAATGTAGACGGGCGTATGCGTAGGTTAGAGTCAGGGAGAGTCACTTCTCCGGCGGATATCCAGGGGCCAGCCCCACGCCATGAATGCCGTGCTGGGGGTCCTAGGCCCCATTATGGTTGTTGATCAACATGAGTAGAAGGGTAGCCAAGGTCTTGCAAAACTTACCTGGTAAGCCTGGTACTACGTTAGGCCCCATGTTGCTCCCACCAGAGGACCGAGGGGCTCCTACCTATGCACTTGTGGGCATCGCCCTGCCTGGAACCGCCCACCTCGAAGCCCTCAAGGAGATAGTTGGTGGGCAAAATGGGTACACGGAGTTGGGCAGCCACAGCTCGCCCGCGAAGACCTTGGTTAGCAGCGAAGAGCTAGCGTTGACGATCGTTTTTGATTGTTTGATTTCAGATGGCGTACTGTTGCGTTTGTTATGGAGAACCAGCTGACACTTAGCTTCTGGGGATCTTGGTCTTAGGCATGTGTCTTTTGTACACAAAGCTGGAACAGTTGCATGGCCAACTCGAGGGGGATCTACTGTTTTCGTGAGCATGGAGAATAAGAACGGTATACGTATCCTCCGTATGTGATTCTCATGCTCTCGGCCGTCACGTGTGCATCACTGCAACTCTCAACGTGACGGTCACACCTGCCCTGTACATCATGTGTGTGGCACCTGCCCAATGCAGGTGCACATTTTCTTAATGCATTTTTCTCCTTCTCCCTCCTCCTCTTCAACTCAATCTTCACATCATTAGTCACACTACACTTTGGCTTTCGACCTCCGGGGGCTCGATGGCGCTTGAACGTAGCGTCATCTCCCCCCTGTCTCGCTAGCCAAGGGCATCGCGCGGATTCTCCGTCCCTACCCTGCGGGAAATAGTCAAAACACCCCCTACGAGTACAAGCCGCTGGAACCGCACACTACTGTACAGTGTGCGTGGGCAAAGCACGGCCAAATCGACTATGGTCCAGGTAAGGCGGGCCACCTCCAAGCAATGACGATGATCCTAAGTAGGGACCAAACCTCCCCAAGCCCCAGCCCTCGTCCCGAGTCGTACCAGCTAAGGAAAGCCGGACAGAATTACAGAGTACGCTAGGCAAAGGATCTGTCTCCCTCGCTCCTACGTCCCTACCCTGCGTACCAATCACCACTCAGCAACTTCATACTACTTGTGTGTGCAGCATTCCACAATCAAATCGTCGTGGCAGTGGGCACAAAGTTAAACACGAAAAACTGATTGAGACTTTGCTCCTAGAGAGACAAATCCCCGTCGAATCGACAATGACCCAGGTCCCTCGAGGTTGTGTGATCTTCCTACCCTCCACGATCTTGACGCTGTCACGCCGTTGGGCGATCTTGACAGCTACCTGTCAAACACACTGGCCACCGCAAGAACTCTCCTCGTGGCTTGCATGCTTGCTACTGGCTAGGCCCCTAGGCCTACGCTCTTCATCCCAAGTACTCCGTAGTTGCTGGTCGGCTGCCTGAGCCACAAAATGCAGGGCCAATGATGCCAAAACTAATCCACCTCAGGATCGGAGACCAGGGTCGTGTGTCTTTTCACCAGGCACAGATTATTACAAGGTTGGTGACCACTTCCCCCCTGGTTCCGCGTCCCTGGTTCCCGAGTACAAGGTCCCGGCTAGTGGCTTCCGCCCACGCAATGCACAGTCCCACTTGATGCATCTGCCATATCCACCGACCCACTCGACAAACCCTCCGTTCCTGACCATTATCGATCCCATCAAATCTCCTCGCCTGCTCCTTCACGATCCACCGATGCTGCGCTCTCCTCAGTCTCGCTCCCCTGTTGTCACTGCTGCAGATATGGGGATTCCTTCTGCGCCCGCTGTCTCAAGACGCGTTGATCCCGAAGCATAATCATACCCCCAAATATTATCCTTTCGGTGTCGTTGAGGGGACCCAACCCGTGTCCCGCCATCGCCTGCAGAGCCTTGCCGGCAGCTTGCACCTGTCCTCACCCTGGCTCTACGCCTCTAGCTGCTAGACTCTCCACGTCTCTGCATGTGGGAATACTTGCTCTCCTGGTACCTTCTCCATTGACCAACACGCTTTCTCACTCCACCTGCGTTGTTGGTTCTGCCAATGGTACAATTGCAAGTACAGCCCTAAGTAATATCTCTTTACCTCTCCCAGCTTTGGGATACTCTCTTCCTTCGATCTGTATATCAAATTCTGTGCCACTATCTTGTATCATCTCCTCTCCGGTGCTCGGGTTTCTGTTTGCTCTATTGTACTCAACAAGTTTTCGCTTGCCTTCATACCCCAGATTTGCCCCCTCGCTTCCTCGAACGGACTTCATATCACACTGAGCCGCAAGAGACGTTACCAGTCCCTCACATACCAAAACCGAGTCGACACACCTCGTCAATTGATGAAACCGTCTCTGTCTCCAAGCGTGGACGTCGAACCATGAGCCCCGCCTTGCCCAATCTGTCATGACCTTGAGCTATTCATGGTGTCTCCAGCACTACTAGTATCTGACGAAACGTTTCCCTCCATTCGACACTCGTCTTCGCCCTTCCTGTGGTCGTCCGAATCGACCTGGCCCCTCCTTGTTACATGCTCCATTTTCTTATCAGAGACGATTGCCCACTCAAAGTCGACTTTCCGCGAGTGAGTGACTCCAGCCAGTGGCCAGTGAGCCCCAGCTCAGCACCCCATCATACGAAGCCAGATGGGTCGTTTCATATGGGCCCAAGGACATTCAAAGCAGGGCAGTGATAAAATGCATGCCATCGCTCATGACTGGTTTTCCAAGGACGCTGCTGAACCTTCCCGACAAGCCCTCCACGACCTCAAGAAGGAGTATTTCGTCCCTTCAGCCGACAGCCGGGATGGATCACCTCGTCACAAGGGTCGATCAAGGTCAAATACGGTGAACTCATCACTATCTTTGTATGCCCGGTCGTTGTCGGATGTATCCAACGAGCACTCATCCCGTCCTGGTTCTCGCCAAAGTCTGGCAGGTACTACCCGGTCTCCTTCTGATCGCACTGAAAGTACCGCCAAAAATCTCATCTCCAGAGGGACTCGGATGCTCAAGCGTCAAGGCAGCATGCTCAATCTACTCCCGCTTCAGTCAGAACCTGCCCGGGGAGACAATCGCGAAGACCACGTCTCAACCCATCGCTTGTTCGCGGGCAGTCCGAAGCGTAAGTCGTCCGCCAGGGCTCATCTCACCACTTCTAATGGTGAAATGCCAGGGCCCGACCTGAAAAAGGCGATATCATCACCATTTGATTTTCAGCATCTCACTCATGCAGATCAAGCCCAATTCCAGAGGCTAAACACAGCCACCAAGACTCAGCTGGTGTCCGAGTTCCATGCCATTCGGTCGGAGCAACAAGCGGAGGATGTCGTCCGCGGCATCCCAACCTCAGATCTGCCTATTGCCACTTCCCAGTCGGAGGTCATCGTCGAGGAGCCCTTTGCTCCAAGGACCACCGACGTTCCAACGCTACCAACTACACCTACGCGGCCTCTGCCACCGCCCAAGGATGGGTTACTGTCCCCCTTCAGCCCTCCAGAATTTCGCATGTCTCGTTCAATGGAAAATTTCTCTCGACCAACAAGGTTATCTATCATTGCAAGTGATTTGAATCCTCATCACGACCTTTCGCAACTCTCGTTCATGAATCCAATCAATCGGAACAGCATTATTGGAAAGCCACTTCCCCTCGTCCCAGATGCAGTTCACGCAGTGTCGACCCGAGATGACATTGCACTTCCGTTGCGGACTATTCCTCTTCCATCGCCACCAAAGTTGGTGACAGAGGTGATACCGGAGGAAGAAGAAGATAAAACCATTCTCATATCTGTTCATTCGCCAGTAGCTCCTCAACCGATGTCTCTTCGCGGGGCTCAAAGTCCTTCCGCAAATCAGGTCTCACCGAACATGCGGAGAATAAGTCAATCGTCTGATGAAATGCGATTCGACCGGGCTTACGACAATGTCATGTCCATGGTTACTGCCGACGACATCCCCAGCACTCCTGTTTCTCCTGGGCCGCAAGGTGCTAATAGTGAGGAATCGCTGTCTCTGGGCGTGCAGCAGGCCGACATGGAGAGCTGGGAGGATGCGATTGATTATTCGTGGGACCATCCAACGGATGATGATCATTTCCCAGAAAGTGGGTCAGGCAAGCCCATCAACGCTGCTCCTCACTCGCTTGGGCGGCTCCCTCAGGACAGGTTCCTGCTCATTGAACAGGCCACTACAGAAGATGCTTCGTCCTCGGCGTCGACTCCTCTTATGATGCAAGCGACTACCAAGGCACCTCTTACCAGGCTCGGCCTGGTCCCGTCTGCATCCTTCGATGAGCCTGCTTCGCCACTGCTGGGGCTGGGGATTGATGCACTAACAACCTTTCCGTCGGTATCTCCTCCCCAGAAAATGACTAGTGTCGTTGATGGGCATGACATGGCTGTGGAAGCTGCCTCAGACTACAGACGAAGCCCAAAGTCGACCATGAGCAAGTCAAGCTCACAAGAAAGCATTATCCTTTCGATAGCGTCGTCAATCGCAGGTACTCACCGGTCTTCGAATTCCAGCACTAGTCTGTCAGACTTTGCCCACCTTGCCAACTTTGGAGATGCAATGGACAAGCTGGACACTGAATCGACAAGCATAGCCCCAGTGGACGAGGTGGAAAGGATCAGCAAAGAGACTATCCGCGACAGCTCTCAAACTAGCCCCTCGACGCCTGCGAGTCAACCTGATGAATGCACAGAAGGAGCCTCAGCCCCGTGTGGAATTGAGGAAATGTGGTCAGGTTCAAGAATCACTATTCCTGACCGAAAATCTTCAATCTCCGCCGGCGATGCTACCAAGGCAATGGGTGGCCGTAGAAGAGCCAACACTGGGAGCTCGCGTCCACGACGCAACACCCGAGTATCGTACTCGCTGTTTCCAACAACGACATCCACTTGAAAAGAAGCTTCCATTTGTGTTGACATGGATAGCCTGCAAGGCATGAGGTAGCTGGGGATGGTCTGACTGTTTTGCAATTTTTAACGATTTATGATTGGTGGTTTCCACTGCGCGCACGATGATGAATCAACTCATGTTTTAGACAATTTCCTTTTGGGGAGGGTGACATACTAGATCCAAAGCACACTGTATCAAGACGATGCCAATCTGGAGGCTGGAAAGGATCAAGAGCCGGCCTGGTCGGTTCGAGTTACTGCCAGGGGTGGGGCGATTTTTTTTTTTGAGGGAGACTCTATAGATAGACCTGCAGGATTGCTGGGGGCTGCGATAGCCCATGGAAAAGCGTTCCGAGTCGTGTGTTTTTCACACCTAGATAGGATTAGGCAGGCTCAAAGGGTCTGTGCCAACACATCAATACATGGATGGCATGGAGTCTACCCCTTCATCGAGAGACCCTTAAGTCACACTGGGGGCTTTTCGAGAATCCCAAGCTGTGAACGTGCATCGGCAAACCCAATATGGTGCCCGAGCATCACAGTACTGGTCACTAGGAAAAGAGGAATCATCATGCCTCCGTCTTTCAAGAGGTATGTAAAGTGAATATCTACAGAGCAGAATAGAGAGTTGATACTGTAGTATTAAGCTGCAAGAGGTGTCACGTGCTCCGTCTGGCATTTTCCTCTTCCACTCGCCCTGGGTTCCGGCAATTCACAGATCCGTGCAACAAGACGTTGAATTCAAACGTCTCAAACCCGTCGCATTTGAGGATTTGTTTTTCATCAGCCTGATCAATTTCGCTTTGGTCTCGACGCAACAACAATAGTCTTGGGTCGTGACCCTAGTTACAGCAGGTTGCAACTTACGACAGCCCCTGTAAGTGGACAAAAGATACTGTAGTCCTTGCCGCGCTTATGTCGCAATGTTTGTCGGCGATCGGCATGGCAATTTGTTCTGGCGCGATGGTGCCAGGGTCAACGGCGGCCAAATTGCAAGCGAGGAGAGTCAGCAACCCCTGTCGAAACTGGGACCTGGACTTGGTCGCGAATTCCACCGGATTGCTTCATACTTACGATAGCTCCATTCATCAGTCATCACATCGATGCCGATGCTCTACAACAGTGTCCTTGTCCCTCTCGTCCTCGTCATGCCACAGACAGTTGGCTGGATTATCAACGTTGACAGCGACGAGAAACAGAGATGAAGAGGCGCATTACTGGCAAGGCGGAGAATCACCAAGGAACTTTGTGCTCTCATCATGACACGTTATTCGTTTTCAGTCGAGAGTTTTCATGCCTAGAGCTCGTACTGAGGCCTTTGAGCATCCAAGCGACTTCAATAGTCTGAGTTGAGGACATGTATCATGCGAAGTCAAGATTCGCTCTGCACGGTCAATTACGAACCCGCTAACAGCTCGTGCAGAGGGAGCTAGGAAATGATTCTGACCATTCAAGGAGACCCGGTCTTTCCATAAAGCAGCTACAGGTAGGTGCATTTCAACAGGCTTGGGGATTTCCTGGCCGGCTTCCCAGAGAGGGTTTTTGGGGTTGGAAACTTGATCCCAGAGAGTGTTAGCACGTCGAAATTCTCTTTCTTCAGAAGGTATATGCTAGTCCTCCGTGTCCCAAGCAGGGATTTTCTCAACATTGACAAATGCAGCATATGGAGTGAGCATTAATCCTTGGTGCATGCTGACCGATTGACGAATGGGAGTGTTTCGCATCGTGAAACCTGGGACGACTCACAAGGGACGAGACAGTCTGATCTAACATGTGCCGGAGCAGCAGGCGGCAGACCGTCTCGGCTCCTCGGCCTGCACCAACCCCCTCTACGACTCCTTACGGCATGCATTGTCATGGAAAATCTGGTAGGTGCATGACGCCCGAGTACGTAATGTTCCAACAGACGACCAGGTTTGTTTCGCCAATTCTCTTGAGTCGGCCATCGCCGTGGGACTGACCAGTCGGTCGAAAGTCGAACGATGATTAGGCCTGCCGCAACGCTGCAACGCTGCAATGCAGAATATCAGTGGCACCGCGAGGGTCCCCTTGGGCTGTCTCGGGCTTACTCGAGGCGTCGCAGCCGTGTCCTTCATAGTTAGGAGATGCAGGAATGAAGCATCTCGTAAAGCAGCTGCGGCTTGAACTGCAGCCCTTGGAAGATGGACAAGATGGCTGGCTGGCTTTTGCAGTTGCCGTCCGAGCCGACCATAATCTTCCCGCGAACTTCTCGAAACCCGTTATCCTGTCATTTGGACGAGGAGCTGGGTGGGCAGCGATTGCCCCAGACCACCCACTTTTGGGACACCACTGGATTGGCCACCCCCCTGACGAATTAAAACCATTCGGATATCTGGAACAGTCCGCAATCTTGAGGTTCGATACCGTGATGGTGAGTCCATATTGGCCTCTGGCAATGAGAATGAGAATTGCAAAGAGTCTTGCTGACTTGAGTCTGATTTTGCCTCTGCTAGCGAGATCAAAGGTCGTACTTTGTCTGATACAGGTCTCAAATGATGGGTCAATTGTCATGACGATTCCTCGAGCAATGAGGTAGAACGCTTGTGAGACATGAGCAGAGACATGTACACATTTCACAGCAGAAGCAGCAGCACCAGCTACCGCTTTTCTATTCCATTTGACCTGTAGCTGGGAATGATTGTGCCTACTGATCATGATATCGCATAACTTGAAGCATATTCAATATCTCGTGGCTGGTGCAAGCGTGTCTTCTGAAAAGGCTTGTTACTCCCTTCTGAGAGACGCGGTTCTCTAGCTATTACTCTATGCCTCTAGGGATAGCCTGCCATCCTGGCTCAATCTCAATCTGTCGTGCGGTCTGAATACAATATCTCAACCCAGCCTTCACCATCCATTGGCTCCTATTTGTCCATCCCTCAGCTTCACAGGCTTGCATATACTCAAACCTTCCCTCTGCGATGACAGAAGGCCTGGGCAGAAAGATGTCTTTATATCTCACCCTCGAATTGTTATGGTTCTCCTACTGTCTCATCGTCAGGCACTGCCTCTCGAGTCCTTCCCCTGTCTATCGATAGGATTCATCGAGTTGTAAAGATTGGTTAGGAGACACGCACTAACTATACAGAGAGCTTGAAAAAGAGAAAGAGCACAGCTTTGTCCGGAGTTCAAGTGAAACAGATACTGGGAGACCACGACAGCAGCGTCTCTACAGGCGTTTATGTGCATATGAATGCCATCTTGTCACAACTTCACGGCCTTAGACCGCGAACTGTGTCTCCTTGGATGAGGATGGAAGCTATGGCTGTATGTCTTCTATATATGTACTTGGTAAGTTCAGCAGGTCTGCTTCCACTGGCTTGGGCAGGCACTTAGTGGGTCGGGTGCCGTTGTTGAAAGCAGAGCAGGCGCAGCGCCAGTGTCATGATTCTCTGCTGTCTCACTAAACTCATCTCACCACGAACACGAGAGAGGGAGAGAGAGAGAGAGAGAGAGAGAGAGAGAGAGAGAGAGAGAAATTCAATGTCTACCTAGTTGCAAGACACAGCTCCTGCCATCTCACAGCTCCTTCCGACCAGCCGGCGTAACAGGCAGGCAGATATCAAGTCCTGCAGGAGCAATGGTGACCAGGTTCAGGTCACATTAGGAAGGGGCGATGATCCAACACAACGATTGGATGGATATCTTTCTGTCTCCTCCATCATTCGTCGTGTTTCGGCCATCGAGAATGCTAAATCTCGCAGACCTGATAATGGCTGTGGAGGACTCCTCGATCGATGTGCACTTCAAGGATTGAACACCCAACTCGGGGTTTTGGGCTACTGTTCAACGGGGGTGGCGTGTCTGCACCTGCCTGAGTAGGCCACACGGGACCGGCAGGAGAATCATCCTACGACTCCGAATGACCTGATGTGAAGGTTCTGGGTCAGGGTGGTGATTGTGGTTATTTCGTGGTGTGGCTCGGGAAGACGACGTCTGAGGGTACGTGTTCATGGGCATCATGGGTATGATGAATCTGACAAGCAACATTCAAAATTACGAGATTATGGGGCATATCTCACTCCTGACCTCGTAAACTACCTTCTCGAGACGCCGGAGAGTTAAAAGTCGTCGCCAAGTCATGACGAACATCGAGGGCTGTGCTGTCGTACGTATGTAGAAGCATTAAAGTTTTAGACGTAAGGACTACTTATTTATAACCAACAGACCAAAGAAGAAGACCACTCTCGATTCAGCGGAATATCATCATTCCGATGATATATCACCTCCCATGGCTTAGTAAAAGCTACCTGACATCCCAAAGCAGACTAAAGAACGAGAGTGATGAAAATGAAAGTCGGGCAGTGGTGGCGCAGGGTGCGTGATGGAGGTCAGCGATGGAGAGTTTGGTATCGACAAGAAGATAATCTAACGACATATGGATTAGCTCAAAACAGGAGTCAATCTGGTTGGTTGAGACATGAGCCTTGGTGCTTGGTCGTTCCTGCCATTCGGTGATCTTGCCACCAGCATTCGTCAACGTTCCTTCCCAGAGATCGCAGACTGAGGCCGCATCGCTTAATATGATTGGACCATCTTGACCCCCCATATCTCCATGCCATCTTTATGAAACGCTTCTCTGACCACGACCTCCCCAAGAGATCTTATCCTCATTATCCTCACCATCCACTCTTTCGGCCGCGTCACGCGTGCATTAACATGCCTTAGATTCGCAGCCTGCCACTCCCACTGTTTGCTGGCAAGGGCTTCGGGCGCACCATGAAACGGCTCCATCCTACTTTCTCTCATTAGCATTTCCACACCAATCCATGACGACTCACTCCGCCTCCGCGTTTACAGACGCATGTGCTTCAGCTGTATAGAAGTCATATATATCCGTGCAACATTCTTTGTTTCTTTCCATGCGACCCATCATTATTGACCTGAGCAAGACGATTGGCGAATACTTGATCAGAGCCAACCAACGATATCGTTCATCCATATCAGCGTCCTTCTTCACCAGCACGCGCCCCGCACCTTGGCTTTTTCGACCCCCGTTGACGAGATTGAAGCAGAAGAATCATCAACAGTTGGGGACTATCACCTCCTCAATAAGCCATGGTCGCAAGAATGGGCAACCTGTCCGCCCTCAAGGACTTCATCTCCTTCTTGTCCACTGTACGAGGTGACATCTCTCATATTACCGCCCCGCCATTCATCTTAGCACCCTCTTCTCTCATCGAATTTCCATCTTATCTAGCCGAGCGACCTGCTCTGTTTGTCGCCTCCGCTCATGAAGATACTCCTGAAAGACGTCTTTTGTGCGTCCTAAAGCATTATCTCTCTTGTTTGCAACGCCAGTATTATGTTGGACGAACCGTCAAAGAGGGCCTCAAGAAGCCATTAAATCCTTTCCTTGGAGAGCTCTTCTTCTGCGAATATACCCAACTCGACCTGGACGATGAGAAGTCGTCTGCTGCCTCCGTTAGAGTCATTTCTGAGCAGGTTTCACATCACCCGCCAACTACGGCCTGTTATCTCTCTTCAGACGAACACGGTGTTCATGCCGAGGCATATTCCACTCAAGTCACAACCCTTTCTGGAACATCGGTTCTGATCCGGCAGTCTGGCCACGCCGTGGTCACCATTGACAAGTTTAACGAGAGGTATCTGATTCCCTTACCGGATGTCACTGCTCGTAGTGTCATAACAGGCATGCCATGGCCAGAATTGAACGACACATACAAGGTCATCGCCTCAAGTGGTTTCACTGCCCAAATCCGGTTCATTGGGAAAGGCTTTTGGGGAGGCGAGCGGAATTGCTTCGAAGCCTCCATCTACAAGACCAATGACTCTTCTGCAACGCCCATCTTCACCCTGCGTGGGAGCTGGAGTTCCCGATTCCAAATCTTTGACGCCGAGGGCAACGAGATCGATTCTTTTGACCTTGCTGATCCTCAAAATCAACCGGCACCCATGATTATTCGACCTATCCAAGACCAAGATCCTTGGGAGTCACGAAATGCATGGGGTCCGACTTTTGACGCCATCCGCAAGGTGAATCATTCTGCTGTCGTCGAGCAGAAGTCGAAACTTGAGACCGCTCAGAGGCATATGAGGAAAAAGGAGCATACAGAGGGGAGGAAGTGGGAGTCGACATTCTTCGAAAGGCGGAATGACACTAAATCCGATATGGTCGAGGATTTACTTGAGCAGCTGAGTCCTAGTGAGGCCCACAGAATGCGCGGCAAGAATGGCTGCTGGAGATTCAGCAAGGAGAAAGAGCAAAGATGGAAGGCTGGTCAAGGCCCATTCCGGCCCAAGACTCCTTTTGGATGAAGCGAGCGACCCGGAACCACCCACATTATATTATCGTCCTTGGCTCCCTTACGACTACGGTCATTGTGCAACGAAGGGCCATTCCCCAACCTAGGGTTTCACAATCACCTAGAACTGAGACAGCTTCCTAAATCTAGACAACACTAACATATAGCGACGGCGCATTTTCGAAGGCTCTATCCTCAATTCCACCGAGAAGACCACAGTTGCTTGACTTGGGGCCGACATGCGGATAGCGGCAGAAGCAGCTTGGAGCACACCTTCTCCGGCCGGAGTGTCTATTGGGAGGGGAAGTGCATTGCTACTTCAGGGGATGTATGGTGGAAGTCTGTATGACCAAGTCAAGACCCAATGGTTTCGGAATATTTCTCCGAGTAGAAGACTTGCGAGTGCAAGGCAAGGCAAGGCAAGGCAAGGCAAGGCAAGGCAGTTGAGATCCAGTCGGAAGTTTGGCAGAAGTGAGGCAGTTCCTGCCGTGCTTGGAGCCCCGGGTGTGATGGATACAGTTCCTGCCTTGCTTTGTCCAGATGACATATGTATGACACTTCCTCCTGCAGCGGCAGGTGCGATGGATGTCGTTCAGAATGCCCAGTTTGGGCAGTCACGGGCGAAGGCGAGCGAGCACTTGCTTGGCCCGCATCAATTCTCCTCGAACAAACATGACTCAACCGCTATTTCTCAGAATCCATGAGATTCCCATTCTCTCTGCCTTCTTCTTTACACTACTACGCAGTTTTGTCGGAGCACCCATGATCGTGTCTGAGATGTCATATAATCATCCTTTCATATGCAGTCACTCGGCGCCGGCATGACAAAATCCTCTTCCTAAGTCCCAACCTGCCTTGGGACGCCATGAGCCCAACAAGAACCTCAAATCAAGTCGTTATCGAGATATATATCCAAGCCTCCCGCTGCAACAACATATTTATCAGTCACCCCAAACGCTCGTTCAAACCTCCATGACTTCGTCCTGCCAACCCCATTGTTCCCTCAGATCCTTGAGCCGTTGCGCTGTCGACAGCCCTGTATCCTTTTCAACATTATGGAGTAGGTCTACCACCACTTTTCGGTCCTGGTCCTCTTCAAAGCAGACCCCGGCCAAGTATAGCGAATGCACCATCTGCCGGCTAACCGCTGGGGGAGGCTTGCCCAATGCAATGCCACAAATCCGCCGACTGTGGTGCTCCGATTCTTCCGACACCTTCCGGAACATCTGCAGTCGTTTGGCCAGATGCTTTGCGTCCTTCTCATCGACGGGCTGGTTGAGCACCAAAAGAATCTGCGCAAAATGATACAATTGCAACGCCGCCGCGCACAACGGCACGCTGTAATACAATTTCACAAACCGATTCTTGTGTTCTTCTGTCGGCTCAGAATCACTCTGTGCAGTCGTGCTCATCGTTGCATAAGGCTGAAACGTAAACGGAAGACTGTCGTACCATTCCTGGAGTTGCTGTCGCAGATGACCCCATTTTTCGATCCGTTGTTGAATCGACCTTCCCGCTGAGGGCGCACCGCGGGGTCCTCGGATCCCGCTGCCAGGCACACCGGATGGTGGTACTTGGTCGTCCTGTGGAGCGATGAAATTCATCACGCGAAGCACAATCCAGATGAGTGAGCAAGCTACCGAATCTTCTCTATCGCTAGGCAGATACGACAACCCAGCATTGGTCGTCGTCTGCGCCCCATATGTCAACACACCTTGTTCCGTGACCGACAGTCCAGCCGCGCGCCACATGGTCAGGTTTTCCGTGTCAAGGCGGGTCTTGGAATTGTTCACGTACGCCGCAATGTAGTCGGCGCGGGCAAAGTTCCAAAACGCAGCCCTACCTGCTTTCATCGAGATATAAGGATCTCCTCTGGGCCGCGGAGCAGACATGGCTTGAGGGAGGATCTTCGCCTCCAGCAGAGCCTTGAACCCGTCGAGATGCCTAAACATACGGTTAGTGGCAACTTTCAGTCACCCGGCGGCGAACGTGACAGCGAGAGTGGGTAATATTGCTTACTGCGACCACCCATCTGTAGACGAATCCAGCGTTTCATACAGCGACAAAACCGAAATAGCGGCCAGCAATGGTTCCATATCTGCCCCGTGCGATTGTTCTTGGAGTCGACGACGCTTATTCGGCGAGTTGAAACTCTTGTGGCTGTCTTGCGCGGACTCAGAGAAGTTCCGAAGAGCATTGTATCGTGAGGCGTGGCCCGTCAAGCTAGTCAGATCATTCCCTGGGTTGTTCAACCATCGCTGAAGGAAGATCCTTAGGTACGAGATCCCTCGGTCGTAGTAGTTGGCAGCTTTGTAAAACCAGTCGGCCGGTTGCATTCCTACGTTGGCCGAGTCTATTATTGGCAGGAGATGAGCCAAATCCTCTCGAGGGGCTTTGTTGGCTATCAGCTGCCCAATTTGGTTGGCAGCTACCGCTGCCATGGCCGACCGTAACATGACATTCTGGACAGCCTTGACAGGGACAATCCGGCTGAAGTAGGTATCTAGGTCAAATAAGTCAAGCCAGGGAGATATGGCCTGTACAAAGTGCCGTGTCAAGCAAGTTAACTCGGTAGTCCGCTCATTGAGGTATTTTTGACTATATTCAGTGCGTTTACGGCGCCCTTCAGATCTAAAAAACGGCGTCGTGGTTAGCCACAAATTTCAGTATGTCTTTGATTCCACCTGGATATGGATGGACCAAGAGCAGATGACACTCACCCATCAGTAGATGCTGACCTGCCGCCAATCGATGCATAGTCACTGGTCAGAAAGTCGTCGTCGGTCTCAGGCTCCGCAGCATCCGATGCAATGACCGGAAGACCAGGGATGAAACCGCAGGCATTGTTACCGTTTGCGTAGTACATGTCAATGTCAAGGTCAAAATAGTCATCGTCGACGGAATAGTCGAGTGAAATCTCCGAAGGTGCATACTGTTGTTGACCACGGAGAAGTTTCGCGGTTGGATGCTCGGTTGGCTCGGGTTGTCCTTGATCTGCGTACCGACCAAGGTCGTGCCTGAAAGGCGGGAGCGTATTGGCAACAGTCGGTAGAGCAAGAGGCGGGCTCCCTTGTTGGACTGGCTGTACCGGCTGGACAGGCTGTACCGTGGCAGCATATGATGGGACTGAATTGGACAGGAAGTCAAAGGTAGAGTACCTGGAATTACCCAAAGGACTCGGCTTGAATGTGTTTGCGGGGAAGGCCGATGTCAGTGCCGGCGAGGGGGTCAGAGGTGGGAGGATGTTTGATAGTTTGGGGCTTTGATCCCGTGAAGGAGAGGAATATTGTTGTGTACCGGGCGACGTGTTGTCGGCCAGAATACCGGAGAGGAATCTAGAGGAGACCTGGGATGGCGATGTGGGCGTTGGAATGGAGGTTAGGCCTGTTCTCTGATATGGAGGCATTGTGTTCGCCGGGAGGTCGTGGCCATTGGAATTAGGATTTGGACTGGGTTCGGGGTTGGGATTGGGCAATGAATTGGAATTGGAATTGGAACTGGCATTCTGGAAAGCCCCGTCATACTTTCTTCGAACCTTGGCCCCTTCATCAAGGAATTTCCGCTCGAGGTCGTAACCCGTGCATGGTCGCCCAAGCTTCTCACATCGAAAGCACCCCGGGAGTTTCTTGTCACACTGGAGGAATGGAGTGAGTTTGCAGTGGTCTGACTAGGCCAAAGAGGGCGGGCATACCTTGACGCGGCGGAGCCGGCATGAGTTACAAGCACGATCGGCGTGTAACGAAGTATCCGTGGCTTCAGTCTCCATGCGAACTGGTGAGCCTAGTTAGACTGAAAAGCCTGACCAGCAGAAGACTTTCGGAATGGACGATTGTAAGGATGGTTCATGGGAGGAGGTCTCGTAGGAAGACTTCCTTGCCGGCCAATGCATGCGACAATGGGGTTCCAAGTAGAGGATGCTAGCTTGAAGTGGGAATGGAGGCCATGGATAATGCTTGGACCAGTAGCGGAGGTTTCGGGCATTGGAAAGCAGAAATCGTGATAGGATCCAGTACAAAGCGATGACTGATCTTCATCGATGGACGCCGTTGATGACTCCTCACAAAAGTCAACTAGTGGTCTGACGATAATATAAAGTAAGTGCGAGATTTAGCCAGTAGGCGTTGAAGCATTGTCAGCACGCAACGCCCAAAGCCTCGCATACTCAGTCGCACCTCCTCTCAATAATAATTCTAAGGGTCAGACCGTCACAATGTCAAAGCGGGGAAAGGGCGAACCTCGAGGCGAATGCCCGCATTCTGCACGTGATGCAGAGATGTTTGGTGAGCCTTACAAGCTTCCGATCTCGCCTCTTGGGATGAAGAAGGGGATTGCTCGCTCCTTTCAACCTCAAACAAACATCACAGTCCGCATCTTGCCAGATATAATATCTACGTGCCCTCGCCTTTCAAGATCTGGGTCTCTTTTTTAGTGTCGCTCGCACAGGCACGAATGTGGGATCACCGCCCTTCGCTCGCGCCTGCTTCTTCCGGATTCTCTCGCCCATGACTACCTTTTGTGGTTAGGCAGAGCAATGTCTCTGACCATCCAACGAGTGAGTCTCTCTTGACTTCATGTCATTCTCATGAGTCGTCTGTCGTGATACTGACCTTCACTAGCTGTTCATCTACCCTGTGAAATCCCTGCCTCCCGTCGAGGTATCCTCCGTCGAGCTCACCAACGAGGGTTTACGCTTCGACCGGAGTTTTGTTCTCGTCACCCCTCCAGAGGATGACACCAGACTGGCCAAGTTCCTCACCATCAAAAAGGTCTTCAAACTATGTCTCTTTAAGCCTGTGATCGACGAATCATGGACCAAGTTGACCATCACTCACATCCATGCACAACCGCCTTCTTCAATCACCATACCCTTGACCCCATCCCCTTTGTCCCTACTCCAGAATCAGACATACGAGGTCAGCATCTTTGGAACCACTGCTGTCGGCATCGATCTGGGCGATGAACCTGCAGCCTTCTTCTCAAAGCATCTCGATCAAGAGGTGAGGTTGCTGACCATCGGTGGCACCGGTCGCCGTGACATCCCAGGCGCCGCCTACGTTCCTACGCAGAGAGATGCTCTTTCTCTTGCAATTCGAGATGGTCTTCAGCCCCAGCGGATTCGGTTTGCCGATGCTGCGCCGTTGCTCATTACATCCACTGCATCCGAAGCTGATGTCAGGTCACGGCTGCCCATTCAACATCAGAACGAAGATGTGATTCTGCGCCTTCGCCCAAACATCCACATCGATGTTCAGGGTCAACTCCCTGCCTATGATGAGGACAATTGGGCTTCATTGCTGGTCCGATCCAAATTGGACGAGGCCCAAGAAGTCTCTATTAAATGCATCTTTCGTACGGTCCGTTGCCTCAGCTTGAATGCTGACCCGGAAACCGGCGAGATGATCAATAGGGATCGCCAACTATATGGCCTTCTGGCAAAAGATAGGAGAGTCAACGACAAGTTTCCACGTAAGTTCTTCTCCTCTTTTCTTCAGCAGAATGGATGATTGATAGTGTAACAGATAAGCCCGTCTTTGGGCAGTACGCTTTCGCTGGTCCTTCTGGAGCAATCCTTCGGACTGGAGACAAAGTACAAGTGATGGAGAGAGTACAACGTGATTAATCACAAGATCTGATAATTAGCCAGCAACATCCATTTTTTTTATGGTTCTCAGACCATGGATTTCCATAGTTCACTTTGAACCAAGAAGGAAGATTTGGGAATAATGTGGGAATTGATTACATATAGATTTCTAGCCTCGACGTTGATATGCACTTTGATTTTATATGAAGTAAAAGTACTGTAACTTGTCTAAGGTACCTGACTTAGAACTGATTGTAGCCCTTGGTGCCTGGGCGTGCCTAAGGTACCTAGGTACCTATGTACCTTACCTTGACAGGGGAAAGCATCACTGCGAACCTTAGGCGGAAGTTGGGGCTGGCTCTTACTGCGGTCCTGGCCGAGGGGCGCCTACGCACAGACTTTTAGGCTTCTCGGCGCCCTCTGTGCTGTCCAACCCCCCCAATACGAGCTTCTCTCATTGTGGAGAGCGATGGATAACCAACCATCTCATCCATCCTCCAACTCATCTGGACGTCAGTCCCCTTTTGAACCCTCCCTGCACCTCCGCTCATTCCTGCTGTACTCTTCAAGGAGGCATCTTACATGGATCGACTTCGCCTTCTACACGAATTACGATGTTGAGCGGCATCCTGCTCTTCAATCAGAAGGGCGAGAACCTCATTTTCCGGGCATTTCGGCCTGACTGTCGCCCCCGTCTCGCCGACATCTTTCGCATTCAAGTCATCTCGAATGCACAAGTCAGATCTCCCATCCTCACTCTCGGCTCCACCACTTTTAGCCACGTCAAGCATGAAAACATATACATCGTGGCCGTCACCAAAAGTAACGCCAACGCCGCTGTCGTCTTTGAATTCATCTACAGATTTATAGGACTGGGCAAACAGTACTTTGGCAAGTTCGACGAGGATGCCATCAAGAACAATTTCGTCCTTGTCTACGAGCTCCTCGATGGTATGTCTTGTCCTGACGCGCGAGTCTTGCTCTGTGCATCGTTGCCCCTAACCTGCGCTCAGAAATCCTCGATTTTGGCTATCCTCAGAACACCGATGCCGATGTCCTCAAGATGTACATCACGCCCGACAACATCTCGTCCGCCATCCGGTCCGTGTCGGCGGCTCCGAGCGACCTATCCAAAATCACCATGCAGGCCACGGGCGCGCAGTCTTGGAGAAGAGGAGACATAAAATACCGCAAGAACGAAGCTTTCGTCGATGTCATCGAAGATGTCAATCTGTTGATGAGTGCCACCGGCACCGTTCTACGTGCAGATGTGACCGGTCAGATCGTCATGAGAGCATACCTCAGCGGCACTCCGGAATGTAAATTTGGTCTCAATGACCAGTTGGTTCTTGGGCAGAGTGGACAGGCGGATGGCCCGGTTGGTAATTCAGACGGCAACCGCAAAGCCACCCGGGCCGCAGCAGGCTCGGTCACGTTGGAAGATTGTCAGTTTCATCAGTGTGTCCAGCTGGGCAAATTCGAGACCGATCGAACCATCTCATTTGTTCCGCCAGATGGGGAATTCGAGTTGATGAGATATCGAGCGGTTGAAAATGTCAATCTCCCATTCAAGGTCCACGCCATCGTCCGGGAAGTAGGGACGACCAAAGTCGAGTACAGCATTGCCGTCAAGGCCAACTACGGTAGCAAACTCTTTGCTACTAATGTTGTCGTGCGAATCCCCACACCCTTAAACACAGCCAACATTAGCGAGCGAAGCACGCAGGGAAAAGCCAAATACGAGCCCGAGAGCAATTGTATTGTGTGGAAGATTGCTAGATTCGTCGGTGGCAGCGAATTTGTCCTGAGTGCTGAAGCGCATCTGACCAGCATGACCAACCAAAAGGCCTGGTCGCGACCTCCCTTGAGCCTCAATTTTTCCCTTCTGATGTTTACGAGTTCTGGATTGTTGGTCCGATACTTGAAGGTGTTTGAAAAGAACAACTACAGCAGTGTCAAATGGGTCCGGTACATGACAAAAGCGGGTAGCTACGAGGTTCGATTTTGAGCGATCTTTTTTCTTGTCAACGAAGAGGCTGGCTCGGCCATATCATGTGACAAAGATCACGTCTGTTTGTTCAACAACATGAGATACGATGTGTCACATTCCCTCGAATCTCCCTGCTGCCGACGATTCTCGAAACTCTGCCTGGAGGGCAGATCAAGACAAACATTTCTTTCCGCCAGGGCGTACGGGGAATTAGTTCGAAAGTGTCCTGGCATTTTCTAGACCGTTGCATTGGTTGGCGGTGCTTTGAACTTGCATCCTCTCCCCTGAGGAATCGGCCTCCGTCGTTTGTCCAATTCCAGGTCAGCCCCAATCCGCACGAAATTGCGGGGCGATGACCTACTATAGGTATAGACCGGACCGCGCTGCAAATAATTTGGCAAATCGAGGGAAATGAAAATGGTAGACAGCTCAGCATCATGATGGTCTGATTTGGAAGGTTTCCCATCCATGCCGCCTTGACGACGACACTTGGACCGTCTGTCGCTCTCTCTGGAGCTGGCAGAATGGTCGTCTATGTATGTATATGGTTATAGTAAGGACATTCAAGAACAAATCCGGGTATCTAGACAAAATCAATGCCGGTATCCTCGGCTCTAGATCGGTTCAAATACATTCCTCTGCGCAATGCCCAAGGCTGAGGTAATGACACAGCGGGACAGGAATGAACAAGACGACAACGTCTATCCCTACAGCTTCGATCACCAAGAAGCAATGTCTAAATCAGGTCTGTGGGTTCTGCCGCCTCTCCTTAAACCCACATTGCCTTCTCCGACCAAAAGACTCCAGCGCCGGCCCAGACTGTCTTTGTCCTTGCCCAGCCGCCTGGCGCAGTCGTTCCAGTCGCGCTTGGACAGGCGGAGCTTCTCTAGCACCATCTCCACGAGTATCCGATCGTCATCGACAGACCATCCGGCGTCGTCGATCGAGGGCGACGAGCCATATGCTGAATCGCCATCGCCGTCGCGGTCGACGGTCGAAGATTCAAGATTCCGGGGTGGACTGATGACTGTAGGCATATTTAGATCTTCTTGGTCCGTCAGACATTCCTCGAGAGGTGTCTCTAGAGCGCGGAAGTCATCGGCGGAAAGGCCCAGGGGCATGGCCAAAGGGACACGCCGTCGCCGCTTCGGTGTCCGTAATCGCGGTGGGGTCCGTTGGCCCAGCTCGAACTGGTCTTGCATCACTGTGTCGGCACAATTCAAGTCTTGTTCAAATGTGCTTCGCCGTCTCTTATTTGCGCCACGACAGGCTTGCGCGGGTCTGGATTCGTGTTGCTCATCTCGTTGGACTCGCGAGATGCGTCGAGGTCGCGCAGGTTGTTGTACAGGCGCGAATGGGTTGGCGAGCTCCCGTGTCAATTGTGGGGTGTTTGATTGAGCGAGGGATGGTGATTGTGAGCCGAGAATGGCGTGAAGGGCGCGACAGCTCGAGGCGATGGGGTTTGCGCCGTGAGGTGGCTGCGATGAGGTGGACGCCTGCGGTTGAAAGACTCCGAACGAAGGTAGCTTTGGTCGCATCAGAGGTCTGGTGGTCTCTGAGAAGGCTGCATCGCAGCCCAGGGTAGATGGGAGTAGCATGGCCAATGCGCTGGCCGGGGGGACGGTGTCGGGTTGGTGACGTGCTGCGCTGGTCGATGCGCAGAACGACAGCTGCGACTGCTCCGGGCTGGTCGCTCACCGGGTGGTAGGCGTGGAGTCAGGGATTAGAAAGGTGAACGAGGTCTCTACGCGCATCAATGCGCACGAGCCTGTGATCAGTTGATTTTGAGGCGACGTGAGGGCAGAGGATGGGTCGAATCCAGTCGTATGTATGACCTGTGTGTGGTGGAGGGAGAACAGAGAGAAAGAGAGAGTTTGGGATGAACGGGATCATCCATACTGCCCGAAACCTGACAGTCTGTGGATAAGGTCCACTGCGACGGCGCGCTCCCGCTGCCAGCAGGCGGATGGGATCCATCAGACTCTGTTGTTGAACGCTGTTTGGATGGACTGCAGTCTTGGGCGATTGGACCCAGGGGCCTATCTTGGCTGATCTGATCGACCTCTCAGCGTGTTTGAAAGTCTCCGAACTCGTCTCGCCTACAGGTTTGGGTGCATTTTTAGTGTCCTGTTCGAGAGTCGAGACCCTGCCCGGTGAGGTTGATCAGAGTTCGAGAGACAGGGGTTTTGCCCTTTGGGGGTGGGCGTGAGACACCCCCGACTGTCCCATATTCGTCATCTCAGTTGGAGCTCTTCGCTGCTGATAACGTTAGAAGAGTTACCTCCAATTCCAGCAGAGCTCCATTCTACCAAGTATGAACTGAATGTCAAAGCTAATAATAGTGCCCTACGTCCAACAAATGCGCCGGAGTGAATACTTTGTCCTTCATTTCAGAAAATGGGCAGCACCTTGTACCGTTCGATCCCCAAGAATGTATGACGCGTGACCCAGACTCAAACTGGTCGATGTCCAACCAAAACATCGATGTGAGGCCCGACACGCGGGAAGGTTGGACGATCATGGGACCCAATGTGCCTTCCCTAGACTGTAGCAGATCTACTTGGACGTTCCAGAAATTGGCCATGTTTTCTTCAGTGCCAAAAGCCAACAAACCTTTTCGTATCGTCATAACGGTCATGCATCGAACTCTGTCATCGGCCGATCCCACGACAGTGTTCCTATCATCAACTTGGTTCACGCTGCCAATCAAGCTCGGCGGGATAGTATCGATTGGCTTGAAGGCGGCATGGCTGGGGAAGTTTCCTGCACTTTGCGCTGCCGTGGTCGAGGGATCCTGACCTTGGACCTGGTGATAGCTTGGGGGTGACGGACATGGGTCTGCATCAGATGACCGCTCGTTGATTCTGTTGCAGGTTTCAGATAGCCTGGAGGACTGCTGAAGAGGTGACTGGTCGGTGACCAACCAAGATTGCTCGCCGGTTTGCAAGTCGTTAGCCTGGTCATCGATGCCTCTCAAATTGAGGTTTCCGTCCAGATTAGGAAGCTCAATTTACGCGCGACGCGTTCACGCGTTGAAGCTAGTCCAGATAAGGTTTAGTCATGTCTGCGTTATCAAAGACCAAGCATTTCATCATGTGATGTGTGCGTCCCCTCCCTTTATCTTCATGTCCAAACCCTTCTCCTACTGAGTAGAGAAGGCTACTGTCACTCCGAGATCCACCAAAGTGTCGAGTCTGGAGCTTTTCTGGATATAGAACGGTTGCGGAGCCACGGGTGGAGCCTCTTGAGTGCCTTCAGAAGCTGCCACAGGTATCTACGAGCATCTCGACGGAGATCGGTTCTGGAGCCAGGAATTGAGATCTTGTCGCCCAACTTTGGGGCTGGGGGAAACATAGTTCATTGGATTACATGATTCATGAAAAGTCTAATTGGATCCTTTGTTAAACTATGATTCAAATCGCTGTAGGATCGGCCCGTCTGTAGCATATCAACCCAACCCCACCATTGTTGACCCTTTGACCTTGACATGATTGCACATAATCAGGTGTCGAACTTAATGCGGCCTTTGCCATGCGGTAGGCTCCGAAGGCATAGAGTATGGTCCAGTCTGCGGTCGAATCTGGAGGATGTTGACGGTTTTTGTAATCGACCTTTGCGAGACAAGATTCCCAAGATAGAGCAGGTAGACTCTCGTGACTTTTGACAGGATTAGTTTTGAGACCGGACCAAATTGTTCTCGCTCAGAAATTCAAAGGTGTCGAGTTCAAGGTCAATGCCGCGCTCTGGAGAATGGAGTAGGCACGCGGTACTGGTTCGTGAGGTCTTTGGCCCAAATCTCCCAAACTCGCGCAGGCCAATGCCCGTCTCTAGCGCAATATAGTGGCAATCTTGAGTCTAGTATTCCACAGCAGCGTAGGAGACTGCTGATGGATATGCTTGAGGCCAAGATGAGACATCTGAAGATATGATGCTTCTGCTTCACTCATGATCTTCTCAAGTATATTAGACAGGGGCTGTGCCGCCCAGTTTGCGGTAGGAGGGGTCATTTTGCTCCGAGAGTGGTTTCGTAGGTATTCTCTGCAGGTCATTGTCCACATCCCCGTGGTAGAAAGGTTCCTGAATTTTGAACATGTGCCTCGAAGCAGTGTTGGATCATGTTGACCTGTTTACACCGCAATGTCGATCAGTGACTTCAGCGAGATTTCTTCGAAGCCATCTTTGCCTTGCGTGCACGCTCAGAAGAGAAGACCATCTGATTTCTCGGCTTTCTTTTTGACACCTTGTGAATTTTGTTTGCGGCGATACGCTTTTTTTCAGCCTTTTTGGACCTGACAGGTTGTGCCTCTTGACCATCAAGGTCCATGTCTTGATCATTGTCCTTGGTTAAAGATTGTTGGTCTTTTTTCTGGTCCTTTTCTCTTTGTACTGAAGCGCTGTCAACTTCCATAATTTTGTCATCGGTAGGTCGAGATTTGGCGGCCAGTTCTTGAAGTTTTGCAGAAAGCCTTGCGGTTCGAGCGTCTGCTGCAGGACCAAACACTCTTTTGCGAAGGTTAGCATTGTTACGCTTCGTGTCAGAGGAACGGGCAGATTTTGCCATGGTGAAAAGAAGGACAGTGGTATACTCTGTTGACAATGTTGAGGGCAGGAGAATAATGTCGTGTTGCAAGCGAGGGAATCAGAACAGCCAGGAAAAATAAAAAAAGTATCCAAGCATGCGATTAGGTATTGAACCACTAGTAAGCTTAGTTCAGTGACCCACTAAGCACAACGAAGAGGGGCCCGAGGGGCCGGGGCAGGTCGCTGGGGGAAAGCAAGGTAAGCCCGCAGAGACTGCAACACCGTTAGTTCATTATTAGTATTATTATTGAGTCTTCATACATCTGCTGCCTCTACCTTAGATACCTACTTTGACTGCTCCCTATCGGCATCTCCCACACGGTCCATAAAATCATTCAACCATAAGTGATGTCTCCTCTTTGTTAGACAAGCAGTCGAGATGGGTATTGCATGTAGACTGGGCACAATCAATCGCAACATTCATCAATTGTCTTGACTTCAAAGACTTGTTTGATATTTGCTTACAGGAGGATTGCCTGTAGAAGTACTAGGTACGTATAATACTTACCTACGGAGGAATACATGATCTCTCTCTACGAACCTTGTTCAGGTCAAAAGGTGTGAGAGTAACGAGGAATCCACCACAGAACCTCTTAGTGCTGTTGCGGCCAGTAACGTGGAAGCCCATTGAGACTGTGGCCACCCGGGAATCCTGAGCACTCGTGGCACTCCAATTATTATTGATCCACCCTGTCCACCTCACTGTTCTCGCCCATACTCCATTGAAAATAAGTGAAGACAAGCCCCTCAGTGGCTCGGCCTAGCGCCTTGACAGGGACCGTTTTAACTGGACGAAAGCTGGGCGTCATTGAAAATCAAACTGCGCTCTCGAATTCGCCGCAACGACACCTCGTCGTCGCCCGTGGTCCGTCGCCCAACCTTTCGAGCCGCATCCTTGTCTTTGCATGGCGACTACAGCCTTTCGACATCAACCCGTCCTCGATCATCCCTCCCGAATTGCTCTTTACCTCTACTATACCACCTGCTTTAACTCTTTCCCAGTGCCTTAATCATATCTTGTGACTTTCTCCACGCTCGACCAATTCTCCGGCAAACTCATCGTCGGCCTACCGATCTGCGCCGGTTGACCATCTCTCACAATGGTCTACGCCCCTCGCCCTCTGTAACACCCGAGACACCCACCGTATAAACCTCGTCAGACCAAGCCATATCTGATCCTTTTCAAGTTGATTGTCAATATCTACAACCATGGCGGCTTCCGCCTACAGACAGAGCCAGACACACGACCAAGTCTCGGCGCTCGTTGGTCAGATCAAATTACTCACCGTCGACAAGTTAAAGAATCTTCTCAGGCTCGAAAATCTTCCAGTCTCTGGTGTCAAATCAGAGCTTCAGATCAGAACAATTGCATGTATGCCACTGCTGCTCCTCCTCCCCACTCGCCTCTTGCGAATCACGCACTCTCTAACTTGAGATCAGACATTGAAAAGTTGAGGAATAACAACGATCAAAGAAGCCTGGAACGAGTCAAAGGACACGTCAAAAGCTTTTCTCCCGGCTACACTTCCAATTATTCGAACTCCTTCCAGTCTCACACTACATCATCATCCGCTTCCAGTTTTGCCTCACCCAACCATCATCACGTCTTTGTCTTACCCGGGTCCACTTCCGCACCCAGTAAGTCACAATTCCAAACTCACATGCTCCTCAAGCGTACATCTGACATGGCACCAGATCGTATTGGCTTCAAATATTCCCCCTTCTACGACATCGACAGGCCATTGACTCAGACTCTCGAATGTAAAGGTGGGTCGAATTGGACCTGTTCCGGTGGACACAAACTGACTGGCAACAGCCCGCGAAGGGACACGAGACACCGCACGCCTCACTGTCTCTCTGAGTCAACAACTAATCGATCAACTCGAGGGCGACCCAAAATGGCGGATCATGGTCTTTTGCGCCTCCGAAGGGTTCTCTTCTCTTGCCCGCGATGCAGATATCACTTTTCCCCATAATGTGGAGTTAAAGTGTAATTCGGACGAAGTCAAGTCCAATCTGCGTGGCCTGAAGAACAAACCTGGATCCACTAGGCCAGCGGATGTCACACATCTCATCAAAAAGAAGACAGGTTACCCCAACACTGTGGAAATGGTATATGCTCTGACCACAAAGGTGCGCCCACAAAAATTTCCCCTCTACTTTTCGCATTTGTCAGTATCTAAAATCATGAACGTCCATGCTAAATAGAAGGGCCACGCACAGAAATTTTATCTCGTGGTGAATCTGGTGCGAAAAGAGTCTATCGAAGCATTGGTCTCCAAAATTCGACGAGGCAGGGTTATCACCAAGGAACAGATTGTGCGAGAGAGTAAGTACACATCTTGTCTGGCAATTCATCATCTAACAACCTTAGTGCGATCCAAAGCCGAAGACCCGGAGGAATTGGTTGCCACTTCTACTGTTTTGTCACTGAAAGACCCTGTTGCCTACACCAGGATTGTCACGCCTTGCAGAGGCATCGCCTGCAACCACAATCAATGTTTCGACGCAGCAGCCTACCTTCAATTGCAAGAACAAGCCCCTACTTGGACGTGTCCTATCTGCCAAAAGTCCGTCCCTTGGGCCGATCTCGCTCTAGACATGTATGTTAACGACATCTTGACTTCAACTCGCCGTGATATAGATGCGGTAACCATTGCCCCCGATGGGAAATGGTATATTGCAAAGAACGACTCAACCACTTCCGAAGTGACCGGACGAGGAAATCCTACTCCCAGCGATGAGGAGGAAGATGACGATGACTTGGTCGAAATTCGAGATGAAGAGCCAGTCCCACCAAGAGCAAGGGTGGAAATCTTAACTCCTCACAGTGTCAGGACACCACCTTTATCCTCACGAGAAGACTCCCGGGCTCCCTCCACCTCCGCGCCGAGGTCTTCTCAGAAAAGACCCCGTGACGACTTTATTGATCTTACGCTCAGCGACGAGGAGGACGACGGCCCAGACCCGAAAGTCCAAAGGACCATGGCACCCAATCCAGATACATTAAATCGATCTGGACCCGCACCAGACCGCTTTTACTTGAACATACCACCGCCAGACTTGCCTCGATACAACTATGACCGGTATGGCTCATCCTATTGATTTTGAGACTGTGCTCTCTTTCTTCACAGCGTTGGCGTTGGAGGATTTCCAGGTTTTGCAGCTGTCAGCTGTCAGCTGGCTTTAAGGAGGGATTTTCGCCCAGCATGACTATGTACTATGTCCAAAGAAGATGTAGTGGTTTTTGGGAGGATATGAGCTTAACGACATAGCCTGCATGAGATGGAAACGTTGGCAGAGATCTTCATCACCTTGACTTTTGACATCCATGTCGGCATCCCATTGGCCCCAGAGCGGATCACTTTAGCACTCACAGTGTCCACATCCAAAGAATCTCTAATCCCCAGAGAATACAGAAGGCCGAATGCCCCCGATCTCAAATGCAGCTTACACGCTAGGAGTTCTTTGTCGCTACGTGGTCATATTGGGCTGGTTGAGACAATCAAATCCATGGCGAAGATTTATTAAGCAAGGCCAAGCAAGGCGAGGGGGTGGTGCACGTGAGATTAGATTAGATCAGATGAACTTCCCCAAATTCTCACTCGAACCATTCAGGGTTTCAAAGAGTAATAAAAGTCACATTTGCTCCTACTGTAACGCAATATCGCAATATCTTTCACCGAATATGTGGAACGGGTTGTCCTGGCCTCATTGAGAACCCTGTTGACGTCTGTTTCCCAACCACGCGTGGTCTATAATCAGCAGCGTGTCTGCTTTTCAACATGACATCTGATTCTGCGACCAGGTCATTTTCGCGCCCAGCTCATCTCGATCCAAGCGAGCTGGGGACAAAGGAGTAGTGAGTGCATCTCTGTAGAATTAAATCTCTGTTCCCAATTTTCCTTCCTTCCTTTTTATCTGTTGCTGTTGGCAATTTTTGTCCGATTTCCCACGACACACCTTACGTCCAAGTGGGTGCTGAACTACCAAGATGGGCCGGGGGGAGGGGGATCAAGAATGACGAGTCTAACATTTGATTTCCATCTCCAGTTGGGACAACTACTACCAAAATGACCTGGACAACCAAGAATCCTCAGACAATGAAGGCAGCCAGGACGGCGAGGATAACGACCAGGATGACGCACCCAAGAATGAGGATGACAATCAACTCGACCCATCAGATCTGGAATCATGGTTCGACGATGTCGGCGCGCCGGCCAAAACTCTTGCCTTCTTGACATCGACTTCCTTCCCCCTGTCTCCGAACTACGACGAGCGAGCAGCTCAAACTCCAGCAGACACCCACGAGAGCGACGACCACCTCACAACGCGACACCCACGCTGCCAGCCTACGGTGCTCGACCTAGGGACGGGGAATGGCAGCGCCTTATTTTCGCTACGGCTGCACGGTGGGTATCAGGGCCGGATGGTGGGAGTGGACTATTCGAAACAGAGCATCGAGCTGGCAGCGAGGCTGTGGCGCCAACTATCAGCGAACGAGCCCTCCTCGTCAACCTCGGCTGTACGGCAGTCGCATAGCGGCGACGAAGGCGTCGTCCATGCCGCATCCGACAGTGGTAATTTGACTTTTGAGCTCTTAGATCTGATACAAGACGACCCTGAATCGCAGCCATGGTGGCCGCGCGATCAACAGGGCAGTGACCAAGGTACTACTACTGGCTTCGACCTCGTTCTCGACAAAGGCACGTTCGATGCAATCTCATTATCATCGGCTGTTACCACCGATCCGCTCTCCAACACTGAACGACGTGTGTGTGAGCTGTATCCCGCCAAGGTTGCCAACATGGTGAGACCTGGTGGGTTTCTTCTCGTCACGAGTTGTAATTGGACCGAGGACGAGGTGGTTAGGTGGTTCACCGACGATCAACTACGAGGTGGGCCTACACTCGAGGTCTATCATCGCATCCGGTATCCTGTGTTTGAGTTTGGTGGCCAAAAGGGACAGGGCGTCGCGAGTATTTGTTTCAGAAGAAAAGGGATATCGGGAAATGCGACAAAGGCATCATCAATCATTGACTCATAAACATGTATAGTGTCATCCCTAGGCATCAACATGGTCTCGTCTGATTCCGAAAAGATCGGTACGATGACTTGCATTCCTCTATAACATCACATAGCCAGGCTGTGCCCTCTCCGCCATTACAAGCTACTATAGAGCATACCACAGCTTTAGCTCATCAACATGTTCACGGCCCATGGCACTGACAACTGGCGTAGATCGCCATAATGTTGGCCAACCCCAATAAATTGAACGGGCACGGAAGTGGCGTGGACCAAACTGATCATTGTGCCAATTCCTGATCCAACCGTGTCAATCTTTGACACAATGAAACCGTCAAGCTTACGGTTCTTGCCTAGAGCTTTGGTGAAGTTTTGTGCCTGTCCGACGGAGTCGTTTCCGACCAGTGCTTCCGCCACCTGTAAAATGAGGTCAGGCTTCGCCAAATCGACGAGCTTTTCGAGCGAGGCCATGAGTTGAGTGTTGGTATGGGCTCGCCCGGCCGTATCAATGAGAACAACTTGGTAGTCATTTGCAGCGGCAAAGGAGACTGCGTCCTTGGCCACGTTGGCCGCATCTTTGCCATAGCCTCGCTCATAGATGTTGACAGCCCCAAGGTGTTCTCTTTCTGTAAGCTCTTTGAGATTGCGCACGTGAACATTGAGCTGTTCTACAGCTCCGGATCTGAAGGTGTCACCTGCTGCAATGAGGACTCGGTAATTATTCTGCAAGAGAAAATAGCAGAGTTTGGACAGGTTGGTAGACTTTCCCACGCCGTTGACACCGAGGATGGTGATGACAAACGGTCGTGGCTGCGCTCTTGACGCTGACGGATTCGCCACTGACTCAATTTGCTGAAGGAGATCGAGCGAGGACCGGGGGGTTAGGATCTTCCTCAGTGAGTTTTCAAGCGCAGGTTTCAGAGCTGCGTCCAGCGATTCAAAGGCACCAGTCTTTTTCCCGAGCATTTCAACCTCAACCCCTTGACACATTCTGATGGCAGCATCTCGCGCAACATTTTTGTTGATCAGGTGTTCTTCCATGGATTTCAACGGGCCCTCCAAATCTTGCTTGGTGATGGTTTTCCCTCCGACAATATTCCTAAAGTATCCAGAGATGACACCAAACCTGGAGGAATCAGTGTTGTTGACGTCAGTCTTGTCAGATTCGGCAGATTTTAGGATTTTTGAGACTTCGTCGTCCAGATCCTTGAGCACGAATTGGCCTTGTTTGTTCTTGACTCCCCATGACTCTGGGCGAATGACTTCTGGTGGCGGAGATCTGAAGCCCGAGTCTCCAGCATCGGAATCGACAGCGGAATAGTCGAGATTCGTGTCTTCATCAGCTTCATCAGCAACACCATCAGGTCCCCAAACCCGGCCTTTCTTTGACTTTGATTTGGGCGTGACTGGTCTTCGTGCTTCATCACCTGACGATGCATTTGCGGATGTGATATGAGCCGCTTTTCTCGCTCGCCGTGAGCCTCGACTTCCAGGCCGCGCCTTTTCCGTCAGCAAATGACTGGCGATTCCTGGCAATGGTGTGGTCGGACGAGACGTGTCCGGCGACTGGACTGGGGAGTTTTGAAGAGAGTCACCGTTGGTAGTGGGCACAGCTCGTGGCTGCGCCTGAAATAGTTGAGGTTGGTTTGGGGGTGGAGGACCGCCATTGTCCCCTACTTCTGCATTGGACTTCTTCTCGTCCGAAACTTGGACTCTGGGGACATGTTCCAGGGGCTCCCCAATAGACTGGTCAAGTCTGCGCAACTCCTCATCAAAGTATTTGTCGAAAGGGTATTTCAAGGCTTGTGAGTCGACTTCTTCTAGCTGACCTCTGTAAACCTCGACAAAGATCGTCTTGATATCGTCAAGGAGCTTGTCGACCCATGTGAGATGTAACAAGGATTGATAGACAGCAACGAAAATAAGACCAAGATCTTTGACCAGAGTGTATTTCAGCGTATACTTTTCATACTTGTATGTGGGATTACTTGAGGCAGGTTGACTCGTTCGAACCCTTTCCTCAATGAAGACATCGTTGATTAAGCTATTCACGGCTGAGGCTCCGATGGCGGAGGTGGATCGCGACCACAGGACGACGCCAGAGGTGGTGAGGATCTCGAAGGCATCCAACATTTCGAAGGAGGAAGATTCGATCGATGCAAGGTACAATCGGAAGCTGGACGATAAAGGATGGAGTGATCCGGTCGCTGGTGAAGTATCGATCGGGGGCTGCGAACGACAGGGCAGCTTACCCCACGAGCGATGGATGAGGATAGTAGTAGTGTAGTAGTACTCCGTAGTGTTCTCTTGAATTTCCTGACGGTTGCGAGTGACGTTGAATGGTTGAACCGGTTGAACCTTCTCCTGTTAAAGCCACAGTCATCTTTAGCCACCCACGCACCTTCCGCCTCCCGCATGCTGTGGCACAGAATCATAGGTCTTGGCGGAGGTTTGCTGGCACGAGTGGCAGGCGCGACTGGCGGCTATAGAGTGGCTCATAAGTCACTTGTGCAACTACCAAAAGTTCCGCCTGCGAACCCGCAGTCGACGTTTGACCACGTCGACAACATCTTACACACACCAATTCCCATCCCTCACACCAAAGAAATTTGGCCACAACCAACGTGCTCCCACTTCGTCCTCATCGATTGTTCCTTCTCCATCCCTTGTTGACAGTCACCCCTCGTCCCAAAATATCCTATTCACCATGCAGCGACAACCATTCGCTCCACCCCAGAAGTCCCCCGAACTATTTCACCCCCGACCTCAGCACATCTCTCAAGTACCTATGATGAGGTCTCCTCCACCACCTGTCTCTCAGCAAGGCTCGCAACCCCAGGTTAACAGCTATGGAAACCCCTATCCCCAGCAGGGGCCAGGCCAGAGCTTTGGCTTCATCAATGACCCTACTGCTCAAATGGGTTTCCAGGTGGGCAAGCATGCATTCGACGCTGGTCAGCAGTATATGGAGCAGAATGTAAGCTCGAAGCCATGAAATTAGTAGTGTCCTAGTCACCTAAACCATTCAACTGACAACTATGCCCGCAGATTAATCGATACGTCTCTGTCTCCGCCCTGAAACACTACTTCAACGTCTCAAATTCCTACGTCGTTCGGAAACTTCTCATAGTCTTGTTTCCTTGGAGACATAAGCCCTGGACCAGACAACAGTCGAGAATGACTACCTCCTCGACGAGCTCCGATGGAAATATTGCTCAACAATCTTACTCCTTCAACTACCTCCCTCCCCGCGATGACCTCAACTCTCCAGACATGTACATCCCAATCATGGCACTGATCACATATATCCTGCTGTCAACGGTTCTAGCAGGTATTCGTGGCTCCTTTCACCCCGAGCTACTCGGCAGTATCACCAGTACTGCTGTAGCCGTTGTTGCTATTGAGATTGTCGTCATCAAAATTGCCATGTATTTTTTGGCAATCACCAATGATTCCCAACTTCTTGACCTTGTAGCCTATTCCGGTTACAAGTTTGTTGGTGTAATAGTCACTCTCTTCCTCAGCGAACTGTTGACCGGCGGAAAAGGCACAAATAACTGGGCTGGATGGACTCTGTTCCTATACACCTGGTATGCCAATGCGTTCTTCTTGGTAAGTCCCCACCGTCATCTCACATACTTCCCTCGATAGCTTCACATAAACAACTAACTGGTAATGTCCAGCTTCGTTCGCTCAAATATGTACTTCTCCCGGACAGCTCGAACGACCCTTCGGCCATCCCAAGGAATGGGGGGCAGTCCTACACAATAGCCAGAACGAAGAGAAACCAACGCACATATTTCCTCGCCATCTACGCCTTCGTCATCCAGATGTTGTTCATGTGGATTCTGTCCCGAGAAGAATCGGCTGTCAAAACTGTGGCCAATCGAATAACGAGTCCCAAACCATAAGGATCCTTTCGGTTTCTAGTCACTGCATTCGCAATGTTCATGCATGAAACTGCAGCCAATGATGAATGATGAGGATGAGTCAGAAGACTATTTACTACGACCCTCGACAAGGTTTGCGCTGTGTGCGGTTGCAGACTTATTGAGGTGGCCGACCACACCAGCATGGACTGCTCGCTACGTGTTATGTTCGGAGCGAAGCTTATCGTTAAAGTTCAACAGGTGAACTGCAGACACGTGATGAAGCCTGACATGTCATGGCGTCGCAGATAAGGGACCAGCAATATTTGTCCATTTCATGAGCAAAGCATCAATCAGCGCGAAAACCGACATGGGTATTCACTGTTGTCTTTTGCTCATAATCACAACCGAACCCTTAAGAATTGAGGCCCCGACCAGATCTTTCGCAAATTCTTTCAGCGGTCTTCTCGATAATCACAAAGACTAGCGGCACAAAAGATGGATATCCTTGAATGGCGTCAAGAGGCTCGAACTGGCCGTTCCCAATGCGGTTTGTCATTGACAGATGCTATGCTGAAACACGAATACGTTGGGTTCTGTATCGTCAAAAGGATCGATAGTCATGAACCTCTCTAAAAATAGGGGAGCGTACCACGACTGTCAACACGGTGTAAGACGTGGTAGTCTATGTTGTCTTTCACGGGCACTTTGCGGCATCTGCTCATCAAAGATGAGAACGGACATGCTTCTTCACACTGGTCCACTCTGAGAAAAGCGAGGTGAACGAATTGACAATGTTTAGAATCGCGGACAAGGCTCCTCTTTGAGGAATCCGGTAGCGGTCACGAGAGAAGGACGCAAATGGTGCCAAGAAATGAAGCTTCCTCTACTTCTATCGGCCTCGCTTACCATATCGGTATCATTGATGCGAAATCCTTTGCATTTTCTGCGAAGCACAGTGCAGAACCGAGGGACTCTGTTACGTTGCACCTCTAAGCGTTGTGCAGAACATGGCAGACTAGTACAGACACTCGGGAATGAAGATGCTCTGGCCTTGTGCTTCCGGCTAACTCTTCGGGCCGGCTCTTACGCAGGAGCAAAGCTCCACCAGCGATGTGCGTCAGTGCTACGTCCCACGTGCGTCGTCTGACTACTCAGGTCATATAATTAGGTTTTTAAAATGGCATTTATAATGGTATTGTGTCAGACGAGCAATTAGTCTTAACAGTCGGTGGCTAGAAGAAGTACCCAGGCAGGGTTTGAACCCCAAAGCGGTATGGGGCTTGGTTGCGACGCCATTGTGCGAGGCACGACAATAAGGACCTTTTCCTGCGAGAATAGACGAGATCGCTCAAAGGGGTCACTTCGGAAGAGTTTGACCGTACACAGGTGACCCGCCCTGGTAGGGCCCGAGGCTTAATATGCGCTCAGGGATTGGAGAAGACAGGAGGACATCAGGATATTGGGCACCAGCCGATCCCTGAGCATCTCGTCCATGAAACACCAGGGGTCATTGGCGGTGCGTGCCATGAGGACTCTCCTACCGCCATTGACGAGGAGGATCGTGCTCGGTCCATGATATTTGGAGGGGACAGGATCGGACCGAGACAGTCAGCCTCGCTTGCACAGCAAATAGAAGTCTTGCCTTGACGAAATGCCACCCTCCAGCGTAGCCAAATGATCCTAAACCAAATTCGCTTGCTTCATGCAAGTTTATTCAGACCTTACTCGTCTTTCATACCAAGCCCTCGCATCAAAGAGGGATTCTTGGTGGCCGAAAAGTGACAGAAATCTAGCAGGACGGACTCGGTCAACACGAAATTAGCTAAATCAAGTGTTGCCCACCTTCTACTCGCCTTGATCACTTACATCATCGCGACCGGACAGCGCGTAAGGTCTTTCGCGACGACACGTGAATGGATCAATCGTTTGGAGTAGTCATCAATCCATTCGCGATTTGATCGAGCAAAAGCAACGTACTCATTTCCCAGGATGGAGCTGTTCATCCACCTGATATGTGGGAGCTGAAGTGTAATCTGCATGCACCTGTGCAATGCGTGGCTTTCCAGTAACAGCCATCGACTGTTTCTGAAGCAGCCTTCATAACGGCAGTCTGATGAACCAAGATCATCGATCCAGTCAGGCTCGGTGATATCTCGCTTTGCAGAACCATATGACAAACAGGCTAGTCCTCAAGCAGTAACGGATGGTGAGTGTGTTTTGAAGAGGGAGAGGGTTTTTGCAAGGATTGACGACCTGGTGGCTCTAGTCTGAACCCTATTCCAGAACAGGCTGATTTCAGATGCGTCTTGTCAACTCTGAAGCATGACATCGACGACGATACAAGAAATGTGGAGCAAGAGTCGAGCCTGTCGCCCTGGGGCATGTTCTGGACAATTGGTGATTGACGCGGCCCCAAGTATCATACTTGATCTGGAATGGGCAATCAACAAGTCTCGCAAATGCCGGAGGAAAGATAGGGCAGTATGGGCAACGAACAGTAAACGCAAGGCTAGATTTGTTGAGACATGAGTCATATGCTCTAGCCCTATTTTCTCGGCAACCTTCCTCTGATTTAACCATTTGCACAAATGTCGCATCACTTTGCTGTGTCAATCAAACTGAAGTTGAGAAATCATATGGCACATGTAGCGCAACCAATGACAGTGAAGATATATTGCTCAGAGGATATTGAGTTTTCTCATGCAGACCAGGGCCTTCGGTAATGGCTTCAATCTGAACGAACGGCTGAGATGAGATGATGCTACGTCTTGAAAAACGGATAGAGTGAAAATGGGAGAAACGCCAAGGGTGGCTTGCGAAGAGATAGCAGGGCTGTATCTGCCACCTCAAGCTGTGTATGTGTGGAAAAGCCTTCAGACTGTTTTGTAGAGCGTCTCGGCATGATCCAATGAAGGGAGTCGAGAGGGAGAGAATTCTGTCAGGCCAATAAGTGAACAATGTGATCAGGGATATATGCAATGACTCATCTCGGACATGCGAGGCTCAAGAAAAGGTCCAGTAGGGATTGGTTTAGGTGAGTCTGGTGACGGAGGGCTTCATGTAGATAGACGATGACAACATGAAAGAGCATCCTTCCGGATGCCAAAACTGGCAAGGAACCGCTGCGTTTGAAGAAGTTAAGGCGAGACTGATTCCTGATTCAGGTCTTTATCCGGAACAATGGTAAAGTGGAAAAAGCCTGATTGCAACCATTCACCAATGAAATGGCGGGGGACAGAGTATTCTCCGGTTGCTGCTTGTATCTTTGCACCAAGGTAGATGAGTTTGCTGAGAAGCAAGACAGGCCGAATCAGCTTGGCCCTGGTGAGGACGTGCCAGGGCACTACCACACGGGGAGGCGGGGCCAGCGCTGATTGTTTGTGTCCAGGCATGCCCGGCATAGTCGACCGGTATCTTGAATGCTGCTTTGTCAAAACCAGATCCTGGTTCTTCCGGAAGAAGACCAACGGTCCGGGGTCGGAGACGGAACAAACCCTTGCTAGGCTTTTTTGGCGGTAGAATGAGCTCAGCATTGCTCTAACAAAATGAAATGCATATGTAAGCGGACGCTTGACCAGTCTGAGAAGGGACGGAGATGGTGGCTTTGACCCCTTGCAGAATGCTGAGGTGTAGAAGGCTTCGGCCGTGGGCCCGTTGGCTTGAATGCTTTGTTGGAAAGCATAGCATCCATGACACGTGGCGTGTGATGATGGATCCACAGGCGTAAAACTCGGCAATACCACGATATCAGTATGGGAGAGAGAGAGAGTCAATGAGAGAACAAGCTCGACAGTAGATTGGTGACTACAGCCCGGCATGACATTGGCGAGGAGCAAGTCGGATGAATCAGGTCGATCATGCGTAATCAGCGTCGGATTTAATATGACTGCCGCGCCGTGATGACAATCGTTGGGGTGATATGGGCAGCGCAGATCAGGCCACGAGGCCCTTGGGTCAATGAAGAGAGCATCGGAACCGACATTGATACTCAAACTCATGCCGAGTTATCGAGACTGTGGCAGAAAGCAAACCAAATAAAGTGCTAGATGTGGGAAATAGAGGAAGCAGGTGTCCCTACTGTATGACAGATGGCGTCTGAATGGACCTGTGCCGCCTGGACTAGGCCGAATCGTGGAGGAGACAATGCCAGGCTACATCGTCTCCAGACGAACCATGGCATTGCCGTAGCCATGTGGTGTAGCGACCGAAAGTAGTTATCGCAACATCCTCTGGGAAAGATTTCCAAGGTGGGACCGCTGAAGGGATGACTCGTATTGAGAATTGAAAATGGGTAGGCAAGGGTTGCAGCAGGGGCGAAAAGGCAGTCCATATGGAAGTCGAAAAGCGGACCCTGATTCATCGCAATGCTCTACAGTGACTGCGTAGTGTGACCGCGTGGGCGGTTTGCGAGTGATGCATGCCAGTGCCAACATGGATAGTTCAGTGGAACGTGACAAGCTGAATAGGTATCATGGGCCGAGGGTAGATTACCAAGGCGAATCTGGCAACATTTTGAATACTGGGATGTACAGTGATTTCAGAGTGAGATCTCGAGATACTTGTGATTTTGGGTGAATCAACAAATGATCAGAATGCGTTTAGGAGAGGATGACGGCGCAATGGTTCTGTCGGGAGAGTGCCCTGATGAAAGACTTGGCCAAGGCGTTCAGGCTTGGGATGTGGTCACGGGCAAGGACGTAGGGAGCGGGTAGACGGCGAGTAGAGGCGTGCGGATGGCATGCGTTCTGCCTGCGTGGGTACCATGAAATGTAAATGCCATGGACGGATGGCATAAAGGGTGATGGCTATACCAGGAAGTTGCCAAGTCGCGTGGTTGAAGAATGCGGTTGGTGGCATAGTAGAGGTCCACGGACAAAGGATCGGTGGTCTGGGCATGAGTCTGGTGGATCGAAATGCCATGCCATTTGTGGCAAAGTCCATCTCGGTTGTCGGGCGTGCTATGAGTCGATGCGAGGTGAGGGAAGGGATCGGCAGATACTGAAAGGCTACAGGCAGGCAGACCAGAATCTAAATGGTAGATCAGCAACTGAAAATAATGTGTCTTGGGGTCAAAGATGCTCAGGAATTAGGTAGATGGCGTTTGGATTTGGGAACGTCGAGGACGGAGGAGATGTTAGTCAGGAACAGGGCAGGCCCGTGCTAGGACGTGGAATGGCACCATGGTCCATGGGACTCCATGGGTAGCGAGAAGGGCGAGGCTTGGAGAAAGGAAAAGTGTGTGAGTACAGAATAGAAGCGATGAAACTGCAGAGAGATGGGGCGAGATGACAGAGAATCGAGGAGACACGCGTAAAAGGACAGAACTGGATCGATGAGATTGAATGGAAGGAGCAACCGACGAGTGCAGTACGAGTATACGAGTACAGAAGATAGAAAGGGAAGGTCCAACACTTCATCCTCACGTGTCCCATCACCTCGTACGCCTACTCCGTACTTATTAGGCGAGTCGGTTGTTGACAATCACGATCTGAAGATGTCTGGCAGGAAGTACCCAAACTCCGTACGCATACGATCACTCCCTGGCAGCGCCTGAGACTTTGTACGTGGGCAGCCATTGTTGGGTACCTAGGCACGTACTCCGTATGGTCCCTCGGTCCTTAGCAAGATTAACTTGAGAGTCGAGAGGGATCGAAGTTAAGTACAGAGTAGTACGGAGAATAAATGTATGCGTATGAGGCCTCAGTGGGTGTCTTCGGTCTTGCCCTACGGATCCAAGCGGAGTAGGTTCTACATTAGGGTTGCGCGAGTTGCGATCCCGTAACTGAGTTTTCGGAATATTCTCCTCGAGTTTTTCCGAATAATCTTGGATTACTACGTGAGTGCCCTGGAGAGAAGTACCCTAGAGAGAGGGTGCCCTAGAGAGAGTGCCCTGGAGAGAGTGCCCTAGAGAGAGTGCCCTGGAGAGAGTGCCCTGGAGAGAATGCATAGTACGGAGTACTCCGTAGTGACTTCTAGTAGCTCTGTAGGCGGCTTAGCGTTAGTTGCAGCTGCTACTTGCTCCGTACTTAATATTTTATTAGCCAGGTTGGGAAAAAGGTCATTCTAGCTTCTTCACCAATCAGTTTGTTCAGCCTTGTTCCCAATTTACGGAGTACGGAGTAGGAAAATAATGAATCAGCCCTTACTGGGGCAATGACGGGTCAAGGCCGAAAGGCACAGTGGCGCCTTGGGGTGGTATTGGGCAGTACTGGCCCCTGGGGGGGGCACTGGGGGTTAGATTTGAGCCTGTGGTCTTTGATCTTCGATCCTTCCTTTCAGTACGCGGACTCTCGCTTGGCATCTCAAAAGTGGGGTCCATGTCTGTGCGATCCTAGACGCTTGTCCCAACGTCCTCAGAAACAATACAGTACATCAGTAACCCCCTATGATCCTAGAATGCTAATGTTCTTGACCACCGGTGTGGCTCTGTGGTCATGTTCTGGACCCTGCGTGTGGAATGGAATACCCAGGCATTGTTCTCATGCGTCGATAGTTGGAACAGGCTCCAAAGGACAAAGTTCATCTCGACGCAGAAAACGCCCAATACCAACCGCCTTGGGCAAATGGATAATCATCTTGTTGTGCCCCAAGGGTCCAAAATCCATTAGTGCCCTTGCAACTAATCGATGTAAAGACGAACAAGAGCCAGTAACAAGACCTTAGGTAATCTTCATCGTATGATGCATAGCTGTCTGGTCGATGAGACCTTCTGTCGTGCACACACATACCCATCAACCTAACTATGTACCGTGTTGATGGAGACGATACTCCAGCTTAGGCCTCCAACGGTTTCTCAGGAGGTATCGAGCGGCCGACGTTCATATCAAATTGTGCATACTAAACACCAAAAAATCTTAATGATCTACCGAAGCACCAGTCAAGCCCGCTTCATACGAGATGCCAATCCTCGGGTTTCCGCAAAGGTCAGCGCTAGCTGGTAGCCGCCCCCCGCCGTGCCCAAGTAGTGAGTGACGAGGGACGGGCGTTACCGGACGAGGGAGTTCGTCCTCATATCTCAACTACCGTAAGTGACTCGGCGATTCTTGAGATGGATACCTTGGGCATATGCGTATGTGCTTCCTGCTGCACAGCAAACAGAAAACTTATGCGTATTATGGGTATACGCTCCGCATACTTTTTCTTTTCTGGCTGTTGAATGCGTAGTCAGTGGGGATTCTACGTCGACTAACATCCAACTAGGAATAGCCTTTAATGGGTGTATGATTCTTGATGCACAGTAATGTCAGTAGTAACTAGTTACATAGGTGGTCACGCTGCCAACCCATGGCTGTTTGGCTTCTAGCTGCTGGCTTTGTGAAAGGTGTCTACAAATAACACCGATCTATTACTACTACTGTACCAGCTTTCGTGAGGAAGAAACCCTCGAATGTTTGGGGGCCGAAAGTGATGGTAATAATTGGCCTTTTGGACCTTGGTTGAGTCGCCCTAGTTCTACGTCTGGTCGCATCTCTTTGGTCCTTTAGCTGTCCATCTCGTCTCTCCCAATGCCAAACGTTTTGACAGTTTGGTTACATTCATTCTTCCTCTCATTCATCAATGACAAGACCGGTTCCTGACGGCACCGGCACCGGCATCGACATCGGCCAAGGATTCAGGTTTGCTATCTGCAGAGATTACAGGACAAAACCCATTTAATGGAACATGTCCGATGAGCCCGATGCATGCCCCCAAGAATATAGGGCCTAAGGTCGGACAGCCGTATGTAAGATACCTCATGTACCTTAGGTGACGATGAAGATCCTGATGTAACATGTGGGTATTCAGGCATTGCCCAACCCATCAGATCACAGACTTCCCGATCCTTCCAAGATCCCAATGTTAGTCAGAGACCTGCATCATCACCTGTTTTCGTTCCATGGACGAGTCACGCCCTCGCGTAACTCGACAATTCTACTCGTAGCAACCCCACCTCACCCAGACTCGCCGCTCGCCTCACTGCCGCTCTGGACCTCTGGCGTTCCGTCAACTCGGCCCCTAGCATGACGAATCTCATGTCATTGTCATTGACAGTGACGTGAACCTCATTATCGTGTTGCTCTCTGTCCGTGGCTCCGCAAGACTTGACCAACCGATCCAACTCTAGACATTGGTCCACCTCCACTTTTGTCCTCTATTCAGCCTATCTCTTAATCCATCGGCCCTGCATTACCTTGACCTCGATCTCGACATTGGTGTTGCTTGCGTATTCCTAAAGCAATCCATCACCACCCATCACAGGGACCCCATCCAAACCCTTTCGTTACACACGACAATCTTCGTCAGCCGCCATGGCCATGTCGAAACGATTCATCTCTTGGGCACAATTCTACCCTCTGCTCTGGCCTACTGTCATCGAGATCGAATAGCTTAGTTTTGATGCTGTCACTCACAAAACAAATATCTCCAGGAAAAAAACTCCAGTCCCTGTCTGTTCCGATGTGCTGCCGTGCGTCTATCTCATGGTACTAGTACAACCAGAGTATCCGCTCTAACATAGCGCCATGCTCTCCTGGTCCTGCCCTAGTCCCCTCCATGCCACCTCCCTCCATTTTTGTCTCGCTCCAATCCCCAATCGTACACTTCCTTGCTTGCCCATGCCGGCTAATAAAACGCCCAAAATTCAAACAGAACAAATCATTGTGTGCAAGAGAAAAAAACCATGACTCTCCTAAACAAAACTCCAAACGCCTCCAGTGGACGCCTGCTCCACCCATACCACCTACCATATGTGGTTTCCGCTTCGTTTCCTTCTTTTCGCCAACCAGTCCGCCCTCCATCCCGGCTCAACCGTGTTTGGGGGCGGATATCTTGGTAGTGATACCCGTCGTGTGTCTCGTCCTCTCTTCCCTTCGTCTAGCAGCTACTGCGATGCCCGTGAAGTAAGTTGACCATTCCCATGCACCTAGGCCCCAGACGTCAGAAATTCATCCTTCGGAACTCCTCACCATTCAGATCGAGCCCTGCTCCATGCATTAAAAATCGAGGTACCACCCTCACCTCCAAGGCCACCTGTCGCTCTTTTCGGACAACCTTTGATCCCGACCCAAGATGGGTGTTGCGTTTATGCTTTCAGCTCTCCACTTTTGCATGGTCTCAATCCTAGGTGCCTGTTGTGCTAGGTGGCTTTTCCCAATGTCGAAGCATCTGCCGGAGTGCACGTGACCATTCAACCACACATGCATTGACCAGCTTTTCAAATTCGGCAGCCGTTGGCCGCCGCCCGCCCCAGGTGCTTGCCTTGGAGGCAAGCGCTCTGGCGTGCTTCTTGATGAGATTCCTAATCCACCCTGTCAGTTCTGCTCTGTGTCCACGTCCATCTCAATCGCCAGACTTGCTCAGGCTCTCAACATTTGTACTTACTCCTTTTCCATCTTGACAAGGACCAACCAGCAATAGTTCCAGCTCCGTGTGCTGCTGGGATCGCGCACCACTAGGGACTTGGCTTCGTCCAAACATTCGGAACTGAAGGGATACGTCTTGGTCAAACCTCGAAGCTCGTTCAAAAGGTTGTTGGAGTTGACATAATGCGCCCAGGCCGTTGTCATGGGCTCCGTGACTTCAGCAGAATCCAGGTAGGCCAGAATCTTTTCGATTCGCCGCAGCTCGGTGATCGTATTCACTCGGTGGGTTCGAAGTGACTGAATAAGCTGGTCTTTATTGTTCTGTTCAATTCGTTAGTGGTCTTTCGTGATACAATGAAGTCTTTGCCGAAAAGCCATCCAAAATCCAAACCCCAAACTCCAGTCAAGAGAAAGAAGAGGACAGCAGAAACATGAGAAAGGAGACGTTCTGGGAAGGGCCCAGAGCGGTGAAAAGGAAGATGAACAGAGAGGGAAAGGGAAAATCAAAGCATGGAAACATAGGAAACATTACAAAAATGAACCCAGGACTGACTTGGCTCATAGCTCGTGGATCAGCTGGCGTGCCAGGAGAGACGAGCTGATACGGCTGGGATCGTGACCCCGATGCCGGCACTGATGTTGGCCCAGATGAAGCCGCTCGAGACATGTCGTAGCCTGTTGTCGAGTGTGGATATATGGAAGAAGGAGTGTGGCCTTGCTGGTCTTGGGCTGAGTGGGAGTCAGGTTGGTCGAAACTGTGGGACGGAAGTGCGAGATCCGCCGGGTTATTTGAAGATCTTTGTGCCCTGGGTCGTGGAGGTGACATAGACACTCGTCTCGTTGTTGTGTGGATGACGAGATGGATTTCTTTGGCCGTTGTTCTAGAACGATCTTCGTTGGTCGTTGTCCTGGACCAATCAACCTTGGAGTAGGATCACTGTAGCCTGAGAAAAACGACAGCCAACCCTGTCAGTAAAACGTGGACTCGGGTTTTGAGTAATCGTGATGATATAAGAGCAAGACCTCGGCGAGACAAGAATTGACACGACAGGGTCACGACCGAAAAGGGGTTGACGCAGAGTTAGTAAGACCGCAGCAGGTGAGGATGCTGAGAAGGCTCGGACAAGAAATGGTGCAAAGCAGGAGCGACAAGGCAAAGGAAATAGGCGGTATCAAGTTCAAGAATCCAGCTGACACATATGCACTGCACCCAAGGAGGCTATATGACATATTTGAGCCAGAGCATTGTATTGCAACCACGAACATGGGACTGGTTTCTGGAGACCGCTTTCGCGATCACCAGTTGTTTGTGGCTAGAGACATTCTCGAGCGATACCGAACCTTTGCCATGGTCTTCTTGGGCCCGGTCCACAACACGCCACACGAGCGCTGCGCAATGTCAGCATCCCGATATACTGCGATTGCACCTGATGTGGGTCCCGACGCATCCAGAGCAGAATTAGACAAAGGTCGACTTTCGCTTCGATTGTCTCTTCGCACGGTAGGGCTAACGAGGGTGCTGCCGAAAAAAGCGACAGCCGCGCCGGGAGGGATGCCGACTTAGCCACGTGCTGGCTGACAGAACTGAAGCATAAGCTGGAAAATTCCAAGCGTCTGACAACTTGACTAGAGGCCGATGTCCAAAAAGAGGAACAGTTATTAAGGTACGTGGGTACCAGCCCAGCCGTGGTAATACGGAGTAGTGCTGTGAGGACTTCGTATCCATCGTAAGAGGCTTGGGCGCCAAAAAAGAGAAACAAGGACAAGGATGGTGGTTGGACGAGATGAGGCTGCGCAGTTTCCCAATTGGTAGAAAAGATGAAACTAAAATCACGTGATATAATTCCTGAGACCAAAACCCGCGATGGGGAAGGAGCAAGGATGGAGAGAAGGGGAGGAGCGATCCACCCCGAAATCACCTCCTTCTCCTTCTTCTTCGCTTCTACGCTTTTTGGCAATCTACACCGAATCTACAGTAGTACTCCGTACACTGCAAATCTCTCTATTTGACAAAATATGTCATTCAAGCATGCTTCACAGTCAGCCAGCTTTGGATATGTCGGCTACCGTGCTAGGAAGACGAGACCGAGGATCGAAGGTCCAGTTCCTGAGAGCAGTTGAAGTCTTGCTGTCAGCGCCTTCACCATGTCCACCAGAGTCCAAGGTAGTCACTGTGTCTAACTGCGCCGACCTTGAATTTCCCAAAATCTGCACTCAGTATCTTTTTCTGAAGTACGGACTATTGACCCAAAAACTGAGCTAGCTACTACAGAATTGGGCACGTGCTTGGCTCAGCTTACCAAATCCAGGCCATAATCACTTTTGTCCTTTGTGAGATCAGGGCTGAAATCTCAGCCTCGGGCTGTACGCCAGAGTCGTATCAGGCTGTGTCGTGTGTAGCCGCCGTAACCACTCACAGTGCGTCTATCGGAATCTCAAACATGACTGGCATTCAGTTTATTTTCTGAAACCAAGCTCTTGCGGCTCTGCCCCCTCCAGCGAGCGCCATGTTCAGCCACACTCCATTTTCATCTGTACAGTCTAAGTTAGCTGCTCCAGACGCGAAGTCCTCTCCTTGTTCGAAGCTGTTCGTCTTGACCTTGGCGTCAGCCACAAATATCCTCATTTGGACCACCCTGGTAAACAGGTAATTAGTGGAAGAAATCCAATCATGGCTATCGTCTAACAGCCGCCGACGCCAATCCAGACTGGCGTGTTCCGAATTGGATTGTTGATAATCTGTTTGTAACAGGTGACCCCTGCTACTTCGGAACACGGGTTGCTCATTGGCTCTTGACATGGCCTGCCTCACGTCTTGTTGTACAACGTAGATACTCTATTGAAGGTATGGTCATTCCTTATCTCCAAACAGCTGGTCTGGCGGTGCCGGTCGGAGCTAACAGAAGCTGTTGGCTGTGTCACCTAGTCGGCGAGACTTGTGGAATTCCGTAACATGGGCGAAGCTAGGTGAGGCGAAGAGAGGCGAGGTGCGATCCTGCCAGTCATCTATCTTGGTCCTCCTGGACGTTGTCGATTGCTATACTGCATGTTTGAAAGGCCTCCGTCGTTGTAGCTTCCACCCGGCGCGTAAGGATCACCACCAGTAGACCATGGTTCTGAGGCCGAGATGTAGGGCTGAGAAGACCTGGTTCGATCCAGTCCACCTCCACTTCCCCCTGGCGACCCATAAGATGGTTGTCCACCACTGTTTGATCCTGTCGATGGAGTGCTTCTTCCGCTGTCTCCTCCACCCTGTAATCGCGCTCGGAGTCTGTCTCGAGACCCAAGTCCCCCGCTTTGAGTGGTAGCGGCAGGGTTGGACGTTTGATAGCTTCCAGCTCTCTGACTTGGTAACGGCCGTGCATTGCTTGTTGGACCGGTGTTGTACATGTTGGATGGCGCACCCCCGGCTGAGCCCGATCGAGACATTTCGCTCGACCTCAAGGATTGGGGTGTAGGTCTGGCTGCCCTAAGACTTTGGGGCGCTTGTGGTGGAGGAGCGTTTTGCGCGGGGGCCGAGTCCCACAGATCGGACAGCCCACCACTGCGGCCGCCGGAGCCACCACGAGCATGTGTAGTTGAATTTGGGTATCCAGCGCCATATGCATTTCCATATTGACCATACGAGGCCTGAGCCGGCGGTGGTGCTACCGGCTTCTTTGGGTCGGGGGGAAGCCACTCTGGGAAAGCCTGTCCCTTTTCTGTATAATACGCTCGCAGAACATTGGATACGTGTGAGCAATCCTCATTGTCTGGATCGTCCTCTTCCGAATCTTTGGTCAGGGCTTTCCGTAGACCTGCGAGGCGAGATGACAACGAACTTGACCAAGTCGTGGTGGCCGGCTGTGGGGTGCCGCTTTGCGAGGGCGGTTGAGAGTTGGACTGCGATGTAAAGTAGGAGAGGTACGACGCCATGGTTCGGTCGATCGACAGGAATCGTTATGGATGACTAGTGTGGGACATGGAACTGAAGAACAACTTGTCGGGCACCGACCCTTCACTGTCAATCCCAAGAATTTGCTTGTCTTGGACAGCAATGCGCAGGCCTCATTGATGGTTGTCTCAGACATCAGGATTAACCAAAAGGTGACACAATAAGATAAGGCGTGTGAGCCGCAGTCGACAGTCACGTGTCATGGACTCCTTTGAAACTCTCCGCAGTCTTCATGCGAGTCCTAATGCGATGTTCTTTGCGAGACTTCTTATTCTTGAATCTTTTATTACGACATTTCATTGTCTATCATTACCCTAGATGCCCTGGACTTTGCGATAATTCGGTGGCTTCCACACGCCTCGAATGACTTTGCCACCCCATACAGGCACCAGACTGATGGCTCCGACGGCAACCACTCTCCAGACCCAACTCCAGCTCACCACGTACTCGAGGTCGAAATATAGACCAAGGAACGGGACACTAGCGGCATAGAAGGCTGCAGTCCCTAGTATACATGCGATCATGATTGGGTGCCACGTCGTGACCGCCACAGCCACCATAATCAACTCGTTCAACACCAGGACGGTGAAGCTGACGCTCAGCATCCGTGGACCCTCCACTTCACCCACTAGGATTTGTGTCAAACCCTGAATGACAATACCTTGATAGACTGACACCAGCACCCAGGTGAAGAAGGTCCGGTAACTCAAGCTTCGTCCAGACTTCAGCTCTTTGTACAGTTCCGGATACAGGTTTGCGAGTTGCTCGTCGACGTCTCGATCAAAGACCAACGAGAAGACGGGAGCCATTGTGTAAACGGTCGCATACCCCACCAGAAGCCAATCGATGAATAAACCCCTCGGGTCAAAGTGGCCTGCTACGTTGTACACTGTCTGGCAGACACTGATGATAAGACCACGATGCATGATGAACTGTGCGAGTTTGGCAGACCGCTTGTAGCTGTTGCGGCCGTGCCACACGAGCAACTTTGTCAGGTGGCAGAACTGAGAGATGCTGAAGTCGGCGGCCAAAGACGCTTGTCGACCTTCTTTGCCCACTATGCCGATTCCCACGTCAGCGGCTTGAATCATGCTCACATCATTGCCCCCGTCGCCAATGCAACAGACTCGCTTTTTGGTATGCTTGCGGATCAACAGCGCAACTTCCGCCTTCTGGGTGGGTGAACAGCGGCAGGCAATCACAGCTGGCAACAGAACTGCAATGGTGATGAAGTCCTGCTGGAACTGACTGAGCATGAGCGCAAGCGATTCTCCGTCTATCAAAAGGCAGGACTCTGTTTGATTTCGGATGAGATCGAGTGCAGCCTGGCCTTGTACTTTGGTCTTGAGTTTGGCCATTGTCTGGATGTGCTGACCACGAGCGACGAGCCTTGCCGACACCGCCACACAACGAGCAGTTTCGATCTTGTCGCCCGTGAGCATCCAGATCTTAACACCTGCATTGCGAAGTAACTCAAGCGACGGTTTCACGTCCTTTTGTAGGCGGTCTTCCACCCCAGTGACCCCCAGGAGCTCTAAATCGTGCTCGAGATGTGACTGGATCACCGACGCCATACCCCTCTCACGATCGTGCAATGCGATTGCAGCATCGCTATATTCGGACGAAAAGGTGGCATATTGGGTAGCAGAGAGCCTTTTTCGGCCCACAACAAGCGTACGGAGTCCTTCGCGAGCCATGTTGGCAGTTTCTTCGTCGAGCCAGTCATTCGCAGCCACGATGGACGACATGACGGTATCTGCTCCTTTCTGAAAAAACCACAGTTCATCCGAGGTACTCAAACCTGAAACTTCTGATGAGATGCTGACAATGATGCCCATCCTTTTGCTCTCTGAGGTGAAGGGAAATATGTCTTTGATCTCTGCCCTGATGACAATTTTGTTGGTCTTGGTCGATTCCAAGACTATGCTCTCTCGATTTCGGTGCAACAGGCGTAATCCGACACTCTCAGTAAACTCGACGATGGCAATCTCATCTGGAGACGATGCTTGGTAGGACCCGACCTTCTTCCCGTCCACCTCGTCTGATGTAGGTGTGACGTTGTGGCAGAGGGCCAGAGCCAAGACCAGATCACGGACGCGGACCCCGATTTCGCGGCGTGTTTTGGTGGCAGAGCCCATCTCAGCGGCTCGCGTAACATGGGAACCGTCTGCGGCAAAGGCCTGGTCGACATATGCAGCTACCTCTTCGATAGCCTCGCCTGCGTAAGCCACGGTTCCCACATGAATCTTTCGAAGCTGCATCTCATTCTGAGTGAGTGTTCCTGTCTTGTCGGACAGCAGATACTCGATGCGACCCAGATCTTCGGGGATGGTACTCGTCCGAACTACTGTATCCGGTATACCGCGGTCGTGTTCGATGAAATAAGCGTAGACTGTTTTCCCCAGATCCAGGTTCACACGAAGAGAGATGGGGATTATGGTTGAGAAGAGAATGAGGTATATCATGATGGCGACGTACCAAGGCTTTTTGTTGGACGGCTCAAAGCTCTCGAGTGCGACCAGCACGATAGACAAGGTCAGCGTCATGATGCAGAGAATCTTGGTGAGATTGTTGACTTCTATGTCTAGAAGGCCGGTCTTTGAGCGGGAAGGAGAAGTTGACAAAGCAGAGCGAGTCTGTCGACCTGTGTAAATAACGGCGCAGTAAGTCGTCGTGCTGGAGGCGAGGACGGTATTTGCCCACGCCGTGTTGTCGATGGTGAGAGGAGCTGTATTCGCGGAAGTGGAAGGGGCATCTTCATCAGTCTCATCGTGGCTGCTCCCCAGTGACGTATGAGGGTCATATGCCGAAACCGGGCTGGTGAGAAACTCGAGTTTGCCCACGAATTCGTGTACGTTCTTGTCTGGGGCGCCGGCTGTAATGCGTAGCTTCCGGAGGTCCTGCAACTTCAGATCCTGACTTAGGGGGCTTGGGAGACGAAGCTTCCAGTCAGTTTCGCCATCAAGCTGGTCAGTTCTTATGAAAGTCTCTCCCGTGGATTGAGAGGATGAAGTAGCTGTCATGTCGCTAGGGTCTCTAGAGGAGGGATCGGACAGCAGCTCAGTCAAATGGCTCTGGAGAACGACGACGTCTGCCGGGACTCGCTGATTCTTTTCGAGCTTTAGAATATCTCCCACTTTAATATCTCTCGATTTTTTAACGACCGGGACAACACCATCTGCTTGGGCAATGGTTCGGTTTCGTGTAGGTTCGGGAAAGGTCAAGACAGTGAATGGTTCGGAATTGGCTTCGGCATCGCGTCGGCGACGGGCAATATCGTCCATGGCCTCTTTTCCTAGGGTGATAGACAGAACAAAGAGTAGTGGAGCGATGTAGGTTGACATGACACCAATGCGTAGAAAGGGGATAATCTGGGACAATGCGACGAGGAGGAAATATATGTTCAGGAAGAAAGAAAATTCGTTGTACAGGGTTCGTGGAAGGAAGGACCATGCGGTATATTTTGCATTCGACACAATGTTGGGAGGGAAGCGGATAGACTGCGCTTGGCCGACCATGACTTGACGTGAGTCTTGAGAACCTTGATCTTGGTCTTGACGCATATCAGCTAACTCCTGTCTGACAAATTCAGTCAATTGTAGGCTTTGGCGGATGCTGGGACGGCGAGACGAGGGCTCGTGGGTGTGTGGCGAGCCCCCAGCATGATTGCCAGTATTCCTTGCGTCTTGCCTGACATTCCAGCCAACTCGGTCGTCGGACCATCTTCGATGTCCCAGTAGGCCTTCGGTATCATCATCGGGGTCTCGGTAGGATGTATCATTTCCTTTGGCTTTGGACCGCCACAGACGACCGGAGCCAAAGTTGTTCAATTTCTGGAGGTGGATGTTTGCTGGAGGATTACGGTCGCGTTGGGAGGAATTGAGGCGAGCTGAAGATTGGGTAATGGGGTCGAGTTCGTCCAAGTTGAGATCATCTTCCGAGTCCGACTCTGCCTTGCCGTAAGAATATGTGTGAGGTCTCGACATACTGGAGGCTGATCATCTTCGAGGCCGAGTGGAGAATTATAGGGACTCCCCGCGGAAGGCGAGCGATATAGCCTGCATGTCCAAAAGAGTAGTATGAGGACTAGGGCAGGTGAAAGACTGAAGATTCAGATGTGAGTAGATAGGTAGTGATAATATCTGTCTTTATTCGACACAGAATGAACTACTTGAAATAACAATAATAAGAGTTGCCTGAAGAGGGAACAACATGTGCCAGGGAAAGAATGACCCTCAAGGACACGTTGAACAGGCAAACATGGCAAGTACCAAGGGTCAGTTAGCGTCATCCCCACTGCGTCTGAAATCACGGTGGCTCTTGCACCAAGACAAGACATAGGGACAACCGAAGGGGCCATGGGTCAGTGCATGTCAGCGCGCTCTAGCCTTTGGATCCCTAATCCCTACCGAATTTATCACAGTTGGTTCTACTTAATGATTCCAGTCATCTTTCCTCTGATGTAGCAATTTTCGGTTTCAGAGTACAGGCTTTGGGACATTATAGTAAGTAATACTATAAACTAATCATGATTGAAGCATAGTCTGTTGGGTAGGCACCGTAAAGTACTGTAGGATGTATGGAGTAGGCAGACGGCCGGGACGATCTTTCCTTCGGCATTAAGGATTATCCGATCGCTTTCCTTTGGGCGCACCTGCACCAAGAAGATACCGACACGACTGACTAAATTATAAGTAGGCACGCTGCCACGGTATTACTCCGTACGCAATCATACTGTACGTCCTTCCTGCCAAAGGAACAACTTGGCCTTGCCGTACTTTGCGCTTGCACTTGCCTGTGGACGTCAGTCAAGACAAATCTCGACCCCGACTCCAACCCTGACTGACATCGGCCAACATCGTGTCGTCGAATGTACCTTCCATCTCACTCCATCTCCTTCATCCATTAGGCCACTTTACATCTCTTTTATACCCGTCACAGCGAGAATGGACACTCAATTATTCACCATGTACACTTTTGTCCAGTGACTTTGGCTATCTGCAGCTTCCTAGCACCCGTTCTTGCATTTCCTCAACATCGCTCCATCCGCCCCCTGCGCGAATGCATCGCAGCGTCCAAGACTTTTTGTCCAATCCCACCCCATCAACAGCCTCTGCCAGTTGTTAAAGGCATGGCCCAGACAGGTCACTGGCTTCCTGCTCTCCGGCCTGAAGCTCTCGATTACTCTCTGCCCCCCACTGGCGTCAATGACTCGGAATACACCCAAGCTGTGGCTGCCGCAGTTGAGACCGACCTTCCTGCAAACACCACCGATGTCCTACCGAGAGAAAGCGATTCAGCCCCCTCGCTGTATGAAGAACAACCATCACACATAGATCGTCCTCCAATCAATGGCCCTGTCACCAACGTCGCCCATGAGCCAAGTCCGCCTTCGACCCAAATTCCCTCATCTCTGCCCGCAAAAGCTACAGAACATTTTGATCAAGGTCGATTCTCAGATGACGAGACTGACCTCCTAGATCCCGCCTGGGGAATTCGTCGTGTCGATACAACGCAGCTTCTGCAGAATGTCAACCGCTCCAACAGTTTCCCTGCCGTCGCAGCGCCTTCTCCTCCCCCAGTCCTCGATCCCAACACCGAGCCAGACGTCGAAACATTGGAGGCGTCGGCGGAATTCCCCGGTTCAACAGACCAACATGACGTCGCAACAAGTGATCCTCAGCAGGTGGCTTACCATGACGATGAGACCGATCTGCTCCCCTCATCATCATCTTGGAACAATATCGCGAGCACGTCACCAGTGAATGAGGTGGTGACTGAGGAAACACAGCGATTTGAAGAAGGCATCCCCCTTATGCATCACTCACAGTCACCCGAAGATCCACCTAATCAGGAGAACAGTCCGCATCTGCCTGGCGACGATCCATTTGCTCTTGTTCCTGACGACCCCGAAGCCTCCTTCTTTTCCAACCAGCATGATAACCATGACCCTCACCCTCCTCGTCCCCCTCCTCTGGATCGCAAATCGACTGAGCAAGTCATGAGTTCCCTTACACTCTCTCACCAACCTGACCTCGACATGCCACCTCGTCCTAAAGAAGAAGATTCTTCCTTCTTTGACAATTTGGGTGATAGCCCTCAAGTCAATACCGCAGATGCAGATCCACTTCCTGAACCTGACGCGTCTCTATGGGCAGCTGCCCTTGATGATGATGAGGAGTTTTTGGTGGAAGACGCCGACGATCTCCTCCCGGATTCCGAGCCTGGTTCACCTTCATCCTTCATCGCTTCTTTACAAGAATCTGCACCCGCTACCCAGTCCAACGACGTGTCAAATGTCAACCCACCTTCTTCATTCAATCCGCCTCGGAGGCAAAGTTCTGCCAATCCCTACGCTCCCCATCAGCCGTCCGTGACTGACATGCTTCAATTGTCTCCCTCTTCCAACACAACCCACGGCCAGCTCGGTCTGTCTCGACCCGGTCTAGGCCAGAACAATTCCTTTCAAGCTCATGTCCAGAATCAGCGGCCCCCGGCTCCACAACCTACCAAGAGCTTTGTCGACCAGGCCAAAGATGGCTATAAATCTCCTTACGACCTTCCTCTCGAGCTCAGCAAGCCGCGAAGACGCGCCCACGCACCACAACCTGTCCAGACCTCCAAGACTGTTGCGCCACCCCCTCGGAGCAGTAGCTTAACCGGACCGCTCCAGTCCCCGTTCAGCCCAGCCATATCGTCGACCGCTGCTCCAGTCGCACCACCGGCAGCCTTGAATTCAACCTCGGGCGAGGGTCGGAGCGTGTCATCTTTTTCACCGCCGGTCAAGCCTCCAGACCGGAAGGCGAGCACTTCGTCAAGCTTTTTCGAAGAACTACCTCCGGTCTCCAAACCTCGTCCTTCGTCCAATTCCGGACGCTATACCCCTCAACAACCCCTTGCTCAAGGACTTCCCCAACTCCCACCACAAAGCCCGCCACAGGCCGAGCCACAAGCTCCTCTCCCCTCTACTCAAGCCTCAGACCCTTATGCACAATTCCAGCTGCGAGCTCCTGACCGCTTAGACCCCTATGCAAATCTTCCACTTCAACCTCCTGCCCCTGCTCCAGCAGCACAAAGCTCTCGATACTCCCCAGCACCTCCTGTGGCTGCCTCTGCTGCCCAAAGACCAGGCGTCGGGCCTCGGTACTCCCCTGTCCCACCTAGCCAGCCGACAACTGCTCAACCAAACCGCTACGTCTCTCAACACACGCCACCTGTCCTTCAGCCACAAGCACCGCCGTCCAGCACCATCAAACAAGGACCACAGGCTTCTGTCGTGCCTGCACCCCTGCCGAATATACTGCCATTTCAGCCTCGGACTTCCAGCCCACTTGCATATCACAAGCCGTCTGTTGGTGAAGCGGCCAATCTGGCAGCCTCGGCACCCACTATTCCGAGATCCGGGCCGCTGGCTAGACAGGTTTCTCACACTGGAAATTACACACCGCAACCTGCTGTGTCTACTCCTGGATCTGCGGTATTCCCGACTTCTAACCCTTTGTCGTCTCCGCCCAGAGCAATAAATCAAGGAAATTTGCCTCCTCCACGGAGGTCACAGACACAGTCGCCTTCGAAGCAACGCCCCCAGCCAGCGTTTCAGCAACTCGCCCGAAACGAGTTTCCCACCCGCCCGGCTTCGGCCTATGGCCAATCTGCACCTGTTGGACCGAGTGCACAATCGGGACCGAATGCGCTGCACCGCCCCCAGTATCGTACGGGGTCATCCGTTGCGGAGATGGACTTTGTCCGTCCCGTGGACGACAGTCAATTTGATCCCTTGGAACGATGGAAAGGTGCCCCACTGTATAAATTTGGGTTTGGTGGCGCCGTAGCCACATCGTTTCCAAAGCATGTTCCACGATATACTACTGGCGCTGCTAGGCCCCAGATCAAGTCGTCTCCGGGAGAAGTAAGACTTGGCAGTCTGAAGGAAATACTGCCTCAGAACGAAGGCATCAATTCCTTTCCGGGTCCATTACGCTCCAAGACCAAGAAAAAGGATGTTCTTGCCTGGATGTCTAGCTACATTGCTGGCCTTGAATCTTCCACGTCACAACAAGATTCGCTCCATTTGTCCCTGGACTTGGCTAGAATGAGAGACGAGAAAATTCTTCTTTGGAAGATCGTACGAGCTTTGGTCGAGCATGACGGCACGTTGGATGGGCCGGCGTTGAACACAGTCAATATCATCCTCTCCCCTGAAACCCATGCCGTTGACGCTGCTACCGCAAGTCAGTATCGCGACCAGGACAGCCTCAGTGGTATCTATCGACCGTCCGGGTCCACTGCGCGACCCGAATCCACAGACCCCATGGCGGTCGAACTCTTACGTAAACGTCTCCTGAACGGGGATAGGCAAGGCGCTGTAATCCATGCTATGGACAACCGGCTCTGGTCGCATGCCCTTATCATTTCATCGACCATGGACCGCTCAATGTGGGGTCAAGTTGTGCGAGAATTCGTCCAGCAGGAGGTCAAAGCATCTGGGAGCAACGCTGAAGCATTGTCCGTGCTATACGAGATTTTTGGTGGAAATCTGGAGGACAGCATTGATGAGCTTGTTCCCCCTTCAGCTCGTGCCGGCCTTCAAATGATTAGCAAAACGGACAATTCTGGCCCGACCAAAAACGCTCTTGATGGCTTGCACAGGTGGAGAGAAACCTTGAGTCTAATCCTGAACAACAGATCCCCCGGGGATCATCAGGCGCTGGCAGTTCTGGGCAAGCTGCTTCAGGACTATCAAAGGACCTATGCAGCTCACATTTGCTATATCTTCTCGAAAAACCCTTCCACGCCACCCATCTTCGGTGGAGTCGACAATGAGCAGGCTCCGATCGTTTTGCTAGGCGCAGATCACAAGGCGCAGCCCGTGACCCTTTTCCAAGACCAGGACGCGATTTTACTGACAGAAATCTATGAATTTGCAACTAGTGTTCTAGCTAGTGGGTCGTCTACTGCATCAATTCCTCACCTTGCGGTGTACAAACTGCATCGAGCAATGCATTTGTCGGAGATAGGCCTTGCCTCCGAGGCCCAGTCTTATTGTGACGCACTCTTGGCTTCGTACAAATCCAGCAACAAGCTGTCTCCATACTATCACCCTTTGTTCACAGCATCGCTGGAGGATTTATCGGCTCGATTGAAACAAACCCCAATTCAAAGCTCGTCTTCTTGGATAGGGAAGCCCAGCTTGGAAAAGGTTTCGGGCTCTGTTTGGAACAAATTTACCACGTTTGTTGCCGGTGATGACAGCGATGCCGAATCCAAAGGGTCCGGCAAAGATGTGACTGAAGCTGGTCCCTTCGCCAATGTTTCCGGCACCCCGTCCGTCAGCCGTTCAGGTTCTCAACATGATATATACAGCTCGGTCTACGGCGTCTCCTCACCACCACCCCTATCCAATACAATCGCTGCGTCCAGATACGCACCAAATGGAGTTCAGTCAGCACGTTCCTCTCCAGAAATGACAAGGGCCCGACCTTCAATTGAATCTCAGACGTCTCCACCTGCGACTTCTCAGGATCACCGCCAATTCGAGACCATGAACATGCTGCAGACACCACATACGATTCAGCCACCAAATCCGTATCAACCTATCAGTTCAGTGTCGCCCTCTGCGTCATATTCGCTGAGCCCACCTCGATCTTCGTATGTCCCTAACGGGTATTCACACACATCGACCGGTTTGAACCAACCCGGACAGGTTGATGCTCCGATTCCCACTCCCCCAGCCGAGGCCGTGACTCAAGAACCCCATTTTGGTTCTGCAGCGTTTCCTGCAATGAACGGGCCGTCGCAATTTTTCCATGCTGACGCCACGTCTTTTGGTCAGCACCATCCGCAGGAAGATGCAACATCACTTCCACCACCGCCTCTCGAAGAAAATGAGACCTATGGGTATGCGGATCCCACACAATCTTATGGATATGAGCCACCGTCGTCTAACGGCTATGTTCCTTATGTTCCTGAGCCTGATTCTCCCGAGGAAGCACCAAAGCCTAAGAAGAAGCCCTTCCTCGACGATGGTGATGACGATGGCTATCTGAGGAATTCAGCGCCTGCGTCGCCTCCGGCGCACCGCCTATCTTCTGAGACTGACACAGACCTTGCTGCTCGAAAGCGTCAGAATGATGCTGCAGCTGACGCCGCATTCCGCGCTGCGGCAGAGGCAGACGCCGCGAGAGAAAAAGAAAAGACGCAAGCAAAGAGAAGCTCATCCTGGTTCGGCGGCTGGCTCGGCGGCAAGAAGCCAGCAGATGGCTTGGACGCAGGGCCAAGTAAGGGTTCGGAGCCGAAAGTATACAAAGCCAAACTTGGTGAATCCAAGATGAAGTTATATTACGACAAAGAACTTGGTAAATGGGTCAATCCAGATAATCCAGATGCTGCAACGAAGTCGGCCACCCCGCCACCCCCCCGGATGGGTGGTACTCCTGGACCTCCCAGTGGGCCTCCGCGGGTTCTCGGAACCGGGCATGGATCGAGTTCTAGCCTTCCCAATGTCAATAGCGGATCCCCCCTAGGCGCAGGAAGTCGAGCTGGAACTCCTCTGGGGGGGTTGGGATCTTCGCCTGCGCCGCAAATAGCTGCGCCAACTGGACCTTCTGGCCCAGCAAGTACGACGAGTACCCCGCCCCTCGGAGTTGGTCCAACATCCCATCCGGGCCTAGGACCTCCATCCACGGGATCACGACCAGGAACAGCGTTGAGCAACTCGAGTAGTATTGATGAACTTATTGGACCGGCGATGGGACGCAAGGGGCCAAGCAAGGGGGGCAAGAAGGCAAAAGGCCGTTACGTCGATGTTATGGCCAAGTAATATAAGAAGTGAGTGGGATTTGATATGAAAGATGGGTTTGTTTGAGCGACGCCCCATCTGCTGTGTATTGATGAGAAGTCGAGTGACAAGTACAATCTCTGTACAAAATTATTGAAGCGGAGGATGTTTGATCGTAACGACGATCCAGGACTGGCTGTGATGTACATTATACCGACGTCAAGGTTCAAGCTGATATCGCCAAAGTAATTAATGTAATTGATGATCGTACAGCGGATTGCGGTCCGATCTGTTATTTAATCAAGCTTATGTGACACGAACAATTGAGCAAAAGATACTAAGTAGTATCTCTTCAAGGCCCTGTCCGTAATGCACAAGCGTGATCCGATAAAGGGGAAGGTGTGCAATCCTCAGCCTTGCGGACTTCCAGCACGTGATCTGGACCACGAACCTCGAGCCAACAGTTTAAGGAACCCGATTTACTTCCACCACATGAACCGGTAGATATTGACCTCCCACAACCAATATGGTAGCAAACCGATGCATCGACGCGCTCCTTCTATAGACGGTGCCATATTTGTCAGTACCTGTCCTTGTTTCGAACGCCGCACTGTGCATGATGCGAAGCCTCATTTTCCCCATCCCATCCGAATCATCCCCTCGCCGACAGTCCTCGATCCGACTCAGTCAAATTCGACTCGCCGTATGAGCCAGTAACGACGGGAAACTACGACCCAAGTCATTCCTCATCCAGGCTGATTGAGCGACCAATCTCACAAATTCCGTCACCACAGAACCGTAGGTCGAATCGCCGACCACAGGGGTAAAGCGCAGGACAGAAGAGAAATACAAAAGCTAGACGATAGACATTAGACATTAGAGCTACGCAAGGATGGCTACAGGCAGCACAGACACATACATGGACGGCAATGGAGCAGAGTTCAACATTTCCACTTTCGACCTCCTGCTCATTGAACTGGTGCCGCTCGCTGAACGCATGGCCCGGGCATACGAAGCCTCGCTCGACCGACCGGCAACGGGCTCTGTTGCGGCACAAGGGACGTCGCAAGCACGAGCTGCTGGACAAGTTGTTGGACAATCGACATCAATGCCAGCATCATCGGCCAATGAACCGAGTAATACAACCGGGGCGCCACTGGTCGCCGCCGTCGCGCCTACCGCAGCATCTTCATCACCGACTCCCTCTCCCTCTCCACTCGCCGCCGACGGCGAACCTGCGACCGACATCTACCGTGACAGTGTCTATGTGCGACTGGAAAGGCTCGGCTTCCGTGTCGGTCAGGGTCTTGCTGAGCGCTTCTCTCGCGACCGTCCTCGATTCACCGACCAGCTCGATGTCATCAAGTTCGTCTGTAAAGATCTATGGGGCATCATGTATAAGAAGCAGATTGACAATCTCAAAACAAATCATCGGGTAAGTTGTCCTCTCTCCGCCTCCTGCAAGTGGTGTCCATTCTTCGCGGCGGCTGAATACTCGACCTTTTCGGCGGGGGAGCTTTCCCTTTGTCCTCCTCACTTGTCAACTTTCGGTTGCGTCTACATGCAAATTACCTTGTTGGCTCTTGGGCTGACCAATGACCTCGTTTGGCCGTTTAGGGTGTCTTCGTCCTTACAGATAACAAGTTCCGTCCGTTCTCTCGCATGAGTATGGCGAGCAGTGCTGAAGCCGTGGCCCGGGCTCAGACGCATCTCTTCTTCCCCTGTGGAGTAGTCAGGGGCGTCCTGTCCAGCTTAGGTATCAAGGCCACGGTTCAGGCTGAAACAAACGAGCTACCATCGGCAACGTTCCAGATCAAAACGGCACAGGCCAAGACCTGATCGGGGTCAATTCCACCTGTCAAGAGTTCACTTGTGTGGGGCTGCTTCTGGTCTGGATTTACGGCCAATGTGATTGGGATCTAATTCAGAGATCAAGTCTCACTAAGCTATTTCGGAAATACAAAGTCCGTTCTGCACGCTGGTGTCGCCAGCTGACAACGAAAAGAAAGAATCGGTCGTTGGCGGCACGAAGACTTTTCCGAGATCAAAGTTTGAAATATTCATCATTTCATAATGGATCTCATAACCTGCACCGATGGCAATGCCCTGTTAGTTTGGGTTGCCGGTGTTTGTGTATGATGGAATTGTCAAGGCTCGAGACAAAACAATATTTGGGGGCAGGTAGGCTCATTCTTCGGGGGATGCCTCAGAAATCGCTCACGTCCTACCTGTGAAAGATTTGGGTTAGGCGATCAAAACAAATGACAAGAATGAACGCTGAAAAACCTACTTGGGTGGGTTGGTGATGAAGCTGACACCTGTCTCAACATTGGTCTTGAGGCCTTTGATAGCTTCATCGAGCAGTTTCTTCTCATAGTCGTTCGCATCGGCGAGGATGTTGAAGGCCTTCTCGGCTCCATTGACCTGGAAGAAAGATCAGTTTAGCCGTGGTTGTGAGAGGTTCCAGTTGTACTTACACCAAGTTCGACGGGAACAGAGAAGTAGTCGACGCCGGTAGCTTTGGCAATGGCATCACCACCTTCGACACCTGGGAGATACACAAAGGTGTTCTCAACAATACCCTTCTCGCCCTTGGCGGCCTTCAGAAGAGACTCTGCGAATCTGAAACCGGCGTAGGCCATGGAGAGAGTGGCAGAACCAGCACCATCCTTGGCCTTGACGACTTCGTCACCTCCGAACTGAACGCGGTTCACCAATGCATCGAGCTTGTCGGCAGGGATGCTGACGGAAGGCTTAGCCAAGCTGAAGAGGGGCACAATGGTGTTACCGGAATGGCCACCGACAACTGGGATGTTAAGTTTGCGAGGGTCTTTCTCTCCGACGATGCCTCCTACGAAAGTCTCGGCACGCACGACATCAAGGGTGGTGACACCGAACAGCTTCTTGGGGTTGAAGACGCCAGCTTGCTTGAGGACCTCAGCGGCAATGGGAACGGTCGAATTGACAGGGTTGGATATGATGGCAATGGTGGCCTTGGGAGCGTACTTGGCGATGGCAACGACAAGGTCTTTGACGATGCCTGCGTTGATCTTGAAGAGATCATCTCGGGTCATGCCAGGTTTACCTGTGACCAGGGTCAGACATACTTTGTGGCTTGGGGATGAGCTTTGTAGGCTTCACGTACGGGGTACACCAGCTGGAATAATGACAATGTCTGCACCAGTCAGAGCCTTCTTCTTTGCCTCCTCTGTCTCGGGCTGTTCGCCCTTGAAATCGCCCTTGGCAGCTACAGTGCCCTCGACATCCTGTAATGTTGTTAGACGGGACCTTGACTGGGGCCGGGTGAGAGGAAGGACGTACGGCGACTGAGGAGATGTGGGACAGATCAGCCGCCACACCGGGGGTGTTGACGACATCAAAGAGACCGAGTTCATCGACAAGAGGAGAGATCTTGAGGAGCAGAGATAGAGGCTGTCGTAGTCAGTAAAGAAGTCGAAATGAGATCTGTTGCTTGCTGGTCATACCTGGCCAATGCCACCAGCGGCACCAAGTACAACGGCCTTGACCATGTTGCTGTCTGTTGTGATGAGGGGTAAAAAGGCGGGTGGTGGTGGGATGTCAGAGATAGAACAAGTCGAGAAGTGGTTGATCTCCTCGAAAGATTAATGTGTAGTTTGAAATGAACAAGAATCTAAGGCAAGAGGAAGTCGAATTGGTGTGAGAACAGAATGGGGAAGGGGGCGGTCTGACTATTTGAACGAAACTATACAGTGAAGTTGAAGCAGCATCACAGCAGGAAAGGTGCCAAGCGGGGAGGTATCAAATTCGCTCAATCAATGCCCATTTGGCGGGATGGTTGGGCTGGTGAAGTCAACTTGAGTGGCTTACCCGCACTGCCCGCCCACACCAACGCCCACGCCCACATGAAAATGCCTGTGTGCTTTTGCCCGCCATTGCCATTGCCAGTATTGCCGCCGTGGGTTTACCTCACACTTTATTGCTCCAATTCCTCAATGCCCCGCGTCTGGCCCAATGGCCCCGATTTTTCGCGTTGTTTCGACCACTGAGTATCTGAATCTCCGTGGCAGCGCCGTCCAGATCCCTAAAACGCCCTCATCACCACAAGGCTGGCACTGGGCCTCTTTACAATACGAAAATAATTCGGGTCAGGCTAGTAGACTTTGATCATTTACATCTTGGACCTAGAATCTCGGGCTTCGTGCCACGGCTAATAAATCCACTTTCATTCTTGCATGGTATCGGATGTGGCACGTCGGATCGCTTTCGGCATGGTTGTCGCCATTTGCCACAACATCTCGCCGTCACCAGCAGCCGACCAGCTGCCCCTATGCAACCAACATATCATCATGTTGCCAGAAGTGATGGGAGCGACCCTCTTGTCTTGCCTTGTCTCGTTACCTGATGAGACATGCCCTTGCTATGCACTTTTCCTGAATCTATCTGATCCTCGCACGCAAACAATAAAACTGAGGTCTAGGGAATATTTAGACCTCAGCCTTGCGTGCCTTGGCTCCACGGGGCTTGCTTGCAGGGGTATCCTTCTTCACTCGCTGAGAATCCTTGATGGCACTGGCACGGGCGACGGCAGATTTGTTCAAATCAGATCGGTAAGAATTCTTGCCAACAGCATCTGCGATGTTCTTGTAGAGTCTGCCGTAAAAAATCAGAATCCAACCATTTCCCCTCAAATATTGCCCAACTTACTTTCTGTTGGAAGTGGTCTTTCCGTAGGTGTGAGTGTTGTAGTGCGACGCGGGCTTGTTGGCCTTTCCAGATTTCTTGGTCTGCACCGTCACGCCTCCGTTCTCGGTGGGTTGAACTGAGACGGCCTTGTCATTGACGAATCCAGCCTGTGTTCTCGAGTGTGTGTTGGTCAGATTGAAAGGATCTCGGGAGAATTGGCTGCCGCCAGAGCTGTTGCGCTTGACGAGGTAGGCATTGTTGTTTCCTGTGACAATTTTCAGTCCAAATCACTCGAATTTCAGTACGAATCGGCTGAACTTACGCACAACCTCCCAGATGAGGTCTGCGGACACGTTGGTAGGGGTAGACATCTTGTACAGGCGTGGGTGAATGGGGTTGTCGTCGCTCGAACTTTTGATAGGAAATTGATGAGTAGTGTTTCTTGTGCGCACTTTGGTTGGTCGGGCTTGGCATTGTCAGTCTGGGGCCAGGCACAAGAGGCACAAGTGGCACAACAGGCTAAGAAAGTCTCCAGTCCAGTCGCCTCCAAGCATCATTACTCCGTACTTTATTATTGCAGAAACCCAACACGTGCTACGGGCATCTCATAAAGCAATGGATGGTTTCCTAGTTGTTGACATATAAATCCTCGTTTTCGCACCTTTGGCCACACAGTTTCAACCATGGCTTCTCGTATTTTGTGGTCTCTACAATGCATCCAAGCTGAACCAAATCTGCCACCACAGACCTGAAGCCGGATGCTGCAACCTCAAGGCCATACATAGTTCGAGAGGTGGTCCGATCTTATTGGCGGTCACCATGGATGCCTCGCGAAAATTCCTCCGAGACCATGCTGAGCCATGAACTTAACCTTGATTTTCCCAAAGAAGTATTGCTGAGCACTGCTTTGGGTAATTGGTCTCACACTTTGTCTTGTCTCCGTCCGACTTTCGGACTCTTTGTCTCTGTGGTCAGTGTCAGGCATCTCTTGGTCAGGGATAGGTACATCAGTAACCCTTCCACCTACTACAGCAAGAGAACCAACAGCATATACTCTACCTTGATACACACAGGATCAACTATGCACAGCCCTAAGGTAGTCGTCGCCTTACATTTTAGCCCTATACTCCATCACGCTCAGCGGCCAAATTGAGAACCTCGAGCAACAGGTGTGTAAGTAGTACGAGGGGTGAAATCACGATGCTGGCAATGATCAGATCGATTAGACAATTGTAGAAGGTGGGAAACAATTTGTGCCGCGTGCCACCATTATTCGGCAAACGTTTTCCACCCATGGGCATACACCGTTGCTGGCCCTGTTTGTGAATTATATTCTCGGCTTGCCGTATCCAAATGGCGATCTAGCAGATATCAGACCTTGTTATCCTGCTATCCTTTGCAAATCACTTTCATAGTGCTCTAAATTAACCCCAGAGAGATGTCGAATCACTTAATTGAACATGACTTTCGTCATGAGAGATTATCGTACAATGCAGAAGCTAATAGACAACCATATATCAAGATATCTTTCTTCTTCAAGAAACTTCCACATGTTAGCTACGAGCAATTCTACAAGCATTGGGAAACGGTCCACGCAGATTTAACATTGACGAGCAAGCACTTTGGGGCATGCAGTATCTTGCGATATGTCCAGGCATGTGATCTGGTGCCTATGGTTCTCAACGAATGCTAAATTTCCCAATCAGACACATATAACGCCGGAATTGAAAGAGAAGGCAAAGGCCACGGGTCTAGAGCAATTAGATTTCGACGGATGCTCCGAGCTGTACGTCAAGAATTGGGACGATTTCGAACAATTTTATGGCAGTCCTGAGTATGCAAACAATACTCTGCGTAAGTATTTGTCTGCTCTGCTGATGTTGTTCTTCTGACTTGGTCTGGTCCGCTGTTGACGCATGGCTTAGATCGCAAAGATACTGCCAACTTCATGGCCATGCCGCTTCGGATTGTGGTTGGTGTAGAGAATGTTATATTCGGACAAGGTCTAAATTCGCTGGGAGGAGGGGATGGTCTTCATAGAGACGATTTGAATCCAAGGGAATTCAGTTGATATATTTAGACAGAGATACCTGGGCTGCTTCTTTCCTAGACTTCAGCAATAGGCAGAAGTCGTAAAGACAACCCATATCGTAGATGTGGAATATTTGTTGGTGGTATGATGCCACAATCCAGTCACACTTTCCCAGCACATTTTATTCACTGACGGTAGCTCCCTAAGGCACCTGGCATGGTGGACTATTTATGAGCGGCTTGCATGTGTACCTTGAACAAATGTTGTCCTGACACCAGAACAGAGGATCCAGTTGATAACGGTGTCGGTGACATCGCACAAGAGATGATCACACTGGATTTCCCCGCCGTTCACAATGGTCGAGTTGGAGTATTTCATAGGATCAAACCTCTTCTGGTTGGAGTGTGCAATTATGTAAGGGATGCACAAGTCGGCCTAAGGCTACTACTTAGGTGTATTTAGTGGCTGTCGGCCTATCGTTCGTGGCAAATCAATAATCAATAAAACAGCTCGGCCCTACTTAGGGCGCAGGATTTCGAAGCCCGAGGCCTGGAAATCCAAACGGATTGGGCCAAAGATGCCTAGAAATCTGGGATTCCCCGGGCTCCTTCGGCTGTACACGCGCATTCCTGACACCAAAACCTGACGACAACTGCTTGGACCACCACTTGGTTCTCCCAAGATGCCAATAAACCGGCAGCTAAGCCAACTACTCGCGCCGCCGCGCCTCTCTACCCGGCCACTCCTACAAGGCAGCAACCTCATTTATCCCTCAAGCCCATCTCTCCATCTCTCAATCTTTATGACACGAATGTAAAAGCCCAAAGGTCCGAGGCCTGACCAGGGAATCAGTTCAACTCCAACAAGACCGAAGTGGGATCACGTCAAGATTGTTCCATCTGCTATCCATAATTAACCGGCAATCATCCTCGACGGCAGTCATACCTGATCATCCAACCACCCCCGCCCCTTCGGCGCGCCCCAACCCTCACCATGGGCTACCTCCTCTACTTTATCTTTTTCGCTTCATTTGTTCTTGGAACAGGTCAGTGAATATCGATCCCGCTGTCTACTGCCTCCAATATGTGAAATGCGACTGACTGATGCCCGCCATGAACAGCGCTCTACCTACTTCGCGAACGATGGACACCATATCTACCCTCTCGAGTGCAGGACGTCATGTACTCACGACTTCCGACAAGTTTCATGGGCGACGTTGAATCTGGTTTCACGTCGGCCGATTTTGATCTGTCCAGCAATGTCATGGAAGGCGACTCGCGCTCAGGACTGGACCCCAAGTCCAAGCGGGAAATTCAACGATTAATGAAGATTCGAGGCGTCAATTTCGACGAAGCTAGACGTGTCTACATGGAGCAGAGATTTAAAAAGGCCGGCATCAGTGCCGACGGTATTCCGAGAGATCCCAAGTTTGTTTCATTTTCCTAGACACTATACAAAGACGGGACTTTGATCTTCGGGGCATCTCGAGGCGACTCGACATGGCGTCCAGGCACGGTAGCATGGTACAGGCCGATCAGTTTGATTCGGCCATATTTTCCAGATATCAATCTCATGCAGCTGTCGTTCGAGGGTTTTTCATAGCCTGTCATAATCTATCCCTCCTTGGTCTATGAATTTAATGTTGGACATCTCAAACTGAATATAGTTCATTTTTCCTCATCCATTCCTCTTCTATCCCTGACTTTTTTCTGAACCAGATCGAGGCGGCGATTTAGCCGATAGAATGTGTACCCAACCAATGAGTCTCCCTCTTGTCCCAAGGTACGAGAAATCGATTGATGAATTATGTATCCATATCCCTGCCGGGAGAACCTTCTTTAAATGCTATGTGCTTGTTCGTATTAATAGTCGCCGTCCTGCCTATTTACACTTGAGTGGCAGCACGACATCTGGAGCGAGATCATTACTCTGCATTAAGCCCACTACCCAAAAGATCCAAGATGCACGCTCAGAACGCCTCTTTACCCTACATATTGCGCTTGAGACCAAATCACTGCGATTTCTTCACATCCTCGCTTGCAGCATAACTTCGGTCATCGGCTCCTTCGACCTCGAGCTGGATTTTCTCCATTTCCTTGGTCTGGCGCTCCCATTCCTTCTTTCCCATCTTGGTCTCACGCTTGAAGAGCTCATCGTTGGGCTTTCTGTAACTCCCGCCTAGACGATCCCAGAGTGTTGTGAATTGTCCATAGTTGCAGCTGAAGAATAAATGATGCATGGTATGGCACGCCGCACCATTAATCAGAGCCGAGTTTGCATAGTATTCGCCATCGTGGATGAAAATCGTCCAGATGTTGATAAAGGCAAACAGGGCAATGTATGCAAACTTTTGTAGCGGAAACATGAAGGGGAACAAGTGGTAAGGAATCGACTGAGCGAACCCGTCCAATGGATGGAATGCATGTGAGGCATAGGGGGTTGGCATGATCCATTTGTGATGGGGCTTGTGCAAGGTCTTGTAGACCCTTGGATGATGGAGTCCGCGGTGGATCCAGTAGATGAGGAAGTCGGTGAAGAGGATGAAGAAAGGGAATTGGAGCCAGTTGTATAGAGAGAACGGTGCATCCTCAGCGACGTCGTACAGCTTGGAATACCCCCGAACTTCGGCCAACATACAAGCCGCGGTGAGGATTGCCATACCTGGCATGGCTTTGTTGGCCTGAGCGATTTCAAGGCGTACCTGGTTCTTCAAGTACTTTGGATGATTGACGGTAGTTTTGTCGAAGATGAACACGTAGGAGAGAGTGGCGCAGATGAAATACAACAAAAGTCCGAATACCCTATTGCAAGGTTAATGGCAGGCCGAGGAGCTTGTGATTGAGACGAAAACTTACCATACTACCAGGAATAGACTGATGGCTTGTCTGTAGACGTTGTCTCGTGGCAGAGAGCTGCTATACGCCCATTGGGTGGGATTGAGGGAAATGAACTTGGATGCAGGTTCATAGATGTAGGTGTATTGAGGAGTTGCCACAGCACCATCGCGCACGCTCGAGAAGGTGGAGGTGGTGAGGTTGTTGAACTTTTGAGACAGATAGGAAGAGGGACTCGCAGGAAGCACAGCAGAGTAGATACGATCGAGCGCGAGGGTGTCAACGATCTCGAGGACGATATCCATTGTGGATTATGGCCACTCGGACCTAGGCCAGCGTAATAGTTTAGAGGGATGTGACAAGGGAGAATGGCGGTAATCGAACCGGAGGTCGTCGAGGTATGTGAGAGCAACGTGCAGAGTGGAAGGCGACAAAGTGGTACCTTAGGATATACAAGATGCGGTTGAAGACCAGAAAAATCAACAATTCCATAAAAGTGTAGGGCGATCAACTTGGGTAGGCGCAAACGGGATTTTTAGTCAGGTACAACTTGAGTGGCGTGAAATGGTGATCTCAACTCCCGGTGCCGAAGTGCCCACCGTTAATCAAAACCACCAGTCACTGCACCGATAACGGCGACCCGGCCTGGGAGGTGGAAGCTCCGTGGGTGGTTAACAGCCTATAAGGGTGGTCTGAGGAGCTCCAGGGGAACCACATGGACCCTGACATATCACCAATTGGCCAGCACACCACCAGGCAGAAGGAGCAGCCGTGAAGAGCCTCCGTGCCTCATAGAGCCCTGTCACAGGTTGAATGTGGCCTGCGTGCCTGCATAAAATTACAGCAGAGTACATTGTCATCAAGAGCAGATATAATACGGTGAAGCTTATGGTTCCAAGTGCTGGCTCACGTGGTAGTGGTTTCCACATCTCCAGACAGTCAATAATACAACCTGCGTCATCTTTGTCATGATATTAAATTTTGCCAACTCGATGTTGTTACTTCACCATCACTGTCCACGATGCAAACATGCCCTACTGATGTCTAGTTAAGTTCAGAGGTATCTTTAACAACATCTTTCTCCCCATTGCAATCGATATGATCCTCGATCTCGGCACCTCAACCTACAGCCGCTACTCTGTCCCGCCTTCCAATCTGGCCTCGCAGTCGTACTCACAGTCACCTTAAGCTGTCACTGATGACCACGTCACAATCCCATGGCCTCTCTCCGGCCACTATCGAGACCATTTCTGGCCTTTCCGCTGGCTTGGTCTCCACAGTGATAGTGCATCCTCTCGATATCATTAAGACGAGGTTACAGGGTTCGTATCACTTGCCTACCGATAACACAGCCGAACTTGAACTAGACTAATGCCTCCCCAGTCGACACCTCCTCTCATCCTCTGCTCAACTCTTCGAGATCCGTCCTCCGCGATATCTTGCGGAATGAAGGCCCGACTAGGATTGCCGCCCTATATCGAGGGCTGACCCCAAACCTGGTGGGAAATTCTGCTGGCTGGGGATTGTACTTTCTATGGTACCGCCAGGCCCAAGACCTGATTCGCAATGTCAGGGAATATGCTCCTGGTCAAGCACTGACCGCGGTCGATTATCTTGCGGCATCGTCTATGTCTGGACTGCTGTCTGCCATTCTGACCAACCCAATCTGGGTGGTCAAGACACGCATGCTTTCCACTTCTGCCACTCAAACTGGGGCATATCCCGGCATGATTCCTGGCCTGCGGGCGATATACAAGACTGAAGGCATGAGAGGATTCTTCCACGGCTTGACCCCAACACTTGTCGGAGTCAGTCATGGCTCCTTGTATTTCCTGGCTTATGAGAAACTCAAGATCTGGCGAAAGGCGCAACACCCTGACGGCCAGCTCACCAACACCGATACATTGATCACGTCGTCATTGTCGAAAATCTTCGCCGGGATTGCGACATATCCCCATCAGTTGGTACGTGCAAGGCTACAAACATATGACCCTAGCGCAGCAATCCACGTGAAAGGACCTGGCGTGATCAACCTCATCAAGATGGTATGGCGGAACGAGGGATTGGTCGGGTTTTACAAAGGTCTCTTCCCCAACCTTCTACGCGTTGTCCCAAGCACTTGCGTGACCTTTCTTGTCTACGAGAACACTAGGTGGGCATTACCCAACTTGTTCGGGTCCACGGACGAGGAAACTGTGAACTCCACTGTGGTTCCCAAGCAGGGGAAGACGGGCACCCTTTAGCTCCATGTAGTTTAACAAGAGTTGTCAGACAATACACACCTCTCCCCTCGGTCCTAGACTCAAATATTCTCTGCCGACCCAGGGTTGCTGCTTCGGTTGGTTCTCAGGGGTTACAAGAGTTACGAGAGCCCCGAGTGTCCGAGTACCCGTCGTACTCTAGTGTCTCATATGTACTGCCTTGTGGAGATATGACACAGCTCTGGTCTATAGTCGTCGTTGCAGTGTCAAACCCCGACCCCTCAAGTTGAGGGGGGATATGCATTCCCATTCTCAAAGGGAAAGTGTGTAGCACCGTAAGTTTGTACGCTTTGTCCACTCATCGAAGTCTAATGGTTTTTCCCTTTCCTGCGAAAAGTTCTTTAGGGATCAACCTCGTAGCTCAAAACTCTACATCAACGACACCCCACTTTACAAGTCTACAGAATCGAGCCCATGCAGACGGCCACGACTGCGTACCATGGGTTCGGGAGGACTTCCACGGCTTGGGACCTCGGGTTGTCAATTGCAAGTCCCCACCTGATGGGTGCATTTCCGCAGGCACTAGTGCAGGACCACAAATCCAGGAGGCACTAATAAAGCGTGACCTAGTTTGCCCTTGCCCGAAGTCGACCTGTTTTCCACTTCGTCTGCATTGTGTGCATCCCCGTGTTTAGTTGTCTTTGAGCATATCTTATCTGGGCAGGATGGATCCAGGCCATTTTCAGGAGCTTCGTAAGGTTGCAAATTGCTTTGCATTCAGTATCTACATTCGCTATCATGGTTTAGAAACTGTCATAATGGGAGACCACTTCGGTACAACGGTTCCTTGTGCAAGGGAGGTGGTATGTTCGAGAGCCTGTAAAGAGCTTGATGCTTGCTGTACTCGCTGCATATTTATTCATAATATCGTACAAACTCGATGCCAGTGTAAACGCACAGTATTCTATTTCAAAGTTGATCAAATTCTCACGGTTTCTCCATGGGAACTCTCTCGACTGTGAAGGTGACATCGCGCCTGATTTCGTTGGCGGCCTGGTCGAACCCTCTGGAACTTGTCGACGACGTATCGCCATTGTGGGCTTCGGACATGGACCGTCCGCGCTCGAGTTCGTGCTCAGAGCCGGTGACGACGGACTTGCTGATTGGGTAGGTGTCAAGGTCGAGGTCGAGGTCGAAATCTTTGGACGAGCCGAGATTGTGGCGATTCGAGCCATGGTCAAAGGTGTTGTGGCTTTTCTTGGCCAGAGGTTGCCCTCGCCAATTCGCAGTGTGATTGTCGCCCGAGGTTGCTTTCGTGCCTTTGCGGCTGGTACCAAACTTGGAAAGGATGGGAAAGATCTCTCGGAAGAAGACCCAGAGACCAGGGAGGATGGTCACATAGATGGCCACCGATGCTTCGCGGAAATACCAATTCATGTAGACGTAGGACACAAGTGATGGCACCAAGCAGTAAATGGCGCGGAGGACGGCGGCCACGATCACAAAGGTACCCATACCAAAGATGACACCCAGCACCAACTTCTGTTGCACTGACAGTCGGGCTTTCATGACAGGCGGAATTCCAATAGCTAGAATGAAGACGTCGGTGGAGATGTTGAAGACGGCGTTCACGATCTGAAAGTATTCGTATGTAGAGCATTGTGCTATAGAACACGCTTGCGGTCAGTGGTTTTCGGGGAGTCAACGGGAGGGGCGATGAGGCGGTGGTGCTTACGGTTGTTCGGTGGGACCGCCCAATATTGCGATAGAGGTCGACAGATGAGAAACAAGGCAAGTACATCACCGAGAAAGGCGCATATAGTCCATACAATGAGTGCGTTGAGGAGCTTACGCACTCTTAATCCCTCGCTATTCGACGTGGTTAGCGTTAAAGGGGTCTCTTGGGTAGAGAAGACATACGTGACTCTGGCATAAAGGGTCAACATTGCAGCTTTCATGCTCCAGATAGTCAAGAGCATGGCATGCTCCGAGACGAAGACCCATTTACTGCCTCGGATCCTGTCCGCAATGATCTCTGGAGTGAGTTGGGCTTCTTCCTCGGGCGTCATCAGATTGGAACCTGCGCCGGTTGCCATTTGATTGAACGAGACACAGAGCATGGTGTAGGAGACCAACCCGAAGGCGATGAAGCCATCGTCGAGTTGGAGTTTTCGCCAGCCCACCCTCCGTAACTTGGCATATCTGCGACAATGTCTCTGTTAGATATGGCCAAAGTCGAGAATTGATATGCGGCCGAGTCCCCGCTGGCATACTCACAGTCGAAGAAGTCCGAAGAAGGCGCCGACGCCATACAAACTCCAGGACTCGGGCACAAAGCCCGGGTTGGGGGACTGAATGTCAGACATGTCGATGCGCTGTTGACAGGCGCAGGTGCAATGGTCAGCTGGAAAGACTGGTGATGGGATTGTCAGTGCAATATAACGACTGACCCACGGGTCAACGCTGGCTGGACTGTCGATGTGCTCCAACTGGGCGTGAGGGTTAGTGTCTGCGGCGCTGGGTATGCTCGAGTGGCTTGCTTAAGAGGATTGACTTTGCAGACCCAGCCCAAGACAATAGCGCTGGCATGAAAACAAGTGGTCCCTGCCCCTTGGTCTTTGGCGATCCCCGCTCTCCCGCAGATTCTGGAATCTTGACCTCTCGTATCTGGTCACGCTGGTCAGGATGGGTTGCAACGACGGTAATTGCCTATTTTGAACCGAGACCAGGACAGGAGCGCAGTCGACTCAAGACTGCTGGACGCAATTGCCGGTTTGTGGAGTCAGGTACACGGAAATGATCCTGATGTCTCGTTTGGGTTCTGCGACTACCAGGTTTGAGTGGTTTGACTGTGGAGATGGGAAGCGTTGCTCACCAGGGGACACTGCCAACCGGATGACATTGTGAACGTCAAGTCAAGACACTTGCAAGTCCTTACTTGAAGCAGGAGAGTTTGATCAAGGAGAGTTTGCTAGCCGGATCATGGCTCGACCAGTGACCGCGACGGTGGCACTGGTAAGTGGATGGGCGACCTCGCCGCCGGGGAGATTCAGAGACCTAATCATGACAGAAGTCAAAGTGGACAAACGGCAAGCCGTGGTCAGCGGAGATGTTGACCCACCCACACATGTTGCAGGTGCGACTGTGAAGATACTTTTTGTTACCTACATTTTATGATGCAAGTGGAAGGAGCCTCCACCAACAACTGAAAGCTTAATCTTGGCATAGCATCTGCCAAGGTGGCCACTTCTTGGTCGTTGGCACTTGAAATCGACGGTTATAAACCTAGAGAAAGTTCAACTGAGATAGTGGTATATGCCTAGTCAGACTCTGGCTAGATAATTGTACGTATGCCAGTAACCGTTAAGCTGCGTGCACTGGGACCTGCATTAAGTTCAACGGTAGACCCAGGGTCGGAACACCAGTCAGTACTGTTGTGTGTCACAAAATTCCGCAATGAATCCTGCTCGTTGATAAGCGAGGATGAGCCCTAAAACGGGAAAGGTCACACAACTGGAGAGACAACTCCAGTCGGGGACACGGAAGAGCCAGGTTGGAATCACAGTTTACCACAGTAGTATAATCACACTACTACTATACTTTATTGAGTAGTACTCCGTACTTCTTATGCATACTACTGAGACCTTCGAGAAGAGTATCGGGTAAGAGGCATGGCGGCAGATATGTGGATATCCTGTGGTTGTCAATATGATGAGTGTCATTTAAGCACTCGAAGCCTCCCGGAATAGAGGGGCCATTGGCCTAAGAACTGGCGTCCGAGGCGGCCTCGAGTGTGCACGTGCAAAAGCATCACCGCACGGTTGACAAAGGATCCTTATAATGCGCTCTGTCCTGGTCTGAATAGCTCTTTGAGGTAGGTACCAACCCAACGTGGTGGGCTACCATCATTATTGTCAACTGCTGGGGTAGCTATGCGTCCGATCTGGACCCACGATCCCTCACTATAAATTTCTGGCCCCTGGTCACACTGCCAACAAGCCGGATCAAGAGGCCCATGCCACCTGCCAAATATCGTCAAGGCACCCGCTGGCCTCCCCTGCCCCCCATTGGGATCTACAGAACTTACCTACCTATTCGTACACTGCGTCGCCATTGCATGTGGCCTAGAGACAAGCGACCCTTGCACCACACGTGCGTCCAAACCACACTAAGTACCTACCTGGTACCTTATACTACGACTACGGAGTACAGATATGCCCTTGCATACCTAAGGTACCTAAAGGTACCACGCGAACGCAAATGTCAGTGAAAGTGCCAAGAGGACTCGGCAGTCAATCCTTATCGGGCGACCGTGCATAGCACTGCCGTGACTGGCCACGCCGGCCACCCTTGAACCTTGGACAACAATAGGCGTCTGAGCCCTGCTTCGTCTTACAACTACATCAATGGTTTCTCGCTCCACAAATTGACCCAACCTTATCCCTCGAAGCCAATCACCATATCCGACTCAAGGCTTTTCCAGCTGTCTCGCTGAGTGTTTCCACTCAAACTACCACCTTGATCTAGAAAGGCCCAGGATTTTCCTGTTTCCGTTGCAATGGCTCGCTGTTGCTGTCAATCTTCTTGTGCAGACCCTGCTTCTTGTTGACGTTTCTCTTTCGCGTCTTGATTTACTGCTCTCTGTCATCGTCTCTCATCCTGCTCCGACCAAAGACGTTGGTGTGTTAGAGACACGAAATGGCAGAGGTTAATAATAAAGAGCCTCATCCAGAGGAGTCTTCTACCGGTTCTACTCAGGCCGCTCCCGAAGACGGAGTCGTTATCAACGCATCTGGTCACGCTCAAGAACTCCATCGCAACTTTTCCCTCCTCTCTCTCGCCGGTGTTGGCCTCGTCGTTGGCAATGTTTGGCCTGCAATTGGTGGCTCAATCTTGGTCGCCATTTTCAATGGTGGTCCTCCTGGCGTTCTCTACGAATTTCTGGTCGTTTCCGTCTTCTACTGGACCGTCGCCGCATCGATAGCAGAGCTTGCATCCGCCATCCCTTCCTCTGCCGGTGTCTATCATTGGGCTACCGTCACCGCAGGCCCAAAATGGGGAAGAAGTGTGGGCTTCTTTGCAGGATGGTGGAACACTCTTGCTTGGGTCCTAGGCGCTGCTTCCATGACTTCCATCTTCGTATGTTATGCCCTCTGCTGTAATTTCAGCATTTTCTTACTGACCGATGTCTAGTCCAACACCATCGTGCAGATGTACGCCCTCAAGCATCCTGACTATGTCATGGAATCATGGCACGTCTTTGTCACCTATATCATCACCACCTGGATCGCATGCACGATCGTTTGCCTGTTTAACAAAGCCATGCCCTACCTGAACAACATCGGAATTTTCTTCATTCTTGCTGGCTTTTTGATCACCATAATTGTCGTTACTGTCATGCCAGGCCGCGGTGGTCGTCCAGGACATGCAAGCTCCTCCTTTGTTTGGAGAGAATGGAGTGCCGACATCGGTTATCCCAACGGCTTCGTCTTTGTCGCTGGCATGTTGAACGGCGCATTCAGCGTTGGCACCCCGGACACCACCACTCACTTAGCAGAGGAAATTCCCTATCCTCAGCGCAATGTCCCGCTTGCAATCTTGAGCCAGGTCAGCATTGGATTCGTCACTGGTTTTGCCTATTTGATTGCCATTCTGTACGCCATCAACGACTACGATGCCCTATTCGAGTCGCCCTACCCGATCGCCGAAATCTATCGACAAGCCACCGGCTCCGCAGATGGTGCCATTGGCCTCTTGGCGTTAATTCTCATCTGCATTGGCATTTGCGTGGTTGGATTATACATCACCTGCGGCCGTACTCTTTGGGCTCTGTCCCGTGATGGCGCCGTCCCTTTCCCGCGTTTCGTCAGCAAGATCTCGCCTACTCTCAACATGCCTATGCACGCGACCGTCATCGTCGCAGTCCTCGTGACGGCGCTCGGTGCTATCTACGTGGGCAGTACGACTGCTTTCAATGCTTTTGTTGGCTCCTTCGTCCTCATGTCGAGCTCATCCTACACTGCCGCCATCCTCCCTAACCTCATCACCCGCCGCAAGAACATCGAGGTCTATGGTCCCTTTGAATTAAAGGGAATTTGGGGCTACGTACTTCCTACCATCGCCTGTTCCTACATGATTGTATGGTTTGTCATCTACTCCTTCCCCTACTATCTCCCGACCGATGCCGAAAGCATGAATTACGCCTCGCTTCTCTGGGGCGGGTTCACCATTTTTGTTGCTGCATGGTGGTTCTTGGGCGCGAGGCGCAACTACGTCGGACCTCCCATGGTCCGGGATGGAGGAAAGGTCAGCTTGGCTGAAACCCTCAAGAATATCAACCCTCAAGCCGTACGGAATGCCAGTTTGTCTGCCAAAGATGCCTGACAAGGCAACACATCCGGTCGAGGCATGGCAATGCTACCAGTCAACCCGTCATGACATAGTTGGCGCCCTGTGTCTCCCAATAGATATTTTCAATCCAAGATGCAGGCTACTGTTGTGACGAGGTCATCTAAGACGCGCATCCCTGCCAGCCGGAGCCTTGTATAGTTTGAAGTTATAGAGCGCGGTAAATGCCAGTCTTGTCCTTCTTTGATATCAAACGATATATTCTTCACGCTCCATTGGCTCTCGCCTTGAATGCATTGAAGTCATGATTTTGCCTGTTGCCCGAAATCAACCTTTTTTGGCACGTAAACATTGCGATGTGGTTATATAGGAATATACCGACCTACCTAGGTACTCGTATGGGGAGTGTCATGGTCCATGGCGGTGCCAAGCTTTTGCACTTTACGCGTCGACGCGTTTACGGCGGAGCAGCCACGGCAAGCGTGAGTTGAAGATCTCATTTCGAAAGGTACTCTGTTCTGCTCACAACAACAAACAACTGGCCTTTCCCCGGATGACTCTAGGCTGATCGAAATGTCGGCACAGCCAGAATCGTCATCTGCTGGCGCGCGAAAGGCGCTCAATGCGCATGCGAATGCGTCGACCCCAGAGTACGAATTGCCATGGTACTGCGCCCCTGGTCTTCAATGTGTTTCTCAGTGACATACTAATTCATCGTGCAGGGTTGAGAAATACAGACCTGTCTATCTGGACGATGTTGTTGGGAACACAGAGACTATCGAGAGGCTCAAGATAATCGCAAAAGATGGAAACATGCCTCATGTCATCATCTCGGGGATGCCAGGTATCGGCAAGACGACCTCAGTCCTCTGTCTCGCGCGAACCTTGCTTGGAGATGCATACAAGGAAGCCGTTCTCGAACTCAACGCCAGTGACGAGAGAGGCATTGATGTTGTCCGGAACAGGATCAAGGGATTTGCACAAAAGAAGGTTACACTGCCTCCAGGTCGGCATAAGCTGGTGATTCTAGATGAAGCCGATAGGTAAGGCGCCGATAGACGGAACAGGGGCGCTGAGCTAACACTGTCACAGCATGACATCGGGAGCCCAGCAAGCCTTACGAAGAACCATGGAAATCTATTCGAACACCACGCGATTCGCCTTTGCCTGCAATCAGTCGAATAAGATTATCGAACCTTTACAATCCAGATGCGCGATCCTTCGATACTCGCGGCTGACCGATGCACAAGTGGTGCAGCGCTTGACACAAATCATCGAAGCGGAAAAGGTCGAGTTCTCAGAAGATGGATTGGCAGCATTGGTGTTCAGCGCAGAAGGCGACATGCGGCAGGCCATCAACAATTTGCAGAGCACATGGGCAGGATTCGGATTCGTCAGTGGCGACAACGTATTCCGTGTCGTAGATAGTCCTCATCCGGTGAAGATACAAGCAATGATCAAGGCCTGTTGGGACGGCAAGATCGATAGTGCAGTGGACACATTGAAGGAGTTATGGTAAGTCACGATATCTCATCAAGACATGTGTAATGTGCATGGCTGACATGGGCTGGTGCTGCAGGGATCTGGGATATTCGTCGCACGACATCATCAGCACCATGTTCCGGGTAACGAAGACGATACCAACCCTCTCCGAACACTCCAAATTGGAGTTCATCAAGGAAATTGGCTTTACACACATGCGAATTCTAGAAGGGGTACAGTCCTTTCTTCAATTGAGCGGGTGTCTGGCGAAATTGTGCAAGATCAACATGAAGCCTGAAATGTTTGAGGTATCTCGATGAGACCGCAGCATGAAGGCTTACGGGCTGAAAGCCTGAAACTCGGTCAATCTGGCTGACGCAGTCATCTGCCGACAGTTGATGATGCGTAGGAAGACTCTTGGCCAGAGTATGAGTTCTCAGCCCATGGTGATCGGGTGCAACACCAGCCACGAAGGTGCAAACACGCCTAACCTAAACAGAGCTAGCACAAGGCCGAGGGGCCCAAAGTCGGACTGTGACGACCGATATGCCGACTTGAAGCACACAAGCCCCCACAGACGATGTTCACCTCTGAGGGACGCAGATTCTATACCACATCTGGCCATGGGGCACCGGACAATATGCGTTATGTCGGAATGTCTTCGTCATCACTTTCCATCGACCAACGATAGGGCCAGTGAGAGACTTGTCTGAACGCACTTTGGAGCCGTGTCTGGTGACAATGCCTACCCAGGGCGAACCAACGAAGACACTTTGACCAACGATGTTCTTGTATGGTTGACCTATAGTACTACATTAGGCTATGATCATGAGCGGTAACGAATGTTACCTTCCCTAGAGGTGGACGAGGGGCCACGTAAGACTGGACGGCTCAATACAGAAGATGCAATTGATGGATGCCGAGCAAACCCATGCGGCAGCACGGATTCATTAGACTACGGAGTAACAGAATGCTTACTTGGGTATCTTAAGGTGCCTTTGTGTAGGTATCTAGATACACAAGGACGTACACCCCCCTTGGCACTCTTTGCGCTGGGTTGCGCATCGTATATTGAAAATCTGCCAATCAGTAGACTTCGTGCAGGGCCATTAATCCGAACGTTAGATGCGCCACTGTTTACAAAATTCCGAGGATGGTTTTCCTGCTGCGGTTGCTGGTGTTGATGAACTATGCCCGTGCCATCGTACTGGCTCTTGCTGGGGCTCAGGCCGATTTTCCCCAGGTTCCGCAAATAGCAGGCGAATCAAAAGAGCGTCATCGCCACGACAAATCCTGGATTGGAATGGTTTGAGTGGCATGAGTCCGACGGACATGCCCACAAACACGAGCTTATTCGGCAGCCCAGGCCAACCAGCCGTGACAGCCCCCAGGGCCAACCAGCGCCCGCAGGGGCGTTGCAGCCCCGGCAATGAACAGGCACCGTAGGGTTCCCGCCAAAGCCTGTGAGGGCGACCCTTCAGCCACTGGTGCATCTCGCTAATGGCTTGGCTCACCGACAAGTGCCTATTGCGTACGTTTCACAGCCAGAAAACCTCCTTGGGCTGCACGGCAGGCCGCGTCGCCCCTCCGACCTCCGATCCCTTGAAGCTTAATACGGGTTTCTAACTTCGGACTCCAAGGCACTCATGGGCGCTGTAGGATTGCATTGCAGTCCCCTAGCAATCTATTCTATCTTGCGCTGCTGCAACCAGCAAGGCTGTGTCCAGTGACAACGAACCAGGCCCAGCCCGCCTTAAATCTATCGGTAGGTTCAATCTGTATATCTTTCTGATCATATCCTCCATCTTTGTGGTTCCAGCCATCAACTTCTCCGTCAACCTCCGTGGATACATCCTATCTCCACTTCCCTCAATAAACCTTCATCCATTAGCCACACACACATAGTCACCATGAAGTCGTACTTGCTGCCTTTGACTGCGGCTCTGTTCGCCTCGTCTTCTCTTGCCGCCGGTTGGCTCCCATCATGTACAGTATGTTTGAATCCTAGTCTGATCAAGTCATTCGGTGCTAATGTTTGCTTTAGTGGTCTGACTGCTTGGGCTCTTGGGACGGTACTACTTGTGATGCATCGAGTGGCTGGGAGTGCGTCTGCTCTAACCAGACTGCCATTTCCCAACTCAACACCTGTGTCGCTACTTCCTGCACCAACCAGACCGATCAGGAAGGTAAGGAGAATTGCTCTCAGCCAATGCAAATTCAACTGCTAACTTGTCCACTAGCCATCTATGGAGCCGTTGCTCAACTTTGCGCCAACGCAGGCGTGACTGTCACCAATTCTCAACAGGCTACTTTCAGTGCTACCTCTGGCGGCTCTGCTTGGCCAACCATCACCTCTGGTCCTGGATTTGGCCCAGGTGGACGATGGGACTCTGAAGCATGGTCAAGCTGGGTCTCTGCTTACTCCACTGGCCTTCCTGCTGCACCAAGCGGTTGGGATGGAAAGGGTCCATGGGGCGGCCCTGGCCAGTGGGGCGGTCACGGTGGTGGCCCTGGCAATGGTTTCGGAGGCCGTGGTGGCCCTGGAGGATTTGGCCCTTGGGGAACAAAGGCTGAAGGTATCAACTGTGATTCATGGACCACCTGGACTGCTGGCTGGGGGCCTCTCTCGTCCTGGACTGGCACCTGGTCTGGCTGCAGCACCACCACTGCCGCTCCCGTCCCAGCCACCGTCACAACTACCGTCACGACCGGTGGAGTGACTCAGGTCCTCACCGGCACTACTTTTGGCATCCAAGCCGTTGTCACCACTGGATCGGATGGAAATGGCGCGACCTCATTGCGCGGCCTTGGTGCTTGCGGTGCTTTGTTTGCTGCCATCTTTGCCACCATGATCGTTCTATAAAAGATCTTGCTCATTGCAACACCGGCGAGGAGTTTGAATGCGGGACTGTGAATCATGCCTTTCATCGATTGGTGCAGGGTTGGCGTTGGCAAATTTGGCTGGGAGCATGCTATGAAATTGATGAAGTTCTTCGAACGATATTATTGCAAGAACTGTATTGTTATATATAATGATTCGATGATCAATGCCGAATCGCTCAATGACACTGCGAAGATGTCTACGATCTCGATTTCTCATAATTCCCATCTCGCTTTTGCTTGACCATTTTGTTTTGCTTACCACGGTACCACTACCTTATATACCCGGCTAAGTTGCCAAGCTTCGCCCGTGCGCGATCATCTGATCTGACATACGAACGCTGTCTTGCATCTAGGCAACGATTCTTCCAGTGTAAGAATTCAAAGCAATGTTATGACTTGATCGGTCCTGTCGCTGTTTTCTGGCGGAACACCTTGAATCATCGCACCAGGTTTTACACAGTGGCCGGGAGTGATGAGGTCTTACAAGTCATAGCAGATTGTCAAAAGCGGCAACCACGGCTCTTCCAACAACGCCCCTTCCCAACACAGATTTTATTCACGTGCTGAATGAAGGCTGCCTGTTTGCTGGAATTTCCATCTACAAACCACTCGAGCTTGACCTTTATGATCGCAGACTCAAACATTGCTCGTTGACTGATTCAGGATTCTGAAATCACATTCCTGTTGATACCCACGGCAGGCACTTTCGTCACCAAATGTTGAAACTACTCCATGCAATTGTCTTCGCCCTCCTGTGGGCCTCATGTGCCCTTGCCCAAGACGATGTCGATCAATGTGCGGTAGGTCGGCAACGCTTTGCCAAAAATAACCAGAAGAACCGTCTCTAATCCCACCACTAGCTCGCCTGTATTGCAAATGTCAATAACACCGACTGCAATCAGAGGTTTGTGCAGAGCTGATGATGAACCTGGCAGTGCAAAGGTAAGCTAACCTATGCCAGTCAATGGTCTTGCCTCTGCGCGGACGATGCCTATGTCGAACAGTTGAACAACTGCACCTACGCATCATGCAATGCATCTCAACAGCAAGGTTAGTCATACAGGCAACGCCAACAAAATGGTACCATTTGTACCCCTTTGCTGACCATACACCAGACACCTTTTCTGTGGTTGCTGAATTGTGCGCCGTCATCGGTGTTCCCATCACCATTGATCCCCAAGCTACCATCCTGACAACAACATCGAATCCGATTCTTAGCACACTAGGCATCCCAACGCAGTCAAGCCTCCCTCCCATAGTATCCTCCCAGGATCACTTCGACAGCACTGTGACCTCTGAAGCGAGCTCAACACCTACAGATGCAGCGACCACTAGTACAAGCACAGGCGGAGGCGGTACGCCGCAGGGTTCCGTGGAGGCAGCAACTAGTAGTGCCAGTCACTCCTCTCCGGCGGGAACTTCCTCGTCGGGAGATTCCAATGGATCCCATAAAAGCTACTCATCATTATTAGGAAGTTGGATTTCGATCCTGGGAGCAACTATGACATGGATGATGGCCATGTAGAAGCACCACGACTCTAGTATGACCCATGTGAAGAGTTATGCCAAGTCTTCAAGTCTCTCGAAGAGCCGGGATATGTTCAGCGATGGGGTTGTGGAGTCCGGAAGCGAGATCAGGACAAGCCGAGTCATGGAGCTCGATTGTGAAGCAAATTGTACAGTTGTAAGGCGCAGGTTCGAGGCCTTGATACACATCTACTATTGCAGCAACTCTTTATTCTGGCGAGATGCCTTCATGAAAAGGGCGAGGCATGCAGCATGCAGCATGCAGCATATGTACGAATTATAGGTGTATTCGGTACACTAGTGACTTGCCAGAAGACCTACCCTTCGGATAATGCTCCTCAAGGCGGAGCAGTTCATGCATGATGACCCGCCCATGAAGGCAACCAATGACATGACCGAAGGTGAAATGAATTCAACGGCTAACCAGGGCCCTGGGACTGCTAAGGTCGGCAATTTCAGATGATCACTGACGATGTCATGTTCGGCGGTGTTGCAAGATTACAAGATCACATACTGCGTACTGTACTTTGTTCCCTGGCAGGGGGTGGATGGCCATGGAAGTTGGGCAAACCAGAGTTATGGATTCCCCGGGGGCCCAGAAGCGCAAGTTGCTGCCCCTCCCTAGTATTATCATCATGAAGTTCAATAACTACAATGCAATCTACTGTTCTAGGCATTGCGGCATTTGATGTTGTTCGAATTTATCAAGCGACATTGAACGGATCGCACTCGAAACCAGAACAGCGACAGACGAAGTGACCACGGATCAATTGACCAAAGAAGTCTGTTTCTCAAAGGTGGCAACAACGGTATCAATAACGATCAAGGACGATTGTTTCCTCCATCGAGTATCTTTTAGGCCAGCTGCTGCCCAATCCTAATGGATTGACTCGAGTACCGAGCCAACTGTATGGTCCTTTTCCACTTCAAGTGTTTGACAGAGACTATCAGGAAAACATTATACAGCCTGTGTTCCAGGGAAGCGCAGAGAACATCCATGACGGAGTGAATAAGGCTAGGCCCCTGCATTATCACCTTCCTGTTACGAATCAAATCGCATCGTCCGTATGTGACGGATGCAGTTTTCTTGGGTGCTGGCTGCTCGAGTGACTCATCAGCAGGTGAAATTCCAATTTTGATTTTAATTTGAATCTTTCACAAGCGTTCAAGATTCTCATACAAGGGGGGTTGGCCGGAACCAGGTTGTAAAATGATTTACGTCAAGGAACGAGGTAGTCGAGAGACAAAAAAGTCGTGGGAACTTGGAAGAGACATCCAGGAAGCAATGATCTACTTGCGAGGTGACCGTTGCCGAGAATGGAGGCATACCCTGGCGTGCCTGGCCATCAAACCCTAGGGAGAAGTGACTAGTTCGCCTAAGACAGGGTCAACCGTTGGTGCGAAGTGGCTCAAACGGATCCAACGTCAAGATCGAATGAAGGAGATGGACTTGGTTGAGTGACTCGAGTACCCATGGTAATCATGGTTAGGCTGTCCTCTCTGTGCCTCGATTCCCAGGTTCTGGTTCTGTCATAGGTGGTAGTCAAGCAAGGCGATAATAGGGCAAACATTCTGCATTCTGTCGCGTGCGAGGCAGTTCCAAGTGACGTTCCCTTCTGTTTCTTTCGGTCTCTTGCCATCCGGGCCATGGAGCATTTCTCGAGATCAAGGGCTCTCGATCATTCATAGAACTTTGATTGGGCAATCTTTGCGGCTTGCCAGACGAATCTTTTGTCAATTTGGTGCTTTAAGAGTTCATCATTCCCTGAACCCAACCTCAGACGAGTCCAACCAAGTATTGTCGTTGTGTCGCCGAGCAATGTAGGGGCCGTTGACCTCAGAATGTCCTTGATCGTTGCGACGACGAGCTGTCTCAATCACGATCGCTCAGAATTGTTGTTCCTGCATGACAAGTCGAAACCCACACTGACACCCACACCTGCGTACATGCAGGTACTTCCACCCTTATTTCCAACCTGTTCGACCTCGGCCTACGCATCCACAGCCAACAAGGCCGTCACCACCATCCTCTATATTTTTGGCATTGAACCGGCGAGACGTTTGGTGCAAAAAAGCCTGGGACTTGTACTACTCTTATTCTTATTACTGTCGTTGCCGTTGGCATTGCCACTAGCAAGCGCTTGTCCATCGCTCCTGCACCGGCATCTGCAACAACTGCAACAACTGCAGACACTGCAGGCACTACAGGCACTGCAGGCACTACAGGCACTGTGGTCGCTCCTGCTACTTTTCCTGCGCCGGTACCTGCACCTGCACTCGCTCCTGCCGCAAGTAATTTCCCTCTCCTTTCTCGCACATCCACTCACTTCGATTCTCTTCTTCAACCTCCACCAGCAACGGATTTCACAACCTCTTCACCAACCACTTTATCACCGAGGGCGCTTGAAAAGCAGCCAACGAGGCATGCAGACATAACTCACTCGACTTTGACCGCCACTCCCGAGCCCTACTCCGCCGGTCCACCCGTTGATCGACCACCTTTCTCTTCCTCTTCTCCCGTGCAAGGACCCTCTTATCAACCTCCTGTCACCCTCCGCGACCCACCTCTTTCGACACTGGCGCATCCTCCTCCGCCCGGTCAGAGGAGGTCTTTTCTCGAAGCTCTGCTGGTTCGACAGAAAAAGGTCATTGCTCCTGACAATCGCTCGGCTGCTTCCAGGGTGCTCAACCCCATCAACTACGTCCCACGCCCCACCCCTGTTCGTGTTCAGTCTCATCAACACCAGCGACAGGTCTCTTCCACTGATGCTGTCACCGGTGAGGTGCGCAACCTGTTGAACCTACCTGAACAACGTCGATCGCGACAACATTCTCCCACCGACTACACCGTCGAACACACCACACACGCCACTCCTCCTCAAGCTGGCGATCGCACCAGCATTGCTTTACCTACAAACCAACAACGCACCCAACTCACACGTTCCCTGTCCACACACGCAGGCCTGATGAATGATCCAGAAAAAAATGTCCCTGGTGTACAGGAGCCCGACCGTGCCCACCTCCCTCCCGGCCACACTGCTCGCGGGCGTGATGTAGAAGCCCAGCAAGCCTCTTCAGTCCTGGGGCAAAGCTATGGCGTAAGTCCGTTGGATCAACCACTGCAGCCACCGAGACGCATCACATCCCACCGCTCTCTCAATCGCGCTCAGTCTGGCATGTCATTACGATCGTCAGCTTACGCAAAGACGAATACTGACGGCGGTCTTGCGCCCCCAGGCTCACACGACGGCGAGCAGAGACCGTACACGGGCGAGGAAGACGATGAGAGTATTGGTGACGAGCTTGCTTGGGGTCCGTCTCACCCCTGCTTTCCACACCTCAATCCTCACGTGCCTCTTGACTCCCCCGAATATACAGCGACCCGCATCATTCGCATCCGTCGGGACTGGATGGTGGCCGGCGACCTCGCCCCGACATTTTCCAACATTTACCCCGAAATTCTCGACCCTTTGATGCAAGAACAAGAGTTTCGCTATGTCATTGAACATATAAATCACACACTGTGCACCGCCTACGACCCCTTCTCGACGTGGAACTGGCTCGATGGTTTACTAGGACTTGCGACTGGTTGGTTTTGGGAGGACATTCGTCCATTTGGGGCAAAGGGGCGTTTGAGAGCCCTCGAAGAATGGTTTGAGGACTGGAACCACACCGTCGGGGCTCGCAATGGGGTCAAACTCATCCCTTTAAGAAGAACTGGCTATCTGAATTTGGATGTTCAGATTCCCGATCCCCAAGTCACCATGGTTGCCGAAAGAGATGACGACAACCAACCTCCGCAAGAGGTAATTTCGGGGCAAGGAAACGCGCAGGACACGTGAAGTTTTGCATGAACCTGGAAATAATGCATTGGACGGTGTCCGCCGGATATTTGTCACGACTGTATAATGTGTGTGCGTACTAATCAGTTGTCACTCTCGATTGTTAAGATGTGTTGCATGAGCGTTGAAGCCTGGCGTCTGTCACTTGCTCGTTGGAAATCTCAAGGCCTTTGAGCTGGAAGAGCTGATGGTCTGGAAGCTCGGATTATTCCGGGTGTCAGACCAAGCCCCTATTCAATATTTATACTATATTTCATCCTGTATCAAGATCCCATAGGTTGGACGACATGTTTATTTGGATCTCAAAAAGTGGTTAGCAAGCCTTGGATAGAGACAGACGCAGCCGCATAGTCTTTGGCTGCCACGCTGCAAAGCCTTTTGACCTTCAAGCTCCGTTTCTGTCTCAAATATTCCGTCCATGGAATATCAATGTCGATACCTGCTCGCGTGTGATGACGTCTGCATCAGATAACCCCCAGGTCAGTACGCCGGTGAAGGACGCCACGTAGCAAGGATCTCCTCTGTTGCTTCACCAGACAACCATGCCATCTGTTATAAGGCATTCAGCATACCAAATTAGCCGTATTTGTGTTATTGTCCTGTTTTCCAGATCCTGTTGTCTCTATCGCTCTCTTCAAGAGGCACCGATGAATCGACTTGGGTTTGGGAGTACAAAGGGAGCCAGTCTGGGAAAGGAAGCGGCCTCGAGGTGTAACCGTGTATTGAGCAAAAAGGCAGAGTTGGTATCGATGAAAATCAGCAGTCGAGCGAGAAGGCCATCAAGACCAAGGCTCCCAAGGCCACCTCGGAGCTGCAACATGCCTTGGACACCAGTCATGTGGGCATGATATGCGCTTTCGCTCCCGTAGATGGCTTCGTAGCTGGCCATCTTCGCACTCGCAGCAATCAAGTCGTCACCCACCCAACCTTTGTTCTCTTTCAAACTCTGGGTGATGCCGCCGATGGCGTATTCTTTGAGACGGAGAATCGCTTCAGCCATGGTGGGATCTCCTTGGAATGCCGCATAATGCGATGCTGAGAAAAGCACGATGACTTGGAAGATCAGCGGACAGTGGATCACCATGGGAAACCATCGCGTCTTCAATAAACACGTCTCCTGCTCGCCATCGACTTCTGGAATGGCGACTGCCAAATTCTCAAGGTCTTTTCTCCTTGTTAGCGTGCAACCCTCCCAGAGCAGACTGAAGACTGAAGGGGAGCGAAAGCATTCTTCATGACAGGGGGGGGTTCGTGAACCAGAGCAGAACTTACAGTTCTCCACTACCACAGATACAAAAGGCTCATGATATACGGGACTTTTGGACGCTGGAATCAAATCGTTTCCGGATAAAGGGGTCAAGGGGCTCATGGATTGACTCGAGGACGACTCATTCTGACCCTGATTGTCGTCCTTTCGAATCTCGAGCGTCCACCGTGGGAATCGCTTTCTGGATCTTCGTTTCTTTGTACCATTGGCCACTACAGATTCATCCTGATGATCCTGGGCGGACGATCTCGCTGCATGGGATCTCACCTCACGACGCACACGGACAGCATGCGCATGATCTCGAGGTACACCTTCGACGAATTTCAGCTCGGCCCGTCGTATCATCATGGATGCGCAATCGCAATCGCAATCGCAATCGCAATCCTGCCGCCGCAGCCGGCCGGGCTTAGTGCAAAAAAGCTCGGCTTTCCTTTCCTTTCCTTGGGATGTCAAACCACGAACTTGGAAATGTCAAATGGCTTCCCACCGACGCCATGTCAAAAATCAAAAACGTTTGGTGTCGAAGCGAGACAAGGTGTCAGGGTGGGTGCGATGTGCCACTGAAGCTTTCAACTCGCCGAGAAAAAACGGATTGGTGGAGCGGAAACGGTTTTACGTACATCCTCTCAGCCTCACAGCTTCTCATGACATGGGGAGATGGAACTACCCGTACCACTTGCATAATCCCAATTCAGAAACGATCCGACGTGACCTTTACGCCTCGACCAAAGCATGCCTCTAGCGTTCGGTCATTTTGGTATCACGCTTTGGTTTTTTCCTCCCTCACGCATTGCATTATTGCCTTGAAGCCTTGTTGATGATTGAACATGGACGATCGATCCTCTTTTCATAACAGAGACCACTTGCATTATCCTGTTCCGGTAAGTCTGGTCGGAGCTATGATGAGTATTTCCTGAAGGGACGATAAAGTGTCTGCTTCGAGTCACTTATCCCCGACACTTCTTCCCACGGACGTCGGCTTCCTCAAATCATCGATCGACATCAGTCAAACCCTGGTCGATCTCATGATGACATTTGTACTTTCGCGTCCGGACCTTGAAGTAAGAAGCCAAAGTAATATAAAATAGTGATGAATCCCCACTAGACCGTGTGTCTTACTCCCCGTGTCTCATTCATTCCCAGTTCTTCAAGAATACTCAATTCAAGCCAGTCTGAAACCCCATTTTTGCTTTACCGCTACTGCTACTACCATTCAAACAACAAAAAGCCTACTAAGTCATGTCTCTTGAAGGAAAAGTTACGTTGATAACTGGTGGTGGCAAGAACCTTGGTGCAAGCATCGCAACCATCTTCGCGGCGGAGGGCTCCCACCTGGCATTACATTACAACTCGACATCGTCCAAATCGTCTGCAGAGTCACTTGCCCAGCAGCTTTCGTCTCAGTACCCCAAGACCCAGATCAAGATATATCAAGGCGACCTGACAGTTGCCAGCAATGTGGAGAAGCTATTCCAGTCAGTCCTGGCCGACTTTGGGGGAAAGCTAGACATCGTGATCAACACGGTAGGCCAGGTACTCAAGAAACCACTGGTTGAGATCGACGAGGCCGAGTACGACCAGATGTTCGCCGTCAACAGCAAGTCAGCCTTTTTAGTAACCCAGCAAGCGGCTAAACACGTCAGCGAAGGTGGCAAGATCATCAATACCGTCACATCTCTCCTGGCGGCATACACGCCCTTGTATACCAGCTACCAGGCGTCCAAGGCTCCAGTCGAATATTTAACCAAGGGATTGAGCAAGGAGCTGATGCCCAAGGGAATCAGCGTCAACGCCGTGGCACCAGGCCCCATGGACACGCCTTTCTTCTACGGTCAGGAATCCCCCGAGGCCGTCGAGTTCCACAAGTCCAACGCCATCGCTGGTCGCCTCACCTCCGTCGACGACATTGCCCCAATCTTCAAGTTTCTCTGTACCGACGGCGCTTGGATCAATGGTCAGACTTTGTTTGCGAACGGTGGCTATACCAGTCGTTAGACAATGATACTTTAGCTACTTAATCCTTGGAGTTTGTTGCTTTGCTGCATTGGCCTCAGCATCGCGAGACATTCATCCCTGTCCTGGCTGGGTCTCGATGTGTGTTACGGTTACCGTGCCAGACTTGCCGGATAAAAGTGATAAGCCATCAAGATTCTGGTTCGAATTGTATTTCCTTCGGCTTCGAACTTGTCTGGAAGATTGTCATGCAACATTGTTGTGGTGTGCGTTATGAGGGTTGGCAACTCCTTTGATCCCACGTTCATGCCTACTACAACCAACATCCTTCTTCACCTTTGGGTCGTCAATAAGCAAGGACATAAACATGGTTGAAATATTCCCATTGATTCATAGGAGAGGAGAGGTCTGAAATCCAATCAAAACCAGACCATCGCCGTCCTTTGTCTGCTTGCGGGGATGACAGATTCCCCCGTTGTTTTTTTCTCCTTTCTCTTCTTGTTTTTCGAGACTTCTTCAACTGAGAGACTCTCTGCGTGAACAATGAATAGAGCCATCGATATAGCAAATAATAAACACGTCTTGGCGACTTGGATACACAACAAATTTCAACACCCGGCCGAAAGCATGGGCTCGCGAAAACACCGAATGTGTACGCTGAATGCCACAAAACCAAGCCCCGTCGAGCCCAAGTATATATACATTTGACAAAGTGTCCAAAGAACACAGTAGTGCTATCAGGATCGACTCTCGCTCGCGATCAAACCCTTTCCAAACCCTTCCTCCTCGTCCCAAAGGTTTCAGTTGGCGTGCTTTTTTCGTTTGTGAGGTGGGGATTCCCACTCGTTCACAATCATTATCGTACATCATGCCGACAGGAACCCAAAGCCCTGCTAATCATACAGGTCATATATCATGTATGGTATAATCATCATTCAGCAATGCGTTGCAAACAAATGAAATGATGGGTGATCGTTCGTGAGGTCGTCGTATGCGTCGTCTCCCGATAGCAGTAGCAACTCATGTCTATCTTGGTCCTTCCTGCCGGTCGGGTTGGTCATCGGCCCGGCTCGACCTGTCCACGACTGCCCTGCGCACCCGGGTCGCTGTGAGGCAGGAGATCAAGGCACAAGGTCAGAATGTGTATAATCTGCTCTTCCCAGATCCCCATCTCAAAATCGACTAAACCGTACTGTTCAAGTTGATCACACAGGCCAATCAACTCATTGGCGAGGTTGGTGATGGCTTCGGCAGAGAGGACATCATTTGGTTGTCGCCGACTTCGAAGCGCCTCCTCTGTGATGTCCTTTTGCTTTTGTCCCAAAGCCTCCCAACACAGATTGATGTGCTGCCAAAGTTCGATCCGTTCGGCGTGCCTGCTCTCGTCATCGTGGTGAAGCCCTAATGCAAGTAAGCTACTAGGCACTGAAGGACGCTTTGACGAAGCGGACGTACCAAGAGCCGTTACAGAGTTGACCAGCCAGCGGGAGAGTGCGACTACCTTCTCACTGGCCTCGGTTACTCTGCCTGCGATGATGGAGTCGAAGATCAAACGGATTTGTTGTCGATACTCTCGTAATCCCTCCTCGGAGGCCTCCTGGCCTCCTTGGCCACCGGTGCTTTGAACTTCTGTATGCTCCACGCCGCCAAAGCTGCCTTGCGCACCTCCGTATGCCTCGCTTAGAGGCGCCCGACTCGCGGCAATATTGCCATAGGAGGTGGTCTCGGCTTGTGTGGTCATGTAATGAGAGGAACTCGATCCAACCCCAACCCCTGCCTGTTCTCCTTGCCCCATGTACTGCGGAACAGCGAGTTGGCTCGCCATCACTTCGATCGCGGCTGACTGGCGTTGTTGGAATGAGAGTGAATCGTATACAGCCTGTGGCCCAACAGGGGGTAACATGGAGCCCTGTGCGTATTGCGTGTAGTGGTGCTGCTGACTGGGAGAGGCTTGAACAGACTGCTGCCTCGAGGGATCCTGCAGATAGGCGGGCGAATACTGCATCTCAACCCCTTGCATTGGACTGCTACTTTGAAGATGTGAGCCACCAAATTGCTGCTCTTGGTACCCATATCCAGAATAGCCGGGAAGATATGGTCGTGTTATCGAGGATCTTCCAATATCACTTCGGGCAGGGGTTGACGGCTGTGCATATCGATCGGTGCTCGGGGGTCCCATGGGTTGCCCCGGTACTGGTCGCGATTGCGCTTGTGTGTGGTATGGCTGTCCATACTGAGAGCGCCGACGGTCATTGCCGTCCATTTAAGGAAGAGTACACTGTGCGTCGACGCCAGAGTGACCGAGTGTCTATGTGCCTTCGAGGAAGCGATGTTATAGAATGTGAGATGATAGAGGGCAACGTCGCCTTGCAAGTTTTCGATGGCTCGCCTCTCACAATTGCCGTCTGCCTTCTCTTCATGCGACCTGCTTGAATGCTGGAAAGGAGGACCTTGTCTGCTGATGCTGAAGGATGTCAGGGTAAGCCAGTCCTGAAGTACAAAGTCGAACTGGTGTGGAGACCCCAGGCAGTCGAGTATTCAAGTGGCGCACAGACTGGGTGCTCGTTTGTCAGAAACCGGCACTCGAAGCCGATGTTGATCTCGTCGGTAAACGTCTCGAATGCGTGTCATTGAGGGACGGGAGACGTCGGTTGGCTGATGTAGACGAACTGTCGGCAAAGGTTTGGCAGCCGTATATCGTCACAGAATGGGGTTTCAATGCCAACCCGGGCGAAACAGAAAGATAATAATACTACACCAAAGCCTTCCAGAAGAATGCTTCCAAATCACCGAGCATCTGTTTCCCCGGTCGCTAACAGAAACCAGACCCGTGCAAAGGAAACGGAGAGTATGAAACGTGACGTTGAAGGGTGGTGGGGGCGATTGTGTCAGATCGCTAAGGAAGGACGATGTATCGGCGAGACGGCAGACGATGCCAAAGAGAAGAGATCGAATGAAGGAAAGGAAGGAGCGTCGAGCGTGTACAAAGAAAATCATCCAGGTACCCAACAAAAGAGAAGGAGGTATAGAGCAATCAAGGTGCAGCTGCAGTAGAGGCACGAACTCAAGACAAGCCTTGAGTGGAGGAGGCCCTCTTATTGGACACAGTGAATGCGTCCCTGGTACTCGAACGGTAGGCGATATGGGTCTTTGGCAGGAGTAACTGGTACGTCAATGTTGACTTTGCATGGACGCCTCGCCAGCGCGGGCATCATACTTTGACGGAAAACAAGGCGTGTCTACGAATACCAATGAATGTTCCAGTACCGGGTATTTCGGGGTGAAGTCTCTTTGGGAGCGGTCGGACGCCACAATGGGACTGAGCTTCTGGGGCAGTGGAAGCGCTCGTATGAATCCATCCAGAGTGGACTTATGGAGTACAGCAGTGCTGCCTAGCGGTTTCCCGATATTTTTGACAAGAGTTTCCAAACCTCCGCAGGGTCTTTGGACCTTGTGGTTGGAGTCATGATGCCCGCGAGTGGACGCTCTGTCGCTGTTGAATCTCTGGGCCAGACGAGACATGGGACAGGGGACCACCGTATGGGCCACGCGGGCCTTATGTGCGAGAATGGGGCAAGCTTGTAAACACGGCGAGAAATATCGCAGCGAAGAGACGAACCTATTTCCCTGGAGGCTTGAATTGGCGATACAGTCGCAAGAGAAGGGGATGTCGAGACGTATGCCGCCAGTGGATCCTTCTCATGCAGGCCTTCTGGGGCTCTGACAGAAGGTCTAGGGCCACGGTCAAGCCAGCAAGCAGCGGCCAGGATGGCAGGGAGCTAAACCCTCTAGGCACTGGTCCGACACAATGTTCAGATTTAGCTTTGGCACCACTTGCCGGGGCAGTCAGGCGAGATTTAGAGTGTGGCGCTGATGAACAACAGCACCGGCCAAGGCAGTGGGCCATGCCCAAGTTCCAGACAATTTTAAGAAAATGCCTGACTTGTGGGTGACTATGTGTACGATGGTACTGGAAGAGCGGATCGCTGACATGCTGGACTTGTCGAAGATCAGGATAACAGAGGTCAAATTGGCACATGACAAGTATCGCGCCCACATATTGGGCGTATCATGACAATCTGTCAGGGTTTCTTTGCCGCGGTGACAGATGGGTGATGAATTTCGATCACAGCCCGGGGCCAGACTAACTTGGTTGATCGACAACCATTGTTTGGGTACATTTGACGTATCATGACATTGGGTCTCAATAAGTGCGCCTCGTCGTTTTAGTCAACTTCCAACACGCCCGAAGCCTACAGACGCTGCTTTATTGTGTTGCATTCTCATGTCTAGCGTCAGAAGGACCCATCAGTCAACGTTGTCTAGAGAGACGCGCGCATATTGGAACCTTGGGAAGAAGTTGGAATGTGTGTATGTGCTGCAGCCATGTGCCTCCGGAGCCCAAAGTCGGCTGGGGATGGCGTGGGCCCGATGGTCAATGGGCCTCGCCCATCGAGTTTGTTGGACGACTTACGGATGACCCCATCCGTTAAGGTGTGAACGGAGTAGGGGAGAGTTTATGACTCGTAGACCTCTTGGGCATGTGGTGTGTCCGGGGACCCTCTCCCCAAGAGTGGATGCCCACTGGGGTCTCTGGTGATCAATCGTGGCTGCTGTGGCTTAACATTTCCATCATTTCTTGACATCCATGCACTTGGGCACGGATTGGAAATTGACCACAATGTTTTCACAATCAAACATGTTGGGCCGAAGGAGCTTGAGAGAGTGTTCAGTGACCCTTGTTTTGGGATGCGGCGTCTTCAACTATCCACAGTAGAATCTCCTGTTGGTCTTTGATTGCTTGAACTGCCTTATTCATATGACGACGAGGCTAGAGTTGAAACTCGGCGGATGCATCGGCGTCCCAGTTTGATTGACGATGCAAATCGACCCAAAAGGTGTGGTCTTGTCGAGCCGAGTCAGTCGGGTATCTACAGGGTGGCCTCGTCCCAAAGATCTGGCGAAACACCAATCCATGCAGCACCTGACAATGAACGTTGATCATGTGCGACATTGCTGCATGCGAGCGGTGGCGTCTGACCTTTGCCGATGGTCTGGCATGCTGATCTCGACAGCAATTGAAGCTCATCCAAGCGCTGAGTAGAGGTCATCTCGCCAGAAGGATCGGTCGCAGTGGGCAATATCCGTGAGATGAGGTCAACGTCTCAGGTAGGCAGGCGAGCGGGATCCTCGCTTGGCGCATGTGTAGTCGAGTCTGAACAGCAGGGTTAGTTGAGTGAGTGACAAGGGTGTCCCCGAACCCAGCAAGGCCTGGGCCAAATCTGAGGTTCAGCGTCCGCCAAAACTACTGTGCCTGCACGGCCCTATGAGCAGGAGGTAGGAATCAGGAAGGGGAGAGTGCGTTATTGGGATGTGTCATGACTGGAGTCGCCGGGGTTATGCATAGGTAATTGAAGTCCGGAGTGGCCCCCTCGGCCCTATGTGGCGCAACGGGAACTTTGGAGCAGAGAGATTGATCCTGCAGCTGTCGATGTAGACTGAATTCACCAACGGGCTCTGGTTCACTGGGATCGAGGGGTCGTTGCAGCCTGTGGGTAGACCTGCTCCGGAGGGTATGGGTGTGCGTAGAGACTGGGCTGAGGGGCCCCTCGGCCGATGATGCGTCCGTGGGTCGAGCAACAGGCTTGCAACAACCAACATCAGGTACCGTACGAATATGCGTATGCGTATTAAGGGTAGGATGTTGTGCTTGCGCGTTAGCGTTGGGAGATCATGGAGAGCCACGATTGGCGATGGCTTGACCGAAGCGTGTTTCAGGTTTGTTAGTCTAACAAGGCTTGGGTCTTTCTGCCCGGGGTGGGGAGTGGCTGCCCAAAGCCTGCATGCTCTGCTCAGCAGCCCCGATGGACTTCATTCTGTTGTCACCTTCGGGTAGGCATTGGGTCAAGTTTGATTTGGTGGCCGAGGGGCTTTTGCTGCCCGGTCGTGACATTGTGCCAGTGCTGCACCAACGCAGTTGAGGACCAGGCTCACGACCCTTTTGCTTGCGTGAGGATTTGTATCCAGACCGTGGCGATGTCGGTACGCATGACTGTACTGAAATTGTCGACTTATTTGGACAGTTCGTACGGGTAGAGTACATCATGGGACATACTGGGTATCTCTTCGATGGATCCCTGACGTTGCTGAGACTGGCCTAATCTTGAATCTGCAAGTCGCAGTTGCTGTTCGGTCGCGCCTGCCGCAGCCGGACCCAGGATCGCACTTGCAGTTTCAAGATCTGCAGCCTAGGCAACATCAACATGGCTGCAACATGGCTGTGCTGCGGCGCTGCTGTCCTTTTTCTTTTCTTTGCTGCTGTGCCTCTGTGTCGCTTTCTCGCTTCCATGATCGACTGCGATGTCCAGCTGCAGTTAGCCTTCCCATCCATCCATCCACGCCATCCACTCTGATCGACTGATCGAGTAAGTCCACCGGCACTTGTGAGCCACCTTTTGCCCAGTACCAGAATACCAGGTTCGTCAAGACGCTATGACTGATTCATTACAGGCCCGCGCCTCGTTGTTGCACCGCGGCTTACGACTCGAGAATTGGCTACACAGATAGCAACATGTCACGGCTGGGGAGATTTCCTCATGGCTCGGTTGAGAAGGAAGCCGGCAGGTGTACCATCGTCTCCGTCTGCTGCGACAAATACCTCCCTGGCCAAGTCGGTTTCCTGGTCCAAGAGACCTCGACAATTCTCGCTGAGGCTCCAGGCTGACCCGAGGTGCCTCTTGTCAAGGAAGGTATTCACCTCGAGCCACATCTGTGCCTCATCATTATTGCATTGGCCCATGACTGCTGACCGTGTTGCGCTGTAGAATGACTGTTGTCATGCTCTCACTTTATTATAGGCTACAGCACTCAGGTCCGGTAGCTAGGTCTGATCTATATGACAACAACATCTTGCAATTGCAGCAAACCCACCGTAAACGCTTCTAACCACAGGCGCCTGCTGACAAAGAGATGGATTAGGCAAGCTCCAGCTCCGGTCTCTTCCTAGCCAGAGCACGTTACAGACAGGTCCGTTGAAGTTCAGACACCATCGTGGATCAACTTTGTACAGTTTATGACTCACACCCGTCAACATCAATGACAAGGTGTCTGACATGTGCTCGATCAATGGTGAAACAACTAGTGCTCATCTGATAAAGTCGCACCTGAATGTACCCGTCCACAAGCCGATAATGTACAAGTAACTGGCAACAATAATGGTATCGAGCAAGGCGCAGTTTGTGTTTACATATCTCGCCCCGTAGTCCCAGTGCTCATCGCTTAACCCAAGTTGGCCTTTTGCGAGCCTTGACCCGTCCAGGCTTCTTTCGCTCGACACGTCTCGCATCTGAAGTAACACAGCCAGCTGCAACGGGTATTAGTATCGTGTTCAAGAAATGGAATTCATACTTGTGGATCTTACCTCGACGCAGAGCAGGCTTGAGAGCCGGTTCGTGTACCAACAATGCTTTTGCAAGGGCCAACGTCATTGATTCGGCCTGTCCAGTGAGCCCTCCTCCTTGAATGAGCGCAAAAACATTGTACTTGTCCATGCGCTGGGCGGAGCTCAGTGCCCACAGTGCACTTTCTCGGTCGTGGAGTCGAGGAAATGCCTCGGTGATGCTTCGGCCGTTGACCAAGACTTCACCTGTCCCTTCCACCAGCCAAACTCTTGCAGTTGACTCTTTCCTCCGGCCAACTCCTAGTGACCGACCCCATTGGTCAATCTTGCCAACTTTTGCTTGTGCGATTTTCTCGAGTCCCGGTCGTGTGAAGCGTTGCAAGACGGTTTGTACCTCTTCTGGCATAAAAGAGCGATGGATCCTGTTCAATTGGCCGAGGAGGCGCTGCAGCCTGGCAAATTTGGACGATGTTACCCTTTCGCTGACGGTAGATCGATAATGCCCAACCGTCACCCAATATGCTCGTGGAATCTGGTCGGCTGCAACGGTTGGCACCTGGCTGTATTTATCCACCAAGGATTGTAGAAGTAAAGTGTCGTCGGTGAAAGTAGGAGAGCCGGTGAAATAGGATGGTGAGCTTGGAATAATCCGAGCCGGTGAAGGTGTCGATGCATCCGTGTCAACTTTGGGCTTGTCGAATTTTATCTCGGGAGCTGCACGAATCTCGACTGGGGGTTCGGCGTCTATTGATCGACTTGATGAGGTGGAAAAGGACGACATCTGAGGCCATCTGGAATACCGCATCCAAGGCCTATTCTTCAAGGATGGCAAGAGACTTGGTCGCATTTTCTGGCGACAGTTGCTGCACGTCCAAGCGATGGCAGAAGAGACGACATTGACACTCGGTCTCGCCATGTCGGCGGGAGCAGAGAGGATAGCAAAACTGCCAGGAGTGATGGCCACCTGTACAATATGGCAACGACTGGGTCAAGAGGTGTCAGGAATAGGTTTGAGACTGCCAGCTGCTTCTGTTCCGTGGCCAGCGTCGTGAACCAAATCCCTATTCTCTCTAATAGCAATGCTTGAAGCTGGGGCACGTTCAAACGCAGTCGACAGCAAGCAAAGAAAACGCCAAGAAATATAGTGCTCGGCGCACCTGCCTCGTTTCATTTTCCACCACAGGCCACCGCTCTTGCCTAATGCAGATTCATCACTTGGGAATCATCCATCTCCAAAATTTTGATTTCTCCCACCGTATCGCACTCCCAAAGACTTTGAACCCCCACCATCCATCTTCAATTCGGTCTTCTGTCACTCATCTCCCCCCTGAATTCAAAATGTCGTTCGGAAAGCTCTACGGATTTCCTGCAAGTTCACCCTCCCGCTGTTGTGTTCGCAGCCTTAGCTCAATGGAGTTACTAACTGTTGGAAAAGGACAATGCTCGATCTACCGCTCTCCTAGCAATCGCAAAGGAGTACAACCTCGACATTGAGCTGGTCGAGACTCGTCCTCCCAATGTTACCGCTGATTACCTCAAGCTCAACCCTCTTGGCCGCGTTCCAACTTTCGTGGGCTCCAATGGCTTCGTCCTGACAGAGTCGATCGCAATCGCCATCTACCGTATGTCCTACCTTTCTTTCCGCGATCTTTCTTCTTCCCTAGCCAAAGATGAGTCATATTATCAAAACAGTTATCCCTGTCAGAACACCGTTGTTGACCATATTGAATTCTGAGCCTTGCAATGTCTTTGTCTCAAGCTGCCCCACTCATAATCTCTCTTTCGACCCACTAATACCCAGTCGATAGTTGCATCACAAAACGAGAAGACAACCCTTCTTGGAAAGACCAAGCAAGACTATGCCACCATTGTTCGCTGGTTGTCCTTTTCCAATGCCGAGTTCATGCCCAGTCTGAGTCAGTGGTTCCGACCTCTCATTGGCAAGGACCCATACAACAAGAAGACCGTTGATGATGCAAAGGCTGCTACCCTCAAGGTCCTCGCTGTCTACGAGCAACACTTTCTGGTGAACACATTCCTCGTGGGGGAACGCCTGACCCTGGCCGATCTCTACACCGCATCCCAGATGTCCCGTGGCTTCCAATTCGTCCTTGACAAGGCCTGGCGTGCCGAGAACCCCAACACCACCCGTTGGTTCGAGACCGTCGTCAATCAACCCATCTGGAAGGCCGTTGTGGCGAGCCCCATCTTTGTCGAAGAGGCTGTCAAATATACTCCTCCAAAGAAAGACCCCAAGCCTGCCAAAGCCCCCACCCCAGCAGCTCCCAAGGCTGAGAAGAAGCCCGCTGTTGAGGAAGAAGACGACGAGCCCAAGCCGGAAGTCAAGGCTAAGCATCCTCTTGAGTCCCTCTCCAAGCCTACCCTCATCCTTGATGACTGGAAGCGAAAGTACTCCAACGAGGACACTCGTTCAGTGGCTTTGCCATGGTTCTGGGAGCAATACAAGCCGGAGGAGTACTCCCTGTGGAAGGTTGACTACAAGTACAACGACGAGCTGACTCAAGTTTTCATGACCTCCAATCTCATTGGTAAGCCTTGATCCATCCTTTGGTACCATTTGGAGCTATGCGCCTTCTAACATGCGATAGGTGGCTTCTTCGCCCGACTTGAGGCATCACGCAAATACCTCTTCGGAGCTGCCTCGGTCTTTGGTGTTGCCAACGACTCGGTGATCCAAGGTGCTTTCTTGGTGCGTGGTGACGAGGCACTCCCAGCATTTGACGTCGCCCCCGACTGGGAAAGCTACGAGTTCACCAAGCTCGACCCAACCAAGGCCGAGGACAAAGAATTTGTCAACGACCAGTGGTCCTGGGACAAGCCTATTGTGGTCGGAGGCAAGACATACGAATGGGCTGATGGCAAGGTCTTCAAGTAGACCGACCTCGATTCAGCTACCATTTGAAGACGAGATCAGGATGGCGTGGAATCATGAAACGAGAAATGAATTGTGATAATGTGAGGCCGAGAAATGATATCTCTGCAGGGCTCAGATTGCCTTGACCAGCATTGTCAATGAATAGTGCAGGCAGTTGAAACCAAGATATGAGATTTTCAGTTTTCTTGCTTTATGTATCACGATCGCATCGCTTCTATCTTATGGTGTGGAACTCATTCACTGTCAATGCTTCACCTACCTACCTTCGACACTAAATGATTACGGGCTTTAACGTGCATAAATGGACAGATAGACATACAATCCTTCGTCGTCAGTTTGTAGGTCTATATTTGGTAACAAAAGGCGCAGCCACAGGCAACTTAACCTATACAAATCCCATAGAAAGGCCCGTCTATCCGCATGAACTACCCAGCGATGCAACTACGTAGGAACTACGGTTATATTTCCCGCAGCCAGCACATGCTATACTCGGAGACGACAACGGATTTCAGACAGGAGTAGATGGAAGAGAACCGGAGAGAGATCACAGGACAGAGAATGACCTCAGAAGCAGAGTAATGGAAAATAATGGACAGCAAAGCAAAACACACAAGAATGAAAGGAAATGACAGATAGAGAAGAGAGGGAGGAAGAGGAGAGAGAAGATGGGTTTTGTTCCTTCTTGGTTTCAGAGTTACAATTCCTTGCAAACTCCTACTCACAGCATGCACCACGTGAAGGTGAGGAACGTCGCATGCCGCCAGGAGGATTTTGCATCTGGCCATACATACATGCCTTGCCAGGACTCGTTTTTGATTAGGAAGCGCGCCTCTAATCAATAACGGGCACTGGCAAGGCATGTATGTATGGCCAGATGCAAAACCCTCCTGACCCCCTGTGCTGAAGTCGAGTATCAGCACTGGGGAGTAAGGGTAGGGGAGGGGGGAGGGAGCGCCTTTGGCCTTTCCCCCTTCTTGGACACAATCTCCTAGCTGTGGTCCTTGCCCTCGATGCCGCTGCATGACAAAGCAGCGCATACCTACTAGAGTAATATATCGATTCTCTAGTAGCAGCGACAGAGTCTACAACTTCTCGCCTGGTAGTGTATTTCAACTGACACTCGCGATGCCATCGCTTTATGTATGCGGGGGATCAGGCCGCATACACAAAGAAGACAGCAAAGGGGTCAAAGTTGAAATACACTGGACCAGCGAGAAGGTAGATGCTCCAAAGCCCCTACTAGAAGATATATGGAGTAGTAGATATGCGCTGCGATGCCTGCCAAGGCAAAGGGGCGAGGTCCTGGCTTGGAGCAGTCCAGGAAGGTGAGAAAGAGACAAGGGGGCCGGGCAAAAGAGAAAAGAAGAGTGGTGTCAAGGAAGAAGAAATGGAAACTGAAAAAGTCGGGGAAATGAGAAGAATATATAGACAAGAAGTCGTGCCTCAGATCAACCCTGGGTCAGGCAGAAGAGAAAGAACCAGAAAGATCAGATTGACGAAAAGCTTAATAGATCAAAATCGGTAGATCACAGATCACAGAACGAGAACAAAGTGGACGGCAGAAAGTAATTGATTCGGGTTCTGTGAATTGTTTGGCTGTAGAGTATCCTGGTGTGGGATAAGGTTTGATATCGCATGGTTCATCCTCACCAAGTCCCACTGCGTACCGGGTTTTATGCTGATGATGAGATCCATGCGAGCTAATTCGTCAGATCACCATGGTCAGAGGACTCATGCGTGAGCACAACCAGTCTTGAAAGTCAACGACCAGGTAATGGTATCCAATACGATCATGTTTCCAAATGATCGCAAGGAGGCTGGATCGTGCATTGTTGGATCCTGACCAAGAGAGAAGAAAGCTAGAAGATTTCGTGACATGGTGGTTCCTCAGCATCATGACCGAAAGATGCTCGCTCATTCTGTTTGGGCCTCGGTGGCTCAACAACTCCATCAACTTGAATGGAATCCAACTCGTGCTGTTACGATTGTAACTTATCCTCTTGCACACAAAATTTGCCCAACAATAACCAGTCAACCAGAGTTTGAACAACGAGGTCTTCTCCTTGAACATGTGACGTTTATCGGCCCATATAGTGGATCCTGGCGAGTCGCACCTATCACAACTCTAACCACCTCCTCTTTCTGTTGGCTCTCATCGGATCAGAGAGCGAAAGCAATCCACAAGCATCGTGATTTTCAATTGGCCTGATCGAAATCCTTCGCGGCTGATCCCGCTTTTCTATCTGGTCTTGAGTGTTGAGATAAATTGAAGTGGCGAACAACGGTGGTATAGCCACGATTCTAAGTTCGTTGACGGTCACCTTGTGTGAATATGTAGTCCAGACGCTGAAGAGTTTGAGCCTGTCGGGTGAAAGGCTGCTTGAGTAGCAGTGATTTAGCATGGGAGCGCGGTGTTCATAGACGATAACGATGAATTCCGTAGTGGCACAGTTCGTTCCAAGAGTGACAGTACTGCAAGAGGTCAAGAGATGCAGCGACAGGACTACTTCAATACAATTGATTAAGCGCTAGATGGCTCTGGCTCGTCTCAATGTACTTCAGCAGGGCGAGCAGCGGCAACTGCCATGTCACCATCGATATCCCTTGCAGCAGTCTCCCCCCGCCGTCCCTCGAATAGTCTCACCCACCATTCTGGTGGATCCATTGGGCGCTGGCCCTCGTGTAGGCCTGGCCAAACATCGGCAAAGAAATAGTAGACGTGTCCCACAATGACGCCCAAGATCTCATCTTTTGGGATCGTGCCATGCATAAACATGTTGAAGGCCATGAGGACCCAGGGAAGGTACGGCGCTGTGAAAACAAGTATTCCAAGGAAGCTGAGGCGAGTATCAGGATTTCTTCTCGACCAGATGTAGACCAGAGTGCTCGAGAGCGAGGAGCCGAGAAAGGGTATGGAGGTGGTAAGAGAGCTGAGAGCCAGCAGCGAGGTGCAGGCATAGACCAGGAGCCATGAAAAGACGGCAGGAGAAGGCCCCGAGCCTTGTTCTAGTAGTCTAGAGTATCTTTGAAGAAAGAAAACATGAAACGCCAAATCCAAGGACGGCGGACCAAAATAAATGAAGGTGGTTATCAACCGCCAATACTGTGTATGTTAGCCGCGGTCCCAACGTGCGGAAAGAGGATTGGTTTTCACCTGAGATTTATAGTAAACCGCTCTGAAGGAATAAAACAATTGAAAGGGTGTGATGACCTTGCATTGCAGGAGAATCGATGTGACAACGGTGGCGGTGGTCCAATAACGGGTGCATGGTGGCATCTCAAAGAACCACTGCTCGAGAGGAAATTGTCCCAACTGGCCCAACGCGTCATCTCCTCCTCCTGCTCCTCCTCCGAGCATAGCAGCCATGATCTAGGCGACGACTTGGAAGAAAGGTTGAATAATCGGGAGAATTCGATGAGGGAATCGGGGATTCGAATTGAGGAATCACTCTAGACAGATAAAGGTAGCGACTGTGTTAAGATGGATGAACGAGAATTCGAGGTATCATGATGATATTTGTCGGCGGATCAGAATGGACAATAGGATTGGGATGGAGAGGTTCGTGTGAGGATGACAACGCTGGTCATATACAACAAGTGGCCTTTTGTAATGAAGTGTCGTTTGTTCGGAATGACGCCTGCGGACGATGCAAGGAGAAGTGGGCGGCGAAAGCGAACCGCCAATAATGATGTCGATGTCGATTGTCTACGGGTCTCCATGGGCCGAGGGGTACAGTGGCCATTATTCTATACCTACAGGTATAACCTATAGGTACCTGGGCAGGTAGACACCTGATGCATGGTGGCATGTCAGACACATCAGTCTTCGTTAGGCGGGTAGATCTCCACTTCCAGGCTCTCTTTAATGGCTGGGGAACCCCCATTGGACTTGTGAGATGCCTAATCGATACCTTAGGTACCTTATGCGACACCCTAAACCACCCAGGGCAGCGCCGCCAAGGGCATGGACGCCCGAGGCCTTTCCAGCCACACCAGTTGGCAATAATGGACACCAGCCACAACGTGACCTTTAAACCTCCAATATCATCATTAGCGACGCGCTCCGTTTGACTGCGAGAACGGACGCGTTGCTTCATCATTTCAATCACTTTCGTCGCCTCCACACTTTTCCAGCGTATCCTGAACTCCAGATTGTTGCGACCATTCTGCCACTCAATTTGGAACCATTCGACACCTTGCCCTATAAGACGGCACCTCCCTCGATCGCGAAGCCGAGCAAAGTGACCCCCCGCATTCACACCTTGATAACAGGCTTTGCATCAGCTTGACAAGAGATATCACTTTGCACAGGCTCTTACCTTGGATGGTAGCAAAGATTTCATAATTACCACAATGGCTCAGACCAAAAGCGCCTCGCGGCCTTCTCTCGGCACTCCTACAAAAGGTCGAAGACAATCCTCCGGAGTCTATGCATCCCCAAGACAGAGAACAGGTGGCAAAAGCTATTCTAGACCACAACGTACGTTTGTGGTGATAGTGTAATCAGTATTCTACGAGGCGTAGCTAACGAAATACCTATAGCTGGAGATCCCATCCCAAAGCGCACACCTACCCGCCGCCGCTACCGACCTGGGACTATCGCGCTACGAGAAATTCGACGTTATCAACAATCCACAGATCTTTTAATATTGAAGCTTCCTTTTGCTCGACTTGTACGCGAGATTGCTGAAGAGATTGTGCCTTATGGTGCAGGAGGTTTCCGGTGGCAGAGTCAGGCGATCCAAGCCCTGCAAGAGGCCTCGGAGGCTTTCCTCGTCCATCTGTTCGAGGACACCAACCTTTGTGCCATCCATGGCAAACGAGTCACCATTCAACAGAAGGACATTCAATTAGCCAGACGCTTGAGAGGCGCCTGGGGTGGCTTGGGATGACCATGTCTGTCATAATGAATTTTGGGTATCACGAACTGGATTGTCGGATTAGGAGTTGGATAATGTGCATATACTGTTCACCAAGGAAGTTGATTCGAGTAGTACGCTATGGATAGCATGGGCAGGCCACTCGTCAAGCATTTGCAGCTTTTGTATGCTGTCCGTCGTCGTTGGGTTATGGATCATGATAGCGTATTTAGATATGGTAATTGGACTATACAGGATTGCTCCTGGGAAAAACCAGCGAAGCTATAATTGCATTGACACCAATGATTAATGAAACCTGGCTAACCGTTGACACTCGAACCCAAGACACCCTTGGTACTTGTGACATCGCCACTGCCCACCGATCCTTCGGCTCTTCTCTCACAGGACTGCCTGATAGCCACGGCAAGCGCCTTGAATGCCGATTCAGCCCGGTGATGGTTGTTGTGGCCATAGACAGTCTTAACATGTAGCGTCACACTGGCCGCCTGAGCAAAGCTTTCTAGGCCATGGGTCAGCATCTCCGTACTGAGATCACCAATCTTCTCCCTGGTGAAACCAAAGTCGATGACACTATACGGCCGATTCGACAGGTCAATCACAGCCCAAGACAGTGCTTCGTCTAGCGGGGCATCACCGCGCCCAAAACGGACGATGCCGGCTCTCTTGCCGAGTGCAGCATTGAAGGCCGAGCCAACGGCTAGAAATACATCTTCAGCTGTGTGGTGGTCGTCAATCACTAGGTCTCCCACCGCACGCACGGCCAGAGACCAGCCGGCGTGTTTTGACAGAGCGTGGAGCATGTGGTCGAGAAATCCAATGCCGGTGTTAATAGAGATCTGTTGGGTAGCTGTGATCTGTGTGGCATGATGAGACTCTGGTAGTGGGAAAGTGACGTCGGGGTATTTTTGTCGTTGAGCAGTGCTGATTGGAGTTGGAAAATGTTCAGATCGTTCAAAGGCCTCGAGCGGTCCGCCATCTAATGATAACGAGACTTGGACTTTGGTTTCATTGGTGATGCGGGAGAGTGTATGGGTGCGGCGAGACGACTCTCTTCCTATCGAGCCCATGATGGGTGGTGACTATCACTGGATCTGTAAACGCGATATTTTCTTGAACCGCACGAACAATGTCAACTAGACTGAAGGTTGCCGTCAATAAGAAGGTCGGAGTGAAGTCTATAGTCAAAGTATTTTTCAGATGCTGGAGGTGAAGCTCCACCAATGATGATGAAGCAAGTAAGCAATGGGTAGTCACCAGCCAAACATAGGATGCAGGTTAGCCGAGCTCAAACAGCTCCACTGTAGGCGTTCAATTGACCTCCAACATCACCTTGTTGGCCTGCTGCAGACGATATTCCTTCTTGCGGTTTGCCAAAGCTGCTGATGCGAACAAGCGCTCTCCAGCATGACGATCAATCCCACCTTCCTCGCACAACGGACGCGCTCGTGTACGAACCTCCCACCCTGCGGCACACTGTCAAGTCAAAACTAATCAATCCACAGCCATTAACTGGGCGGACGCACGCCGGCGAACTCTGAAGAGCTATCGAGAATGGCTGAGAGCGGTAAGAGAGGAATCACAGCATACATAGCATTCGAGATCCACATGAATTTGACGCTGAGACATGTGGTTTACCAGAGCCCCGAAATCCAGTCGATGTACTCCCTAAACATGCCCGTTTCTAGAATCCGAACTCAGGTGCGAAAAGAGTATGAAAAACACAGATATGTCAAAAACATTCAGGCAGTCGATGTTCTGCTTACACAGAGCCATGCCGAATTCCAGGTGCGTGCGAGAAGCTTCCGGGGGGAGTGAGATAGGAACAAGACAAAAGAGACAACGGGGAACTGACGGTGTGTCTTGGTCACAGGAAACGCTCAATTTCTGGAAGCAGAATTCACACATCATGAAATATTTCAGAATAGAAGAGGATGAGAATGCCACGCTGCCCAAGAACTTTGTGTCGGGCTTTCTCGAGGTAAGGCGCCGGTCATTTCCGCGGTATATGTTCAAGGCTGACTTGTCACAGGGGCGGAATTGATGACCCAAGAGAACGGCTTCGTCTAGTCTACAAGTCCAAGACTTTACATGTACATAGCATAAAGACAGACAACTCCCAAGCGCCATCGCTATGCTGTCGACCGACAAATGGATTCCAAAACCAGAGAAATGTAATCGGATCACGATGCATGAGCAGCGTTGAACGCATCTCGTGACTCGGTAAACTTTTCGGTGACCACGTCGCATGCCTCCATCATGTCCATTAGTCCTTTTCGAAGCGCACCTGTTGCGGTGGTCTTGGTGTCCTCTATTTATGCATTAGTAGATGAGCCAGCAGGTTGAACGCCACGGCGGCGTCACGTGTATCCATGTCCTTACCCCAGGTTTGTATGCGAATATGCATCTTGGTCTCGGATGGATGGGGGATTGTGTAGCCACAGAACTCGACATCGGGGCTGAACCATGTGTTAGAATTGAGGATCAGTAATGGTGGATTGCGAAGTAGCATCGTACTTTTTATTGACGAAATACCGTAAAGCATTGCCAAGGGTGTGGTCTTCTTTTTCGATTTGGAACGACGCAGCATGTGATGATGCGCCAGGCAACTATGGATCCCTCAGATGTTAGAACAAGAAATGGCATTATTTACTTCGAAATCTCATAGTCGACTTGGGGTTGATATCAATAAAATGAGTGGCATACCACGACGAGTTTGCTGGCACCACCTAAGAGAATTTCTTCCCCGTGGTCATATTCAGCGTCTTCGAGTTGTGAATCGTGATCCTTCTCAGACATTGTTGCCGTTTGGAATATTGAGTGATTTCAAGTTTGTGAATGGGTGTCTTTTAGTCTTGACTTGCTGAGATAAATTTTGATAGAATCAGATCTGAAGATTTTGTATGGTTGGTCGAGTGCACCGTTGCCTCCAATGGTGCTAGCCTATTTAAGAACTAGTTTGCGGATAAAAGGTTTTGGTAGCCTTGCATCTTCAGCCTCGCCATGAAGAGCCTTCCTAAAATACTCAGATTGTGCACAGTCCTTGAAGTAGCAGTGTTTTCTAAAATGACTAGGAATTCTTTACAGTGTGCATCTTGGAGTAATCATCTTGCGGCATCCCTCATCTGGTTACGATACGTGGAATGGGCTTTGGACGAGCTCTGGATGACTTCCTGTAGCACGCGTAGCCAAACCCCAGATGGTGTACCAGTATTCGGATGCGCAGGTGCTTGAAGTGGACTCATAGGTATCTGCTTATCGATTACTGTTGATGGATCGATCGGATGTTTGTGCCTACGATATCTCTTCAAGACGGAGAGCGGAGAGAAGACGCCATTTCCTGCTCCCAGGTGGTGTTTGCAATCAAGACTCAAGGCCATTGGCGATGGAATCGAAGTCTAGGCCACGGATAGTTAAAGCCAGAGGGTCTGGAGGGAAGCAGGAAGGCGCGTGCTTCGTCTCTTCTCTGTCAAAGACTCAAAGCGAGTCGTCCAGGCGTTGGCGGCGTCTCGGACAGGCTTCTGATTTGTTCATTTGCCACCCCCGATTGGGAGCGTACAACGCCTAGACTCGGATCTGCAGGGGGCTTCCTAGGGGCCGAGAGAGCCACTCACAACGCATTCCTCTAGGCTTTGGCCAAGTCTGTTTGCCTCGTGGATTTGGTTGAGCATCCCCCAAAGACAATTGGCCCCTCTGACCTGAAACTAGCGAGATGTGAGACCCGGAACGTCCCTGTCGATTTGACGTACTCCGTATCTGGAACACAACATTGATTGATAGTCACTTGGATTGATTCATGTGTGTGGACTCCTTCTTGCCAACTGGACTGTCACGGAATGTCCCCATGTGTGCATGGAGATTTGGATATTTGGGGCAATCAATATTGGAGCCACCTGAGATCAGGGTTGGGATTCTCGCAATGTCCGTCGAAATGGATTCAAACTATGGCAATGTTTCAGTTCATGTTGCTCGGGGTCTGAAGCACTGTGGACAACCACAGGAACTAATCAGCCTATCGAGCTCTCGTCGTCATAATGTGTCAGGGACTTGTAACCCCTGCGATGATGCAGAGGGCTAACAGCTGCAGAGGTACCCATAAGTTGCACTACGAGTACTACTGTACCTACAGCAAGTCACGCCAACTCGGACCGCATGGCATGCATGCATATCTAGAATACATACGTACCTCTAAGAGTCGTAAATCTGACAGATGGTGCGTGTGACACTCGCTTCATGGCTTGATGGTTTTGGGACCGAATCAAGGTGCGCTTTTTGACGCACACTCGGCTACGTAGGTAAAATATATGTAGCGAGTAGCAGCTGCAACTAACGCTAAGTCGCCTACAGAGCTCTAGAAATCACTCCTATACACTCTCCTCTAGGGCACTCTCCTCCAGTTTTTCCGGATGCCAGATTCTTCGCTCCGTAGGACACTAGGAGACTAAACCCAATGTAGAACCTGCGTCGCTTCGCTCCGTAGGATGATATTCTCCCATTAAGCGCTTATACGACGCTTTTTATTGTCTTTATTCCTCATGGCAGACCATATCCTGGCAATTACATCAATGAAAGTCCCCGAATGTGTAACAAAATTCTTACCGCAAACGTCGTGCGGATCCACCTATCTGGTATCGATGCCTTTAAGTTCGCCTACGACAGCAAATGTCTGTGCACCATTAGAGGCATGTTTCAGCAGCCCGACCGCGTGGATATGGCATTGCTCGAATGAGATGCACACTTCACAGATACTGTACTTTATGTGCTCAGATATGTGGGCGTGGATGTCCACGGTGATCTGCGAGGACGAGTGCAACAGCTCTGCTTTGAGCTGCAGAATCGGAAACATAGACTAAGGTAATCACAGTGATGGTAAATGCTGTAGGAACGAGAAACGCTTCTCAAGATGAAACGTTCTTTGCCGCAGGATGCCTTACCCTCGGCACGAGATCATCTTTTTGGGAAGAAGACACGGGTAAGGACAAGAAATGCAGGAGACGAAAGTGACGCCTGAGTGCTTCTGATTTTGTCTGGGCTGATCTGATTCGTCCACCTTGAGGCTTCATCGTGTAGTAGTCGCCTAATGGTCATGCCAGACCAGTGGAAGCCTGCGCAGCTCGCATCGGAAGAGATGGGTGAGAAAATGGTTGCGATTTGGTCTCTGACCATCGGCACGCTAATCATCTTCGAAACGGGCTTGAGGTCCAGAAAGCAATATCATGGTGGTCAGGCTGTTGGGATCCATGGGTCAGCATCAAGCCAGCTAGAAGCGTCCATTCGGCTGGGCCCATCTGAAGAGCATTGCGTGGTGCTCAGCAGATGTCGGCCTTTAACTGGAGCACAGGGCCTTTCGCGCCCCTCGGCCCCTCCAGTGCGTCAGACATCCTCCAAGAGTGGCACGAGTGGCTCCTACTTGGGGAGGACTCCGACCCCTCACCCCTGAACTTTGAAAGCTTCACAGGCGCCTGAAGCAAGCTAGGGACTAGCCTGACAAAAGCCCATCAGGCTCTGAGCCTCTGACACCTTGTCGTGTCCAAAAAGATGGCCGAGGACACATCACTTCCACAAGACTGAAAGGGATCACCAGAGATGGGCAGGACAAGAAATTTACTTACCTAGGTATTGAATCGATAGCGTAGTATGGCACCCATAAACTCAGAAGCGAGCTTCACAGTCCGAATAGTCGCATCTTGATCTACTTAAATCTGTAACCAGTGGAGAATGCTGAGGCCGATAATGCCTAGGATTCACCCCAAATGCCCCCCAATGGTGACTCCGAACCCACCGATCGCCCCGGCATGGATGATTGCGAAACTGGGAGAGGCCAGAGAGGCAAATTCGCATGTCTGAGAATGGAGTTGGGGCAGGCAGTAGACTTGCTAAATGGATTTGGCGACGACTGTGGCGGGCACAAGGAAGTGTCAGCCTGCCAGTCGTGCCGGGCCTCAAGCCCTCAAAAGCACTGATGCTCCAGAGTTCTGAAGGTCTATCCAAACGTGACTTTTTTTGCAACCTTGAAGCCTGAAGATCTGGAGACCCTTGAAATCTCCATGAATTCCCAAGGTCCACTAAAAGCCCCCCTGTTCTGTGTCGAGTCTTCTACAGCCATGTCCCACCGCGTCTGCCCACCAACATTAATTAGTAACTAGCACTGCAGAGTGTGCATGGTCGTTTTAGCTACAGTATTTCCTTCCCACTCTGGTCCTCGCGAGTCTCGGTCTGGCTCTCGACACGCTTTGTCAGTCTTTGTCTCTCTCTAAGCTCCTCCTCCACCCGCCATCCATATTTCGTACACTCGCATCTACCACCACACTTTTTGTCCTCTTCTTCAGCCAATCTTCAGAGTCCTTTAGCACGCCCAAACGCTAGCCGCTCGCTGCTTTGCACTCTACCAACTCTCGTCACCAAAGCCTCTTGTCACTATTTGAGGCCTCCTTCCTCGCCCATCACCTTTGGACGACCCGCCTTTGGTCCTTTGCCGCGACACCTGCGCTACTCTACACCCGAGTCTACTCTCGTTACTTGAGTTCGGGAGGCCATTCGTTTAGCAGTTTGATATTTTCTTCGACAGTGGTGTTCAGTCACTACAACTCACCGTGTCATAGCCACTGTCGTGGACTTTGCCCGGGCCTGGCAACGCCTACAATCGCCTCCCATCGACTCCGCAGATCCTTGTCCGAGCGCACGTCGACCATTTCGCCACTCCTCTAAGACTTGAGAATACTCCCACCCCACAGAATTTGCCATGTCGACCGTCGTAGCATCTGCTACGGTCGTCTCCATGCCTCCTCTCGACCATAATCCAAGCCCAAGGAGCTACCCCCCACTGGCTCCTTCAACGTCTGTACAAGCGAAAGAGAGATCCGCCGAACTACAGACTGCCGCTGAGGCTGGTATGAGCTACAACATGAATGAGAGAACGCCCTCTGATGGCAAGCGATCTCCCAGGTCGTGAGTATTCGTCCAACTTGTCCTGCCGTGCCCGCGTTGACATTTCCCTAGAATTAGAAGCGCTGGAAATCCTAAAATCTTTGTGAAAAAGGAACCTCCAACATCTCCTTCCCTGCAAGCCAGCACCCGTCACCGGCCCAAGAAACTCGATCTGAATACAAACACAAATGTTGTCACAACGACCCTGAACTCAAAACCCTCCGCTACTCCGATGACTGCAAGGGATGGGCTGATTCTACAAGATGTTGGCCTTGCCTGCTTATCACCAGGGTTCCAAACCCAAGACCCTGCGATGCGTGAACAATTGGAGCGAAGTATCAGTGTTCGAGATCAACAGCGATCAATCATACAGGCTCGACTACTCAAGTCTGCGAGAGGAGAGCAACCTGATTCTGGCAAAAATACTGAACAGCCTCATGCTCCCCCTTCCAAGACGCCGAATTCAAACTCCAGGAAACGCCCTCCTCCAGGGCTCTCCATCGTTCCACCGGCGGCCGAACGTTTTGCCAACGAACGCATCATCCAATCTGCTCCCTTGAACCAGACATTTACAGGCAGAGATGCTCACCCTCCATCGCGACAAGTGCAAAATGGCACTTCCAATATGTCACAGACCTCACATATCCATCACATACCAGCAGTTCAGACAAATAACCGGCTTCCTCCCATAACAGATGTTTTTGGAGCAAGCGAACTCAATCCTGGTCCAGGGAGACCTAGCTTCTTACACGCCAACTCAACCCCGTCTCATACCCATGGTCCACCACTGCCCTCGCCAGGATTTCCTCCCCAGACAGCCCATCCCATGTCACAACCCCAGGCGCCATTGTTCGATAGACCTCGAGAGTACAGATCTGCCGAGGAAGCTGTGCATGAGCTGACTGGTGGGCGCGAAGATCTTCTGCCGAAAATTGTCCACTACGGTGGCCACCAACCTCCAACTCCACCATCGCCCCATATTGAACGAAGCGACAATTTGACGCCGAACAAGTACCTACCGATCGGTCACACCAACAGCCGCCGAAGAAGTCGGAACGAATATGAGGCTGGCTCTAGTCCTCCGCTGGGTCCTGGTCCAGATCCGATTCGCCATAGTGGACCTTTTGGTGAAGGGAGAGATAGCCCTGCGACACAAAAAGCCAAGAAGGATGAGTTTTTGTCCTTGTGTGCGAGAGCCTGGGATCTCTTCCACTCTTGAGCATATCATGGATTTCAAGATCTTTTCGTGTTGGCACCGATGAGCTGGTGTCACACAACTAGCGTACTCACGACCCTACTGCAATCGTGCCTTCATTATGGCTGGGTCTCGTCTCTTTTCTCAAATTGATCAATATTGCAGCCCTGCCCAGGATTTTGTTGACAGTCACGATGGGATGCTTTCGGAACGAGAAATGTCTGGAGTTGTTGTTTGAGAGGGATTAATGGATGCAAGGTCTGGACGATCACCAGGCATACCGAGTACTGGCTGGACTAGGACTGTTGTAATATCACACAGCGACTGTGGGGTTTAGTTTTTGGGCGACAATATGGTTGAACAGGAGCATGTCGAGGGTCAAATTGATTCAGGAATGGCTGCATACTTAGCTTTCAATGAAAGGTTACTCTATGATCACGTCTTTGCTCTCTGAACAACGTCATGGCTTCAGCTATATGTCCTCCAGAAAATCTGGGTCTTTTCCCGTTTGACGGGATTTGGGCGTCGTAGAACAAAAGTGTAACCGTGTATGCATATCCGTAGACTCATGGACCCCTACCTTCGTGGCCTGCATGAATTTTACTCCAGATCCTGTCAGCGTTTCACGTGGCTGAATTTGCCCTGGCAGTCGAGGTTAGACATATCCGTATGGACCATCTGCATCGGCAATACCCCGAACACTCCCCCACAAATCCAAGGTTATAGATCCGAGGTTGACGAGAAGCCTCGCCACACAAGATTTCTTGCACTTGCACTTTTGCACTCTAGCTGCCTCTCCATTGAGAAAAAGGGTTCTACCAAGTCTCCATGTCAGCAGGAGGAGTATCCGTATGTGTACCGTACGATAGAAACGCGTCAACCTCGGACGAACTATGATTGGCTGTGATGAATGTCGCGTTAAAGCTAACCAGAACTAGAATTAGTCCTCATTTAGAAGCGACATGATTGGCTCTTCGATTCTACTGTTTTCATGTGGATTTATCCTTTTCTAAACCACCACTTCCTCACAAAACTGAATTGGCTTTATACATGACGATGATGACCCCAGAATTGCCCCGAGTTCTGGACAAAGGCAGTTGTCAGAGCAAGTATGGCGCTCAGTAGTTCGTTGGGGCTTGCTCAACCGACTCCACCAATCATTGTCTAATGGTTTTCCTGTGAGACAACTGTGCTCTGGCCTCAGCCATAACGAAGTTATCGGTTCTCCCGAATTACGGGAAGGCAGACTGATTCGTGGATGCGAGAACATGCTGGCGGTGCCCTGTCTGAAAGATTTGAGTCTCTTCTCAAGGTTTGTTGAATTTCTGGAAGGCTTTGTGAATGCCCACCACTCTGCTATATTCAAAAGCATCGAGTTCAAGGCATGCACTAGTCGCCCCGGTACAGAGGTTGTGTGTCCGGACGTATCCAGCATCGATCTGATGCCAGGAGGGTTCCACGGACTCTTCCGGGTCACTCTTCGTTCATGTCTGAACTTTCTTGCTCGTATTCAATCATTCGGGGGCATGACACATTCTGTGCTGACACCCGCATCGGACTGCTCCGAATATGTTGAAGCTCGGCCAAGTCGCTAAGGCTGGGGTATTTCGGGCAGATTGCCTCCTTTACCCCAGATTTTCCACTCTCAGTGGCAAAATCAAGTAAGAGTTGCCCATGGAGTCGTTAGACTTGCGGGAAAACCCCCCATGCAACCAGTGCATATGTTGGGCAGCTGAGCAAAGACAGACTCGACTTGTATATATATGTGTGTGTTTGTCAAGTGGCGGCCGTTGTGGTCTCCAGGTTCTCTCCACAGATCCGTTGTACACCACTTAGGTAGGAGGAAACATGTCTCAAGAAAAGAACAATGTCGATCTCATCACAGATGTGGCTCAGGAGAGAGCCATCATTCCTTCTGGCGAGGAGGCAATCGACATTCGTGAGGAAGCACTGGGAACCAACTTGCCTGCGAACTACTATTGGAGTTGGCAGTTTCTCGGTACTGTGGTGGTAAGCGACACAATGCTCGGATCTCGGATCTTGACGAAATATGTTGATTGATGATTAGGCCTGCTGTCTGAGCTACAACAGCTCTAATCTGGGCTATGTGCTCTCTTCCAATTCGATGGCCAGGATCAACGCCGACATTGGTCCCTCGGACAATCTTGTCTGGATCGGTCTTGTCATGACACTCACCATGGGCGTGACCTTTCTCTTGGTCGGACGATTATCAGATGTTTTTGGACGAAGAATGTTCTTCGTGGTGGGAAATTCCTTCACTGTCGTCGGTTGTATTCTGGGTGCAGTTGCTGTCAATATTGAGATGATTGTTGGAGGTAATGTCTTCAACGGCATCGGGGCCGCAGTCCAGCTCTCCTTTGGCATGATTATCGAAGAACGTACGTCAAATCCTGTGCTTGACCCTGACTCTGTATTTCAGACACTAACGAAACTTGCAGTCGTCCCTGTGAAGCATCGACCGATCTGGGTCTCCTGTATCTTTATGTCCGGTCTTCCCTTCCTAGCGTTTGGTCCTGTCATTGCTCAAGGCCTTGGTGACAATACGGCGGCAAGCTGGAGATGGTGCTTCTATCTGGGCATCATTGTTGCAGGTGAGTTTGAATGATGAAAATGCTATCTTTTCATTCCAAAGGTTGCAAGCAAGCTGACTTCTGCACCTAACAGCTGTCACCTCTATCCTCCTATACTTATGCTATCACCCACCAGACTTTCATCTCCTCCACAGCAAACGTTCACGCATGGAACAGGTCAAGCGAATGGATTTCATTGGCATGTTCTTCTTTACCGCTGGTCTGGTGCTCTTCTTGATTGGCCTGGGTTGGGGTGGTAACAAATATCCCTGGAATTCATCCCATGTCATTGTGACCATCGTTGTTGGCGTAGTCTGCCTTATAATATTCGTTGTTTATGGTGGGCACGCAGCCGTCCCATAAGTTTGACTCCCATACTGACTCTGCGATTAGATTCAAAGTTCCACAAGGGCGATCCTTTCGTTCCCATGCACTTGTAAGTCTGGCTCGATTGTTCTAAGCAGAACAAATGCTGAAGCTCAATTCTACAGGTTCAGCTACCCTGGCTTAACTCCAATGGTAAGCGTTTTCGTCCACGATTAGTTGGTGTTTGGACGATCTTCAGCTGACTCTATAGATTGCTTGTGCATCGGTGGGATCGTGTGTTTATTACTCTATGGTGATCCTGTGGCCTCAGCAGATTGCTTTCCTCTTTCCTGGTAGTCCTCTCCGAAACGCATTTTTGGCGGTAAGTCCACCCTTCGAGCTAGACAGTTTGATATCTCTGGGTGCTAACGGACGATTCAAGTGTGTCATCGGCTCTGCGGTCGAGGTCGGGCAGTTTGCGGCGGGCTTTCTCCTGAAATACCTCCAGTGGCATAGATACATTCTTATGTTTGTGTGCTGCTTGCTCACAGCCAGTGCGGGAGGCATGGCGGCAGTGGGCCCAGGCGACAAGGATTTGGGTGTTGCGCTGATGTTTCTGGCCGTCTTTTCCGTCGGTGTCATTGAATGCGTTGCCGTCGTCAACTGCCCTATCACCTGTCCGCCTGAGCATTTGGGCTCTGCCTTGGGCGCCTTGGGCTCGATTCGCAGCACTTGTGCGGCCATTGCTAGTAAGTCTATGTTTTCCCCTGGTCAAAAATGGTTGCGCCTCAAAGGCACTGAACGTAGACTGACTCTGTCGAACAGCGGCCATCTACTCGGCCATTCTGGCTAACAAACTCGGGAGCATCACCCCAGCCCGTGTTTCAGAGGCAGCTTTGGATGCTGGATTGCCGGAATCATCACTGCCTGAGCTCTTAGAACAGTATAGCTCTGATCTGAGTGATGTCCCTGGCATCACGGCGCAGATCACGTCTGCTGTCGAGGATGCTATCGTTCAAGCTGCTTCTGCCTCTTTCAAGTATGTTTCCGGCCAACACCGTGCACATTGCACAAGAGAAATTGGACGCTGACTGTATTTCTAGGTATGTTTGGTACGCCGTCATTGCCTTTGGAGCTGTGGCCATCTTCTCGTCATGGTTCACCATCGACTACACTAAGTACTACACCGATGAAGTCACCAGGAAGCTTCAGGGGGTTGGAGGCAAGAAGAATGATCCCGTCAAGGGGATTCAAGACGATGCCGTCTAGAGAAAGCACTCCGCAGCTGGCTAATGTCTCTCTATGCCCGGGTCTGCATACCTAGGTACATATATATCAATCACAAATGCGTGCCGCTGTCGCGGGTAGCCTATTTCCACAGCAATTCGTCGATCAGAGGGGGTTCATGACTAGGGGCCTGTTGCTTTGGGTGTCCCAGTGTGTCAACTTATGTTGGCAAAAGTGACCGTAAAAGTAAGTAGCCGCACTGAATGGTGATCCCATGTTCAGACGGCCTTATATAGATACCCCGTGGTGAATCTTCCAATCTCTAGGATTAGCATCATTTGGGTATGTGTATGAAGAACAATCAGGATGGTCATCCAGTTCTTCTGAATCTCGGCATATCTTTGGAGTCCTTGCCCTTTTCCCTCTTTTGCCGTCGCTTCTCTGCCTTGTCGCGAGCCTGTTTACCCATGGAGTTCCACGTGTCTTCCTTGATCTTTTTCTTGATATCTGAGTCCTTCAAGTAGTAAGGCCGAGAAGTCTGCCCCGAACGTAGAGCTTCCCTTTGTTCTCTCTTGTGCTTCAACCTGATCTCATTCTCCTTCTGGCGTGTCTCGACATTCTTAAGTTTGGCTTCCATGGACATGACTTTCCTCTTTAAGTCTGCAACCAGTTTAGGGTCCTTTGCCTTCTTGATCTGGGCCTTCAGATCCAAAATCTCCGAGGCCTGGTAATCAGAAAGAAATGAGTAGTTTCTGTCCGCATGTTGTGTGGCGTCTCTGTGGCTATTGGCTGCCATAACCGTGGGGTCAAATCGAGGATCTCGGAATTTCAGTGAAGGAGAAGGATCAAAGATATTTCTTCTGCGTGTGACAGGTTTTCTAGCAGATTCGGTCGTCGGCGCATGTTTAGAAGTGCGCTTCGGAGGCTCTAATCGTGCTTCTTTGGAACGCTCACGGGTGTCAAATCGTTCAGCGCTATCAGGAGGATGGGAGTCGGAGGTGATGTGTGCGATCTTTCGTTTTCGAGGATTGAGCTGCAGTGATTCCTGCGCCTTCGCTAGGGCACCGAAGCTAATGTCATTGAGAGAGGTGGTCGACTCGTGTTCTGATTCCGAGTCGTCGTGTTGTTGCGGGGAGTTGGGGGTCTGGTCTGTATCTAAGTCGCTTTCGAACTCCGAATCGTCGTGAGAGGATTGGCCATCTAGGACGTCTGATTGATCGTCATCACTAACATCTTGCCTTGGTTGGACTCGCTTTTGAAATGAGGACGAGGGCGCCATGGAGGACGTGGACGTAGAGAAGGATTATACAGGCCATAAACCGATACGATGTCTTTGAGGGCTCGAACTTTTTTTCCTTGAATTGTGACAAGAATTGAAATGACGTCGCCAGACAGACTAAACAAACTTGGGAAGGTGCTCCCCGCCAAACGCTAACCGGGGCAAGTGCGACTAATAACAGTTAGGGACATCACTCTTGCACGTGGAAAGAACATCGCAACTTTTCTTCCCATCAGGTTCTGCGCCTTGCACGCGACATCATCTCTACTCCTTTCTTTGTGAAAATACTTCATAGGCACGAGGGATTCTGTACGAAGCAGTCTCCAAACCATTCGTGTCCCACCACTCTAGTCAAAATTGACTGTTTTCGCACCGCAAGAAAAGTGTGCCACACCAAACAATCTCCTTTGCAAAGTTGCACACTGACTCTTTTCTCCCTAGTGGCAGTGCCTCGCTCCTATTCGAGCTCGTCTTCACGATTCTGCCTGCCGATCTCTCAATATCTCAGGATTCAACGGCACCATGGCGGCTAGAGCATCCCGACCGTCTCGCAATGCTACCTCGAAGCGGCCGATGAACGAGCATGAGCCTTCTGGTTCGCACCGAGCGACACACGACAACCCCAGCCTCACCAGCCATCATGGCCAAACAGTCGCAAATCCCATCCGACAAGGTGATTATCAGTCCCACTACTTTTTAGATCTACATCAACAGACGAGAATTGACATGTATAAAACAGTCGACCCTAAGAGATCATACAAAGAGGAGAAAGACTATCTTCACACTGCCTCTTCATATTCCCTGGCGCAACAATCGCATCCTGGTCCTCATATTCCAGTCCAAAGTAACATGTACCCTCAGGCCTACAATCCTCTGCCATTGCCTCATCAAGCTCCCCAACAACCCGTGAGGTCAGTTTACACCTGCGGTGGGTATCCCAGCTATCGCATTGACAAGAGCTACAGGCTTCCTACAAACCCAGCCAACACCTCTAGATACAATTTCCGGAATCTACTACCAAGTCAAATTGCCTCGTTTGGCGCCATGACTCCCGATATACCTTTACCATCCATTGAGGGCCGGATTGTCAATCCTCTCCACACACATCGATCCCTTCCACATCACGCTAGTGGTCATCGTGGCTACAGTCGATCTCCAGCTCCGCCACCTCCACCAGAGCCTACCAAGAAGTACCTGCAACAGGCAGCAAAGAATCCGACAACGAGTTCCACTCCGAAGAAACTCTTGGTCATTCTCGATCTCAATGGCACTCTGCTGGTAAGACCAAATCGCAAGGCCGATCCCAAATCGTTCGTTTTGAGACCTGGTGTTGCCCGCCTGCTCCACTATCTCTTCGAAAATCATGTCGTTATGGTCTACTCTTCGGCTCGACCAGAGAATGTGCAAGGAATCGTAAGCAAGCTTTTCTCGTCCCAGCAGCTTGCCCGTATCGTTGCAGTTTGGGCTAGGGACAAATTGGACCTCACCCCCCACCAATACAACAATAAAGTTCAAGTCTACAAGAAGCTCGACAAGATATGGTCTGATAAATCTATCCAAATGCGCGCCAAACGTGATCACCCATGGAATAGTACCAACACCGTTCTAGTCGATGACAGTCATCTCAAAGCACTCGCACAGCCCCACAACCTTGTTCAACTCACCGAATTCGAGAACAATGCCCCTCGTGAAGGTGGCCAGGCGCTTCGAAATTGGCAAGTGGAACAGGAACGAATTATGGAGTCTCTGGAGCTGAGGCTCGAGCAGTTGAAATGGCAGGTTGATGTTTCAAGACTGATCAGGCGATGGCAAAACGGCCAAGTACCTGCTCCTGGTGTTGTCGATGAAACTGTAGATCAGAAAACCCGGCAGGCGATCCAAGTCCCCGAGCTTGCGGGAAGCCCTACACCGAGCGTGGGTCAACCCCGAGAGACCGACAGTGACAATACTGAGTGTCAAAACCATTATCCCACTCCCCCAAGTCAGGACGTGGGCAAACCTACCGAGCGATCAGTCAACAAGACAACCGCCACCAATCAAGACATCACCGCCGGTTTGGAAGGCGCTACTATTAGTGACCCTGCTCTCCAGCGCAGTGAATCCCCAATCGGCGAGGAGGTGTTCCAAGAGCTCCTGGGCAATCCCAAGAACAAATCGAAGAAAGCCCGATCCAAACGCATGAGGCGTGCCAAGAAGGGGAAAACTGCCACTATACCCTCAACACCTCAGAGCATGGAGAGATGAGATACGATTTGAGCGTGTAATGAGGCTTCAGACCACAGGCTCAGGCCAGCCGGGTGTCTCTGACCAAGACGGCACCAGCGAGGCGTTTGGGCGTCTCTTCAAGTCTCATCGCTTCTATTAAGTCCTGGTATGATAAGCAGGAGAATGTGATTACATCAAGACATGGCACGCAGGGCAATGGAGATCCTGAGTATAGCTTGTGCTAATAGTAAGTTTTGACTTCTGAGGATAAGGGTGCGACGAGGCAACACACAAGGGACAATCTACTTGATCGAGACAATTGCGCCAGTTATCTGGTGGAATTGAAAGCATTCTAACGCCTTCTCGGTGATATTGGATGTCAAGCGGCGCTGAGATCGATTGCTTTGGGTGCTTCTGTAGCTAAATATGCAGCTTGTCGCATTCACATCTATAGGATTTTGATAGAAAAGTCCTAGTCGTTAATCTTCGCACATACGCCTCAAGTGAAAATGTGCATGTCAATCATGTCCAAAGCGTTTCTCTCTATGTTCATCAAAGGTGTGGTCTGTTCCAACCCTGCCTGTCTTCGACATCTGTGGGCTTCCAAGGCTACAGACGAGTGACACCACACTCTGCCGCCAGTCCAATATTATCAAAGGTTTTACCAATCGTTTTCTTGGCACCCAACCTGAAGGCTTTATGTTGGTGAGTCGTTTGATGTTGGGTGATAAGGGCGGATGGCCCAGTAGAATGCTAGAAGCACAATCAAGCATCGCCTACGGCATCAAGTCAAGAGAATGAACTCTCGATGGTCTTGATGGCTTGCCCTTATAGTGTAGGGGTAGCATCGAAATCTGTACCATACGTGGCACAAGTCGAGTCTGGCTTCAACGCAGCACAGGCTCTGTGAATTTTCGAAATGCTGTTGCACTGCTGATTGGGAAAGTGAGTATTTGCGGATGAAGTCTGCTGATGGTACTGATGCAAAGGAGAGCGCTATAAAGCGACCGCAAGCAATATTGTAAACCAAACGAGCTTTATCAACTTTTGGTCCTGACAAGTTTCAGGAAAGCCGACCAACGAAACTCTTCGAGTATTTCCCATATGCCCATGGTAATGAGTGGTCATCGGCCATCAATCATTCTCTCCTCCCAATCGATCGTCATGGCCCGAACGATATGCAAGGGCCATAATAACATTTGTTGAGGTTGGATCATATGCAAAATTGAATCTCATGATCATCTTCACATGTGATCATGACGATTTCCAAGTATCCAGATTGTTGAGGATGACATCCTCACCATCTCCCTTATTGACAAGCTTGCCGATCTTAAAGACTGTCTCGCCCTCGGCCTCAAGGACCTTCTGAACCTCGCCGGCTGCGACGCTGGAGACGACAAGAACCATTCCGATTCCGTTGTTGAATGTCCGACTCATCTCATGACTGTTGACATTGCCTTCTTTCTGTAGCCACTTGAAAACAGCTGGTCTGTCCCACTTTGACACATCAATCTCAGCGGCCAGGTGGTCAGGCAGCATTCGGGGCACGTTTTCTGTGAGACCACCGCCGGTGATGTGTGCCATACCCTTGATGAGATCCCGTTTAATGGCTTGCAACAACGGCACGACGTAGATTCTGGTCGGCGTAAGAAGAGATTGTCCAACAGTGGACTCATGATCCCAAGGTGCAGAGTTGGAATAGTCAAGGCGTGCTTTCTCGACAATCCTTCGCACAAGCGAGAACCCATTGGAATGAAGACCATTTGATGCAAGGCCAAGGAGAACATCGCCTTCAACCATGCTCTCAATATCAGGAAGGAGGCGCTTTCCAGCACCAAGGTCAAGAGCACCGATAGCGGCTCCGACCGCGTCGTACTCGGTACCTGCCAAAAGACCTGGCATCTCGGCGGTTTCACCACCAACTAGAGCGCAGTTGGACATCTTGCAGCCTTCACAGACACCACGGATGAAGGCACTGGCGATATCGACGTCGAGGATGCTGCAAGTATAGCAGTCCAAGAACATCAAGGGCTCAGCGCCTTGGACAACTAGATCGTTGACGTTCATAGCAACCAGGTCAATGCCAACCGTGTCGTGGACATTGGTTGCAAGAGCAACCTTCAACTTGGTTCCAACACCATCGATCGCGCCGACGAGCATAGGTGACTTTTCATGGTAGCCTGCTCTGCGAAGGTCAAACCCGCCACCAAACCCTCCAATAAGGGCGTCAGCTCCAGGTCGAGATGTTGCCTTGACGGCCGGCTTGATTCTCGAGACTAGGCTGTTGCCTGCGTCGATGGACACACCGGCAGACGCGTATGTCATGCCTGCTTCCTCGGCATCCTTGCCCGCGGCCTTTCTCTTAAATGCTCGGTGGGCGATATCTTTCCGGAAATGCATGCCTTGGAATTGGATTGTGGCCATGCCTTTGTAAGCCTTTTCCACCGCAATTTCAAGGGTTTCCGCGGTAGAGGTAGAAGCAATAACGCGGCCACCGGTTGTGTAGACAGTGTTCTTGTCCTTTTTGGTGCCTGCGTGGAAGACGAATGTGTCCTTTGGAACATCACTAAGTGTGATAGACCTGTTTTTCGCATATGAGCCGGGGTAGCCCTCGGCGCATGCAACAACAGTTGCGGCGAACTTGGGTTCGATCTTGAGGTCGACGCCGTCAAGCCAATGCTCGGTACATGCAAGCATGACTTTGGCAAGATCTGTGTCTTCGCTCAACAGCGGTAGGAGAGTCTGTGTTTCCGGGTCACCGCCCCGAACGTTGTACTCGAGAACCTTAGGCCCATTCTTAGTGATCATCAATCCAGTAAAGAGCAAGCCAACAAAAGGCATTCCTTCTCTTCTCATGCAATCAATGGTAGGCTGAACAATGTCGCGGTCAACCTGGGCGATCAATTCCTTGGATGCAACGAGAGTTGGAGCATAACAACCCATTCCTCCAGTGTTTGGGCCTTGGTCGCCATCAAAAACCCGCTTGTGATCTTGTGCAGGTGGCAGCGATCTAATCGTGTAGCCGTCACTGAAGGTGAGCACACTCAATTCCTCGCCTTCCAACAACTCTTCGATGACGACCTTGGATCCGGCAGAACCAAATTCCTTGGCTACCATGATCTGCTTCAAAGCATCGTGAGCTTCCTTCTTCGATGTGGGAAGAATGACACCCTTGCCAGCCGCAAGCCCGTCGGCCTTGATGACCACATCATGATTGACTGAGTCGAGATATTGGCGAGCTTGTTCGTAGTCATCGAAGTTGCGGAAAGCTGCTGTGGGGATGCCGTGACGTTGCATGAAATCCTTTGAGAAGGCCTTTGACCCCTCCATCTGGGCGGCAGTTTTGCTGGGTCCAAAAAGACGAATACCAGCGGCACGGAAGAAGCCCTCAATGCCGGCGACCAAGGGGGCCTCTGGACCCACAACCACCAAATTCAAGCCATGCTTCTTTGCATGAGCGACTAGTCCAGGAAAGTCATCCACAGAAATGTCGACGTTGAGGATATTATCAGACTCGGTGCCACCATTTCCAGGGGCCACGTGGACGACATCGACGGACGGGGATTTGGCGAGTCTCCAGGCAAGAGCGTGTTCTCGACCACCGGAGCCGATGACGAGAATACGGAGTCGTTCACTCATGTCGAATTTCGGTGCGAAACGCAACAAGAAGTATCTGCAAGACGCTGATCAGCGTGATATTCACCACTAGGGGCCCAGAAAAGAAATTGCGGATAAAGGATGAATATCGCCGTCTCAAAGATATATCGTGCAGACTCAAATCATGTAGGGACAGGTTGTCGTCGCGCATTGAAGTTTCTGTTTTGGAATGTGACTTGAAGACGCGAATGGAAAATCTCGCCGCACAGTACTCCAAAATTGAATAGGAGTCTGCACGAAGATGTAGAAAGAAGAAGAACTCACCTCAGAGCTAGACACTCCAATCAACTGATATTCGACCGATCGAAGGATCAAGATATGTACAATCCTCGTCATGGTTCAAGTGCAAGCCAAAGAAGTCCTTGGTATCGGAAGAAAAAAAGTCTGGAGAGAAATTTATGCCAAGACTAGACCCACAAAAAGAGAATCTGTTTCGCCGATTGGTCGATTTCAACGTCCCCTCAGTGCACACACGAGATATGGACTTGACTCAGAGATACCAACACTGTGAATGACTCTCAACACACACATTGCTTTAGACAAGACTCAAGAAGCCTTGATTCTGTGGTTCGACCTTCAACATATTTTTTGGAGCTTGCAGACACTTCACAGTCTTTGTGTAGTGTTGTCATTCTGACCGATACATCATCACCACGCCCAAAACGCACTGGTCCTTCGGGACAGAAGACCACAACAAAACATGTATCTCATCAGTATGTGTCGCTCCTACGCCTTTGTGATGTCTGAACATAGATGAACCCGGGCTGACCTGATTTAGGGGTGCCGTGCTCCTCGGCCAATATTGGTAAGTACCAAGCAACTTGGCCCACTGAGGGACTTCCACTGATGTGAACAGGCCCTGGTTTCGATGTCATTGGACTCGCCTTGTCCATGTACCTCGAACTGGCTGTAACCATTGATGCGTCAGCTGTTCCTGGAAACCCCAGCTCCCTCAATTGCACTGTGAGCTACACGGGAGTTGGTGCTGAAGATATCGACTTAAATCCGGAAAACAACCTTTTGACACGCACTGCTTTATACGTCCTCCGCTGCCATGGACAACACCACTTTCCGCAATATACTAGAGTTCACATCCACAATCCCATTCCGCTAGGGCGTGGCCTCGGTTCGTCAGGCGCTGCAGTCGTTGCCGGAGTTCTTCTTGGCAACGTTGTTGGGAATTTGAATCTACCCAAATCTCGCCTGCTTGATTTCTGTCTGATGGTCGAACGCCACCCTGACAACGTCGCGGCTGCTCTTTATGGAGGATTTGTCGGCACATATCTTAACGAGCTCGATCCCGCAGACATGGCGCGTAAGGAAGTCCCGCTATCCGAGGTGCTCCCCCAACCCGCTGGCGGAGTCGATACTGGTCTCACCCCTCCAATTCCGCCTGAGAATATTGGTCATTACCGACGGTTCGACTGGGCGCCGGAGATCAAAGCCGTTGCCATCATTCCTCACTTTGAGGTTTCCACCGCCAAGGCCAGAGAAGTATTGCCAAAGCAGTATTCGAGACAAGACATGGTATGAGCTCTTGTGAACAGTCCCCGCTAATGGCTGGAGTCGAGCTGATGAGCTGACATGCCTTATCGACCTTAATACACTTGCGCTGACCACAGTTCCTGTTTTAGATCTTCAACCTCCAGCGCCTAGCCCTACTCACCACTGTCCTGTCTGACTCCCCACCCGATCCAGACCTAATCTACTCGGCGATGCAGGACAAGATTCATCAGCCGTACCGAAAAACCTTGATTCCCGCACTCCCTGCCATCTTATCGTCCATGTCACCGAAGTCACACAAAGGTTTATTGGGTATCTGTCTCTCGGGTGCCGGGCCAACGATATTGGCCCTTGCCACGGAAAACTTCGAGACCATCGCAGACGTCATCATGGCCAAGTTTGGCGAAGAAGGCATCTCGTGTGAATGGAAACTTCTCGAGCCTGCTCAAGATGGTGCTACAGTACGGGAGGTACCGGGAGACGTGTCATCATACGTCAACAATATCAGCGTCAATTAGACAACGACCGAACAGCCGTCGCTATCAGGGCTGACGTTGTCTACAATATTGAGATTTAGCCAAAAGATTTAGACTTCACAACGGCAATTGGAGCAATACATGCCCTAGTCCAGAAATCACCAAGGAGCGTCAGAGATGTGTTGACCACATGACACTTCCAAGACGTCTTGGTGGAATGATGGTTACTCATTGAGATTGCTATTGTCGGAATACATGCATCAATGATCCTGGGCCCACCTAAGTGAACCAGATTCATACCTCGTGCCTGCTACTTCACATGGACTTTTGGACCTCCCACTGCCATAGCGCACAATTCTATGCTCCATCCCACCATTCCTTTCATCAATGTCTTGACGTCGTGCACAACTGAATCTAGAAAATTGCTGCGTGTCGGGATAGGAACCAAGCTTTCCTGCAAGATGGAAAAATGTTTAGAAGCACTTGCGGTGGACAATGGAAGGACCACTCTCATCGTATTCCTGCTTGGAGATCCACATTTGCTGGAAGGTGGAAAGAGATGCCAAGATGGAACCTCCGATCCAGACAGAGTACTTTCGCTCGGGAGGAGCAATGATCTTGACCTTCATGGAAGAAGGTGCGAGAGCAGTGATTTCCTTTTGCATACGGTCAGAGATACCGGGATACATGGTGGTGCCACCAGACTATAGAAAGTTAGTATCTCCTATATTAGAGAATGAGATATTGTGCATACCATGACAATGTTTCCGTAAAGGTCCTTTCGAACATCCACGTCGCACTTCATGATGGAGTTGAAAGTGGTAACGTGAATACCGCCGGATTCTAGACCAAGAACGCTGGGTTGGAAGAGTGCCTCGGGGGCTCGGAATCTTTCATTGCCGATGGTGATGACTTGGCCATCGGGAAGCTCGTAGGACTTCTCCAAACTGGAGCTCTGAGATGCAGTTTGGATTTCTTGCTCAAAGTCGAGAGCGACATAGCAGAGCTTCTCCTTGATATCGCGAACAATTTCGCGTTCGGCAGTGGTCGAGAATGGGTATCCTCGCTCGGCCAAGATCTTCATCAGGTAATCGGTCAAATCACGACCAGCCATATCAATACGAGAAATGGCGTGAGGAAGAGCGAAACCCTCATAGATGGGCACAACGTGAGTGACACCATCACCGGAATCGAGGACGATACCGGTGGTACGACCGGAAGCGTAGAGAGAGAGGACGGCCTGGATGGAAACGTAGAATGCAGGCGAGTTGAAAGTCTCGAAGACAATCTGCGTCATCTTTTCTCTGTTGGACTTGGGGTTGATGGGAGCCTCGGTCAGGAGGACGGGGTGCTCTTCAGGAGCCACACGCAATTCATTGTAGAAGGTATGATGCCAGATCTTTTCCATGTCATCCCAGTTGGTCACGACACCGTGTTCGATAGGGTATCGAAGGGTGAGGATACCACGCTTGGATTGGGCCTCATCACCAACGTAGGAGTCCTTCTGACCCATACCAATCATGATACCATGGTGGCGGGGGCGACCGACGATGGATGCTGTCCTGCACTTAGTTTCTCCTAATCTTGGACGGGTGCGGGGCAATTACTCACGGAAGACTGCTCGGGGGGCGTCATCACCGGCAAAGCCAGCTTTGCACATACCAGAGCTGTAGATAGAATCGTCAGCAACACAGCCCACACGCTTTTGTGATATTCCTCATTTCCGGCGCAGCCGAAGAATAGATTGGGACGATTGGGACGATTGAAGGGTAGATTGGAGATGGGCAGGGAGAAAGGCCAGAACGAGTCCTGGGGTTCAGATAGGCGCTTACCCATTGTCAATGACGAGCGCGGCAACTTCTTCTGTAGGGAGATCAAAGTGTCAGTCACTGTAAACAGTTCTCAAGAGGCTGAGCATGTCATTCTGATGGCATGAACGTGAGCTTACCTTCCATGATGGCTAGATCGGTTGGTGATTAGGGGACAGTAGACAAGGGAGATGGGGTTTCGTGAGAGGTCACTGCTCGAGAAATAAAGCAATGAACTTGGTGAAGTGAGCGGGAGAATCGACGGTGGAAGTGTGAATGGAAGTCGAGTATGTTGGAAAGCTGGAACAAGATGCGAGGGTGAGATGGATTTGAAGGACGGCAGGCGGTGGGCGGTGCCAGTGGGCAGGCGCCAAGAAGCTGATCAGACTCGAAAGCTGGACCTCGCCTTAGGAAGGAGCAATGCGGTCTCTCTAACCAGACACCGTCACTCATGCAAGGTGCTCTGACTAAAAAGCTAGTGCCGACAACTACAGTAGGTGACTACAATAGATACCAGCCTCAAGTGAATACTCGAGCTCCTCCAGGCTCGCTGAATTGGTATCAAGCGCCGGTCTTGCCCCCTGAATCATGCATTTGTACCTAGGCAGTAGCGATGAAGCTCGACCTCTTCACCTGCCACATGATTTTTATAGTGTAACTAAGTAGCACAGGCATCTTTGTAGATACTCGCCTTCTCGTCAATGGTGGCAAGGGCCACGCAATGCGCTTTCCTCGAGTCGAAAGCCGACTCGTCAGCAGTTCTGTAATTGAAGCCAGGCAACGAGAATTCCGCAGGAAGGGGTCCTACGATTTCCCGACATTTGGGATACGAGACCAAATATCCTCAACCAGCGGAGGCCGAACAATACTTTTGGCCCCCCACCGTGACATTATTAAGATATGTAAGATCACTATCTAGGTGCTCGGAATGTTCAGCTATACTACTATACACCCAAACAAAGGTGACTGCTTTGAAACCCCCCGTCCTCGGAAGGTTTGGGAAACAAGTTAATGGGAGGCGACCCTTTGGTCATGAGATACAGTTTGTTGGGCTACACATACCCACATGGCCAGTGCCTTGAATATGGAGTCGGCTGTCGTACGTGTCGCCTCTATGGGTACGTGTTATCCTCAGCGCAGGCGGCGACTTCGTTTGCCTGGCTAAACAGACTGACATTTGGATCCTCGCCAGCCACAATAGCGGGGGATTAGCAAGGCGCTAGACCCAACTAGGTAAAGCGAGGGGTCGTCTGAAGACTTGTCCTGATTGGCACTGGTGGCTCTGCTGGCTTGAGCCCGCAGTGGCTGGCCCAACTACGCATCATCACCACAACCAATGTTGAACAACAGAGTCATGATTAATGCACAGAACGCCGACATGGGACTCTTGTAGATGATCTGTTTGTTCGTTCCAAAATGTATCATACTATCTGATTCCTCGCCGATTTTGAGATACCTGCCAGAGAGCATATGTTGAATGACATCCAATCGAAGTGCAAGGAATGTGACCGTAGCGTCTAGAAGTTGTACATCTTCCAATGCCAAGACCGAGCAATGAGCAGACATTTCAACATTCAATGTTCCCGCCATTAACGACTCAGAAGTACAGAGAAGAACAGATCTTGAATTAATTCGTTTTAAAGATCACGTCTATAACTTGGTCCTTCCAATAAAACCCAATTTGTCCTTTAAAAAAGCCATACATCCACCACTGGGCTCCAAATTCGACACAGAAACAAGCCGCTCTCCCAATATGGCCGACCCTGGCTTAAATCAACTTTTACAATGGAGCATCGAAAATTCAGATGCAGGTCGAACATCAGATCAGCCGGCGCGCGAACCTAAGGGACTGTCAGCAGATGCGTTACGGGCTTTGATGGGCGGCCCAAGCGACGCCGACCTGATGCGGGAAGCCATGTCCATTATCGTCTCAACGGACCCCGAAGTAACCCATGAATCCAAAATGACAGCCTTTGACAATTTCGAACAATTGATTGAGAATCTCGACAATGCCAACAACATGGAGCCACTTGGCCTATGGACTCCAATGGTCTCACAATTGGAAAGCGAGGTGGCAGATTACCGACGGATGGCTGCTTGGTGCTTGGGAACAGCAGTTCAGAACAACGACAAGGCTCAGGAGAGGCTTTTGGCCGTCAACGGCGTCAACAAGATTGTCACAGTAGCTCTTGAAGACTCGGACACCACCGTCAGACGGAAGGCAATCTATGCTCTCAGCTCCAGCGTTCGGAATTATCAGCCCGCCCTAAACGAGGCCGTCAAAAAACTGCCCAAGGACATTGTTGGAGGCAATCAGGTGTCTGCCTCGGATATGGACGCTATTGATGCCATCATGGGAAAGCTCAGAGAACGAACTTGAAGGCATGATCGACCAGACTCATATCATTCCTTAAGTTCATCAATTTTCCGGCGACCTACGTCGCAAATCGGACAAGAGTATCCAAGGCTCCCCAAAATCACGATCTCGAGTCATAACGGTCACTCCGAAATGCAGAGCCAGTGTGACGCTCTTGGAGTCGAATCGAACGCCAGAGAGATGTTCTCACAAAGAAGCGTACACAATGGGTATGAACCTAATCTACCCCACTATGTTGCAGGAAGTTTAAGCGGTTGCCTATAATATGGAAGGCAACTATGGGTGCAACGAGCCCACCAAAGATACCCAGTGTATTCTTGATTAATTGATACATTTGTTATTCCCATTAAGCGCTCAATGATGATGCCATTTTTGCTCTTCATGCCAAAGTCAAACTTGCGGCAGGTTGTGTTGCGAAACGCGTGGTGGACGTCTTGTCCACAAACCCCAGTCTCTCTTCTCATAACTGTAAATTGTAGGTGTAGTCATCCTCCATATTCTGGCTGACCCAGAGCACGACACTGCTCAGCATAACAAGGGCATTAGCCACGACATTGGCCACGCCCATGTAGACGGTGGTGATGGGGAATTCCTTGAACAAGAACTTGAGGACCATAACGGTGACGCTGCCGGCCAGACCTCCGGCCATTAGAGCAAAGCCGAGGAAAAGGACCGTCCTCGCTTTCCAGGCAACCCCATTCCCACTATAAGAGAAGCTGTCGGCGGACAGGCGAGATTTCTCGATACTATTGATGACTAGCATGCCCAGAGCCGAGCAGATGAAGGGGATCCAGTCGACAAAGGTGATGTGGACGTCGCTACCATTGTAGGGGGATTTGGACCAGACACTGGCATCGATGAAGAAGAAAAACCCTAGGGAGAACTATTCAGACGGTCCCACTGGTCAGCTGTGTTTTGGACTGCGCAAGCGCTCTCTCTTTCAGAAGTCTTGCAAGACCTACCAGTGCTCCAGCTGCGTAAACGCCAAACGTTCGGGTGTTGGCGCTGTTCAGCCATTGCGGCTTAGAGAAGCGGAATAACCGGTCGGAAGACATGTTGATGGAGTTTGAGTTGTTTTAGAAGGGCCGCGGTTCAGTGTGTGGAGGCAGGTCTAAAGTGGAAGATGTTCAAGCTGGTGATGTTAGGTGAAGTCAGGGCGACAGGTACTGACAGAATGTGGCTGGTGCTGCTCCAAGTCAGGCTGCGCTTTGCTGTGCCTGCTGTGTCGAGGTGGTTGGAGTGCATTCGGATAACTTTCCCGGTTGGCAGTTCGTTTGACGGCCGCCTACTCAGTACTCCGTACGTTTGGGGGCCGAGGGCCTTTTCTTACACAACTCTGAGTCTCTGCCCACGTGCTACTAAGGGCCAGGCTTCCACTATTAATCAGTGATGGCTCATGATGTTCGGTGAGCTATTCTCGTAGGCGAACGGGTAAACCTCTAGTTGTTTACATGTGTATCCTGTTACTGAGATCAGGCTAGATGGTAGCATAGAAACAGTCAATTTACAGACACATACATGGAAAGTCTCCACGATATGACAATCTAGACAGCTCCAAACACCAGTCCGAGGCTGCACATCATACATGAAGTCGGCGTTATAACTTTCCAAGAATGTACCGGTCACAGTGGAAGCCGACAACGAGGCATGGATTCTCTCATGGACTGCCCTCCGCAGGTCGCCGTTCATGGCCATCAACTTCGCGCAAAGGTAATGATACTCCGCAAATGTCAATATTGCGACCACCTATATGCCCCGAAGCTTAGTGGAAATGATGAATTAAAATGTCAATTTTGCCCATCCAAAATGATGCCATGGCCTTGCGTGGGGATGAATAGGACATGCCGGACGCCCTGCAGTGTATATCTGGTAGGCAGTATTCTGGCTTCCATGCTTCTTAGAAATCCTGCTCCTCCTTAAAGAACTGGGTGAAGCTGATGATCGTTCCATATATCAACAGCCCACCAACAATTGACATGATCATGGCGGGGATCTGGATCAGGCCTGTGTGTGCAAGGAGAACAGGCAAGGCTGTTGCAAGATGTCAGCTCGAAGCAATAGGTGCAACTCTGGATGCCTAAACATACCAATGCCCATAATCACCAAAAATCCTGTTGAGAAGCGACCCAGGTCAATCCAGGCGCTCGAGTTGCTCTCGATAAAGTCATCTGGGTTCGCACATCTCGAGGCGATCCAATTTGGCACGGGCGCCAACACATATGTAGCGACCACGAGCAGAGTAAGGAAATTGTGGAAGAGAGCTGCGGAGAGGATGACCAGTAAAAAGCCGATTGCGAGGACCTAGTTGCATATCAATGATCAGACTCTCATAGAGGTGTTATAGCGCATTCATACAAACGAAAGGCTGATGATTGTTTTTAAGCCTGCCGTCATGGCTGTGGTTTCTTCCAAAGGTGGTGCTGGGCTTTGACGATGTGGGTTGCGAGTTTCGCGCAGGAAGGCGGAGGATATTCGTACAGCGTAGGTGGCTAATGCGAAGGCTGCGTTGAGCTGCCTGCTATTGGAGTGAGTAATAGAGATAATGTGTCACTAAAGAGAAAGGTTGATCGTCTTCGGTGTGTGAGGCTTTGCGAAGGTGACGATGGTAGTTGAGTCGAGATGTGGCTGGGATCTACAGTGGCAGTTGACAAGTGAGGCTTAGAAGCAGCGCGCTTAATTGGCGGCATTCAACCCAGCCAGAGCGTGACCTGCGCTGTCTGCGCAGGCCCCATATTCAGTCGACCGTACCTTGAGACTGCGCGTCAACCTCATTGCCTGAATTTAGTTACGATTCAACTACCATTCATCACATCGACAACGAGGGCAAGATTTCACGACATTTTCTTCGCCTCGCTCATCCTGCTCCTCCTTCTGCACCCAGCTCCGAACCCTCTTCATCTCCACAATGTTTCGAAATAATTATGACAACGACTCTGTCACATTGTAGGGCTGCTACTCCCTCGTTGCATCAACACCATCCACTGACCTCTTCCGTATAGTTCACCTCAAGGCCGAATATTCCAGGTAGAATATGCACAAGAGGCGGTCAAGCAAGGCTCGGTCGTTGTCGGTGTCGCCAGCAAGAAGCACGTAGTTCTCACGGCTGTCAAGGTTCGGCGCGATTTCCCACGTTACTCTTTGCTTATATGCTCACTCATTCTCTCAGAGAAACGCCGAAGAATTATCATCATATCAGAAGAAGATTGTCGGTGTGGATGATCATCTAGGCGTTGCCCTCGCAGGCCTGGCATCCGACGCCCGCGTATTATCCAACTTCATGAAACAACAGTCGCTATCCTCTAAGATGACCTATGGACGAGCCATACCCGTTGAGCGCATTGTCAATCAGATTGGCGACCGAGCACAGACAAACACCCAACATTACGGCAAGAGACCCTACGGTGTTGGGCTTTTGGTTGCTGGCGTCGATGATCTTGGTCCTCACCTTTTTGAATTTTCCCCGTCAGGCATGACCCAGGAAATGCTTGCCTGCGCCATTGGTGCTCGAAGTCAAATGGCTCGGACGTATCTCGAACGACACTTGGACGAGTTTGCGGATTCGAGTCGGGAGGAATTGATCAAACATGCTCTTCTGGCATTGAAAGAGAGTCTGGCCCAGGACAAGGAATTGACGGTGGACAATACTAGTCTGGCAATCATCGGTGTTGGAGAAAAGGATGGTCGGAAAAAGCTCGAGGCGTGGAAGCTCTACGATGGACAAGATGTTGGACCTCTTCTCGAGGCCAGTCTGGAGTCATCGTCGGCAGAAGGTGCTGGTGGAGATGCCATGGAAACAGATTCCTAGATCGAATTACAAGCATCCGGCACGGCGTTTGGAGCGGACCGAATCAATACTGTGACAGTGGATACACCCAATACCACAAATGGGACGAACCCAAGTCTATGAGATGTTTTTTTTGATTCCGAATGCTGTAGTCTATCTATACTTTGATGGTCTCCCAGTCCAACTTGTATCTGCCAGGGGCTACCTGGTAGTCACGCAAGGCAGCCAGGACGTCGTCAGTACTCTTGACCTCGACCAGGATGTTGGCCTGCCCAGGGCTGATAAAGCCCTCTCTAACACTGTTTCTGACCAGCTCCAGAAGACCATTCCAATAACCATTGATGTTGACGAGGACAACGGGAATCGAGTGGATGCCGAGTTGGTTCCACGTCACCATCTCCATGACCTCCTCCATGGTGCCGTATCCTCCTGCCAAAGCGATAAAGCCAGAGCCAGCTCCTCCCTGCTCGACACGCTGAGCCATCATCCGCTTACGGGTATGCATGTCTGGAACAATGGTGGTAGAGCCGAATTCGGACTTGGGAACAATATAGACGTCGGGGTCGGTATTGCTGTCGATGCGTTCCAGATCCTCCTCGGACATGGTGCGCTCAGGCTTTTTTGCTGAGGCGCGACTCGTCTCACTTCTCATTGAGACGTCCTTTTCAGACTGGATCAAGGCCCGCGGGATGATACCCTCGACGGCGTCGGGACCAGCTACCGAAACCACAGATTTGGCCACTTCACCCATGACACCCATGGTTCCACCGCCGTAGACGAGCTTATAGCCTGCTTTGCCAATAGTCGTGCCCAGAGTCTGTGCAGATTCGAGATGTGCTGGGTTTTTGCCAGCCGATGAGCCGCAACTACAGCGTGGTCAGTGGGTGAATCCCAATTTGGAGTATGATGAGATTCTGGCAGACATACAAAACACATACTACCGGCTGTTTGCCGTTGGACATTGTCTCCTTGTGTGACGCGGCCATTTTGATTGACCGTGCAGTTGACAACTAGAGGGTGAGACGGTGAGCAAACCGGGCGCATAAGATGAGTAAAAACTGCTCCGATTTCACGTGCTACTCATGTGCGACTCACCCGACCGTGCCGCTTTTATAATGACTCACCCTCCCTTTGTCAGATTGAGAGGTGAAAAAGTTGATTGTCCCTCCTCCTCGATGACTGGGAGGGCCTTGCTATCTATAGCCAGAAGCTGCGCTCTTAGTCTCTACACTCTACACTATAAGGTCAAGAGATGCCATATAGGCTCTATGCTTTGACGTAGTCACGTGCTGTAGTCTCGTGACTTGTGACACCCTCTCGTTCTTCGCAATCACCTCCCTCACCATCACACTCACCCTTCATCCTGAACCTGCTCCGCCGCGTACCAGCTCAGCCCAGGAACCCGAAATTGGCGATGCACCGAATGGTCTGTTCCGCAATTCAAATCTAGAACCCAAAGCAATCCTCATCCTCTATGAAACCCCAGTCTAAACCGAGACAAAGAAAGTCATATTAGCGGACAAGGGGTTCAGTGGTTTATGTGTGACTGCAAAGGGTAAATGCATAGAAATAAGGAGTGGGGGTAAATAACAGGATATGGAAAATGCAATAAAGTGTGAGAAAATCACATGGATAATAAGGGGAATGAATGAGAAGCGCGACAAAACTCACCTCTCAAAGCAGGCAATGCAGCTTTTTGGATCATGCTCGGCGGACCACAAAGGAACGTGACGACTCCTGCCATCTCCCCCTCCTCTCCTCGTGTAGACGTCTGGGTGTCGTCCGTGTCAACGTGGTTACCATTTTGGCGTACCACTGCCGGTGGGAACAGCTTTTCCCGGATTATCTGGGCGTTGATGTGGCCGGTCAATCCGCCATCTCTCCCCCATTGATCTTGGTCAGCGGCATGGCTGATGACATGGGTGATTTGAATCCTCCCAGCGCTCCGCTGCTCGATGTCATGGAGTTGCTCGCGGAGGAGGATGTCTTGTTCGGACTTATTCGCGTCGACGACTCGGATGTGAACATGGGCATTGCTGTCGTCGCTAGTCAGGCTTTCCTGTGCTACGCGCTGTAGGAGCGCGTATCCTGGAGTGACCCCGCTCCCGCCGAGGATCAGGTTGACCTTGTGGAACACGCGGGTTTTACCTTCAATGTCGAAGCGTCCGTTGCCCATGTATGTGATCTCGCCGGTGGGGCCGTTGGCTTCGACAGTCTGGCCGAGCGGTAGTTCGTGGAGGAAATTGCTGAATGCGCCGCCGGGCTGGTTTTCGTCAGGAAAGTATGTCTTTATGGTGAGTTCGAAGGTCTCGTCGTCGTCGGTGCTGTCAAGACCAATAACGGGGCGGGTCGGCGTGTACGAGCGGATCAGGAGTTTGTCCAGCATGTGAATTCCCATCTGGATGTGTTGGCATGTGCCGAGACCGAGCTTGAGGCGGCTTTTGCTCGGACTGTTCGCAGGATAGGTGTCTCTGTACGAGAAGGTGTAGGCGAAAGTATCGTTGGAAAGCTGCTTTCTCGCCACCAGTTTCACCGGCACCCATTTCTTGCTCTGCAGCAGTACTTGGTGGTGGTTGCCGTTCCCGCTCATCTTTTCCTTCTCAGCCTCTGCTTTCGCCTGCTCACGCATGAAGGTCTCGGCCTTCTCGCTGACCCGCCCAATCACACATTCCTGGAGTTTCTTGTGTGCGTAGTCATCGTGGATGCTCTCGAATGCGCTCGTGACTTCGAGAGACAGTTTGCCCGCGTTAGCGAGGATTGTTGCAGTGCCGCCGGGGTGCCACGCCAGCACGCTCGTCACGTCGTAGACATTGCCGTTGATCACAAGCCAAGCGTCGTCCTTGGAGTTGTGGGATTCGATCTCCTGCCGGGTGAACTGTTTGTCGGGAACGCCGGCGTCCTGTTTCGCAGCGGCGAGTTGGTTTTCCGTGGAGGGAGTCATCCAGCCCTCATTAGTTCCCTCCTGATGGTAAGGATGCCGAAAGAGGAGTTGTCCCTTGGTGTCCACGGACAACTTTACCACGTACCATCCATTATTCATCATGCCCATCAGGTTCCATACTGGGTGTTGCGGCTGGGTGTTTTTGAACACGTTGAAGCAGCGCACCGTCAGGGACTCGGCGCGAGCCAGGTGTGCACTGTCGATGTCGATGTGCCAATGGACCCACGTCCAGAATTTGCGGCCATTGCGGACAGGACGGTCGGGGAAGTGGCGAAGGCAGTACAACCAGGTGGCGCCGTTGTCGAGAGAGAGTTCAACGCGTTGGACTTCATGGCCACCACCATCGTAAGCAAACCCTTGCACACGGTAAGTGTCGCTTTTCAACAGGTCGGCCATTTCGAGTGTCTCGCCTTGTCCCGGCCGCACAATGACGCTGTTGAGGTTCTGTTCCATGCACGCCGTGCTAGGATGGTTGAACATGGTTCGTGCAAACTCGCCGTCTTTCTCGGTGATGAAGGAGGGGAGCACACGATTGTCCCATATATGGTAGTAGGATTCGTTCTCATGGTCGGTGATCCAGATTCGAGACAACCACTTGACGCTCCGGCCGCCTACAAAGCCGGGGATCAGCACTCGCACGGGGAATCCGTGATCGGGGGGCAGCGGTGAGTTGTTCATTTCGTATGCCAGCATCACGTCGTTGGCAGGATCCATGACATAGTCAAGAGGTATAGACGTCGCGTATTTTCCTTCACTGGGCTCGTCGGCGCCCTCGAAGTTGACCCACTGCCGACCTTCATTCGAGCTTGTGCCGTCGACTCCTGCGGCAGAGAGCACGTCGTACAGCATTGCGCCCTTCCAAAAGGCGCAGGAGATGGCCCCCGGCCCCCAGCTGAACCCCTTACTCTTCTTGATCAGGTTCAACTCGCCTCGGCGATTACCGTCACAGCCTAGTGCAACCTGGATGTTGTACGCCTCAAAGCCGTTCTTCAGGTCGTCCATGGAAAGCCTGAGCGTGCCGTCACAGACGTCGAGGATGTGAGTGTCCCAAAGCAGCCGAGGAACGCTCGCATGATTGCGCACATAATGCAAATTGTTCGGAGTGACCAGGCCGGCGGAAAAGAGGGCATCCAGTCGAGGCTCTGCATTCATGGGATGCTGGCCTGTATTCCGAACAAGGTTGCTGCTGCGTGGTATCCAATTATCGGGAGTCATGGCGTCGATGGCATCGATTTCGATCGGCGTGTTCCGAACCTCTTCTTTCACCGGCGAGTCTCGTCGACCATCATTCTGCTGGAAGGCCTTTGTCTGGTCACGCTCGTGCTGCAGAAGGCGCAGCAAGGTTATTTCTTGAGGGCTGTATATCTCTCGCAGTTTCTGGTATTCGGTCTTCTGATCTCCGTTGTGACCACTCGTTATCTTTCCGTTGTGCTGCTGCTGGGTAGCCTCCCCTCCAGATTTACTGTAAGCCTCATGGTGCTTCTCTGAAGTTTCGCTGTTGTCGCGACGCCAGTCGTGTTCTTCGTTGTGGTCCTCCTCACCACTTCTGACGCCCAGCTTCTTCTTCGCTTCCAACTCCTCCATTCTCTGCTTCTCCTGCTTCTCTCGCAGTTTGATATTTGCTGGACAAGTTAACAGACCGAGACAAGCTGAACTGCAATGAGATAGTAAACTCACCCGGCCAGTCTTGCTCATGCTTGACCCATTCCTCTCGGGCATCAACAACAACCCGCCACCCAGGCGGATAAGCGTCGGGTCGGTGACTATGGAAGTCCTGCCACTTGCTCAGCCACCTGCCATGACCCAAGCCAGTATTGCCCACTTACCGTTTGGCCTCTTGCCACGTCTTGAAAGTTCAGGAGGTCGCCTTTCTCCGTCCTCTTTCTTAAATCTCGATGTTTTTGCATCGCGTCTTGGACGAACTTGCGATGATCTTCATCATTGTACGGGTCATGGTCACCCTCGTGGGTAAGGCCCGCAACTCGGCCATGTCGATTTCTATAACCAATGCGATGATTATGCCCAGCACCCCAGTCAGGCTCGGCAGCTATCTCCTGCTCGGAAGAGCCGGGATGGGAGCGAACGTACGGGTAGCGAGGAGCTGGTAAGGGCATGGTCAACAAGAGCAACTTGAAACCTCAGAGATGAGGAGGGTGCCTCGAGGAGAGGAGTAGGAGCTCTGGCCGGTCGCAGACCGCTTCCATCTTTAACGCATTTTGAAAGCATGGTAGACCAGCCTCAGTTTCCGTCCCCGGCAACTCATTTCTGCAGTGTCAACTCTGTGGAGCAGACAGAGTCATGCCTCTGGTTTGACTAAAATATACCTGCCAACCCCAATAGTCTGATTTGTGGGAGCTTCAATGGGATTTGTTGTCATGAAATGTGGCATGAGCCTGAGGGTCCGAGCGCAGGATGTTTGACTGTCTCCGCGCTCACGCTTCGGATACGTGCCATGAAGTGGACCGGACAGTTCCTATAAGTTTCAACGTCATGCCTACCGCTCGGATATAACAATGCATTCAATTAGAGAAGTAGTAGAAGCGTGGTTCGGATCATCAAGACAAGCTGCACAATGAATATATCTCTCACCTAACGAAGTCTCAGTGTCCCAGGGTAAGCTGTCTTCGTATAGGCTGTTATTCTTCCTCTTATGAGCATGGACGATCCTGGTCTTGATGTCAAGGTTTGAGAAGACAAGCCACGGGTACGTGATCCATGAGGTATCAGGGTAGGAACTGTCCTCACACCAGCTTTCCATCATGATGCGTAATCCGGAGCCACTGCTCCGTAGCAGCCTGCGAGGAAGATCAATTCCTTGGCCTCGAACCTGTCTAGGGATGGTTGACCGTTTCTCTTGATGCGGGCCCCCACCAGAAGGCGAGGTGGAGCAGCGAAATGAGGAAAATCAGTAGTTGTCCTCAGTCTTACTACTGTAGCAACTTGTGGACTGAGAGGTGTGGATGTTGTGATGCGATGTCACGTGGTGTCATGAGTCACGTGATGCCAAGACCTACCTCTGGCGTCGCTAATCTATCTCCCACAACTCTCTCCTAGATAGCTAGACATCAATGATCATGTTTCTTGCGGCGAGGTACTGGACCATATTTAGTAGAGGGCAATACTAGGTAGATACCTACGGACGTAGGCACTAGCTTGACTGCAGACTGCAGCCTGATACTTTAGTTTCACAGTCTCGGTCTGCTCTTTGGCCACCGGTCAATTCAGGTTCGATATCCAATTATTGGCCGCTATGTGACCGCCACTCAATGTCATCACAGATGAGGTTGAAATCAACTGAGAAGCGGACCCTCAGGGCCTTTGACACCGGTGACCCTCTCTCAGCCTAACACTACTATGCTCTACGTTCATGTCGTCTCCAAGAAGTCGACCTTTTGAAGGTCCAGAACTCGAAATATGCACTAGGCGGTGAATTCAGCTGTACTCGTAGACCCTGTCGTTGGCAAATGGCGACGATGTGGACGGGGAGTTTAAAAGATGTCAGCTCAAGCTTCTTTCTCGTTGCTGACACTTCTGTGTAATTGTTCTGACATGTCGATTGAACCTTGAGCATCAGTCGACGGAGTGTAAAGAAAACTCTGTAGGAGTTCCAGTACAGACATGGCGCATTCTGGCCCGGCTTCCGCTCGTGTATGGTCATACGGAATTCCAAGTAAGAGATGGCCCGTAGATGTGCCCAAAAGGTTTTTGGTTCGTATTGAACTTTAATTCTATTCCGAGAGCTCCTAGAGCGTCCAGTCCAACCGGAAGCCTGAGAGGAACTCGCTTATGATAAGACGCAAAGCGGGGCCAAGATAGGCCCTCGGACATTCTTTCATGTCCTGTCTGGGCGCACGTTTAGGTGCCGCTAGCCCCGGCCGATTCTCCTCCCATTGGCTTACAATGCTTTATTGAAGGCTTAATAGACCTGGGGCGCTGCAACTTGGCAGTGCAGCACTGGACTGGCACAAGTGGCACACCGGGCCATGGCTGACTAGCGATGCGTACCAACTGGTCCGTACCGGATTCCTGAATCCTCTCCGCCCGTGCGCCAATAAATGCAACCCATTTGTCTCGTCCTCGTGGTCAGCTGAAAGAAACGACCCCGCGCATCCCACGTCCATAGGGCAGCATGGCCCTCCGCACCTCCCACTATGATGCCATCCCATGCGATGGTCCCATGCGACCTTGGTAAAAGAGTACTCAAAAAAGTACTCGTATGTAACTCTAGATCCTGCAGACCACCTTAAGCTTAACCCACACACACTCTGACTGGATTTGAATCGAACCGAATCGGATCCTTCTAAGCTAGTTATCGCAGCACTGCGGCCATGCCTTGGATTCCTAAAATCTTCAAGAGCTGCACTCTCCGCCCCACTCGAAGACCGCTCTCTTTCTCTTCTTGTTCAACACCTACGGCACCATTCAACCTCACCGTTTATTGAGCCTGAGAGGCTCTGCGCGGTCTGCTGTGCAGTTGCACAGCAAGTGGTTGTCGCCATGTCGGCCGACACGACGACCCTGTTGACGGAGACGACAAATTCTACCACGACGACGATATCCTTCACAAACTCCTCCACCTCCTCCACCACACTCACGACTACGACGACTTCATTAATCCCAACCACAGAATCCACCACGACGACCACTGAGCCGACGACGACGACGACTACCACAATCACAACTCCCACCAGTAAGTTACCCTGCTACTGCCTGATTCCTGCCGTGTTTCGTTTGTCTGCTCTTGCCTTGCTACGGAGATGCCTCTGTAACAATCGATTGCGGCAGCAACCATAAGCACCTCCTCCACGTCGGCGTCTCCTCCTTCGTCTTCCCCATTTTCAACTTCATCTTCCATTCTGGGCGTCACTTCTTCATCATCGCCCTCTTTTTCTGGCTCGAGCTCTTCCTCATCTACCTCCGCTTCATCATTGTCCGAAGCTCTTTCCACTTCCATTGCCACTCCCCCGACCACTTCTCCCACTCCTTCCCCTTCCTCTCCTTCGAGCTCTAGTGCGGCAAGTACAACTCTTGTGACAAGCTCAAGTATTTCCTCCCTTGTTCAATGTCTTTTTACTGCAATCTTTGCCAATGGCGGCTCATACATGCCCCAGCTACCACCTCGTCTGATCCCCCAACGACATCGTCCACTACAACAACCACTCCCCCACCAATCACTACCACTACTACTAGTGAGTGTGCACTGGCAATTTTCTCATGTTTTATCCCTTTGCCCCAATCATCTCTTGTACAGGTTTTGGATGGGTTTCCTAATTCAATTACCTTGCCCAGCGTCGTCCACCACTACGACGACTTCTGTCTCCCCCACCCCCGTGCCCACTACAACCACAAGCACCATCTCCTCGTTGCCTCCCACAAGCACCACCACTACCTCTCTCCCAACCTCTACCGAGTCGAGTACAGACCCAATAACAAGTTCAGCTCCTCCAGTCACTACCACCCCAACCACCACTTCCGAGCCTCCTCCGCCAACTACCTCTTCCGAGCCACCAACCACATCCTCTGAACCCGAAACCACGTCCACCAGCGAACCTCCTGTTATCATCACCACCAGTAGTTCTTCAATCTCTTATTCTACCAGTACCCACTATGTCACTGAAGTGCTCGAGACCACCGAAAACGGTGTCCCAGGTTACACTACCGTCACCTCAGTCGTCATCGCCTCGACACCTGCCACCACAATCGTAGCCATTGGCACTATTACCAGTACCCCCGGTAGTACACCATCCGTTGCCGCCGCATCGGCAGGTGGCACAAGTTCTGGTGGGTTGTCAACCGGAGCCAAGGCTGGCATCGGCGCTGGCATCGGCATTCTAGTTTTAGTCGCAGCTATTTTCGGAGGCTGGTATAGTTGGTATATGCGACGACGAAGAAAGAAGCGAGATTCTCTAGATGGCATCGACCACTATAACGTCAACTCCATGCCGGGCATGGGCGAATATGGAAGTGCCTATGGTGGTACCGCCCTCGGAATGGGAACAGGGGCCGCCGCTGGTGCTGCTGTTGCTTACTCAGATCGATCCAACAACCGATCCGAGCTCACGTCTTCTACACAAGTACCCTCTCCACCGCCCCGATCTCCCGATAGATTGCTCCCTGGAGGGTTGGCCAAACGAGTGAGCTCATCTCACAAATCCGTGTCGGATCAAAGTGACTACTCGCAAGGCGCCAATGATCCGTCACAGCCACTAGGAGCGGTCAACGAGCTCCCCGAAAACCAGCGTAACATTTATCAACTACCTGACGACCAATCCCACCAAAGACACGTGTCCCTTGGCGGTACAACAGTGTCCTCTTACCACCCAGCAAATGGGTACGATGCTGGGACTGGGACTGTGTCAAGTACCGGATCGCATGAGTTGCCCGGAGGCGAGCAATCGCCACAGCCACAGAGGTTGTCTAATAGGGTTCCTGTGCGGCCGGGACATTATTCCGCCTCTTATAATTTCTGAGTTTGGTGTTCCAGCTAGTTCCATAGCACAAAGCTCTTAATTCTCCATCTCAAGTGTCCCTAATTTCTGTAATACACACCTGATTATAGTATTCTTTGGTGTGTAAGAAGCAGCATCCATTTGGGGTGATCCGTGCCAATCCGCAGGAGAGTCTGCTGACCTCCAGACAAAAATTCCTTTTGATCCTAACCTCCGACCGAACACAACGAATACAACGAAGAACTAAGCCACGTCTCATCAAGACCCCTGGGACCCCTGGGCTTACTTTGATACCATCTGACAGCGCAGAAGGAGGTGCAGGTGGTAGACGAGGCTGACGGAAAAGGAGATTTCTTGGCACCGTCTCACTCATGATCCATACGATAATTATGGAAGAACTTTATTCATCCGTCAGCACTCTTCTCGAGCATCCGTTGCATACATAGGCCCTCCTGGCGCAGATATATCGCCATTCCAAAGTCCCAACGCTATAAAACTTTTGCATTTCGTTATGAAGTCGCATGAAAATTTCGAATATCACCTATCTGAAGAGGACTACGTCAAGTTGAGTCACCTATTCTTCACCCCCTTTCCCCCTCCTTGCTGGAAAGTCACGCCTGTTCTCCGTTGGTCAAAATCGCCTTGCTGAATTTGTCTGCCGTGACATGCTCATGTAAAGCTACAGTCTTTGCAAGTTGAGCACCCTCGAGCGTAATGCTGTGAAGCTCGTCAATGGTTCCATCAGCCATCTGCAAAAGTGGTGAGCCATTGGCCGCTTGTGGTGTCGAAGGGCTGTTCTCAGAAGGGCTCAACACCAATTTCGTCTCTATACCGACGACAATGTGGTCACCGTTTGTAGCCGTGTGCACTAGATCTTTGAACAGAGGAGTGTTCGGCTCGTTGACCAACTGTTCCAAAGCATTCCCAAGATTGCCGAGAAGCTCATTGGCGAAGTCCAGGTAAGACTCGTATGTCACGACTTCCAAGGTCAGATTGTCTCCTTGGAAGAATGCCTGGATCTTCCATTCTCGTAAGGGTTCCAGATGAGGGTAATATGTCTCCAGTCGACTCGTGGACGAGAGGAAATTCAATGTCTCGACATGGTCGACATCTTGGTGGACCACCGAGTCAAACCAGTCGATGGATTCAGGCCAGTCCGTACAATATTTTACAATCTCCTCCAACGCCATGCCTTCAAACCGACTGCTTTGAATGTGTTGATTTTGAATATGTTTGAGCAAGTCAACCCCGGTCCATTCAGGTTGAAACTTCACTCTCACAGGAATATACTGCCAACAAGGTCCGGCAACCAAGTCGGCGTTCGGGAACCCAATTCCACGCCCACTGACAACTTCACCAAAGGTCACATCCTGCGAAGCAACTTGGCGGGCGAGACAAAGACTCCAGACTGCTGTCGGTAGCGTCGCAAGAGTTATCTCCTTATCCCAATTAGACAGTGAAAAGGTCTTGTGGACTGCAACTGGAGTGGTGTTTGTCAAAGGGATGTCCGGCTGAAGTTTGGTCATGCTGGCGCCGTTCAAAAGCTCACGCCAGTAGGAAATGCTTTTTGGGACATTGTCTTCCACAACATGACGGGCAAATGACGAGAATGGCACTGACTTGGGCATAGACTTCCCCTCATAGAGAGCCGACAACTGTTGAAACATAAGCGGGAGGCAAATCTCATCGTATTGGGCATGAGAGATCCTGAAGATCAGACAGCTGTTGCCTTGTTCCCCACGCACAAAGAAAAATTTGACGAAGCTTGACCCAAGTGGCATTTTGGTCTGGATATCGAGGTTGCAAAGACCCTTGGAGAAGACCGACATATCACCTTCAATCTCAAACTCGGCAATGGGCGCCAACAATTTCTCGAGCACAACGCTGAAGTATTTTCCTTCAACCCCGACAAAGACGGTTCTGAGGATTTCGTTTTGCGCAACCAGGTCTTGACAACTCTGGAGGAGACGAGCTCGGTCGATCCCAGGATTCAGATAGAAAATTTCATAACGTGCTGAAAACCGGGGGAGGCGGAAGGTGCCTTCAATAGCAATCCTCTGCATGGGTCGCACTGGTAAAACATCATCGACCGTCCAACTCTGGTCGGCCAAACGGGGTCTCACCACTTGTGATAGGAAAGCATCAATGTCGGGTACATCGAGACCTGTGAAGGGCTTGGTCACCACGGTAGTGTCTTGAGCCTTCTTCAGCAATGTGGCTACATTCGCCATCTCTGATAGGCGCCGGTGAAGGAATACTTGAGCCACGGTCAATTCCAAGCCCTCGGTGCGTGCTTCAGAAACGAGCTTCATGGCTCCGATGGAATCTCCACCAAGTTCGAAAAAGGTATTTGCAGGCGAGATATCACCCTCTGATATATCAAGGATACGGCTCCAAAGCCGGAGAAGTTTCTGCTGCTTGTCGGAGGTACCTAAAGGTAGATCCACCGGCGCTGCTGACGCCTCTGCAACGTCTGAGGACGACTGCTGTTGCTTCGATTCAACAATCTCAATTGTACCGTCATATCTGTATCTGGCATCCAACCCTGTAGAATAAAGGCGGTGTTCATCCCCAACAGTATCAGTTGTACCTTGGAGCAGCCATTGAGGAGAATTAATTGCTGGTAGTGGAAGCTTGATGGTGCTTTCGACCAAAAGCTCGCCGACCTCGCCGATAGCGACACAACGCTCAGCATTCTTTGGATCCACAATCCAAGTTCCTCGCGCTTTCGATACCTCAGGGCGCGACTCTAAGACGCTTTGCAGCCCCTTTTGAGACCAAGCAGCGTTCTGAACATCCGAAGTTTTTGTGACGTCGAGATCTCCAAGTTTGGCCTCAGGATCGTGCTGTAGTTGCTGTAGTGTAGCGTCGAAGTCTTGCAAGATGACTTGTAGCTGCTTTTCATCTATCGTATTCGAGTCAAAACTTGCCATGACGAGCACTCCCTCTGGTGTGACTGAGAAGACCAGCATCAATGCATACGAGTTGAATTTGAGTGCTTCACGAGCTGCCTCCATGTCATCGACAGGAACGAAACCATCGGCCGGACGGTCCTCGTCAGTTCCAGTGGTCCTGTCATCGGCAGTATCGATCAAATTCAGCACAATTCCAGTCCGCAAGTCACACGCAAGTCTCGCTTCAGCGCTGAGACGGCGGATATGCTGCAGACCGAGATGCTCGTGTGGAATGCGGACGATTCCCTGATCTCGGACACTCTGCAAGTAATCCGAGACTTTTATCTCTCTGTCAACGAGGATTCGCCAAGGCACCGTAGTGATGAGAGGTCCCTCGATCTCCGTGATTCCAGTGATGGGCGCATTGCGACCTGTGAGCGTCTCGCCAAACACCACATCGCTTGTGTCGGCGTATTTTGCTGCAACCAGAGCCCACGCCGCCCGAATGCTGGTGGCGACGGTGATTCCAGTGCTAAGGTTTGCCGTCAGCTTCACGAAATGTTCCACCAGTGCATCTGCATGGGTCTGATAGTTGGGATTGGGCAGGAATGGGAATTGTGTTGCTGAAAACCCTCCCAGTTCCTTCTTCCAATACGACTCGGATTCAACCTGGCGTCCCTGACTGAGATATTTGACGAAGGCGGAAAAGGGTGTTGGGGTATTCGTCTTTTGCCCTTGGTATGTCCTGTTGACACGATCGATTATGAGTGGCATTGACCAACCGTCGTATAATGCGTGATGGATAGTCAGACAAACGCTCACGTCTGGTTTGTCTTTGTGTGATACAAGGGCAAATCGTACAAGTGGTTCACCCAGGCCCATGCTGTGAGATCGGTCATCTTGGAGATATTGCTCAAGTCCGACTGTTGAGGTCCAGGTCGGCATCTGCCTGACAACAACCTGGAACAAACCACGGCCAGGAATGTGAACTATGCGGGTGCGTAGAATCGGGCAATCCAAGGAGACTGTTGTAAATGCCGCACGAAGCCGCTCGGCTGTGAGCGAATCCCGCACAGTAACGACTCGTTGAGCAACGTATGCTTCACTCACTTTGGCAGAGAGTGCCAACAGTCCTTCTTGCAAGGGCGTACATGGATAAATGTCCTCAATGGACGACTCATCTAGTCCACAGAACCTTGCAACCTCAACCCTTGCGACTTTGTTGGGCCAGCTCCCCGGAAGGAGGGAAAGTGGAGGGATTTCCTGGTCTTGATTTTCATTTCCTTGTTTCGCCTTGGATGCCATCGCGTGGAGAGTTGGATGAGAGAAGACATCGGAAACTGTCAGAGAAATGTTCCTGGATTTCGCCATCGCCACGAGTCTCATGGCTTTGAGGGAATCTCCTCCCAGTGCGAAGAAATTGTCTTTCAGGCCAATCTCCTCATTGGGCATCAACAGAATTTGCTTCCAAACCTGAATGAACAACTTTTCAACTTCTGTCGTCGGGCTTTCCTTAACAGGCGCAGTGGAAGCTCGATAGCCTGCTAGTTGCTGAGGTGTCATACCAAGGCCGATCTCCTGTAGTCGCTTTCGGTCTACCTTGCACGACACTAAAAGGGGCATCACTTGTAGTGGAATATATGCAGATGGAACCATGTATCGGGGAAGCTCTGTAGCAATCTCCTTGTCTGCTTCTGTAAGAGCATGAAGGAACTCCTTAGAGAATTGCACAGCTGTGGCATCGTCCAACGTCAGGGGTTGGCTTGATCGCGGCTCTGCAACAAAGACGACTAACGTTGGCTCGCGACTTTTGTTTCCTGGTGTGATGACTTCAGCTGCAACAGCCGAGTCTGGAGGTAATCTCGTTCGGAGATGGTATTCGACTTCTGCAAGCTCGACACGCTGACCTCTTAACTTGACTTGACGGTCCTTGCGTCCAACAAAGACGATAGAGCCAGAACCATCAGGATCATACCGGACCAGATCACCCGTCTTGTATAAGCGGCCATGCCTGCCAGGTACATTTTCACAACCCGCAAGCAGCCATGTTGGATCCTCAATGAAGACCTCTGCGGTCTTTTGTGGCTCGTTCAGATATCCCACACCAACGAGGCCGCCCTCTACCAAGAGCTCGCCAACTCCTCCCAGAGGTGTGAGAACATTGTGGTCATCAGGGTCGACTATCCAGGTAGTTCCTCCCCTTCCGACCCCAATGCTGGTGTAGGACCTGCCTGCCACAACATCGCTGTTAATGGTGCATCCCACTGTGCATTCTGATGGACCATATGCGATGATGAGCCTCGTCACTTTGCTCCAATTCACGGCGTCTCCAGCAGATAACGATTCTCCTCCAAGCCCGAGGACTTCCAAAGATGCCATGACATCAATGCTCAACAGCCGCGCCACTGAGGGTGTCATATGCGCCATGTTGACTTGCATGGCCTGAATTGCTCCACTGAGATCATTGACGCGTTGATCGTCGGACGGTACACAGATAGTTCCACCCTGCGCCAGTGTACAGAGCATGCAATCAATACTGACATCAAATGCGTAGGAAGGGAAGTCCAGGACTCGTGAGTGTGATTTGTAGCCCACAGCTTCAGCTCTCGGAATTGCGCCGGTGGTGAAGTTCTCGTGGGAGATGACAACCCCCTTGGGTTTTCCCGTGCTTCCGGAAGTGAAAATGATATAAAGAATGGCAGAAGATGGCACTTGTTCTAGTGCCTTTGCTCCTGAGTCTCTCTGGACTTTCAGGAGCTCGGGTCCCACTGTGATAACTTTTGCAGATGGGGGTGCAATCTGCATTGCAAGGTCTTTTTGTTGGGGAGAAGCGAGCACAAACTGAGCGGCAACTTCTTCTGCTATGACACGGAGTCTTCCTTCTGGTTGCTGTGGATCGGTAAGAACGAAGGTTCCTCCAGCTCTCATCACAGCCAAAAGTGCGACCACGGTCCAAATCGATTTCTCGAAGCATAACGGGATGACAGTGCCGATCCCAACACCAGCCTTCACGAGATCGAGGGCTAGGTGAAATGATAGATCATCCAGCTGCCTATAAGAAAGTTCTCCCTCCCAAGACACGACAGCTTGTTTGTCCGGATATTGTGACATCTTTTCAGAGATGATGTCGTGCATGCATTGGCGAATGGTTGGAGGTAAAACCGCATTCCAGCGCCAGAGTCGGCTCGTCTCGAGTTTACCGACTCTGGTGGCCTGCGCGACTGGTTGTTCGTAATTGTTAAGCAGCGATAGTAGAATATCTGCATATGCTTCAATCTGATATTTGACCATTTCCGCCGCAACGTTAACCGGGGCTATGAGCTGTCGCACGAAGAGGGTAGAATGCGATATCCACACCTCTAGAGAGAAGGAAATGTTTGCCTGCTATCAAAATGATGTCAGTAATGGCCCATGAGAATGTCTAGAAACGCCATACAGTTTGAATGTCGCTCGAAAGGGTATCCGCGGCAAGGAGGATATGACCGTTTTCCCAGCCAGAAGCCTTGTGAGACGAGCTGTTTGTGTCTCGACATATCGTCTGAATAGTTTTTAGAACGTGAGATGCTGTCATCGTCCCATCCAAGTTAAACCCAGGTGGTAAGACCTTCTGCACTGGTGCCGCGCTGGAAGTACCATTGTCGCCGGAGAGGACGGTCCAATATGCGTGAAACTCATCATTCGTGATGCTACCACGGCCCAAGTACAGAGACCACGCAAGTAGTAGGTATTCTACTTGGTCCTGGTAAGTCTTGAATGCAAGGTCAGGTACGAGGATTTCAGTGACATCGCCGCCAACATGATTCAATACGAAACCGTCTCCCGCTGCTTCTCCCATGCTGGAATCTTGACTCCGCACAGTTGAATGTTCATACCATCACCGACAAGAAGAAAGATTTCAACGATATAGACTTCAGACGGTCGAGAATCCAATCAAGGACCGAACACTGGGCTCAATTGAATGTTTACTGAAGGCCAACATTTTCTTAATCCCAAACGACGCTATTGTTCTTTGCCGTAGGTCGGGATCATCATTGCCTTGTTTAATTGCTGTCTACTGCAGACTGGGCCGTCCTATGGATCTCCTCCCACCTGCCATGGGCTTAACGGCCGGCCGACCTTTCATGCACATGACGCCATATGGGGCTCTTCTCAAGTATTTTTCTGGTCAAAAAATCCCAATACCAAGGGTGACACGAAAGATTTCACCTGTATTTCCAAAATGACGACTTTAAATACACCAGGTTTGAAATGTCATGCACATGTCAATGCCCGCCGTGTATTGGCCTGTACTTTCATGTCAAGCTTTTCTGGATGGAGACCTTGCAGCGGATCTGATAACTTTGAGCGAACCGTCAGGCCAAGGAATGGCCCCTCGGGCCAAGTGATTGTGTGATTGTGCGTGCCAGTGAAGATGTTTCTTCGGAGCTACTCGCTAAGGCGACAAAAAAAGCTCTCGATGGCCTTCCTGATGCAGGCCCAGCGACTTGGCCGGTCTCGGAGTCTTGGGTGGCACGGGTTCTAATCGATTAGCGACCATGCTCGAAGCTCTTAGGATCACAGTGGACCACTGGAATCCCTGGAAGACTCGGCTGGCACGCTGGTAAATTTGCACCTGGCTCGGTCTTCTCGACATGCCCATCCCTAGCGATCCGACGCATTGCATCTGGATGTTCCCTAGACGGAATTACCAATTTCGCAGAAGGGGCCGATGGCACCCTCATAGACCGCTTCTCTGAAGGACGTCTTGAGAAGTTTCAAAGTTTTATCACAGAAAATTTTTGAACGCAGGGTGCTGTCTAGTGTGACAAGACCCTTGCATCAGCGTTTACATTATTCACATGTAGTCGAAATGCAAAGATGGATTTGATGACACTTACTCTCGGCGCCGAGGACTCCAACTCGAGGGATGATTCCTTTGTGATCGCGCCAGTGCGGCCATGTAATGACCCGCCAGTGTTGAATGCAGCACAAAGGCAACTTACACACGTCACACGTGAATTGCCATGCCTGTAGATCCCCTGTCAGATTTCCTGGCGCAAAGTCAACCAAGAAATGTGTGATTCGAAGGTCATAGCTCTCAAAGATATGGAATTTGCTAATGTACTATTAAACGCTGTTGACCGTGGCCATGATAATCTCGTAATCTAATCTGATCTGATAATAACCTAAAACACACGGCCTTTGACCTGCTTGTTCTCCTTGACTTCGATATCCCTCCACATTGCCACCGATATCAGAGCACCCGAAAGCAGTGCTAGACTGGTGATCAACATGTACCGCTGTGCTTCACCATAGGCATTGTTGATGCAGTCTCGTGCTGGGGTCCCCGGTCGGTAGAACAGCTGAGCAATGATCGATCCATAAACCCTGTTGACATCAACTTCTGGTGGCATGCACTTGCGCAATTCCCTGGGAAAGACGGTGGTCCAGATTACCGTGGCCACAGTTCCTCCAGCCGCGCTCCCAATGCTTCCAAACAAGTTTAGAATCGCAACGATGACAGCAATATGCTGATGATCCGAGGGAGCCATCATGGCCAACTCGCCGCAAAGGACAATCGTCCCGCCCGAAAAGGCAACAAAGATCTGGGTCATGACAATATAACCAATGTCGTTGTTGGGCCTCCGAAAATGAATCATAAGACCAACTCCCAGCATCATCAAGGGTATTGCAAAGTACAACGCAAGTTTTTTGAATCTCCCCGTCCACCGAATGAAAAAACCAACCCCGATGGCCCACAGGCACGAGCCGACCCGGTAGATTGCGCTGATATAGCTGGCGTTGGTGATGCTCAAGCCCCATACCACCTGCATCATAGAGAAGAAGTAGCTACCCCAGACCATAGCGTTGAAAAACACGCAGATAAACATGATGCCGGCAAAGAAAACCGTCCTGTCCATGAGCAGCTCAAATGGAATAAAGGTCTTTGGCGCAATGTATTTTTCGTAGAAGGGGAAAAAGACCAGAAGTGAGCCACCAAATGTGAGCATGCATATGATCAGCGGTGACCTCCACTCCTGCGCTTGGTATGAGTATAGACTGAATGAGAGGAGGAAAAGTGCCATGCCGGAAGCCAGGATGAGGATACCGAGCAAATCCACTTCGATAATGAAGTTCTTGATGTTTTTGGGGGTGAGACGGATGTGGGTCTTCTCGATGAGGCCAGCTTTCTGGGCTTTCCTCTGATAGTGAAAGAAAACGCATACCAGAGGCAGAACGACTGAAGGCACAACAATGGCAAAAATTCCGAAACCCCAACGCCAGCCCGGGCCACCAACCACTCTCTGACTGATGGGGCCTCCAAGCCATGTTGTGACGATATACGGGGATGTGGCAAAGGCGAGCATGAGCGTACGGTTTCTCAGACTCGAGGTATCGGAGATGAAGACAGTCAAGACATAGCTCACACCCTGTGCTCTTCGGTGTTTGTTAGCAGATGGGCCTACTGAAGGATGGGCCTTCACTCACCCAGTAACGGAGAAGACTTGTGCGGCGGCGTAGGTCTGGACATTTCTGCACGATGCCATCATGATGTATCCGACCACCCAGATCAAAAGCATGAGTGCCATGCCCTGAGGCCGGCCCCACATGTCGAGGATTTTGGCAGTAGGAATCTTGACCAGACCACCGATGATGTTGGACATGATATAGGTCGCAGCGGTCAAAGAATGCAAAGAGAATGAGCTGGTGACATAGGGATTCAAAGACCTCAGCACCACTTCCTCAAGAGAGGCAACAAAATACACCAGCCAAATCCTGCACTGTGTCAGAGTTTTGTCTCAATTCGGTTCGTGTCGGTAGATGAGAATGAGCTCACAGTCCATAGGCCGAATAAAGGGCAGTCTTGCTCCAAACTGATGTGGCTGCCTGTATCTTTTGTACACCGTTCTGAGCATCTCTGGACAATTCTTCCTTCTCTGGATCGCGGGCAGCCTGCTCTGCTGAGCTACTCGTGTTACTGTGATCGTTGCTCTCGATGGCATCATCATCACCATGAGGTCGGGAGTCCATTTTTTCTGCCATAGAGATGTTCTGGTCTCTGCCCTTTTCCAACGTGGACATGTTGTCGAGGCTTAGACGTGTCAACTCAAAAAGACAAGTGAGGTGTGATAATTGCGAGAGTCAAAATAGGTAGCGTGCCCAGATTATACCTAATTCTTAGCCTCACTCGGCATGTTTAAAAGACGTTCATTTTTATCAGGCCAAGGGACTATGATGGAGGGGATAGACATATCTGGTTGTAGCCGAAGTCGGCCGAGGGGCCCTAAGTAGTGGGGGATGCATGGAGGCCCAGTTCGCAGCTCAGTGGCCTGGACAACGTAGACGTTAGGTCAGCTTGGACTGTGTGATTGAGCCGGCCAAAATTTATGCCTCTTATGCAGTGGATGATCTACGGAGTACATTCTCGAATGATACTTGCAGTAAGGTTTACGTATGGAGGTCAGGGTGTGATCAGAAGGGGCCCATTCCATGAGCTTTACGTTTCTGGCATTACTTCCGAGCATTTTCGCATGGCCAAAAGTCCCATTCCCAAGTTAATATTGAACATGACTTGTGTGATTTGATTCGAATTCTCACTCATGTGCTAGCAGTAGGTAGTATTGAATTTGCAGAACTTAAGCAGTCGCAGGCAACTGAGCGACCTTGACAGGTGCTTTCAAGTCTGGCTGAGCCTTGGGCTTCTCGACATCAGTTATTGTATCCCATGCAGGATAGCCGCGTTCACGCCACTCGTCAAAGGTCATTCCTTTGGCACATTTTGGCATGACAACCATCAAAGGGACCTCAATGTCGTGATCGGTGCCTAGGACTTCGGCGCTGTGGACAATGGTTTCCTTGATTCTCTGACAGCCTAGTCTCTCGTACAATTTGGCTGTCGATGGCGAGGATTCGAAGTAGATTGGCAGATTGGCCGAACTAGCTTGCTCACTGCCCCATTTGATCAATGCTGCACCAGCATGACGACCCTGGTTTTTGGGATCAACACCAATAACATGGCAGTCTGATCTTGTGTCAGTTGCGCATTCCAAAAGGCTTTTCCAACATAACGATGGGATCTTCAGGAATGACTTACACATATGTGGTCGATCGCCCCACAGCTTCTCACGCATTTCCCAGAGTGGTTTGAGTACCTTCTCCGCTCGCACTCTTTCTTCACCCTCAAGCCAGGGAGCACCGGCGAATTTACGCTCTTCTTCCGTTCGTCCAAGGAGATGGACGTCGCCGAGAAGCATTCCAATGATTTGACCCGTTTCCATGTCGACTGCTTTGAGCGTGTACTGTGTGCTTGATTTATGCCAGTATGCCAATGTCGCGGCAGTGTGGGCTTTGCGAAATTCCTCGGTTATTCCTCCGGGAAATAGGATTTTCATTATCAATCTCGCCATCTCCTCTCCCTCAAAGGCAGCAAAGTAGACATCATAGACTTTCTCTATGTCTGGAATAAGCGCCGGGAACACAACGATACCCATGACTGCTGTGGCTCTCTGAGAGTGACTTGAATCTCACAAGAATGCGCTGTGTTTCAGGAGACGTTCCGAAGAGTAATGCAAGTGCTGGGATGTACAGGAATCAGCTTCCTTTCAAATGTGGGCAATGTATGTATGGAGTGAATCAAAGAGCCGTGCTTTCTAGGATTGGCAGAATTGGTGCGTGGCAGCATCGTGTGTGAGCCGCTCAGGCTCCGACCCCACGGTATGGTAATGGACACATGGTTGATGTGGTCCGCATATCGGATACCGAGGAAATGCTTGTCGACTGCTGTGGGTGGTGGCGACCGAGGGTTCGCAACATGGGATTGACTGAGCTGTTCTGATCCACAGCTGTTACCCACAGCAAAATTTGCACGCATGAGTAGCCATTTGATGCGTGAATTTCTTTAATTATCAGGCAAGCTTTCCCGTGGGCACAAGAGTGTGACAGCTAGAGCCCACGAAGAGAGGCCAGGCATTCTACGAAGAAAAGTCGTGGACTCCTGGCGGGGGAGAATGTGAAGCGAGTGACGGCGATGGAGACGAAGTGGGCCACGTGAAGAGGTTCGTTCGGGCAGGTGCGAAGGTGGACTTCGGGTAGTTCCTGCCTAACAAGGGTTGCAGGGTTCAGGACCTCGCATATTGTCATTACATACCAGGCTTGTATCCTCTGTATTGTAAGCAGAGCCTTGGCGTAGACTCCCATTGGTCCCGTCCCACAAGGATCTTACGCCTCGAGGTGGACGTTTTCCCACTCCACCACCTTGGGTCCTTGACTGCCCACACTGCCTTGACCCTTGACCTCCAGCCCTTCTTGAGAGAGTCTCTTCTCCCACTGGTCGATGGATCATCGTGTTTCCATAACGAAGACCCGAGGCTCCGCAATATGTATGCTGTATGCGTGTGCAGAAAGCTAGCTGTATCGCCGAAAATGCTGGCTTGGGGGCTTCCCAGTCGCATTATTTTCACACCTGGAAGACAAATAGGTAAGTAGGTACCTCTATGAACTCCAATAATAGAGGTGAGACCAATCTCCATGACCGGCATCGGAATGAGTCATGACTATTCACTTTGGCAAAAGAAAAAGATTTTTCCCAGTGAGTCGCGACAAATCACCTTCCTTTGTCACATGAGGACCCTTCTCGTTCCTTAGGAGAACAGGCACACGTGCAGGTTCTTGTTCACCAAAGGTACTCTGGGCAAGCTCTTGGGAATCATCTATCCTGCTACTGCATCAAACTAGTCACGTTACTTCTGTCTTTTTCAACAAATTGGTTCATCCACAATGTCGCTATTGCCGGTGCAAGGGTGAATTGAAACGACCATACCATTGCCCTCGCAAATGGCCTTCATATCATAGTCCATATTCTATCTGCTGGTTGACATACGAGTTGCAGTTATGGCAAAACCAGCCCAGACTGACGCACCACCGTCAGAGGTTAGTCTCATTCCACTTAAAAGTACAGAATCATCTCCAGGCTAACGAAGGCGGCGGCAGGTCCTGATGTACTTCAGGTTACTGGCTTTTGCGGGATCAACATGGCTGGATATTGTTCTGATGGTAGTAGGGGCTATATGCGCCGCAGCATCGGGTGTGCCGTTCCCGTTGATGGCTATCCTCTTCGGAGAGCTTGTTGACGACCTGAACGCCGCATCTTGTGAGGTCTCAGCCACAGGATCCGGGTATTCATATGGTCCGGCTATCAACTCAAGGGTCCTGCAACTCGTGTACATCGCCGTGGGTGCTTTTGTGGTCATCTTCATCTACATCATATGTTGGAGTCTACTCAGCCAACGGTTAGCCCATCGTCTTCGAACTCGTTACTTTCAGAGCCTTTTGCATCAAGACATGGCCTTCTTTGACGAACATCAATCTGGAGAAGTCTCTGTCCGACTAAATGCAGACGTTCAAGCCGTCCAATCTGGCACCTGTGAGAAAGTCGGCATCTTTATCGCCAGTCTCTCCTTCTTCATCACTGCATACGTCATAGCATTCACCAGGCAAGCCAGACTCGCAGGAATGCTGGTCTCTCTCATTCCCGCCTTCGTCCTCGTTGCCGTAATTGGTGGTGCATTCTTTCAAAAATTCACTGCCTATATGTCTGCAGCCGCCGAGTCTGCCGCATCCACCGCATCAGAGGCCTTATCTCACGTTGATATTGTGCAAGCGTTTGGTGCCGAAAAACGCCTGGAACGTAGATTCGCAGAAAACATGTCCGTTGCCTGCCAGGCTGGCATAAAAAAAGGAGCGGTAGCAGCCACACAAGCTGGGCTGCTCTACTTCATTGCCTACTCGGCCAATGCTCTGGCTTTCTGGCAGGGCAGCAGGATGATTGCTGACTTGGTGGCTGGTCGAGGTGGTGCAAGTGTCGGAGAAGTCTATACGGTTGTCTTCATTCTCGTCGACGGTATGTGCCTGCCATTCTTGTTCGATATAATCGCTGACTATAATAGCCTGCGTGGTACTTGGGTCCACGGCTCCATTACTCCCATTGTTTGGCAGCGCAGCTTCTGCCTTTGTCCGCTTGAGACGGGTCATCGACCGCGAGCCTCTCGTTGATGACAGAGACCAAGGCGGTCGCACTTTCGATATGGGAAACCCTGGGACATTCAGACTCTCCAACATCGCCTTTTCGTATCCCTCTCGCCCAGATGACGAGGTGCTTTGCGGCATAGACATAGAGTTCCCTGCCGGAAAACGCACAGCAATAGTCGGTCCTTCTGGAAGTGGGAAATCAACAATCGTCAGCCTCCTGACTCGATTTTACAATCACCAGCAGGGACAAATTTTCCTCGATGGTTTCAATTTGCGCGAGTTCAACTTGCACAACCTACGTGGGCTGATGGGAATAGTCCAACAAGAGCCAACCCTCCTGAATTGCTCTATATTCGACAACATTGCTCTTGGCTTGATTGGATCTTCCTGGCCGGGGCATAAAACCTTTCAAGATTTTCTCTTGAAACGACTATCGTCGAGTCTCGACAAAACCCAAGCATCTGCAGCCAGTTTGTCAGATTCAGAAAATCCCATCATGAAGGATATCCTCGCCTTGGTGCAAAAGGCTGCAGCTTCTGCCGAGGCGGCCGTTTTCATCGAAAGCCTTGAACACGGATATGAGTCAGTTGTTGGTCCAGGCGGGAAGTCGCTCAGCGGCGGTCAGAGACAGCGGATTGCGCTGGCAAGGGCTTTGATCCGGGATCCAAAAGTCCTGATCCTTGACGAGGCAACTGCAGCCTTGGATTCAATCACTGAACGTCGAATTCAAGCCACACTAGACAGGGTATCTGTGGGGAGAACTGTACTTGCCATCGCACATCGTCTTTCGACGGTGAAAGATGCAGACAACATCATCGTTCTCAAAGATGGCCGGGTGGAGCAGCAAGGCACGTACGAACAACTTCTGAACGAAGGAGGGGTATTTGCAGACATGGTCAAACTCCAGGAGCTCACCCTTGTGGATGAGAACGAGACGATATCCTTGGCTAGCACCAGCCATCCAGCCGATTTGTCCTCTATCAAGCTGGAAAAGAGCAGAAGCATCAAAGGAGAATATGACCCTCAAGATAAGACGTTGCAAGCCTCAGATCAAAACCAAACAACATCTGCCAGTACGCAGACCTTGACAGAGTCGACCGCACGTTCCATCACATCCAAAATGACCAAAATGGCTGTTCTGAGGGACGTCGGCAGATACATTAAACCTTCCCGCGCCTGGATATTGATGGCAGTTCTCGCGGCGGTAATCGTGGGAGGCACTTACTCGGCGGCTGGCCTCATTTTTGGTCATACAGTCGGCGCTCTCAACTTGTGTGATACCACGATTGACCGTATTCTTTACGTGGGGCGTTTCTTTGGGGGGCTGTTGTTCATGCTCGCTGTGATAGAGTTCTTTGCGAATCTGGTGAGTTGGTCGTCCTTCGCCGTGGTTGCGGAGAGACTTCTTTACAGTCTACGTGTACTATCATTCCGTGCGCTGTTTGAACAAAGCTACGAGTGGCACCACTCAGAGGGAAGAGACCCGTCGTCGCTGCTCTCGATCTTGACCAAGGACAATGCTGCCATTGGTGCCTTTAGTGGTTCCACCATTGGCACCATCTTCTCCATCCTTGTCAATTTTGTGGTGGCAATCATCCTGTCCCTCATCATCGCCTGGAAGATTGCTATTGTCTGCATTGCCGTGGTCCCAATACTTCTGGGCTCTGGCATTATGCAGCTATACAGCCATTCGCGGTTTGAGGAGCGACATGCAAGGGCCTTTGCTAGATCCGTTGGGATTTCGGTCGAAACGGTTGCTTCTATCAAAGCCATCACATCATTTTCGCTTCAAAAGATGGTTATGAAGGCCTACGAAGAAGCACTAGCTGGTCCACGAACGGAGATTATCACTGCTAGCATTTACACAAACGTCTGGCTAGCAATCTCGAACACTACGGGATTCTTCATCTATGCATTCGCGTATTGGTGGGGCTCGCAGCAGATTATGAGAGGAGAAAATTCGCAGCAACAATTTTTCATCATCCTCGTTGCCATGCTTGTTAGTGCGCAGCTATGGGGTCAAATGTTTACACTGGCACCAGAAGTCTCTCGTGCCCGTGCATCTGCATCTCGCGTGCTGAGCTTGGTTAACCTTGGCTCGAGCAAATACAGCCTTGTTTCTCCCAAGGATCTCAGCTCATATGGTGAACATGCTGGCATCGACATTGAGAGCAACAGTTCTACGGAGAAATCGCCAATTGTGGAGCCCCGGCATGGGATGAGTGTATCTTTCGAGTCCGTCGATTTCTCATATCCAACCAGTGCACAGATTCCCGTATTACAGAATGCCACTTTGAAAATTCATCCAGGCCAGTTTTGTGGCCTCGTTGGTGCGTCTGGCGCCGGGAAATCGACGATCATGCGACTAATACTTCGAATGTATCAAGCCAGCTCTGGCAGTGTTACATTGGACGGCATGGATATCGGCAGGGCTGGAGTGGACAATGATATTGCCTATGTGCCACAAGACAATGCACTGTTTAGCGGAACAATCAAATTCAACGTTGGCCTTGGTGCAAGACCAGGCTACGAGGCAACAGACGGAGAGATTCAAGAAGCATGCCGCATTGCCAACATCCACGACACCATCATGACGCTCCCAGACCAATACAACACCGAATGTGGCCCGAACGGCTCGCATCTGTCTGGTGGCCAACGGCAAAGACTCGCAATCGCGCGTGCTCTGGTTCGAAAGCCAAGGCTTCTGCTTCTAGATGAGAGTACCAGTGCCCTTGATGCTGAGTCGGAGAAGGCGTTGCAAGATGGCCTCGAGCGGGCAGTCAAAACCTTGGCGATGACAGTGATTGCCATCACCCATCGTTTACATACTGTGCTAAAGGCTGACGTGGTCTTTGTGATCGAAGGCGGCAAGGTTGCTGATTCTGGCAAACACGAGGAGCTTCTTGCGAGGAACGAAAGCTACCGGATCAACGCGCAGTCGCAGATGCTCTAGGCAGATTATTGGGGGAAACACTACATTTCGGGAATAAAGACCAGAGGTAATCATATAGCATAGAAACAATAAAATGTGTCAGAATATTACATTGCCATTTTTTAGGTACTTGAAGACCAGAAGTCAGAAGTTCCGGGTCATTGCTTCTATGGCAAAAGAATTGAAATCGAACCATGAGGTCGAAAACCTAGACATGTCTGCATCTTTCTATGGATGTACGTCTCGAACAATTACCAGCCTCAACGGTCCATATCATTCATCTAGAGAACAGCAGCTACGCCCAACGCGGCAGCTCCCAGAAGGGCCTGCAGGCCAACGACGTTGGGGTGAGCAGCTGCGTTGGTTTCGGAGGATTCGGCAGCTGTGGCACTCGCAGTCTCGCTGGCGGTCTCGCTGGCGGTCTCGCTGGCGGTTTCGCTGGCGGTTTCGCTGGCAGTCTCGCTGGCAGTATCAGCAACAGTGGCGCTGGTAGTTGCGGCAGCAGTCTCCGAAGCAGACGTTGCTTCAGTGGTGGTTGCGCTCGCTGTAGCAGGAACGCTGTCTGTTGTAGCATCCGCAGTCGAGGCGGTGGATGGAGTGTCGGTCAGTCCGTCCGGAAGAGTCAGGGTAACATCGTAGGCGAGACAGAAACTCTCAGCAAATTCGATGACCTCTGTGATTTTCTGGTCAGCATCCAATCATCCAATCCGAATTCTCACGCAGGGGGTGTTGAAACTCACCACCAACTTCTGCGGGTGTGCAGAGTGTTGGAATCAACTCCACGAGACCATTGACGAAGCCATCATTTGCACAGATACAAGCGATGTCGGTCAATGGGCATCCAGAGGCACTGATAGCCTCCAAGATAGGTTGTTGCTGTTGTGGCACGCAGGTCAGCTCCGTCTTGTCTCTTGCTACAAAGACCATATTCTGGTGGGGGTGATTCAGCTGGTACTCACAGCACACTGAGGCAAGCTTGTGATATCTTGAGAGAATGCGGGAGCAATCAATGCAACGGCAACTGCCGCAATCAAGTTGAAAGACTTCATGTTTGTAGATGGTACAGGATTTCACGCGCTATGGAACAAGTGAAGAAGGTTGGGTTGTTGTTTTGGAAGACAAGAGAAAGTCAAGAAACTTCCAAAGAGCTATTGTCGATCGGCCGAGAAACGATCTGTTGACTACTTCTCAAGGAATGACTGTTTTCAGCAAGGTGCCCGAGGTCGGCAAGCAGAGTTTCGACTGGAGGCAAAGCCTGGCGTGTGACAATAAACAGCTAGACGGAGGTACCCAAATTGGGGAATAGTGAGGCCCGGTAACTACAGTACGGAGTAGGCGCCAAATGCTTAAAGAGGAGGAAGCTATCGAGGCACAGCTAGACATGCGCACCAAGCCGATTTGTTGAAGTCAAGCTGCCTGCGCCTGCGCCTTTGCCAATAACAGTTCTAACAGTTCTACCTAGGAGACAGTGAGACACTGACATGATGGTGACGATGAAGGACAGCTGCAGGACACACATGCTTGACTTCAAGGATACGTGACGGTATTGCCCATGATTTTGTCAGACATATACTCCGTACGTACAGAGACGCCTCGGTAACATGCTCGGTGCGACCCACTGAGCTAAAGTCACCATCATTCATCATCAGAAAAACTCTGTTGCCCGTGGAGAATGGATCTGGACGAAGAACGGGCCAAGAAGAGCGGGGACAGTCTTGGTGGAGGGTGGGTAAATGCGTCTTGCTACAGATTGATACCTTTTCAGTCACTGGAGACAGTCTAGACATCTACAGACCAGGTTCAACCACTCGCCTGCACGTGGGTGTAACGTGTGACCAACACATACTCCGTATGCGTAAGGACTTCGCTTGCAAGAAAGCAAAGAATCATGGGTTCCAACGAAAAAAGTGGCGTCAATGAGCAAAATCGAAGCCAAGGGACTTCTGCGGCCTAAGGCTATACTGGGGTAGCACTTGTAGCTAGTTATACCCCTGACAGGTCCCAGCCTCGAATGATATCTCGAGATAATCTTATCAGATCAAACTAAGACCCACTCCGGCCTTGGCGGGAACCTTGGCATTTCCTCCGATCGTGCGGCAGGTGCGTCCACTGCTTGAGGCACTTTTCACCGAGCGTCTTTTTTCCATCTCGATCATCACCCACCACCATCCACTACCCACCACCCACCAAACACATCCCCTTCGCTTACAGAGTATGCATTGACATGGACCCGTTGTCGAGCTATCCATGATCAAGACATGATCGCCAACCACAGTCTCCTGGAGTCCTGGCGAAGCTATGGCCTTCGAACATGGGCCTCTTGGTGCAACTCCACCTTGATGCCTTTGTCAAACCTAGGTACTCGTACTATCGTACTGTCGAGTATTGTATGCGTATGTGAGTGCAAACCTACGGAGTAATTGTTTTGCCAATGCAACAAAATTATCATCCTCGGAATGGGCCGGCTCAAATGACCCTGCGTCATGTCATGGACTGAGTCGACCCATTCTACACGCATTTCGCGCCGAGTGAATTTTGGTCATGACGATAGATGGCATTTGAAGTTCCATTCTCATACCCGAGCTCGGAGGACTGGACCGAGTCGTTGGTAGTCATCAGAGACACCAGTCCTCGCTGAAGAATGTTGTAAGTATTGCGTTCAGTCAAAACTCGAAGCCATGGCAACGGCGACGACGACGACAGTCGATGAACAGGTCCCTGCCAGTCTTGCAAGGCTTAGGGGCATTCTCCAGCAGATCCATGGACCAGGACGTCCCACTGTTCCCAAAGATGTACCTCAACTGTCCATTCTCCAGGGCCCAACGACGCCGTCTCTACTACACCTCACCTTAGGAGAGCTCCTGACGTTTCAGAGTCTTCAGCACCACCACAAAGAATGTCTGGTCTGTCCATGGACAGGCGCAAGATGGACATATGGCTTTCTCGAGCAGGAGAGCCACCGACTCGCCCTCGGTCTGCTTGCACTTGATGTCTCGAAAGGGGACCGGATAGGAGTGATGGCAGGCAATTGTGAACAGTATGTCGCCTTGTTCTTCGCTGCCGCGAGGGTTGGCGCTATCCTGGTGGTCATAAACAATACATACACAACTTCGGAAGTACTCTATGCCGTCCAACACACAAGTTGTAAATTGGTCTTCGCCGCACCAACCATTGGTCGCCGCAGCTTGTTCGACACTTTGGATGCCCTCGGACGATATCCGGAGAAGCACGGCCGCCTCCCTGACTTGGAACATGTCATTCTCCTGAGGGAGGAGTACAACGACTTTATGACTTATGAGGATGTGATTGCTGAAGGCCAGTCGCAGCCTCTTCGAACACTCCGAAATCGTGAGGACCAACTAAAAAAAGAGGATATATGCAATCTGCAATTCACCAGTGGCTCAACCGGAAACCCAAAGGCTGCTGCATTAACACATCAGTGAGTCGAGTGACACCTTTCTCTTGAGATTTCCCAGCTAATTGGATGTAGCAATATCATTAATAATGCACGCTTCATTGGCGACCGAATGGATCTAACATCGGCTGATATCTTATGCTGCCCCCCTCCACTGTTTCACTGCTTTGGGCTGGTCCTGGGGCTGCTCGCAGTCTTCACACATGGTGGCAAAGTGGTTTACCCAAGTGATGTCTTCGATCCAGCTGCAGTTCTTGCCGCCATCTCAGATGAGAGGTGTACAGCTGTTCATGGCGTGCCGACCATGTTCGAGGCTATGCTCAACTTGCCACGACCAGCCAATTTTGACTGTTCGTCGCTTCGTACTGGTATCATCGCGGGGGCTCCCGTGCCACGACCGCTCATGAGAAGACTTCTCTCCGAACTCAATATGACTGAATTCACGAGTAGCTATGGCTTGACCGAAGCCTCGCCCACGTGTTTCAATGCCTTCACAACCGATACCATTGATCGACGTCTAACTACCGTTGGCAAAATCTTACCTCATGCTCGGGCCAAGATCATCAATCCACGTGATGGGACTATTGTTCCAGTGGGCCAACGCGGTGAACTTTGCATGTCGGGTTATCAAATTTTCAGTGGCTACTGGAACAACCCGGCCAAGACTGAGGCGACGATTCTGCGGGACCCTGATGGGACAGTGTGGCTCCGGACCGGTGACGAAGCATCCTTTGACGCCGATGGCTATTGCTCTATCACCGGGCGGTTCAAGGACATCATTATTCGGGGTGGCGAGAACATTTATCCCTTGGAAATCGAAGAGCGATTGATGGCGCACCCATCGATCTTACAGGCCTCGGTAGTCGGGTTGCCCGATCACCACTATGGCGAGGTAGTCGCCGCGTTTCTTGTCCTCGAGCCCGGCGCGACTCGGCCGCCAAACGAGGAAATCTGGCAATGGATCTGGCAACGACTCGGTAGACACAAGGCCCCAAAGCACGTCTTTGTTCTGGGAGCGGATCCAAATTTGCCAGACCACTTGCCACAAACGGGCAGTGGCAAGGTCCAGAAACAGATTCTGCGAGAACTGGGCAAGACACTGGTCGAACAGAAAAAATGAGTGTAATTGACATGCTAATGTTTAACGGCCGCGCCTTTTAACTGGCCATTGTGTCTATGAGACGCTTTTTACACACGAATATTACGAGAGACAATCTGGCCAATCGATACCCAGCACCCTAGACAACAGTCTGTGAACATGTCAAAGTGTCATTAGAGGATAGATAGATACTGTTCAATTATTATATTTTGTATCCTTTGTATCTCAGAGTTTTGCATGCAATTGATTCCGTCCTTTGTCCGAGCCCTGCTTACGGGCGGGAAACTGGACATCGGCGGCAGTCCCTCCAAAGCCTTGGGTCTGGAAGAAACGCAGTCGTTCGCATCGGACAATTGCAGAGCGTTTGTGTGGTAGGTCGGCGAGTTTGTGAATGTGGAATCCGTTGGCCGCATCATAGGCTAGGACGTTGGCGTTGGTCGCCTTAGGCTCTCCTACCACAGTCACGGTGCGTGGCTCATCGAGGAACAAATAATGGATCAGGCTGGTCCACCACGCTGCGGCGCGATGGGGTCCACGATACCGCGCATCGCCAACCAGCGAATGTCGGCCGCGGTCGTAATCGCCAGGTGCCGGGGAAAGATAGACTCCCATATGGTCCTCCTGTATCGAATTAGCTTCTGGTCAGGTCGGGTTATGATGGGGATCGACTTGTGGTTACCTTTGCCCAGTAGATCTCAAAGTAGGCGAAGAACACATCGTCGAATCGAGCCAGGACAGCCATCTGATGGGGGTCTTGGTCAATCTTGCGCAAGTATTCTCGATGCTGCTCCAGAGTGCCCGTCTCGTTCCATCCCTGGGAGACACGAGGGTCGTTTTGCCAGGTATGGAACAATTGCAAATGGGTGTCGTCTTTATAGTCAAGATGCACCATGGAAAAGAACTCATCCAGGTGTGGCATATAACGACTATAGATGGTGGCCCCTCTGGTGGGTTTGGGGGAACGAACGGGATGTTGAGCATGGACCGGACGGCCCTCAAGGCTGAAGGTGACGGTATGTTCGAGAGGGAACGCAGGGAAGGACTCGAGCGGGCTCGCAAGATGACTGAAAAGGCCAGGGTCCGCTACCCAAGCTGGGCGCGAGCCAAACGGAGAGGCAGCTCCCTGCCAGAAGGCCGATCGCGAGACATAGACGTGGGCGGACGTATCGTCGCGGCCCTTGTGTTCTGCTCGTGATGGCCGCGGCCGTGGAATGGCTATCCCGGTAGCCTGGAGAGTTGTCGAGAGTACTTCACTGCCAGGGCCTTTCAATGCCAGCCGAAATCCTTCCAGACTTGGGTACATGGTGACAATGGCATGGATCAGGTTCCAGAGTTGCCCGACGGTCGCGACCTTAGCTGCATCCCACGAGACATAGGATACCTGGCTCTGATGAAATCGCGCCCAAGGGCTATTGTCATCAGACTGCGGGGATGGGTTGTTGCTTTCTGTCACGAGGTTGCTGAAATAAAGGGTATCATTGTGAAGAGGCTCTGACGGCAGTGTCGAACCAGCGAGCTGACTTTGCGACAACTGCAGGGTGAGGATATGTGATTCTTCGCTCTCGAGCGCAACTTGGACTTCATAAGTGGTCTTCCATGGTTCAGGAAGTCTCACGATCGCTAATGGAGTCGCTTTCTGGCCTGCCATGATCTTGGTAGTCTAGGCTTCACGGTGTCAGCTGAAGACGGCCAGAGAATCTGAAGGGAAGGTAGTATGCTAGGTCGCTGCGGTGGGAGTCGAGAGTATCTTGCTGCTGTTGCAAGGCTTGCCTGGCTGTGTCCCCGGGAGCAGAGCATTCACTGAAGAATTTCCAGTTCCAGAGAACAATCGTAAACCTGGCACGCGCCACGTTCGACTCCACTGGGCCACCACGACCTTGCCGAGAACATCCAGATTCCAGCCTCTGATGCAAGCCCGAGACAACCACAGCCACCATGAATGTCCGAGGCACTTTCATGTCCCGCCCTAGGTACCCTGGTCCCCAAAGTTTCGGTTCCACGTCGCGAATATCGAGGGGGGAGATGGGGGGATGTGTACGAGTATGCGTATTTCCTATAATGTGGATGCGGAGGGGCACCAATACCTGTAAAGACGGCCGTATCAGGACTTACCGTAAAGTGGGGCGTATCCTGACAAAACCAGGATACCACAATACTCCGTACAGTCGAACCAACCCGGTCCACTGCATAGACGGCTGTGATGGGTCTTTGATGTTGCGATTCCCGGAGAGCTGATGATTTACGTGAACAAATCGTGGCCTGGGAGTCGGGACCTCTGGCGTGGGTGGTTTTTGCCATTTCCTTCTCGACGCAGTAGAACTCGAAGATAAGCATTTGCCACAGATGAAAGTGCCTGAGAGACATAGCTTGTGCAGTTGGGATGAGAAGGTCGCTTTAGCAAATGCGCGTGCTCGCAAGGACAGAGCCAGAGCCAGAGATGTACTAGGTGTGGAATCATCGTCGATCGTCTCAACAACCAATACCATACTAAATGTGAACGGGGAGTAGCGGAATGATTGTCTGAAAATTGCCCAAAGCCATCGACCGACAAACCTCACCAAATAGTATTGTAACAAGACGAACTGTCCAAGCTTACTCTTATTGATCACAGATTTAGCTGACTGTGACCAACTTCCAGGCCCATTGAGGAAGTTCAAGTCGGACCTTGGATTCACGACTCATTCTTGGGGCTTCGCGATGAGGGTTATTGGTTCTAGGTTCGCTTGACGACAGGCGTTGATGATGGGTGTGGCGGAATCCTTAATGCCTTCTCATGACCGATAGTCCTCACCAGCCGATGTTGAACCGCGGATCACAAGCGTCTTGTCCACATCATGGATGGTATACATCAGGATACACGATGGATCTACTCCGAAGTCAGAGTTGACAAAGAAATCACTCGCTGTTTTAGCCGGGGTCGGAGGAGGATGAGGAGATTTAGTAAAGCAGCGACATTATATTACTGCATTGAGACTGCGCGTCTTTGAGGAAAAAAAAGTCGAGGATGGAGATGGTCACAGTGCCACATTATCGTCAATCAACTACATACAGTTGGACTACTTTCTTTGACAGGATCAGGGCGGCAAAAGCACAAATGCTTCAGCGTTGATTTCTTGATCCATTTGTTGGGGCTATACATTTTTTTTTCTGATTTGTATTGTTACTGCTCCTTTTGCATCGACTAATACGATCTACCCTCGAGTTGTCTATCGATGCTCATCACCTCGGTTCGCCAGCATGTCTGTCTGCGCTGTCAATACCGACTTCTGGCCTCCTCGGCCGAAATTCGCCCTGTGTATAGACCTAGCCTTCTCATCGCCCGCTCTTTCTCCTCGTCACTAGGCCGCAGGTACGCCGCTACCCAAGAAGTACTGAGTACAACCGCACCGGAAGCAGACCCTCTCCATGTTTCTGCCGGGCCAAAAAATAGCACAATTCCCAATGTTGCATCTCAACCACGGTCCAGCCCACGGCCGATCTCAGTGCAATCTTCAACGAAACAGCAGCATGATCTCGAGACTCTTAAATACGTTGGCGACTGGCTCCGCAAAGCCTGGCATGAGGAAAGAAGTCCTCCTCGCCCCACGTTGACAATTGTACGCCTGTTGCGAACACAAAAAACCTCGAAAATGCCTAGGCAGCCACATGCAGAGAAATGGATAGCAAAAGTTGAACAAAAGTATGCTGGGCAGCGTGTTGGCAACGTTATTCACGCGATCGATTCCATCAACATCAGCGTTGACAAGAACACGTGGACCCAGGTCACCTACACAGGCAAACTCGCCCAGAGTCTTTTGATCTGCTTCGGGATCATCAAGCCTAGGGGAAAGGAGTCTGGCTCTGACATCTATCGCTTCGTATCTTCTCCATTGGCAGAAAAATCCACTCAGGAGGAAAGGCAAATGGCCAGGCAAAGGAGAATATCCCCAAAGCGGACGGAGATCTTATCAACGACGTATTCCCATCGCCTGAGACCCAGAGCCGGGAGCGGTACCCGCACCGAATTGGACACCGCAACTCCTGCCACAGTCGACCGGGGGCCATCAACGTCGTCAGCGGCAAAAGGAGCAAAGGCGGCCAAGGTCGCAATCGCCAATATGGATGCACGATATTTGCAAGTTGCCAGATCGCATGAGCTCGGTCTTGAGCCGATTGCGGTTGAGCGAGCCAAGATTCCAACTCTGAGTTTCGACTTATCACGGGTTCTTTTCAACCCAGGTGTATATCACCTGCAAGACCCGAGGTCCAGAGTGTGGAATTTTGATCCATACCTTGGCAAGATCATGCCGGTGTCTGAGTTCAATTTTGACGCATTACGAGAATACATTACATCGTCGCAAGACACACAGCTTCGGGCTTTGACGGCGGCACACAAGAAACGGTATTCTGGATCCAGCTCGAGTCTTTCTGGGATTCTGTCTCACTTTCACTTTCTGCTTTCGGGATTTCGCAAACTCCGTGTGGACGGAATTACGCGAGGATTCGAGGACGACCTCACGAGCTTCACCAAGATCTCGCGAAGTCCTTCAGCGATTTTTCTTCGATACCAAGACGGGGTGTATGCTGTGGACGTGGACAAGGAATACGATTCGAACAACATACTCATGAGTTTGGGACGATCGATGGAAAAGTTGTTGACGCTGCCCAAGGAGGAGTTTGAGCAATATCGAAAGGGGTCATCTTCCGCGGAGGACAAAGCGAGGTTGAGTGAGAAGAGCTTGCAAGATGGAGAGGCCTATCACTACAGCGAGGTGGGGTCTTTTCTCCTGCGGTCGCAACTTGATTGCAAAGATGATCGGTTGCCAGGTTCGGGGGTATTCGACCTCAAGACTCGAGCAGTGGCAGGCGTGCGAATGATGCTCAATAATCATGAGGAAGGGATGGGTTATCAGATCAAGTCGCGACACGGAACTTGGGAGTCGTTTGAGCGCGAGTACTACGACATGATGCGGTCGGCATTCCTGAAATATTCCCTTCAGGTGCGGATGGGCCGCATGGATGGAATTTTTGTGGCATATCACAACATCCAGCGGCTCTTCGGCTTCCAGTACATTCCGCTTCCAGAGCTCGACTTGGCGCTGCATGGGCAGACAGATGAGTCGCTGGGAGACCGGGAGTTTGTGCTCAGTTTCAAGCTTTTGGAACGTATCATGGACGAAGCGACGGAGAAATATCCGAAACAGTCGATGCGATTCTATTTTGAAACTCGAGAAGCAACGGAAGCCAACCCTGCATTCATGTATGTATTTGCGGAACCGATGAGTGAAGAGGCGATTGATCGAATCCAAAATGCTCGAAAACAGAAGAGTGCAGAGTATGAAAAGCGGTTGTACAACCCTCAGTTGACCGAAAGCGAGGTGTCAGGGGCCGGGGTGGGTGAGGAAAAGACCGAGGAGGCGGAAATGAAAGAGCTGGACGAGGCAAAGACCAAGGAGGCCGAAGTCAAAGAGCTGATGGGATGGAAACTGACTGTGCGCAATCTAGTCAACGGACTAGCGGTTCCATATCCCAGGAATATGACGGCGAAAGACACTTGGGATGTTGAGCATAGCCTGGTTCCAATGGATAACAGCAGTGCTCAGCGCCACTATAGGTTGTCCAGAGGAAGGCTGAGAAATGTGATGGAAGCGTTGAACGAAGAACGAGCAAGGTCGGTCTATTATATCAGACGCTTGGTCACCCTCAGCCAGGAAGGAGCCGAGTGGCGACGACTACAAGACGAGTATGAGGCAACGCAAAAGAGGATTCTGCTGTACGGGGGCGGGGACGAGGAGTATTGAACGGTGGAAAGGGCTGCAGTGTACAACAGGGACAAGACAAATCGAGCGTTGTATCATAATTATGAGAGGAAGACTGTAGGATGAATGTGTACAAATTGCACATGTTTGAGCATAGAGCATAGAGTATATGCGAAATAATATTGAAGCTGGTCGAGTTATTATTGAGGATTTCCACCATCTGCGTACTACGAGCACTCTAAGTTACTGCTACTTACTGAGAGGTACCTACCTACCCATGTACCTGGTATACTACTTACTCCGTAGTACTTCTAGGTACCTCCGTACGGAGTATGTTGTCCAGGGGTCCCATGGCGCCTAAATGGCCTCTAGTCAGTGTCAACTTGGAGATGCTCTCCCCATGACATTTGCTCCTGCGTGGTAGTCTTAGGTACAACAAGCTAGATAGACGCCTAGGTCCCCTCCTAAGTACCCGCCTAAGTATCCGCATCGGTACTATATTTACTGAGTTCCTGGGCGGCTGGGCCGAGGGGGCCTCAGCTGCAGGGTTTTCGTTGTCCTTTCGCTTGCGGAGATTTGACCCGAGGGAATGACGAGCGTTCACAGGCTAAAGATGACAGGCCTCGTGGCCGTTAACCGGCACCCTAGGGGTCCCCTAGGGGTCCCTTGGGCGTCTACTCCGTATTCCTAACTTAATAATAATCCAGTCTCGAGTCTTTAATGGCTTCGAGAAGACCAAAGATTACGTAGATCGGCTGACTTCCAAAGTCTATTTTGAGACTGTAACCATATCTCATCATAACTCCACGTTCCACGCCCGGCATTCCCACAGTACCTACCGAGTAGTACCTAGCATTGTACCCTACGGAGTACGGTGCCTACGACTTAAGTAGATAACTCGCCGTGGTCTGTGGTGGCTAAGGTACTCAATCAATCATCCGTAGACAGACCGTGGCCCAGACTCTGTCATTCTTGCACTTTTATTGCAGTTGTTTCTGTGCTGCGCCTTCCATCATCTCAACTGCCAACTACCAACTACCAACGAGTACCTCACAGTTCTCCCACAGAGCTCCCACAGTGCTCTCTCTGCTCTCATCTCAGTACTGTCTCAGTACTCTCCCAGTACTCTCTCAGTACTTGTCAACACCTCTCCTACACCACCTACACCATCTCTACCTTCTCCGTCTCTATCCGCCACCAATTCTCGGGTCTTGATCTGGCCCACCCCTCTTACGAGACCGAGACCAACTCCTCTATCCACCGTCCACTCTGTCCCTCCTCTTTAGCCACCTTTTAGCTTGATCAGCTCTCGTCGGCATCCGACCATCGCCGTCTCCTCGCTCCACACCTTCCCTGGCCCATCATACAGTCTTCCATTTCTTTCGCCGGACTGCCCGATCTTGTCCCACCTGTCGTCCCTAAATAGCTATTCTCTGATACACCTGTCCGCAAACCCCTCTCACAGAAAGCCTTTGCTCTTTCTCACCCTTCACTCTCCTGAGACACGGCCCAAATTTTTCTGCCAGTTCTCAGCTTCATGCAGGCCCGAACCAACAGTCCTCCAGAATCGTGTGAGTGAAGAGGAGGTCGATTTGCGAGACGCAGTGCAAAAGGGCACACAGACGGTGCTCATCTTTGTGAACATGTCCTACCTAGACCCCAGTCGGTCCTTATAACCTCCCTCCCCAAACCCCCATTGCTTTCACTCCACTGCCTCTATATCTGCCGGCGTCAGACTCAACGGCCAACATGGCGGACAAGCGTAGAAGGAAAAGCCTCAGCCTCTTCCGGCCAAAGCTCGATACCTCTCCCGCCCTCCAAATCACCACCAACTCGTCCGAGAAGCGTCTAGACGACGACTCTATTCCTAGCCCGGTTGATGTCGACCAGTCCAGCCCTCGCGTCCGCCCTCGAACCCTCCAAAAGTCCAATCGTACCTCGGTTTTTGGCTCTCTTCGATCCCTGCATTCGCTCGACGAGGAGGACAGGGTCGCGCTGACCCGCTCCGACTCCAAAGCCTCGTCCCTCCATGACGACGAATTGATGATGAAGGGCCTTTTTGGTGAAAGAGTCATTCAGTACGGCGAAGTCCAGGACACTGGCGGCAACGTCTTTCGCAAACGCAACCGTTTCCTCGTCTTGACCGACACCCATTTGATCCGCTTCCGAAGCCAAGCCAAAGCTGTCGAGATGTTTCCCAGCATTCCTAGCGTCGTCACCAGGGGCCATACTGCTCGAAATTCCTCCGTCAGTTCCTACCAAGAGCTTCAACTTGCCGCCTACACCGATATCACCTCAGGTGTTTCTTTGGAACACATCGTCTCGGTGTACAAAATCTTCGATGAAGGCCGCGCCTTGCACTTGATTGAAGTCGCATATACCGATGAACGTACCAGAAAGGCTTCCATCTTGCAGTTTCAGGTCAACGACATTCGGGAGGCTGAGGTCTGGACCGGTGCAATTCGTTCTGCCGCCAGGTCTGCCATCACCTCATCCGGTCAGTCCATCCAGGGTCAGACCCTTGAGTATCTCGCTCGTCTTTTGGAAAAGGATAGAGATTACGATCCTGAACACTTCCATGCCTTCAAAGTCGTGCAAAGATCCCCCACCAAGTCCGGAGTCAGAACGTCTGCAGAAGACTTGACCCGTTTCGGATCCACACTCTGCTATCTGGTCATTGGTCTTCACAATCTACATCTCATCCCAATCAATCGATCGTCGGCAAGATCATCTAGCAGCTCCTTGAACGATGTCGACTCCTCAAGATCCTTTGGCATCGTCACACTGTCGTCAGTCAAGCTTCGTCCCGGAGAGGATGATTTCCAGCTCATCTTCAAGCGGCCCTTGGGTCAGCCGCACATGGTCCAACTAGCCTCTCTCCAAGTCAGCAACATTGCCCTGTTGCTGAGATACTCTTCGGAATACTTGAGACCTGAATGGATCCGTCAGCCCTTCGTTTTCGACGTGCCTCCCGAGCTCGACGACAAGATGGATCCCCCAGATTATCCCGAAGAAGACCACAATTGCTTTGATCGAACCTTGATCGCCTACTGTGCAGGCTATGGCGTCGACACATCTCGAATATGCTACTCTGTCGACTATCATTGTGAAGATGCCCCTTGCTTTCAACTGCTCCCACCGTCCGACCGAAAGACGTACACCGCACTCGAGCTGCTCGCTGTCTTCCGAGCGCTCCGATACAATGAATCATTCAGCTCCATCTCATTCGCACGCATCGACCTGACCCCGCTCCGGAACCTTTATGACCCCTATGGAACTGACCAAGACAGCCTCTACTCTCGATCAGGCCACTCCACCAACATCGCTGGCCACCAAGATCTTCCCGTCCTGTCGCAAGAGATTCGTGGCCTAGCCCTGAAGAGCCGACGACTAAGGCGCTTTGATTTCTCTTACTCGATCCCCAGCAGGGCTACCGTCGACGATTCGCCGGCTATCGACTGTGGGATTCCCGAGGCGCTGGCGCCTTTGTGCAAGCGGAGCTTGACTAACGTGGACTGGATCATTCTGACGGGGGTACGACTTGCCGATTCTGACCTCAACTATCTCGTTGACGCTGCTTCGGAACGAATCTGCCATTTCCGAGCTCTCGAGATTGGAGATTGTGGGCTATCGATCCACGACGTGGACGTCTTACTCTCGGCACTGGCTTGTCAAGACACCACTATGGAAGTGATCAACATCTCAGGGGCCTTGGGACGATTTAGCCCCGAGTTGTTCCAACGAGAGTTGGGAGCCTTCTCACGGATACGCCGTCTCAACCTCACCCGGGTGCAAAAGACTGCAGGGCCGGAGCCTCTGATTGCGCCCGACGCCCTTCATGCCTGGAGGTTGGAGGAGCTTCATCTCTCACAAACGACCTTGAACGAACAGACGGTGGATTCGGTTTCGACATATCTTGGCTGCCCAAAGTCGGAGATTCTGCGAGATTTGCAGATAAACCAATGCGGGTTGACAGGCCGTGATCTGGCGACCTTTTTTCTCTCCATGAACGAGGACGGCGAGCCGGCAAGAGTGATGCATGTGAGTGCCAACGAGAATCGACTCAAGATCGGCAGCACGGCGCTGTTCCAGGCCATCGGTCACAGCCGTGGGCCCACGTCGTTGAGTATGCGCATGATGGACTTTGAGAAGGAGAGTCATTTTCGTGAGTTGATCCGAGCCTTGACCTCGAACACCAGTTTGAGAAGCCTGGATATCTCTCGTGCGTCGCTGCCGTACGACGCCTCGATTGAAACTTGCGAAGCGCTCAAAGAGATGTTTGCGACGAATCAAACCCTGGAAGAGCTAGACATCAGTGGCGAACAGGCACATTTAGACGCGACTCGGTTTGGAATCGGGCTCAACATAGCATTACGCGGGTTGGAGAACAACAAGACGCTGAGGCTTCTGCGCATTGAGCATCAGCTATTGGGTTTGCAGGGAGCCAACACTTTGGCTGAAGTGCTTCGAAAGAATAACGCACTATTGGAGATTCACTGTGAGCACAACGACATCAATCTGCAAAGCTTCACGGTGCTTGTCGATGCCCTGGAACACAACACAACTCTCCTCTATATGCCGACTCTCAACCATGACCGAGCCAAATTCATGGACAAGATTCGACGGGAGCTCGAGGCAGTGGATCGGGTGGAAAGTCCCAAGCCCAACAAAAGTGGCAACACGCTGAAGAAGACATTTGGTGGAGGATTGAGCAGTCGATCGCATCGACATAGCCACAGTCACAGCAGCTCGATCTCATCCAACACGTCCTTCACCGACCAGGATGTCACGGCGGTGATTGCAACACTAGAAGAGAAATGGAACGCACAAGAGACACGCATGCAAAAGTATCTTTATCGAAACTACTGTCTGGCGCAAGGAGAGATGTGGGAGGACGATGGCACTGGCGAGCACGGTGACCCCAAGTCCAGCGCGGCTGGAGATTCGATGGCTCAAATCCTGCAAAAGGTCAGACTCAACCGAACACCGACAGTTGATAACCCGTCGATTGCGGACTATCTGGATGAGAAACTCGGGATTAAGAAGAGTCTTGTTTTCCCTATGCCGGAGGATTGATGGCACAACAAAGAAAGCATTTTCCAGTTGGATCATGGTTGTTTTTGGACGACATGTTGGACTAATATCTCCTTTTTTAACGCATGCTTGCAGGACAAGCCTGAATTGTATCTACCTAGACATGATTGGCATGATTGGTGCGATCCTTGGTCTGAAACCGGTTGGGTGACAAGGTATGACGAGGTTGCTGACGATGCATATGGCGGTCTCTGGATTATGAGTTTAACGGTATTTGAGTGCGGTTTGGAAACATAAGCACGACAGACGGTAAACGGGATGGGCATTTTTATTGACAATTAGTCGGACATGGTCGTAAAGTAATATTCTGACTTGCTGAGATGATGAGCTCTCTTGAACTAGTTGATCTTGTGTTTCGGTGGTACATGGTCACCTAAAAGTCATAGGCGCACCTAACACCTACTAGCTTCTACGGAGTAGGTACTTAGGATTATGCTGGATGCCTAGAAGGGTTGACACGATAGGTGGGTCCTTAGGCGTCCAACAAAGTTAATAGGCGATAGGAAAGGCCCGAGGGACCTCGAGCCGAGAGGCTTCATCGCCCAGACTCTCAGGTCAGTCGACGTATGGCCAACAGGCTGCAGCTATGGGATCGTGGCTGTGCAAGTTCCACGTACGAGTATGGAGTCCCTCGTATGCATTGTGCATTGTGCATGCGCATACGAGAGATGCGAGCATGAGTAATATGGTTAAGCCCTCGGGCACGGACTCGACAAGCCATACTGATCATCGACCCTTGAAAATTCCCTAGCGGCATCTGGTTCTAGGCATTCTCTACCTACGGTAGGTACCCAATTGAATGCCTAGAACAACCGAAGCACTAGGGCTTCTTGGGCAAATTACACATGTTGTCCCGGGCATTTTCTGCACTCGACTATTTGTGTTCTAGGTGCCCATGGTCCCCATGGTCCCCATAGTCTCCTCTAAAAGCTTGAATTTAATTGAAAGCAGTCTTATTGCCCGCACCACCTTTGACCAGTTTCATCCATTCCATCACATCATCACACCTCATCACCATCCAAACACTCTCCCCGTTTCTCCCTCACAATCATTTTCCCCCTCGGCAATTTCTCATTCTGTGTTCGTCTCACTGCTCTCAGAGAAAACAGATCAGTATCGCTCTTTCACAACTCTGTCCCTTCCTTACCCGGCCTCTCTCTTCGCCGATCCCGTGCCTGAATTTGTCTTTTCCGTGGAAACATTCCCACTCTCCTTAATTTCCAGCAACCCGCTCTTTCCACCCACCAGTTGCCTCGACGTTGCCGCTGAGATGGCCAAAACCATTTGACGAGACCAATGTGAACCTCGAAAACACCATATTTTCTCTATATCGAAGCCGATCGAAGTCATTCCCCAGGATTTCCTCCTCGCCTCGAGAATCCTGTTGCCTACCATGCGACGCAGCTTGTTGATTTTCCTGCTCGTCGCCATCCTCCTCCTCACCTTCATCCTCAACTCTCTGTCGACGCTCTTATCCCTCCTCGTCGAAGATGCCTCTGCCGACGCCATTCACCGGTCAGAGTTACCAGCTCCAAACTCCACCCTCATCGACACTCGTCCACTGTTGATCCCCAAAATCATACACCAAACATACAAGAACGAAACCATTCCAGAACGCTGGAGGGCGGCCCAGCAATCATGCATCGACCTACACCCCGATTACGAGTACAAGATGTGGACGGACGCCACGTCGCTTGATTTCATTCAACAGGAATATCCCTGGTTCATACCCACTTTTGTCGGCTACAAACACAACATTCAACGCGCCGACGCCATTCGCTACTTTGTCCTGGCTCATTATGGAGGTGTCTATATCGATCTGGACGATGGGTGTCTGCGGCGTCTCGATCCTCTGTTGTCCTACCATGCATTCTTGCGCCGGACAATCCCCACTGGCATCAGCAACGACGCCATGGGTGCTGTGCCTCAACATCCATTCTTCCTACGCGTCATTGAATCCCTCCAAGCCGCAGATCGCTCCTGGGTCTTACCCTACATCACCATCATGGCTTCCACAGGTCCCTTGTTCCTGTCCGTCATGTGGAAGAAATGGATGGGAGAGCATTCCCACATGGATCCCGGCACCTGGGTCGGTCGCGTCCGCGTCCTCATGCCATCTGAATATAACAACTATCCCTGGAGCTTCTTCCAAAAATTCAAGGGCGACTCATGGCACGGCAAGGACGCGAAACTGATTTTCTGGATGGGCAAGAACTGGTTCCTTCTGGTCCTTGTCGGAACCGTGATTGTCCTGACCGTGGGATTCTTGTGTTACTGTGTTTACTCCAGGCTGGTTGCGGTGGCCGCCCGTCGGAGAAATGGTGGTGTTTCTTTGGCACCTAGCCCTAGAATCAACGCTCTCAAGGGTTCGGTTGCCAGTCGCATCCCGCTGTGGGGGTTGTGGTCTGGAAATAAGGGTTCAAGCTATGAATTGATTGAACAGCATGATGCATGATCGAGCATCCAGTCTCAGGTCTGAATCTGTTGTATCATTTGATACAACTATTGGGGTTATTGGAAACTGTTCCACCATCAGGACAAACCTTTGTTTGGTTGTTTGATTTTTGGAGCGATGGCGTTTCGGCAAGCATGCCTTGAAAGGCATTACTTGAATGCATTCTTGAAAATGCCCATTGACACGGGCAACATTGTCCACCCTACTTATTGCATAGGCAACACAACTGGCTCATCATCCATCGAGTCTATATCATACACTCATAGAATAATCTTAATACTTGACATGATATCAAATTTCTTGGTGCTTGATCTCAAAGGGACTTGTTGCTCTGCTTTTGAAACGACTTGCTCATAGTTTCTCCGTCCTCGTTCACATGCTTGAGTCTCCTTTGAATGACCTGGTTCAAGAGGCACCATATCCAAAGCGTGGTGCTCTCTCCAAGGGATTCAATTTTCGGGTCTTATTCGTGCCAACCCATTCCTCGCATGCATGGCGTTATTTCCGGGCCATGGTAATGACCCTTCGATCCGCCCTATGACGGCTCGACCACCTCGCGGGTAAATCCATACAGGGGCTTGATTCCGTAACAGGTGACGATGGGAGTTGTATACCTGCGACAATGTCCGTGGTCAAGCAAGACCTTCCCATCTAATATGCACATTGGCAATCATGATCGCCAGGCACTTCTACCTGACGCATAGCGGCTTCAACCCCTCTCAGTTTCGCCTGGTCAGACAGACATGATGATTAATTATCTCGTCGAACTGAAACCCCATTCAAGAGCTTCATTCTGACGGTTTCTCCTCTCCATCTGGTGCCTTGTTATATGTCTTATATCTCTGATCGGCAATGGCACGAATTTCAGCCTCTTCACTCCACACGCGACGACTCCGATCTAGAGCCCGGTTCCTCCTCCTCACACTGTCGTTGAACTCGGTCACCCGTTTCTCCGCGAAGATGCAGCCGCCTAACGTCATGGCGCTAATTTGAATAAACACTTTGAATTGGATCGTTAGACCGCGGTAGACTGGATGGCCCGGCTTATAATTGAGTAATAAATGGGTGATCATTGAAATGGTACCAAATCGCAGTACTCCCGAGGCAAACCCTTGTCCTGCAATGGTGTTGAGTGCCGCAGGTGGTGCAATGTCTTTGACTTCTGACGGAGGAGGCATTTTCGACAGATGGCCCTGCGGAGATATAACCAAGTAGGATATGATGGTTTGGTATTGATTGAGAACTTTCCCTCTTTTTGGGTTGTAGGGAAGGAGGAGTAGGAGCTTTCGCCTAAGGTGGTGTGGAAATGTCTCGTGTGACCAAAAGCTTTCGGGGATTGCAACGACCTAAGATCGGCGAACTTGAGGGGCCAGCATGCGTCGAGTCTCTTGGAGTAAGTAGATGCAGACCTTTGGAATGTAAGGATCAAGTCAGAATCGTGCCAGAATCTCAGTTCTCAAGGATAGACCTGGAGATTCGGATGTCGAGGAATAGACCTCAACCTACTCGTACTCCGTATATTGCTCCTCTCCACTGTGGTGTGAAGTCTCACAACCAGCGCAGTCAATGACGTTGGATGATTTGGCAGTTAAGGAAGGAGCAAGCCTTGCTGCTTCTCCAATTTTTCTCAGGCAGGCGCAACGCCCTGAAGGCCTAAGTGAGGAGATCCCCCACCTTCCACGAGGCTGTACGAACTCCCTAAGTATGGAGTACTGTTGGTACTCGGTAAATCTCCGGGCATACATATTTTCCACCGTATCGAAAATCCTCAGGCGTGGATATCGCTTTTCACGACATGGTTCTTTTGGGCAATTATTATACCAAAATCGAACCTGTCTTTCGTCTTTCGCTAGCATTAGAAAACCTATAATACCCCATCAGAGACACTGCAATGGCGCCCAAACCGCCCACAAAGGGCAAATCAAAACTTCCTACTTCGCGCAAATCCTCTACTACTTCCTCCAAATCTTCCAGACCGTCGTCCTCCTCCTCGTCAAAGTCCAAGCCAGTTCACCGTCCGACCAAACAAGTCAAAACAAAACCTGCCTCGGCTACTCTATCCTCATCGGCACTCTCCAACACAAAGAAGAAGAAACAACGCGTCTACACCGACAAAGAACTCGATCTGCCAAAACTCAATATGATTACTCCCGCCGGCGTCACCAAACCTGCCCGGGGAAAGAAGAAGGGCAAGGTCTTTGTCGATGATCATGAGAGTATGATGACAATCCTAGCATTGGTCAATGCTCAGAAGGAGGGTCAGATTGAGAGTAAAATGATGAGAGAAAGAAAGTTGGAAGAAATCCGGGAGGCTCGAAGAATCGAAGCTGAGAAGAGGAGTCAAGGCAAGAGAGAGATTCTCGAGGGAAAGATGAAGGAAGTGAAAAAGGGTAAAAAGCCCAAAGGCGATCGGACCGGTGACGTGCAGAAAGCCGCTGCAGCCCAAGAGGAGAGAGGAGAGAAGTCAAAGTCAAAGAGCAAGAAAAGAGTGTCGTTTGTTTGAGTTTCATGCTCTATCTCTCGACGTTCTCTATCTGCTGCAGGTGGTTGTCCAAAATCAACGACAACTACAAGTCTTGCCCAAGGATGTTGCGTCCTACTCAAGTCGGAACACCCATCTTTCGTCGCAGGGGTTCAAAGACTGGCTTCAACGGCTTCCGCCCTTCACGAGATATTACGCCCTGGACATCAAGCCTCTCGAAGCCCGCAGGCGTGGTAAAGGACTCGAGATCGATGTCATTGGCGAGCCTTTGGAAATATGCCGTTGTCTGGATCAATCAGTCAGCCAATCAACAGAGTCGTCAAGAGTGGGATTCAATGGGCATCTTCTCACCACTTTGGCAAACCACCTCCCACCACCCAGTTCAAACCAGCCCAGGTGACCTCCTGTTGCCGTGGTACACAGGACCCCATACGGCGTCACAGCGACCTCCTCTCGAGGAAGTGCTTCAGAGGCCGTGACCTTGATCCCGTCAGCACTCATCCCACGTTGTGTGGGAAATTGTGTTCAACTCACCGGATCGTCCTCCGCATGCAAGGCCATAAAGGGGATCTTAATGGCCAGGGCGGTATCAAGCGACGACGCGTCTCGGTAATAGGCTCCTTCTGTGGGATAGCCCCAAGTTGGGCCTTGCACATACCTGATCGAGTTAGAACGACCGTCTGCAGGGATACGAGGGACTTACCGGTCAAACTCGTAGAGATGTTCACAACTCCTGATCAGATCGACATTGATTTTGGGATTCTTAGAGACTTGATCGACATGACTAGAGCCACAAGATTAGCATGAGACAACGAGGAGTATGGTGGTGCACTGACAGCTCAAAAAGAGCCCTCATGCTTTTGCCCAGCTGTTTAGAATACACATTTCTCCTGAACCATGTTCGCTGTAGAGCCAGATTACCGGCATGGAGATCCCAGGGACTCGACATGATGAAAGCTGCTTTGAAGACACAATTGTCGCCTTCTTCGGCAATATACTGAAGGTAGCAATCATAATTAGCAAAAGACTCCCAAGTTTGAGCAAACCGCCTACATTGGTCAGAATGTTCGCGCCGAGTGAGAATCCAATGCCAAACAATGGTCGGTTTGGATATGTCTTCTTCAACCATTTCACTGTCTGCCGGATATCCCATGTAGCTCTGGCATTATAAAGAATACTAGTGGTGATCTTGCTGTTCGAACAACCTCTAGAATTAACCACACACGCCTCCCATCCGCCAGCACCGACCAGAGGCTGCAGCACGTGTCGAATATAGATCTCGTGAGAACCACCCTTCAGTCCGTGCAGCATAACTAGCATTGGACGGCGATCCAGAGAGCCAATCTGGTCGAACTCATCGTCCGTGAAGTAGCTGGTTCGAGGAGGCAGCTCTGGATCTGACAAAGAATTGGGTGCTGTGACAAAGTCGACGGTGAATTGCCCCGTGTACGTCGGATCCTCGTTCTCAAATATCTTCCGCTTGTAGAAGATTGGGATATCGTCGCCTTTGAGCACTGTCCAGATGGTTTGAAGATGTCCATTGAATAGAAAAGGACTCAGCCGACACTGTGGCACGACTGACTTGCAAAAGTCGGCAAACGAGGTCGAAGAGCCCGACTTGGTCCGCACCTGAAGCGTCTCTGGAGAATGATAGTACTTGGTCTGGGCATATCCCAGCAGTCGACCTGGTGACATTGTCAAGGTCGCAATGATCGTCGCCGACACCACAGCTGCAACAACAGGATAGGCCTCGGCTTGGTCAAGGATGAAGCGGATGCTATCTGAAGCCATGTTGTTTCATATTCAGGTCCAGACAGTGACTAATCAAAAAGCTCTCAAACGATAGACAACGGATGCTCCGGGCACACAGGTCAACATGGGCCAGATCTCTCTCGGATCGATACTGAAGAGTCCTCGTCAAAGGTGCAACAGCCCTAAAGTAGTACTGACGAAGCTCAACCACTGAGCAAGCTGCAAGGACCACTGGCGATGCGCTTATAGGCGGTTTTGGACCAATGAAGCCCCTAGAAAAGCCCGGACCGGACCGAGCTATTTGCACGGCGGCGCATCTTGGAGTTTCGCGCCTGGAACCTTTTTCAAACCACGTTCAACTTGACAATCCAGGAGTGAGAGTGTCAAGGAAGGCGAAGACACCGCACGCAAGGTGTTGCATCATCCTTATGGCATGTCAGCAAGTTTGATGGGATTGCGGCCTGCGAACAACAATGGTACTTGGAATTAGCCGTTGGCGCAACATCGGGTTTCTGCATAAAGCCATTCTGAAATCACTCACAGCAAAGACATCACCTTTTGGAGCACGTGTGTTGGGAATCCAAGGAGGAAAGGTCAGATTGTGATTCAGTCATCTCTTTATCAATGATTGAGGGTCAACGCGTCTTTTACTCAACGGCAGGCACCATCACAAGATTCCAGCAGCGGGAAACAGGGCAGGAGTGACCAAGGTTGTGGTTGACACGCGTGCCTTCCCAAACTTCAACATGCCTCCCAATTTTGATTTTGCAATGAATTTGGACATGGATCCTGAACTGCGCGACTTTTACTATAATAACAACAATAATCAGAACAACAACGCCTCCTTTTCGCAACCAAACCTGCAATACCATCCTCAAGGTCACCTAGGACATTCTCAACCTCACCATCACCCTCATCATCAGATCCAGGCCCAGGCCCAGCCTCAGCCTCAGGCTCGGCCACCCTCTCAGCCTCGACCTCAACCATCTCCTCAATACTATTCCCATCAACCTTCTCAGGCTATTATTGCTCCACAGGCTTCACAGCCTTATCTTTCATCTGGTGAAAACCAGTTGCCCTTCCAATATCTACCACAATTTCAACCACAGCCCCGGAATCAACCTCAACAACAGGAGTATCAATTCCATCCACAGGCATATCCTCAACAACCCACACAGAACCTAAATTATCCCTCTTATTATCAAGCCAGCCCTCCAAAATACCAAGCTGATTTCAATCAATACTCCCAACCCGTCCTACACCAGCAGCAAGCCCCCAGGCCAAATCCAGTCCAGCAACATCACCAGCACAACCTCCATCAACCCCAACATCAACCTCAACCGCAGCCATACCTACAAACACATTCTGCTCAGCCACAACCCTTTTCCCAATCGCAAACGCCTACAACCCAATATCAAACACGGCCCACGCATCCTCCACAACAGCCAAAACGCCCTTCTCCTCAGTTCGGTCATCAACCGCCTAGGCAGCCTTCCCCAAATGTAACCCGTCATCCACCTCCTCAGTCTTCACCTCGAGTGAAACAAGATACAACCCATCAACCCCAAAAGACCGTTCGACCCCCTCCCCCTCCTTCTCCTTTGCCAAAGCACAATCAAAGTTCCCCTTTACCAATGTTAGGTAACACAATCGAGGTCGTTATCCCGTCTCATCAACAAATCTCATCACAAGCCAATCAAAGGTCATCCGCGCAAGCACCACCTGCGACCCCTCAGCCTCCGAAATCTTCGTCTCAGCAGTCGTCAGATTCTACTAAACCGCCACAGACCATTTCCCAGCCTTCTGACTCCATTCGTGGACAGAATGCTGCCCAACATCAGCCGGTTAATGGGTCACATCTCCAACCCTCCAACAACCAACACCCTCAAACCGTCTCAATGAGCCAATTGGAGAAAAAGCCCTCGCTTCCGATCGCTTCGACGTCAAAGCCCCAACACATCATGATCCCAACACCAAAGCCACTGCCTCGAATCCTACAGTCCGTTGAGATCAAATCCAGGCCAAAATCACCAACGATCAAGGAGCCACCACCCGGAGATTCTCCCGCGCCCGAGTGGCCAGAACCTGACTATAAGACGGCGTTGATGTACGTTGCTGATGATCTTCTCGATTCTGCTCGGACTCAACCTGGTAACAATCCACAATACTATGACAAGATTGCTGCTGTCATTACATGCCTCCAGGCCCTGCTTACCAAAACCAAGCTACAACCTCTGGAACTAGTGCAGGTTTCATTACACTACTCCCAAGTTCTTTACGATGAGACTGAGAATTACGATGACGCTGAAACACAGTTGGTGAAAGCAATCGAGATTGCGGGACGCCATAAGCTGATTGACCACAAATACGAGATGCAACTGTTACTTTCCAAAGTTCTCTATGAATCAAAACCCAAGGCTGCTATGAGAGAAATTCAGAGGATCATCGAGGACATTGAGGCTTACCACCACACCGCCTGGTTGTACGTTTTCCGGTGGCAGCATGCCATCTTCGCTTCCATGTCTTCTCCGATTGGAGAACTTCACGGCGCTGTATCTCAAGTCCAGAAGATGGCGTCTCTCGCCAAGAGACATTCGGACTCTGCAGTCATGGCCCTAGCCAGTGTGATGGAAGCCCAGTTTCATCTGTCGAGCTCCAGTCATGATTCAATCACCAACGCACAAAATGCTTTGGCAACTGCACGCTCCATGCAGCTGGATGTTTCCATCAAAGACATTCCACAGCTCACGCTCCTCGTGGCTTTGATTGATCTTGCATGCAGTCTGCATGAATTTCAAGTCGTGGAGGCTGACAGAAAGAGCAAGGAGATCAAAGAACTCTTTTACGAATGTAAAGCTCATGAAAATTGGCGGAATGATAATTACATCTACCTGCCAGTGTCCCAAGAGTCAATTGCAGGCACCACGACCCAGACTAGCAGGCATCTTGTCGAGAGAAAAGGAAAATACTACCTAAAATTCGAATGGCTTGGAAAATCAGAGGTGGAGGTTCTCATCTATTTACTATGCGCAAACAGTGTCGCCCATCGAAATTCTGTCAATGGAGAGAAGGCTGAGGGTTATGCACAAGGTGGACTCGATCTCCTACGTGCTTTGCAAGAGCGCAATCTTGCGGGCCCGTACGTACAGATCCAACACATCCAAATCAGGCATCGATTATTGGAGGCACATCTCTTGTTCACCTTGAGTTTCTTGATGGCATCTAAAGGCAGCTGGGAGGCAACCTGGAAATATCTGTCACAGATCACCGCCATCTTGGACGAATTGAAAGACGACTTTCCCATCAACATGAGAGTTTGTCTAGCGTACTTGAAAGGATCAACTCTACAGGGACTAGGCAAGTTGAGTGCCGCTATGGAAACTTACCAGTCGCCAGAACTTCAGTTCAAGCCACAGCAATCATCTCCATCTTTGCACGCAACATCTTCAAGACATCAATCTCGACCTAGTCATACTGAATCCGACATTACCCGATGTTTCACCCTTCTTGCCGCTATGAATTCCGCTTTCATAATGCAGGATCCCAATCATCCCCAAAACAGCCAAGTTCCTTCTCTGATCCATGGTCTCCAGCCGGCCGTCGAAAACTGTGGAAACAAAGCCATTCGGGCGTACTACGAGTTGGTGATATCGGCTTTGGTACATAAATCCATCCAAGTCAAACATCATCTCCGAGCATCTCTGGACGCCGGAAAAGAAATCGGCAGTCTGCAGATCACGACGCTGGCCTTGATTTGTATGCAAGACCGAGCATTCAAAGGCCAGGTTGAGGAGCGGGCGGTGAAGTGCGCGCGGGCAGCCGGGTCTCAAGCCAAGTCCTGGAAGGAACCACTATGGACTCACGTGGCCCTAGGGTATGAGGCAGACAGTCTGGAAATCAATGGTTTCGCAAAGACGGCGGTCCAGCGACGGGAGGAATCTGAGCAAGCGTGGGATAGACTCCCGGAGGATGTGAAAAGGATCAAACGAAGTGTTGATGTTTGAACCGTGAAATTTGGTCAGTGCATTGTTTGCGGAGCAGGATACTCAGGGAGTGAGCGTGTCAAAAGATTTCCATCAAGACAATGATGAATGATCATTTGTACTCTAGCTGGATTGGTGACAAATATGACTGGCAATTGAGCCAAGTGTAACTGTCTTGAAGACTACCAGACAAAACAATTGGACGAAAAGATTCAGGGCTAAGAATATTACCTTGGTATGTAGAATATGATTTGGAAGACAGGCCCGCCTATTCCGGAAACGCTTGATGGACATCATCTTGATCAGGAATGATGTATCGACTATAAGTGCTAGACACAAAGATGGGATGAAGTTGAGAGGGAGAGAGGATGAATAGCATCACGTGATGATAACGATAAGCTCGCCTCCTCCACATGGACGCTTTTGAAGGATATCATTTTGCTCTCCATTTGTCTGGCATACTCTCTCGCTACATCGATCAACAAATCTGCGGAACTGCTCCCGGAGGTTTGAAGTGTTTTGAATATTGTTCAGATCAACCAGAGTGCGCTTTGTCAAGATCAGACACTTTGTCGCCAATCGATATTCCTCCTTGAGCCAGCGCAACGTCGATTTTCGGCGCCTTACAATCATCCAGGCCTAAACTGTCGCTTCGCATCCTCCCCCCTCGACCGTCCCTTGTCAAGATGTCGTCCAACGTCGGTCTCAGCACACCGCGAGGCAGTGGCACCTCTGGCTATGTGCAGCGCAACCTATCACTCCTAAAGCCACGAGATGTCGGCGTCGGCGCACCCTACTCGATGGCAGACCGTGACCGTGCACCAGTGCAGCGGAAACCCGACGAACAGATCCTGCAGCATGATCGATTGCGCGAGATCGAAGTCAAAGTATTGGAATATCGCGACAAGGTGGAAGAGGAGAACGAAGACGAAGGCGTGGACACAGGTAACGGCAAACGGGAGAAACTGACAGAGGAAGACTTGGATGAATTGGTGGACAAAAAGAGAGCCGAGCTGATTGCCGATATGGAACGGGCGGATAAGAGAGGTGGTAGAGGTGGTCGTGACAGACCCGGTGGCAATGCCACGGGTAAAAATCTTAAGAAATACCAGGTGCATGAACTGGCAGAGGCAAAGGAGAAGGAAAGTGAGAAGTTGAGACGAGCTTTGGGTCTCAAGGGTGACCAGCTGGGTGAAGATGGTCTACATCCTATGGCGAGACAGGAGGAGAGAAAGAGAAGAGATCGAGAAAAGGCGGCTGAACTTGAACAACAAGCGGATCACGACGATGATGGAACATGATTCGTTACGCCCTGACGAACCGAAATGTTCCTGGGCAAAGGCTCAATCTATGTCAAAAGCACAGGGCTAGGGCCTGGCTGCAGAAGGAAATACCCTCGAGATGGATAAAGACCTTTAACCTGCACAAAGTGTAGTCCAGGACACTGGACAAAGGGCGATTCATCGATGTACCTCTGTCGCATGTCGGCAAAGAAGGTACCCTTGATTACATGCTGGAATCATGGACACCCACAGATGATCGAGCGAGCGAGCTCACGTCAGTCCCAAGCAGCATGTCACAAACCATTCGGAGCTTTGGAGGCTTGATATCGGTGGGCCCCAGACAAAGTCATGTTGCTCCTTATGCCGCGTCACCTCTTGGTCTTAGAACGGCTGTTCCAGATGAGGGAGATGGAGGCTTGTCTATTGGAGGAATTGCATGCATCAAATCCTCGCACCGAGGCAAGGCAAAGCGAAAAGCACGATGATGATCATGGTCTCGATGTGGTTGTTCGTCATTCATACATTCATTAGGGGTCACTGCTGACTCGAGCATCTATGATATAATATGAGAAGTGTGGGAAAGCTGGGTTATGTCAGCTTGCAAAAGAGCTGATATAATACTATCCACAAATGCCAATGTCAGTGATGTTTTCTTGTTTTGTCCGGTTCGGTAACTTACCGTTAGACATGATTCATCCTCACTCCCGTCATCATCATTTGGGAGATAGACGTAGAGAACAAGACCGCCTTCGTTGATGAAACAGGCAATAACTCTCGCACTCACCCTGCCCACACTCAAAACCCTGGACCAGTCTTTGGCATCAATGCGAACCTTGGACCAGCCCGCTTCGTTTTCGCCATTAGGGCCACCCAGCTCTTTCATTCGAGTACTCGGGTGGTTCCTAACGCCTTCTTCGCCATCTTCGAACTGGTCAGGGTTCAGTTCTGGGTTGGACAGGCCGGTCCAGCGACTCGTGATGTTGAGAGCATCGGTCTTGACTGATATCTTGAGCGAGCCGTGCATATTGGCGCTAAGTTCCAAGCGAGGGCCGGCGTTGGCGGAGCTCTTGGACGTCGCCAGTGCTAGGCGGGTAAATCGATCCGATATCGTCTTGATTTGTGCCAGAGGAGGTAGACAAATGTTGACGTCCGGTTCTGGGGTCCTGGGCTGATGGATCCGCTCCACCACTTCCATCGACAGTACTTTGACGGGGATGTCTTGTGTTATGATCGTTTCCCTCTCCCTCGCTGTATTGCGGCTTTCGTACGCTGCAGACACATCGTGGTCAGGGTCGAGGTCAAAGTCGCCTAGGTCGTCAACCTCTCTAGAAGGAAGGGCTACAACGTTGTTTCCGCTGCTGAAAGTATTTGTGACAATGGTCAAGGACAGCATGGGAACATTGTCCTTTTTGGTCAGCCGCAGTTGGGTGGATGTGGCGCCATATGCCGATCGGAGGGCTCGTGATAGGGCTTGAATAGGAACCTCGAGGTTGATGGTGTTTCTTTCGGCAGCAGCTTGGATGATGTATGTGTCAAACACAGTCTCAATCCTCAAGACGGACCACACTTGACTACCCCGGTCGGGGACAATGGTGAACTGGACATCGTCGTCATTGAGACGACACCAGGCGATTTGACCGAGGGATGCTAGAGAGGCGCAGAACTCTGTTGATGTGTCAGTTTGGTTTGGGGATATGATGGTGTTTCATGGTGCTTTGTGTACTTGCAAAAAGGTTTACATTCTTGATTTGACCTTTGAAGCGCATTGCCTTGGTAAGAGGAGTGGAGTGGAAGGGATGAGATGCGAGATCATCCCGTTCGGTTGAGTCGCGTACACGATCTGAAGTAAATAGTTGCACGGTTTGTCTTTGTCCAATACGAGGGTTGGTAGTTATTAGTCGTTAGAAGTGGTTAGTTGCGTTGCTTAGGCGGGGATCAGGCTGAACTTCCAGGCAAGCCTAACTTTTCGCAATTATGGGGTTGTGGCGGGGTCCGAGGTGCCTAGAAGGTTCGTCTCAAGCGAAGGTGGTACCCAAGTAGTGGAGACACGCCGTCCAAATCTTACGTGAATCAGCGCCCAAAACTTTGTGTAGCCCTGGACTTCTCCTGAGTCTTTTCTAGGCGTAACAGTGATGGTGTATTTGGTGTGCTGTTGTGGCTATCCAGGGGCAAAGACGCCTGTGAGGATGTTCGGTACCAGCCTAACCTACTCGCACTCCCCCCGTCGACCTCGTGCACCCCCTGAACGGCACAAGCACGGCAAGCCATCATCATCTCATCTCAGATCCCTTGCACCCTTCGTACTGTCTCGTAGTCACGCGTCGTCGTCTTCCAATCAACGCGTCCTCGTATTTTGCTGATCCCTGAAGAATCAACCTTGGATCTTGTCTGTCCAAAAGTTGGTTCCAACAGTGGATCAAAGTGCCACAGTTTCTGGTATCTCGAGCACCACTTCCCTTGCCTGGTGTCCAGTTACTGGCATGAACCCATGCTCCCCGTCGTTGCTGCATTTCGTGATCATCCCGCACGCGTCTTCCGAGTCTTGACGTCGCCGCTCCATCCAGGTAGGCACTAAGCAGTCGCTGTAGTACTCACTACACACACCTACGACAACCACTACTCCGTAAGTACACAACTATATACATCTCCTACTACTCACTTCTCACCTCTTTTCTCATCAGTTCCACCTCGTCTCCACAACTCTGACACGTCTTTCACCTATTGCTGCTTGGGCCTCCTATTACTCCATCCATCTTCACAATCCACATCCTGCATTTGTATATTTGCAACTCCTCGAAAAGCCTCTGACTGGTGCCCAACTTTGGCCAAATCCATTTCCAGATCTTCTCCTTCGGCATGACCACCACTTCAAGTCTACCAAGTTGAATGCTAGCCAACTACTGCATACCTCTGACCGTCAGATTCAGCATGTTGTTCTCAGCTACCAATACTCGATCGGCAGAATTGGTACCACATCAGTCTCGACTCATCCCCCCGACCTAATTGATCCAACACTAAAACAGTCGGTGTGCTTCAATGGCGACTCTTACTACTCCCACCAAACCCCAATTCCCACGCCTCGATCCTCTCCTAGACGAAAGGTCCCCATCAAAATCCCCTCGTCGAAAGGCCCAATTCGCCGTCCGAGAACTCGATCCTTTGTTGGCAAATTTATCTCCCCATTCCACGTTGAGAGCCCTTCAAGCCACAGACACCATCCCCGGAGGTGTGGCCACCCAAGATGCACTCACAACCAGCATCATTGACGCTACTCCGGCAGAAAGAGAGATTGGCATAAGAGCAGCTTTTGCCGCACAAAAACTGAGGGAATGGCTGGACGAAGTGTCAAAATGGAATTGGCCCGCCAGAAGAGATCGAGCCTTTGGCTTAGGCTTTCTTCCACCGCCCGTGCCCATCACCAGACAGCCATCCTATATTGGATCCCTGACATCAGAACAAGTCACTCAATATGAAATCAGATTTGAAGAAATTAGAGATGACCTGGACAGTCTAGATATTGACGACATCAAAGACCATGTCTTGGCGGCTCATGTTCCCTCCAAAAAGTCAGACAACACCCTCAAGACCTCTGGCCGCAAAAGTTATGGGAGGATGCGGGATTTCACAGCGTTGATCACTGCCACCGTCATACAGGCCCTGCCTGATCTCGCCAAATTGAATATACTCCTTGACCAGTGGGATGTTCGACTACGAGTTCTGAGGAGTCTGCCCAAGTTTCGTGCCCTCCTCGACTCAGTTCAACAAGACATCAAGACCTCTTTCCAAGAGATCAGATCAACAGAGCAGCTCACCACTATAACAGACGAATTCGTCGAATCCAAGAAGTCGGTCCTTGGAGAGCATGTCTCAGATTTGGGACGGAGGGCCGATAGATTTCTCGACATCTTGGAAGGTCATGAAGATTCTCTGCCGCAGGTTTGGATTGACACGCTCGAAAAGATCGAACTAGATTATGCGACATGGGTAGTCGAGGCTCATCGAGTCGCCTTGAGAAACAAATTGGCCTCCGGTAACTCCAGAACCATCCCAGAGGAACAGATCACTGAGTCACATGTTTTGGCAACTGAGGATGTGCACCCGGCAACAGAGGCTCTGCCTCCCTCAACAAAAGAGACTTCCGACCCTTCGAAACCAGAGGACACACAACCATCTACTTCAACGTATCCTTCTATTGACCTATCAAGTACGTCTTCGGCACAAATGCCTCGAGAACCAATGGACAATAGCAGCACACAACTCAACCAGAGCACAACGGTTTCAGAGGAACCAATGTCAAGGATCAAGCCTAAACCGTCTCTGACTATCGCCTTGCCAGAACCCAAAGGACACCGGAGAGACATCTCCAAAATTTCGGTTGCGGAGTCGATGCTCTCTGTGACTTCAGACATATCAAATGCCGAAATCATGGATGCCACGAGAACAAGTGTCATGCCGAGTCCCAAAATTAATATGGTGGACAACCCACTAAAAATCGGCAATGATGATCTAACGTGGTTTGGACCAAAGTCCTCTGCCGATCTCGAAGCTCGTCAGAAACCACCCATGCTACAACGAGCTTCCACGGCGTCGATTGAGGTGGTTCCAAGTCATCATTTGAAGCGTGTCATGTTGACACGCTCGGCCTCGTTCGACATGCTTACACAACTGCCTGAAACTCCATCACCTAGTACACCTACCAAGGCTCTTAAACAACTGGTCGGAGAGAATTCTCCAACACGCAAAACTCCATTCCTAAAAACTGAAGATTTATCACCGATTGGTCAACCAAGTCCAGCGTTGAAGGACACCACGCCTTTACCTTCTCCAACGCCCTCTCTGCTTGTGGAACCATTACGCCTTCGAACAAAGTCGGAAGATAGTAGCATACCCCCTGTTCCAACACTTCCTCGTCGATCTAGCAAAAGACAACCCGTAATGTCAACGAGTTCCACATCACCACTGACACCCGTCTCAAGTGCTAGCCCCATGACTCCGGTGGAGACAAGCGACGTCTGGAAACCGAGGTTGGACAAGCTGGAAGACCCCGTCTTAGAAGAACCGGTATCATCCAAGATTCCCGTTGAATTGGCCACACCGAAACAGCCAGTGTCGCTAGACGATAAGATTCAAGACTTGCTGACGAGCTTGCCGACTAAAATTCGACTCGCAAAGGACACGGATAACCTACCATCTCCGCCGAGATCTAACGCATCGACCCGATCATCAACCCCGACGCCTGGTCTGACACTGTCAGCCGTGAGGAGTGAAGCTTCCAGTCGTAAGAGCAGCGTTGGCGATTCCGAGATTCGGTTATATCACCTCACACGAGCTGGGCAAGCACGGGACACTCCTCCGGTGAAGCTCTTTGTCCGGACAATTGGGGATGGAAATCGTGTCATGGTTCGTGTTGGAGGGGGATGGGCGGACCTGGGCGAATATTTGAAAGAATATAGCCTTCATCATGGGAGCCGGACCAATGGAGATGGTCGTTTGGAGGTTGCCAGGTTTCCAGTGACTAGCCATCGGGATTCAGTCGCCTCTTCTGGCACAACAAACTCCAAAACCCGTCGAAAATCCGGATCCCCCTTAATCGCCCAAAATGGCTTTGAGAGTAACGCGCCAGGCGAGCTGGTTAATAACAAAATCCGCCGACCGTTGACCCGAACGCGTTCACCGGATGTGATTGACAACGGCCAGTCGAGGCAGAGTATCTCGACGATGCCTCCGGTGCCCTCCATCCCGACAACATATACTACAGTCTCACCGACCATGGCCACCATCTCAGACTCTACAGGTGCAGTGACTACGACTGTCATTGACCCAGACTCGGTAGTGGCGCCATCAGGGCTACTGGAAACTCCTGGCAATGTTGGACACGTCTTGAGCAAACGCTCCTCCACCATCAGTAATTCTGGAGTTACGACCACTACCAGCACCAGCTATACTCCTCTCGGAGCAGCAGGGCCAAGATCAAATAAACGAGCATCATCGGCATTGGGTACATTCCCGGGGACAACCAATGATGCATGGGTCGAAGGGCTGGTGGGAAAAGCGCGTGCTGTTTCTGGTGGACCTCCTAGCATTGCACCGGCATCTATGACAACGTCAACATCGACGACCACGACCACGACCACGACGACCACTGTCGGATCAGCGCCACGCGGACGACGTACATCTTACTGGGGACTGGGTTCAAGCCCGGCCTCGAATCGAACGGCAAGTCCTCAGCCGAGAGCAAGTCCAGCTCCCAGTGACAGGACCGTGTCGCCCAGTACTAGTACTGGTTCGGCAGATGTCAAAAGTCGACGATCAAGTCTGATGAGCCGGCCGAAGAATCGAATGAGTCTGGGAGATATTGGAGGTATCAAAAGAGTCTTCCTGAGGAAGAAAACAGGGGAAGTCCACTAAAGGACAGGAACGAGATGTTAACAGACTGCTCATTATCAATTATAACGCTGGGTTTCTGGATAGCTACCCAGGCTGACGCGACACACGACACGGACCACCCAAGGTATACAGTACATAGTCAATATCTATTAATTCATAGTATGCTAGAGGTGAGAATGATCCATTGATAGCGTGTGGAAATGAAGACGCTGGAATCCCGTTGTTGGTGCGGGGAATAATTTTGACATTATGTGTATTACGATGTTCTGTATGGATCCGCAATTTGGGGAAATACATTTTCGTCTCTTCACTTTTTCCTTCGAGTGTGAAGGAATGAAATACATAAAGGTGGGCGGCCAGTCGAGAGAAAGTCCACGGTCCAATGTCTGAAGCACAGGAGAAGCAGGCACCGGCGCACCTGCATGTCGCATATCTCGGCCCTGAAGCTTCCTTCTCCCATCAAGCTGCATTGGCACTTTTCCCTCCTCCCTCTTCTCCCGACGAGTCAACTACAACATCTTCGTCGTCGACAGACCTAACCTCCAGCAGTCCTCTCGTTACATTACATCCTCTACCATCGTTCAGTTCCATCTTCTCCTCTCTACAGAACTCCTCACAATCTCCCTCGACAGCCACGACATCTCCTGCGACGTCGAATCAGATCTACGACTATGCCGTGATTCCAATCGAGAACAGCACCAATGGCTCTGTAGTCCAGGTTCTCGACCTCCTCTCCCAGAGTGGCCTCGTCCATCAATCTCAATCTCAATCCCCTTCCTCCTCACCTTCCACCTCCGAACCGCTCTATCCATCTCTCTCCGTCTGCGCCGAGTACTACCTCCCCGTCCACCACTGTCTATATATCCACAGCGGCAACATAGACCAGGAACAACAGTCACAGCTGCAGCCATTTGACCTCTCTACCGTCCCTGACTCCATAATCTCTCAGATCTCCAACCTCTACACCCACCCGCAAGTCTGGGGCCAATGTAATAAATTCCTCGCCCGCTACCTCCCCCCTCCCCATGTCGAAAGGATAGATCTTGGGAGTACATCCGCCGCGGCAGCTTTGGTCTCGAGGGAAGGGCCGAAGCATGCATCTGGCCGGAATGGTGGACACCAAGGCAACATTTCGGCTGCCATTTGTTCCAAACTTGCAGGCGAAAAACACGGGCTGACATGTCTGGCGGAAAACATCGAAGACGAAGTCGGTTTGAATACGACCAGGTTCTTGGTTCTGAGGAATGAGGATTTGCACCAACGGTTAGGTCGGGGCGTGGGAAGCAGCAGCGACGCTCAAATATCGTCTGACTGGAAGTCGATGTACCACCAACAGCTGATCTCCAAGCGATGGACGTCGACAACTCCAACTCCCTCAAACTTGTCTTCACCGGCGATCAACCCAGCTCCCTCACCACCAGCACCAGCCCCCGTGCGTCACAAGTCACTCATCACTTTCACCATCCCGCACCGTAAGCCTGGCTCACTGGCTGACGCCCTGGCCGTCTTTAAGAGGTATGGCTTCAACCTAACCAGCATCGATACCAGGCCTAGCCGCCGGAGGAATTGGCAGTATGTCTTCTTCGTCGAGTGCGAGGAAGCCGGGCCCGATGCGGAAGGAAAGGCGCTCGATGGAGCAGTGGATGCAACCACATCCACTCTAGAAGAGACCGCATCGGGGCCAGGGGCCAATGATTCAGACCATTTCCCGGATACAGGCGACAATCTACGCAGGATCCTGTACGACTTGCGCCTATATACTGAGAGTTTGAAATATGTCGGCCGATTTGTCGATCAATTACAAGACTAAGCATATATCAGCAAAGGACTGGCCTTTAACAAGGATATAGAAAGTTCACGCTAGAAACAAAAATGGTCGTGGAGCCTCGGATTGGGATCCATGTGTGGAACAGATGTGAAGCGATTGACTATCGTTGTTGGCAGAGCGACGCTAAGACTGCATCCTAGGGACGAATGTGCATATAAATCAACGGGAATTGGGCTGAGCAGGAGATAGTCTCTCCAGCATGAGAGCTCCCAAGACCAGACGGGATGCGACTTGTCGACCCAGGATACCCAAGTGTCCTAGTATCAAGGATCAGTTTGTGAACGTCCGAGCCCTATTGCAGATCTGCGTCTCTCCATTCAATTTTGACAAAGCAATGCTTGAGCTTGACGAATGAGCGAATGACAAGCTCAATGACCTAAACACGTTGGGCATCTACCTCGTTCTCGTAGCATGCCAGTGGCGGGGTTTTGGCGGTGAACACATTCCGCGTGTGAAGCTGCCAGCTTCATGACATGTCCATCGGGCGTCAATCTTCTGACGTGGATAATGCACCTCGTTGGACTTATATCAGATCCTTGTTTTGTTGGGCTTTGATGAATGCGATTGCACTCGAAACAATGAATCTGAACGCCGGCCCATTTCAAACCATCGCTACGTGGCGTAAATTGCTTCGGCCTGTTGAATGCATCAGACAGATAGTCCTTGAAATCCTCGAATCCTGAAGTCCAACAGAAACTTACCATGGCGAAGGTCGAGTTCTTGCCTCGCTGGTGGGGTCACAGCGCGTTGAGAGCGGTCATTGTACGCGTGTCCCACGTCGGGTTTCCGGAATTGATTCAAACGCGGCAAGCTTGTGCTCGCTCGCGGTGTGGTTGTACTGGGTTCAAAGGAGGATGGTACCTCATTTGAACGCTCGAGTCGCGCGAGGGGGGAGATCGTGGTGGTCGCATCGATGGATGGCGTGAGCGTATCCGCTTTGTTCAAGATCGATGACTGGCCCTCGCGCTGATCTGCGAGGTGATCGAATTGTCAATCGTCGTAGAACTCATCCTCGGAGTCAACGTCAGCCAACTGTTCAAAGTTGACTTTGTATCGCAAAATAGCACCAATGCCACCGAATCCCTTGACGAACTGGTTGCCTTCACTGGAACGGTCGGACACAAATTCCAAGGTGGCGCCGAAATCCTTGTACTTTTCAGCCAACCATTCAAGGAAAGAGCTTTGATCAACAACTTCCATCTCTTGGCCTGTCTCCTTGTCCATGAACTGCTCCCGATCGGCTTCTTGGGCTTTGGTGGTGTGTAGGACCTTTTCGGAGCCGTCAGAGGCTTTGAGAACCCATCTAGTGATGTCAAGGTTTTCATAAACAATGAGGATTTCGGCTGCACCAAGCTCCAGAGCCTTGAGAGTATCATCAACACCATAACAGACTCGGCCACTGTCCTGGGAAATTTCTTCGAAATATTTGCCAATCAGTTTTTTCTCTTGTATGAATTTGACGTTGCTGAGGGTCTCGGCAGAAAGATCAATGGCCTGGTTGAAGCCGTTTTCACCACCATAAGAAACGTCGACGACTTTGATGACCTTTGACTGCAAACGGTTGTCAAACATGTCGGACTGGTTCAAATCATTTTTGAAGTCGGCAGAACCCGCCAGGATGATGCCAGCCACGTTAACCTTGTCGTTGGTGATGAAATTTTGAACGGCAAGTTCAGCCACCTTTCGAACATAATTGTGACGCTTTTCTTCTCTCAAACGAGCAAAACGAAGAGCCGACTGACCACCACGACCATGCTTCTTGGGAAGATCGACGGAAAATTTGTGGACGACTTCTCTGGTGTTCCCGCTCAGGGTACCGAACAAGGCACCATTACCATCCATGATGATGAAGCCAAACTTTTGATCCGACTCGAGGAGCTCGCTGAGGGCTTCGGTGTGAAATTTATTGTCACAAAGGTACAAAGAGGTATTGATAGGCTTGAAGGGCTCAAAGTCGATATTGATCTTCCGTTCTTTTCCTTCCGAGGTAATGATTTCACCGCAGTAGACGACGAGGCCATTAGGAGGAACTTTGTTGTACAACTTGAGACGTTGCTGGGTGGAAGTGATGGCGGAGAGGACCGACAGACGGTTGACTCGAGACTTGATGTTGGAAGCAGTACCGAATTCTTCTGCCAACATTTTGGCCGCACGAGAAACCTGGTCCTTAGGCGCTGTTGAAGAATTGTTAGAGAGTAGTAAGTGGGGGTAGAGGGGTAAGGAATATCTCACGAATAATGAGTGAAATCATGGAGGTTCCATTGCCCCGAGCAGCCTCGAGACGTTTGATGAGTTTTTTGACCTTCCATATCTCGATGTTCTTCTCGGCTTCGTTTGGTTGTGGAGCGGACATGGCTTTGAAAATTGGCCGCCAAAGCCGGGTGGTGACAAGCAAGAAGACACGGAGAAATCAAGAGAAAAAGACAAGTAGAAGACAGTGCCAACACCAAAAATGCGTAGGTGTAGAGGTGGATGAGACGGAGGGGTTTGGAGGGTGACGTCGAAGGAGTGAGGACGACGGGGAGGTGGGAGGTGGGAGTCGCAGTGAAAGTGGAAGGAGTGTGGCAGTGGCAGTTGCAGTTGCAGACTTGCAGAACTTGCAGTACTTTTAGTGCAGGTGGTTCTAAAAGTACGGAGTAAGTTGTTGGCTGGTGTTGGTGGGTAAATTTTTGGTGTGCAAACACGAGTTCAGTCACCGTCATAAGGAAATGAAATGACGGGCATGAATGACTCTTGTTGTTTTCTTTCTATCGAACCAAATCAACGCCAGGAGGAGTGACCCTGCATCGCTGCAAAGATGACCGCCTGCACTCTAGGGATTTTCCAGGTGTACTTTGAGGGGTCGTGGGGTTCTATCAGCCTGCTCTCTACCGACTATACACGTACAATCTACCCAAGTGTGGCACCTCATGGTAGGTCTCGGTTACAAAGCGTAGTCATTCATTATGTGCACTGGGTTTAGAAATGGTGGATAAAATAAAGTGGGTGGATATGCTGTCTCGGACAACACGACAGGTTAATTAGGCACCCGCCTGAGATGAAGGTCAATAGGATCTTGTCTGCAGACAACTTCTTCGTATGAACCTGAAGCTCCTGTCGGTGTGTCTTTTCTCCCAGAAGATTATTTACTTTAATCATGTGGTTGTGGAAGGGCAGATCACTGCCAACTATGTCACGTGCTTTGTGTGATGAGAGCACGTGACCATCCTGCTTCCTCTGGCTTACACCAAGGACAGGTACGTACAGTAGTAGATATGTCACCTCACATATAAACAATCCTCCGTTCAAATATTTAACTCATCACCGTATGCACTCAACTCTGATCGGTTATCCGCGCTCTGGGCGCTTCATATATTTCTCTAACTCTCAGGAGTTCCCAGGTTTGATACCCGCTTATAATTTCATTTTTTCCTTCAGAATCCGCCACCTGCGGCCAAAATCCCAGGATGGTTGCATGGAAAATTCTTTCACCTTTGTCCGGGGTGGGCGATCTGATTGACTTCCCGTGACTTGGAGGGTTGGCGGCGCTGCCCTTTAGGCTTGGGAGTTAGCCTGACCCCACTTACCCAGGCATTCTTAGGTGCCACCGGCCGCCTAGATCAACACAATCTCCAATCATAACAGGCTTCGTGACAGGCTTCAGGTTCTCCATCGGCCCCTAACAATCCTATCGCCATCGCCAGTCTCTCGTATCAGTTTCTGGTTATCAATGGGCTGATGAGCTTCAAAACATCACCTTGCAGCGACCGACTCTGTCGCTTTTAGCACTTCACACTACTTGCGACACCTTTTTTCCGCTCGAATTTTCCTGCTCTTCCATCTCAATTCCAGTCTTATATCCTTGCATAGGCGGTCTTTTGTTTTTCCACTGTTCCTTGCTCATGATGCCTAAGGCATAGTCTAATTTCTCACTGACATCATACCTCCAGCACCTGCTGGCTACCCATCCTATTGACCAACCTTGAAGCTACCCCCTGCACTCAACCCACCATGTCGCAACGAAATAAACAACCTCCTTCCAACTGGGACGCGTACGAACGTGGCCGAGCTGGTTCCTTTGGTTCTCTCGAGTCCGTCCCGGAAGGTGAACCACCTCTCCTCTCCACCTCCTCCCCACGAGACATCTTCCACAGACCTTCCCAGGATGGCGGCGCTCGTCTACGACGAAAGTCCTCCATTGGCAAAAGATTTGATTCTCTCCGACAAATGGGCGGTCCGAATAGCATTGACAACTTTGCAAAGTCACTTCAGCGCGCCGCGGGCTTCCGAGAAATCACCCCCATCCGCAGAGGTTCTGTCACCCTAGGTGATCAGGACCCCGAAGCAGGTGAGGGCGATGGAGAACAGAGTACAGCTGAGCCCAACAGGTCACTGTTGAGGCAACAACTACTTCATTACGACATGGGTAATGACAACAGCTCAGCTATTCAAGACGAGCAGCCCGAAGCAGAAGCCACCGAATCGACAAGGCTTCTACCACAGCAAAGTCGTCAGACTCTAAAATCGATCAGTGGATCTCTTGCTCCTGGTTCCTTCCGAGGAAGCCAAAGTCAGTTTGGCACCAGTCATGGCAGTATCTCCTCCAAACTCACCATCACCGCTCGACAACGAGCCACTATCTTGATTATGGAACAAGAAGAGGCTAGTCGGCGTGCCTTGGAAGACCCGGATGAAGAGTTCAAAGACGATCACCCACGATTGATTGAGCGAGAAGTCCGTCCAGATGGTGAAGTGATTGAACGGACCGTGGGAGAGTCGACTGTGCCTCAGACCATCTTCAACTCCACCAACGTTCTCATTGGCGTTGGCATCTTGGCTCTTCCTTTGGGCATTAGACATGCGGGTTGGGTCATTGGCATTGGATTCCTGACTATTTCCGCTCTTGCCACTTCCTACACGGCCAAACTACTTGCCAAATGTCTCGATACCAACACCGGCTCGTCCACATACGGCGACATTGCGTTCCTAGCCTTTGACACGTGGGGTCGAAACCTGGTCGAGTCTCTCTTCATCCTAGAATTGACTGGTGCTAATGTTGCCCTTGTGATTCTTTTCGCTGACAGTATGTCCTCGCTCTTTGCCGGCTTGGACAATTTGACCTGGAAATTTATCATTGCCCTGGGCTTGGTTCCTCTGAATTTCGTTCCGTTCAAATACTTGAGCTACACCAGTGTGATTGGCATTTTCTGTTGCTTGGGAATTGTCGTCATCATCTTTGTCGACGGTCTCATCAAACCTCGGACACCAGGTTCTCTGAGGGAAGTCGCGACGACGTATGCGTTCCCTGAAAACTGGGCATTGGTTCCTGTCAGCTTGGGGGTCATCATGGCGCCTTGGGGTGGACACAGTGTCTTCCCTGCCGTTTACAAGGACATGCGACACCCGCAAAAGTATGGTCGTGCTGTTCGGTACACCTACATCTTTACCTATGGACTCGATCTTTCCATGGCCGTTCTGGGCTATCTGATGTTTGGTGAGAAGACAATGGACGAGGTAACTGGCAACATCCTCCGCTCGACAGCATACCCCGAAGCCCTCTCTCTGGTCTTGGTGATCCTCATTGCCATCATTCCCATCACCAAAATCCCCCTGACCAACCGGCCCATCCAAGACACCGTCAACAAAAAATTGTACATTGACCTGCGTCAAATGGACCACAAAGCAAGGGTCGCCAGTGAAGCAAGCTGGAAGCATCGATTAGCCCGTGGTGCCATCTGCGTGGTGACCAATCTGGTCCAGCTCGCATTCGCCATCTTCTTTCCTGATTTTGACAGTCTGATGGCATTGCTGGGTTCCTTGTTTTGTTTCACCATTTGCATCATCCTCCCTGTGGGCTTCTATCTCAAGATCTTTAGCGAGGAGGGCCAAGAGATCAGCAAATTTGAAAGAATCGGTTGCTGGATTCTCATGTCGGTGTCGACTGCGTTGGCAATTCTAGGAACAGTGTTTGCCATCTTACCAAAAGACAAAACTGGTGCGTTGTAAATGAAGTGAACAGAGCCATCTCCTCAACCCAGCATGGTTGTTTGTTTGTTCGACATCAAATACGAGCACTCGGTTGGTATGGAACACATAAATTTACATATTATCAAAGTGTACATGATCGAAATCTAATCGTACTCAAATCCTAATCGGCACTGCTTTCGCAGACCAAGATACCCTTGTATGACCTGCACCCTTTTTGAGACCCTGATGCTGCCAAACGTGGCGGTTGATGAGGGTCTATTATGGTATTGTGCTTTGATACATGTGGATGCATCACATGGGATACGCCCCTTCCAGCAGCACCCGCCAGCTATTGACTTTCTGCCTTCGTCGAAGATACCCAACCACTTGGGTTTTCTCGTAAGAATTCTATTTCCTCGTCAGTTGAGTCTCTGCCCAAGATCGCATTACGACTAGGAAACCGGCCGAAGCGGACAATAGTGTCACGGTGAGACTTTGCGAAGCCTAAGCTAGAGACGACAAAGTCCCTTGCCCCACCGGGGGTGCCATCGCAGCGGGCAGCCAAGGCCTCAATCAGGGCAACACAGGCGACCTGCGAGGAGATAGTTTCGTCGTGCATAAGGGGCAGGTAGAAGAACATGGCCATGAGGTTGTCGCCGATGGTGCGGTCCATCTCGCAAGCGATGGAGTTCAACGCCAGTTCGCAGGCACGTGCGTCGCTGGCGTGGGCGTCTCCCAATCCCCGAAACACGTTTCGTGGGAATTGATCCAACAGAATGATCAGAGCCAGGCTTCCTCGTGCTGTGGCCATCCAGTGGTCCAGTTGGTGTGCCCGTCCAGCTTTGATCAGCGGCAAAAACTCATTCTCGATCTGTTGGTCGATCGTCGGCGTGCTTCCAAACCAATGCGTCGGCGCTACAGGTGGCTTGAACCAGAAATTGAGGATTCGATCAATGTCCGCTTCCGAGTGGTTCTGCATGGTTGTCTGCGTAGAGAATGCTCTAGGGACAGCTGCCTCTGCCAAAGGCTGGGTGCTTGACAACGTGGGTTTGATCGATGAAGACCCCGACGTCAGTGTTGAGAAGTTACCACCGAAGCTGAAGATCGATTGGACTTGGAGGAGCTTGCATCCAGGAATGAGTCTTAGTCTCGCGTGCGCAGGACGGGGAATGTGATATGGTCGTACTCTGGACAAAGCCTGCGAGAAACCTAGCATGGTTGTCTCGACGCTGAGAATCCTCACAGTGAGCGCATATGACTTATTCAATCCACCCGCATTTGCCCTCCACAATATTGTCTTGTCAGTCGTCGAGCTGCAACGTCTCTGTCGCGCACAGATCAAAAGGAGTATTTCCAATCAACAGATGGCTGCTTCCAAAAAATACGTCATGACCAAGGTTCAAAAAGTGCATCAGTCTGACGGACTTTATTTTCGGGAATTTCGCTCCATATATTGCCTCTGTGATGCGAAAGCCATTCAAAAAATACTTGTCTGACAAGGATATTTCAGTCTCTGTGTCTCTGGTCGTCATCTCCTTGTCAACCACTCGATGGCAAACACCCTATCTATCCACAGGTGGCTGGATCACATCAACGGTTATACAAAAGCTACTATAGCTCCTACTGGGGAAACTCAGAGTCACCTCATTCAAAAATGGCAGTCTCACTGATTCAAAGTGTCGACTCTCTCCAAAAATCATCTATTCTACCAAGACTCTTGGGACTTCATCAAGAGAAATGGAGCTCCAAACACGCAGACGCCTTTGCGCCATGCTCTTACCCATACACCTTTGCTCATCCAGCACAAGCTTCCCCGAGCTTCTGTATATCTTCTACACTGATATGTTGATCTGATGACGACCAAGTGACCACTTTTTCTTAATGCGCACCACTATAAACAAACTCAAACCAGATCAGACGGCTCTATATTTCTTCTTGTCATCAACTTAGACTCTACATGTTAATGTCGTGCAACCAGATCTTCTGCTCCACCCGATGTGAGAAGCGAGAAGCTGCCAGGATCTCGACCATTTGTGTCTGAGAAACCAGCAACTCGTGCTTGGGTATGAACCAGCGTAAGCCCTCGGAGCAAGGCGGTGTAGTCAAAGAACCTTTGTAAGTCCAGAACTCTTGAATGCCACCAAGCTCGTTAATGGCAGTACGAAGGTTGACTTGAAGGCCCTCAATGGAAGATGTATCGTTGAAATGGATGAATGGGCCCAGTTGTTTGACGAAGGCCGACTCATGGTGCGAGCCTGGTGGTGCAACGCCAATCCGAATGCCTATAACAGCAGCTTCCTCATCATGCTCATTGACGTGCACAAAATGGAACTCAGCTCGACTTCGGTGACCATTGACGAGATGCTCCGACGGAGCATGAATGTGCCACCCGATGTTGAAGACAGTTTGATCGTCGAATTTGAATGAGGGCAACCCTGTTACTTCACGCTCGGGGTGGTGCGGTGTCCAAGCCGGAGCAAATTCCCAGTTGAAGAAGTTTCCTGGTATTGCCTCGTCTCTGTATCCTGAAAAGTCGGGAATATGTGTCGAAGCCAGCTCTCGATGATGAAGGTTGATAGGTGACTGGTTGGTGCCAGTCTGACACGAAAGATATTCTATAGGTCACCGAACCCATTAGTCCTTCTGTACATCAAGACGTCGACACGGGTGGAGGTACTTACCTGGTCTGATTGTGGCCCAATCTTCCGAGTTCAAATAGTTCCAGTCTTTTGCCTCTCGGCCATTATCGACTCTAACTTGACGTTTGCCGAGATGAGGATGTGACTGATAGTTGTTATGCTTCGCGCAGCACCAGGCCGTTGAGAACAATGCAGAGAAAAGCACAATGGTTGACAACATTTTAACAAGCCCAATCAGGTGGAGAGAAAACAATAAGCGATCGAGGACGATTGGCTGGAAAAAAGAAGGTGGTTTAATGAAGATGTGACCAGCACAGAAAAGAAGGGAAAGGACAACAAGAAGAGTGGTCTGATTAAATTGCACAGGCGAGGGTGGCATCAGTGTATACTTATCCCATCCACTGGCTCACGAATGCCACTCGATGCGAAGAAGTCCATCTAGCCTTGAAGTGGTAGCTCCACAGTTCAAGGCACGCCAAGTCGTCGCTTGATCCGACAGTGTCTTGCCTCATCATTGAAACGACCCAGGCACGCCAGGCACTTAGGATAGGAGCGGGTATCGGAAGGGAGCGATGAGCATTGCCCCGCCTATAGTCTTGGAGATCATTTGTCGATCAATGACCGCGGACGACATTCCATCCAAGTATGGGAGCGTTAATCTTGAGCAATTGTTGAGCTATTTCTTGGCCTTCAATCACTGACCATTCTTTAGCCTGACTTATACAAGAGATGCAGACTGTTGCTCGTAAGCACAGGATCTGGGGGATGGGCTCCAACCGCCAGGATATGCTGGGGATGGAATTTGGCACAGCCTTGGTCCATGACAAGACCAGACAAGCCTCAGCAAAAGACGTTGAAGGTCGTGCAAAGCATCCAGAGCGCCAAGACATATCCGACAGCCAAGGCTGGCGGAGTCCTCCTGATTGCCTTTTGGGGAATAGAACAGGTCGCAAACAGGACATCTGTGTCCACTCGAGCTCAAACAGGGGCCACAAAATGGACATAATCAAACCACAGGCTGGGGGTTTTAGCCTGAGGACGCACCCACGGTAGTTGATGGTCTGGAGCCTGGAGGTCTGTTCAAGGCGCCTAAGCCCGAGCAGAGAGTCTTGGCTGTAACTGGTAGGAAACGAACATGTCTTCCACATCCAGACTTCGACCTACTCGGGCAAAAGGTTGGACCCAGACCAACCTATGGTTGGGTAGTGACATGGATGAAGCGTGCCTCGAGATTTGAATACTTTGGAACCCCTTTGAAGTTATGTGGAGAATCGTTGAACGCAGAGCAACTCGTAACTGGAGGAATGGTCCTTTGTGACGATGAAGCTTTCGAAACGAAGCCTTTTCGCGATCGATCATAGCAAGATAAGAGACTTAGTTCAAGGCTGTGCTCATATGGGCAACTGGTTTTTTGGCACACGTTCTGATGTGCTCAAAGCCTATGTCGAGTATAACCTCGTCTGCAAAGATCAGTACTGTCAGCAAATACCTTGCCTTAAGCCGATCCGCACGAGCAGTCGTTTGAAAAGTGAGTATGCCAGAATGCTGCATCATGCTACTCGTGTCCTCGTGGAGGATGAACTGTAGCTTCGATATCTGGGTGTTTGTCTGGAGGAAGACTACTCGGGCTGCTGGGTCTGGTGACGTGAGAATGGCCATAGGTTACCGAGGCTCCACCTAGGCGGCGCCTCGGGCTGGCGTTCATCGTCCGACAGATGCCCGACAGCTGTCTGGTTGAGTCGATTGTCGCACACATGGCCAAGGCAGTCCATTGTTATAGACGATGATCTAGGAGTGAAGTCGTGGAGTCGTCAGTGAAGGAAGGGCAGGTGCTAGTCAAAAGGTGTTTGCCCATAGCTCTTGCCTCCCTGAGCACCAAGTGACCATCCATGTCAAGTTCGTTGTCGAAGAAGGTGCGCCTCACTTCTTGTTCGTGGCTGCCTTGGCGCTCGCACTTCGTCTCGAAGAAATGCACGAGTGGCCATCACCACACTTCAACAATACATCATCCTTACTCGGCCTATTAGGTACCAACAATTTGAAAGGTGAACCTCCAGAATCCTCCCAATGCTATCGGGCATCTCGGGCTAATACTGACCGGTGGGATAGTCCAGAATGGGGGGATCTCCTTGGCTGGTCAGCGTCTCCAAAATCTCCTCGTGGGGGTTTTTCTGAGAGATTCATCATCAGTGAGTTCGATGCCCCTCGCCCGCGTGCAAATTGCCTTCACGCCTAGGGACTTGTGGGTTCTGACATCAATGCCTCCAGCCTCTCAGACGCTCTGATCTCCTAGGTAGTTCTTACGAGTACTCCTCCGCCCTTTGACCCTCGAAAGTGTCCAGCCAAGTTCCCCTCACCTTTCGTCACCCAAGCGAATCACGAAGAGGCCATTTACCTGTTTCTGACAAGTCGACGACCTCTCCCCAATCACTGGCTATGGGACGGTAAAGGAAACCCTAACGTAACCGTGGGTATGCATGTGCCACCATTCCACCCCACGAACTGGTACAGAACAAGTCAGAATTCAGCCAACATCGGTATTCATGCCGCGAACCCCGACTCTAGCAAACCGCAGAATACGACTGGTAACGTCAGTCGCTTGCATCTGTTTGTGAAAGTTGGAGTCTTAAAATTGGTTACACCGTCTGGTCTACTGTTAAACCTTCCAAACGAATGTTGTCCGTCTCTGGTTTCAAGGCACATTACAATTTCCTAACGTCGCAGCATCACGGTAGGTTACGAGTCGTCCAGAGTGGCCAGCGACGCTATCCAAGACTCTATACCATATAGTGTTCCTGCAGTGTTTGACAGAATTGTCCCCGAACTCGCCCGAAGACCCGCAACAACTATCAAGATGAGTTGTCAGCCCGAAACCTCATGCTCAACGTGTCCAGAAGACGGTCATCACAATGGCGTCTCCGACATTGAAGACTACAAACTTGAGCTTGAAACCTTGCGCAAAAGGACCCAAGATCTAGAATTGAAAATCTCCTCCGCAGCCAATGGCAATGGAAGTGGTCACACTAGCGAATCGAGAAAGCCCCTTCGATTTCGATCTGAACTATGGTTCAACGACTCCAACAACCGCGATTTTGTCGCCTTATATACTGACCGCTACCTCAACTACGGTCTCACCAACGAAGAACTAAACTCGGGGAAGCCCCTGATCGGCATCGCCCAGTCAGGCTCTGACCTGGCACCATGTAATCGCTACCACCTTACCCTGGCTAAACGTGTAAGAGAGGGAATTCGATCCTCGGGCGCAATAGCCTTCGAATTTCCAACCCATCCTATTCAAGAGAGCTCGAGAAGGCCGACGGCCACCTTGGATCGCAATTTGGCTTACCTTGGTCTGGTCGAGTTATTGCATGCCTATCCTCTTGATGGCGTCGTTCTTTTGACTGGGTGTGACAAGACCACGCCAGCATTTCTGATGGCAGCGGCCACGGTGGTATGTTTGTGCTTTTCCCTCTCCTCCGTTGCATATCTGATCCATCGATTGTGTACAGAACATTCCAGCCATTTGCCTCAACGTGGGGCCAATGCTCAATGGACGCCTGGGTTCAAGCGATAAGATTGGCTCCGGTACGGTCTTGTGGAAGGCGAGAGATCTGCATGCTGCAGGTGAAATCGATGATGACATGTTTATGGAAATGGTTTGCGCTGGGTCAGTCATATCATTTCAATTCGACACTCGTTTCCCGGACTGACATGGCAAACAGCACCCCATCTGCCGGGCATTGCAATACCATGGGCACAGCGTCAACTATGAACGCACTGGCAGAAGCCCTAGGCATGGCACTTCCTGGTTCATCCGCCATTCCAGCACCGTACCGTGAACGACTTCAGTGCGCTTATAAAACCGGCCGACAGATTGTCGAGATGGTATACTCGGATCGAAAACCGAGCGACATCCTTACAAGAGAGGCATTTGAGAACGCCATTGTCGTCAACAGCGCTATCGGTGGAAGCACCAATGCTCCAATCCACTTGAATGCCATTGCCAAACACATTGGCGTTCCGCTTGACCTGAACGATTGGGACGAAATTGGATTCAACGTCCCGCTCTTGGTTAATGTTCAACCTGCGGGTGAGATGCTGTGTGAGGAGTATTACCGTGCCGGAGGATTACCAGCTGTCATGGCCGAACTGCTCGATCAGAACAAATTGCACGCCGACGCTATCACGGCCAACGGCAAGACAATCAGGGCGAATGTCACAGGAAAACATAGCTGGGATCGGCGAACAATCAAGTCATACTCAGACCCTCTCAAGGACGCAGCTGGGTTCCTTCATCTCACAGGGAACCTCTTCGATTCGGCCATTATGAAGACATCGGTAGTATCGGAAGAATTCCGTAAAGAGTTCCTCCAAGACCCAAACGATCCAAACGCGTTCGAATGCAAGGCGGTCGTGTTTGATGGGCGAGAAGATTTCATCGAGCGCATCGACGACCCCAAGACAGGCATCGATAAGCGGACCATCCTCGTGATGCGCGGAGCGGGCCCGCTAGGCTACCCAGGCGCCGCCGAGGTGGTCAATATGCACGCGCCAGGCTACATACTGAAACAAGGCGTGAATTCCCTGCCTTGCATTGGTGACGGAAGACAGTCAGGAACCTCTGGATCTCCTTCAATTCTCAACGCAAGCCCAGAAGCCGCGGCAGGAGGAAATCTTGCAATATTGAGGGATGGCGATCGCCTGCGAGTCGATCTCAACAAACGGACAGTCAACATACTGGTGAGTGAGACCGAGCTGAAGAGACGACAAGACGAATTGGAAGCCAAAGGAGGATACGAAATCCCAGAGAGCCAGACACCATGGCAGGAAATTTTCAGGAGGGAGACAGGTCAGTTGAATGAGGGAATGGTGCTGGAAAAGGCGGTAAAATACCAGAGGGTGGCGCAACGATGGCCAGCACCAAAGCACAACCACTAGACCTGAACCTGTTCATGTGTATACGTATGTGCATGTATGTATATCTTGCATTGTTTGACCGAAAAATCAAAAGGAGTCTTTGAAAGGCAGAGCATGCAAAGAGAATGCCAATTGCAGAAATAGAACGTGCCTAGCATTGTCTGTAGGCGAACCCGGATGGGACAAGATGTCAACGTCCTTACCAATTCTCCCAGATGGCGTGCGGCAAGACGGTCCTCATGACGTGCCAATGGCCCAGGGCACTTTTGGCATGCCACTTTTCCAGATGGGCCGTTTTGCCGCTGCGCAAGACGGGAGCCTGGTCGTCAAAGGCCGACGCGGGGATCTCGTGCTTGGGAAGCATATATACACGTCTAGTGGAGCTGCGAAGCCAGTCGGATGGGGTTGGGTCGCGAAAGGCAACAGGGACATCGCGTTTGCGGCAGAAAAAGACCATGTTGGTGAAGTCATCTGGTTTGGAGTCGGGGGCCGGGGCTTCGTCTTCGCGGAAGACACGACAGGACGGAAAGACAGAGCTGATGGTGCGGTGGATGATGGAAGCAGCTGGCATAGAAACGTCACCAGCATAGTTAATGGCGATGACGCCATCAGGCTTGAGGAGCAGGTGGAGGCCTGTGAGGAACTCAACCGTGAATAGTTCAACGGGCTCGGCACCGCCAGTGAAGACGTCGTGGATAATGTAGTCGTAGAACTCGGCCTCGGACGTGGCCGGGTGTGGTTTGCCTTTTGATGCCGATGCGGTGACAGCCTGTACGGCGTCGCCAATGTAGATACTGTGGTTGGTTGGCAGACCAAAATACTTGACTGCAAACTCGTGCACAACGGGGTCAATCTCGAGGATGGTTGTCTCGACACCATGGGCGATTAATGCGGCCGGTGCGGTGCCAATTCCTAACCCGACATTCAAGGCTTTCTTGTTAGCATGGGACTCTTGCGGCTCGACCAGTCGCACGGCCTCGAGCATAGTGAAGACAGGGTAGATGGGTTCGCCGACGATGCGCTTGGGTTTACCCGGGGTATCAGGTAATTGCCATTCTCCTCCCAGCAAGCTGTGGTCACATCGCATGACACGGAAGCCTTTTCCGTGATCCTCAAGCACCGATATGTACCCGGTGATGGACTCGCGCCTCTCGAGGAGAGAGTAATCGTGGAGGGCCAAAGTATTGTTCATGACCTCGGTGGTACGGTCAAGAAGACAGTGTGGGTTGACCAGCAGGGTGAATGTGACGGCTGGGAATCCCATCCAGACACGTGTATGTGGTATGACCATAGCGTACAAAGTAGCCAGAATCAAGTGTAGGCCAACGCGGGACCGCAGAAATCCTGGTCCACTGAAAGATGAGACCACGTTAGTGGCTGCACGCTGAAGAACCGTCAACAGTGCAAACAAGCCGACGGCCGGGCCAGCCTCCTCATACCGGTCGTGGAAGCCACCACTCAACTCACTGTAGTAGTCTAGCGCTGTCGAGACAGAGGCCACCACAAGAGGATAGCAAGTGAGAAGCTCGGTAAGGACAGGACCGAGTGGGTTGCCGATGTATGAGCTGAATTGAAAAAGGAAGAATTGAATGCTAGGTATCCAGAACGCGAACGGGGCAATCCATCGAGCCGTCCATTTTGGCACATATCCACGGAGACCAAGGGCGAGCAAAAAGGAGGCGGCCACTCCCCACCAGTGGTACAGCGCCGAAGGGATGGATCCGTATACGGTGGTCAAGTTGAGCTGTGAGACTTGCGCAGACAAAGCGGCGAGAAGGATTAACTGGAAGGTTCTCTGGGCCCGGATATCAAGGATCTTATTGAAGAGGGATTTTGACGTCGCTTTGTTGGAAGGGGAAGGGGTGGATGGAGTCAGTGAGCTGGCTTTAGTCTTCTGGCCTGAGCTGCTGCTCTGCTTGGACGGCGTATTGGCTTTGCTGGACTTTTTCGCCATGGTTAAGAAAATAATTGAGATAGAGGACGGTATCTAGATTTGATGGAGCTCGGGAAGGGTATTGAGGCCTGCGAGGGTGTAAAGGAGATACTTCTCCGCGTAGGTGACTGAGTCCGACCAAATCAAGCTCGAGGGTTGAGGGCAGGGGTTAGCGCTAGAAGCAGCAGCCGCTTCTCCATACAATTCAACTGACAGGTTATCTAGTTGACGATCAGTGTTTTGCGCTTGATGTATGTGGGCATGCGTGGGCAAGGTTGGAATGTATAAGAATATATATCTGTGTTGGAGAAAAATCTATAGCGGATGGAGCTTGGGCTTGGATCAATCTCACTCTTAGTCATTACGTAGCTGTTCCAGTGGCTTGGTCGAGGGGTTCTGCATATCGAGACGGTCCTAGTCAGAGTCGTCGATAGGTCAAATCTTGGATCACTACTGTGTGTCGAATGAATGTTGCGGGTCTTTGGTTGTGGATGAAGTTGAGATGGTGGATCGCAGGTTGTAACACGTGGCTGAAACATGCACATGACTCGTCAGGAAAGAGCCACCCAAGACATTATAAGTGGCAGGAAGGAACATCAAAAGCATCATCCACTAACACTCTTACAACAACGACCGCTGTTGTCATCACAGCCTCGAAACATCACTTCTCATGCATCTTTTTCTCGATATTATTAGAAAGGAACTGATCCTGTTGCTGCCTGACAATCCTATAAAACTCGGACTCTTTTGATCGCCGACAGGGAAACTGACAATATGCAATGCAAAGCATGCTCGACTCAAACACTGCCCGGTCCATCGACAGTTCAAACCCAATAGAAAGAATCCCACCAGGCAAAGGCCCATCCTCATATCCTGGGTATCGAAACGAACGGGCTTTGAAAATTACAGAACCACCCAATATGTCAAATCCCATGCCATACGCCTGACATGTCGCTGCAGACATCTGGGGTTTCTCTTCGTATATTGAGGAATATGGCGACAAAATTTCCGGACAAACCGCCCACCACGTTCCAATGGCCTCCGACCTTGGGTGTCCTCGTCCCTTCATTCAGGTCGTTTGCGGTCGTCTCTCGTCCCCCCCACTCCTGTAGAACTCCCTCGTAACCAAAACATATTAATGTCGCATCGAACAGACATCGGTTCCAGGTGAGCACGTCTTACACCACAACACCCAACCCGACCGGGGCATCAACCGGGTCACTGCTGAGAAGCCAGTCTCGCTTGTTGAACTTCTTGGCCTCCTTTTCGGCCTCGACATCGATGTCGAGACCGAGGTCAATGCCACTATCGTCTTGCACGTTCCCCCGACTCTGTCGCTTGATTGGGCTGCTCAAGCCCGTGTGAAAACTGGGCAAGTCCAGAGGTCCTCCGCGATTCAGCTCGTCTAGGTCAGCATCAGTCTCATCTCCGTCCAAGTCGTGCGCCGCTTGAGTGTGCGATTGCGCTGGAAGGCGAGGTGAGCTTTTGGGCGCCAGCTCCAGTTTCTTGGAAGGGAGGAGTTCAACATCCCCGCTGTCATCGACCTCATCCCCATTGGTGCGACGTTTTCGTTTCGTGCCACGGGGCGGGCAACTCGTAGACGCTTCGGCGTACTTTTCGCGCTCCTTCTCGTCCATCGCCTTGTGAACCTCTGTATCCATTAATAGGCCCTCCATCTCCGTCATCCACTCCAGCATCTGGGTCGCAAAGCATTCCACAAACCACCACGATTGATAGCTGCGTGCTCCAGATTGACCAAATTGCATCATCACACTTCGCCAAAGGCGTCCATGGCAATCAACCATACACTGTGCGTGATGTCCCTCAAACAGCTGTGGGAAAAGCTCCAGCCACGAAATCCATTTCTCCAGAAGTGGAATCGGGCCGTCCTCATCTTCCTCAGGGACAAGCCCATCGCCATAGTCTACTCCGTCGTTCAAGAGGTTAGCGTAACTGCTGGAGGAGTCTCCTTCGGCCGCGCGCACGAGCTCTCCGTCCATGGGGGAGACGAGCAGACGCATGTCCTCTTTCAGAATCGCTTGTAGTCTGATCAGGCTCTCGGGAGGTGGCATGCTTTCCTCTACCAACTGGTCCGGATCCACCATGGCCATGAGGTCAAGCCACATTTGTGTCCGCAATTGCGGTTCCTCTAGCATCTGGCTGAGCTGGAGAGCGGCGGTGTTGGCCGGCTTGAGCTTCTTCAGAACGTGGACAAACCGAGCCGCGGGGACTGTCTTTGCCACGACTACATGAACTGGGCATTTTTCCTCAAACGCCCCGATCAGATGAGAGACCAATTTTGATCCAATTCGATCAAAAACATGCCAAACCACATCCGGCACATTCTGTAGGGCCAACGGGGCAATAAACCGAATCATCTGCTGACATGTCCGCATATCACATTCTTGAATCCACGGTGCCAGGCACTCCATGGAGAAGAGTTTCGAAACAGGCACTGTCATTTTGCCATTAAAGGCAGAATGGTGGTTAAAGAAGGGCTTCTCTTTGCATTTCCGGAACGCGTCGATGATATCGATACAGTACGACCGGTACAGGTGGAAAAGAGCTTTGGCGATACTAACGTCGTAATTGGTGCCCTCCAGGTAGGGGAAGATGTCTGGGAGCTCGATCAAGTTGTCAGGATCAGGGGGCAGCATTGACAGAGACTTGAGGTTTGGCATCGCTAGGTAAGTTGCGAGCGAAGCGGGAAGACCGGGGCGAGCTGAAGGCAATGCTGCTACGACATTGGCAGGGATCGTCTTGACGGAAAATCGAATGGTCGGCGTGTTGATGTACTTGCAATCGAGTTTCTGTGCTGCAGGCACCTGAGAGACTCGTTCTGCGGGCTCAGGATCGGCCTCCTTTTCCAGGAATGAGGCACTAGGTGCAGGGAAATCGGCAGTCTCTACCGTTGCTCGCGAGACTGGCCGCTCTATAGGGGGAGACACGTGAGCTTTGAAGAGCTTACTCGGTTCCAATGAATCGTGTCGTCCATGTTGGCTGCCATTCGCTGTCCCGGGTCGCTCATACGTGGGAATGTACTGGCGGTCATCATCGTCTTGAACCAGGGACAAGTCGACGTAATGATATTTAGACTCTCCTCTCACTCCCAACCGCCGGGTTTGTACGTTGGGGAAGATTATTCGCACCAATTTCCCGAATGACGCCGGGTTCAGTGTAGGAACTCGTTCATTGCCACACCTCTCGGTGTATCGAGTGAAAACACGATCACGACGCACCGAGTTAGATGATCTTTCGCAGTTTTCTTGGAGCCTGAGTAATGTTAATTAGATGATTTCGTTGAGAGGGATGATCAAAACAAACCATAACATTGCGAAGACTTGTTTCGCCTTTTCAGACTTGCCACCAGACCCTTCATTCTTTTGCACCTCAGTGGCCACTTCTTTCAGTGTCTTGCCTTGATACTGTTGTAGTAAGCGCCTCAGCTCTTGGTCATTGGCCATACTGGAGGCGGTGCCTTTTCTCCGCTTAGCGCCTCCATTTTCTGTGTTGGAGTCTTCCGGAGCGGGTGAGCCTTCAAACTGTTCCGAGTGGTGACGCATGTGTTGCATATGTGGAGGAGGCACCGCATACTGGGGCATACCATGAGGATATTGCATGGGGAAATGTTGCATCTCTTGGAAGCCTTGCTGCGACATAGGACGCATGTCGTGTTGTGGTGGCACACTGGAGTTTGTCCCCATTGCTTGTTGGTGCTGCATATGCGCAGCCATGTTATGATGGGAATGTGGATGTGGGTGTGGATGTTGATAGTGCATCAACATTTCCTCCGTGTGAGGCCCATATAAGCCAGTGTTGACCTGGTTTTGGCCGTGTTGGACATAGAAGGCGTTAGGGTCAAGAGGCATGGCGGAATTGTCGTGCGCCAGGTGTTGGTGAGGATGTTGTTGTGTAGATGGCGGTTGCTGTTGCGAGCCAGGCTGAAAGGCGGCTCCTACACCAACAGATTGGAGACTCGCGCTGGAATCTCTGGATAGAGGACGATGTTTTTCTTTATTAGGAACGACGTTGTTTGTATGGGATCCATGTCGGCCTTCTGGAGCTTCGTCCAGGTTTTGGGTGGGTGTCTGCGGCATTGTTCTGTGCGTCGGTTAATCTACCTGTCACAACAAACAGCTTTGGTATAGTCAAAGCTTCTGGGTGGAAATGGGTACCTTTGAGCCAACAGGAAGCCCAATGATGAATGGATTGGTGTCTGTTCGACGCTAGCAATCACCACTTGCCATTGAATGACTGACGGAGAGTGTAAAGATGCGTGTAAAGGGCCGCGACGGACGTGACAAGAGAATTTTGGCGACGACACTTGTGAGGAATGATGATACAGACCAAAGGAGTCCCACTCTGTGAGCTTGGATGCGACTCGAGAGTATCTGACCTCACGCGGTCTCACGACTTTGCGGCTGTTATTGTGTTGCGAGGGCAACTCAAACAAGCCTTGTCGATCGGGCCAATGATAAAATTTCGTGAATCTTGTTATGCCTGACGACAAATCGTCACCCAAAACTGTGTGACTGTGCTGCTTCCATGACAAAGCTCAACGTCTGACAAAACATCATATTCACGTCTGACTGACAACCGTTCACGTGATAATCTTGGCTCATTGGAGTCTTGTGATTGGATCAATATCGTTTGGTGAGGTGATGCCATGCATCATAGGGCATGAGCAACACGCAAGCAATCTCTCACCTACCAAGGCTGTTAGCTGAAGGCTGAAAGAATGATGACCGTCCAGCGTCAGAGTCTTGCCCCTGCCCTGAATTTGGGCAAATGACACTAGGACCAAACTCAGCCATCTGTCGTCACAGACTCCTCCTCGTACTGCTCCACCTCCACCTTATCCTCTAGACTGTGCGGTGTGCTCCTCCCAATCGCTCACCACTCACCACTCACCACTAATAATCTCTCTTCATTAAACATCCTGTTTTCATCCCACCATCTGTCCACTTTCCACACAAACCTACCCGACTCTTCCATTTTCGACTCTGTAACCAGCTTCTTCCATCACTCAAGTCTCGTTCCCTTACACCTCATCGTCATATCAATTCAAAATGTCTTTCCAGGACAAGGCCCAACACCAGATCTCTCAGATCGATAAGGAAGTAAGTGTGCACATGTCAAACCACATTTCCAAGCTGTTGCCTATCATCTGCCCATCCCATCCGTCGATGATCATTGCTATTGCCATTGCCATCATCAGTTTTCAGCTATTACGGACCTCTATGTTGACACATACATCACTTTGCAGCTTTCCAAGTACCCTGTCCTCAACAATTTCGAAAAGCAAACCAGCGTCCCCAAAGTCTATGCCTTCCTCGGCCTCGTCGGTCTCTACTTCTTCCTAGTCTTCTTCAACATCGGCGGCGAGTTCCTGGTCAATTTCGCTGGCTTTGTGCTTCCTGGCTATTATTCCCTCGAGGCACTTTTCAGCACCAGCAAGGTTGATGACACGCAATGGTTGACAGTACGTAATAATCCCCACAGCGACTCTGCGCCCACCCGGCAACCTTGGGTTGGAAAAGAAACTGATTGTTCTCTAGTACTGGGTCGTCTATGCTTTCTTGACCGTCTTTGAAAGCATCATTAATGCCGTCTACTGGTTCCGTAGGTGTCCATCCCTCGGTTCACCATTGTTCGTGAGCTAATCTTTCATCTCAGCCTTCTACTATGTCTTCAAGTTTGTCCTGATCCTGTGGATGGCCCTTCCTGCCACCAACGGTGCACAAATTGTCTTCCGATCCTTCATCCAGCCCGTCTTTGCCCGCTTCTTCTCTGACACCGGTAGCGCTGCCGCTGAAGTCCGAAGCAAGACCGATGCTGCTTTCAAAAGCCAGTAGACGGCTGAGGGATTCCTGCAAAGAGTTTGCGAGAGAGTTGAAAGATATTACCAACTCTTGACGATAGCAAACTGAACCTGGTATCCTACTAGCAAGACAATTATCATGTTCAGGGTCACACTATCAACAACATCAGCAGGTCGACGCCAGCCGGGCTAGCATGGTGGAATAAGGTGATTCTGTGTGATTTAAGTACCTTAGTGGAGCGGAACGAAGAGGGCGGCCTAAGGGGCAGCAAGGGCTACTGAAGACTTGCACCACGATAGATTCATGGATTTTGGTTGTTCTGAATTTTTTTGATGCATGCGATGACGATGATGACGCGGGGTGACCAGAGTTGAACGTTTCAAATGACAGGGCATATGTCACAGTCCTAGAGCTGGGTCACAAGGGGACGGAGGGGGAGGAAACTGAGACGGCGGTAGTGTAGTGCACGTGAGTAGTATTGTTACATGAACATTGGAACTATCCCTTTGCCATGGCGTGACCTGATAGAGGCATATTTCCGTGCCTCGAGAACCAACTATAGCAAGCCGGGGGTATCAATTCCAAGCGCCAAAACCCCGTTCAACTGTGCCTTGCTGTTTGGGATTAACAACGATGCGATAAGGGAAAGGATTCTGATCGCTGGTGGTAATAGGCGGGATATGGTCCTTATCCTTGTTGACAATGTTGACAATCTTCACTGCAGTCTTGGTCAGAGAAGACTCCATCGCCCTGCGCACTTTGATCCGGTCTATGATAAAAGGTAGTCAGCGCTTGTCGAAGGACTTCTCTTGGCCGTGGAACATGGTTCTTACCTGCTTCGCTGCGCGGCTTCGCCAGAATAACCTGAACGCACCACTCTTCCCAACAGACTTCCTCGTCAGTCTGTCCTCCACCTAGGCGGCCCAGCCACCCGCCTGTAATGCCAGTCTTGCGCCGCTTGCGATCGAAGAATCGAACCACAATCTCCCCTCGTGTGCCACCGTAGCCTGAATTGGATGACGACGAGTTTAATTGTGAGAGAAGTGAGCTAGTATGGGCGTCTATGGCGGTGGAGATTTCTGGTGGGTCGAGAATTTGTGGGAGCGGAATGGGAAGAGACGGTGATGAGGATGAGGATGATGTTGTTGAGGCGGAGGCGGCAGTGGGGCTGAAGAGAGCTGGTTGTACGGGTGGGAAGTATCGATGGAAGAAGATTGTGTGTAGGACGCCTGTATAGTATTAGTGTGAGTATCAGCCTGTGAATCATCCAGGTTTACTGAAGCAGAGCAAACAATGGCTTATTGATGGCAATGAGGTTGGGGTGAGGAGCGGTGGCAATAGGGTTGAAGTAGGAGAGAGAGAGTGCGCCATCGACCTACCCTTGACTATGTCCTTGACAAAAGCTTGGTCGGCAAAGACCTCAAGTATGTATTCGTGAGGTCTCGGATCCATGGTTGTCTTTGATGTCTGGCTTTGAGGTGATTCTGGTATGGTGGGAATCGCAGGCAGAGGCGAAGGCGATGAGGATTGCGATGATGATGTGTTTCAAGTAGAGCAGCCAGCCAAGTGGCGCCCGTTGGTGGAACGTTATCAGATCATTGTGTTTCCATTGTGCAGATGAGACTGCGAGAAGTTCTTTATGGCTCGGGTCGACTCATGAGAAAACGAAAGAAAGACAAGTAGGTAGGTAGTAGTGTATCGGTTGTACATGAGGTGTTGTACCGTTTATGGCGGGGTTGAGGTGCTGCGGTTGTAAGTAGCCCCTCGGCCAAGGTTGGGGCGAGAAGCTGAAGGTGTTACAGCGTCATTATTGCAGCAAGTCCTATTGGTACCTACCCTACCCTACCTGACCTAAAGACGTGCATATTTGGAGCCCAAGTACTTGGAACACCTGGCAGGATGAATGAAGCGTTTAGGGGTTGCCCACCGGTGAAAGTCCATTTCTAGGCATTTCGTTAGGCTTTCGGTACCTAAATTAACCGGGAATCTTAGGCACCGGGGGCCTGGAATCCCATATTCACGGAACTGCCCCTCACCTAAAGGGACATGTAGGTACTTAGGGGTGTCTTATCCTACCCAGTCACGTGAGCCAGTATATCGTGTGTCGTGCCTTCCCCAATCCCAGCCACCGCAGGCTGTACTTACTCCGTAGGCTGCACGCTGGGGTCGCCTCGGCTCCTTCCCCCGGTGAGTTAGCATGGCAGGCATCCACGGCTAGGTATGGTAAGGTAGACATCATCAAGCCATGAAGTAATCATGCTTCGTCCTCTCTCACCATGATTTCCATCTCCACTTTGACCATCATCCCTCAATATTATTGTCCCGTCGTGCTCGTTTACCCCATTCTCGTCTGCCGTCAGCACCAACATTGGTTTGAACCTCCCACCCACCAGCTCAACAACCGAGGCACCACCACTAGACACCGAACTTTGACATAATTGCGATCTGGAATCTCTGTCCACTACTTCTGTCTAGCCTCATACCTACCTCTCTTTCACGTCCCTCCCTCCCAGTCTACAGGTGCTAAATCAGTCCCTCTGTCCAACGCTCTCCTTTCCATAGGACCCTCACGTAGCCTGCACATTCAACTCGCGGTCATGTCATATTCTACACGCACTTGCCACGAATAGAGCCTCAGCAGCTCTCAATCTCCTCATACCAAATATACAAATATGATATCAGCCACTCGACGATGGCTAAGGCGAAATCGAAATGGAATTGCCATTGGGGCCGGCGTCATCGGCGCAACCTATTTGGCAGGTCAATATATTCTGGGCAAGATCAATGAAGCCCGAGATCGCATGCAGATGGATCGAATAGCAAAGGAGAAGTATGATTCCACTCACCTTGATCCCTACCCTCAATGCTGATACTGGTCTAGCATCCGACGCCGCTTCGAACAAAATCAAACCGATTGTACCATGACCGCCCTTGCACTTCTACCTACTTTGACAGAAAATGTCCTCGAACAACTCCCCGTTGAACAATTGACAAACGAGTTACAACAGAAAAAGGCTGAAAGATTGGCACGTGCATCCGAAGGAAGATCCGAGGCTTCAAGCATACATGACGGTGACACTGTTAGCCTGGCCAGCTTTCAGACAGGAAGTTTTATCCATGCAAGTCAGATTCAAACAGACCCAAACCAGCCTCCTTCACGCCGCACCAAAGCCCAGCTGTGGAATGAACTCAAGATCACCTCCATCACTCGAGCCTTCACCCTGATTTACAGCCTGTCCCTCCTTATCATTCTCACACGAATTCAGCTCAATCTCCTCGGTCGCTTGAATTACCTCTCCTCGGTCCTATCTCTAGCCAATCCGCCTCCACCAGGTCGGGCCAACTCGATCTCATTGGAAGACCATGACAATGACAACGCAGCGGGCGGCTTTGGTAACGACTTCGAAACCAATCGGAAATATCTCACATTTTCCTGGTATCTTCTCCACAGAGGTTACGGACAGATCCTGATCAAAGTCAGAGCGGCTGTGGAAGAGGTCTTTGGATCAGTATCTCCAAATGAGGGTGTGTCGGCCGCAAGATTGAGTGACTTGGTCTTGTCAGTCCGAAAGATCGTTGAAGGCAATACTGAGCAAGAGAGATATGCCACAAGATGGTTGCCATATATTCTCCCACCAAAGGAGGAAGAAGAAGCTGTGTTGATTGAATCCGGAGTCATCACTCCACCTCCTTCCTCACCAAATCCATCATCTCCTGTTGAACAACCCTCCCAACCACAAGTGACGTCTCAACTCAACGCATCGACCGAGCCATTGAGGCAGTTGCTCGACGAAACTGCCGATCTCATCGATTCGCCGACGTTTACAAGAATCCACACTCTACTCTTAGGATCAATGTTTTCTCATCTCGTGGACGGTCACATCATCGCCCAAGCCTTCCCTCAACAATGGGCACATTCCCCATCGTCGTCCCTCTCTGGGCCACAACGCCCGCGGATCCAAGAACTTGACTCTGCTGTGACGGTCGTTCCAGGCGAGCCAAGGGTCAAGCTCGCAAATCTGTTGGCCGTGATCACTCGGCAGGCTCGAGTGATTGGACAAGTGCAGGTGGTGGATAAGATCCCGCGAAACGAGTATGTTGACCGCGCGGAGGCCGAGGTACGCGAATTGGAAGCATTCGCCGCGGTAATTTATGCAAGTAATATTGAACAAAGCATCGAGGGTCAACAACGGCAGCGGCAAGAAACACCCACCGAAGACTCGGTCAAGTCGGCGAGCGGTATTGGAGTCAGCGATGTTGGCTCACAGCCGGTGGACGACTTGATCGAGAGCAAACTTGAGAGCGCGTGGACCAAGATTTCAGGATCGACTACTATCCCGTCTCGCTAAGAGCGAGAGAAGACATGGCGTGGAAGAAGTAGCAACCTCTGACCATTGCGGGGTCATGTGACACAAGTGATCAAGGATCGAGAGCCACGATGAATGATTTAGTCATATTATGACCCAGGTGCTGGTGGCTCCGAGAAGGAATCTATGTACCTTACCATTCAGGCGGTGTGGGTAACGTGTGACAGCACTCCATCTCGGAATATACAAGACATACAATAAACTTGGTTCAGTTTACTTTCAGCCGAAATGCGGAGATGAGCAGTGAGTGAACTGTCTCAGTCATCATTGCTGTCAACAGATGAGGACCGTGACTTTAGCACGAATCGATAGACTCAGACATGGACGATGGGTTCTATCAAGATATCTAGGTGTCCAGGGTATAGCTGCGAAAATCTATGCCGCATGAGTCAATTTCGATATTGACCACGTTTTTCAATGACGAGTCCCATTCCAACATGATCTATTTGTTCATTCATTCATGGTTGACCTTTTGCAGAAGACCCAAAATCTTTTCCTGTGTACCGGTTCACAGATGATTATTTCCCCCCTCGTATGAGCCATTGTGAATAGAGAATCCGTCGTCTTATGCTTCAGCGTCGATAGATACCAAGACCCCAACACACTCTTAACAATGCCAACCCCCAAGCCATGCCAATGCTGTCCCGGACAACGTCGAGTTTACTGCCCGCGACTTCTCTCCATCCGACGGCGACCTCAGCAACGGGGATATCGGCAAATTCAGCCAACATGAGCATCTCGACATCAAAAATCCAGCCGTCCATGTGCATATGTGGCACGATGTAGGGCAGCGTCGGCCGTGAGAAGAGCTTGAACCCGCACTGGGTATCACGGATGCGGGCGGTTTGAGGCGGAGTCATGAATTTGAGCAGCAAGTGAAACGAGTGCATGAGGAAATTGCGCAACTTGGACCGCTTGACTACAGCTTCGCTGCCAACGAGATGGGCACGGGACCCAACGGCCACGCCGCGACCACGCTCGTCAGCAATATCCAGGCATGAGTCGATGAGTTTACCCAAGTCAGTGATGTCGCTGGCGCCGTCGGCGTCGGCAAAAACCACGTATTGCCCTCGAGCGTGCCGCATGCCATGTGTGACGGCTCCACCTTTGCCGCGGTTCTTCTCGAGTGAGATAAATCGGATCGACCCAGGAGGAATCTTGACGCCCGTCTCGCTGCGGTGTGTCCAGGGTCCTGACGCTCGGCGAGGCATCTTGGGGAGGATGTGTTTTCGTGAAAATGTTTGTGCTTCTAGGATGGTGTCATCGGTGGATCCATCGTCGACCAAGAGGATTTCCCAGCCTTGGGCGGTTGAGGTGGAGGAAGAGGACGTTGCGGAATGGGCAGAAGGCGCGGAAGGAGGTACATCGCCAGCGACACCATTCGACTTCCGTCGACGAGCTCGGGATGTTGATATTTGAGGTGGTGTCTCGGATATCGGGGACTTCTCTTCGACGGTGGTGATGGAGGGATTGGTCGCCTTCGTGCCATAGTTTGTCTCAAGATAGTTGACAGCCTCCTCTAACATTCCATTCAGTCGCAGTTCTTCGTTGAAGGCAGGGACTACCAAGGTCACGAGAACTTCTGCAGGCTCGATCGCAGCATCCATGTCAAAGTGTTTGTCTTCACGACGAGCACTCTGTGCTTTCTGAACCATATCATCGTACCAACTAGGAAGGGGTTCTGGGTCTGTGACGTTGCCAGTGGCTTCGACGGTGGTGAAGAACTTCTCCGAGGGGAGGGGCTTCCGAGGATCGGGGACAAAGAGGGTAATGAACAGCCAAATCTAGAGTCGAACATGTTAGGAGAAGCTGGAATGGGCGAGTCGAGAGGTGAGAGGGGGAGCTTACCAAAAGAATGACTGCGAAGATGAGCCAAATCACGATATAGGGAAGTAGATTCCATGTAATGTCCTGTCCTTTGGGAAACATGTCGACGAAATGGCCGCCCATGCGGGTCGGCCCTGAGAATGCTTGGGCAAAGGAGGACATGGTGAGCAGCAGGGCATGTGGCTGGTGTTGGTAAGACTGGTGCAATGCTCAAGCCATGGAGTAGGAGAGGGTGGTAATGAGGAGTCGAACTCAGGCGTGCGACATCTTGTCCAGGCTACGAAGGTGGGACAGAGTATGATACGAAACTCTTGTCAGGTGGCTTTGATTAATTTAAACGCAGGTCATACTCCGTAGAGACAGATGGCATTTCCACTAGAATATTACCAAAATAGGACTAATGCGGTGTGTACCTTGGCCGTATTTGGTTTAGTGTCATCATCTCCAAATTGAGGGCCTCATGAGCTGAGTATGGTATGGAGTGGATATGGATATGAGTATGATCATGTCTGTGATCTAATGATGTATCAAGTGCGGACTGACAAGACATTATGTCTCGAATCGAAGGCTCACGAGGGTGTCTTGTCCAGAATCGCCTTGAACTTCTTGGCCATCTCCATTCCTTGGGCCAACGTTCCTACACGAGCATCAATCGCGTATCCCTCCTGTTCTAGTTTGGCCAGCTCGTTCCAGAGATTGTTCAAGGGCAAAGTGAAGCTCTCAATGAACTCTCCCTCTTCCATTTCAGGCTTGAGGTTCTCTTTTTGATTCCGAGGATCGGACATGTCCACCTCGATAAAGACCATCTTGGTGTTTGTGTTACAAAACCCTGGGTCGTTCCACATCACGAATCCCTCCGCCGCCTTTGCATCGCCAGGGATCGTCCCAATGTAGCCCGTCTCTTCTTTGAGCTCGCGGATTGCAGTTGTTGATGGGTCCTCACCTTCGTCGATGAGCCCAGATGGTACTTCAATCGCAACTGCGTTCACCGCAGGCCGGAATTGCTTCTGAAGCAGTAGGCCGGGGCCATGGGAGGATTTGGGGTCGTTAAGGACTGCTACGACCCCAACAGCATCGATTTGACTGTGTTTGGCTCTGGTCTGTTCACTAACTTTAGCCCTCGAACAAGTCCTTCTAGGTGAGGGAGATCAACTTGTCTTTCCGCTGACTCCCACAGTCTTTGCTTTCCCGTGGGATCGGTGTATGTAATTTTCTTCAAGGTGATCCATTTAGCGTCATCTGTGTTCTAGTAGTCTTCAGTAATCAGCCATCTGAAACTAATTTGAGCAGGGCAAGGTGACTTACCATTGGCTCAACCGACGAGACTGCGGCGTCCCGTGGAGAGGCTGTCGACATTTTGCTCGCCATTACAGGCCCCCGTGTGAGAAATGAAGTGACTTTGTAAGACACAGAGAGAGAATTTAGGCGAATTCTGATGCTTGGACGGAGCATGGGTTGGTCTAGAGGCTCTCGAGTAAGTCAGTCCACTGTGACATTTTAACTCAGAGCATGATACAAACCTGCGGGGAACATGTGCTCCGACTTATCGGCAAAGCTGATGACGTAAACACCTCTGCCCAAAACAGCAACATGTAAACATGGTTTATTCACTCTGCCCCTCTACATATGAAGGAGCCGCCTTCTGCTTCAAAGAGATTACATTCACTCGAGACCCATCTAGAACTCTCTCCAGCCTTCTCCCCCAGTTATCATCTTTTCAGCGATCTCTGCGTGCTTCTCTGCCATGGATACCCAGACTCCTGAGGCATCGTCGAGCGTGTTGGTCCCGAATTTACCTTGGCAAAATGCCAAAACTCGCCCAAACTCCGTCAATGAAGCTTCAACCAAGTGAGCTGGCGGTGATCTACCGGACCGGACTGTCCCTTTGGCCTTGTCTAGGTCGTCCAGGAAAGTCAGGCTCCTTTTCAGAGCAAGAGAAGTCTCTGACTCTTCCTCGTCTTGCCTTTTCGACTGCCTGGAGATGAGACCGTGAGTTCCAGAACCATCATTCCCGACATTTTGTCCTGGAAAATCATCTTTGCCCCAGACATACTCGAAAACTTCTGTATGGCCAACGCCCTTGTACCATGCTCTTGTGTTGTCGAGATCCCCTTCTATTCGATGGAGGATTCCATGCAGAAACATGGCTTCCCATGCTGGATCTGCCTGCATATGTCGTAAAAGAAAATGTGCACTGGGTAAGTCTAGGTTCAGAATGTGGAGTAAAGCTTCCAGGACTGGATGTAAGGATAGATTGGTGATGTGCGAGGACGGGATTAGAGGTTTGGAGGGAGATATTGGGAGAGAGAATAGGGGCCGTAAGGGTCTAGAAGTTGGATCCTGCGCAGAAGCGCTGGGAAGTAGCTTCGCGATTATATCTTGGTAAGAAGACATAGCTGACATAAGTGATGAAGAATTCTCGAATTCAAGAGTGACATGTTTGTGGGTTGTACACGAAGCCATAGATAGATGTTCACTATATTTGCCGACGTCATGACCTCAATGTAGTGTAGGTACAGTCCAATACGGACGAAGGACTTGTTCGTATCGGTCCACTGTCAGCGAGTGGGCATATGCCATATGTACAATGTATCTTGTATGGTAATGGATCAGTCTCATCTCTTTTTCTAGGCTACGAAATTGCAATGCTAACATGGTGCTTGACAATCGCGCCTGCCTCTCAAGAACAAAGGTTGACAGCTTAGCCACGTGATATTTGTCACACGATGTGGTTGCACTTCCTCTTCATTCGTCTGCTTTCCCTTTATTTCATCTTATCTGTCTTCTACAACTCTCCACCTACGAATTTCGTCACTATTCTCAGTCGTTGTCTCAATCCCAAATCCTCTGTCTCTCGTTCCTGATCTCTGCTGGCCACGATCTGTCCCTAAGGATAGTGCCACAATCTACCTCCAAGATGGTGGAAATCTTCTCCTCATAGTCTTGAACTCATCTTCCGCAGATCAGCAACAACTTCACTTGCACCTCTCTCTCCTGACCGAATCGCTCCTTCCATATAGCCTCGCCACACGCTTGTCAACTCAGTTCCAACAAAGTGTATGTTCCCAACCGGTGCCAACAGTGCTTCCCAGCCGTCCGCCAACACCCCTGGAGGCATCACTGGGCATGGGCATCCCCACCCAGAATACGTCTCTTCCATCCATGGTGACTCAAAAGATTCAACAAAAAGATCCTTGATGTCCTCTCCACCTGCCAAAATATCGCTAATCTGCTTCAACACCGAATTCTTCTTGCCCTCTGCATCTTGTGCAGCCCATTGCCGCCCAAACTGTCCCCCTAAGAAACATGTCAAGCTGTATGTTTTGCCGTCGTTGAGGCTTGTGTCTCGGAACACCGACACTGGTCCGGTGAATGATTGTGCCAGGCCGCAAAGCTGCTGGTCCAACCAGAACGGTCTTGTAAACGACACAATATATTTGGTGTAAAATCCATATCGCGTTCGATTAACAACCGCAGTCTTGGATGCAGGAAGGGGAGGTTCAAATGTGAGTGTCTTGTAGACCGGCGTAGGAATCGAGACAATCACCTTGCGAGATTGGAACGTTCGAGGCTCAGGTCCCTGGACTGACACAGAAATTGCCCCTTCAGCCCCATGGGTGATGGACACCACGGGACTGGACAACCGGAGAGACCCCTTCTCTAGCATCTGTGCCATGCCTTCAGAAAACGCAGACGTTCCCTTGTCAAGTCGAAGATATTGGCCTCCGCCTTTGGCATCGCTGCGCATCGTCATCAGTCCTCCACCAGCAGCGCAGTATTCGAGAAAATACAACGCCGACACTTCGCTTGGATCCACTCCTAGCATTGCGTGCGTCCACACTTGTGCCGTTGCAAAGGCTTTAGGTGTTACCTTGGCATCCTCGAGGTACTTCTCAAAGGATATCGAATCCAAATGCCGCCGATGAGGTCCTGCAGAGAATATCGATGGCTGCTGAGACGTCGCAGCACTTTCGACCAGATCACGTATGGAAATGCATGACTCAGTGTCTTGTGACTCTGGGTATTTCGGTGCTTCACCATATCGAAACTTGATCAGGGATCCATCAAAGTCCTGCACAACCACATTTCCAACCGTGTTCTGAACATAGGTCTGAAGGCCCAACTGTTTCGCCAATGCCCACATGCGGCTCTGGTTGGTATCATTGATCCATGCTGCTCCCAACTCAGACTTGACCTGGCCTGTTTTGGAGCGAAGTGACAGCGTTTTGCCTCCCACTCTATCACGAGCTTCGAGTACGAGACACTTAAGGCCTGCCCGTTGAATGTCAAGAGCCGCCTGCAAACCGGATAGACCAGCTCCCACGACAATCACATCTACCGTCGAATGTGACATTCTCTGAAGTGCCTTGAGGGGCGAATCTAATCTTTTGCCAGATATAACGGAAGCGGCCGACTGATACGGAGACTCTTCCAGAAACTCTTCAGGAACCAGATTGGGAGCTTGCGTATACATCCATAGTCATATCTTGTGGGTGTGGCGCGATATATATACATATTCAAGTTGTATCAAGAAAATCAAAGCGGAGCTGCCGACGCGAATCTCCGCTCTGACCTCGCTCGCGCCGAGCTCCTCTCCAAAGCCCATGGACCTCCGCCAACCGACCACGCACAGAACTATACCTTTGCAACAGTTGCAGAAAGTGGATTAACATGACCACGAGTCACGTCAGAACAGATTCTCTTCTCACTGCCCAAGATACCTTGTGCCAAGGCTGGGAGGGGTATCGCATCCAGAATTCCACGAAGCGAACTTAGGTATATGATATACCTGACTTTGCATCATCATGGCCCTCCAGACTGATCCTCGGTGGTGTCGCTCGAGTTTGGGTTGAGATACGGAAGGCCGTGCCGTCAAGGAAACGCATGGACAAGCCCAGCAATCTCCTGTACTGATTGCTACTGGATAGGGTGGAAACTAGACGCCGGCTACTTTGGACCGGAGAGGCAGGCGTCGACAGATGCCCAGTTGACAACCAAGAGCAGTCGACCTCCCACTTATTCGTACACTGCGAGGTGGCGCAGTCCGTATGGAGGGAGATGGCTGGAATCCACCGGAGGGCAACAAGGCACCGTCCTGCGGCGCTGCAAGTCCCAATACCGGAGACCAAGGAGGAGCTCCTGGTATATGCGCTAAAGTGGCACCTGAGGTTGAAAACAAGTATGACAAGGCGAGATGGCTTGCGCTCTTCCCGGAAGCTATATGACAGATATGGAAGATCTATCTGAACAACCACTTCCGGGGGGAGAACTTTTCGGCGAGGTGGCTGGTCAAACTCTACCGGAAAGCCATCAAGACAAGAATCGTAGTGGAACGGGCAATGATCTCCTGCCCGGAGAGATGCGACATGCGAAAGACTACCAACACCTTCTTTGCCAGAATCTGGGGCCAGTCGGTTGACCGGATCCTTGTTGATGGCGTGCGCGTCTTTGGCCCTTGTTGGGAAGTTGTCGAGAAGGCGCCAACAACACCTTGGAGGTTCAGCCTCGTCACTTTCTTACCACCAAGTAACATTAACTGGTTCTGGGGATGACAATGGCAAACCCCAGCCCGTTGGTCAAGTGCAGTGAAGGGTGATCTTCACGTTCGAAGGCGAACGGCCGGGCTATTCATTCACGACCAGATGGCTGATCAACATGATCTCGCTCTCTTGTTGCCTTCCTTCGCCAAACTGGACTTCAGCACGTCTCTTGACATATACTTTCCCTAGATTCATTAACCCTTATGTGCTTCAGCCCACACCAATCGTCAAGATCCTACTTTCATCAAAAAGATTGTCCATCCTTCATCACAAGATTCGGCCAATCCCAAGGCTGCAGTGTTCGTCTCTACTATTTTCTCCGCGACGGTGATCTTGACGTGATTCTAACTCGATGTCCACCAACATGAGTCCTTCAACCACCTCCCTCAAAAGCAAAGGCATTCTAAACGGCGGGATCCTCAAGCCCATGAAGCGTTGCCAAACACATTCAGTTTCTCACAATGGACGAGTCCAAAAGAACCCAAGACCATCGTCAGCCAGCCGACAGAGCTTGACTTCAATCATGCCCACTCGCCGTGTCTCTCAAGGAGCCCATCTTCGAAAGAGGTCAGAGCGACTGGCTCTGTGCCTCGCAAAGGCCGACAATCAGATCTTAAACATCTCAGCTCCGGTGGGTGGACAAAGTGTACCTCCCCAAGCAAAGCCTTCTGCGCCTCTGGTGGTTCCTGGCCCAGAACCAACCTCTTCCGCCGGTCATCCTCTCGAGTTCATGGGTAGACCAAAGATATATCGCAGTCCCGATCTCTTCGGCGGGGACTCAAAGTACGCCGACCCCGACTTCAAGCCCAGCCTGGATTCTCTGCGAGATCCGCACCAGCAGCATTTGACATGGCCTCAGTACGCCGCGTCGCCTCAGTCTGCCCAGGTAAGGCGACAACTTCCTACTGAGTCCTTGGGAGGGCAGATGGAAGTGAGTACAGTTGACAAAATGGAACTGGAAAGTCAGCAATTGAGCATCCCACTGGAGCAAATCCCACGGCATCAATACAAGGACGTTGTCATGACAGACCCGTCGGGATACGATAACAAGCAGACGTCAACAGACACAAGCTGTGTTGTGCTTGCCATGCAAGACGTATGCGTGGATTCATCAACGCCGCCCGAGACGCAAGGACCCTGTCCTCCATCCTCAACTGGGTTCGTTCGCGACGGATGGCTAGCCAAAAGACATGATCAGAAACGTCTTACGTCGCGCTTACAGCGATGGCATCCGCATCGCCGCCAGTCTACCCCAAAGAAGACTGAGTCGGAGTTGCTCTCCCCAAAAGTCCTGGAAGAGATCTTCAAGCTGGATCAAGAGCCAGAGCCAGAGTATGCTGTAGATAGTCAGCAAGCTACTGTTGTACAACATGTCAAGGCATCTGGTGAGGCCTTGCGCCAGAATCGGCCTCGAAAGAATGTCCGCTTCAACCTGATCCCTGAGATACTGGGGCCTCGACACGTCTCGAGCGATGACGAGGACTCAGAGGTTGGCCCACTTGTCGGCGTGGAGCAAGAAGATGTTCCAGAAAACCTGGATGACCTCTACACCAGTCCCATCGTGAGAACTTCCGGGGAAGACACCACCTCGAAGAAAAATGGGGTCACGCAACAACGACAACGAGATTCCAGCGAACCACGACAGCAAAATAGACAGTCTCAAAGAATCGAGGCAGCCCAGAAGGAGACACGACTGGATGACGGGACCATGCCCAACAAGGAGGGCGTGAATGAGCCTCGATCTCGTCTGGTGACAAGGGTTGGAGCCGTGATTTCACGGTATATGCCTGCCTCGCTAGGCCGGTTATGGGTTTGATTCATCCAAGAATCTCAAGCGTCCAGTATGCTGCAGGAGGAAATCAAAGACGTAAGCGCAGGGAAACAGCAAACAAGAACAGGAAAGTGATCAGATGAAGGAATAAGGCTCACGTGAGGACCAGGGCATGCACTTCAAAGAGCATGCCCCGGCTGGACATGAAGACAAGGGTTGAAAAGAGCGGATGTCGGAGTCCATCTCGGAGAGGACCCGGCAGCAATATTGTGATGAGAGCAGAAGGACTAAGGCACAAATTAAGTTGAGAGACACAAGGATAGAGAAATGGTAGAAACGTTGGAAGCGACCAATCCTAAGCCCAAGAGCAGAATTCAAGTCCTCAGTACTACATTCGTACTCCACGACACGGTCATCTGTGTGTCACAACGAAGATAACATTAAATCCAAGCATGGTGTCGTCCCAAGATGATGTCGCACAGTGATGGAATCTGCTTGTCTGGTTCGTATACATGGCTGGGATACAGTGACAGTCTGTCCAGGCAAATCTTTGCTCACATTCTCAACCCAACAGCTCATTTACGGTCACCGACAAGATCAAGATATGGGATAGGCTAGAATATAGGCTACCTATCATTCTTTCCTCTTCTAAGGATGCATGTCCATCCAAAGCGCCATGCCCTGTCTATGGTATATCCAATGCGGGGTTTCAAGATTGATCAGGTGAGAAATATTAATCGGAGCTTCGTTTTCGCTTCGCTTCCCCTCTTTTCTTGATTTCTATCTAACCTTTACCGTCTCACGCTCACCTCTCGTTTGATTTGGCTACGTAACTCGAAATATTGCCCAACGAATCCGAATCGTCTGGTCGAGTCAGGTCCGGTTCGGAGGATTTGGTGAGAAATGGTGTCATACAGACACATTCGTCGTTTGGTTCTGGGCCGCGACTTAGGGGAGACGTCCATCTTTCTAATTACATGTACTCCGTTCCCCCGCTGCTTCAATGTGACCCCTTCATTCAGAGCTCTAATTGATATCAAGTCTTAAAATCTTGATTATCCCGCTACATACTTGTTCAGAAGTTAGCACTCGTGACAGAGGAAATCGTGTTCCTGAATTGATTGATCTTTCGTCCAGCATCAACAGCCATGCCACGACAAGATATCGAGTTCAAAACTTCAGACCATGTCACTCTACGTGGCTGGTTCTACACCCCTGAAGGCCATGACGGAGTCAAACTACCTGCCATAGTGCTCGCCCATGGGTTCAGCGCTCTCAAGGAGTTCGACCTCGATGCATTTGCCGAGTATTTCGTTTCGAAACTGCCCATTGCCGCTTTGGTCTACGACAATCGTGGCTTTGGAGACAGTGACCAGAAGGATGGCGAGCCTCGTCTGGAAATTGTGCCGGCTCTGCAGATCTCCGATTACTCGGATGCCATTACATATGTCTCGCAGAGACCCGAGGTTGACCCTGACCGTATTGCTATTTGGGGCTCATCCTACAGCGGCGGCCACGTTTTATATGTCGGCGCGGTTGATAGGAGGGTCAAGGCGGTATTGAGCCAGGCTCCATTGGTCAGCGGCTGGGAGAATTTCCATCGCTTGGTTAGGCCTGATTTTGAGGTTGGCTTCAATGCCATCTTCGCCGCAGGTATGTGGTGGCATTTATCCCTTTTCTCCCGGTCAACTCCCTCCCCACATCACCGCGGCTGATCACAACCAGACCGGATTGCAAGATCACAAGGCAAAGACCCGGGATTTGTACCTGTGGTCGATGCCGATCCCTTGAAGCCATCTGCTTTGCCGACTCCCGACAGCCATCAGTTCTTTTCCTCCTGGGAAGCCAAGTCTAAATGGGAGAACAAGATCACTGTTAGGACGTGAGTTTATTAATGCATCTTGTTCCCCTTTCGAAAGCTAAAGCACCGTCAAGTATTGAACTCTTCCGAGGTTATGAGCCACAGCAACTGATTGAAAGGATTTCACCCACGCCGTTGCTCATGACTGTTGCTAGAGACGATGTCCTCACGCCAGCAGACCTGGCATTGGCTGCGTATGCCCGCGCCAGAGAGCCCAAGCAATTGCAACTGCTACCTGCAGGCCATTTCGACGCGTACACTGGGTCCTTTTTCGAAAGAAATGCTGGGACCCAGGCGGAGTTTTTGAGAAAATGGATCATCGACACTGCCTAATCCGTCCTCGTCATGGAGACGCATACATACCTGATTGGGGCAAGGACCGAGTATTTCAGGGCCTCCAATGGCAAGTTTGCTCGTCTTTCTATGAATGCAAGAGGCATACATGGATGATGCGGGTGGTATATGTGCAATCAGACCACAGGAGGGGGAAAGGCAACAAAAGCCCACTCAAATCATGCCATCGAAGGTTTGGCCGTGGACGCAAACGACGCATATGAGGGCGACACAGGCAACGACAGCTTGGGCAGATCACTGTCAGGGTAGCATTTGCTGTGAATGCAATTGGCTGTCGCTGCTCAGAACCCCCCATCGTTGTTGCTTCGTAGCCTCGTAGAGATAAAGATTTGTTCCAATTATTGAGCAACTCATTGAAACTTTGTTCCTTCCCAGGGTTGGATGGTTGATGAAGATCTGACTTGCTTCTTCGCTCAAGCGCCGGCCGAAAGTTGCAGGGGTTCAAGTGTCTTGATGAGCAATCCAGAGGCTCGGCCCAGTTCGCCGCCCTCCTTTTTGGCTGCATCGATTCCAGCCCATATAATATCGTGATAGGATCTTGAAAAGAGTTCTGACCTATCGTCCTGACCTTCGAGCATTTGATGACCGGGATCGGTGGGTGGTCCAAATAGATTGAGCTGGGCATAGGGATTTGATTTTGTCGGTATCGACATTGCTGTAATATCCCAAAGTGGAAATCCGAAAGTAATCAAGTCAATGTCCGAGCTTGTTGGATCTTCATGAAGCCCTTGGCGTAGAAAATCGGCGAGGACTTGCATGATCCTGGCAGTAGATTTGATGTCTCCTCCAAAAGAAGTCTTGGTAGAGGACCACTTTGTTGAATCTGCGGATCTCCAGCCGAGAACTGTCAAAAAGCATTCCAGAGTCTGAGACCAACCTCCTGCACAAGATACCAGCTCGATGCCGGCGACTTTGATCACGTAGGACAAAAAATCAATGGCGGAAAGGCGAATGTCTTTTGACAGATGGGTCATGCCGGCTCGCATGTATGGGAGTAGCTTGGAGACATGATCGCCAATATCTTCCGAGGAAAGACTTTGGAACAGTTTCAACAACTGGTTGCGAACGCCAGAGGAGGCGTCAAGGATGAGGGGGCATGTTGCGGTGAGAAGGGCGTTTGCCGATACTGGCAGGGTGGAACCAGGGCGAGAAGCAGTGATGTATGCTGTTAAATAGGCTAAAGAGTCTTTGCGTTGGGTATCAGAGCGAGATGAAACAAGAGAAAGCTGGTGTTGAAACTTGGTTGACTCCGCGGGGGCATTCACGTCAAGTTGTTGAGACAAGACAATCGCTGTTTCTTGAGTCAGCTATCGAAGTGGCAAGATGGACACAAGAACAGCAAGGACCTTACATTTTGAACGAAAACTGGTGTCTGTGGTGTTGGCAGCTTTGGGTCTCGCCTTGCCCACCTTCAGTTTGGGTTTCTACCAAGAAGAGGTCAGTCAGCATTGAGGGCCATGAATATGAGGCAGAGCAGAGCGGCTGACTTGAAAGTCCTTCTTCTTCTCCTTCTTTTTCTTGGCACTTGAGCCCATGATTTGGGAATCAAGTCGTCGACTCAAGTATTCGGTGTCATTCACGACGAGATGCGGAGTTGTCGTGAAGTGCAATGAGGTTAGAAACCGTGGAGGGAAAAAATTCGAGATGCGCGGAGAAACGTTCAAGAAATGGGCAGGAAGGAGCCTTCGACAACGGGCCGGGCCGCCAAAGCGGAAAGACCCAATTAGGAAGGAATCTTTGTGTCACTGAAATCCCCAATTCTGCGGAGATGGATTTCATGCTGTAATGAAAACCCATCGTCCCTGTGATCACTCACGCCTCTTGTCCCACATCTCATGTTCATGACAGTTGAATTAAACTTGCGTCAGCAACCTTGCCTCTCGGCTTCCGGCAAGCATCTCGTGCATGTTCCAACGGTCGCAAGAGCTTGACCGATCCAAGTGCAAACCTTGAATCAGCGCGCGTCCAAACGCGACTTCGGTTTACACCAACCCTCAGGAGCCTTCTGAGATGACTGTGCGATCGAACTCGGCAATCTCTTGCTCTTGCTGTTCGTGAGTTGGACATGGCCCAGAATGACAGAGTGGGTAGCCAGCAAACATTACTGTCGCCATGTGACTGACTGTAGCTTCTTTTAGGGATATCCCAACGTCAGCTCGGTCGACGCCACTCTCCGCGCATTGACGGACCGCCCCAATGTTCAGTCAACACTCATACTTTCTAAAAGAGATGGTTCCATCATTCGGGCAACGGGCTTGATCGTATCAGGGAAACACTCGGTGCCCCGCGCAGGCCAAACATCTAGGTGGACCAGCGGCCCCGGCCCCAGTGTGACACAAGACTCTGGAGCTGGCGAGGGCGGCGACCACGCTGCTGACGGTCAAGAGCAGGGTGAAGAGTCTAAACACCAGGTCACACCGGCTGAGGTGTTGGCCTCAGCCATCTTCCAATTTGCCAAAAACGCATCAACCGTCGGAGCGGTATTGGGGGGAATATCTCGAGAAGCGGACAAGACATCTGGTGGGATCTACGGAGATGGGTCGGCCTCGATGCAGGAAGTAGCAGGCGAGGACGAGTCACACAAAGTCAGGGAGGACGAGGTTCAATTGCTCAGGCTACGGACCAAGAATCAGGAAATCATAATTTTCCCCGACCCCAACTACATTTGCTGTGTGGTACAGAGAATGGGCAAGGTTGGAAGTGCTACGGATGGAAAATAAAACAATGGAATGGCAGCAAATTAGAGGCTGGGGAGAGAGTGTGCAACATCCAGCAAGCAACAGGGGGCCACAATGAGACTCATGGAGACACCCATGTCCCTAACATATTATTGCGTTATTGTGTGCTTCGAGTGTGGAATGGCGAACGTGGTCACCTGCCTATTTTGACCACTGCCACATTGCATTTTGTGTTGTGGCCGGAGCACAGATAAGAATCATGAGATGCAGCCTCAATTGGTGTGAATCATCCATCAACTGATTGTAACTCGGACTCCAGATGCCTCAGTGCCGTGCTCAGGAATCATGCTGGAGTCAATGTGAATGGACAATGACCCGGATGTTATCTACACATCGGACAAGTTTGGGTTCATGCGCTCATGCGCTCGCTTGCCCCAGATTCTTTATCGCCAATCCAGTTGGGAAAAACTACCCTGTTATCGCGGGGCTACCGCCTGGACAACTGTAACCTTTGGGATCGTGCCATTCTGAAGGCCCGGAGCCGCCCTCTGCCTATCACCCGGTCAAGATTGCAACTGTCACGACGCTTCGCTATCAGTTGAAGTCGTGCCAAAACCATGTTCTACCAGGCGGCCATGGTGAAATCAACATGTCAGTGGTCGCTCCTGCCCTTGGTTTGGCACCTTCAGCACGGCGATCTCCACCGGCTTCTTATCAGCTTCTAAGCGAATTCGGCACACTGTGATTCTTCAATACTTATTAAAGAAACCAAAGTCGCATCTCAATCGTCTTTCTTGTACGTACTGGATGGTGTCTGCTACCTGGTGTCTGCTGCCTGCGTTCTGACGTCTATGGTCTACGGTACGCGAAAATGCCATGGAACAAGCAGTCCACCCAAAGCACACGACATCCCACCCTCCTTGAACTCAGCACCAAGTCCAAGCCATTGAAATTGCAGCAGATACCTCTCCCAGAATGCCTTGACCAGATACAGACACGAACACAAACGTCTAGACACACGCAACTTGCTTACTAGAGGCGACAGCCAACGTAACATGTCCACCACCTCCGGGATCTTTCCACATCCTACAACATGTTGCTAAGTACAGTAGCTCCTTGCCAGTGTCGACCATCCCTCCACTTGACCTGTACCCGAGGACCCTACGACCGACTCGAGAAGTGCGAATCAGATACCAACAACAAAGGAAAAAAGGGAGGAATCACGGCGCCACCATACGCGTCGGCTTGCCCTGCCCACGCACCGAAGTTTGGATGACGGATGCCTCGTCTTGCCGCCATGACCAGCCTACCGCTCATCCCAGCAAAGAACCATCACAATTCCATTTCCTTTACGAAGTTTCATGATTCATCCAGCTAAGCCTAAGGTTCCCGGATCCTTTCTTTCTCTCTCACAGCTGTGAATGAGAAGAAAGCCAATTTGCAGAACCGAACACTAGCGTGGGGATGTGCATCTGCGGCCTTGGAACCTTGGAACATGGCGCTACCTGTTCAACTCGTCCTTCGACCTCTCCACCCATGCTTGCCCAGTCGAATGATCTCTCACTCTCGCCTCAATGCTGACGCATGTGCACTGAACTTGACTATTGCTCAACAACTTTCGAAAACACGTCGCTTGCACACCACAACACGGATGTTGAGCTGTCGCCTACACGGTAAGATCAGGCTGGGTTCCCAATAGGGATCAGCATTCTTGGATATTGGGGGAGCTCTTGAGCTCTCTGCCAATTCTAACTTATGCCCCACTAAGATGGTTCTAGGCAAGGCTCCGAGTCAATCAGAAAGGTGCCGAGAAATGCAGCTAACCCTAGCCTGCAGCTTGAGAGAAGAAAGATGGCGACTAACATTTTAGACTTTTAGCAACTGGCCTGTGCTGCGCCCAACGCCAGAGGGTTTTGCCTTGTCGGTCCGATTCAAGTCAGCATTTCGAACGGGTTCTGGTGTCCGACTTGTATTCGTGCCGCCCAAAGACAATTCCATGCTCTCACACTAGCATGACTACGGAGTAGTCAAGGAGTGATCACCACCCACCCTGGGACTTGGGAACCCTCTGAGAGTTCACATATTTGTCTACGGAGTAGGTCCCTTCAAGGTCAACGTTGAGTCAGACCAATCGATGCACCAAGTCGTTGACAAATCTTGATGAATCTCCGCCCGATCACCATCGTTTCACATTTGATTCTCGATTCGAAGGCGAGCTGATGGTTTCCCAACACAACGTCATGATCGATCCCAAATCTGTGACATCTGTGTGTACTGTTCAATTACACACTATGGACCGACGTGTGGGATGCATCTGCTATCCGAACCGATGACCAACATCTGCCAAGAGGGTTTGCGCAATGACATATCCAATCCAGTCCTTGTTTGGGTGATTACTCCCGGGCAATACATCGCCGAGTAGCGTTGCTCGCGCCTACTCGTATCCTCAATTTATTGATGCTCGCTTGAACGGGAGCTCTCAGGACCCTCTTTTTGTGACCCACTCATTACACGCACGGATTATTGGAGAGCGACTTCTTTTTTTGGTTGTTACTGGTCAATTAACGGTGTTGATGTCTCTACGAATATATGTACGAGACGCAGTTGCCGACTGGCGCCAGTATCATTCTTAGAGACGATGTGACGGGGCTGCCGCAGCGTGCATTTGGATGTCTCGCTCTTCTCCCGATTCATCTCCAGTCGTCCGTGGTGTACGCTCAACCGAATTTCTGCTGAGTGTCGTGGCACGAACCATGTTTCCCCGAGACGGTGGATAATAACGTTCTGGTAAGTCTCGAAGGTTTGGGCCTGCAATTCTTGGAGAACAAGGGCGTGTTTGAACTGTCATGACTGTCAACAGGTGGTCTTGATTGACCCTGGCGACGTTTGGCGGGGCAACATTTCCGCCGTGGCTGGTCGGGCGGATCTGACACGAATATATGACAATAACCATTACATAGCACCAGAGAGTTAGGGAATCTCGAAAGGGAAGCAGGCCATTCGACTGCGCTTAACACATTTCTCTTTGAAAATCACCGTCGCTCATGTCAAAACAAAGTCTAGCTTAGGTACGTTTAGAAATATGATTTTCCATTTTTACTTTATTTTGTGTCGAAGGGTTGCAGATGTGTCTACCGTAATCCCTGAAGTGAGTGACGTGCTGGCTGTTTGACGATCTGAAAAGCTGACCCACAGACACCTCGGGCTTCACTTTGGTGGGCTCGGGTATTCCATGGGGCGGATTGATGCTTGCGAGTGCGCCATGCACACAAGGACATGGTTACTGGTCCACCATTTGGCATATTGACGGTAGGCGACAGTTGACCCGTCGTCGAGGTTATAGGCTCAACAGCGCAAGGACGAGGACATGGGTTTGACTGGCACGACTGAGCAATCGTGAGAGATTGTGCCAAGTATACCAGTGGGATACGCCTTGACTCAGGATTCAGGGTCTGACCAGACCGGCCATCAGTCAACTGTATACTGCAATGCACGAAAGCCAAAGGAGACGCCGGGGTGCAAGTCTTGGGACCAGGGAATACTTCATGTCAGATCAGGTACATCGGGCAGTGTGCCACGCTCGGATTGTAGTTGCTCTTGTCTACGTATCAGCTGCGGTTTTCCAGGAGGTTAGCTTAGCATGCAATCAGTACTCGTACATGTCCGGGGCTTGGAGTCAACCAAAGAGATGATTGTTTGACTCACTGTAGCTGCTGTTCGGTGGTGTTCAGGGGGTGTGATTCACCGAAAGGATTGGGCGACGGGGCGCCCCCTCGGCCCCATGGCACCCATGGTGCACCCTGGAGGATGGAGGAATACAAGGAGCTACTCGTAAGTGGCTAGGTACGAGTAGCCGTGGTTCACCCCGCGCTAATGTACGTTCGTCTCTCTGCAACTCGGGATCGAGGGGTGAGATCATCGAGACAGCTCGAGATCCGACTGGACATCCAGAGGGTCAAGGATTAGGACAGCTTGCAGTTGACCAAGAGTCGCTGCAAGCCTACCAGTAAGTAACAAATTAAGTACAGTACGGGAGGACTTAAGTTTTAGGCGGTCATACCCAGTCGGAGCTCTACCGCCGCAACTGCCACTGGTTCAAGCCTGAGTCGATCAACAAGCTCATCACTTGGATCTGAGTTTGACCATGAGTTCCATGCGCCTGAAGAAGGGACGCTGTCAGTGAGGGCATTCTAGTAGAGGGAGTCACCGGTGGCCAGACCTCTTGGAAATTTGCCAAACTGCATCTCTCATACCTGGAGCTGTACCGCCATCAAGCAGCACATGCTTTGAACAAAGCACGCCACGAAGAACAGGATTATGGTGAAGTATGGCATGTCACACACGTGAAAGATCTCACCGACCGGATCCATCGATGCAAGTCAAGGAGGGGTCCACCCACCAAAACAACGGCGGAGGTAGAGGGGGCCAGTTCTGGTGGGACTTTTCCTGTCGTCTGGACCTTTTTGATTATATTCTAATGGCGCATGCAGAGAGGCCCTTTAGATCAAGCGTGCCAATTTTACTACTAATAGTGTACAATAATATACCTATGTCTGGGTCAACGTGGTATTGCCGTCGACATGCTAAAAACCCGCAGGGAGAAGCATCACATGTTGGGCATAATGATCATACTTTAAAAAAAGGACCAAAAGGGTGGAAGCAGCGCCACTGTATGCAATGCACGCTTTAGCGGCCGCGGGCTTTTCTTTGACTTTGACATGACTCCCAGTTGTAACCATTGGGCTGGACCCATCCGCCATCGGCCATGCGTCTCTCAAGGAATGCGAATTGTACCAATCATATGACTCAGTGGTGGCGGGTAACTTGAACAGGGGGGAACGGACCAAGGAAATCGCCATTGGCAGCGTAACAATTGTACAGTAAGAGAGGAAGGCCAGTGCAAGTCTGTAGGAGTGCTAATAATGATCAAGGTACCTCCCTAAGGTAAGGTAAGGTAGGCATAAAGGTACCCCCCGTGGCGACGCTCATGCCGCCCTACTATGCATGCTATTAAGATTGCTCCGAAGGAGGGACCTTCACCCCGGAATACCTATTGCCGAGGAAATCAAAAGTCAAACGATCGATGCCTCAAAGGATACGAAATTATTATTGTTATTCCCCAGCGGGGTTGGATTGAAGGTCTCATAGTAACAACCACTACTGGTGATAGTCGCCCCCGCCCATGAGCCCCCCATTTCAAATCCAACCTCTGGTCATCATCGAACGTCAACCTCGCACTTGCAACAGGTTTTGTGGTTGATGATCCAGATCATCATGGCTTTTTCAGGTGGTGGCACTGGTGGCAATGAGTGGTTAAAAATGTTTTAGGGAGTTCGCTGTGGTTGGAGTTGGCGCATGGCATGCCGGCATGTGCCTGCATGTACGTGAATGCGTAAGGGCGTGCCCAGGAAAGCTAGGTAGGTACCTACTTACAGAGCATCCCTCTAGATACCTCTAGGTAGTAGGTAATCGGTATAGTAGTTGTCAAGGTACATGGATGGCATAGACAACATAGCCCCATGGCTACACAAACTGTCATATTTCCGGCCTGTTGGGATGAGCGCAATTGAAGCACCCGGTGATTTTTCGCATCCGAAAGCTATAGAGACACAAGAGGGTCCAAGGGAATCTCAATCGACATGCGACTACCGGCTTACCACTCTGGTCCAGTACCTCGAAATGGAAAAACCCCAAAAGTCAGGACTCGTGTCAGAATAGCCTAAAACGGGTCCCCAATACTCGGCCGAGGGACCTACTGCCCATGCCTACGCTATGCCTACTTACTGTGTAGTCCAAACGGTGGCGACGCGGCAACAAATCGGCGTCACAGGTGGGGCTGAGAGAGGGGCTCGAGGGGCACCTTGCAGCCTGACAAGTGCTTGCCGAAGCCTAGAAATCACAAAATCAGGGCAATACGCCAGCGACGGCGGCTCTCTACTGGTGACTTGTCAGTGGTTGACGACTACGGAGTAACGACCCATCAAGCCAGATTCCAGAGACCAAATGCGCACAAGCCGAGTGGGTGTCGATCATGCATGGAATTACATTCGGGTCCATCTTGTTGGCTCATCTTGATTCTTGACCACATCCATGTTGACTGGGAACCAGTGGAGTCTGACCTGCCGCGCCGGAACCCAACGGTGGTTTTGCGGAATACTGGAATGAGAGCACAGTTCACAGGAGGAGTACGTAGCCACTGTCGCACAGTTGTAGTAAAGTAGTGATACAAAGTAACTTCAACCGGCATGCCGATTTGCCCATTGCCATTGCCATTTGCCGTGTTTCGGATTGTTGTGCCGTCAACTTCACGTGTCGATGATTATCCCACGAGTCATGACTCTTGCGCATCATGCACTTCTGTTGAGGCGGTGGGGTCTGATCGTTGCCTGAGGACTGACGGGCTGAAGCCTCAAACCTCGATATGGTCACCATTCTGCCATTCTAAGTAGTGCATGCTCCGTAGTAACTTTGTAGTCTCGACTCTACTTAAGCCAAGTGTCAAGCTCCAAAAGCATATGATTGTCATACCATTCGTGTCAAACTCCACATGTCGCTCCCTTCCCAACACCTTCGACACCACCATCACCATCACCAGGTCAGCAACCAATCCGTGGATGACGCAGAAGGCCTGAATAAGTCTCGATGATCGGCTCCTTGGCCGAACAGAACTATTCCAGGCTGTGCTCCAAAGTAAGGTGTTGCCACCATACCGGCCTAGCAATTCGTTGGAGTGGCCATATAATCAATGCCTATGTAACAATTCGCCTGTAAATCAAAGTGGACTCGGAGTGGCTGCACAGGTCACTCATGATTCATGAACCAAGCTCTGTGGAATTCATGCAACCGAGCGGTTACCAATTTCAACGACTGTTGAGTACTGTCACCATTATTATTCAAGAAACTCGAGCAGCTCCAGTTGTGAGATGCGCCGAGAGGCCTCCCACGCTTTGACATGGTGGCTCACCCACGCTACGCCCGCAGCCTAAAATCCAAAGGCCAATAGCTCGTTTCTGACACTAGAAACTAGCACCAATACCGACGACCTATGAGCACTTGGCCATATGGCCGGAGGCACCGATCTCCCTGTCTTGGCTCGTGGCTAGGAGGTTCGGCTACTTGCTACGGGCACGGGAATTCTCCCTTGGGCTCCGCTTGACTCATTCTGGATCCTCGCCCGAAGCCTGGGCCTACTCGCCCTAATTTACGCCTACTGGTTAAAGTTGCACCTTGCGGAGCATCAATGGGCTAGGACGCCCACTATGCATTCTCATTCTGGAGCCGCCGGGGCCTTGCATGTACCCCTCAACACCCGGACGGACATACTGCGACGCCTACTATGAGATCAGGGACATGTCGACGATGGCTCTGTATCTGATACCCTCAATGCGCAATGTCTATAGATGATTCTTGAAAGAATATACAGGGGCACAGGGGATCCATTTGGCCTCAGGGCTCCTGATTTAGCCGTTTTCAAGGGTGCTTGCGTGTTAGAAACTGACCATGCAGATCTCACGCAGGACGGGATTGATGCTCGCTGATCAAGTGACAACAGCACTCTAGAAAGACGGTGCTAAAGTTCAACAAATACTCGTATGATCGATGTCCCAGGACAAATATCTTGCCGTTGACTCAGTTGTAGTTCATCTTCGCCATCTTAACATAGGGCACTTTACAATGTATCGTTATGTCGTCGCTCAGCACTGCGCATCATGGTCGTCGTCATCAATCCCGACAGTAGAGGCGAAGAGACAATTGCTCGACTCGGCTCGACCCTCTCGATTCCATCGATATACATGAACCTTTGTTGTTAGAGTTTGAGCCTTAAACACTGCCCACCTCGTCTCGGATACACCTCGTTTGACTTGCATCGAGACTTGGACATTCGTCATTCCAACTGCTCGTAACTTGTAACTCCAACAAGAAAACTCTTTCGTTCACAAGGCGAACTACTTGACCTCGATCGCCACTGGTCATATTCCGTAGCGTTACTAACTATCACTTTTATCGAAGAGTGGACTTATTCCGACGTACGGAGTATGCGTGCGGGATTCACAAGGCCGAGTCTCTTGAACAGTCTCCCCGATCCAGGTTAGAGTTGTGTATGGATGATGACTGGATCGCTTGATTGCTTCAAGAAGCTCCACTAGGCCGGAACCCTGGACGCACCAATTCATCCCAAGCGTGACCCTGGCACTCCCTGGCTCGGTCCAGTGCCCCCCCCAGCAGCCTCCAGTGCCCCCCCTTCGGCCCACCGTTGACTCCGTATGCGTAGCACTCCGTATGCCACTATGCGTAGCGTCTGCGTAGGGGCAGCCACGACAGCCACGGCAGCCCACACGTTTCTGCGTCCACTGCTGCGTGCCATTCTCCAACTTCTCTACAACTTTGCGTACCCATCCGTGCCATCCAGATGAACCTTGTCACCACCACGACCCCATCCTGCGCCTTGACCCATTTCCAAACGCCTCCCAAGCTCTCGAGAACCGCTCTCGGGCCTCATCATAGGCTGCGTCGCTCCCGACTTTCGTCAACTTTGACCCTCCGACCCTCACCCTCATCCCTCGATCCCTCCCACCTCCCACCTCCCACCTCATCTTGATTCCCTTCTAACACCCCAGCACCAAACCCATCTCGCCGGACAGACCAACAGACCACACTCCAGTCCTTTCCCCGGTACCTCTTTTTTCTCTCATTCTCACCACCCACGGACTGGCTGTACCTTAGTTCACCGAAGCATATGCTGCTCAACCCGAGGAACCCTGCCAGCCACGCCCGCCATTCGACAGCCTACCCGCTCTTTTTGTCTCGTGCTTTGACTGCACCTACCACGTACCAGACTTTACCTGGGTGCTCCTGCACCCACACCTCCCGAGCCCGCTCGACTCGCTCGACGACACCGCCGACTCTCACCAATAATTCCTTCCTCTTTGTTTTCTAGTCAATCCCAGCTCACTACACTGTACTGTACTCACCGCGCTACATTTCGCTTCTCCTGCATCGCACCTGCATCTTTTTCGTGGCTTCAATGCCGTGCTGATTGATGAAACCGTCCCTACACTGCATCTCATCCCGCTGCACGCGACTCTTCCAGGATCCCCGGTAATGTTGGGTGCAGACTATGGCGAACGTGGGGGCATCGCAGCTTCACACGCACCCTCCGCCGTCCACTCTCCAGCCGACCCCTTCAACTTTCCCCCCTCCGCCAGCCTTGACGATACCGATTCTTCCACTTGGTCCAGCTTAGGACATCTTACTGGAACAACATCGACCACAAATCTTTCTCCTGCAAATCTCTCTCATCTCCCCTCTTCTCATTCAAAGTTCCACACCGACGACCACCAAAGTTCCAACCTGGATATCTCAGACCCCGAAACGCTCGCTCGAAATGAGTTGTTCCTTCGTGGCAATGCCTTTGCCGACTGGAACGACAATGGCTTCTCCTCAACCATGGACAATCCCGCCGACCTCCAGAAACAGGATCCCTTGGGTACTCAGATTTGGAAACTATACAGCCGAACAAAGTCTCGACTTCCCAACCAAGAGCGAATGGAGAACCTCACCTGGCGAATGATGGCCATGAACCTTCGACGCCGTGAGCAACAAGCCCAAGCCCAAGCCCAAGCCCAAGCCCAAGCTCAGGCTCAGGCTCAGTCACAAGCCCAGACACAATCCGATTCCCAATTATCTCAGTCTCAAGATTCTACCACTATGCATGATTCTCGCCCCGCCAACACCGGCTCCCTCCTTAGTGGGAAACAGTCGACCTTCAAACCCCCTCATCAAGTCTCTGCTCCAAGTGGGATTGCTCAGCAATTGCGCCAGTCCATCGACAAGACTGCAGACTCGGACCAGATGCCAGAACCTATGAATATCGACGATTACATCATCCCTAGTTCCGTCGCCTCGCCAGCCGGCATCACTACTCCTGCACCCTCAGAGGGATTATCTTTTTCGAGGGGGCAACAAGGCTCCGGCATGCCCATTGCCTCAAGGAATATGCCTCATGTCCAGATTCCCAGAAACTTGCCTCCCTCTTCATTACCTCAATCCTCCACCACTTTGACCAGGTCTTCAGAGTTTGACTATGTCCAGAAAAGGGTTCGCAAAACCAGCATTGACGAGAGAAGAGGTGTAAGTATTCCTTCCGTTTCCCTCCCTTCCTCATTGACCCCCTTCAGAACCGAAAACGACCTGCAGAATTCTCGCCTCAGGTTCCACCCACCGTCACTACAGCTGGTACATCCGGTAATGAGGGCAATGACTGCTTGCCAGACTACACCCTAGACCAGCCTACGCCGTCAGCTTTTCCTCAGAACGGCACGTTTCCCAATCAAATGTCGCTGAATCTCGACTCATTCCATCTCCACGACGATCCCATCTTGTCCTCGGCCGGCCCCTACCAACAGAACTTTACATTCTCCCCTGCAGCTTCTCCCATGGTTACCAACGGACCTTTCTCCAACGTCTACACCCAGTCTTCCATGGCCTCTTCGTTGAACTCGGCAGACATTTATTCTCCGCCTCAATCTGGATTCCCCTCGGCCGTCTCCACTCCTCAGCCTGGTCACGACAATGATTCCCAGCAATACTATTTCGACCAACAATCTGGCCACCCTCGCTCAATGCCCTTTTACCCTGCTCACCGATCCAGTCAGATCATGAATCCCATGTCTTCACAATTCGCATTTGGTCCTAACAACGAGTCCATCTACACTTCGATGAACGGAGTCGGCTCCGCTCCGGCCATGAACGGTTTTGGCCTGCAGCAACATGTTGACCCGTCTCGAGTCATCACTAATGACTTTGTTCGTCGTGTTTCTCCAGGTGTATCAATGTCTGGCAATGACAATCTCTTCCACTTCGGCGGTGATTCTGATGGCGAGGATGACGAACCAACCTTTGGCGATCGAAGCATCATGATGCAATCTGACTATGGTCAAATGGGAGACCCCACACTGGACCTTAACTCAGGATTACAATGGGATCCCAACAGCGCCGATTTTGGCGGTCTCCAGCGGTATGGAAGCTCGGCAAAACAGGTGCGAATTGGAGGAGCCGAGATGGTCAACACCTCTCCAGACTGGGGCTCATCCATGCTAAGTCGGACTCATGGCTCCGCGGCATCCATCAGTGAGATTAGAAACCGGGATTCGGATCCGCGTCGTCAGAAGATTCCGCGCACTATTTCAACTCCGGCGCTCTCTGGCCATCAGTTGCAATCCACTGAGAGTTCGCCTGGTGAATCTGGTTTTAGCAGTCGCCAACCTTCTCGACCCAGCAGCCCAGGCCCCAAGAACACTGATCCCAACGGTGCTCCTACAACCTGCACTAACTGTTTTACGCAAACCACCCCCTTGTGGCGACGTAATCCTGAAGGTCACCCCCTGTGCAATGCCTGTGGGTTGTTCTTGAAGCTTCACGGTGTGGTCAGGCCATTGTCCCTCAAAACGGATGTCATCAAGAAACGGAATCGTGGTAGCGGTGCTCCGATGCCAGTGGGATCTGCCGCGACGAGAGCGGCAAAGAAAGCGAGCAGGAAGAACTCTGTTCAACAGACTCCAGCAACGACACCCACTTCGGGGAATACTGTGAGCGAACATAATTCTGCCTCGCCAGCCTCTATCCAGGGCTCAGCTCATTCCGGTTCCGCGGTGACGACGCCTACCAGTTATCCTCCTGGGACGATCGGCGGGAAACCTGGGGTTGTGCCGATTGCCGCCGCCCCTCCCAAACCTCCCGTACAACCAGGGCCTAATTTGACGCGGCCTGTTCAGGTAACGCCCAAGCGTCAAAGGCGACAATCTCGAACTTCGAACACTAGCGGACTCGCGAATGCGGGAAGTTCTGGCCCCACGAATGAAGCTGACATGCAGGATGCTGGTCCTCAGTCTAGCAAGCTGGGGCAACCTCCCGCCTCAAGGCCCAAGCCCAACAACATTCCGATGGGCGCAACAACCATGGCTTCTGTCATGCAGGGAGGTGGTTTACTTACACCCGGCATGCAGTCCATGGTTGGTGGACCACACGGTAACAGTCAAGAGTGGGAATGGCTCACAATGAGTTTGTAACGAACGTCTTTGGAAATGTCGACAATCTCTCCCAACCGACGAAACGCGGCCTTTTCAGGCCCGGAATGTCATCTCCCGCGGTTACCAATATATCTAAGTCAACCCTCGAGATTTTCCCAGTCTGACGGCTGGCTCTGGGGGGGACTGGATGAAGACTGAATGATGACGAATGAGGCCGAGATGCGAAGACGGCATATCGGTGATGAGGTGGGAGGGGTAATGACAAGGTGGGATTGGAATATGGGATTTACCCTGGGTATTTTGTGAGATTTACGAAACATGATATCACCGCGTCTGCGTCGGTCGAGCTTGGGTATACAGAGCCCATCGAGCAGAAGTGCGCACCGTTGTTTTATGTTGATGCTTGGTCCAGTGGTTGAATTTATTGAGGAAGAGATGCATCTGCTTTTTGTTCAGATCTAATGAAATAGACCGGTTGTGGTGGACGTGTTGAATGAGGTTGACATGGCTTGATTCTGGTGGGCCGAGGAGCAGTCATGTTGTCCATTGTGAACAAGGACCGAGGCGCAGTTTGAACGCCTGCTGGTTTTGGACTCACGACGAATCTGATATATTGGTCCGGCTGGGTACGACGAGCCTTGTGTGACTTCAATGAAGCTGGCAAGAAATAGATAGCGTCTTGAGTCTGTGTTTTGCGCGAGAACTAGACATGTCAAGATTGTATAAGATTGAATGTTGATCTACATATTCAAGTTGCAACGATGCATTCGCCTACATTCTTCCTTCTCTGTAGCTAGTATCGACAGAGTCCATCTACCGCATTGCTGCTGATATAGATGGTATTAATAGCCTCATCGCGAGGAGATCGATAGTTGTTGTAGCGACAATCCAATAGCATGGAACTGCTGATTCGGGAATGGCCGGCCTTGGCATCGACACCATCTGATTAGATTAAGAACTAATCTTCTCCCCTGGGAGTCACGACATCCTTAGTTTATATACACTCATCGTAAACCACTGACTGGAATTCTCTTCTAACTGTCAACCTGCTATCTTCGATCAGAAGCGCCTTTTCTTGTTCCCCATTTGCATGTCTCTTTCTCCGCTGCACTTGTTCCAACGAGCATTGGTGATTGACCAAGTCAAGGCGACCCAACTCTAGCTAGGCACCCGTGAGTCGTTGGTCTTTGTCTATCTCTCCGTTCATCATCTAGCCTCTTTGGCGACAGGACGATAGATAAAGAGCAGTGGCGTCATTCATTCCACCTTGGAACGACAACAGCGATCCAATCAGCTTTCTCGTCATCGTCTTTGTCCTACTCGTCCATCAAGACACCATCATCCGTCCGCGTCAATTCCTCTCTAAACCTCACAAGGCCTCAAGTCTCGACATTTCGAAATCAATTAGATTCAATCTCGTCATCATGGCATCTAGCGATACAACTGCCGCCCCAACCAACACCACTTTGCAAGCCGAGGTCTCTGGGATCGTGCCTGAGGCTGACATCGAAAAGTCAACGACTGCCGCTCCCAACACGAGTGCTCTTCCCGCAGAAGTCTCGAGCGTCGTCCCTGAGTCAGTTCCAGAGGCAGTCCCGGAAAAGTCGGAAGTTTCGCCACAACCAGCGGCGGTAAGCGTTTTGTGTTTCATGTGAAGCTGATTTCCAGTTGTTGGCCCTAACAAATTTTCCCAGGCGGTGGCCGCGGCTGCTCCAGCAACAACCTCTGAAGCACCCGAAAAGGCCGAAGAACCAAAAGCCGAATCTCCCGAAGAGGAAACGTCTGCTGCTGCTACCCCGATTGAACAGCTTTGGTCCCTGGCGCAATCCAAAGGTCACCCAGAAATCTGGGGCGTGACACTTGCCGATCCAAGTAGCCATGTTCCCACCCAGGTCATTCTTCAAAAGTATCTCAATGCCAACGACGGTGACCTAGTCAAGGCCAAGGATCAGCTCAGCAAGACTTTGGAATGGCGGGCAAAGATGAAGCCGTTGGATTTGATTGGAAAGAAGTTCAACAGGACCAAGTTTGCTGGATTGGGCTATGTCACCGTGTTTGGAGAGACTGAAGCCACCGACCCGGAAGTTCGGGAAGTTTTTACATGGAACATCTATGGTAGCGTCAAAGATGTGAATGAGACGTTTGGAAACCTGGCCGAGTAAGTGTGGTGACTAAAATGGAGTGATGAGAAGGGACTGACTGGCTGCGATCCTAGGTTCATTGAGTGGCGAGTGGTGTTGATGGAGGAGGCATTGCAAGCACTTGGAATCGATAAGGCGACCAAACCCATCACAGCGGAAGATGATCCTTACAAGATTCTGCAAGTTCACGACTACAAGTCCATCAGCTTCCTCCGACAACAAGCTGTTGTCAAGGCTGCCAGCACCGAAACCATCAAGATCTTTGCTCAAAATTACCCAGAATTGCTCAAGGAGAAATTCTTTGTCAATGTGCCTGCTATCATGGGCTTCATCTATACCTTTGTCAAGCTGTTTGTGGCAGCCAAGACCGCAAAGAAGTTCCATCCTCTCAGCAGCGGACCCAGCCTCGCCAGCAACTTGACTGAAAGTAAGGTCAAGGGCTTGGGAGACCTGTTGCCCAAAGAGTATGGCGGTAAAGGGGCCGACCTGGGTAGCATCGGTAAGGAGCCTGCGCTAGAAGAGGCTGTCGAGACCAAGTAGAGGTTAGGAAGGAAGCTTGGGTTGGATCGAGACCTATCTCGTTATTGGAAGTGGCTTTTGTGTGAAAAGAGTTATTTGAGACTGATGGAGTTCTTGACCAAGGATTGGAATCAGCGAAGCGGCACAATACCCCATCATCTCATTATCACCATTATCACCATAGGTTGGAAATGGCCTATGATTTATTTCTATCTGTTTCTTATCGGACGAAGCTGAGGTTTGACAATTGTTGACAACCTCCCACCAAGGCATAAAAAGGGTGTGTGTCCCTTGAACACCTTTCACATGCTCCCATCCGTGCCTCTCTCTGACTCTTTTTTTCTTCGTTGTTGTCTATCTCCGCTTTTGTCGTGTTGATCTGTCAGTGACGTCAGAGCGATTGCCCCGATCCTTGTCTCCTCCGCGCCTGCCCCCTCGATCTCCCTCGCGCCTTCCTTGACTCACTCCACTAACTGCAACATGATGCACGCGCAGTGACCATTTATGCCATTTCTCTCCAGGGCTCGCTACCTGTTCCCTCCCATAAACCGCCCCCCTCCACTCTGTTGGTCATTAGCAGCACGAGAGCATTGCGTCTTCTTCTTCTTGACCCTCGGACCTCAAGACTTACTTTCCTCGTTCCTCTCTCCTTGCTTCTCTCTTTCTTTCTCTCCTGCATTATCCAACTCTGAGACCAATTCTCCTAATCCCTACCTCTATCAATCAATCAATCCATTCATCATGTCTGACCTAGGACGCAAGCCTCTCACTGATCGTAAGTGTGATCTCCTCAAACGGGTTCCCTCCCTCCCTGATTCTTAGCCGAGTGACTAACATGACATGTACAGAGGCTCAAGAGAAGCTGACCCCCGACTCGCAAAAGTCCACTCTCGACAAGGCCACCGAGAGCGTCACTGGAGCCGCCGACAACATTGCTGGAGCCGTTCAACCAGGCGAGTTTGCCAACCATTGGTCTTTGGTTGTTACCTGTTGCTTCAGACTAACCCTTGTCTCAAACCCTTAGGTGACAGCAAGTCCACAAGCCAGAAGTTGGCAGATGAGACCACAAGCCAGAGCAAGTCCGCCTACGACACCGCCGCAGACAGTCTTTCGTCTGCTGGCAAGAGTATCTCCGACACAGTCAACAAGGGCACTCAGCAGGGCAGTTCCAATGCCAGTGCCGCCCAGGAGTCGACCAAGGGATACCTTGAGCAAGCTCAAGATCTTGCAGCCAGTGCATTGAATACTGCTAGCAAGACTGCCTCTGGTATGTGACCATTTCCTGTTTAGTTGGACATCAGACAAACGCTGACTTGGGTTATAGACTTGGCCAGTTCTATCAGCGGAGAGAAGAAATAGTCAATGTGCCCCATCTCCACTTTTCGAGCTGTAGTATGATTATGGGACGTGAGAACGGATGGTGAAGACAAACAGGATTCATGACAAGATTTGATATACTACACTATGGGCTACCCGAGAAGACCGTTCTCGAATTCTGCTGAAGGTCAATTAATGGAACAGTGTTGAAAACCACCAATTAAGACTCTGATAGTTTCGGTTCAACCAGTATACCAATCAAGTTGTTATCAGATATGTTCAGAGTATGGCTTCATTCTGGACTGTATCACTCTAGTCACATGTCACTTTGTGCAATCAATTTACCCCTTGATATATCTGCTATCCAAGACAAGGGTCAAGCGAGTGGGTTGAATTATTTCTCTCCAGGCAAGCGGACAGCTTCCCATTGCTCTTTGGTGACAGCACGCCATTCCTCGGGGTCAAACCAGCCGATATAGTTGCGGTCACCAAAGCCTCCAATCCAGTAGACCTCTTGAACGACGATACGGGTCCAGATACCCTGGTGAGCAGCCCACTTCTTTCCAGGCAACCACATGGCACTGTCGGGGTGTGCCGCGACGAAACAGGTCGGGATGCCAGCCTCGTCGGCTTCAGGTTGGGGAATCTCCTCGAGATAGCCGACAAGGTTGAGACGGGGCAGGTTGGCAGCGGACCAGGGCTGTTGGTGGGTCAGGTGGACATACTCGTCCCACCAGGAAAGCGACAGCGAGACGTTAGAGCCTGCGTTTGCGTTGATCGTGGCCGTCGAGATCTTGAGCGACAGAACCGTCGGGTTACCAGTGGGTTCCTCACACGATGCGATATACTCGGGCAGACCGATGGGTGTGTCTGCCACCGCCGCTGGCACTCGTGGCGACGTCAAGTGCGATGGGAAGACCGTTGTCAATACTCCAGACTTGGACTTGGCCAGTAGACGTCGAGCCAGAATCGTAGATTCATACTGGGTTGGTCGTCCTGTGATTGCGGTATCCTCGTCCTCGTCCTCATGATCCGCTGCTACCTTTCCACCGTGGTGCATAGGAACCTCCAGAGTCGTTTGCAGGTGTCCAGATCGTCCGGTTGCCGTCAAGTGCACCTTGCCATTGTCTTCCACCACGGGCAGACCTTGGACAGTGACCGAGGTCAAAGCCAGCAGAAATGCTGCGGCGAATTTGTTGTTGATAAACATTCTTGATCTTGGTATGGTGGGTGATGGAAGGTGTGCAAGTCACGAGAGGAGGAGCCTGGGTTCGTCGGTCAGGTCGAATAGGTAGAGACTGTCGAGGTAGGTCAAGGCGGGTAGGAGGTCGTTATCAAGATGTATATCTGCCGGCGAGAGGAGAGACTGAAAGGAGAGTTAAAAGAGAGCAGCGAGAAACTCAAGAGGCCATAGTTATTGGCAGTTAGGATCAGGAGACCGGGACCACCAAAAAGAAGACCATGGTAGTGCTGGCGCTGGCTGGGCAGAGCATAGACGGTGGGAAAGGAAGTACGGAGTGGTGGTAGATGCAATAATAGCAGGAACGGCAGACATGACTTCCCCTCTTGGGTCTCCATATCGGCAAGAACACAGCGGGCCAAACGGCTCTCCGGCAAGAGCTATCTATCGATTCTATTGGACTATGGACATCAAAAGTGGAGGATCTTCTTTTCGCGCATCTTTTTCATCTAATCTGATAATCGAATCAGCTGTAATCTCGTCCTTGGCATCAGTGGTCAATGGCCCTCCTCGGGCCTGGCACCCCTGGGCAATGCAAACTACCTTATTCACTAAGTCGTCAACATGGCAATCCCCTCCCAAGTCAATAGAGTTGCGAACCGGACTCCTCGCTTGCTGCTCGCCAAGTAATGTCGTGCTTTCTTGGACATGGAAAAATAAAACCCTCCCTAACCCAGTTGTTGAAAGTGCTGTGTCCTGTGTCGTGCATTATCATCACCGTGTGACATGTCTCAATTCCTGCCTGCGGATATACGCTATTCGTATATCTTGGGTGTGGATTTATCTATGGAGCCTTGTTCAGAAATCTGTCCATGTAATTGTGCCCAGGCAATCTCGTGTCACCCGTTCAACATCTATTTGCGGCTTGTGGCTCCCGACACGTGGGTCAATCCTACAGCTCGCTACTCGTCAAAGTCAAGACTCTGTCCATAGGTGGCAGACGTACACTACATCCCGAACATTCGTTGAACCACATAAGTTTGAACACACCATGCTTCCACGTGCGCCTCCCCGCAGATACTATCGATATCTGGCGCGACACGGTTTTGCATCAAATCCATGACTCGTGCACTGACAAAGTAGAAACTCCATTTCCATGTCTCATGAATAGTGCATTCTCAAGAAACAAACCCAATTTTCAATCTGTACCTTACTTACCTGGCGAGAAACGAATGACATAACATATTTAGTCAGAAGCTCTCAAAGCACACGATAGGCATCGTAAATGACTAGCAACCCCAATGAGTCAGCTGTGGTTCCCACGAAGCTTCCTATAATCTTGCAAAAACGTGGATCCTTCTTACCTTCGTTGCTCCTACGACACGCGCTGCCGACCCAGATGCAAGAGTTGACGAATGAATACCTTTCGTCTCCTGTTTCCAGCTCGACGGTCATTCGGAATCGATATTGGTTGGCAGGCACCGTGTTGGCCTCCATGGGATCATTCAGACGTTCAAGAACCTCCTTCTGTCCAGTACGCCATCCTCGCGACCGCGCTGTGATGTACGCCGGCGGGTCATCGTTGGTCTGTAGCAAATAAGTGGCATCCACTCGGGTTGTTAGGTCTTTAACCACCAATTGGTTATCTTGACCTCCGGGCTGTGTTTTAGTCAGCACGAGTCCAATATCTTTGAATACAATGATGTGTTCTCACAATAACCAACCCTTTACCCCATCGACCAGCCCACTGTCCTCCCACGACACTGACCCAGTCGCGGTGGCCATACAGCACCGACCCCACTGCAATCTTGGGGTTGAGCTTGATGCTGATACGGAAATCAAGGTCAAGGGTCGGAGTAGGGAGCTGCAAAGAACGAGCAATGTCTCCTTCGTCGAAACGATGTAACAGATTGTTGGCTGGAATAGATTCTTTCATGACATTTTGGTATGTAGCGCACTCGAGCAGATGCTGTCTTTGTCTTGATGTGTTTTTGGCACGGATCTGATTGCAATAGATGCATTGAACCGACAGACACTTGTCCTCCTCTTTGGCTCGAAACTCGACAAAGGCAGCATGGACGTCGTCGAGGGGAGGTGCAGGCAGGGTGGACCCCGGGGTAGTTTTGGGCGTTTTTTGAGGCGGTTTCGAAGTCGGTCTCACCGGGGTCGACGAACTGCCTTGAGGAGTGTTAAGGGCAATGGCGGTGCCATTGGGAATAGATTGCATGGGAGTGCCATGCGCGGACAGGGCATTGTTGGTGTGGATGTTGTTGGATGATGACGGGGCGAAGCCATTGGTGCTGCTGATACCATCACCTGATGATTGAGGTCGAGGTGCGTTGGGATGATTCTGTAATCCAGGGCACTCGAGAAGATGCTGCTTCTGCCGCGACGTGTTCTTTGCTCGGATCTGGTGACAATAGATACATTGAACCGACATGCACTTATCATCCTCTGTGTGGAGACATCACACCGTCGGTCAGCTGGTCAAATACATGGTATTGTGTATAGTATCGTCAATACTGTAGATGACAGGACAATACTCGTAACGCACCTTTGGCTTTGAATTCCACAAACGCCGCATGCACATCTTGATCGATCGTTCTCCCCATCTCGAAGTCTGCGCTGAATCTGTTGCCTTGTCTTTGGTTTTGATTGTTCACGTCGATGGCGCCGCTTGTTGTGTCGAAAAGATCAGCTTCGGCCGTCAATGGGTCTGGGTCACGAGCTTGCTTCAAACTGATTTGAACCCTCAGGTCTGGTCGGTCTTTCCCGACTTGGATGTACTTTTCTGTCTGACTAAAGCTTCTGTCTACTTCGTCTCGGGAACTCCGCAATAAGTTGATTATGTTCGCCTTATAAACCCAACCCCCCTTTGTCAAAGCTGATGTCAGACCACCGCGACTTTTCAACCAGCCGTCCCTGGGTGTTATTTGCAGGCGCGACCACCCAATTATCCCACAAAACTTCTCCTTCCTCTACACACTGATACCGTGTTGCGGCAGGCATGGATCGCGGGCTCACTCTGCGTCGGGGGAATGATACTCAGTCCTTACACTTAGTTAGGTACCTACGCATCTAAGCAGTCTAAAACCCCATTCTAATGAATCATCCCTTACTGTTCTCACATATCTATCTTCCCACCATGAGTAAATAGTACGTAATCCTTGGATGAGCCCGCTGGGAAATGAGCAGGAAGAGCACCTTGTCTTTCTATTTGGCGTGCTTTCCGTCTTGATTAATGGCGATATTAGGCGGTCTTTGCGTTTCCATCCCCTGGACTTGGAATCATTGGGCCTTCCCGTAGGGAGATTAGAGACCAACGTGGCACTCCGCAGGCCTAAATCCCCCCATCTCCTTCTTGCAACCACCACAGCCACTAAACTGAGATACTTGGGCCCTCAAGTAGACCACGTTGTATGATGCCTATCATTTCGAACAGTGCTTCAGCCCTTTCATTGAAATTCTATTATTCTACTGTTTCTTTTCTCAACAATTGGGGTTTGCATGATGGAAATACCAATTGCTGACCTCAATCTTGTGTGACGATATATTGAACATCATCATAATGCAGGCCCCATGATCAGTTCAGGTCATTCTTTTCTTGATCTTTCAGAAATGATCAGTCAAAGCTTCTGAGGATGCCCGCAACTTATAACATACTTCGAAAAAAGATGCCGGCGGGATCCGAGGGTAGGACTCCTATTCGATTTAGGGGCCATCCGATTGGGCATCCGCGTGCCTCCAATTTTTCGCCATATATTTTCTACTAGCGACATTTTTCCTGCAACTATTCGCACAGAATGCATCATAGCCCGCGTGGCACAATTGGTCAGCGCGTGAGACTTTTATGTAAGGTATCTCAAGGTTGAGAGTTCGAGCCTCTCCGCGGGCGATGTTTTTGCTTTTTAATTTTTTAAGGTGAATCGTGCTTTCGAGTCTTTGAAGTAACGGTTTTGCAGATATATTTTTGCATGATTGTGTGCTAGAACCCTCGGCCAATGTGAGTGGTGGCCATGTTTGGCATGCGTGCTAGCTGTGAACGGGCTAGTCAATCTATGAAAGAATTCCCATTCGCCGCCAACCGTGGATCCGCCTCCATACTCTTCATATACATCGACCTTCATTCAACAACATTTGACTGCTCCACGGGATGATGAGTGTCAATAATGGCGACAGCAGAATCATCATCCCTGAAGGCGGATGAGGTATGGTGGTCATCCGCAGAATACAGCCAGCCATGCCCCAGCCTAAACTCCCACAAGTTCATGCAAGTGACCGACCTGCTTTTGGAAAATCCCAATCTCAACTCGTCGCACTTGTTTCGCGCAGATATCCTATTTGATAGTACTAGTGCTTTAAAGACGGTGGACGACAAAGCAAGAGTCCATCAATTAGAGGGAAACCATCATGAAGCCTTTGCGCCAGAGAATTACACTCCCCCAGCACCAGCAGGCCCGGAATTCCAAAATGCTACTCTTCGAAGAAGGGTTCTGAGACGACTGATTCCCCGGAAACCCCAAGTTGATTCGCTTTTGGAGCAATGGTGTTATATTTACGATCTCATCCAGCCTGACGACCAACCAGCCGGACACATTGTGGTTTACAGTCCACAAGTCAAATCAGAGGCGGAGATTCCATGGTACCATCCGCCCATTAAAGCGATGGCATATCTCTTACAGATACAAGGGACTGCCACTACATTGTCCATCCATTTTCAGACGTTCGACCTGGCAAGTTCAGTTGATCTGCCAACAAGGACACACCGCACGTTCATATCACTGATTCAAACATTCCTTCGTTTGTCGAGGACTCCAGCTGGGCCCGTGGCCAAGACTAACACAGCGACACTCCAGTCTATGACCCCTTCTGCCTTGAAGGACACCATCCTTCCTCAGCACACAGTGCAAGACACCTACAGCCGCCTGAAACAGACCTATGCATCAGACTTGATATCTCGTTGGGCAGAGTCCACAGACCCATCCAAACACGTCTTCGAGGATCTCAGCATTGCAGCTTTCGTCATTGAACTCTGGAAACAAATCTACCCACCCGGCAAGTTCCCTGGATTTGTCGACATCGCCTGCGGAAATGCAGTGTTGTGCTACATTCTCATCCAAGAAGGATATCACGGACGAGGTTTTGACGCAAGACGGAGGAAAACATGGCAGGTTTTAGATATGGAAGAATATCTCGATGAGATGATTTGTGTCCCTCAACCATTCGTGGCAAATCTTTCCGGGTCCACCAGCAATAATGTAACGGACGAAACCTCCAGCATGGAATCTCTTTTGGGCAAAGTTCCCATCCATAATGGTCTCTTTCCTCCAGACACCTTCATCATCTCCAATCACGCGGACGAGCTCACACCGTGGACACCACTTCTTGCGGCGCTTTCATGCCCGTCATCCCCTCTGCCATTTCTAGCAATCCCTTGCTGTTCACACGCACTCAGCGGCGCCAAACACAGGTATTCCCCCAAGTCTGTCAATCCTTCAACGCTGGAGACCCCTGCTACATCTGTCAACGACGGGGAGCCACAGTCAATATCCGGGGATCTGAAATCTCTGAGGATGGCCAAGATGAAAGAACGAGATGGGACAGACGACAAAAGCATGTATGCGTGTCTCACGCGGAAAGTAGCAGCCGTGGCTGAGGAGGTCGGCTTCGAAGTCGAGCTGACCTTGTTGCGGATTCCCAGCACGAGAAATATTGGTGTGGTTGGAAACAGGAAAGTGGTTGCAAAGCGCACGAAGAGCCAAAGTGCGCCTCAGAACGGGACCGATGTGACACAACAGATACAAAGAGTTGTAGAGCGAGAATGCCTCCTGTCGGGAGGTGTGACTGAGGCTGCAAAGATGTGGGTGTCAAGGGCCCAGAAGTTGCAGACAGGAATGGGTAGAGGAAAAGTCAATCTGGGTGCGAAACCTCAAGCAGCAAAACGCAACGACGACAATAACAATATATGATCTTGAAACTCACGATTCATTGACTCATTCATTCATTTTGCGTTCATGTCAAGGGCTGTGGCTCCTCGATAAGCTTCTACTTGCAACTCCGTCACTGTCAATATCATTTTCCACTTTCGGGAGGGCAACGTTGAACATGGTCTCTGCCCACTCAGCAAAGGTATCGATATCCCAGACAGCATCCTCTGGGCTCTTCCCCTTTCGGGAGATCTGGTTGGTCCCGTTGACCTTGGCCCCGTCCCTCCGTGAGTATCCATCAAAGAATCCCTCGTAGATCTGAACCACCTGATCCTCCACTGCGGCAACTAACGTCTCTCTCGTTCGAAGATCATCAATATACTGTTCCAACTTGGCGCGCAATATGGGAATTTCCTTTTCGATGTGTTTCCGAGTCGATGACACTGCCTTCTCCAAGACCTCATTCCTAGCATTCGACTTGACATTCTTCGACAGATCGTTTGTCATGTCTTTGGCGAAGCCAGCTGTAAAGTCATTGATAACAGTTCTCAGTCTCCCATCCAATTCAACTTTTGCGTCAAGCATATTCTCAACAACTCTTGGGATCAGTCCGCCAGAACTAAACAGCTTGACCCAGCTCCTCGGGTTGAACAGGCCGCCACGTTCGCGAAGTTCGTAAAATGTGCTTGCGAAGCCAGAAAAGTCAAACGACACATCGGGTGTCACATATTCAATGTCGAATGCGACAATGTGGGACTTGAGTAGTAGTAAATGTCGAAGTAAAAATAGTTGACCGTCGGCGGGAGAAGATCGAGAAGTGATCTGCAATGACGCATTGTGGAGCGAAATGGTGGTCTGATGAACGATCTGATGGGCAAGATCGTCGAAAACACTAGAGTTGACAAGGCGATAGATCCGCGAGAGGAGCTGGATGGCTCTTGGGAGGGTGGGGTAACAATTTCGCAAAGCAGAGCGGCGGGACGCCAGAGTCCACGAAAATGCCCCTTCATCGCCCGAATCTTCATCCACGATTTCGGGAGTCTTTGGCGTAGACAAAGGATCCTTCGAGGTTCGCCGGCCAGATAAAGGGGTCGCAGCGGTTGGCGGTTTCGAAGTCATTCGCGGGTAATCTAGATCCTCGACCTTGGGTTTGAAGGTCTCAATTTCGTCTCTGAGGATGGCCAACGTGCGAAAGACCAATCGAGTTTGAGCATCTTCCAATGCAGGCTGGATAAGAACGGAAAAGTCGAGCTGATTGAGGTCTGTCGGGCCATCTTCCTCCTCGTCATGGAGATATCGGGTTTGAAGGAGGGTGACGAGTGAGCACAATTTTGACAATTTATTCTCGTGAATGATCCGAGGTCGTAAATGGTCGTAGAGTGGTTCGCATATGGACTCTAAAAAGTCATAGAGGCCTCGATAACCGTGGAACCATTCGCCCCACAAATCAAACTCATCTAGGCAGATGCCTCGAACATAACTGATGCTCGAACGTGCAAGTTGCACCAAGTCCTTGGAACTAGGAGCTTGAGAAATATCTGACAACCTCTTTTGGACGATGGGAAGAATTAGTCGAGCACGACAAGCGGCGAAGCTGGCATGAAGCTCGTTCATCAGACTTTGATATTCTCCTTCGGTCCCTACTGGTGCGTCCGCAGGTGGGTTTGCTCGCTTTTGGATTTCAAGGCCAATGTCTTTCATATCGGCAGATCCAACTCTGAATTTTGCATACAAGAGTGCCGACATTGTTGTATCGTTGAGTTGTCTGGCGGCAATTCTTCCCGCAACCTCCGTGGTCGTCTCTCTGACGCCGGCCATAAACGTGTTACGCACCAGCGTCAGGGCCCTGGTCAGCAACAATCGATAACGGGATCTGTAGATCTCCGCCTCGGTATGGGTTGAATGTGTCTGCATATAGTCTATGCATTCGTCGAGTGTTACAAGCATGTCGGAGAAATCCTTTGTCCTTGCAAATGCCCCGGCTCCAGGAGCATTGAGTCGACGGGTGATACGTTCCAGAGGTTCATAATAGCGGAGATTATCGGCAATTTCTTGAGCAATAGCATCGTTTTTCCTTTGATCGTCGATGATGGTCAGGGACTGTTTCTGGAAGGATTTTGTCTGGGCATCGATGGACTTGAATGCGGCGGATATTTCCGACAGCTCATCAAGAGTGGCAGCAGTGTCTGCCAGAAGGTGATCAAGCTGTAGGCGGGAGACTTCGAGTTGGTCGATGTATGCCCTGTGTGGATGGATAGGTCAGCATCAATCCTGTGTGGGGTGGAAGTGAAGGCTCCTACTGGTAACTGTGCACACTCGCGTCAATGAGATCATCACCCGTAGCGGTAGATAATTGTAAAAGTTCCAACTCATTGCCTGCCGTTTCGAGCTCTGCCAAAGGAGCAGATGTTGGAACCTTGTCCTTTTCGATTGAGGCCATTGCCTCGGAATCTGGCATTGACGAGGGAGACATGCAGCAAAGATGCCGCCATCCGATGTGGAAGCGTCCACCCTTTCGTTTTGGTCCGTTGTCTATTGGGATAAAAGACGACCTGGTGGTGCCTGCGGTGGGTTGTTATGAGCCCGCAGATATATACATACAATACGGTACCTGTAATAAAGGAATAGCAACAGGCCAAACGCCAATCCCCAATTTTGGAAAGGGATCCTCGAAGTGGCAGGAACGACCATGAATTCTGCCAAAGCCAAAGTCGCGTCTAAATTGGAAGGCGGTCAACACGTGTTTGGACAGTCGCATTGGGGAAACTTTCCGCGCTTGCCTTACTATTGAGAATGACGCACTTGATTTTACGGATACGAGTGACCTTCAAGCGACAACGTCTTCTCATTCTACACAACTCTGCAGCTTTTTACCAGATGCACAGCAGTTTGATCTTCTAAGAGAGTTTCTGTGAGTCCTTCCTTGATGAGAGCTTTACCCGCATGACCTCTCACTATGCCTTCCCACACCTTGAGACGTTCCTACTGTCGCCAAATTGCCCAAGCATATCGGCATGCGACATTTCCTGCCAGTCAACCGTTCCTTCAGACGAGACGCCATTCTAGCAAATCTGTCCGTCATACTACCTCCCATAATTTGTGGAGCCGACAATCTGCTGTTCTCTTCGCTGCCGCCGCAACTGTTGCCTTGGTCTATACCAATTCCCGAACCCATCAAGTTCAAGCAGAAGCCCCTGCCACAGATGGCGCTGAACTTCGAATCGAGAAACCTAGGAAGAAGAAAGAATCTAAAGAGGAGAATAGGGATCTACTCAGCTCACAGCACTTGCAAGTGAAGAGAAGTTGGGAAAATCCTGGTGTTTACATCTGGGGCTCAAATACTGGCAAAGTTGCGGCACCTGATTCCAATGAGCCTTACGTCAAAAGTCCCCAACGTCTCGCCTATTTTGATGACCTCGTCCTGCGAGATCTCAAGATCGATCGGAATTTTGGTGCAGCTTTGTTAGAGAATGGCGACCTCGTTCAATGGGGGAAAGCTTACTCAGAAGACACGACCCAGCCCTCCATCACTTTAAAGGGCAAAAACCTCAGTTCCATCCAGATCTCCCGAGACCGCATCATTGCCCTGTCCCGGAATGGTACCGTTTACTCCATCCCGGTATCCAAGTCTGATCAAGAGACCGGCCACAAGCTCTCTGAAAGTACTTGGATTCCCTTTTCCAGTAGCACGGCCGACATCAGTTATCGCAAACTCCAACCCCAAAATTTGGGTAGAGGAGAAAAAGTCACCAACATCAGCAGTGGCCTTGAGCACGCCTTGCTTCTGACGAATTCTGGTCGTGTCTTCTCTGCTGCATCGGGTACTCAAGACTTCCCGAGCAGAGGTCAACTTGGTGTACCGGGCATTACATGGCTATCCCGCCCTGCGGGCGCTTACGATATGTGCCATGAGCTCACCACCCTTCGGGGCTTTGACATCGAGAAAATCGCAACCGGAGACTACCACTCTCTTGTCCTGGATAAGCAAGGTCGGGTGTTTTCCTGGGGAGACAATTCTTCTGGCCAGCTCGGCTTCGACTCCAATTCTGAGTCTGCTTTTATCGATGCTCCATCTCTTCTCGCCATCAACAAGCTCTATCAGGGAACCTCTCAGTCTCCCAAGGTGACCAACATCTCTGCTGGAGGATCCAATAGCTTCTTCTCGATCGACGCTACCCGCGTCGCCCATCCCGATGAGGACCCTGCAGAAGTACATACTCTGAACCGTGTGACAGCAGACATATGGGCGGCAGGCGAAGGCATCAAAGGATCCTTGGGCAATGGCAGATGGACCCATGTCCAGGGTCGACCCACCAAGGTACCGAGCCTCAGTGGGTTATTCGAGTATGATGAAACAGCCAAGGCGGTGATACCCATCCGCATGGCGCAGATTTCAGTGGGCTCCAATCATGCCTCGGCCGTCATGGACAATGTTACGTACCTCAATGCGAGCGAGAGAGGCACCGAGAACGACACGAATTGGGGAGCTGATGTTCTCTGGTGGGGTGGGAATGAATATTATCAACTGGGAACCGGGAAGCGGAACAATGTGGCGACTCCGCAGTATATCCGGCCGCTGGATATGGCCGCTGAGATTGAGGCGGGAAGAAGGGAAGAACATCGATTTCATGCCACGCCAAAACACAGGGTCAGCGTCAAAGGCCGCCAGGTCAATATGGAGCAGCGGGTCGAGTGTGGAAGGAATGTGACGGCTGTCTATTCAGGGATCTGAGATTGAAGCTTGGATGGTGATAGGGGTGTGTCTGCGCTTGTGGCTCTCGAAGAACATTGTGTTAACATCAATCGCGGTGTCGAGAAGCATTCTCGTGTTTGGAGCGTATCCGGGAGTCAAGTCGCTGTGGTTCTGCACTAGGTCGCCGAGACTTGTTCAGCTCGACTTGACGCGCATCCTGAAACGTTCTGATGAATATTGTATTCATGTGTAATCGTGAGAAATCAATTCCCTACTCTCTTCTGTTCCAGTCAATGGCAATCATCAATCATGTCTACTCTATACAGCGCTATTACCAAGTCTCGACCGAAACCTGAGCCAATTCACAAAACACTCGGTCCCAATTTCCCCCGATCATTTTGAAAGGAGAACTCCAGACGCCTCGCCCGTGGATACTGGATGCTCAAGGGGTCGGCCGTCTGATTTAATGCACAGTCAATTGCTGTTTGGGCACGCCATTAGCGTTTTGATCCTCCTGATGGTTGCCGTTGCTCTGCTCCGATGTTGACGTGGGTTTCTCCTCCTTGTCATCGACATCAGCCATCTCAGTGTCTTCAGCGTCGCCACCCTCTTCGTCTTCCTCGTCGTCCTCCGACTCGCTAGACTCTTCCTCAAGGTCCTCACTTTCATCACCACTTGCGTCGGCTTCGCCGTCGTCGTCATCCTTTTGGGGTTTAGTGGCGGCATCTCCCACCTCAGCGATTTCTTTGTCCCCTCGTTGCGCTGTTTGGAGACCATTTTCGGTTTCTTCGAGTTCTCGTTCAAGAGCGGCTTGCATGTCAGCTTCTTCGGCGCCATAGTTTGTCTCGTCGTCATCCAAGGTGTCGGCTTCAGGCTGGTCTGGTGGATATTCGGCCGGAGCTGATTCTTCAGAATCCCTAGATTAAAAGTATCAGCATTAAATTGTGGTCGCATGAGACATGATCGTACCATTTAATGGCAAACCTGGTCACTCTTGGTTTCTCCGCAAGGACATTGCGTCGAATTCTTTCGATGACGGGTTTGGTGGGAGGCTCATTGTTCATCTCCTCGTTGTCATACTCGTTGTTGACATAGTAGCCGACACGCACAAATTCGCGCCCATCGTAGGAACAAGTGAGGAGGATGACGGTGACACCGAGGATCTCTGACGAGGGGAGGCGAGAAAGGTTGGGTGGGTCGGCTTCGAAGATAAACTTGTTGACGCCAATTGGAATTGGGCCTACAAGGAGGGAATCGAGTTCCTGGTCGTGCTCGGCCGAGGTCGCAGAGCCAACATAAGTAAGTTTCCACTCGAGATCTGTATAGGTAGCATTGTGAGTACAGGCGGGGGTGGGGCAGCGCGAGTTGATAACACCGACCTTCACGCAGTTGTTCCAGACACTCAAAAGTGATCTCAAATTCATAAGGAGATGTGAAGGGTGCAGGATTGTTCAACACCTTGACTCCGAGTAGGGAGACAACCGACATGTTTATGGGTGGTGAAAGATTTGGGGGAGATGGCGGGTGGAGAGGTGTGTTCTATTCTCAATGGCGACTCTCTGTTGGATAGGATTGACACTAGGCTTTTGTTTTGAGTGTGATGAGATCGATTGTAGAGACGCGCAAGAGAAAAGAGAGAGAGAGAGTGTGTGTGTGTATGTGGTATGGATGGGTGAAGGGAATCGGAATAATAATAATAATGGCAAGTCGTCGCAATTCACACCATCAGCCAGCGCGACTGCCCTCTGTTCTCAAACGCGTAAATGGTGGTCGTGATTTGGCCTTCCAAGTCACGTGGTAGGTGCAATGTCCGGACCACGTCCACTGGACAGACTGTGACCGTACCTTCTAGGTTGGTACCTTCCGAGTACCACCAGTACCTACTCCGCAAATTGCATGGCACGTGATGTACTGTGATAGAAAGGAAACCCTAGGCAGGCACGACTGACTTGACTACTACTGACTTTCCTTCGCTGTTGTGACTGTGGAGTTGCCAACAAGTTGACCCACTCCATTTGTCTATGGCTCCTCCTCGAACTTCTTTCATTCTCATTCTCTCACCTTGACATTCCATTTCCACTCTTCCTTTCATCACCTTCCTCTGCACAAACCAGCAGATCCCTAGCCTTCTTTCTTAATACCTGTCATGGAGTTCCCTTGGTCTTGTTCTTGACAACTTTCAGTTAATACATTGTTGACCAGCGGAGAACTCTGAGTTCTGCGTCAGCGTCTTTCAACTTCAACCTACCCCCAACTCTTCTTCTCGGCTGCCCCCCCCCCCCCCTCCCAGAATTCTGTACATCTTTCTAGACCGGTCTCTCGCGTCATGGCTTCATTAGACCAAGAACAGTCTTCTCCGCCGGTCTCCGACGCGCTCTCACCTGCGACCAAGATCGAGGAAGTGGCGGGAATGGAGGCTGGCGTTGATTCGAACGAGCCATTACCATCTCCCACCACTTCAACTTCTCATCTCCTCCCCTCCAAGTCTTCCAACGAAGTGCCCTCTCAGTCGACGACGCCAGTTCCCTCCACAACAGTGCAAAGCAAGCCTCGCATTGTGGGTGGCTTTGAAATCGAAGATGACGACGACGATGAGCAGGAACAACAGAATGAATCTTCAGATGAAAAAGACGAGCTTGACGTCTATGACCCAGCTGCGGGTCTGGACTTGGATTTGAATACACCCACGCCGAATCAAGTCTCTGTCTCTGCCCCCGCTCCCTCAGTGCCCCTTGATAGATCTTCCCTGTCCCCAGATCAAGAAAATGGAAAAACTCCTGCGCCTGTCCAGGCAAATGGTAGTCCTGCTGGCATGCCTTCCTCTGCTCTTCCTCCTGGTGCTGACACACTGCGTGCTACCACTGCTACACCCACTCAACCCACTCAACCCACTCATGTTGCTGCGGCGCAAGCTTCTCCGCCTCGCTCTGTTGATGTGAACAGTCCCCTTGCTCCAGTTCTTCCCAAAACGAGGCTCGCCCATGATGTCGTCGGTATTCTCCAGGATCGCATCAAGGACGATCCCCGCGGGGATTCCGATGCTTACCTGGAATTGATTCAAGAGTACAAGAGTCGCAACAAGCAAGACGACGTTCGTCGAGTCTACGACCAGTATCTTGCCGTCTTCCCTCTGGCTGTACGTGTCACACCGCCCCCACTCATGGTGAATTTGGACTAACTCGCGTAGGCTGAACAGTGGTGTGCCTATGTCAAGTACGAGGAAGAACAAGATCGGAAGCATGCAATGGAGACCCTCTTCAGCCGGTCTCTTCTTGAAGTTCTCGATGTGCAACTTTGGTCATTGTATATTAATTACATCAGACGAAGGAATAGTATGCAAACTGGTGACGTGGCAAAATCATACAAAATCATCAACGATTCATTCAGTTTTGCTCTCAAGACCATCGGCATGGACAAGGATGCTGGCAACCTGTGGCTAGAGTACATCAACTTCCTGAAAACGGGGCCTGGGGTGATCGGAGGACCAGGATGGCAGGATGCTGCCAAGGTCGATTCGCTCCGGGAAGCATATCAAAAAGCCATTGCTGTCCCTACTGCCGCGACGACCACCTTGTGGAAGGAATACGATTCTTTTGAAACGGGATTATCCAAGATCAACGTAAGTCAGGTCTGCGGCACGCGAGCACAAGATAGCTAACCGGCCCAGGGTCGAAAATATCTTCAGGAGAAATCGCCTGCATACATGACTGCGCGCACTGCCTACACACAAATGCAGAATTTGACCAAAGAACTGCAGAGAACCAGCCGTGCCAAGTTGCCGCCTTCATACGGGTATGAAGGTCATGAGGCTTATCTCTATCAAGTTTCGCTGTGGAAGCAGTGGATCCAATGGGAGATTGAGGACCCCCTTGTACTAAAGGACGAGGATGTGTCCCTCTATCGCAATCGGATCCTGTTCACATACAAGCAAGCACTAATGGCGTTACAATTCTGGCCGGAAATGTGGTACGATGCAGTCGAGTTTTGTTTCGCCAATGGTCTGGAGAACGACGGGGTGAAGCTGTTGAACCAAGGCATCGCTGCCAACCCGGAATCACCGCTCCTTGCTTTCAAGCTCGCGGACCGGATTGAAGGCTCCACCCAGACGGACGAAAGCACTGACCCTGGAGCCAAAGATCGGATGAAGAAGATCCGAGAGCCTTACGACCGGGTTTTGGATGCTCTGTACGAGCTGATCAAGAAGGTTTCGGCGAAAGAAAAGCAAGACATTCAAAATGTGGAGCTCTCGGCGTCCAGCAACATCAACGGGGAAGGCCAGGCCGATGAGGAAATAAACGCGGGCAATATCGCGGCCAAGAAGGCGATGGTCGACTCTCAGGTGGAGGCGATCAAGAAAGGAGCTCAGGCGCAGTCGGAGCTGCTCAGCCGGATGGTGTCGTATGTATGGATTGCACTGATGAGGGCGACAAGACGAGTGCAAGGCAAAGGACTACCGTCGGACCGTGGACCGAGCGGATTTCGAGCAGTCTTCGGGGAGGCTCGCAAGCGAGGCAAACTGACCAGCGACTTCTACGTGGAATCCGCGCGGATCGAGTGGCAGTGCTATCGAGATCCGACGGGTGCCAAAATCCTGGAACGAGGGATGAAGCTTTTCCCCGAGGATGACTACTTGCCTCTGCAGTATATCCGACATCTCGTTGAGATCAACGACATGACCAACGCGCGAGCCGTGTTCGAGACGACGGTCAAGAGACTTTTGGCGCACGACTCCCCTGAGTACACGACCAAAGCCAAGCCTCTTTTCCTATACCTACACGAGTATGAATCCAAGTATGGGGAGCTTGCACAGGTGCAGGCACTGGAAGAAAGAATGCGCAAACATTTTCCCGATGATGCCACGCTGCAAGTGTTTCGCAGTCGATACAGTACGCAGACGTTTGACCCGACCCACGTGTTACCTGTGGTGTCACCACGACAGGTTCAAATCCCGACGGGCACGATTGTTCCATCAGTGGAGGCGCATGATGCGATACAATCTCCAGTACAGATTTCTATCGACCCTGTGCAGACGAATTCACCCAAGCGACCATTCCCAGAAGACTTTGAGGATGTGGGCCCTCGCAAGTTTCCACGAGCAGAATCACCGCTCAAGGGAGCGGCAGGACGTCGAATGAATCAGCAGGCACAATTGCAGCAACAGCAACAGCAACAGCAACAGCAACAGCAACAGCAACAGCAACAGCAACAGCAGCAGAGACAGATGAATACTCCGGCTGGAATGCCGCCATTCTCAGTACCTGCACCCCTTGCGCCACCAATCACATACCTGCTCAGTATTCTCCCAAAGTCTTCTTCATATGTGGACGTGAGATTCGACCCGAAGACGGTTCTGGAACTGATTCGTGATGTCCATCTCCCGCCCCCCGGAACAATCAATGGACAGTCACACCTAGCGCCGCCTGCCGCGCCTAGTAATGCGGGTTGGCCAGCGTACCCTCAACAGCACCAGCCACCCCCGATGCCTCCCCAGGGCTATGTGCCACCGCCGGGCGCGAGTCAAGGTCAATATGGCAGTGGTAAGTTTTCATAGTCAAGCTTGTCAAGGAGAAAGATACTAATCATTGTCGGTAGGAGCGTTTCGGTTTGCATGATCTCAGGGGACAATTGGAGGGAGTGAGGCTTCTGTATACGAGTGACCTACTACCTAGGTATCTCTCAGTCTTATGTCAGCGGGGATGAAGCTGAGTGTACATTAAATTAACAGCGAATGAGCCACGATTCACTTGTTAGCGGGTGCCGAGGAAGGGTTTCTTTAGGTCGATTTTCCCTAGCCGGCAGGCCCCTCGGGCTGCAGCCAAGTACAGCTATTGGCCCTTTAGGCCTTTGCTTTGGCAGAAACCAGTGATGAATGGGATGATAAAAAGCCCACTCATCGATGGCCATTTGGGACAGTGGCGTTATGCATGTACCGTAATAAATCAAACATGGATGAAACCAAGCCTACGCAAATCCTTACTCAAAGCCTTACTCGACGTTATTCTTGTTCGATAGCCTGCAGCCCTCGAGATTCGAGAGTTCAAAAGCGGCGTAGGCAGAGATGAAGGTGTGTCATGTCCCCAAATTACATGATCATATTCCAACTGATTGTTCGTGCTTGTCCACAGAGACAGACACAGACACACACACACACACAGAGAGAGACAGAGAGAGAGAGGCCACCTGCATACTCCGTACATACACTTTGTCGCGAGGATCAGGCTCGGGCCACCCTGGTATGCCGCGTCAATTGACCAAAGCCATCTAGACGGTCCACATCTGAGACGCCAATGCAGCTCCCCGTTGGATCTCCCTGCTGCCCTGCTGCTGCTGCTGCTACTGCCCCTGCCACGCGCTACCTAGTTTGGGCATTCTGACAGCAACACCCTTTTTCTACCTCATCCTCCCAACATGAGTTTCGCTCTTTCACACATGTGAGGCTGCTTTCTTCGTTGATCAGCCAGATTCACAGCTGATGCAGAACTCTTTGTTCCTTCTTCTCGGTCGGAGGATGTGATTTGGCCCCTGGTGTTGTTATCATCGCCAACCCAACGGCAGGGCCACGAGACAATCTCATATGTCTCTCCGCCTTATTTTCCTTGTTACTCTCATCACCGGCAACGGCACGAGTGACTTTGTCTATGCATCGTGAATCTTGCTGTCCTCATCGTTGGCAGCAAGGTGAACCTTGCATGTGACTCTATCTCTGGGTGGTCATTGTCGCTTTACCATCATCGCCGCCGCGCTGTTTTCGGCACCTCACATGTCCTTTTGTCTCACTTGTTGTCCATCATTGCCTGCTGGCAACGAGACAGTCTCACATGCGATATTGTCGTCCTGGACGAGCATGCGCACTGAAATCAAGGCTATATAAACCTCTTTTCCCCTTCGTTCTTTCAACCAACCTCTCATCTCTCACTCACTCACCTCTCTCTCCCTCTATCCCTCTCGCTGTGCCTGTGGAACAAGAATTCTTGTTCTCAGGGCTCCTCTTAGCCCTCAGCCTTTTAAAGCGCCAGATCGCGTCGACAGTCGACATAGTCGATATCACAGACTCATCCCTCTCAATTCTCGTCTGCAACAGCAAGAATCCCCGGGTTCCCGCGTCGTTGGTTGATCACCAAGGTAAGCTCTTTCCTGTCCACGGCTCCCTGCGTCCTTCCTTGCCGCATACATACGCAGACCAAGCGGAACATCAGAATACGCAGAACACGCTGTCTCGGCAGGGGCAGTCCCTGTTTGTTTTTCTGCCTGCTCCTTCCCTCTGCTAAATGTCCTTCTGATCCCACATCTATTTCTCTTTTGTTTTCAACCAAACTCTCTTTTTCTTTTTCCTTCTCTTTCCACACACAAACAACCTTCTTCTTCCAACACCTCCCTCGTTTTCTTTCTCTCTCTCTCTCGAGAACACGTCCATCTCTCTTTCTGAAACCTCAGCCCCATCTCCTACTGCCTTAGACGAGGCAATTCCAAGTCTTCAGTCAGTTTTCTTCATCATCTCCTTCTGCCTTTTCGCCTTCCAACCTTCCTGTCATCATTTTCATCACTCCTGCTTCAGATCCTGATCCTTTTCAACTTGTTTCCTGATCTGCTCTCGCCCATCCTCACCTCTCACTTCAGACCACTCATCTCCTTCATCCTACATCTTAACACCATCTCCATCATTCTGGTATCCTCTCATCTTGTTCTCCCTGCATGTTCTTCCGTTCCTCTCAAGTTGTCCATGCTGACCAAAGATCTTCGCAGCTTTCACATCTCTGACAAGACATGTCTGGACCCAGCCGACGTCGCGGCGGCGGCCGTCCGCCCCTGGCGGATGAGATGCCTCCAGAATCACCATCTCGCCGTGGAGATCGACTTCATCGTCCTTCTGCTTTCGATGGCCCTGCATCCAGAGGACCGACCTCGGCTTCCGGGGCTTCTCGTTCTCGTGGTGGTTCCAATCCTCCGTCGATGGGCACAGGCCGTGGCTCTGGTCGGGGTTCCCCAGCACCGTCTCAAGTCACATCGAGCACACAACCTCAAGCAATGGCAGCGATGCCGCAACAGCCCCAGAACCAGCAGCGTGGTGATCCGGCTCGGGATCCACCTCCCCGTCTCACTGACTCTCTGCGAAATGTGGATCTTCCTGCGTCCTTCTACAACATCGACGAGTTGGTACGTGTGGCCCCCCTGTCCTGCAATTCCCTTCCCTCGTCAAGTCGAGTCATTCCTTTCACACACACCAGTCATCTTGTTCCAGAATTCACGTCTACTAGCGTCAGGCGTCATACTCTGTCTTGTTTATCTGCCTTTTCTTCCTTTTCACAATGAATGCTTTCACAGCCAGCCTGAAGTGTCGTCACCTGGTCCTAGCCTCAGTGCTTCTGTCGATGACTCAAGGACATTTATCGTCACTTCTCCCTTGCCCCAAAGGACCATAAAAGGATGCCTCTTCCTCCTCTGGTCTCTCACCTTCTCCTCTTCCACCCCAGGCCTCTTTGTTCTCAGGCCCCTTGCCATTTGCCCAACATGGCCTCCTCCGTCTCCTATATTCCTTATGTTCCCAACATCCCAACTCCTAGTGCTAACCCTCCGCAGTATACCCTTCCAACCCAATTCATGCAGCGCCCATCCTACAATACAACCGGCCAAGCCGTCAAAGTCAATCTGAATGCATATGCTGTACAGCAGTTTCCAAACATCAAAATCCATCAATACGATGTGATCATCGGATCTGGCAACGAAAAGCGTCCAGTTCAACGCAAGGTCTGGAACTCCAAAGTTCGGAAAGAAGCAACGGGCCCCCCGATGCTCTACGATGGTCACCGCCTGGCATGGTCCTCTAAGGATCACAATGAGCTTCGTCTATTGGTCGATCTCGATGTCGAAGAAGGTCGCCCATCTCGAGATGGCAGGAATTCCTTCCGTCTTCACATCAAGAAGACACGTGAACTGGATGTGTCCATTATCCAGTCTTACCTCGACGGACGAGTTCAAATGAGTGTTCATGTCCTTGAGGCACTCAACTTTATGGACCATCTTCTCCGAGAGGGTCCATCCCACAATGACAAACTTCTAGCCGTCAAGCGCTCATTCTTCAAGCGCGACTCACAACGTTTGGATCTTACTGGAGCCGTTGAAGCCTGGCGGGGCGTGTACCAATCAATGCGTCTTGCCGAGGGAAAGAAGATGGTGCTTAACCTCGACGTCGCAAATGCGTGCTTTTACAGACCCATCGAACTTACGACGGCAATCCGCACGAAGAACGGTCTGCGCGACCAATCACACATTGAGCACCTTTGCACTCCCAAGCGAAAGGGTGGATCTCTTGAGCCAAGTTATGAACATTCAGTTTTTCAACAACAATTCAAGGGTGTTGTTGTCAAGGCAGTCTACCCTGGCAATCCACTCCCGGAAAAGGAGTGGAAAATTCATGCATTTAGCATCAATAATGCCCTTGAGGAGAAACTCGACTGGAAGGATCCCCAAACTCGTCAACCAACTGGAGAGCGAGTCACTGTCGCTGTGTACTTCAAGCGAAAGTACAATGCCGCCTTGAAGTACCCACGACTCCCGCTTGTGGAGATGACGAAGAAAAACGTCAAATATCCTATGGAGCTACTCCATTTGATTCCTGGTAATAGGTACAATCCCAAACTCGATGAAGTTCAAACTGCGAACATGATCAAATTTGCTGTCTCTCCACCCTCTGCGCGCCTGCAAGCTATCAAAGAGGGTCAAGGGTGGCTGAACTGGGCTCAGGATCCCTATCTCGCGCACTATGGGCTGAAGATCAATCCTTCTCCCATTGCGAGCAATGCTCGCATTCTTCCAGCCCCCACCATCCGCTTCGGCGATAACAAGATCGAGCGCCCAGGGACTCGTGGCCGCTGGGACCTCAAACAGAAGACCTTCCTCCTCCCCAACACCAAGGAGCTGTACAGTTGGGGTATAGGGGTTTTCCCTGGTCGCGCCCGGCCTGATCAGGCAACAATTGAGAAATTTGCTCTCGAATTTGCTCGTGCCTACCGCGGTCATGGCGGAGTCGTGGCGAAACACCCCCCACACATCATGCTAGTGAATTCTGATGCTGCACAAGCGGTCCAAGAATTGCATACCGCAACTGGAAATCGCTTCCAATCTACGCCTCAGCTTCTCATCTTCCTGGTGCAAGACAAGAACGCTTTTCACTATCTACGAATCAAGAAGTCTTGTGACTGTCGCTTTGGCATTGTGTCACAAGTCATGCAGCTGGCCCAAGTCGTCAAAGGCAACCCGCAGTACTATTCAAATGTCTTGATGAAAGTCAATGCTAAGCTGGGTGGGACCACTTCCCAAGCAGTGCCGCATCCAAGCAGCGGTTTCAAGTCCCTTCCTGCATATACCATGGTCATTGGCGCCGATGTGTCCCATGCGTCACCTGCCAGTCCCCAGGCATCGATGGCCGCTATCACGGTGTCTTGGGACCAATTTGGAGGTCGATATGCAGCAGCATGTCAGAGCAATGGCCGTCGTGTCGAAATGATCTCTAACGAGAATTGGCAGAGTTGTTTTGCGCCTTTGGTCCTTAAATGGAAGGAGGTGGTCGGTCGTGGTCGCCTCCCAGAACAAGTCTACTATATGCGTGACGGTGTCTCTGAGGGCCAGTACCTTCATGTCATGAACGAAGAAGTCCCTGCCATCAAGCGGGTTTTGGGTAATCTTGGCGGCGGCGGCGGAACGTGGAACGGGAAGCTGACTGTCATCATTGCTTCCAAACGACACCACATCCGATCTTTCCCACAGTCCGGAGGCGATCAGAAGGGGAACCCACTTCCTGGAACTTTGATCGAGCGGGATGTCACTATGCCAAATGAGTTCGACTTTTATCTACACTCTCACATCGCGCTGCAGGGCACCTCTCGCCCAGTTCATTACACCATTCTTCATGATGATGCTAAGCACAAACCTGAGGTCATTCAAAACATGATCTATGAGCACTGTTATCAATACATGCGGTCGACTACCTCGGTCTCGCTGCACCCGGCCGTTTATTACGCCCATCTGGCGTCTAACCGCGCCAGGACTCATGAAGATATTCCAGCCGGCATGGGTCCTCAGGGTGGTCCAGGTTTCAAGCAAGGTCCACACCAAACCCACTCCGAACCGGTCAAGCCACTGATCCCCATGTTCGCTAAACATGGTATTGACCATACCATGTGGTATATCTAGCAACACCTCTGGTAGCAGACACCTCTGCCGAGGTTGCAAGTTTTCTTTCTCAGTTTCTCTTTCAATCGCCCCGGCATGGAGGTTTGTCTCACTGCCTCGCTGCCTTGGCGACAGTGTGAGGTTTTCAGACGTCGACAAGCAGTTGAAGTCTCTGCTCTCACCAAAAGACGAGGCTCTACTCAATGGGTCAAGTTGTATTGCATGAATTTTTACCGCAATTGGAAGTACAATTATACGAAAAGAAAAAAGGAGAAAAAAAAGGGCCACCGACAATGCGAAACTCATCCACGCCTCCATGGGTGGTTATGGGCTTCGTGGTCTGTGGACAACCATCCTACAGCGTGCTTTGACATCAGCTGGCTGGATGGTCAACTCAAGTAGTTTAGCTCAAATATGACACTCATTAGCCAATTTCCTGTTCCTGTTATGATTGTGATGAAGTGACATACCTGGCGTCGAAGTTGAAGCCTCAGTCGGTTGAGCAGCTGCATTGAAGTTGCAAGGAATGTGTCGAACTTGATCAGACGAGACATAGAAACACAAGGAGAAAAGAGTCGCGAAGAATGAAGATGCATCATTGAGATGAGGGGATGAACGGATGGCATTGAGACCTTCACGTCAAGTTCAAACAAGAAAGGTGGTGCAGGTCCATTCGCAGCCGAAAGAACGTCAATATTGGAGTGTGTCTTGCGTTTGCTGATGAGACGACTGAATCAAGATCCATGACTCTCACCATCCTCGTGGATCGATATCTCATAGGCCGACACAACGAGCAGATCAAATCGACCATGAATTCAAATCTCCGTACTCGCATAATCTCAAAATCGCATTATTCCAGCAGCTCAGCAACGACAATGTCAGCGGCTGTCAATTCCCAGTAGAGACTGAGCGACTTTCGCAATTCCTCCGTCCATAGGAATTTTCCCACCACTTTCTCAACCTCTTCCAGCCTACACAAATGAGGGTGCTCCTGGAGCAATTTGCACAACAATGCGTGTCCCGGAGGCCCGAGAGCTGAGGCTCTCTGATGATATGGAACATCAACGATCCGCCATGAATCCACTGTTAGTATCCACATCCATATCTGACATTGTTGTTCGGCACGATGACATTCGAGATTATCTTCCGGAGAGGTCAGAGGGTGGAAACCAGGCACTCTTTGTGTCAGCTGGGTACGAGCACCTCGCACCAAAATGTCGATACATCTAGCCTCGACGAAAGCGAGACAACAATAAACAATCAGACATGTGCACACCAGATTCTCAAGCTTGCACTGCGGATCTTCAGGCATGTTCAGTGCAGGGCATGCCTCTGAAAAATCATTGTATCTCCGCCCGGAATCAACTTGTGGTGCCCATCCTGGACGAGGACCTTTGGCTTTGCGACGGGTGTAGTCAGCGGCACGGGCTAGGACAACGAGAGCGTGAGTCGAAAGGCGTTGGCTCTGGCCGAGGGTTTGTAGGCCAGGCGGAAGCATCATCGTCGTCGTCAATCGAAGAGTGTCTTGGTCATGAGGAAGCTTGGGATAGTCGACTTTTGGAGCAAGATGACGGTATGCGAATATCGACTTTCCCGTCTGCATGTCCCATATTGTATCCCACCTTGAAAGTAGTCGATTAAATCAGTGTGAATTCGATGACGTGACCAAGAAGATGAACGCACTGTAGTAAAGTCCCTTTGATGGCGCCACCATCTTCGAATGCGTCTATCCCGCCACATTGCTGCACCAGGAGAGAGACATTCTTCCTGTGAATCTCAAACGCTTGCATGTTACCCAATTGTTCCTGTGGCCCCCTTTGTCAGCAGACTAATCAAAGAAGACTGGTGGATGACCAGAAGCACCTCTAGTATTGTGAGAAAGGTCATGATCATTAGAGCTGCATGGTGAAAATCTGCTCCTTTTGTAGCCAAGGTCTTCCGGAGGAGCGAAATGGCATGTCCTCGATGGTTGAGAACGTTGTAAGATGGCTCGAGTGCAGTGGGCCCTCGTGTCTCCATGAGCCTGAAGGTAGTGGCCACCGATGCGTGACTGAAAGCCGTGTTTTCCCGCATCATGAGAAAAGCAGCATAGATGTTCGTAATATGGAAGACGTCGCATACAAGATAAAAGCGAGGAGCGAGATACTGGAAGTATTGATCCATTCTTACATCTACCACGCAGTCACGGGCGGCGCGACCACCCCTAAATGCATTGGTTCTCAGCCCTCGAAAGGCCTCCAGGCCAAGATCCAACCCGACAGGCAGACCATCGGTGAGATCCCGGTATCGAAAAGTGGATGGAAGGTGGGAAGGGGTTGTAAAAGTACGGGTTGGTCTTGATGAGGTGGCAAGCTGTGCAGGTAGAGTTTTGCGATCTCGATCTTGATCTCGACATGTTGAAGGTGTTTCCAGACGGTCCCAGACCAATGAACGATGTTTACATGTCGAGCAAACGTGATCGTCTCCTGTATGGTCAGGGAGGCACAGAGGGCCATGGGGATCGGGATTGTGGTGCAGGGCTGTCGTTCGAAGGTTTGACCGACAACCTCGTCGTCGAGGAGTAGGCTCTGGATCTGCTTCCACGGTTTGCTTCATTCTAGCATTCTTGTGTGTCACTTTGGAGACATGCGAGCGGATCTGAGCGAGCTGCAACTCTTTGGCATGTCTAACGGGATTCGAGTCGAGGTTATTGATGAAGGTGAAGCTTTTAAGCACGACCATGTTGTTGAGACATCTGACATGGTTCAGGAGATGGGCTGGAGCCGTGCTCGAGGTGAGAAGCTGACGAAGGAGCGATGCTTCGCAAGGATGTATTATGGAAGGAACCTCCCAGGAAGGTCAAAGTGCCCAGGATACCTTGAATGACATTATGTATCAAGAATGCTTTGCCCGCGAGTGTCTAGTGGATTGACACTGTTCCAGAGTACCGGTGCATCAGTTTCTCCTTGTTCACACGAACAAGAGCGGTGCCGGATTTAGTAGATCTGGACACAAAAATGGTTGGACCGTTGGGACTTATCTCATGTATTGCATCCCTAATGGTCGCAAGACCGAATGTTGTACTGACTGGGATATCGAATGGGCTCGTCGCTATCTTTGGGAGGGTGACTAATAGCAGATAGAAGTCACAACTCACGATCTTCTGACCAGGGTCTGATTGACGGATTTTGATTAAACTTGCTGATGGTCTGGCATGAAGTTGTGAACGCCACGAGTATAGCGTAAAGTGGCGGATCTCGGATCGAGGGGTGCTTCTGAATGATTGGAAGGTTCTGAGAACTGCGGCGCGAGGTGGTCAAAGTTTGGAATGAACAACCAGAATGTCTCCTCTTTGCGGTGTGAGGGAGTTAACCAGATTCAATCAAGAGAGAAGCGATCTGGACACCGGGACAGCGGCTTCCACATTTCGAGGCTTCTGAACGAAGACCCTAGGCCCATCGGTGGCAGCTGGCGTCCTATCTCTTGGTGCAGTGCATGGTCATATCTTGTCCTGATGTTCTGGCCTATTGGCTACATTCCGTTGATCCGTTTAATGCGTGGGCGATATCATTACATAAGGCCGCTAAGAAGGCGATTGTACATGACAAGGGCCCTTTCCAAATGAGGTTTAAACGAGGTTCGAGATCATCGTCTATGGCAAGTTCCGAGAACTTTGTCGCTATGCGCCAGTAGTTGCCAAATCAAGTCTATGCAATGCAAGCCTTGCCTCCATCTACCTAGGTGCGTATCTTAAGGCATCGATTGTCAGGCATTCTGCAAGTCCAAAATCCGGATTACATAAACATTCGCCGAAAGATCATGATGGAAAAAGCTAGCCATTCATCAAGAGAGTAAGAGAGTAAAAGAGTGACTTTTGAGACCACACGTGTGAGCCGATGCCCAAATGAAGAAGAACCTTTCTGACATTCCGCCAACTTTCAGCACCCATCAGCCCTTTTTTCACCATTTCTGACTCACGATTGACCGCAATACTGCAGGTCGCCCATGTGACATCCATCCCCTAGCTAAGACTGTCGGTGAGATCTCGGTTTTGGTCCGTTCTCAGTACACAGTGATGGAGGAGGAGCCGCTGCTCTGATAGCCTTCGGTGGCGACGATCTGATAGTAGTGGGTTCCAAGATTCAATCCCACGTTTCTCCAGGCGTTGAAGTGGTTCTGCATGTTGACAGTACCACCAACCCGCTTGGAAGTACGAACGGACCAGTACTGCTGAAAGGTCCTTGTTCCATCAATCGAGGGGGCATTGTTCCGGGTTGCGACATAGATGTCGTATGTGCCGCCGTCAGTGGTGACGCTGCCCTTGCGTTGACCGGCGCTGCCGGGGTTATAGTTGCCGTACGACTCGACCACATAATACTCGACCAATGGGTTGCGAGTCCAGCCGTAAACGGCCAAGTAGCCATTGCCACTGGGGTTGAAGCTCCCCGAGTAGCTGATTGACCTATGGACAAGGTCAACAAGATGCATGGTATTGCCTGACCTAGTTTGCTCACCTGCCCGTGCCTGGATTCCAGCCCTTTCCGCCGACAAAGTTGCCGACGTTGGTCCAACTTACAGAATATTGGCCGCCTGGACCATTGGTATACTGGGCTCGACCACCTCCGTCGGACCACCAGGAGTAGAAATATCCATTGTTGTATCCCTCAGCGTTGCCGGTGGTCTGACGCTTGTCGAGGAGGGTGGAGTTGAAGTCGCTGTCTTCAACATCCACGGGAGCACTGAATACTCCGGTGAAGGCGGTCAAGGCGACCAGAAGTGTTTTGAATGAGATCATCATGGCCGTGGTTGAAATGAGGTGGATGAGATGTCTGCTATCGACTGATTGTGGTCCTGAAATTGTGATACTGAAGTCTGTTGGATGTTGCTTGCGACTGGGATTCCTTGAGGGTTTTTATACACGTCGAAGCCTGGAGAATTGAGCCTGAGATCAGGCGTGTGCACTGGCAAGTCTTGCTTGGATTTGGGTCAGGATGATCCATGGTCGAGTTTTGGCCCGCATACGTGTGATACCCATGGATGATGCGGTCTACATTGCCATAGACGCAACCCTTCTTAGCGACGAGTCATTTTCCAATCCAAGCAGGAGTGAGCAAGGTCAGGTTCGTCGACGCATCGATGTCGTGTATGATGGTGCAATTCTGGCTAAATGCCAAAGTTGTATTGACGTTGCGCAACCATGAAAAACCTGGTGGAGAAGGTACTGCATGAGATGAAACAAGAGGTGGTCAAGGGAGCCTTGCGTAAAGGCTGACTGAGGTCATAGGAAGTATTAGGCAGAATGGCTTGAACAGGGTGTGAGCTGGAAGGAGGAGAGGAGGGTGATGATGTTCATGGCACGATTTTCTCAATGCTTCTGCTCCAGGGCTCATCTAAGCGCTTGGATGAAAGGCAGGGAATCGGCCAAGGCATCGCGAGGATGAGGAGATCATGGGACAAAAGGGAAAAGGGAAAATTGAAGAGGCTGTGTGTGAGAGGTCAGTACCTCGCGAGGTCACGTTGGACTGTCGTTGTTGGACTAACTACTGTAAGTTGGTCTTTAGCAGATGGCAAGTGAGTATACGCAGATGTACTCAAGGGGGGTATGAGGATGCATAAGCACAGGCATTCATGATGATTGGTGACATTCGTGATGAAGTTGTCCACAATCGATACATCAGCCCCATACCCCCAGCCCCAGCCCTGACCTACCCAACTGATATGTTGGTCATGGGCGGGACTGTGAAATTTGTGCGAGGTATCTTGCAAGTTCTTTCCTACCGAAGGACAAACATATGGTTCTCACACGCAAGAGATTCTGTTACAGACTTCAGCGAAGGTAGCCACCCAAGAGATGGGGTCACAAAGAGTCCTGCTTGCACCAAAGTCGGCAGAGCAGCACCTGTACCTGTACCTTAGTGTCCTTAGTAGGTACCTGACAAAGGATGGGATGGAAACAAATCCATTTCCCCAGCTCCGATTACGACAGCGATTCCGATTTCGATTGCGGGGGAAAACCTTCATCTCAATATGGATCATTGTTGACCTGCTGGCCAATTGCGGCTGTTAGGGCTGTGGTATGGGGAAGAGAGAGGTGGGAGACATGGGAGACCAGACCATGCATCCCAGTGGTTAGGTGGTAACTGACCAAGTCACTCATGAGCTAAGTAGCTGTCCTTGACAAGTTGGTGCTTCGCTTACGAAGTAACACCGCTCACTCCTCACGAGCTAGCAACAAGTCGTCGACTCGGACTCGATCAATGTCTTTTGAGGCTAAATTGCAAATCCCAAGACGTGCATAGCAACATGATCAAAGCCCAAGGCTGATTCGATCGCTGAGGTCAAGTTGCACAACTTGGCTCGAGTTCGGAGCAATCGAGACCACTGCCAGGCCCTACCATGAGCCTGTTTCTCGACCTTTTTCGAGAAGCTAGAACCACCAAAGACTCCGGGAGAATCACGAACCTGTGTTAGTCTCGAAACGACATACACCACCAGAGGCTAATTGATGCCGGTCACTGAGCTCCTCCACCACACCTAGGGAGCTTGTTGACCTCCCCCGAGTCCTCTTGACTCTAGGGAGGGTCAAGCTCACTCACGACTTGCTTGTTGCTTCTTGCCAATGAAGCCTAGTCCAATCACCACCAGCCAGATCGACATTGACCCTTCCTGCCGGCCCTGGGATGATGTGTTGGTGGACCGAGCCGAGGACTTGATCGCACACCATGCAGAATCTATCCGTGTACAAACAATGCATATTGCCTGGAGGCCATGCAGATCAGTCGATCCCGTGGTCATCTCATTTAGCCGTTGGAAAACCTGAAAACACCTCGGCTGGAGTCATGACTTCAGACCTCGAGGCTCTTTAGGTTGTTGGCCTTCCTTCTCGTTTGACAAAGTCTAGAGAGAGTCCGGGCTAATGGAACCCATCAGGAATAGTGATGGATTGAGAGGTTCATTAAGGGCATTCATAGCAAAATGCTACACATAAGTTTGACATAATCAACGCACGGCCAACGAGAAACATGGACGAGGCCAATCAGAAGAATAAGTTTTAAATTTTAGAGATACAGGTCGACAATGAACATGGGGCAGGATTCCCTCTCGTCAGAGCAAGACTTGGATGCACCTGGAGCGCCATGTTCCAGCCAATCCGCCTTTTAGATTGATCCCAAAGCCCTGTTCATTTCTGTCGAAAAGATCCTGAATTGGTGTTGATACAGGTCGTAAAGTCGTAAATTCCCCAATCATTGGTTCCAAAAAACCTGGTGGACTACCTTCCAGTGTAGTCATACAATCCGTCATCGAGAATCGGTGTCAATTACCCCAAGACTCTGCCGCATCTGTGATAATCTTTCTGGTGCGGCGAGAGGCGCATCGTTGTCGCCATTCTCGGGAGTTTCTTCATCTTTTGATTTCTTCTTTTTTCTGCCAGAGCTGAATGCATCCAACTTGAAGTCCTTCAGAGCCGGAAGTCTGGATATTTTCTTCCCAGATCGTCCAACATGGCGGTCTGGCTGGTGGGGTGAAAATTCGGCCGAATCTGGTCGTGGTCGCCCTCTTGGGCTTGGAGTCAAGGTCGTGTCGGTGTTGTGTGAGCTTTGATATCGGGCGGGGTTCGTGTAGAGAGCATCGCTGAACTCAAGATGATCGTCGTCATCTTTTCGTGGGTCGTCAAGAGCAAGAGCAAGGCTTTGGCGGCGCTGTTCATCATGGTGCATACGTTTGATACCCAAACGCTTCAATTCCGTCTTGAAATCGTCCAACATGATAGTGTCAGTGAGACACTTGAAGACGAGGGAGAGTTTCCACCAAGGATTGATCCTGCCAACCTATGAGCATTCTGATCATCATGACCCTTTCACCTGACTTACCCATCAGTGGAACCGATGAAATTGTGTATGCTGGCCACAATGTCCAGACCGGTGAATATCAGCGAAAGGATGATGGCGCCGAGTAAGATGCCGAAGCGAGGGGAGCGTTTGATCAACTCAAAGACACCAGTCCCGTAGCACTTACGGATGACGTGGAATAGAGCGATACAGGTAAAGACCCACCATGGATCCCTGCTCATCGTTAGACTACTGGGCGCAAAAGAGAGACCTAACGATCGAAATCGTACCTAAACAGGGGCTCGTAGGGCCTAACTCGGGTGTAGAAATCGTCGATATTGTTGAAGAATCGAAAATTGTTATAGATCTGGAGGATGATGGGAGGAATGGTGCAGATGAGGGTGCCTAAATAGATTCTTTTGACCCAAAGGCCGGTGGATGGCTTGAACATAGACCTGGAGTCGATGAAGAATGGCCGGATTTTCATCCAGGCGACAACGTTGTGTACCACCCATGAGCAGTAGAGTAATGCTGCGGTGGATGACAAATACCAGCCATAGCCGTCAAAAGACATGAAGCAGAAGGTTCCTGACCAATGTTAGGTCAGGCGTGGAGGGATGGCAGGTGGTCCATGCTTACCGTGCGACAAGGCTGCAAGTTGCTATAGACGGGCAAGTCAGCCTCGCGAGAGTAGAGAAGTGCGCACAGACTTGACAACTTACCTCGACCAAAATGAGTTTATGAAGGAGTACTCCTCTCCGCATGTTGGCGATGGTAATGCATGCCATGATGATGAGTGATCCAACCATAAAGCCCTGACTCCACGCCTCTAAAATGAAGTCTTCATCAGACGCATTTTCACGCCAACTCCCGCTTCCTGCGCCGACTGCGCCTGTAACACTGTCATCTCGAGGATATATCTTGAATGTATACGCCATGTTGAGGGTTTGAAACGCGAGGAACGTGGTTCATCTCTGACTGTGCACCGAGAACTATTTGGGCTTTTGGTAGTTTGCGCGAATTATGGTCATGAGGACGGGCTCGTAGAGGTCTAAGTTGCAAAGGTTGGAGGTACTGCGACAGAGGTATTCGCAGTGTACCAGACCGAAATGAGGGCGAGGGCGAACCGCAATGGTAAAGACCAGGGGGAAAGGAATAGGATATTGATGGTGACTGGGCTATAGCACCTCGCCGGGACCAAATTTGAACGAGACGTGGGCGTGGTCAGCCGAGGCAACGTGAGTCGGACTTGAAGAAAAGAGTGGAAGGGATTCAGGAGTCTAGTCGCGCAGATCAAGGCAGAAAGGCCATCTCAGAGGATGGTGAAGTCAAGGAGGTTTTACTTGTGCGAAAGTGCACCCCGAGTGTATCGTCGAAGCGGATCTGGGACGGGAGAGAATAAGAAGCACCGGAGCCATCTTGGAGGCGAGCTCGTGATCCAGTTAGCATTTTTAAATGGGGAGACAATAGCGTGAGGATGATGATTGCCCAGCATTGAAATGGAGCAAATGGCGGGAGTGAGACTGACAATTGTCAAGGCTGATAGGCGGAATAGTAGTAAGTCATAGCAAGTCGTAGTAAAGATCGTCCGACAACGGCGCGGCCGGGGCGACATCAAGGCACAAATGAGAGAATGGAGGTGTGCACGCGATGCAGGGTTGCCTCGAGCTGTCGATCGATCATGGGCCAAGTGGCGCTGGTAAGACGTCTTCTGATTCATCCGAGCCACGCGGAACAAATCCTCTTACCTGGATGAGGGCAAGTTTCAAGGACGGGAGTGCAACAGAATAGCTGCCATGGGCTGCCATGGGCTGCCAAGTGCCAACCCATCGGGAGGACCCAATGGTTAGCCCAATGATTAGCCCGAGGGCCCAATGATCATTGTTGATGGATACGAGGGAACACGGCAAATGATGAATATGATTCGAGTGGCTGCTACCGAAAATGCCTTAGAGAACGCCTTGCATCTGTCTTTTGTTGACTGCATATAGAATATAGATACCTAGACGCCTATTATGACTAAGGTCGAGAGGAATAGACTCAAGTTAAGTAGTCAACCTAAATATCAAATATCAAATATCAGGTGCACTTCGAGGCTCATTCAGAGTCAGAGGCGTAAATGGGCTCTCTCTTGTAGTTCGAGTCGCCCTCATTGTCTGACTCTCGTGTACAATGTCGTCAACGCCTAGCGCGCTGTATCACCTACGCATGCCTAAAGCAGGGGACGTGTCAGAACATGACACTGCCTAACGCATGGGCTGGGACTGCATTTACGGGTACTACCATGGGGCTATGGGCTACCCAGGGCTATTCGAGTCATTTCCTTTCAACGCCTACTAACCACCAATCTAGTGCGGGGCCCCTCAACGCCTCTGCGCAAGCGCCTCAGCCATCACACCCCAGGTCCAGCGACCAGGTTGATGGGTACGGAAATGACTGGCCCCTAAAGTCCACATGATCATGCCGCCTGTAGCCCAGGGTTACACGGGCAATTCTAAGATTCAGGTATGATCCATTTGGTGGTTATTCCTGCGCAAAGTGAGATGCTGGGCTGAAGCAGTAATGTCACAAAAGCTCACACGCACTGATCCGTTTGTAGGTAAAATTGTAGTATACAAAACAATGTGCTTCACAAAGATCGTTAATAGATGAAACTAATTTTGACCCCATGGCACCAGATACGTCTCGGAATCAGCCTCATTAACAGCCTCCGTACTCGAAACAAGTTTAGTGCTTTGTATCCTGGACCGGATGTGTCTGGACACAATATTCAAGTCAACGTCGGAAGTTCGCATATTCGTATGTCGTCGTATCGTCGGCGAAATTAGACGAAGCTCTGTCCTCATCGCTCAAACAAGGCAACCTTACATCCCACTCCACTAGCAAGTGTGATTGTAAGCCATTCTCGCCATTCCCGACTGTCTCTGCTCTCGATCCGTGGGAAAGTTTGCATCAAACGCACAGTGGTGTAACCGGCTTCCATCAAGGCATATTGCTGGCCAACACAGATCCGCGGCCCACCGTTGAATGGCAGATACTCCCATCCCGGTCGCAGTGTCTCCCATCGTTCAGGGATAAACTCGAGGGCATCTGGTCCATAAAAGTCTTCTCGACGATGCATCGACCACGGAGAATACGAGACCACGGTTCCCTTGGGGACAAAAACTGGAGACTTGCCATCTGGCCCACCTCCGAGAGGAAGGACGGTGTCGACGATGGCATCCCGCGAATTACCCGGTACCACTGGCATCAGACGCAATGACTCGTTGAGAACATACTTGAGATACTTCATCTCCTTGATCGCAGTATAGTCGGGGATTTGACCGCCCAGAGTATCAACTTCGGCTTTGAGTTTGGCCCAGATGTCCGGTCGTTTGGACAAGACGTGCCAGGTATTGGTCAGGAGACCGGCTGTTGTATCCCTACCAGCCAGCAAAATGTTGAGCAGCTCCGACCGCAATGTGTACCGGTCCCGGGTCTGGTTGAGAAGCGAGTACAAGAAGACATATCGGTGCTTCTCGGAGATCTTGCCGGCATCCACGTCTCTGATAGCGTCCTCAATGATGTCGTCGGCAAACTTGTGCACAATTTTGATCTTTCGGTGGTATTCCTGGTTGGGGATGAACTTGTCAAGGCCGCCACGACGGACGGATGTTCCAATGTCTGAGATTTGTCAGTCACATGATACGTAAAGCAGTGTCTCTCGCTTACACTCGGTCAGGTAGACAAAGGCCTCGACAAACTGATTGGCCGACTTGGTCTCCAAGCCAGGTGCAAGTGAGTTGGTGGACCGGCCAAAGAGAAATTCGGTGGCAGAGTCAATGGTCAGGCCGAAGAACAGGTCCTGGAGATCGACCGTGGAGCCGTCCCGAGGAACTGATTCAATGAGGTGTTGAATGTGTGCCTCAAACATGTCGAGATCGGCCACCTGCTGTCGAGTAAAGTTGGGTCGAACTAGTGCGCGGGACCGTTCCCAAGCAGCACCGTCCTGGTCGAAGATTCCATGGCCAAAAATGGGCAGAAAGGCATCTCTCCGTCGGGCGCCCAGTGAGTAGTCGTTAAACTTTGTGGACAAGATCGTTTTGATATTTTCAGGCTCGCGAGTGAGGATCACTACAATCGGTCAGTCAAACTTGACAATGTACAAGAAGTGCAGAACCTTGCTCACTTGATCGCTCGATGATTCTCAGACGAAGGGTATGATGGCCCTTGCCAAAATTACGTTCGCGACTGGCTTCGAGCATGCGACCCTCCTTGCTCGTTTTCAACAGCTCATTAATGACGTCCAGACCCAACAGTTTGCCAAGGATACCTTTGTGAGGATAATCGTATGGTTCTTTACAACCATTCTCTCTGATCATGCGACGTCTCGTTGCTCCTGTGGTCAATTCCCAGTAGATGCGGTGCAGTGCAAAGGCGACCACCAGGCACAAGCCCACGAACGGCAGGGGGATGCTGGAGAGAGCCAGGACAGCCATAGTGACGGGAGTTGGAAGATGTCGAGGATGACAATTATAGTCGGGTAAGTGAGAAAACGGGGCTAATTACAGGTGGTTGAGATGGTTTTATATGAGCAGATACTCTGAATCCTCGAGCCGTGGTAAGGGTCCAGGGATTCTATGTGGATTTGCGATGGTAGTGGGTCTCAATGGGACATGTAGGACTGTATACGCATGTGAACCATCCACCGTCAGCAAGGATCCCGGTTGTACGCGACGACTGCGACCAAGGGTTTGAGGCAAGTCAGCAACGTTGGGAACCTAGAGTGTGGCACGGAATAGGTGGGTAGGATCAGTCAAGGAATGCGTGTTGTTACTTCGAAGGAAGAGGGCATTAGTGGAGCGTTTACGAGTAATATAGGTACTCCACCGACAGGCAACCATTGATTGACCGTTAGATTCTATTTAACTGGAACGATAGAAGCGGAGAAAGAGTGTCAGGCCTCGGTATTTCAAGAGTTTCAATGGCAGATCATGGCTGCATGCCCTATCGAACATCCTTCTGACGACATGTTGCCCCCCTTTTGAGCCCGGGTACTTGACGTCGTTCTCTCGGCCTTCAGTCCAAGCTTGACGGCCTCACTACCCACCGACGTGTTCGGACCTGTGAAAGTAACCTCGTATGTTAAGACTTGGTAAAGGCTGGTTGCGATTGGCTGGGAGTCACTTGTCGCCACGCCTCCCTGTACGGAGTACGCACAACCTCGATTCAGCTTACGTTTTGGTTCAGCTCCTTCGCTCGCCTATCGACCAACCGACCCAGAAATTGATTACCTTTGGGATGGCCGAATGACTAAGGGTGGCTAACAAATCCAAATATCGATCAATACAAGAACCCAAAGGCACCTAAATATGGCCAGATCGTTGAAGAGAATTGTGTCTGTGTCCATGTTTGAGTCTGGAGGATTCCAAGCGTGTCTCTTGCCCCGCGCTACCCAAGACAGCATCGACAAGCCCCTAAGGTGCTTGGCCCGGGGATACCGTCGGCCCACTAACAAGTAGACTCGAGTACTTCATGAGTAAATGTTATCATTGAGAGAGCACTGGACTGTGGAATGTAGGGATTAGCAGATTACCTAGGCAATGGTCAGATGAAAAGGCAATCTGCTCATCGTCCTAGGGTCTTGAGATGCGTCATGATCACTGATCGACAGGTTAAGAGAGTCGCATTCCTCTGTTTACAGGCACTACTTGGGATCTGACCTAAATGAGGTAACTATTTAGGTGCATACTCTAAGTGACTCTCCGCACTACTGTTTTGGATCATTGGGCCATCGGCGGCTTCACTAATAATTGTTAGGCTATCCGGCCATGGCGTTGCATGTACTCCGTACTTTTGGCGGTGGGGGAACCCCGGGGGCCGAGGCGCCCTCGGCCCGTCTTCTGACAGGGAGGGAGCAATAAGGAACCTCCTCACAAACAACAGTCCATATAGTTGGTCAGTTTCGACTCAGTACCACCCTTTCTGCGTGCATTGCTAGGTAATTGCATCCTACCGACTTGCCCAGTGCTTAGGTTGATTCCCCAGGCTCCAATCAACCAAGTAGATCGCATACCCGACATACCCCAAAAGCCCGACCAACATTCCTCTGTCGAGTCGATAGACCCACTGCTCATGAATGCTATAGGCAATTGTACTCGTAAGTCTGTAAAGCTATCGTGATCTAGAGCCTTGGCCCGATCATCGACGTTTCAATTCTGGTTTGGAGGCTGTGCAGATGAATCCTTTTTCGGTCGTTATTCTTGCTTTAGAAATAGATACCTTGTTCCTACAAAGGACAGTTCCACCAGTACTCACACAGACATACAGCATATATTTCCAAGAGGGCCTTGAGAAAAACCAATGAGCCGGGTGCCTAAAAGAGCCTCTGGGTGGCAAGGACGCTTACTCCCTTTGAGAAACTTTTTATCTGTTTACCATTGGATGTCTCAGCTTTGAGCCCTACGCTTACTATGTTTACATACATAAAACATATTGTCAGCACCGTCAGCACATGCCCAACAAATATGTTAATTGACAGCAGGCGGCTATACCCCGGTTTTCCATTGCCAATGATAGGACTGACAAGAGGCCGACGGACCGACTTGTGACTACCACCCCCTCTCGCCCTACCGGATACGGATGCGACATGTCGTTATGTGCAATATTTGGCGGAGATATGAAATGGTTATACCTCTCCTCGACTACCTAATGCATCTCAGAGTCACTTGCCAGTACCTGTGATTGATATCCCCCCCCCCCTCTTAGGTGACGGTCCTCTATTCGACGACTGACTGGTCTTGATCGCAACCCCTCTCCTTGTCACTGGTATCATTACTACCCGAGTCACAGACCGTCTTGAGACAGACGAGACTAATCATTGGTATCAGACTACCGAGGCCGAGGTAACGAACTGAGAAGCATGTGTCTATCACTCCCAGTCGAGATCTAACTCGACCTCCAACTGTAGCCTCCGCCAAGATATCTTAACCTGTGATCCTGGTGTCTCTCAATATTGAGATCTGAATCCAGGTCGGCAGCGAGGTTGATGTCAGGGCAGAATTTGCAACATTGATTTCACCAAGTCGGCGATTCTAGAGGCAGGACGTGGGAGGCAATAGGATGGAACGTTCGTTCGTGCCTTCTCGCCACCGTTCCTTTGCTCCTTCGGTCCTTGGCCCGCTCCTTCCAAGTCATCATTGTCGAAGAACCCACTGCAGGCAGCTGCTTTTCTTCTCTGGAATGTTTCATTAAATCCTTACCATCACTCTGCTGATCCATTCAACTCCATCGCCTTGTTGCTTTTGTCCATCTGGCCTTGACGGCCTTTGTCATCCCACCTTTTCCCTCGCTGTCGGCCTCGACTCTCAAAACTCCCGCCTCCTCGTCCTCGGCCACCTTGACCTGCTCCATTGGGTTTCCCTCGAGAGCTGCCTCCATACCGCCCCCCTCCACTTCCACCCCTACCCTTGCCTCCGACCCTGAAGTCGATCTTCTTGAGAGGATTCTCCACCGTTTCTAGACCTTTCAATCCCAAATCGGACCTGCGTTCTGGGTCAACTTTCCACGGTTGGAAAACATGCTGTGGGTCTTCCAATTCTCGCAGTTCTTGCACCCAGGCTTTGCAATAGTCCCCCTGAGGATCGTAGTCACAAGCCTGCTTGATCGGATTGAACACTCGCGCTTCGCCTCTAGGATCGTTTCCTACCCCCGCCACATATTGCCAGTTTCCCCAATTCGAACTTACATCGTAGTCGGTCAACATACACTCATACCACTCGGCCCCGAGCTTCCAGTTGATACCCAGATGCTTGGCTAGATAACTGGCCACATTTTGCCTCGCTCGGTTGCTAGTATAGCCAGTAAGGAAGAGCTCTCGTTGGCTTGCATCGATCAATGTCGTTCCAGTCGTGCCTCGAAGGAACCGTTCTAAGATCTCATTCACTCCTGACCCGCTGCCCTTGTTCCCCGGCGTCTTCCATGCATATGTCTTGTCGTTTCGAAACCCTTCGAGGCGGAAGAGGCGAGGTCCGAACTTGCGTGTACACAGCCTCATGTAGTCTCGCCAGAGCAGCTCAAACCTGACTGCTGCACTTCCCTTGTTCTCACCCTTTCCATAGCCCACTGTACCCTTCCATCGATCAGCCTCTCCATTTTCAAATTCCAGTAGCCGAGCATGAACTTGACGGGCGGTGATGCACCCCAATGCTAGCCACGCAGAAAGCTTAGTTGAAAAGTCGGTGCCTAAAAGTCCGTTCCGCGTATCCTTGTAATTTGTCATGGCGCCTGACTTGATCAGAGACTCGATCCGTTCGAGGCCTGTCTTTGCTCCGCCATGGAATGGATGTGCTGAGGACACCGACTCAGGAATTGCAATTGACTTTGGAAGAGGAGGCTCGGCTTTGAGAGGTTTCAACAGAGATTCTTCGAGTGACTGGTAGTCATTCGGAATCAAAAAGGGGCCGTGCTGGGGTGGAACATGGCCTGGCAAGGGCGGTAGCGATTGAGGTGGAGGGACCTCATTCCTTGGGGCTTCCCTCAGCGGCTCGACAGATTTTCTATAACTCGTAAAGACGTCTGGGAGATCCGAGGGCTTGTCAAATGGGAGATCGCGACTTTTGGTGGTCAGCTCAGAGCTCCAATAGGCTGTCATAGTCGAGGACATGCATACTCATCAATGAAATACTTTTCATCCAACCAAAGACGAAAATCCACTCCAGCTTTCTCAGCCGCCGAACGTACACTTCGTTCCTCTCGTTTCTCCTCGATGCCTTCCTCCTCGGTCATCCATACCCCATATACCGAAGCCTCCTCGCCATGTTGCTTGAATTGTTGGAGAAGATCGCCAACAACATCGCCGAGGACACCGACGCGAATGACGAGATCGCTTCTGAGGGTTAACAATTCAGATTTGAGGTCCCAGACCGACTCCGCCAGAAACTTGGCTCGATGTGGCCCACATCTCCAAAAGCCACCGACCTCCGACCTGGCCTGTGGATAGGGTGAGCTGGCAGTGTGGTCTTTGAGGAATCCAGAGCTTTCAATTTGCTGTGACGCGAAGACGTAAACAGGGAGAAAATGGGTGAATGGTCTTTGAGACTGCTGCCACAGCTGATGTATCTCATGGAAGACTGGGTTGTCGGCGAGTCGTAGGTCCCGTCTCAGAATATATATCAATATTCTTTGAGAAGCCATCTTGTTTTTGAACACTCTGAATGGGTGCGCAGCTGAAGCTGCTTTCAAGACAAATACTGTGATGGCAAGAGTCACCCAAGCGAGAGTAGATGAGGCTGATATATTGATCGTGAACAGAGGTGGCGACGTCCTGTGACAGTGACACTGGCACAACGGTTATCAAGCCGGCAGCTCATGTAATTGGGCGAGACGAATCACGATGGCCTCAGCTAACACTGGTGTAGATGGATGGTTGACGCCTGGAATGTATAGTGGCAAGGAAAGGAACAGCAGTGAAAAACACAGTACACGAGTGCTAGACCTGGGTGTTGGGAATAAGGCAAGGCCTCCTCGAAGCTAGTAGTATTGGCTTTTTTGAGATTCGCGAGATGAGATCATGTCACCATGGGTAGGTGGAAAAGATGGGGCTGATGAGTGGAGGACAACGGGCGGATCTGGACTGGGAGTAACAGACAGTCCAATGATTGGAGTCAGCCGGTAAAGAGAGAGAGGAGGCAAAACAATAGGAGGGTGGATGTGGTTGGGTGGAGAGAGATGAGTGTGGTGGTGACCACCACAGCAAACATGGCGGCCAGGTGTAAGCATCATGGCCCGCGAGATTCGATTGCAGGGAACACAGTGGAGACTAACGATGAGATGCAAACAAAAAGACGCTGTGATCTGGACGATCATCGGACATGGTTGCAGTTGCAGCGTCGATCGATCTAATCATGAGTGGGCATGGACGCTTGGTGGCGGTCATGCATCATCATGCATTAGGTAAGATCGTGCTTGTCTTGACATCTCTTATAGGTTTTAATTATGATTCTTGTACCTCCAGGCGCTAATGGCAGCAACCCCGCGCCCGAGGCTCCGGACGCCCATAGGGCCAGCGCCCTGGCATTCTGCAATCCTTAACAAGGAACATCTGGAACCTGCAAGAGCAAATATCCGAAGTGAGTGTTGAGTTTGTCGCCAACCGAACTTCCTCCTTAACGACTTGGAGCCACTGCATTGTCGGCCGTCTACCTACCTAGGTATGTAAGTGGGCACCTTGTATCCTTCTGCCTGTTCTCTTCACCAAACATTACATTCGGACTCGCTGTTGGGCTTCCCTTTGCATTCTAGCCATCCTTCCTATACAACTGCGATATGAATTGATCAATATCTCGTTGGTCAGCTCCTTACAATACTAATTCCGTAGCCTGTTAGTCATTCAGACGGTGATAATTCTGTTCTGGCACTTGGAAAAGAATAAACTCACGTGACTATGCTGGCGTGAGTCTGCTAGTTAGCATCTGGCTCTTACATAAGCAACAAGGCTAGGGGTGGGCGATCGTACACAAGCTTCTAGCCCTATCAGAGATGGCAAGGCTGTGAGATTAGTGTGGTCCGTGCGTTCGGCGCCTTCCGTAAGGATCTTAAGCGAGGCTCTAACATCCCCAAGCCACCAGCAAGCCACACCGCATGGCCGAACAAGGATCCCAACTCAGCATCTGGAGTCATTATATACTCCGTAGGTGCAATTCCGCATCCTTGTCACTTGATACAAGTATCATCAATGGTCGATAATAATTCCTTGGCTTCATCTCACATGCTCACACAATGTTCAATTCATGGCGGTGATAATTGTTGCTTTCCAAGTTCAATTCCAAGAGCCTGGGTGGTAATCGCCACTTCCAAAACCCTAGATCTGTGACTACATTACCAAGGTGGCCACTGATTACCACCTTGTCCACTAAGCGCCCCTGCGCACATTTCCATGTCCATTACTGCACCTGTCATTTCCTGGGTATAGTCGAGTCAAATATATCTCCAAATGTGCATTTCATACAATGCCAGAGCCCATCCAAGCAGACAGTCTGTATCTGCCACACGCTTCGATCCCTTGCCGCTGTCCCATCAACTCATAAATTTTCAAACATCTGTAAAGTGTGGTCGAGAGAACAATGTTGTACAAAACCTGTGTGTGCGACGTCAATTTCAGCTTCGCCGCCACTGTCAAAGGTGTGTTGTGCTATGCTATGCCGCAATCGCCGCAGTAGGGCTTTCCGAGATGTCGTCCCCTGGCGAGTCCGATTTGATCCCATCTTCGCGATTGCTGCCATCTCCGGAATGACCGCTGCCACAACCTTTGACAAGAATATGCCTCTGGAATCATGTGTTAGCTTGCATTCGCCCAATCACGCCCAGACCGAAGATCTTACCTTGAGAGCGTCCTTGCGGGAGAAGCTCTTGTCACAGTGATTACAAGGGAACGGTTTCACTGCAAGATGAATCCGCTTATGCCGCTTCAAGTCGTGGTTCCGATTGAAGCTTTGTGGACACTGGTCACATTTGAATGGCCGGTCTTGTGTTGTCGGCTGTTGAGGAGGGGTATTCCGTTGCGGTCCATAAATAGGGTTGGCCGCATAGCCACTATTGAAATTCATTGGGAGCAGGCCCGCATTCATGCTTCCAACCATGGCCATGTGTGCCCCTGGGCTGTGGAGATTCGACATGATCGGTCCAGGCATCGCAGGCAGCGAATACGAGGGTGGGGGTGGACGCATAAAGGGGCCTGGCGGGTGCAGCTGCGGAACAGCGCCATGGTTCAGGGTGGGTGAAATACGTGGTGCGGAGAGCGTCTGAGGATGTGGACTGTGCGAAACCGGCGTTGGGGCAGAGTAAGGGTACCCAGCGGGACTTGCACCTGAACCAGGCATGGCAGTGAAAAGTGAAGGCTGTTGTTGACCTTTGGAGGTCGGGTCAACCGGTGTCAGAGGAGAAGGCTGGCTCGAAGGGCGAATTCCATTCATCACGTGTTGTGGAGGTGCAGAATTTGGCCCCGAGCCGGGCGAAGACAGGTGCAGCGAAGAGCCATAGGACGGATGAACGCCGTGGACATCATACGGGGGAGGAGGTAGAGAGGAGCCTTCGGTTGCAGTGGGAGAGTTGGTGTTGTGACGAAACAAGGAGCCAGTGACTGGGGAGAACATGGACCGTTGAGGAACCATCGAAGGGCCATGTTGCCAAGTGGGCTGAGGGTAGCCCGTATGGTACCCTGTCGGTGTCGTGGCAGTGTTGAAGAAAGTGGGAGTATATGGAAGGACAGGGACCGCGGCACTATTGGGAGTTGTGCCGGTTGGAGGAGCAGATGATGAGGAACTCCCCTCCGAGGCCGAATTGGATGGGGGAGTCAAAATGTGACCCAGATTTGAGGTTGAATGATGAGATGGGATGCTGCCGCCAAGGGGTGGAATTCTCTGCGAGATTGACCCAAAATGCTGTAGCGGTGGAGGAGGGAGCTCGAAGGCCGGCAGATTCGAGGCAGCGAGCCGCCTCTGTGTCAGACTGGAGGGTGCATTGAGAGCATCAAGAGACGTCCCCATTGGGAAGGGGATTGCAACAGACGCCAGGGCGATGGTGTGAAATGGATCTTTGGCTAAAGCCTGGCGAGTGTGAGAGCCTTGCTCAAGAGGTTAGAGGCTACCTCAATGGGGCCTCTTTTTGACTGGTACCAGAGACGATACTTTTGCTCGAGCTACAAGCTGGTAACCCTCGTGTGGAAAGGCGCGTAAAGCGATGGAGTAATGTGCTGATGAAGCTCGTCCGCACAACCAAGGACGTATAGTCCCCTGGGGATTTGACAGTAGGACAAGTGCAACAAGAAAGCTCTTCAGCCAAGTGCTGGCTGTTTCTCGGAGAGTGCGATGTTCTGCGAACAAGAGACTTCTTGCTGCGTCGTTTGTGATGGAGCAAAGAACGGCGAAGAGTTGAGGTGTTGATCGCTGGGTCGGTCGGTGGGTGTGGATTGGAAAAGTGGTTACTGACACCCGTCGCGGGGCTAGGCGGCTGATATGCAGCGAGATGAAGACGCCGAGGCTTGACTGGCGAGACAGTACAGAGATCAGATAGGGAGCTTCAAAAGGTCACAACAAGGTGCAATACAGCCGGTTTTGATATATCAAGACCGCCCAAGAGTGACCAGGCTGGCGACGAGGGAACGCTTGGGAAAAGAATGAAGAAATGCCAGGTCGCGATCCTCTTGGTCGGGGCAGCACATGGCGTTCTTAGCGGGCAGCTGGCGGCCGGCTGGCTGGACTGGGCCTGTCGGCAGCATCGCCTAAAAAGAGGAGAGTTTGTCCAAAATGGGCGGCGGAGTGATTAGGAGCTAGGGCAATCGAGGGATGGCGGTTTGGATGCAGCAGGTGCCGGGGGGAGGGAGAAGGAAATGACATGGGTGTCATGGGTGTGGACACCCAGGTCAGTGGAGTCCAGCTGGAGGCGGCAAGGGCAGGGGAAGAAAAAAGATCAAGGAAGGCACGAAGGTTTACAGAGAGCCTAGAGGGAGACATTGGAGGTTTGTCAGACAAGTCGAGTACGGAGCACGGAGCGCGTGTTGACAAGTGTTGCTCCGTCCTTTCGGGTCGTAGAGTGATTGGGCGTCAAGAAGCTTGAGTAGGGTGGTCAAGCATGTGGGTTGGCTGATGGGTCCGGTAGGTTTCAGTGTTGGTCCACGACAAGTCTGGACCGAACAGTAGGTGCGCGCAGGAGCTGGTCGATGATGAGAGAGTTTACTCCCAAATGGGACGACAAGAGATTAGATGCATAAGAGAGACCTTGTTCAGCAGTGGACAGCTGGGGCAGCTGGGAGTGCCATTACTGGCATGACCACCTGACCGTGCCCAGAGATGCGGATGGACCTCAAGATCACAGGAAGTGGATCGGCCAGTCATGCAAGCGCTGGGAGCGGGGATGTGACAACCAAGGACCAGGTATCGCATGGGATGGGATGGGATAGGATGGGATGGCAATAATGGCATGGCCAAATGGCCAAATGGCTGACGACTCAGTTAACTACACACATCCCCGAGTCCACCGTACAGTAGTGCCCTCGCTTGATCTTGTTCATGTTCGATCTCTTGTGTTGGGGGGACCCATGTTGGAATTACAAGGCATGGTGGCATGCCAACACTAAGTAGACACGAGATTCGAGGCAACAACAATAATGTGAATTTGCTGAAGCGTGGGATCCAAGTCTCTGTACCGCGCCTACGCCGACATACCTATGCCTATGGTAGGTACCTTGCGCATCCTAAGTTTAGCTGAGCCTGCACCATGCCACTCAAAGTAGGCGGTCAGCGCAGACTTTGCTCTTTGGGCTGCTGCTAATGGGGAGTAATACTGATTGCTCCAGCCTGAGACTCCAGGCGACAAGTCGAGAAGAGAGACCGCGAAACGCGAGGCTCCCAGGCAGGCTCTCTACTAATATCGTTACCGTATTCGGCGCATTTGTTGTTTGGCAGGAGACTCCATGGGCACCTTCAGGCCACCTCCCCACGAGGCGTATTGGCATGACGACCATCTTCATGATCGCACTGCTGAGAGATACATGACATGGACTTTTCATGGTTCCATGGAGATTTGTCTCTATACAACAACATCAATATTGATGTCGATCGCAAGTTGATCGAACGGAACGGGAAACATCAACGGCTCTCACAGATTCCCCTGCTCCCATCCTGGCACTCGTGGAATCCACACCAGAGTGCCACAAGCTAGACTACTTATCTCTTAGCCCCATGAGACCCACCATGATTGGCAATTGCACTGCGTACCTATCTCAAAAACTCCCCAGACACCCAGACACCCAGACACCCAGATTATCAGGTTCAGGAGACCGAGTTAACGTTCCACTTGCACTCAAATCAGGCGCGACGACAACCCAGGTCGAGTCGAGACATGGTTTGTACAATCACTTGGCGCAATGGCATTGGATTTGAAAAGATAGTTGAAAGCTTTTCCAATCAAGATGCACTTGCATGTCCTAGGAATGGATGCAGTGAACAACTCAAATTGCGCACTTAAGGTCGCTATCCTAGACATTGGTCAAGTTTGGGGTGGATTACCAAGGCCATTAGGCCCCGCAGCCCCTCAATCCACACCTGCATCCTTGGTCTTCCAATATTCATAAAAACTACGACACACAGGAAGTGACGACCCGGCTGGACATCTGGTAGGCGAGGAAAGGGCAGAATTTCAGGAACCATGGGAGCTCCATAGTCGAAAAGTGAGCCTTACTGGAATAATGCTGGATTATGCTGACGTGAAGCACAAGATTGATCAAAGTACCTGGTCACCTGGTCTTGTACAAGCAAAGAGCCTGCCTGTCGCGCCTCGGATCGTCCTCATCCTCCTAGTGCAACGCCTGTCATATATCTCATCCGATCCGATGTTTGATCCGCTTCAAGCGGGCCATTCAAAACTTGCCACCCAGTCCTGTAACAATATATGTATGCGCGTGGGTGGCAGTAGTGGTGGATGGACACGACGATCTCCATCCGCAATCATGGGCATAATAGATCACCGCTTCCAGTGTACCGTGATTCTGGCTGTCTGGATAGCCTCCCAGCTTCGATGAGGGACTCTCCGGCAGCTAGCGTCTGCAAGAACGTCCATGACGATGTGGTGGGTGTGTGTGGCCAAGACCCGGAGCCTCCTGGGCACACCGTCCTGACAGCCTGCACCCCGCCAGAAATGATCTCTCCAGTGGGCAAGTGTATTTTCGCTCGCCTACACTGCCCCCAGATAACTCAACCAGAACCCGTAGGCGTGTCACTCGTGGTCAGTGCGTGACTATTACCGTTTTCGCCGCTACTTGAGCTTGCACCATGCTTTTTCCATTCCAGCTCACACCCAGGACCCATGCAGCCATTACCTCCGTAGGCATTAGTGAACCCGAGTCTGCTGCTGCCACTCGATGCTAAAAGGTCGTCCGTAAGGAAAATCCAAGTCTAGCATGGCTCCTCATAGTCTGGTGGGCCCACTAAGTTAGCTGCTCCCCATTTTCGCCACAACCTCAGCACCAAAGTGTCTCATTCGGTAACTTTCGTCAACCGATGCGAGCTTTCTCGCGGATCAAGCAATCTCCAGAGCCATGTGGCTGCCACCATCATTTGTTGCCCCCAACGGGCCAACCAGACAGGTACTCCCCTCTCCTCCGTACTTACGAATTGATCTTGCTGTGGCCGACCGCCGACCGCCGACCCGTCTTCTGTGAGAGCCCCTGCACATTTTGGAACAGGCGTGCCTGCACAGCTAACGACCGATCTTGCAGTTGACTTTTTGGGAGCCATATTGACTCCTTTCGAGGCCGAGGGGCCTTGTTTGCTTGCTACGGGGACTCTCTCCCCTGGTTCATCTGTCATCGAGATTCCACTACGCATACAGCACACTCCAAGACCGAGGATCGACTTCGACCTCTGCCAGGCTTTGGCCCGCAGTTGGCCTGCACATGCCTCCTCCCCACGCATACTACTGCGGCAGATTTACGGGTCAGTCAAGATTCCCCTCTGCCTTATCCTAGTCAAGGCAAAGGTCGTTGCCCACCCGTCCACCCCCAACCCACCGTTGGTCTTGTCAGACAGAACACGTTCGTTCCAAATTGCCATTTTCCTGCACCTTCCTCAGCCAGCCGCAGCTTCGCTGGCCCTAGCAAGCGAATCTGAGTAGTCCGTCACTCTGATCTGCCACACCGGAGACGTCCTCTCGATCGATCTTTCAACTAACAGTACCTAGTAGTTAGCGTCCTCCCGCGGCCTCTCTTTTTCACACGGTCGCCCCAACCCCACCCCACTGTCAAAGCTGCCCATGCATATCTCAAGTGCCTCAAGCAGTATGAGGCAGGAGCCAAAGCTTGAGGCCTGAACGCGGAGGGACGTCAGGTTACCGCCACCAGCTTGACATCCGCGACGCCATCTGAGTCCATCCTCCCGGTATCGACGCGCATTCCACCAGCGGCAAGATACGTACCGCCATTAGACAGTAGTAGACTGCACTTGCTACACCTGCTACAATTGTTCATCTCGCGCAGATCGATCCTGAATTCCACAATTTGCCGCCTGATAACACTGGCAAGCACCCGAGTCAGTATCCCTCGTTCCAACAGTACCATGCGATTCGTCATCTCGAGGTAGCCCAGTCAGCACTTTACGTCAAATATCATTCCCGGCCCAATTTCAGAGCTAGGCTTGTCACGCGCATCTCAGGGTGGTCCAGCAAGATGGTGGAACCCCTAGAGGAGTCACCCTAAAATATGGCGAATGAGAAGTGGCCCTAAGCGAACTCCGATTCCTAACACGGCCTCCGGCACCTCCCAGAACTGCCCCTGCAGATCTCACTTTGGGGCTAATCCTATGGCAGCCGCTATGACCATAATTTTCACTAATATGCGGTACTTCTGCAAGAGTTTCGGCTCTTATCAGGAGCTAATCCTAGGCTAGACCACCTCACCAAGGTAAACCTCAGACTCTGATACTTGGATCAACAATACTTTGCTTGGGCGCGTGCGCTTCATCATCGTCTTTAGCTGGAGTTCTCGGCCGCTCAGCCTGATATCAGCCCTTTTTGAAAAGGTTTGTGTAGGCTCGTATCGACCAGAGTGTCGGAAATTCGATGTTTCGTGATTCCACTGGAGCCGCGTTTGATGGATCGACATGTTGAGTACGGCTGCACCTGGTCTTACCGTCCATCATTCCACTATTATTGACTATTGTGGACTTGACAACTGCAATTCGATACAAGAATCCAAACCAGCTGAGTACATGGTCTATCCCTGACGAAATCTCCTTTTCTTGAGTTTTCATGATTCCCTTCCCACGATTGAGGTCATCCATCCTGTCGTCTGTTGTCCCGTGGATGAACCACTTACGATTCCATCACGATTGCTCCCCCTTTGCGCACTCACTTAAGTGGCATACAATCTTCATCTCCAGCTGGTACTGCCAAGAAAGGCGAGAGATATCCGGCGCAGATACGTTAGCTGTGGCACAAGAACTATTTCCCAGGAAACTTGATTATGATTGCACGTATGCGTTAAAATTTGTTGGCCATTGCCGGTGATAGTATTCACTCTCTATTCCAAGCACAGCCCAGCCGTTGTTTTGCATCAAGGTGAAGGCGACCGGGGAAAGTTCCCAGCAATTCTCACCCGGGAAGGGGAGACGTCAAACTCAAAAACCCCTAAGAAGACGCGACAGGTCAGGGCGCCCATAGTGACACTTGGGAAAACACTCCCGCCTTGATGAGAACACGAGCACGGAAGGGGGCCCTGTGAACCCGGTATTGAACAGAGCGATCAATTGTGAGAGTAAAAGTGGTGACAGATGATGAACGACCATCTCATCTTGTCTGTCAAGCAGCTCGCATTGTCAAGTGGGACTTGGACGAAGCGGGGGAAGGTGATTGTAGTACTCCTGGTTGGTGTCAGTGAAATCCTGCTACTAACAAGTTTTACTGTTGTCATCTCGCATCACATTTTCGGCCACAGCGCAAAACCGAGAACCCACGGGCCACGACAACTGCTTCTCCTTCTCCTGTCAGCCTCCGCATCCACATACCCTCTACACACACTAAAAATTACTACCAGCACTCTGGTGTGCCCCGACCACTATAGCTAGCCGGTCACCCCTGGGCAGATCACGCCAAAGAGCCAATGGCGAACACGTGGTGTGAGTGCCGTCGAACAGGTCGTCTAAAGGTCTGTGGTCCACACGAACCGAGCCTTGTGCCTGTCAACCAATATTATTGCCCTGTCATATAAAAATCCTGTCGAGCGTCTGTTTCCCTTGGATCGTTTGCGTCCGGACAGTCTTTGTTGTCATGGAATGGAGCGTCTCGTTGCTTCAACCACAATGGGCGAGGTTCCCAGGTCAAGGAATATATTATTGTAAATGTTTGAAATGAAAGGAATTAAAGAAAATTCAGAGTTCATGTATCGTTAAGCGAGTTGTCCAGTGCGCGGCTTGTTGCTGGATCTAAAGAAGAGACCAAAGCCTTAACTTTGGCCTACGGAGTAGGCATCCTTCGACCGGCAGATTCCAAATGCCTCGGGAATGCCCTGAGTTTTGTTACTTGAGGTCTGGCCATTTGACCCACGACTTGTGTCACCGTTAATTGCTCATTGCACCTGCCTAAACAGGTCACGCGTGTGGTCAGAGCACGACAGAAGTCAACAAAAGAAAACCTCCTCGTCCTCTCAGACCTTGAAACCATGATGCTCAAAGGACATGCCACAACACACGTCGTGCACAATCCTCGCACTGTCATCTTCTCTGGATCGACGACATTTCATGCCACACTCAACCATATGGGATTGACGCAGATAATTGCAGCTGTGTACAGTATTTGTGGCCTCGAGGACAGGACGAGGTCTTGGCATTGGACAGAAAACACCTTGGACCAGTCACGAAGCCGTGTGCGGCCATGTGCCACTCCCGTCAGATGGCTTCGCCAAACCCAGCATCGCCCACAGGACGACTATGGGGGCGGCGGGCGGGTGGACCTGGCGATTGGCGTTGGCACGGTGCCACCATTCAGCAGCGCCAGGTCGACGCCTCCTATTGTGTGGCACTCTGAACAAGTAAAATAGGTATCGTATTTTTTGCACAGAGCGGGTTGGTTGGTGCGACCAAGAACCATTGACCAGCCACCCCATGGACGCTGCCGGCTTGTTCCCACGGTAGTGGCGCCCATATCAGGAATAACTGCACGCGATTAGTCCTGACGACCCGTAATGCAATTGTCAGCCTTGTGGGTTCCGACCCCGAACGTTGGTCAAGGCCTAGAACTATCTGTTTTCATGCAAGAGGTACCCAGGTCCGATCTCCGCATCAGGCCCGACGATTCTGTCGCTATCATCTCACAATTAGAGTAATAGCCAGCCCGAGCCAAAAAGGTGGAATCAACTCGCTTGTGCAATAAAAGCAATACGAAAGTTTCTCTCACGTCAAATCCGTTGAACACGAGGAGTCAAGATGATTACCCCTGGGCGACTACCTCAATCCGTCATCTTGTGTGAGTCGGGCTTTCGTCCACAGACGCCTCCTTTCTGCGCCAATTTTGGCTGTTGACAGTGGCCCCATGGCCCGTTGGCCCGTCCGGACATCTGGCATCTCAGGGTCCTTCGAGAAATAATCGGAAGCTTTCAAGTTGCCGGATATCGGCAACCCTGTGTACGGATCATGAAAACTCAGGTGTCACTCCCCCTTTTGTTATTATTGACTGCTGCAGGGATAACTGATGGGATGAGATCCTCTGTCATCCAATGATCCAATAGATGCAATTCTCACCGGAGTTCCTAACTCAGTATGCTGATGGGATTTGTCAAATTGAGTCAGTTCGAACTCGCCCTGTCATTATTTGTCGCGCACTTGGATCGATCGATCGACCACGATCGTGTCTCCACGGACTCTTCCACAGCCCCCACAACCCAATGTGAAAACGACAAGAAAGAGACAAGTCAGGCTGCCCCCTGGCGAGTCGCCTTTCTGGTGCCTGTGACCCTCATCCTGACCTGGCTGGACGGATGAAATACAAGTTTGAAGACAATTCTTGTGGACTTGTGCGCAGGATGTGTTCGAATCTGCCATCCTCAAAGACTGGGTTGGCCTCACTTGTCTGCAACATCAAGAATGACCACACCTAAGGTTGAGTCAACAACCATGTTAGAACCACTGGCGTACGATTTGTGTCGTAAAATTGGAATCGCCGGTATGATTTTGAACATCATGCACTTGGAATATAAAACCATGTTTCATATGGCCGTGACTGAGGTGTGGGACTGCATACTATTTGAAATGTTCGGCTCCTCTGCGTGGCCTGTTCAAAAGCATGTTGTTGAAGGTTTGAAACGCTAACGCCTTCATTTTGCATTCCCATTCGCTCCCAATGAGATAACTCCAGTTCATACATGATGTGTGTATTCAGGGCTTTGTTGGGCGTGAAAGCATGTGGTGTCAGTGCTCATAATGGATGTGCTCTATCTTTCCACATGGAGGGCCACAACCGGTATGGAGACTATGGTCAGGTCATACATCACTCTGCACACCCCAAATTACAATCAGCAATGGTGGAATCTCTCACATTTTCAGGGTTATTCCCAGATGTACCAAATTCGAGTTGATCGACCAGGGCGCAACACATTGAGAGAGCTTGGTGGGTTTTGTGTTTTGACAAAACGATGCTCTGGGAACTCAAGCAGGAACTCGTCCAACGCACGTATAAAGCCAGTGCCCACATCGGACACAATTGTCGTCTGCTTTGCGCGCCTAGGCAGCTGCTTCACTGACTCTGCAGCAGGGAGAGGATCCACGAGCCCGACATGGACAGACTTCTTGTGCAAACACAGCAAGCTAAGTCTGTAGTCTTTCTCAGGAGCATCGAATGAGAAGTGACGATCCAGAACATAGAGATCCAGAACCAGTTTGGGTCTCGGGGATTCTTTTGGGATCTCATCAAGAAAGTCCTTCAAGTAAGGGAGGGACCGTACGAGGAGATGAGCCGAGGTTTCCAGTGTGAAGACTTCGAGACTAGTACACCTGGAATCAAGAAGCTGGCGGAGTTGGACCAAGACCTCTAGGGAGATTGCCCAGAAGTTGTTAAATACCGTCAGGCGCTTGATGGAAGCAAGGGCAATTGCTCCTAATGATTGTAGTCGACTCAAGTTCCCGTTGAGGGAGAATGAGTTAGCACTATAGGCAAATTGAAGGGCGTCGTTTGAGATGGCCTTGTTGAGACGAAAAAGGCTCGTACAAAATGGGGCTTCTGGACACCCAGCGTCGTCTATCCAGCTGAACATTCTGGAGTCATGAGGTGTGCATGATAGGGAAATTGAGCCAGTCGAACAGCAGAAGAGATAGGAATATATTTGGTGGCGGACTTCAGTGGGGAGATCGGTGAGAGTCGCAGGTCGGCGGAGCGAAACATAATTGCTGGAGGCCATGATACCTCTTCCTCAACCCTCACTATCATCTTATTGTTCCATTCGTGATATGAGTCGAGATGAGTCCTCCTTTATGTGGGAAAAGACGAAGAAAGAGAAATGAGGAAATGCTGGTGTTGCAGATACAAACCTTTCGCCCAACACGTTAACACATAGGTGAGTAGACGACTTTGACCACACACGCCCCACAGACCACTCTTGAGGACCTCGAAACTGCGTTTGTCAAACGACGAATAAGAAAGATGTCTATGTTATGCGGAGTCTTTTGTAGCGGGGGCGCCATTTTTGCACGCTTTACGGACTCATACGATAGCCAGAGAGGGAAACAAAATTTCACGTGATTACGAAGAAGGCACGTGAAAGGATCCCCCCAGCGCCAAGATGTGATTGACATGACGTATGTAGAGGCAGGCACGGCAGGCACAGAGGGCAGCTTGATCCTCTCAGATCAGGATGCGTCATGTGCCTGCGAACCACTGACAATCCAGCAACGGGCGGCATTTCCGATACTACTTGTGTTCCCCGGGGTTGGACGACGTCTTAATATATCCAGTCTTCAGACGACGAACTTTCAGCTTGCCATCCCCTTCTGTCATGCACCCCAAACCAAGCAAAGGCTGGATATCCAACATGTTTCGCGCTGTAAGTGCTCTGTCTGCTCCCTCTGGAAGCTACTTCGGACGTGTACTACTCACACAATTTGAATTCTGACAGGGCAAAACCCTTGACGTAATTACCCTTTTCCACAAGCCATCTATCTCGGCGTCCGTCCGAGCTGCGAACATTCTCAAGCAGGCTTCTGCTGCTGCTTCAGCTACAGCGACCGAAGACCAAGCCTCTGACCACACAGCACAAAATAAACATGCAGACCGAGACCCGTTCGAGCTGGAGATCACAGAAAACCCGCCCACGGCAGATCAGTTGAAGAGTATCTTTGATTACGTGGGTAGTGGCAAGGCCGCCCAACTTGTGGAAGGTGCCGCGAGCCAGAGTGACGCTCTACGCAAGCTGAAAGAGAATGGCGATGCCTTCAAACGGCCCGTGGTCGTCGATTGGGTCAATGCAAGAGCCGTGGTTGGAGACCAGGAGAGCGAGATCTTGAAGTTGGTGAGGTCGAGTGCGAACAAGTAATGCATGACGGCGTTGGAAGAATACATTTTCCGGTGAGGTGCAGCTCGAGTACTGGGCATGTTGTGGATGAAGCAGGTGCAGAGCAGGAGGCTTTGAGCACTTGATGGCTATTGTTATTATCTCAAATTGCAACAAAAGATTCCCCATCTCCACATCAAACCGCCTTGCAGAGCATAAACCTACGGAGTTGGTCTTTGTTAAATTCTACGAACTGACCCAATCGGAGCTCGTGCCTAGGTATCCCTGCCGATTTCAGCTATCACGGCGTATCACTTGCTTGAAATCAGGATCTTGGAGCGGTATCTCAAGCTCTTGAACCCGTGAGAGTAAGGAGTGTAGTCCTCTCCAGCAATGAGATCTATCAGAAATCCTTGAATATGACAAAAAGAGAAAGACTCTATGTCTCAGCATTTGGATCAAATTCCGCGTCCAACGAATCTCCTTTGTGAAACCATTTTATACGACTAATATGTCAGCTTCGAGCCCGGCCCCCGTAAGACCTAATGTTTTCGATAGAATAGGCAGCGTCTTCGTCGTTGAGGATTTCCTAAGGATGTGTCTCCGAGTTAAGCGCCTTTCTTGTTGAGCATTCAGAGCTGCATCGCCACAAATAACGAACCTGTTGAATTTTCTGTTCCCAAGGGTTAATTTGAGATCAGGTCCAACCGAATCTTCATGTTTCAAGGTCCTCTACCGAGACATTGTGACGCCAATATGTCGTCGTCATGGGAAAGAAATTAAAGTCTCACTCAGACTTGATGATCCGAAGAAAAGAAGAGGTATGATGAACGGGCAAAGGAAGCCAAGGGTCCAAAGCCTGCGTCCACTTGTCCTGCCACTTCCTTGGTCGAAGCTGGGCAGGGGGTTCATGAGATGATTCGAGTTGTGACTTTTAAAAGACCACTGTTGGTCATGGCCAGGTTGTTCTTGGTACCTACCTACCTCCCTCCCTCCAGGCAGACTAGGGCTTTATTCGAGTAGAATCGTACCATTTCTTCGGTGACCCTCATCTTCATCTTACTACTTGGCCTGTAGTTGTGCATGTATTGAGTTGTGATGAGTACTTGGCAAGGAGGGAGGCTGTGTTAGACAAGAGTCCTTGGGGATCCACCAGCAACTTTGTTTAATGTACCGGTGAGCAGCACATCGTTATTCGTGCACCTCTGACAAGTCCAGCGAAGACTTTCAATTACCCAAAAGCCCTTTCCAAGGCTTGGTGAGGTAGACTCTGTAAGGGGTAGAATCTCGAGGATGGTAGGAGACCGCCGAAAGGAGGGGGTATTGGTTTCTGCACAAGTCTTGACTGTGTTTCGCAAAATTGAGCCCAGAGTCTTGATGGTCTCTTGTCAAATTGAGGGAGGACAATAAACACAGAGCAAAGGAGAGCAAGGTGACGCGGAAATGGAGTCAATGCGTGGATGCCTTCTGGGCACGTGGCTGGGCAGCTGGGCGACAAGAAAACGCAGGTTTGGTCTACAGTGCCTCTCAAGAAGATTGGTCACGAGACTAGGAATGAGGGAGAACGTGGTGTACGAGTAAATAGTGGCGGAATCGGCGGCTGCATGGTGATTCTAGAGGTAGATGGTAGGTCAATAATTGACTGTTGGAGCTTGCGTGATAGTAGAGATACAGCAAGCGAAGAAGATTCACGACTACTACCGAGTAGGTAACCCTACCTAACCTAGGTACTGATGTGAAGAAGGCTGGGAGACACATGATGCAGGTGGTGGTCTTGTGGTGTCATGTTGGCTCCTGTTATGAGTGATCTAGTCCACTAGTGGTCCCGGGCCCCTCGGCGCCCAAATACCCGTACCCAAAGCCAGCTGCCAAGTGCGATCTTGGGCCAGCCAGGGCGTCATCAAAGCCCACAGAGTGGACTGCTAAGACAGCAACCCGCCCATATCGAGCACGTTTGGCGCCTGGCGCCATCGCATCTTTGTCCACATCCGCCACAATCCGACTCTACTGCCCAGGCTTCTTCTGCATTAACTGGGCAAAAGGTAAACTGGGCGAACTCGGCGGTCGTGCCTGCATTCCCAAGAATTTCCCTCCTGCCTTGGATCCCAGGTCCATGCACCCACCGCAGCTTTAATCCATTCATGCCAAACGGCTTGGTAACAGTCCTGACTTCTTCATTGTTGTTTAACACAAAGACCTTTTCTCTTACTAACATGCCCATTCACCTGGACATCAGTCGTTCGCTCTACTCAACGGTGTTTCTGCACACAAGTCACTCGCTACCAGCCACCGGTCACCCTCCCCGAGCCAGCCGACCGAACTAAGATAAAGAAAACCCCGACTGGAGCGATAAGCTCGATCGACATCCACGTCATTTCCGCAGCAGTCACCAGCAAACCAACACCCAGCACAACCAGGATAATCAAGTTTGATCACCTTACCTCAAAGCCTCACCCTCCTCTAAAAGTCTCTCCTCGTCACAGGCGGCTCTTTGCCGATTCCACCCTGTGCTCCAACCTCACACATCATGAAGCCTTTTAGAAGAAGAAATCTACTTTCTGTCGGCTTGTCGGTGCTGCTTGCCACCAACCATGTCTCCGCACAAATTGACCTAGACCTGCGAAACCCCGAATCAATCAAAGCAGCCGCCAAGATTGCCGCCGATGAGATGGTATCCTATTATACTGGATATTTACCAGGAGATGTGCCAGGTAATTTGCCTGCACCATACTACTGGTGGGAAGCCGGTGCCATGTTCGGTGCTTTGATTGATTATTGGTATTTCACCGGGGACGATACTCATAATAATATCACAACTCAGGCCATGTTACATCAGGTCGGTCCCGACTGGGATTTCATGCCTCCCAACCAGACAAAGACTGAAGGCAATGATGACCAAGCATTTTGGGCAATGGCCGCTCTGTCTGCGGCGGAGAATAAATATCCTAATCCCCCTTCAGACGGTCCCCAGTGGCTTGCACTCGTCCAGGCTGTCTTCAATCAACAAGCAGCTCGATGGGACACCCAAACTTGTGCTGGTGGCCTGAAGTGGCAGATCTTCCCCTTCAACAACGGCTACAATTACAAGAACACCATCTCCAATGGATGCTTCTTCAACATGGGAGCACGCCTTGCTGTCTATACCGGCAACGACACCTATGCGGAATGGGCCGAGAAAACCTGGGAGTGGACCGAAACGATCGGCCTCATGGACGCTAATTACAACTTCTATGACGGCAGTGATGACAACCTGAACTGTACAGAGCTCGATCACATTCAATGGACATACAACGCTGGGACGTACCTTGTTGGTGCTGCCAACATGTACAATTTTGTAAGTCGACCTCCGAGTTGATGATATTAGTTACTGACAATCTGGCAGACGGGTGGCGCCTCCGTCTGGGAAGAGAGGTTAACTGGGATTATTCAAAGAATTGGCGAGGTGTTTGTGCGAGACGGCGTTCTTTTTGAGGTTGCTTGCGAGGACATTGGAACATGCAATATCGACCAGAGATCTTTCAAGGCATATCTGGCCCGATGGATGGCAGCAACTGCCGTCAGAGCACCATTCACCTATCCGATGCTGAAACCACTGCTGGAAACTTCAGCTATGGCTGCAGCTAGCACTTGCCATGGTGGCGAAAGTGGCACGCAATGTGGGTTGAAATGGACACAGGGCAGCTTTGATGGATGGACAGGCGTGGGTGAACAGATGTCGGCCCTTGAAGTATTCCAGTCCAATCTCATCGACTATGCAGAAGGTCCAGTCACTGAAGTTTCCGGTGGAACGAGTCCAGGGGACCCTTCCAGTGGTACCACGAGCGACGTTGGTCCGGCAGATCTTCACAGGGATGCGATGACGACTGCCGACAAAGCCGGTGCCGCCATTCTCACCGTCCTGGTATCCTTCCTGGTCATTGGCAGTGCGTGGTGGATGGTGGTATAAGGCAACTAGCCATATGACGGGTCAACTCATGATTCGCATTGTTGGGCGCGGGTGTGGAGGTTTCATGATTCACGAGTTGTGCCATTAGCAGCAGCATTGGCGGCGTTGCACACTTTACAGCCTAGACCCAAGCGGGAGGCTTGTTTTGATTCGAGAGGAAATCCTGGCGTTTAAACATGGCTTCCACGAGACAATGGTCACTGCGTACGGGGAATCTCCAGATGACCCAGAACTCCAGACTGCTGTGCAGGAACGAGGGATAGAATGGCGGAGTTCTAGCTTGCAGCATGTTAACGTACAAATTGAATGCTGCTTCGATGCCCCCAAATTTTTGCTCCATAACTCTTCTGTTGTGTCTGATATGATATGACAAGCTCATCACCAGTACCTGTAGACATTTTACTCTACGAGGCCTGCGCGACATTGAGCTCGCTCAACTCTGATTACTTGTACATATCCATTAATTATACATGAGGGGAAATTTCGAGTATCATGACAATCTTGGTCTCTTCAAAGCCTAGCACTCTCACGACACTGGAACAAAGTGTTGCCGCCCGTGCCACCTTGACGTGCCTCCCAAGCTCCCGGTCAAGCCTGCCTCAAATCGTTGGTTTCATACCTTTCCCCTAGTGGCCTGACTGCCCTGCGCCTCAGCCCTCATCTCTTCTCGTATCCTCTGCTGCAGAACGTCCTGCTCCACCTTGGTTTGCACGGATTGTTCCTTTGCTTTGGCTTGTGCTTCGGCAGCCGCTACCCAGATGGGTTTATCCGACTTGCTATACTCTTTTAACTGGGTGACGAATTCCTCATAGTTTTTTAACCGCTCATTGCGTAGATCGAGATTGCGTTGCTGTAGTTCTGGGTTGAAGCGCTTGAAGAGTTCGCCTTCGGCGGGTGTGACGCTATGGAGGAGGCGGGATTAGTCGCTGAGTCAAGGAAATTGGGATTTGACGTTGCGTTGTTCATATGGGAGAACATGAAAGGAGGCTTAGGAAGATGGTCGAACGAACGCCTGGCGACTTACTAGTACATGAGTGCTGGTCCGCCAACGCAAAAGGTCACCATCCTGAAAGATGAAATGTTAGTGAAGATGCCCGCAGGTCGAGGTCAAGGCAAACAAATCCCTCACTTACACCGCTGCCATTTTGGCATACATGGCACCTCGGCCAGACATCTTGAGTGTCGGGTCGTCTTCTGCGCCCGGTGGTTTTGGGTGATGTGATGGTGATTGAGGGTCCAGCCCGTGGGAATTATCAAGTTGGAGAGCAGCTGTTGGTACGGCACATGAGATGCAGTTGGGAGGCGAGGCTATGTGCACGTGACAGCGAGGCTCTAGGATGTGAACTTGATCGCAGTCTCGTTCAACAAGGATGTACTCATAGACAACCTTGGGGTTGGTGCAGTCCAAAGATCTACGAGGACGATGTTTGCGTTTGCGAGAGGTTCGATCATGACGCACGGCATTTCAGATGCAATTCGACTTGGCGGTTCAAGGTCTAAGTCTCCCAAAGGCATTTCAGCCAACCAGGCAGCTTGTAATTACTGCCCACCTCTCACTCACTCACTCTTCCCACCCACTTCCACTAAATTACCGAAGGAGGGCCAAAACCAGGTCCTATCATGCATTCTTTCCAGGGCAGTTTGTCGGCCCTGTGTACGGAGTATGCAACTATACCGTAGGCACTCTAAGGTCACTCGAAAAAATTGGACTAGGATGTTCTGACGGCTAAGTCACGGGATTGGAACATGTCTACTTTATATCCAATCATATCGCCATGTAAAAGGAGCTAAGATGCGTCCTCGGCTAATCATCTTCCTAAGCCAGTCATATCACTAGAAAGTTTTTCCGAATGCCGATGTCAACCACATGTGAGTATATAGCCTATGTCGCTATCACTCTGTAAGCCTAGTAGAGACGCGGTGAACGAGCAAACTGTGACCATGCGAGCACGGGAACGGTCCGGGTCGCTCCGAGATCGGTAGAGGATCAACAGAGAATTGATAGCTGATCAGGAGTTGCTCTGTGATATCACTGCCACGTGCAATTTGATGTGGGCGGGAAAGACTCGCGAGAAGCTATGAGTACCAGAACCGTGGCCTTACCAAACATGCAGATTACAGCTTGCATCTCTATACCTAGAAGCTGGAGCGCCACAAGATGTGACGAAGACTTAGCTCTGCAGCCAGCTAACAAGGATTGTTAATGCCACCCTCGTTACACGTCACCCCTTTGCTCCACCAACCACAACTAGAATTGGGCCAGCCTCATGGTTTCACAGCTGAGCTTTCTTTGGATCATCAACACCCTGGAGCCTGGACATCGCATCGAGCATCGCCAGTATATCAATCTATAGAGCTCGACGAATGGCAAAACACCGTGGCATAGATGACTCCGACTCGGGGACGACAAGCGCATACAACAGTGGTGATGATGGTCAGGCTCCAGTCGACGATACAGCTGAAGCTCCAACCAAAGCTCCAGCCGAAGCTTCGTGGGTACCTGTCTTTAGGGGCCCTGAATTCAGATTCAGGGATCGAATGGAGTATGTTCCTTGCCTCACGGGCTAGAAGATATCTAAATGTGATAGAATTGTCGCCATTCATGGTATTGCAGGAAAGGATACTTGGACCCATTCCGCAGATCCTCCTTTAGCGGCCCTACTCGAACCTTTTGTTTCCCGCCCCACGGGACCTGATCACAAGACTGTTCATGTATATACGACGAATTTCGAGTACGATCCTGTCGAATTCTTCCAGGCTCCCGGGGGGGCTTCCAATTTGGACAATTTGGCTTTGGCCCTTTTGAATAAAATTGCACAGGAAACCTTCTGGAGAGATGTGGGTTGTATTCACATGATGCTATTGCATTCGATGATCCTTATCTAAATAGACGAATGATGGCGTACCGATGGTACTGCTCGCGCACGACATAGGTGGCATCATAGCACAGAGGGTACGAATGCATTGCTTAACCGCCAGAGTGGGCGCTAACTATGTAGGCTGTTCTCATCGCCAGACATCTGAGCAAATATCAACCCACTGCGTTTGACATGGAGCGAATGGTGAGTGTATTCAGGACCTGGCTGATGGAGGAACCCGCTGAAAGCACTTCAGGTACTGTTTTCGACCCCCGTGAACAGTGCAGATGACGAGGGATTCCGAAGACTTTTAATCAACCTCATCTCCACAACACCAAACAGAGATATCAGAGCTGGTGCATTTGGCACGTTGGAAGAAATTGCAAAGGCCTGCAAGGCTACCGCGGATGAGCTTTGCAAGATTGCACCATCTTTATCCATCCTGACGGTGTGGGAAATGGGTCCTCCCGAGAATGATGATAATTACAACCCTGTGAGTGATTTTTTCATGGCGCCTTGCTGGCCCAATTGTGCTCAGTCCTTCTCGCCGAAATCGAATTCATCCTGGTACTTTCTTCTTAGGTATTCCGCAAAGAAGATGTCGTTTTTGCAAATTCCACCGAAGTCCTTTTGCCGCGACACAAACCACATTTCAGCATGTGCCACTTCATAAACGAGGACGAGCAATTCCGGAAAATTAATGAATTCGTCGCCGAGATACTCAAGAATATCTTTCTGATATATGTGAAGCCATGATCGGAGCGGACACTCCAATCGGTGCAATTGTCTATGGATCTGTGGATATTTCCACGTCCACCCGCCTCCCCGAACACCTGCATCAGATCAACCTGGAGGACTATGCCGTGAACGAGGGTCGTCCGCACCGAAAGATTCTAATCGACCGCGCCCTGAATGTGATAACTAAGAAGGAGCCACGGCTAGCGAAGTTCCGGCACGAAGTGGAAGAGCAGATTCCCGACTTCGAGAATAAGTCTATGGAAGAGACTTGCTCTTTGGACTCAAATGCGTCCAAGCAAGCCATCCTCGAAGCACTCCCTGCGCAGTTCGTCGGGAGATTGCTGAATGTCTTGGTCGCTCTCCAAAGGTGACGTTTGATAGGGTGATTGGCCGCTGGGATGATTCTCATACCGAATGGGCAGGACGGATCTCTTGAAGAAAATTCTTCAACCGAGTCGGGATCTGGTGCAATTGCGCGATCAGACTCAACTAGCCCTAAGGGCTGCCATCTATACCAGAAATGCTGAAATCGTCAATTCCATCCTCTCACTGGACCTCTACCGACCAGGAAATGAACATCCATGCACTCTTTCTAGCTACGAGACAATACACGCAGATCAAAACCTTTTAAGCGCCTTGGTCACACGTTCTCTTAGAGTCAATTTTGGCCAGGATCGATGCCTCCTCCATTCGGCAGTTTTGTCGGGAGCTGAGGCGGTACTGCGACAATTGATCAAAATTGGAATAGTTAGCTTGAATGTCAAAAATGCTGAAGGACGCACTCCTATCCACTATGCTGCTTGATATGGGCATTCTACGATGGTTGATATCCTTATCTCAGAAGAAGCAGAAATTGATCTAGAAGACAACAATGGCGAAACACCGTTGTTTTTCGCGGTCAGGAGTCAGCAACCTGAGATTATTGGAACACCCCTCCTGGCAAAGGCAGACCCGAATAAGCGTAACAAAAGGGACGAGACCTTAGTGCGCATTTCCACCCAGATCAAGTCGGTGGATATTGTGAAGGCTCTCATTGAAAAAGACGCTATCTTGGGCCACGTCAAGAACGAAAGTCTAGCATCACTCCTTTTAGCAATACAGCTCGGCTCTGTTGAAATTGTGAGCTATCTTGCGGACAAGCAGAGTTCCAGCACCGAGGGATATGAGGAGGACAGGTTATCCCCTCTTCTACTGGCTGCTTCCAAGGGCTATACAGAACTGTGCAAATCCCTGCTAGGGTCTGGCAGCAGCATTGACGAACAGGACGAGGCAGGCCTGACAGGTTTGCACCACGCTGCAAGAGCTGGCAGCGTTGAGACCGTCGATCTTCTTCCTCGAAATGGTGCTCAAGTCCAAAGGATTACTGACAGGAAAAGGACAACTCTGCACTACGCGGCCGAGGAAGGAAACATGTTTACCGCACAGGCCCTGTTGAGGGCTGGAGACGAGAGGCTCCATTACCATCCTCAATTCCGCACTGTCAATGAAACGCATCTTATTCTTTCATGAAACAGCAAAGGTCAAAGACAGTCTGTCATAGGTATTGATCATTTCGTTCATCAAATCACATTTTCACTTTCTCTTGCCCCCAGATCCCTATCCATAACTATCCATAATCTTGACCAACTGTGTCACATAATCCAAATGGGCTCGCGGCGGTCTATAGTTTATAGTCTAGCAGCAGAAGTACGACTACTTCCATCCCGGGCTTTGTATAGTATACCATGGTCTGGACCTAGTTGCCGCCTGCAGATAGTTGCGTTTCGAGTGACTCAATTAGGTGCAAATGCCAAAATCCCGAGACCAAGTGTGGTCACCTGATTGCTGTGCCAGTCATGTTCGACTCGTGTGCGAGAATGGCCCCTTCAAAGAACAATAGGTCATATGTGTGTGCGACTAAGCAGACCCGCCTATTGATCATCGCTTTCTCGGAATCACTCCTGCGTTAGCTTGTGGCTGTTCGAGATGCACTGTTCTCCAATTGTTGGGCAGCCGAGGGCATAACTCGGAAAGTTGGTACTAGGGCCCAGTTCGAACTGGACTTTACAAGCACTTTCCGATTATCTAAGGCAATAATTATGCACAGACATGCCGTAAATGTTCAGTTGGGCAAATGAATCCGATGCAGGGGATGGGATGAGACTCAAGTCAGCTTCTTGTCCACAGCACTCAGTCTGCCAAGCAGGGTAGTCAAATGTACCTAAAGCTGCATGGCTCCTGCAGTAATGCCCGTGCTTCAATGGAATGAATCAATGCAAGACACCATCCATGAGTGGTCAATTTACACCAACTCGGCAATGATCGACCGCCAATCATGAGCAATGCTCTTGGAAGTCATAGAAATCCAGTCACAAGTCATACTACTCACGTACCTTATCGCTTTGCCCAGAGCAATGACGTTCACACAAGTACTTCCAAGACCCTAACATGGCATTGGCAAGATGGATCATCTCCAACTGAAACTGCGTCCGCACGAAGAAATGGTTCCTACGTTAATGATCTGTTGTGCAAACAATCAAGGTTGAATAGTATAATTCTCAATGTGATGAGCTGCTCAGAGCATTGTAATTAATTGTACTTTTGCAGAGATGTCTTTGCAACAGGTAAAGACACAAAATAATATATCGACAACCGTGGATGATGGATTCTAACGAAAGAGGGACGAGTCAACCAGCGGCGAAACCCCACTCCCTCCCCACCCCCCATTGTTGATTTATAGTTCCCCAGTCTTGGCAGTGGTACCACACCATGTCCCCAGATCTAGGGAAGTATCGCTTGCGCTTGCGTCTCGAAGCACATGCCGATCTCTAGGGGAGATTATCCATCATCAGTCTCTAGGATGCTCACCTGATCTTTACACTCTCCTTACAGGGTACATGTGTGGTAGACCATTGAATGCATCACTGTCCGCACCTGTCGATGGAAAAGTCGTGACAAGTTCGCCGCGTGAGTGCTTGATTAAATGGTCAACAGGCCTTTTCGGAACCGTGTTCGTACATACAGGCTAGAGCGCTTTGATAAGCAGACATGCAGCAAAGCCATAGACCATTCCTCCTGATCCCCCACATCTCTGCAATTGTTGCCCTGTGTCAAGGCCCCCAAATGCCAAGCCTTGAAACACGTGACATCTAGCGGCTTCCCGCCCCTGACTTGGCTTTGTCTTTTTCCTCATAGTGTTTGACTATCTCTGCTTCTTTCTTCCAATTTCGTCCGGCGAGCATTGAGATTTACTCGGATATTTTCTCACTTAGGCATTGGTAGTTTCCCCTCATGCACTGCTCATGGGGACCGACCTCTGCCGATCGCTTACCGACGGCCTCGAACATCAAACCATGGTCCAGGACCGATGACGTGTCAAGGTCAAGACTTCTGCTAAAGCCCATTTGGGCGTGATCCCCGCAAAGCCTGACTCGAGTCGTTAGAAACATGGGGTATATTGTTTAGAACCGGGCACAGCATATGTTGTGATGTGCTTGGTTTGGGGCAGCCAAGTGTCTTGGGTGGAAGAAATTGAATGAGCCATGTCAAAGCATTCACGTCCGCCAGCTAAGAACAAGACACCTCGGACAATATGGCATCTCCAAAAGGCCGTTTCTGGAACATGGACACCGAGGCATGTGGCATCCCCATCTCTCCTTTCTCCTTGCCATCTCCGCCGAGACGACCAAGACTCTTCTCAGAACGTCAACCCCGGTATTCTCCCACCACCAAAATGCTCATCACCGTGCTTCAGCGGGGCCAAGCGCCAAGTAGGTAGAGTGGAAATTCAGCCGGCGGCGCCGCCGGCTCCTTGGTGTGAGGGGAGGCGGAACCGGGGAGAGATAGATGCGGGGAGGAGATCCACGATGAGATACCTAGGTATGAGGGATTGCATTGGGTCGAGACAAGTATAGAAAGGGTGAACATGGCCGCCTCGGGCCACCTTTGGCGATCATTTACTTCTCCCAGGGTTCACTATCTCTGGGAACAACACCGTCCCTTTCTGTCATCTAGCCCCAACCTACCTATCTACCACGCAACATGGCAACCACGAAACAAGATGCCGCTGAGATTGAAAGGGCGTCTCCCGCAAGGAGTTTGACCAACTCTCAAGAAAAGGAACCCATCATTGAAGCACTTGACGATGATCCTGTCTACAGCTACCAAGAACAGCGCAAGATTATCCAACGCCTTGACTGGCGCCTCATCACTGTTGCCGGCATCATCTATATGAACAGTCTAATGGATCGAGCCAATCTACCAAACGCGGCTATTGCTGGCATGAACGTAGACCTTGACATGGAAGATGGATATGGATATGTAAGGGCTGCTCAAGACGTCGGTGCCACACATTTCACTAACATATAGCCAAGTCAATCATTGCCCTCGTTTTCTTCGTTACCTATACTCTCTTCCAACCCCCGGCAACCATTCTGACGAGAAAGCTCGGCCCACGACCTTTTCTATCAGGAATCTGTCTGGCTTGGGGTGCAGTCATGGTAAGCTCCTCACGTTCAACGCCCTGGTGATATATCAGCTAACAGCTCTAGGTGGGTTTTGGTTTTGTTCAGACCTGGCAAACTTTGATCCCATTACGACTGCTCTTGGGTCTCTTCGAGGCTGGCTACTTTCCAGGTGTTGTCTATTTGATTTCAACGTGGTATTCCAGATACGACATGCAGAAGCGATATGCGGCCTTCTACGCACTCGGTCTAGTGTCGGCGGGTTGCTCCGGCATTCTCGCATATGGCTTGATGCAAATGGTATGTCGCTGACCGCCTCGAAATCTATTCGACGTTCCCGGCTAATGCGATGTAGGATGGCCTCGGTGGCCTAGAAGGCTGGCGATGGATTTTTATCATCTTTGGTCTCATGACTGTCGCTGCCGCCGTTATCGGTGTTCTCTTCCTCGTCGACTTCCCAGACGTTGCTGTTAATAAGCAAAATTGGAAGTTTTTGAGTAAAGAAGAGATCGAATTTATCCTCCGTCGAATCAACAAGGATAGACAAGATGCGAGTTCCGAGCCATGGAACTTTAGAGCATGGCTGTCCGCGGGAAAAGATTGGAAGATTTGGATGTTTGCACTTCAATTCTTGTGAGTTTCTATAACTTCTTTCGCATGGGGTTGCTAACATAGCTAGCTCGCTTACGACTCAGACGTATTCCATCGCTTACTTCCTCCCAATTATTCTCCGCCAGAACATGGGATTTTCGATCGGCGACTCACAGATGCTGACAGCACCTCCGTACGGGGGAGCTGCTATTGTCATGTTTATTTGTGCTTGGGTTGGTGATAAGTATCGCGTCCGTGGACCTTTGATGCTTTTCACTTGCTCCCTTTCTCTGATTGGATTGCCACTTTTGGTGAGTTTTGCTAGGATGTTGTCTCATTCAGCTGGCTAACGGTAGTAGGGATGGGCTGAGAGCGCTGCTGCTCGATACTGTGGTACATTCCTGATTGCAGCCGCGGCGAATGGCGGCGTGCCGACCGTCATGGCATATCAAGCCAACAATATTCGAGGCCAGTGGAAGCGTGCATTCGCTTCAGCTACCCTAGTGGGTTTTGGCTCCATCGGTGGTATTGCTGGCAGTACTGTGTTCCGCACGCAAGACAGTCCAACATTCCGACCCGGTATCTGGGCATGTATCGCGGTGAACATTATGATTATCATTATTGTAGCCATCAACACATACGTTTTCCGGCGACAAAATAGGAGGGCTGATCGAGGCGAGGTCATCCTCGAGGGTGATCCAAACTTTCGATATACGATCTAAAGTGGCATTCTGAGAGAGCTGTCCGCCAAGAAACGAACGACGACAGCCCCTGCTCCCATGGCATACGCGGACTCGACCTTCAAACAGTCAGAACACTTGGGCTAGACCCGGTACGCTGGAGTGTCTGGACAGGGACCTCATGGGTCTTCTACGAGATGAGTATTTTGAGGGTGATAAGTTGGCATACACATTGTGTTCTGATGCATGGGGCCTGCTACCCTGTAGTTGCTAGTCTTCAATTTAGAATGCAGTGCTTTTGTGCTGAATTCATACAAAGATGCCCGATAGGTAATTTGGAGAAAGTCATGTGCATTACGACATAAAGGCCTCGATAACGACAGGCTTGGCCGTAGATGCCTGAATTAAAACTACGGAGTAAGGTCTCAATACTAAGGGAGCTGAAGAGTACTACTTACTCCGTACTTACGACGGACTTAGGCATAACAATTCTTTAATTAATCGCGCAACCTGGCGGAAGATCTTAGTCAGTACTCCGTACATAGAACCATTTAAGCGAAGCCGGAGTGTTAAGTACTCGTACGTAGGTGGCCAGGAACGAGGGGCTATAATAATAATGCTTCTTTTGCGTAGTCATCAGGCCGACAGCCCCGAAGAAGTCGACAGATAGGCTTGTTGGGCTTGATAACAATGTACACGTAGACAAATAGAGCACAGCCACAGGAAAACGCGATTAGCGTTTGGTCACGTGACTCCGTTATGAAACTGAAGTTCCTCGTCATTCGGCAATGGAACAACTTTGGTCCCAGAGCCACTTGTCAGCACTCGTAAGCCACTTGTTTGCGTTGCAGAATGGTTGCCCCCCAGTGTCCCCATTCACCCCCTGGCCCCTGGGTCTTTTAGACTGTACCTTAGGTAGGCAACCAGCAAACCTCGCCCAAAAGCCAACAGCCAGTTGCCAATTAGTCGGTGGCGCTCTACCCCAAGCGGACAAAACGGACGTCTCAGATCCGCAGCTTCCCAGTCATTTTTAGTTTCTCACTGCTCACCCTTGGTCCTTGGTCCTTGGACTCAGCCTCTGGCCACCCAGACACCCAGACACCCAGACACCCAGATCACCCAAGCGCCTTTTACCAGCCCAGTGTCAGCTTTCCAACCTCCCGTCGGCGTTTCATTTTGACATTCCTATTCATCTCAATCCAGCGTTGAACTTCTACTCATCATTCCCAAAACTTGTCATCACCGTCGCGCCGTCTTTAAGAGTGCCCTATCCTCACCCCTTTACCACTCTTCGCCTGCTTCAACTACTCTAGCCTATCTCGACGTTCCTGCCCAAAATGGCCGACCGCGAGCAACCCTACGACCCTTATATCCCCTCTGGCGGACAAGGAGGACAACAGGGCGGACAACAACCTGGCAACCAAAGAACTGCTGCCTTGCAGGCGGTAAGTCCCATGAAAATCCCATATACAGCACCCTTTGGCGCACCCGGGGAACAACAGGTGGCACAGAATCCGAAACTCGAACCGACCTGGATCGAGTCTCGGAACCCGATTTCGGATTTCTGTATATCGTTCATCATATTTCTGATGCACGATGCCGCCGTCCCATAGTGGCTCCCTCGCTCTGCTCCCTCCGACATCCACGCATCCCCTCGAGAATGATGAGCTATGCTAATTCATCTCCTGTAGCAAATCGATGATACCGTGGGTGTCATGAGAGAAAATATCAATAAAGTCTCACAGCGCGGCGAACGATTAGATTCCCTGCAAGATAAAACGGACAACCTTGCCGTCTCAGCCCAAGGCTTCCGACGTGGAGCCAACCGAGTCAGAAAACAGATGTGGTGGAAGGATATGAAGATGCGCATGTGCCTAATCGTGGGCATCATCATCTTGCTTATTGTCATTATCGTCCCGGCTGGTATGTGCTATCTTTTGACCCTGAGCCACGGTTTCTTCATCTAACCTACAAGCAGTGGTTGCTACGCGATAAATGATCTAAGAACACATGGCCTCTCCGATGAGCCAACGAACCCATTTTCATGAAACTCACATTGAAAGCACTCGTGTTTTGGGCTAGCGTTTCCTACCACCCTCTACGAGAATATTCGTCTTGAGTGAACTAGCGGACCAAGGGGGTTTGAGATATGGTGCCAGCTTCGCGGGAGTGATGAACCTTGAGAGTCATCAGAGCTACGACAGCACCCGGGACAAGCGGCGTGACTTCTCAAAGCAGCGTCAAAGGCGTACGATGATTGATAAGGCTATCTGTTACAATAATATCACAATTGGTCATCCCTATACTCATGACGGTTGATCACAACCTCCAATTTGCGTATTGAGTCTAAAATGGTCAATTTGGCCCAGGCCTGACGGTACTCATCAGTCCTGAACCTTTGGCCTGCCTGCGACAGGACGACTGTCTCTCGAGGAAACAAAACTTTACGAATCGCAATCACGGCAACGTCCAGGCCAGAGATCTTCCCATAATACAAACACGGTAGTAGTTTCAGAGACGCCGGTACATGTTGTCTCCCGCCGAAATGAATCCCAGATTGAACCACATGTATCATGATTGAGCACTTGAGCACATCAGCTATTCGTTTATGGGACAAGGCTCGTGATCAAAATTTTCTTCGCGTCGTGAAAAACATAATTTTCTGATTAGCACGTGCGACAGAAAGACGTAAATTTGCCTCGATTTCCCTTGCAGCCGTGGAGCATCACACTTGCGTCCGAGAACGGCGTTACAGGCGGCGGTGGAAAATTCATAGGGAATGGTTGGCCCTGGAAGAGTCACGTGGCTCGCCTAGAATCCCAGCAAAAGATCCCGATTCATGCAGAAATTTTGGCTAAGAGTCATATCTACAGGCTAAGCTGGCCAGGCTTTTCACCCATTATTGAGCTGCCGCAGCTATTTACCTGGTAGCTTTGCGTTGGGCCTGCAGCCCGAACGCCCCCCTCGATCTTTTGCCGCCGGTGTCACGCCCTCTTACTGGCAAACTATCACCCCGCAAATATTTCGTTTCTTTGCTTCGGCCAAAAAAAATCAATTTGGAGAGGGCATCATCTTTGAAGACTTTTTGCTCACAGGTGCTAGCCTTTCGATCTCTCCCCTTGACGGGCTTGTGTTCCAACCTGCTGTAACTGAGCTTGCTACGTGGTATTTCCTGGCGATTTTGGCTGGCACTCTGCTTTCACACACCCGTTCACCAGCGTCACCGACTCTCTTCTCTTCCTTTTCCACCGCCAGCTGCCGCATGATATAGCAGCATCATGTCGTCTTTGGGAGCAGCCGCTGCTCGAGCAGTATCTCGCGCAGCTACCTCTTCTACTCGTCCTCGATTGTCCCAAGCATCTCGCCTGACTAAATCCTCCTACATCCCTCTGGCCGCACATCGTGCCTCTTCACGACGGCCATATTCTTCCCCATCCGAGCAGCCGTCCACAAGATCGACTGTCGTACAGCTTTTGAGCAACATCGGATCCAAGAGAGAGGTCCAACAATATCTATCTCACTTTAGCTCCGTCTCCTCCCAGCAGTTTGCCGTTATCAAGGTCGGTGGGGCCATCTTGACAGAACATCTTCAGACCTTGTCATCAGCTCTAGCTTTCCTCAACCATGTCGGTCTATATCCTGTCGTTGTTCACGGCGCAGGACCCCAGCTCAATAAGATCCTGGAGGACTCGGGCGTTGAGCCTCAGTTCGAGGACGGTATTAGGGTCACTGACCCCAAGACTTTGGGCATTGCCAGAGCTTTGTTCTTGGAGGAAAACATGCGATTGGTAGACGAGCTTGAACGTCTCGGTATCAGAGCTCGACCTATCACTTCCGGAGTCTTTGGAGCCGATTTCCTCGATAAGGAGAAATACAACTTGGTCGGAAAGATCAACCGGGTAGACAAGCGCCCTATTGAGGCTGCCATCAAAGCAGGATGCTTGCCCATCCTCACCTCAATGGCCGAATCTCCCGAAGGCCAGGTCTTGAACGTCAATGCTGATGTGGCGGCTGGTGAGCTCGCCCGTGCTTTGGAGCCTCTCAAAATTGTCTACCTCTCTGAGAAAGGTGGACTCTTCAACGGAGACACCAAAGAAAAGATCTCAGCCATCAATCTTGACGAAGAGTACGATCACCTCATGTCACAATGGTGGGTTCGTCACGGTACCAGACTCAAGATCAAGGAAATGAAGGAACTTTTGACCGATCTGCCACGAACATCCAGCGTCGCCATCATCCACCCAGCAGACCTGCAAAGAGAGTTATTCACTGATTCAGGCGCGGGCACCCTGATTCGACGTGGAAACAAAGTCCATGTCAAAACTTCCATTGACGAATTCAACGATCTCGAGCGACTAAAGGAGGTCTTGATTCGTGATCGAGAAGGCCTAGACGCGAAAGCCGTTGTTGACCGTTATGTCAAGACATTGCAGTCTCGAGACTTCCATGCGTACTTTGACGAGCCTATGGACGCCTTTGGTCTGGTTCTCCCACCATCAGGCGACACTTCCCTGGCTCACCTGGCTACCCTGACAATTACCAAGAATGGCTGGCTCACCAATGTGGCGGACAATATTTTCGCTGCAATCAAGAAAGACTTCCCCAAACTGATGTGGACGGTCAAAGAGGATGATGAGAATTTGACCTGGTTCTTCGACAAAGCTGATGGAAGTCTTTCCAAGGATGGTGAAGTCCTCTTTTGGTATGGACTTGAATCAAGTGACGAGGTCAAGGACTTGATGGTCGAGTTCACCAAACACGGCCGACAAATGTTTGGCGACTTCAATTTGGAATCCAAATTGCAGCGCGCAGCAAGAGCCGCGTCCAACTTGGCGAGTGCAGCAGCTAAATCCGCCGGCTTGACACAAAAGCGATCCTATTCAACCAATGCCAACCCTCTGAGGACAGTCAGACAGGCATTGCATGTCGTAAAGCCTGCCATCTCAATCCGCACCTATGCAAGCACAACAAATCCCAACCCTCCTCTCGGCTCGAAGAATAGCTCAAACAGCAAGCCTTCCAGGATTGCTTTGATCGGTGCTCGAGGCTACACCGGTAAAGCGCTTGTGGATCTTATCAATCGTCATCCCAGTATGGACCTGCGCCATGTCTCTTCTCGGGAACTTGCTGGCCAGAAACTAGCAGGGTACGACAAGCGTGAAATCATCTACGAAAACCTGAGCGTCGAAGATGTACGAAACATGGAGGAGAATGGCGATGTTGACTGCTGGGTCATGGCACTACCCAATGGTGTCTGCAAGCCTTTCGTTGATGCAATTGATCAAGTTGGCAAGAACAGTGTCATCGTTGATCTTAGCGCCGACTACAGATTCGATCCTGCTTGGACATATGGCCTTCCCGAACTCGTCGATCGTTCCCAAATCGCAAGAGCTACCAGAATCTCCAACCCTGGATGTTATGCAACGGCTGCACAGATTGGTATCGCACCTCTAGTTCCCTATCTCGGCGGACAGCCTACCGTTTTCGGTGTGTCAGGCTACTCTGGGGCAGGAACCAAGCCCAGCCCCAAGAACGACGTGCAAAACTTGACCGACAACCTCATCCCGTACAGTTTGACCGACCACATCCACGAACGAGAGATCTCCACACAGCTCGGCACACCAGTTGCTTTCATCCCTCACGTTGCTGTGTGGTTCCAGGGAATTGCCCACACCATCAACATTCCTCTTAAGGAAGAAATGAACTCTCGTGATATCCGGAATCTCTACCAAGATCGATATGCGGGTGAAAAGCTTCTGAAGGTCATTGGCGAAGCTCCGCTGGTCAAGAACATCGCCCACCGCCACGGAGTGGAAGTCGGCGGATTCGCCGTTCACTCTAGCGGCAAGAGAGTCGTCATCTGTGCGACGATCGACAATTTATTGAAAGGTGCCGCCACTCAGTGTCTCCGTAAGTACCTCCATATACAACCAATCAGTCCAAGTGACGTTGTACTAATTTCCCCTGCTACAGAGAACATGAACCTTGCACTTGGCTACGGAGAATATGAGGGTATTCCATCAGAGTAAAAATCGTTTACTAGACACATGCTCTCCAAGGAGAGCTGCAGATCAAAAAAGTTTTACACACGTTGGGAAGGCAATTCAGCAAGCTGTGTTTCAAAAGGAGTTGGGCTTTCAAGTCATGCTGAGTACCAGTTGGAGGAAAGATGGACGCGATGGCTGTAAGTAATTTCCACGCATTCAGAGATCATGGACAAGACAATCAATCGTTGGAGGCATACATAGACATCGACAGGAATCCTGATTGGAGAGCTTATATACACACGATGTTGTCCAAGGGAGGCAACTTCGGGGAAGACTTGATCTGACAACTTGGAGATTGTACTGCCACTACTGAGACCATTAATGAGATGAATTTCAAAAGGAACTAGGTGTTTTATGTTATGAATTGGTGGAGGGGGGATCATTGGCAGTCTCTCTGAGCAGACACATGATGTTCAAGAGATGTGAGTGGAGGGTGCCCGGTGTTCCCTTGAGATCAGTCTGGCCATTGTACCGCACCCACCTCCACCATATTGATGCCCTTTCTCCTCGCATTCTTTGTTCTACTCTGCCCATCTGGTCTTCCTCTGGATGTTCTGTCGAGATTAGCCATCTTCTCAAGGTCTCGAATCGCAATGTTCTACGACCACGAAGGCAAGCATTCACCATCAATGCTTGCACCTCGATGACCCAACATTCGTGCTAACGAACTTGGTTCCTCTAGTCCTGACGAACCGCAGACATGGCGTCGCAACAATCTGGTTCGTTCATCCTTCATGCATTCTTCGTTTCCGACACGGTTCATCTTGTATCCCTCTCACCTGCTTTTTCGAAAGAAAAAAAAAGACTGATCATAATTCAACGTGCATAGGCTTGTGGCAACACTAGGCTGCAAGTCTCGCCTCAGGAAAATCACTCGCCGCGCCATTCTCGAAGTGGACTTGCCAAAGGCTTGCGAGACCATCACTGAGCCAGAAGCACCGTTGGCGCTGAGGCTGCAAGGCAGTTTGCTGTGAGAACACCATTTCCTCAAAGCAACCAAGCCGAGCGCTTTTCCCACCTTCCAACTGACGTCGTCTCTAGATATGGATTGTCTCGAGTATATTCTCAGCAATGTGGGTATATGCTAGCAGATGCTATCAACTTGAGAGATAGCATGCGAAGACCAATCTTGTTGGCAAAGAGTCTCAACCTAGACCAAGAGATCAGCAGTGCAAGGTGCGATAAATGTGAGAACCATAGGAACTTACTCTAACCGATTGACTTGCCGCAGAGCTGAACAGCTCAATCTGGAGATTAATCCCACATTCATTCCAGATCTGGATCTCACCTTTGATCTGTCAGCCTTCAATACATCCTCCGACGAATCCAATTCGAACAGTTATGTTTCGTCGCACACCCCTGCGTCCAGCCAATCAAGTCTGCATTCAGGCCAAGAAGAGGATACAGGTCTCGCACTCCCTTTATATAACACACCGCAGGCTATCCCCCAGGGCCCTGGTCTCTACATTGATCTCAGCAGCATATCCAACGTAGAGGCCGGGGCGACAATGGGATATAGCTCGTTGATGGACGATAGCCCGGTCATTGACGACGGATACCCGTTTGATGTTGATGAGGCTGGAAACATTCATCCTGTCGATGCTGGTGATGATCCCTTTATGAGCCTAGGAGAAAACGCACCAACTTCGCAACCCGACATCCATCGTGATATAGTATCCGATGAGCAACTCCAAGTTGGCTTTCTTCTGAACGAGGAGACTCAGATGATGGTTGATGTTGCGGAACAGCCGAGCTCGCAGCCTGCCGAGACTCTAGCTAGTCACCAACACATCACTGCAGATTCAAGCCAACCTGAAATGACAGGGCATTCAGCCTTTTCCTCCTGCTTACCAGAAACCTCCTCAGAGTCCGTGGAGATGCCGCAGCGTCGTGTACGCGTCGTCAAGGCGTTGCAAAGTGATCAGTATACTGAGCTTCCAAATACAGACATCAACGAGTGGAATCGGAACTATCTGTCAAATATGGCAGCAGCTGTACGGGCCAGGCAACAGAACTCTCGAGCAGACGCGAAGAGGTATGCCGCAGGATGGATGTTGGATCAAGGTTTCGGACGTGTTGCTTCCACCTTTGCCAACGACTGTGTCGAGCATCCATTTGCCATCTTCAGCGGCCAAGCGTTGTGGGACATGTTGGTCAACTGTGATACACCCGTCAAACGGACGAATCGTGCTGCGTTTGATGAGGAGCAGGCCAAAGACGAAGGGAGACGTGTGAGGGCAAGAAACTCGACATCACCGATTGCCCATAGGGTGGATCAGGAGGGTATGGAGATCTTGGACGACGGAGGCATCGTTATACAAGAGGAGGATGTGAACATCGAAGGAGAAGTCGGCCGCCATGCGCCACCGGCCTTGCAGGATCGTTACAGTAACATGCCCTGGAACAGTCTGCCGTCATCTCTTCAAAACTCTGCCCAACCTCATGGAAGTGGTCTGCTAGGATTAAGTTCATCCGCCGGTGGTTTAATAGGAAGTCGGGAGTTGCAGCCTCCCCGTTCCTTGGGGCGAATCATCCGCCGCTTGACCTCTGCAAGCCCCTTGCACGGCAAAGGAGGACTTTCTCGACTTCCAAGTTTAGGTTCACAGGACTTGTCAAGGCTAGCCAGCAATGAGGACGATTATGCAGATCTCGACAGGCAGCTTGGCTGGGACCACGATGCCGGCTTTGAATTGTTTGGGCCGTCCACAGCCGCTGATACTCAAACAACCAGTCAGGGCCAATGGGTCGCGGCAGCTCTGGAGACCGATGAAGCATTGAGGTTTTTCGAATTTGTGACGACAAGGATTCAGGAGCAACTCGACCACACGGGTCTTCAGGGCGAAGGTGTGGGGCCAGATGAGGAAGTCGAAGGAGAAGAAGATACGATACTACAACCCGGGACAAAATCGCTGGAAGACAGCATCACTTTCTCTCGGCTTCTCGATCCTAAACACAACACAAAGGTGGCCGGTGCCCAAGGTCTGCTCCATGTACTTGCCTTAGTCACCAAGAGCATGCTTGCAGTATATCAGGGACAGGCTTTCGGGGAGATTGAAATTGCCCTTGTGCCAGCTAGAGATTAAGGCACTCAAAAGATTGGGTCAGCCCAAGTGCTCAAAGAAATCAAGTGGCAGGATGGAACGGATGATGGATAAAGGGAACATTAAGGCGGGAGAAGAGTCAGAACTGTTCGAAGGCTGGTTGTTATGATCTGTTTGACTTTATGTGATCAAAATGAGGGTTCAGAAGTTCATGTGTTGCGTGACAGGAGTATATGGATCGAGGTGTTGCAGATACTTTGCAGACAACAAAGTTTCGTTACTGTTATTGTAACTCGACTTCCCAGTAGTACAAAGGTAAGGTAATTGTAGAAACGATAGTGGAGAAAAGAGAAGGAAACTGCCCCCTTCCGACACGGAATGTCGACGAGCCGAGAGTGATAAACCAGCCACCAGTGTGATCATTTAGAGACTTGGGCATAGGAAACATGGAGTTTATGAATTACTCTTTGATACGCAGTCTCTGGGTAATGGATATGAATCAATTGAGGGGCTAGAAATCAAGAGACGCAAGCAAGGAGGCTTTGGTGCGCGTCACATGATAGACGCATGCACGGTAACCCTTGGGCAAATCAAGAAATCACACGATGTCCTAATCATTGCTTGCCTACCTACCTTAGGTAGGTGCCTACATAAGGACTACCCTAGAAGTGCCTCTAGAATTGGAGAGCACCCTGAACAAAGTGCCCAAGTGAGACATGCTGAATAGAGGGCACCTGGAGAGAGTGCCCTTCAAGAGAAGTGCAATATGGAGGGTGTGATGGAGACGACTACCTAAATATTCGTAGCCCTCAAAGAGAAAAGCTTGCGAAGAGCTGTTGTAAGCAAATATCCAATGTGGCCTACTTAGCCTGAATATTATTTTGGTTCAGGCTGTTATTGACCTGCTTCTAATAGTACAGTTTGTGCTAACTTGGCTTCCACTGAGAACCTCGTTTATGGATGAGTAACTGGTGGAAGACCAATGTACAGTCTCAAGCGATTCTCCTTTGCCAGTCGATCTCCAAGGTGACACAAGTTGAACTTCAACAAGACGTCAGTAAGTGTTGCTTGTTTCATTGTTGTAATATCTCCTGGGGTTTTGGGATGTCCTCTAATTGGGCCATTGGTTGAGGGATCCACCAGCAACTCGAGTTGATCTGTAGGATTTGCGAGCAGGGAATTCTGAACTCGTGCCATGGTGTTTCGATCACTGTTAAGTCAGTATTGATTATGATGGATTGAAACAAGCACTTACATTGCTTTGACGCGAAGGGTGAACTCATTCAATCCTCGATTCATTCGATTGTTGCTCGCGGTCATGTCAATGTTCATCCGAGTGATTGCAGCGTCCACCTGAGTGATTGCACTGGTCATCTGATTGATTGCACCGTTCATCTGAGTGGTTGCAGCGTTCATCTGAGTGATTGCAACGGCAAACATATCCATTCGAGTGTTCATCTGAGTGATTGCAGCAGCAAACATATCCATTCGAGCGTTCATCTGAGTCATTTGAGCAACAGACGTATCCATTCGATTGCCCATCTGATTCAGTCCAGTTCGGATCTGAGCGCGGATCTGATCTAGGCTAGTGAGAGTCCGAGTGATGTCATCCTGAATTGCGTTGCCTTCAGCCATTGCAGGTACATTTTGTAGTCTTGCCAATTCCTCGGTGAAGTTGTCAGCAAAGGTGTGAACGGATTGTACCATGCGTTGAACATTTGGCTGTGGGCCCACAGCATTCTGGGACGCCATGATGATGGAATACGAGTAGAGTACTCGTGTGAAGAGTGGTAACGGAGGTGTGGAGTGGGGTGGTGGTGGTGATTGGTGGTGGTGATTGGTAGTGGTGGCAATGAGAGGTCGATATTTTTGTTCAACGTGTGATGCACGTTGGGCCCTACCTCCTTCCTCTAAGTAGATGTCTTGGCACTGGAGTCCTACTTCACTATTCTTGTCTTTAATTCAGCTTCACAGTTTTGCCTTTCGTTATTGCTGTGAAGGGTAAGTTGGGCGAGGGGTGATGGGGATGCCTACAGGCAGCATTATGACCCCTCGGCCTAGCTCGCCACCTACCTAAAGTTGGGCTCACCGGGCTCAATCCCAACACAAGGACTATGAACCTGCAAGGCTCTGGTAAAACGATACAATTCTGTAGCGTGTCTACTCTGTATGTACCGAGTACACGATCAGATGATAGCCTAGATTTATCGTCTGAGACCAATCAGAACAACTGACATTTATTTTTGAAGCAATAGGGATGCAAGGCCATGCATTGGGTGTTTTCCTAGTGCCGTGGGCGCTGGTTAGCGGCGATCTGTGCCCAAAGTCAAGCCAGGGAGGTTGGTTGCAGCGAATCAACAGCCTGTGCCTGACAGCTGTGCTCCCTAAACAGGCACTGGGCCCTTTGTTCTCCGCAGTAGTTAAGAGTTATTGGAAGAGATCTATCCTTTGTCCTGCAATGCAAGACATCTTGAGACAAGTCGGTCCTGCTCTGAAGTAGGCAGTACGCATAATGCCACGTTGATGCACGTCCCTGAACTCCGGATTGGTCTTTGATCCACGCCACCATGGTTTTGAAGAATTGACTGCATATTATGTTGATGCCACTCTTTGTCTTCCATGCCCGCCAGTCACACATCACTCGAGTAGATAGAAAAACAAAGGGCCCCTCGTAATATGATACTGATATATGGCCTAGAGTCAGTTAGGTGCCTACTTTGTGACTCAAGTCATGCAAATCAACGCACAAATATTGCTGCTTTTGAACGGCCAATGGCGAAGACTGTTTAGGAACCACTGACACCTCCAGTTGCCTACCATGTGCCACTGTTCTATCAACTGGCCGATGTCCACCAGAGATCGTCAACTGATCAAGACAGAGTAGAAGGCTTCACACTTCCATTCTAACTTCTTGAGTTCTTTAAGGTATGTTGGTCCCTCGGCCCTGCCCACTCTTCCGACAGTCAGTCCAGTCCAGTCCAATCCCACTGTGGTGTCAGTGTCTGGTGTCATGTACTCGCTCACCCGCACCCCCGCTAACCGACTCCACCCTAGACGCCGTTCCATCACTGTGGCCCCTTGGGCTTCCTAACCTCCAAGAGCAACGGGGTTGGTTGCGCGTCAAAGTCCAGCAGATCTTGTCTCTCAAATTCTCAGAGCCTAATCACTCCGTGTCTCAAAGACTCGGCTCCATTCTCTCAACGCACAGAGACACTTGCCAGCCTTTCCTATTTACTCTAATCTTATTCACATCTACAGGTAGACAAACGGACGCCGTTGTCATCGTCGACTGTTGATCGGTTGTCGATTCATCATCCGTCCTCCATTGTGCAGCGCACCCACTCACCTTCGATCCAAGCCTCTGTCACCACCCGTTGGCCCCCAAAGAAACAGCTTCATGGCTCATGCGCTGTGCCTATCCAGATGATCGCGGCAACATCTATCCCTCTATTTTCCTCACTCATTAGCTATCGTGTTCATACCGCAGCGGACCGAGCACCACCCTTGTGTGGGCTTTGGTAACCAACTCACGACTGCGACCTCCTCTTGCGACAACTGATCATGTCGAACGGCCATTATCGACAACAATGGCAACAAGGCCCAGAGCCTGCCCAACGCCAGTATCAGTACGAGCGCAGGGACGACCGTGCTCATAGACAAGAGCAACCTCCGTTTCAGCAAACCCGCAAGAACGACTACCAGCGCTATGCTGACTACCCACAGAGCCGCAACGATGCATTTGATTCTCGACAAGGGCAAGAGCCAGCACAATTTCAATATGAGCAGGACAACCAATGGGTGAATCATGATCCATATTTGAAGAATGGCTATCAGGACAGCTACGCTCCTAATGCTACTTCCCACAAGCAAGAATTCAACAGAGCTCAACCGCAGCAAGGGCATTCCAATGGCAATGACCGGACTTATCAGTATGATGAGAGATTCAGAGCCAATGGCCATCCTCGACCGTCTCTACCACAGGAGCCATCAAGCCAGTCTAATGGCAGCGGGCGCTCTCGTGGCCAGCGCTCCGAAAGATTTGACGGATCTGAACCAACGACTCCCAAAAAGTCAAGAGGTAAGGATTTTCAATCCCAACACATGCTTGAGTAGACAATTAATAGCTCTTTCAAAGGCCGCGACCGTATCTTGCCACAACCTTCTTCTCCCAAGAATTTGGCATGGGACAATCCCTTTGGAGCCTTCCCGCCCAAAAAGCAGAAGCACGACGAACGTGACAAAGAGAGACATCAGAGTCTAGATAAGGCCATGGACGATCTAAGCGTCAACGATCGTCGGTACAGCGGAGGACCAGAAGTACGGCCTCAGACATCCCATGGTCAGAGAGCTCCACCGCAAAACAGAGATCCTCCTCCAAGACCAGGTACTTCGCACGATCGCCCCCCAGAATTGGGACTCATGCCTTTGGCGCCACAATACCATAACCTACCTCCTGGCCGACAATCGCCTGAGATGAGTCGACGAAAACCAGCGGTCCCCCCGCAGCAAAGCTCCCCAAGACGCCCTCCACCTCAGATGGCCCCCCGAATGCCTCCAATGCGCTCTGGTGAAGACCGCGCTAGACAGGGACCTTCTGGACCTGTTGCCAGTTACAACTCCCGTGCCCCTCAAGATCCTCAAAGTGCCAGTCTAGGACACGTGAGGCCACAGCGGGAACAGCGGGAACAGCGCAACCTAGACAGTGGGTATGATCGCGACCATATTCCTCAATCAAGAGCATATCACCCGCCGGACGACATTTCTCAGGCCCGTAGTGGTCCGCAACGGTCGGCAACTGTCGAGGGGTTTCAACACCCAAGTCGATCGGCACCGCCAGAACGTTTCGATCCACCCTCCCGGACAGCAACGCTGGAGCGTTTCGATCCTCCTTCCCGTGCCGCGACGTTCCAAGGCTATGAACAGGCTGCTATTCCGAGCGCTGCGCCAATGAACACCGCCAATACTGCCAGCCGGGATATGCCTAATTTTGACGCAATTCCTGCACCGCACGAACAGCCTGACGAATTGTTTGGAACGAGTCCAGCTTCTTTCGACAAACCTTATCAGAAACAAACATACCAAGTCCCTGGTTCTTTCCCCATCCAACTCGATACCAGGCAGGACCAAGCTGGATATGGCGATGCAGTCCATTCACCTTTGGCTGATTTTGCGTTTGATCTGCCACAGAACACGAACACCCGAGCGATGACACCAGGTAGAAATGACACAGCCAGCCCATCACAACCGTACCGTGGATATCAATACGGTGAGCAGAACAACCTCGACCAGAGAGCAGGGTCGTTGGGTGGACAAGAAGATGGTCGACGCCAGCAGAATGCCTCACAATTTCCTCCGCGTGCTGCTAGCCGGCCTGCCTTTCAATCGGATCACTCTCGACCACCACCGATGCCCTTCACTGGACAGGACGGTTATCGTTCGGTCAGCGATGGGCAATATCCCCGGGGCCAGCAGGGGGGTCCACAAGGCGCGCAAAGAAGCCTCGACATGGCCAATTCATACGGGCAGAGAGTTCAGCAAAATGGTAGAGACAATCATCGAGCGGGATTTCCCCATCCTTATGGCGCTCAAGATTGGAACCAGTCTGCACCGAATAAAGTCTATGAGCAGCAGCCATTCGAGCAGCGACCGCCGCTGCAATCAAGGTCGCAGGAGAACTACGACGTGGGCCATGTGGGACGACCCGGCCCACCACAGCAACCCTACATCCGAAATGCTCATCCCGTACCCGTCCGAAATTATGGGCCGCCTGCGCCTGCGCCTACGCCAGCTCCTGTTTCGGTCAATCCAGACTCGCTGCCTGCGCACCCTGAACCGGCGAGACAGAACAACAACAATTACAACGTAGGTTACGCAGCCAATACTCAGCAGCAACGACAGCAGCAACCAACACCAGGACCCGGGAATGCACCTCGACAAGTGTCGGTCACTGGGGTTAACGGGACCGATGCCCACAAAGAACCGGCAATCACGCAGCAGGAGCTCAGCAGTCTACGCAATCAGTATAGTCGAACTCCCGGTGATCATGCACTCGGATTGAAACTAGCCAAGAAGCTGGTTGAAGCAGCACGAGTGCTTGCGGACGAGGGTGGTACGGCGGATCCCAAACAAACACAGAAGAATCGGGAAAATTATGTGTTTGAAGCTCACAAGGTGGTGAAGAGACTGGTGTCGGCGAATTATCCCGAAGCCATGTTTTATCTCGCGGACTGTCATGGGCAGGGGCTGCTGGGCCTGGCGGTCGACCCGAAGGAGGCATTTCATCTGTATCAATCGGCGGCCAAATTGAACCATGCCCCAAGTGCTTACCGGGTAGCGGTGTGCTGTGAACTTGGGCCAGACGAAGGGGGCGGCACACGGCGAGATCCGCTCAAGGCGATACAATGGTACAAGCGAGCGGCCACCCTAGGAGACACGCCGGCCATGTACAAGATGGGAATCATTCTTCTCAAAGGACTGCTGGGCCAAGCCAAGAACTCACGCGAGGCTGTGTCGTGGCTCAAAAGAGCGGCTGAACGAGCAGACAAGGACAACCCTCATGCAGTTCACGAACTCGGGCTCTTGTACGAATCGGCAGCTCCGGGTGATCACATCATCAAAGACGAGAGGTACGCCCTGCAGCTGTTTACACAAGCAGCAGAGCTGGGTTACAAGTACTCACAGTTTCGGTTGGGGTCGGCGTATGAGTACGGTCTGCTTGGGCTCCCGATTGATCCTCGGCAAAGCATCGCTTGGTATACTCGAGCGGCAGCGCAGGGGGAGCATCAATCAGAGCTCGCACTTAGCGGTTGGTATCTGACCGGATCGGAGCCATTGCTGTCCCAAAGTGACAATGAGGCGTTCCTGTGGGCGAGAAAGGCGGCGAGCTCTGGCCTAGCCAAGGCAGAGTACGCGATGGGGTATTTCTTCGAGGTGGGGATTGGGACTGATGTGGATCTTGAAGAAGCAAAACGATGGTACTACCGAGCAGCTGGTAAGTGTGGATGCTTGATGATTGGTGCTGGGTAGATTACTGACATGGGTGTTTAGCACAAAACATGCCAAAGGCTCGAGAACGGTTGGAGGAGTTGAAGCGGGGTGGACAACGACACACCAAGAGCCGAGTGTCGAGATCTCAGGTCAACCGGCAGAGCGAAGGGGAATGTACAGTGATGTGATGCAGGAGACGCAGCGTGTTGTGTTTGGGTTGTTGCGAATTTTCATGCATTTGTTCAGGGCTGTGATCACACGTGGCACGGGGAGTGAGCGATATACCTTGAGATTGTCGGGGCTCGGCATGGTGCGTTTTTAATTTTCAAGGTGAGCTGCCGATGCATAATGTATAATGGATCATGGATCTATGGAGTCACGCAAGTATGCAACAGACGTGGGTCAAGATACATGATGGCGTGCGACTTGGTTCTCTAGGGAGTTGTAAATGTTTAGATGATGTTGAACCCAATGTAGCAGTGTAAAACTGCGTTAGTGAATGATGCCTTGATTATGATTAGCTGGCTAAGGGTCGGGGACTGTATGACTTATGTCTAAGACGATCAATTTGGGCCAGCATGACCTAGTTAGGTGGCACATTGTGTGTATAGTTATAGTCACAGTAAGTAGGACAGTTGCAGGCACTGCTACCTGGACATTCAACATTGGTGCGTACAAGTGCCACAAAATGCGGGCGACAGCTCATCTTTCGTGCGTCTTGCATCTAAGTAAAGAAGAAGAATCTCGGTGAGAAGTGTTCTTGCCACATGAAGCTCATGAGTGTCTTGGATGTCGAAGGTGCGATCCCACCGACCACAAATTTGTCCCAGGAGGAAGTCGAGGTACACACATACGAGAATCTCTCTTGCCTCTCAAGACCGCCTGCTTTGTACATGCACAAATCACATCGATCGATCCTACCACAGTGATGGATATTTCAGAGTTTTAGAGATCCAAGAATCTTCTCCAATTGCCTGAATTACCAGCCACACGAATCGCCAAAGGCACGACTAGTTACATGTACACTCACCACCACCCATATGTAGGTACCTAGGGATATGGAGAACATCTCCCCATTTTCCCTCCCACGCTTCCACCTCCCCTCCCCTTGTCACCGTCATTGTCACCCCCATAACCCCAACGTGCCAAATGCGTCAAGTGACCCCATCTCCCCAGACATCATTGGTACATCGTACATGTCTCGCTAACTAGCCGACTCGACGGAACCCAACTCCATCAAATCCGTCCTGCACAGAAGCCATCCCGACACTTCTAGTGTGACGCACCAGCTTTCTTTTTGGTCGGTACAATGATACAATCGCCACCATAATCCGAATAATGATGCAGCCCGCGCTTCTCTGCGCCTCATCTCGTCTCGTACATCTGCTACGCGTGACTCGAGGTCATGTCACCCATCAAAATATCTTGGTCAGTAACAATCTTATCCGGGCTCCCACGGCTTTCCCATTGAAAAGCAAGGCGTGGCAACGCACAAGCCATGAGAGACGGCTGGGGCCGCCCTTTATGGCCACACAACTGCGTCATCCTCGCTCCAGAGAAGTCGATCGATCCAGACCAAGACTTTGCGCCATCTGATGGGATTGGCTTTCTCTTTACCACAGATTGAAGATCGTGATAACTACCCAGCTATCGTTCAAGATCTCGACTTCGCTTTGGCCACCGCATCAGAGCAATCGCCCCTCCTCCTTCTTCATCGCCCCCCCCTCTTTCTTTTCCCTGCGTGCTCGCATTTCATATTTGCTCGGTTATGACTCTCGGATCTTAATGCCGCTCAACACGTACATGTAGGAGGCTCTGCCTGTGTCCGACTCTTCTCTCCAGAATTCTTACCTTGTCAAGTTTCACCTCACAAACATCAGGTCCTTGATCGAGAGTCAGAGCAGTTCATTGAGCATCAGGCCAGGCGTGAATCACTGCAAACATTAACACTCTCCACTTTTGTTACACTCAGCTATCTGATATTGCAATCTCAAATTCGTCACTATTGTCAGACAGCCTCGGTGACGTCTACACTTCCCAATCCAGTCAACTTTGATGCTCATATCCACGACAACTTCCATTACTTTCTCCCCAGATTCTACAAACCAAAGTCTGTAGCCACAGGATCGCCAGTCTATTGTGACGCCAGTCTCGACTTGCTCTTCCACATTCATACCTTCAAACCGTACCATTGATCATCATCCTACCACCCAAACCACTATTGTATCATCACATCATCATTTCCACCTCCCAAGAACCCTCATTCGTCCCCACCCGACTTTTACCACGTTACGCCTCCCCCTATCTCTCCGCAAAAACCAAACCCCCCCCCTCCCCGATCGGAAAATCGTCATCGTCCTGTACAGGATACTTCCCATATAATCCCACGACATGTCTAACGGAGAAGGCAAGATGTTCCGCTTTCCAACGTTCCGCGACACACCCAACTGTGGCAATTACTCCACGGCGCAGGCATCTCTGAAAGACATTCTTCGACGAGACTCGGAGTCTTCTTCATCATCATCACGTCCCCGACTCGACTCTCCGCCCACCAAGAAACACAGACAGGGATCAAGTTCGACTTCTCACTCGACGTCAAACTCGTCTACATCATCTGAAAGTTCAAGAACGTCTAGTCCGCGATCAAGTGGTGATAGCGATACTTTGAACCTATCCCGATCCTCCAAGTTCCCTCCGTTTGACTTTTTCCTCACTACGACGACGACCAATTCATCTTCCTCCTCTAGCCGGTAGTGGTGGCCTTGGAGTAAAAGAGCATAATCTTACCAATTACAAAGAGTCGACGCCCTCTCTCTCTCTCTCTCCTGTCCGACAGTCCGACTTTTATATTAAAAGTCAAATACGATCGGATATCATCATTCCCCCGGCTTAGTCCTAGAACCAAACTCAACACACCTGTATTCCTTTCTCCTCGAGATTTCACCAGCATCGACTATTTATTGTAACAACATCAACCTAAAGAATCTATCCATCCATTGACAATGCCGAGCTCTAAAGGTGAACCCACCAATCCAGAACTTCGCGAGAAGATCAAGGAAGAAGTCAAAAACATGGAGAAAGGTGAGCCTGATCATCAAATCATCATCATCATTATCATCCTGCCCTACCAAACCCCAGATACTCCTCCCACAAGTCAATCACGTCCTAGGTACTTTACCATGATTACCATCTCTGCACCCATATCCATACCCTCGTCTAAACCATTACTTATTTACTGACATTTGGGGGGTTTTCCCCCTTTCTATTACAGGCGGTGGCAAAGGATCATGGTCTGCGTGGAAAGCAGGTGAATTGGCCCGTCGATATGAAGCCGAAGGTGGCGATTACAAGGATACAGGCGATAATAAGAATAAGGCTAAGAAAGGAGAACCAGAGAAGAAGTAGTGGTGGTGATGGTGGTGGTCAAGGGGGCCGTGGTGACAACACACCTGTATCAATACCTTAATTATAATACTAATGACGATGATAATGATGATGACGAGTGATTGGAGATCTTTTCGTTAGATGTGAATTGATTGACACCCTTTGGGATTGTGCAAATGCAAAGTTGCCACACTTCAGCTCGAGTATCAAGTATTAAGTCTCGAGTCTCTGCACGTGCACTGCTTCAGTTACGAGCCATGTGCGATAGTAGTCGTCAGGCTGGCTCTTCGACGGTCTAACACTTCTCAACACAGGTTGTGGCATAGAAGCATGGCATGCATGTACTATCAATCACAACGAAACGAGTCGGGGTCTTCTGGGCTAGTCAACTCTGCTTGATCATTTGCCATATGCTAGATTCCGAGAAAAGTGTTCCGAAAGAGATTTTCTCCCCACTGGGGGACTTGACCCGTTGAAGTCTATCCTGAGGAATAAGTCCAATTGAATGGGCAGGCGAGAACAGCCTGGATGTTCTCCAGCCACGCCGTCAACCAATTTGCAAAAGGCCCCAACATAGGAATACCGCCCACCGTCAAGATGACACGAGCAAGGCGTGTAATTTGCACCTCAAACATCCACAGCGCTGTTGTCCAATTTACAACTTTTGTTCAATCTTCTTTTCAACACTCTTGGCGGATTCCTTGAGATCCTCTCCCATGCTCTTGACGGCGCCTTCGGTGCCTTTGATGGATTGTTGATATAGGAGGATTCTGCCCACTTGGACGGTACCGACGATGCAGAGACAGAAGTTGACAGCAGCGAGACTACACGGTTCAAGATGATTTGTCAGTCATACAGAGGCTGGAGGATGACATAAGACAACCATTCAACACTTACAGCACGTTCCGAGGCTTGATGATGAGACACCATCTGGTCCAAATGGATCCAGTGCCCATAAGGGCAAGGTTCTGAGTCAAGGAGAGTTTATCGGCAGGTCGAAGGAAGTCGGCGGCGCCGGAAAGAACGACGCCCCATTTCATGACGGGAGCCCTGCACAAGATCGGAAAATGTCAGCGTTGTATTCTTCAGTCTCAGCCATTGGCCATAGCCCCCTGGTGACTTTATGACATGATTCAAGCGTACCAAAAATGAACGGTCTTGATTCCGACTTCGCTGGTCCATAAACGCTGGAAGGCACTCTGAGGGGGAGGAGCGACAGTTTCGGCGGCGGGGGCTGCAGTGCCTTGGAATCTTCGAAAGATTGAGCTGCGGATGTTTGTCGTGAAACCAGTGGTGGACTGTCGAGAGGCTTGATGCGCAAAGCGCATGCCCAAGCGGGATGACATTGTGCAAGAAAATCGACTGTTACTGTTGGGATAGATCGGACTTTGGACTTGGACGAGAGGGAAGAGTGGACGGTGGTGATGGCGGGTCGAAGTGAGCAGCGACTTGATGACCTTTGTCGTGCTCTTCTCGTTGACCAAGATGGAGCGGGTTGGGATAAGGAAGAGTAAATCTTCTCGGTTGTAATTGTGAGTAATAATAGTTCTGGGGTTGGAAGTGCAGGGAGGAGCAACCCGTGTGAGGAGAAGTTGGTTACCCACGCACCAGTCAACTTCGGAGTGCGTACCTGCCCTGGCACCCTAGTCTGTCCGTACAAGTTATCTTACCCTCTTTTTCTTCGCTCAAGTCCGCTAATCTCCGTGATGTTCATGCACTAAAACAGCGACTTAGAGGTGATAAAGTGCCACTTTAGAGTCAGGTGATAATGGACCTGCGCTATATAGCCAAATGGTTAGAGGCTGGACGCCCCGCCGCTTTTGACTGCTATCCGGCGACAAGGGCACTTCGATATTTGACCGGGGAATTCTCATTTACTATCTCATTTAAGCTGGATATAGTACAGTGATTCCGAAAATCGCGCCCGATGACGACAGAGCGCAGGGTGAAAATGGACAATCGGCTTCGCCAGACAGAACTTCTCTCCTCAGAGGCTCTGCTGGCTTGGTTTGGGCTCGTTCGAATTTTGATAGGGGCAATGTTTGACACCTGGGTGCCAAGAGCATCGTAGCATCTGCGGAAATCACTCAGCTAAATGCGCCCTTTCCGCTCTCACAACCTGTCAAACAATAAAGGTTGAAGCTGATGACCTCCTAGGTTCTAGGAGGTGCGGGAACTGAGGTCTATCTAGCTATCTTAACCAGGAAGCTGGGATGGAGATAGATTAGGGGCGGGGAACCTCCTAGTGTCTGACATGATTGCTCCTGTAAAAGTACAGGTACAGCCTCGTGTCCATAGTTTCTGCGAACAACATACCTTCCTAGCGTCTTCGAAGGAGTAACTATCTGCGAGCCCAAGAAAAACCCTACACCACGGAAAGAAAGTCATAAGTACGTCTCCCTCCTAGCTATCAACTCGAAATCTGATTAGGACTCTGTCCTACTCCCATAAATAGCTCATCTTTTAGGTCCGCTCCCTTTTCTCGCCAAGCGAGGAGACCTTCTTTCAACCGCTAACGGCATGCTGCGGCTGTCGCAGCTAAGTCCCCTAGGTAGTAGGTGTGGAAAGTACCTCCGAACAATCCAGAGGTAAATTGGAGTATAGAAGGCTGTTGCCTGATTAGCTCAAGTCCCTCGCCAGTTCGAGTATGTCTCACCTTTGTAAAGCAGAGTCAGCAGCGTAAAGAAGAGACAAGAGTAGAGCAGAAAAGTTCTGGTAAACTGCGAGAGCACCCAGGTATTCCAATACATATTTGTTGGCGACTCTCCCTCAGGGAGGACATGACCAGGCGGGCGATCTTGGCATCGAGGGAAGAAACCCTCCAAAAGCGGCGGCGCGGACTGCCAAAATTCCCTGTAACTTGCGTTGAACTGTAATTGTGAGTAATAATAGTTCTGGGGTTGGGACTACAGGGACGAGCATCCCGTGTGAGGAGAAGTTGGTGAGCCACGCACTGGCACCCTGGTCCTGTCCGTACCAGTTATCTTTCATTCTTTTTCTTCCCTCAAGTCCGCTAATCTCGGTATGTTCATGCACCAAAAGCGCCATTCAGTGGTGTTGAAGGGCCACTTTAGAGTCAGGTGATAATGGACCTGCGCTGTTTCGCCAAGCCTCCATCTCCACCAACCACCACCCGTCAATTAGCATTTGTTCATCATTTTTGTTAAAGCAGCAGTTTCCGCCAAGCTCATCACCTCTTGCGACCTCCCGTGCAATGACAATAGCGACGTAGGAGAGTTGCAACCGACAATGTCTCTGTGAAGCCTCGTTTATTCTCCACCAACAAGCTCGACCGACATGGCGTCGAGATACGCCTTCACCCAGGGCCTGCGAGAGGTGCGCTTCCACTTGTGCAGCTCCAGCCCTGCTTCCGAAGCCACCAGGTACTTTCCAAACCCCCTTCAACAAGAACTCCAGAGGGAATAGAGTCACTGACCAGAAGCCTGAAAGATCCTTCCTCAAGCGAGCCTATCCTACCATGAAACATCACAACCCGAGCACCCCGATTTTAATACGAGAAGCCACCGGTGTCGAACCTAAGATCTGGGCAAGATATGGTATGAGGACTAGCTTGCAGCTACGCATGATTAAGCACAATTCTGACAAATTAATAGGACTTGGAAAAGAGAAGTCTGAGTCATTAGCAGGTGAGATTAAATCAACATCTGGGTGTGCTAAATCTAACCAGGTATTCTAGGACTCTCAGACAAGGAGATCGAAGACAAAGTGACGACGTTGGTCAAGTCGGAATAGCTGGGACTCGCCCAGCAGCTATGAAAGGCTCATGGGTTCAGCCAAAGCACAAAAATCCCAAAGTGCAAGCTACAGGACCACTCGAATGATGCCGTTTCGTTGTACATACTATATGGCTGCCACAAGCTAGATAACTGGAAAATCATGATGCCTCTACGAGCTGGTCTTTTCTACATCGCACTCTTTTCAACTTGTGGGTGGACCTGACCGAATCGATATTGCGCCCATGCCATCGAACCTTCCGGCATTGTCCAGACTTGACGGCCCTGATCCTGACCCGCGGCGCCGACGGCGATGTGAATTGGTAATAGATGCTCGAATGTTGGATGTGCTTGTCTTGCATCGCCTCTCTTCAACAAATCCACCATGACCCCGTCTCTGTGATCTCCAGGCTTCGTCTCGGCGGCATCCTTCAGGGCCGCGTCAAACGTGATTGCGTACGGCATTGGCTTCCCCATTCCGCGGCCCATCATCAAATGCCTGAGATTATGCACCGACATGCCACTGGCAACGATGAGGATATTCTCTTCTCGAAGCTTCTCCACCGCGCGACCGAGCTTGATATGTGCTTCGGCGTCTGTGTCATCGTCGAAAAGACTGACTTGCACGATAGGAATAGTGAGGGGATTTCGATCCGGATGGAACATGATTTTGAAAGGGACAAAAACGCCGTGATCCAGACCACGCTGGGCCTCTTGCGTTTGGATGCCACCCTGGTTCAACGCAGAAATCACCTTTTTCGCCAGACTCGCTGATCCTTTGTTGGGGTATTTCTCCTGGTAGTAATGACGTGGAAACCCGTAGAAGTCGTAGAGCAGAGGCTCTTGCTCCGAGACATTGACTTGAATTGTATTAGGTCGTTCGCCCTGCCAGTGGGCACTGAATACCACGATGGCGGATGGTTTGACCTTTTCGGTAATTTCTCGACCTAGAGCTTCTAGTTGGGAGTAGACTGGATGTGCTGTATCGAACATGGTGGATGGGCCCTGAGAGTTCAAATGTTAGCATCATGTTGTATCGTGCATGAAGTGGTACAGAAGAGCAGGATCCAAAGATGAATCCCTTGAGAGAATTGGGACAGGAACTTACGCCATGCGACACGAAATACACGGGCGTTTTATTTGCCATTGTGTTGACGCTGGGGCACGTGGAGAATGCTTTGGTCCAGTTCCGGGGCGAGAGTAGGCGATTTGCGGCAATGATTGACCGTGCCAGATCTCCGACTTCGAAAGATCCTTGTACTATTGAAATGAAGACCGCGAACAATATGATAGTGATGCTTGCTAGAAGAGTTGTGGAGTAACGTCGTGTTGTTTTTGTTGAGGGTGTGCGACTCGCTGACATGGACGAGGAATATATGGTAGATGTATGTTATTAGTTAAGGTCCGGGACCCGGATATGTTCTCAACGGCGAACTCGGTTTATGATTTAAAATATTCGGCCGAGCATCTGCAACACTTGTCAGCATGTCCTGGTTTGGTCGGCAAGAGGCTCCTAATGAATGACGAACACGCCCAGGACTCTGGGGCCTAGTCATAGGTGCATTCTTGTCCAGATATAAGTCCAATCCATGAATCTTAGTAGGAGGGTCCCATTAGCTAAGCAATCATATGCATCGAGGCTCGTGGGGACGGGGAGGCGAGACGCGGAATTGATGCCGTCACATTTCGCCCTTTATTACCTTCACTATGATTCGAGAGCATTCGGCAGCTTGAGCAACTAGTCATGCAATCTCGACATGGATGCTATGGTTCTAGCCCTTATGAGCCACACAAAGTCTGGGATAAAATCCCTGTCGCCGGTGTCACTGTTTCGTTGATGACGATATACCATGGTATACGTCGAGAGCCACGTGACCTTAATATCACAGGGGACATGTGCACAATATTCAATGTTCAATGTTCAATGTTCAGTCAATATTCGCCTTGACAATGGCTTCGCTGCTTGCGGAGCTATCCTCTAATCATAAACCTTATTTACGGCTTTGCAATGCGAGATTGACAAAGAATTCCTCCTTTAGGCCGTTACTGCATTCGCAGCGCCCATGTTCCAAAGCGTCCATCTACCCCCTTCTTCGCAGCACCGCCATCTGGGTAAGCCGTTGTCATGCGCGAGAGTAGATATACCGCAGTTTTCTGTACAGTGATCTGTTGTATTTTGCCATTACAACTTGGCCTTTCCGGTCTGCTTCTTCCTCTCGTCAAACCACTCCCGCACCCTTTGTCTTGCCACTTCGACGACCTCTTTATCCTCGACCGTGGCAGGGACATTGACTTCCTTGTCAAATTTCCCTTCGGCACCGTTCTCCACTAACTCTCTCAGCACTCTTCTCAAGGTTTTGCCGCTTCGAGTCTTGGGGATCATCCCTTTGCCTTGAACAATACCCCCAAGCGAGGCAATGGCACCAATCTGTGACCGGACAATATTGTTGATCTCGGTGAAGAACTCTTTCGAAGGGGTTGCGGGGAGATTTGAGTCTTGGGACGTGGAAGGAACGACGAATGCAAACGGTAAATGACCTTTCATGGCGTCGGGGACACCTACTACGCAAGCTTCGGCGACAGCTGGATGAGATGTGATGGCTTGTTCGATCGCGCCTGATATCGCGTTAGTAGTTTTTCGGCCAAAATGAACAAGATGCTTACCAGTACTGAATCGATGTGCAGCAACGTTGATAATGTCATCGCTCCGACTCATCACATGGACATATCCGTCCTCGTCGATCATGCCGGCGTCTCCAGTGTCGAGCCATTTACCCTCGAATCTCTTCAGATAGCCTTTGTAAAACCTGTCATCGTCGTTGAATAGCGTGGTGAAGCCGGTGGGGGCGAGTGGGGTGGCTAGAACAATGTTGCCCATATTTCCTGGCTTGACCTCAATGCCCTCATCGTCCACGATGCGGACGTCGAATCCTGGCATTGGTTTTCCGGCACTACCAGGTTTGATCTGAAGGGCTTTGTGTTGTTCTCGGCTGTGGTGGTCGAGTCCAATTGCAGGCCGCAAAGCAAGACCCGTCATGGGACTACCAGATTCGCTTGACCACCAATGATCGATGACACGGGCGTCCGGCGCCGCATATTTGCTCAAGAGTTCCTGATAATGGGTGATGATGGCCGGCTCTGACCTTTCGCCAGCCAAGAATACCGCTCGTAAGTGTCTCAAACGACCTTTGTCACCAAGGGCTTTGAAAAACTTGTCCTGAGGATCCTCCTTCCTGATGGCTCGCAAGGCGGTGGGTGCGGTGAATAAGCTCGTGACTTTGTACTCATCTACCAATCGCCAGAAGGCGCCTGCATCCGGGGTTCCAATGGGTTTGCCTTCATACATGACGGTTGTAGCGCCAGCGAGAAGGGGAGCGTAGATGATGTATGAGTGACCAACAACCCAGCCAATGTCACTTCCAGTAAAGATGACATCGCCGGGCCCTTTGACGTCGAATAAGTACTTGATGCTCAGATTCAAAGCGACAGCATGGCCACCGGCTTCTCGCAGGACACCTTTGGGCAGGCCGGTGGTTCCACTTGTGTAGATGATGTAGAGAGGATCGGTACTCTTGATAGGAACGGCCTCTGCCCGAGTGTTTCGCACGCGAGCATTTCTGACCAGGCTTTGCCAATTCCTTTGGCCTTCCTCCGTTTTGACAGGATTCCATCTCGTTTCTCGTTGCCAAATGATGGTCTTGCTGGGTTTGTGGCTGCTTCGTTTAATTGCTCCCTCGACAAATGGTCGGTACTCCAGAGGGCCTTTGGAGCCCTCAATGGCGCAGCTGGCGGTGAGGATGACCTTGGGCTTGGAAGCATCGATCCGTTGGGCCAAGCTGTTGGCAGCAAACCCACCAAAGACTACAGCATGGACTGCACCCAGCCGAGCAGTGGCGAGGATTCCAAAGACTGCAGCAGGTATCATTGGCATGTAAATGAGGACGACATCACCCTTTTGGACGCCCTCTTCCCGTAGAACACCAGCCAACAGTTCCACTTCGTCGAGGAGCTGCGCATAGGTATACTTTTCTTTGCTGCCACTGACGGGGCTGTCCCAGGCAAGAGCAAGTTTGTCACCATTTCCAGCCTTGACGTGGCGGTCGACGCAGTTGTATGTGGTATTGATTTCGCCGTCAGGAAACCATGACCAGTGTGGGTGTGACACACCGCCTTGCAATTTTTTGGTTGTCTGTCGTAGCGCTGAGCTGTAGGGCTTGTGCCAGTATAGTTCTTTAGCATGCTTGTCCCAGAACGTCTCTGGGTCTGACAGGGAGGCGGACTGGACTGAGTCCTGGACCGTGTTATTTGGAGACATGATGCGCAGGATGAAAGGAGGAACGATTTGGTCCTCTTGGAATGAGGAATGACGAATTGCACAATTGGCCCAAGGACGGGCAAGTATGAAGGGTATGCGGCGAGTGGAGAGTTGTATGGACCGAGGCACGAGGAAAAGAAACGAAGAACGCGAAACTGATTGAATTGGCAAAGGATCGAAATGGTGTACGTGATTCATGTAGTAAATGGGCGTGTAGGCTAGGATGGATATATTCAGGTGGTCATGGACACATAGTCTGGCATTCTAGCCGGCCTACAATCAGATAGGTAAGGTCAGCGCGAAGTAGCTGGGTTAGTGATGGACAGAAGAGCGACCAACCTGAGGACGCTGTCTAGCCCGGCCATGACGCCAAAGTCAACGGGCCCAGACAGGAACAGGACGAGCAAATGCTTTGTTCCGACGCACGTACATCCATACTCGGACAAGCGGAGTGACTACTCCGTAGGTAGACGGGGAAATGACATAGTGCCAATAATGAGGGACGAGGGGAAGAGGGGATGACAAGGAGGAGAGAGGAGAGAGCTGGTTGGTGTGTGGAGGAAAAGATAGGACACGTTTTTTTGAGCCGCGAATTCCAGAATTACGGAGTACAGAGTCGTTTTTTGGGGGCACGAGGGGATGGACTTGGGGCGACTGTGGGCGTCTCAATCATGGAAGGCGCACTACGGAGTATGTTTGGACAGACACAGAAGGTGCAACACACAAAAGGGACACCCACGGGTGGACCGCGTACAAAACACGGAGCTGGGACCAATAGGATTTCAGCCACTTCTCGGTCTTGACTCGGACTTGAAGAAAGCACCGTCCTGCGACCGTGCGGCCCGGCGATGAACTTGCTGTATCAACATAATGGATCGTAAGATATCTGCAGAGTCCAGACACAACTTCGGATCAACCGAAAACGGGCCGGTCTCCATGGTCAGTATATCTGTGTGCAAGTACTTCTTATATACAATACCAAGAAATATCCGAGTCAATGCCGGCTGATGTTGTTAGGGAAGGTGCTTATTGATCTCTCTCCAGACAAATCCGGGGAGGAAGAAAGGACGACGGAAAAAGGACCCTGGCTGAGAGCTAGACGTCTCCGAACGACCGCCACATTCCACATATCAGTTACTAAGTACTGTGTACGAAGTCACGCCATCCCTTATCTGACATGGACATTGTGGCATATATGTTGTTGGCTCGACCAACTCCACAGTCGTAACAGTATATCTCTCCGCCTGAGATTTATCATGTCAGGTGATCACTCACAGTGTGTGCGGTGGCTGGACTCGGCACATGTGCCAACAGCACTTCTCTTCTCAGCACACCTCCAACGCCTCAGGTCTTTGTGGGGAACAGCTGCTCACTCGTTCATATCAGGTAGGAACGTCGTTACTGATGGCATTGCATGTTCATTCTCGGTCTCGAAAAGGCATATTGTTATCTGGACGACCAAACAGTAGACGATATTTACAAAGCAGGATGGAACACAAGTCCGAGGCATAGTTTTCCAATGTTTTTTGGTCCGTGGTGATGCGGAAGATACACACATTTTGGATACCCCGAGAACACTCATCGCAATGCTATCCAGTGATGACAAAATAAACCTTTCATTAACTAATGACCAACGCCCAGGATAATCGTATGGACTTGCACCCCAAGTCGTACAAAAAGATATCCATACAATCCAACAATGACGAAGATGTTGTCGCGTTGCGAAAGCCCGGAGCAGATGCGTCATAGATATCATGTCGCATCACGCTCCAAACAGACCGGGCCATTGTTGGTGTCCTGAGCCCGCCGCATCAAGAAATCAAGAAGCGGGCAATGACAGGGAACCCTACAGCAGTGAAGCTGTGTGGCTCACGTCACGACCCTAAACAGTCCACCATTTACAGGAGGAAAGCAGCGATGGCACCAACACCGGCAAGACCAGCACCCACGTTGGCAACGAGGGAGTTGGCAGCACCGGTGAACTCAGCAGGCTTGACGCCAGTTCCGGAGGGAACATAGACATCGGGGGAAACGGGGCTGGAGGTGGGGGCAGCCTCCCAGTCAACCCAGGTGGACTCAGCAGCAACGGGGACGGAGCTGCAAGAGGTAGTGACCTTGGTGTAGACGGGAACGGAAACGGTCAAGGGCCAGCCAGTGATGGTCAGGGTGGTGGCATCAGTCACCTCCCAGGTCTTTCCGCCATGAACAATGTTGGTGGGCTTGGGGACGAAGGTGGTGATGGTGCTGACGATGGTAGTGGTCCAGCTGTATGGCTCCTCCCAGTCGGCCCATGTCTCGCTGGCGGCGGCGGGGGTGGTGGTGGTTGTGATAGCAGCAGGAGTAGTGGTAGTGGTCTCCCAGTCAGCCCACACGTCCTCGGTCGTGGTGGCGGCAGCAGGAGTGGTGGTGGTTGTCTTAGCGGGCCATCCTGGGGTGGTGGTGGTGGTAGTGGTGGTGGTTGTCTCTGCTTCGGGCCAGGCTGGGACAGCGACGGCGGTGGCAGCAAGGGCCAAGACGGAGATGGAAGCAGCGACCTTCATTTTTGCTGTTGGGATAGAGGTGGATTTGGAGAAGAGACTAGAGACTCGGGATAGAGGTTGTTTGGTTGAGGGTTGTAAATGAGTGTAAGTGGTACAAGGACCGGCGTTGTGGGTGCTAACGAGCGACTGGAGTTGGAGTTTGTGGGATGATGAGGGAAAGGAAAGGAACAGAGAAGCAACGTGCTGGACTTGATAGATATAATCAAGACTGGGGAACGCGAGGGAAATTGGAATCCCATACTAGCGTCATGGTGGCACTGGTGGGCATGATGGCGACGATGGGAGTACACAGAGTGGACTCTGAGTGGAGGGACGTCAGGGGGAAAGTTGACAGCCAGTTTGATCGCGGGATCCACAATGGACGGGGCTAGCGCAGCCTCATCGAGCTTAATTGTCGCCTGATTGGTGCTGATGGGTCTACAGCCGAGATTGTGGCACCCCGCAGCCATGGGCTTCAAACCACTCGTGCCATTGCTCCTGCCCAAAATCTCCCAAAATCTCCCAAAATCTGCCAGCTTGCAGCAGCTTGCTTTCCTTGCCAGATTTGTGTCCGCCAACCTTTGCGGGTAGTCACTGCCTGAATGCTGTCATCGCCCATGCCATCCTTCAAGCTTGTCCATGATGGATTAACGACGAGATCATCCTCGCATGTCACGGGAAGTTGTTCTTCTCAAAGGCGCCGCTCCACATCCAACGCGCTTGCCGTCTGGTCGCCACCAAACACTTTGGTTGATCTGGTGACAGTGGTTCCGCAGCTGCAGTCTGGAGGTTTGAAGGCCTGGATGGATTCTTTCAATCCACTTGGGAAGTCGCTGCTCACTCTTACACCTGCCTGCTTGTCTCGCGCAGTGATTGCTATTGTAATTACTAATGTCCACTCGTTGTCTGTTCTAGACCTGTCATCTACTCCGTATGTACTCTGCAGCGAAAGAGTGAGTACCTACTCCGTACACCGCATGTACTCCGTATTGGAAGCGCATATTTCCATGTGTACTATTCCTTCTCTGTAATGACCTGCAGACCGTTGGCAGGGGGAACGCGTTGCAACTTTGCGGAGTCGTCTCAAGCTTAGCATGGTCTAGGTCAGCCAAATCCTTGTTGAATGATGTTTCGAGTTCCCGCCCGTAGTATTAGAACCAATTTTCCATGGACGCTTACAGCCACAGTTCAATCCCACAATTAGCCAGTCACTGCTGGCCATGGTCCAGCACGGGTCCCTGGGTACTGCGAGGCCGCCCTACACAAAGTAACGTGTGCAAAAGCTTGGAAGAGCTTATTGAGCCTGCAGATGGCTGTGGTTGGCTGTTGACTGGATTTGCCAATGTTGATCTGGGCGGTTTCGGAAATGAAGCCAAGGCTGGATGGGGCCAATCGCGAGCAATCTTGTCAGGCAACCTTGTTTACGGAGCACACCAGGGTGACCGTTCACTCTAGCCTTGTAGCGCCACGAATTCAAATCATAATCCAAGCGCGACTTCAAGCTCCGTGGCTTTCTTCTGGGGGCTTGCTCCGTTCCTCCTTTACGGAGTACTTGTACTAAGATTAAATCGGTCTTTGGACCCATGCAATCTCTCCAGCTTTTTGCCATCGACCTCAGAGAATTCAATCAATGCAAGTGGCCCTTCCCCCAGTGACCTATCGATAGAAGGGCACGCCCCGACTTCTTGGTAGACGGCAGTGCTTCCATATTTGACTGTGTTTTAAGATAGCACGATAGCTGGATATCCATAGCATCGCTTGTCCATGTGGCGAGAAGAAAGCAGGCACCATCTCGCAGATCATACAGCTAACAGTGCACCGGTACCAAATAAAAACCTGGCCCGCCTGGCCCAACTCCTCCAGAACACTTGAGCCATCCGATCCAGAACCTTGGTCGTCGGCTGTTGTTCATGATTGCTCATGCCATGTGTTCGTCCAGATGGTTCCAAAATTCTACCTCGATTGTTCCATAGAATCCTGTTGCTATGCGACCACCGCCCGTGCCATGATCGTGTCTGGGGCGAGGGGCCCATTTCTTAAGCAAGATAGACCTTCTGCTCAAAGGCACATACTCCGTACTCCATACGGACCTACATAAACTCCCACTCCACTTTGAACGGCTGTTGCGGGACCAGAGACACCATCGGCCATTTCCCACTCGAGTTTCGGAACCTCCAATGCAGATACCAAGCATTCTATCGCTCGACCGGATCTCGAATCTCAAAGATCACGAGCAGTTAAAAATGCATGCAGGTTCGTATGTAATGTGGACACCTTCAGCGCGATATCAAACTCAGAGCCCGTCTTGTAGCCTTGTTGGGTTGGCACTTCATCCGACTCAAAACATCTATTCTGGTCCACTCGAGCATTTCGAGATCGAGGTTTGTGCGTTCATCAGCTTGCTCCATAAAGAGTCTTCCCACTGTCACAAGCCTACGGGAACGACAGCGACATGATCCCTCTATAATATCTTTATACTTTCTGACATGCATGTACTGTGACGTAAGTTGCTGTATTTTTTCTTAGCCAACAATCTCGTCACATGCTTGGGTGCAGTGACTCCTTTGTGGGTGAGACATGCAATCATTCAAAGATTCAGCGAAATGGTTGCAAATCTCACTATCCCACCTGCGTGGATCGCGCCAATTTGGCCCACATTTTCAAACACGTGACCACCGCTCCTGGTGAGTTCACAATCACGAAACCATTTGGCAGCCATCTCATCTCGACAGGAGCGAAAATGCACATTTAACAATGAAAAAGGCTTCTACTAGCAGTTATCATCTATCTAGCCTCATGCTTGGTTGCCTCTCTCGTATGTTCTGACACAGACCATAATCCCTCATTGATGTCTCACCAATCTTTGGGTTCCTGCTTTCCATTCTCGCATCCTGCTGTCAACCTAGTCGCTCGACCCGAACAGTCTCGTTGCCATCAAATGGTAACTCTTGCTGATCTGGTAACCCACACCGGCATTCCCGTGTTGGTCCAATCGAGAGACATCCCATACTCAACATTCTTGTTCGGCCGTAGGCCGTGCTTGCAAACTCTAGCAGGCTAGAATCAAGCGAACACCAGACCCAAAATAACCACCTTCAAACCCCCAAATCTGGTCATCGGGTACGTACGCCAACTTGACTCGCACTTTCTTCTTGCCCTGGTCGACCGTGTCGGTGTCCGTTCGTGCAACAACCATGATCTCCTGGAGTCTGTAATGCACAGTGGCTGAAATTCGATTGACCATGCTGCCAAGATCATTATTCTTCGACTGGGAGAGTATATCGAGCTTGTAACACTTGATGGAGCTCAGGGCCTTCAAAAAATGGAAGTCGCTTAGATTAACTTGACATCGGCCACCGAAAATAACTCCGAATCGCTCGAGAACTGCGTTCTTCCCAATGAGATTGAAGACGTGTTGCAAGTTCGGATCCGTGACAAATCTGAGTTGATCCTCAGGCACTACCATCCCAGGTTCGTTGATCTTCAGGCCGTCTGTCAGTTTTAATGATATGTATCTCATCTTGGAAATATTCACTGGCCCAATTGTTTCGAAAAACCGACGAACGTCCTCATACCCGACTTCATACCAGAATTCCTCGAAGTACTTGCCGCGGTACTGAGTTTGACGCTTGAAATGGAAGCTGTTCGAGCCGTAAAGGACATCCGTCGCTTCGTTGTGAACTGTCTTGCAAGTCCGCAACAGTGCCGACGAGTGACTGAGATTGTAGCGAGCATAAAAATCGATTGGATCATCATCGACCAAGATGCTACCATAAATTCGGTCACGGATCTCGAGGGGCAGGTCCAAGAAGCCGATTTTCTTTCGCTCGGTCTCGGCGATGTCGCTCGTGGAAGAAGGACGATCGCTTTCTGAGGCGAGGGCAGATTGAGCGGGAGAATTCATCACCTCGGCAATGCTTGGGTGATTCACGACCTCATTCAGGTTGACCGCAACAACCACCGACTGGCCGTTTGGGCCAGTGACATTAAAGCTCACAGTCTGATTTTGTGCTTGCTCTGAGGAGGAAGAATTTGCCAATGCCCATGGGGCGAAATCATCTGCTGCTGTAAGAGGAGGCAAACGATCAAGTGGATTGTCATTCAGCGGGGATTTTTCTGGGGCAGAGCCGTAACTCTTGCGGTATTTGAACACTTTTTTGGAACCGATTGACACATGAAGTTCTTCTGTGGCATTTCGCTTCTTAGAGCTGACCTCATCTGTGGGAACGTATTGAGAATGATTCGAGTTGTTGTTAGTCCCCTCATTGCCTTGCAAGGTTTGTGCTAGACCAAGAGCATCCTGGGAGTCGGTCTGAGAGAAAGGGGGGGTGCCTTGATGAGTGCTCGTGGTCGGCGTGCTCATGCTCGGGAGAAGATGATTAAGGATTGGAGTAGTCGTCTCTGAAGGCGCTGAAATTGATGGGCTTTGTGGGAGATTTTCACTGCGCGCCCACTGAGTTGGCAGAGGCTGACCCATTGTGCAAAAAGAGTCCTTTGTCGATGTCGAGAAGATATGAGAGGTCAGGAAAGGGCGGATGGTGAAAGTATTCAATGGGAAAATGTACCTGCGAACAAGAGCAAGACAAGGGAAGAATTGAAAACTTGGTAGAGGTCACGGGGAGGAGCGAATGGGTTACCTTGAGCGCAAAGTCAAGGTGAGGCAGTCGCAACAAAAAGTGTGTGTAAGAAGTAAGAAGTGATCACAACAACGATACATATATACCGATTTCAGTGCCATGTGAGTTCACGCTTTACCTTCGCTGTCCATTGTCGACTGTCAGACTCGTGAGGCGCTTCACCTTCGCCTCCCACCCCATCTTCACTGTCCATTGTCGACGTGCAGACTGGTGATAATGAGACCTTTGTGTAGCACCTTCACCTCGACCTTCACCTCGACCTTCACCTCGACCTTCACCTCGACCTTCACCTCGACCTTCACCTCGACCTTCACCTCGACCTTGACCTTCACTATCCATTGTCGACGTCCAGACTGGGGACGGTCAAGCTTAAGCTGATCATATGAAATAAGACATCGCATGTTCTTCTCGTTGCCATGAGAAATACCAGTCACGTTTTGCATGAATCCAGTCCAGATGAAATTCGTGGTCACACAAAGTGGTCTTGTAGAGGCTTATGATCAAGACAGTCTTTATCACATTGTGAAATCTAGGTTAACTCTGGGAATGACGAGAAGAAGCAGCCCACGGGCTAAGCAGAATGAGCCTCTGTACGGCGTTTAACAACATTGTCCAATCAGTAAATTCAAATTATCCCTTAAATGGTGGTTTTGGACCCGGGATATGACAGCATCGCCCACAGACCTCTGGCCGAAGCCAAAGCGCGAGTGCTGATGACAGACGTAGAGGTGCTCTTCATCTTGGATTTAGTTGTGAAGAGAAGAAGGGAAATAATAAAGAGCAGTTGGTGGGAATTTGACGGATTTGATTACCTTCGGCAGACCTTCCTTATGACGCTCATCACGTGACATTATGATCTTTCCATCTGGCAGACCAGATATCAAGGTCCACACTCACGACACTACTACATATTCATTACTTTACTCCTGGCTACTACAGACTCTCTTGCATCGAAATCTCCATCTGCTTCTTGAGATCTGACGAAACATTCACAAGTCTGTGCCTGTATCAATGAATTATCCACCCTTCTAGAACTATTCCACTGGTCCAAGCACATCCACGAAACGAAGTACCCTCCGTCTGCGATGGGCTGACTTCCTTGTCTTTCGGCCCGTCAAAGAGACCAATTGTAGTCGACCAAAACATACTACCATCAAATGACTGTGGCACCTCTAGATCCAGCTCTGCTTCCTTCGACCTTGCCATCGATTCTATGTAGAGGGGTAACCCCTCTCGATAGACGGACATGCGTGATTTATTGGACCGAGAAGCTTGCAATCTCCAACTCAAGAGTGTGATCAAAGTGTCACATTCGGTATGGCCTCCATTGATGCGTGGATCATCACCAGTAAAGGACGATGCCCCCATTGAAAACACTTTCCAACAACCTTAGTAGGTATGAAGATGACGTACCCAGTGAGATGTATTCAGGGACATGCCATTATCCTGAGCAATCACGCGCCGTTCATTCCGGGCCGAAAAGGTCTGGAGTCAGAGAGCCAATGAGAAACCTAGACCATATGAACACATGCTGAATACCATGAACGGATATAAGCAAGCACTACAGGAACACATTTGATCAAGCATGCTGACGGCTAGCTTCAATATCGCTCTCTCCATCCCTAAGAGTTGATAGAGCAAAGTAGTACCAGGAGTTCTCTCACTTCATATAAATCATGACAGACAAAACTCCCATCGCACAAAAGAGCCATACCGCAAGGCTATGCGAATGGATCGAAAGCGTCAGGCTCCAAGACGTCCCTGGCGAGATACAAATGAGAGCCAAGTACTTGATCCTCGATGGCCTTGCTTGCGCACTTGTTGGCGCTCATTTGCCATGGTCTGAAAAAGCTGCTCAGGCAGTGGTAGATATGGAACCAGAAGGACCGGTGACAATCATCGGCTGGGAAAAGGTAGGCCAGCGGATGGCCCACAGAAGACGAGAGGTTCAACTTGCTGATGTTGCATCGCAGAAAATCAGCCCTATATCAGCAGCGCTGCTAAACAGCACTTTCATCCAGGGGTTTGAATTGGACGATTGGCACAGTGAAGCGCCTCTACACTCCAATTCCATCATCCTGCCTACCCTCTTCGCTGCTGTGGAGCACGTCAGCGAACGGGGCAGCGCCGTGTCGATGTCAGGCAACGACTTTCTGCTCAGTACTATCGTTGGATATGAGGTTGGACCTCGGGTGGGCATTGGTCTCCACGGTGGTCATATACTGACCAAGGGTTGGCACTCAGGAGCGGTGTTTGGGCCTTCTGCTGCCGCAGCATCTGCTTGCAAGCTTCTGCAACTTCCCGAAGACAATATTGAAGATGCTCTAGGTATCGCGTGTACACAAGCATGTGGGCTGATGTCCGCGCAGTACGAGAGCGAAGTCAAACGAATGCAACATGGGTTCGCGGCGAGAAATGGTCTATTCGCAACCCTGCTTGCCCAGCATGGGTATGTGGGTATCAAGAAGGTCTATGACCGCCCCTATGGAGGATTTCTCGCCCAGTTCTCGGCGGGTAATGGGAAATCGCCCCAGTATCTCGTCGAAGAGATCGACAAGGACTTGGGAATTGAATGGAAAACGAATGGGATTCGAGTCAAGCCCCACGCGGCTATGGCCGGCACTCACCCTACCATTGATTGTATTGAAGGTCTTCAGCGAAGGTTTCCAGTCGAGTTAGAAAACTTGCAGGCTATCCAACATATTCGCATCGAGATGGGCGAGGCCATGTACCATCATGGGGGATGGGCAATCGAGACACGTCCTCTGACCGCCACCGGAGCCCAAATGAGCAATGCGTATGTTGGTGCAACACAACTTGTTGACCGCCAAGTGCTGGCCGCTCAGTTTCGCCACGACGCACTGGACAGAGACATGATTTGGAACCTCGTTGGCAAGACGACGTGCGAAAGCAACGACGAGTTCAAGTGGATGCACCAACGTGTTACCATCACCTTGGACAACGGCACTGAACTACAGCATGAGGTTGAGGCTGCCAGAGGGTTCCAGCCGCCAATCTCGAATGATGAGATTGTTGCAAAATGGCGGGACCTCATGAAGGACGTCATTGACCACGACCTAATGGAAGAGATCGAGCAAATTGTTCTCAATATAGAAACTTGCAAAGATGTTGGCTTATTGATAGAGCTCCTGGGGAGACGAACAAGAAATCCACTTGAGTGAGTTGGCAGCTGAAAAGTCTACAGTCTAGCTGCCGATAAATGTAATCTGTGCCTTGATCGGAGCAGATATTTTGTGTAATTGCCTCGTCAGAAGCCGCGTCCAAGAGTCTTCTCACAGGTAGCGAGGAGTAGCCGAAGCAGCCAATCAGAATGCCAGAAGCCAAATCGTAGGGCGGGCTAATTGCAGTGACTTGCCTGGGGAAGGAGCGGACTATGCGCCGCACGGAGACCAGCCCGCACGTGACCCGACGCTGGGATTGTACGACGACTTCAAAGAGCTTCCGCCACCCCTCCAGAGTTTTTGGACTACATGTACTGGTATCAACGCTCAATTCGAGGCTCCATACGTCTTGGGCTCTTTTGCGAGAGTGACACCGTACGTCAAGGCGGTCTAGAACCACGTTGAACTCGATTGTTCAAACCGAAGGTGGAAGAGCCGTACGAACCTCCTCATCTCGGCCATTTGTCCAGATATCAAGCCCCAACTTCATCAACATTCCTTATCATCGTCCATCATGGCAGGTGCAAATACTACCACAAGACTTTTCTCATCGTTGAAGTCCGCGAGGTCGCCAATATGTCTCTCGTGCAGAGTACCCATCCGCTCCATCTCAACGTCAAGGGCAATGGCTTCACCTCAGTCTGAGGTACAGAACAAGGTATCTTGGCCCACCAGTAACCATTCTCGAATGCATATTGATGACCTGTTCAGCTACTCGGCGACCACCTGCGAGAAGCAGACCCAGAAATTTACCAGATTCTGCAGAAGGTACCTCGCCCACTTCATGCTCTCGAACAGGCACTGACTCCAACCAGGAAATCAAACGACAAAAGCATTTTATCAATTTGATCCCTTCCGAGAATTTTACGTCTCAAGCAGTCCTCGACGCTCTGGGTAGCGTAATGCAAAGTATGACAGCTCATAATCCTCATTCCCAAAATCGTTGGCCTCTAACCACCACTCCATAGACAAATACTCTGAAGGCTACCCTGGTGCGCGTTATTACGGTGGAAATGAGCACATCGACGCCTCCGAACGTTTATGTCAGAAGCGAGCTTTGCAGACATATCGTCTCGATCCCGAAGAATGGGGAGTCAATGTTCAACGTGAGCCAGACAATAAAATCCCTATCGACAGTTCTAACATTCGATAGCATTGTCGGGCTCCCCGGCCAATCTCTACGCCTACTCTGCTCTGCTCAACACTCATGAGAGGATCATGGGTCTAGACCTGCCACACGGCGGCCACTTATCCCACGGCTACCAGACTCCGACCAAGAAAATCTCTATGATCTCCAAGTACTTTGAGACCTTCCCTTACCGTCTGGACGAGTCCACTGGATTGATTGACTACGCCAAGTTGAGAGAAAATGCTCTTCTATATCGTCCCAAGATCATCATTGCCGGGACATCCGCATATAGCCGACTGATCGACTACAAACAATTCCGGGCTATTGCTGATGAAGTCGGCGCATACCTTCTGTCGGATATGGCACATATTTCCGGTCTTGTCGCTGCGGACGTCATTCCCTCTCCTTTTGAATATTCCGACGTTGTGACGACCACCACCCATAAATCACTTCGTGGGCCACGCGGCGCCATGATCTTCTACCGGAAAGGCGTCCGCCGTGTCAATAAGAAGGGAGAAAAAGAATTTTATGACCTTGAAGGGCCCATCAACTCCTCAGTGTTCCCTGGACACCAAGGTGGCCCCCACAACCACACCATTACCGCTCTTGCTGTGGCCCTGAAACAAGCTCAGAGCAGTGAATTCAAGGAATACCAAAAGACCGTTCTCACGAATGCCAAGGCACTGTCAGACCGACTTGGTAGTGGATCCTCGTCCAGTGGGCTAGGCTACAACATTGTCTCTGGTGGCACCGACAACCACCTTGTCCTGGTGGATTTGAAATCCAAAGGCATCGATGGAGCTCGTGTCGAGCGGGTCCTAGAACTATGCGGTGTGGCCGCCAACAAGAACACAGTGCCTGGTGACAAGTCAGCGCTCAAGCCCGGCGGATTGCGTATGGGCTCGCCGGCGATGACAACTCGAGGCTTTCAAGCCTCTGACTTTACTCGTGTGGCCGAAATCGTGGATCGTGCCGTGTCAATCGCGCTCAAGGTGGACAAGCTGGCCAAGGATGATGCCCAAGCCCAAGGCAAGAAGAATCCAGCTGCGGTCAAGGTCTTCACAGAATATCTCAAAGACGGCACCGATGTGCCAGACATTCTCACCCTCAGACAGGAGGTCGAGGACTGGGTGGGAACCTTTGCCGAGCCATGGATCAAGGAGTAGGGCTTGGGTTGCATGCATATGCTTGCGGAGAAGAATGGAAAGCCGCCACGCTCCTTGATCCCCCACCAACGTAGTGGTATGATGAGGTAGCTACCGCCGGTTGCATACCACTGCTGTCGCCTGACGACTCGGGGTTCAGAAGAAGACGAAGCTAAAAATGTAACATCTGGAAGAATCGTGTACTATCGTCTTGTTTATTTCAAGTGACTACATGATATTCCCGCGTAGGAAATGATTCCCCCTTTATTCCATCAAATGGTTTCCCTTTCATGGCCATGCAAATGCATACCAAAGCCTTGCCCTCAAGTCTCAGGATTCAGTGCTCAATGCTCAATATCGTCCCAACTACGGCCCTGGACGGCGCCCAATTCCTCCACAGTCATGACCTTACCCGTTGTAAAGTATCCAGCGTGAATCTTGGCATCGATCTCGACTCGAGAATCCTCGGGGATCATTTCATCGGGGATAGGCACGCGTTCGTGGATGGGAATACCCTGTTCGACAATAGCGTCGTGCTTCATGTTGGACATACTCAGCATACGGTCAATCTTTTGAATGCCGAGCCAGTGCAAGATATCAGGCATCAGGGCCTGGAATCGCATGTCTTTGACGCCCGCAATATTCTCTGTGCGCTTGAAATATTCGCTTGCTTTATCGGCTCCACGCTTGCGAGCGTTGTACACCAGATACTTGGTCACTTCACCCAGGGCGCGACCTTCCTTACGGAAGTAGATCACCACCCCGGATCCTCCGTTCTGTGCTTCCTTGACGGCCTCTTCAATGCCAAAGATCAGATATGGTCGACAGGTGCAGATGTCAGACCCAAAGACATCACTACCATTACATTCGTCGTGGACGCGTAGAGCAAGACGGACGTTGGGATTGGACATCTTAGCGGGGTCGCCGAAGCAGTAGACTGTCAAACCGCCGATTGGAGGCATAAAGACCTTGATGTCGTTCCGGGTGATCAGCTCAGGATATGACCCACCAGTGTGCTCGAACAGAGCGCGACGAAGCGCGGCCTCCTCGATCCCAAATCGCTCAGCCACTCCTGGAAGATACCAGACAGGCTCGACAGCGAATTTGGTCACGTTCAATTCTCCAGATTCGTTAAGACAGATTTTTCCATCCGGCTTGAGGCGGCCAGCCTTGACTGATTGTTCAAGTTCGGGAATCTTCATGTGTGCTCTGGTGACTGCAATGGTAGGTCGAATGTCGACGTCTTGTCCTTGGATGTTATCTTTGTACAGCCAGGGAGCCAGATGGCCAAATGGATCCATGGCCACTATCTTCTTTCCATCGCCCCAGGAAGGAAAGGGGCCAATAGATACAGCTGGCTCGGTATTGGTAAAGTCCGGCTTATGCTCGAGATCGAGGTTGTTGCTGGCAACGGCCAAAGCATGGTAGATGGAATACGAACCTCCGTGAGCGCCAATTGCATTCCTTCTTCGGATGGTGTTCTGATGTCTGCTGACGACCACTGGGCCTCTCAGAAGAGGATCTGATAAACCCCATTCAAGTGGTATGGGATCGATTCCTGACTGACCAGGATAAGTAGTCAGGATGATTCGAGAGGTGATGGAAGTCTTCCTCGCATGTGGAGACGACGGTGCTCGAGGAGCAAGGACTGTTGACTCTTGTGGAGGTGATGCAGCGCCATTCGCAGACTTTGCCAGCTGTGCGGGATCCAGGCTTGGGGATTCTTTGACTCTGTTCCTGCCGGAAGTTCCGGTCCCTCCACGTAGCTCATTGACGGTGCTGGAGACATCCACTCTGCTCTGCAAGCTCTCGACGCTGGCGGCTAGAAGAGCATGATCTTTTTGCATTGTCTTGAGGGTAGACAGAATCTCAATGAGTGTGTTGCCAAGAACTGCATTGCTCTCTAGAGCTTGCTGGGTGGTAGACATGGTGGTGGTTGTGGTGGTGGTGTTGGTGTTGTTGATGACGCTGATAATGATGCCAAATGTGTCTGGTTGAAGGATATAATATTGTGTAGAGAGCTGGGAATATGGTCTGCTGACGTTAGACAAAGATAGGAAGCAGTCAAGCCTGTAACAATTCAATGAAACAAAGGAATCTGCATACAAGAAAGACTTTGGACAGCAAATTGAATAGTATGGGTTTGAATGACGTTTCTCTTGCTGCCACGGTCGTATTGTCGAGGGGCACAGATGAGTTGGGGTTGCTGCCTATTGGCTCTTGGTTATCGGGGTTGGCCGCTTCGATAAGAGGGGCCTTTGGTTTCCTGGGGTGCCGCCTATGCCTGGCAGAGCACAGTGGGCACCCACGCAGCCCGGGGTTGATGGAATGGTACCTAGCGGGGATAAGCACCAGGGGCACCAGGCTTGGAGGATTCAATCGTCCACCAAAGAGTCTTCTCCAGGGCCAGATTGGGCCACTCGGGCTTGAGAAGGCACTAAAATAAAAGCTAATCCAGGCGACAAAGAGCTCTCTGGTTCTGCAAACAATTGCCCCTCATTGCTGATTGCCGTCCACCCTCCAAGCACTGGCACGTGAGGTGACATTAATTAAATTCACCATCTTTGACTGCGCGTTGATTCTCCACAGACCACCTTTCATTCATCCCATCCTATCCCATCACGATCCTCAGTTCTTGAGCCTGTTCAACGCATCTTGGGTTTCATTTGGAACTTCAATTCTTTGTCTATATCCCATTAGAAACCGTCCAACCTACACTGCAATCATGGTAAGTTCCAATTCAACACTCTCCTCGGCAGAGCTCTAATTCGTCTTCACAGGGCAAGAGGAAAAGCAAGGCGACCAAACCGGCTGGACCCAAAAAGGTGGGTGAATCTTTTATGTTTTGTTCTTGCAACGCGTGCTAACAACTCTCAGCGAGAACCTCTGGCGGTCAACTTCACATGCCTGTTCTGTAACCACGAAAAGGCCATCCAAGTCAAACTCGATAAGAAAGCCGGCGTTGGCAATCTCCATTGCAAAGTATGTGGTCAAAGATTCCAGACAGGCATCAACTACTTGTCTGCCGCCGTGGATGTCTATTCGGACTGGATCGACGCGTGTGAAAACGTGGCGCAAGAGGCAGCGGCCCAAGAAGCAGAAGATGACAGAAAATTCAGTGATTATGCTACAGCAAGGACAAGTCGACCTGCCGCGGCGGGAGGTGGCGAAGAAGGAGACGAAGATGGCGCATACGATGAAGACTATTGACAGGCGGCAATAATGGTGGTTTGCAGTCTCCCACGATTCTGAATGCGCCCTACCAATATACATTCATGAATGATGAGCCTGCACTCTCATGGCCATCAAGCCCCCTTGAGATATACAGGGTTGGGCAGTTCCGATCCATTCACGGAGTCTTCTTCTGCCATCTCACACGCCTGCACGACGAAGTTTACACCCAACCATGAGGCAGCCATGAGGCCACGCCAAATTGGACCCCTGGCGCGAAAAAATCTTACCAATCCTGTGTGAGAAGAGACGCTTCGTTATGCCCACAGGATGAACCTGATTGTCGGCTTTGGCACAAAGTCCATCCTACCTTTGCAAACGCGGAATTGAAATCAGAGTCGACGATGGGAAGACTTGCGCCCCTTAGCTCACTAGCGTGGAGTTGCCCATGTTTTCCTGCGACCTACGCCTTGAAGTCCTTTGCCGATGCAACTTCTTGGAGGCACACAGGGAAGGGTGTACGATGATTCTTCCTACGGGCTCCGGGATTTGGTGAAAAGAATTGAAACGGCATGCAGGTAAAACATTCCACGCGAATTCCGAGTTAAAAGATTTTGGGACAGTCAACACATACCTGTCATCATGACAGAAGTGTCAAGGACTCCCGTTGAGGAGGACATGCTTGGAAATCACATGCCCGAAAATCGTCCACGACTGCTTCGTTTGGGCGCCATGTGCCAGGATGTGATGTCTCGATTTGAAGGCCAATTTCTCTGTTACGACACAGAAGTAGACTCTTCATGCTAGAAGGCTATTACTGTGGAAACGCACGGCGAGAAAACGGAGATGAAAGCATGTGGATACATACAATAGCTACAAGGCTCACTATTTAAAACCACGATTCATGCCGCAGGAGCCCTCAATAAGACCCTGAATTCAATATGTCTACACTAGAGTCTAGATGCCTTCAGGTTCAAACAAAGTCCAGGCCACTTTTAGTCAATGTTCCAACGCCCAACCGGTGAATCGAACGATATTGACGGCAAGTAACGTTGAGAGGCTCGGCTCATTCGGCTCTTTGCGTCTCGATGCTCGAGTGCACGCTCAACATCAAAGAGGTAGGCTCAGAGGTAGGTCTCCAGCTCCTTAAACAACGGTACTGGTCTGGAATTGGTGACATTGTCTCAACCTCAAACAAGTGCTGGTTGTTTTGCCGAGGGAAATGGTGACTCCCAGATGGTTCCCAGAATTCCCAGAATCGTAGGAACCAGAAACTTGTCTTCTTCACTGAGGAAAAACCATGGTGCAACGTACAAAGAACCTTACCTATGAGATGCCCGCGGATCCACGCATGTCTTGCGCAATACACTTTCCATCCCTCTCGTTCTGCGAAGCCTCAGTAAGAATCGCTCTTTTTCCTCTTCAAGGCCGCTGTAGTTCGCGTTAGCCATCACAGCAAGCACAATCGCCCCGATCGCCGACTCAATAGCTGTTGTAAACGAAGATCCGCTCCGATAGACGACTTGTAGCGAACTATATGAATCCGGCTGGCAAGACGGACACTTTCACCCAATGTGCAAATCCGCCAGTCATGATGAACTTCAGGGTTGAAGCTAGATTGGCCGCCATAGTCGTTAGAGGAACTGATGCAGATAACGTCGCCGCTTTTGTACAGGTCTACGGGCCAACACACGCCTTGGTTGCCGCCTTGGTTGCCGCCTTGGTTGCCAGCGGCGGCGAAGATGACGACGCCGTTGCTGCGCGCGGTACGGATCGCTTGGTGCATTTCCCCTAATTCTGTCGTGTATGTGGGAAAGTCGAAGGACAGATGGATGATGTCAGTGAGCGTGAAGCAAGGAAGAACAGCAATGAACAACCTCAGTCGGCGCTTCAATGGACCACTTTGCAGCTGTTGGTTGGCGCCGGCAGCACGTAGACTCTCGAAGGATCCTGCCATGACGAGGATGGGCACCACATCTCATTCGGAGCGCAAATGCGAGCTTGACAGTTTTCGTAAGGGTATTGGTGGTTCTTCATGACATTGTTGTCTAGGTTGGCCTGACGAGTTGATAGCCAAAGGACTGCGGAGTTGGACTCCAGGTTGCAACTGCCTGCCTCGTGCCTGCCACAACATGCTCAACTTGGCTTATGAGAAGTTCCCCTCGTTGGTAGAAGTGTCCATCCTAACTGGCAACTCAATCGGTGCGGGAGGCATCTGCAAAAGATCAGATTCTCGTCACTTACAGTCAATTCAAGCTTTGGAATCCATCTGTGCTTTGATCCAAACACTTTCACTGTACTCCGTACTCCGTATGCAAGCACCGCCGCTTAGTTCACCATCGTCCCTGCGCCAAACGGCCCGACCCAGAGTCCCACTTATGCTGAGACCAAGTATCCGTAGCTTACTCGTACACTGCTAACTGCCTCGTCCTTCCTCATTCGAAACTCTACTTAGCACGTTTGCTTCAAGACCAGGGAGCTGGTTATTAAGCAGAGCTGCTAGGTGGGTGAGCGATGGTAGCGTACATTAACACACCCAATATAATGCACCCGGATATACTTGCGTGCATGAGCAACCTAACTTAGTACGTCTGCTCCCAGAGCGGGGACAGCATTATGAAGTGGAGCGGCTAGCTAGGCGAGTGTTGGCAGGGTATATGAAAACACGCGGTTCAGAACACCTGGATACACTTTCGAGCATGAGCAACCTAGTAATGACGCTCCAATGGCTGAGGCCATACAAAGAGGCCGAAGAGATAGGTAGGCGAGTGCTAAGAGGGTATGAGATCCTGCTTGGGGGGAGCATCCAGAGACACTGGAGAGCATGAGGAACCTAGCACGCGTGAAGATGGGCATTCGCAGGGATGATGACGCAGAGAAGCTATGCAGGCGAGCGCTGCAAGGATATAAAATGGTGCTTGGTACAGAGCACCCAGATACACTTCGGTGCATGAGCAGCCTAGCACTCGTGCTGCGCGTCAATCAGTCTCCTGGAGAAGGAGAGGGAAAAGGTGAGGAAGCGAAGGTGCTGGTAAGGGAAGTACTGCGGGTGTCCTTAGAGAAGTTTGGTGAAAAGGACCCATTTCCGCTCACGGCCATGGAAAGTCAACCAACTGCCCTGGATGTTTGGGGAAAGAGTGTGAATACTTGCGGAGAAATCAGCGCACTTATGCGAGCAGTGGACACAAAAGGAGGCGATGAAAGTTGGGTATATGGTGGGACATGGGGAGGCGAGTGAGCAGAGGAAACAAGAGGAGATGATGAATGAGAGTTGGTTAGGGAGCAACCAGATGGACAAGAGGCAAATGTAAACAGAAGACGATGAAAGTTGTTTAGAGAGCGACATGCGATCCTATGAAGGCATGACGAAGTTGAACAGGAATTTATTATGCAAATACATAGTGATGGAAGCCCTTTCGTAGACGCTGGGAGCCGACTACCAGACATGCGGACCAGCGTGGCCACTCTGGCGCGGACGTCCTGGAATCAAGGGGGGCGGACGCAGTGACACACCTTACGAGCATATGTGTACTCGTACAATGTTGGCAGCGCGTTCTCGGTGCCAGTCATCCTCGCTTGTTCGATTCTTCCGAAGTGCTGGCGAGGTGGGAAGCGGAAGAGGGAGGGATTATTGAACAACAATGAGAGAGAGGAATGGCGTTCTTGCGAAATGACTGAACAAGAAGATTGCAAGTACGTATCTCTGTTTCAAAAAGTTTGGCGACCCGAAGATTACCAGTGGAAGGATGTTGGGCATGAAGGGCGGATTCCCCACACTTGTGTGATGGTCGAGTAGGAAATCAACAATGTGTGAAATAAAATAATTGTCCAGAAACGTGGATAATAATAATGGGCATTGATTGTCAAAAGTCAAGATGCGGATCTCTGGTCCAACACCTGGATTAGGCTCCGGTCCGGACTCATGCACATGTGATCTGCATATCAAGGGATAGGCATGGGAGGCTGTTCCGAGAAGGTGCCGGCATATCTTGAATCAACGTCAGCCAATCGTCCGGTCCAAGTGAAGAAGATCCGAAACAGGGCGTTGAGACATCCCTGGTAATCATGACCATAATCTGCGATGATGTCTGGCAGCGAAAAGGTCCGCTTCCAGAATGGAGCGTTGATTCGACCTTCTGATAACCGAGACAGCACTTGGTCTGACTTTGCAATCCGGAATACGAAGCAGGTACTAGGTACCGACGTACCACAAGGTCATGATCTGGTCTAGAGTACTTTCCTCCTGTACGAATACATGGGAACAAAACCAGGGTGGACGTTTGATCGTGCATCCGCCGATCGATGCGAGATCATGGCCGGAAAATAATGCTGCAACTTAGGCAGGAAAGGATAGGATAGTGCAGGGCACTGGAGCGAATGTAGCGCGGTACTTTGCGTTGCGTTGCGTTGCGGTGCAGTGCATGGCAGTACGATGGTGCTGGGTGCCGTGCGTGCTTCAAGGCTGGTGTTTGGGGCCAACGAGGCGAAAGGCTGAATATCGCATGACCATCGACTACCACAAACCCTTTTCCTACCTAATACAGTTGGTACATTGATGAATGTGAGGGCGGCAATGGCGGTCAATTCCACCCAGAGGCGTGGGAGCTGCAGTACGACATGAAAATCCATCAAAGCTGGTGCCTTGGCAGCCTGGATAAGCCTGGCACGCGTGGATGAAGGACCCAAGGGAGGGACGTTGAACCAGCGAGGCCAAGTTGCCAGTTGGACAGGCGTCAGTAACGGGGCGTTTTGGTTCGGGGTGACCTGATTGCTTGGGTGCCAGGTGCCTGTACGGAGTAGTGCCGAAAAGTGACAAGGAGGAAGGAATGTGGGCTCACGGGGGCTGTCGTGGCTGTCATGGCTGTCTCGGGGCCCACAGAAGGAAAGGACAATCGAAGTACGGAGTAGTAAGTAGGTGAGTAGGCACGACTGGCACAGAAGGTACGAGTTCTCAAGGTACTCACTCGTGGTCAGCTTCGGTAGACAAGGAATTCAATGTTGTCAGATTCAGGAAAGAAAGCCACAAAGCCAGAAAGCCATCAGTGCCATCCTCCGCAAGTTGCAACCTCCGTCCCCCCCGCCTCCTGGAATGCTAGGCTTGGATTTTTTTTGGCTTGGGCTCACAGAGACACAGCTCTTCTACTACTGTACAGCCTCACGAGGTCAGACCCGTGCAACGTTGGGGGACGAGCTGGGGGAGACGGATCGACTAATCGTGGGCGTGATTGGCATGATTCACGTCTGGCCTGGACGACCGCTCGGGGCGGGGTTATACTTTGTGGATTGGCTCATGCTTGGATCCACAAATCAGGACTTGCCAACGCATCAAAAATGTCGGATTCGATTCGGAAGTCTACCAAGTCCACAAGCGACGGCTAGACGACAAAACACTCTTCGGCCTACCACAAGCTGACAAGTTGGTCTTGGAAATGCAACTGTCCCTCGCCCAGTCATGATGCGACTTCAAACCAGGCAAAATTAGGGGAGTTGAGGGTCTCAAGATCCCAACCACCATCAGTGGCCCAGTCAGGATTCATCCAAAGCCGTGATTTTATGGGACCAGGTTCACGTAAAGCTGTAAAACGGCTGGCAAATGGTAACGTTGGGTACAGAACCCAAGGCCATGTCCGACACGCACATTATACCGTCTAAAGGGAGACCGGTAACTGCGATCCAGTACTCGTACATACGATTATGCACAGGAGCTAGATAGTCTTTAGGCAAGGAGCCCGTGCTTCCCCGGTCACCTCAGGTCACCACAATGTAATTTTATGTCTTCCAAAAGCATGTGCCGTATGCGGACACACCTGACCTGATGATAAGCCGATCTGGTGGAGTCCGGTTACAACGGGCCTCGGGCATCGTTGAGACATACAGTCCCCTGCGCAAGACCACTTTGTTTGCATATGCAAGACGCTCCCGCCGTCAACAAAGCCAGGAGATGACAAGGCTGCGGATCGGGCGAGAGTTGCAAATGGATGCAAAATTGCCAGTCAAGCTTCCCCAAGTTTGCATTGGACAGGCGGGCAGCGCCGGGAACTACCACATCCTGTGGCCTGAGACAGGTGTCGTCGATCCCGCGGCAGTCCCCACGGGAGCGGGACAGGCAGGAGAGTGTGCAGATTCAGTCCAATGGCTTCGACCTGCAATGCGACCTTAAACATGATAGCCGCTCGCTGCATTGCATTGCGGCGCTGGGCGGCGTGGGCGGCTGTGATCGGCCCTGCGTCCTGCGATGCACACTCCAGCACGTCTGCGTCTACCACGCTGAAAGATCTCGACGTCCAGATTCTGTCTGACCTGCGGGATCGACGTGCTTGCAGCTGGATATGGGAAACTCCAAAAAGCTAATATGACCTACTCATCCTCGTCCATTCAACAGGTAAGATCATGCGGTAATGAACGCCAATAATTGATTCCATGGCAGAAGAAAAGCCCATGATGCTACACCGCTCCCCTTGTGACACCACTACCGACTTTGTTGGGGGGATAACCGAGAGTGGCGCCTCGTACTCAAATGCCCTGGAAGGCTGGAAGACAGGCTTTGACAACCCCAGCCCTGGATCCTTCCAAAGGCCACTGCACTACGTATTCGCATCCGCATATGTCTAGTACTGCACGTATAGCATACATACTTACCTACTTACCCAGACCAGATGTTCAAGTATTGAACTCCTTACTAGTAAGGACTGTGAATGCAGACAAAAGGGCGCCAGAACGCGTCACACGTGCCAAAGACGGCCTTGGACACACTGGTCCAAGCGGGGGTCAATAACCCCAAGAACCACCAAATACAAAGAGGTTCATGACGCGCAGCAGCCGATGCATGGCTCCCTATCTGAAACTCGTGGTGCTTGTCACCAGTTGGCACTTGCCAGCCACGCGCGCTTGAGACCTTTTAGCAATCAGAATGATGCCATATGTCGGGTAAGAAATTGAATCGATCCTGGCGACGAGTCCCCTGCTTCCAGCCTCCAACCAACTCGAAAGAGAAAGACCCCAGACCTCGAGCTCCTCGCGCTTGCCCAGCTTTGTTTAGCGTTAGACCTAAACCATCCTTGCTTCGAAGGCTTCTGTGATGTTCGGAAAGCCCGCGCCAGATCATACTTTTTAATTGCCGCCTAAACCTAACTAAGCCCTTGTGGTACGCCCAAAGGGGCCTCTGTGCCCCCAGAGCTACTTGTAGGCGGCCCTTAGGTAGCTGCTTTCCGGCTATGACAAAAGTCCACCCTCCGTACTAAGGTACCTAAGGTACTTACCTATCTTATTAGGTACCTACCTACAGAGTAAGGTAACTGTACATTCTCCTCGTCCCCTTAGATGGTCAGCCTGAACGGGTTATTCCAACGGGTAGAGGACAAGCGTCTGATTGCAGGTGCTTTTCTTCTAAGCGTACCTAGTTACTACTACCTACTTAGGTAGTATGGAAATGGCAATCCATTCCTCTGAAGTGGCGTCCCCCCAACATCAGTGTCAGAATCTTCTTGATGCCATGACTACGGAATATGGCTTGTCAAGCCCACACGCGGCTTCAGCCAAAATGTCAACGACATCTTCTTCTAGTTGACTGGCCAGATTTGGGGGTCAGGAAGACTCTAGCGCCTGGCCACCATCAAAAGATGCAATTTCTGACCACGTACTACTATCCAGAACTAGCAGTTGACATTTGTCCTGAGATCTACACGCGTCCGCACCATTGTTGTTGCCGGAATCGCTCTTGAGAGTTGTTTGGACGACATGGCGAACGACGGCAAGTCTGTTAGCCACCTTGGCGAAGGAGGGAAGAAGGTCCAGCCGGCGACCAGGATCCCCGGTTGATTCGTGATAGTTGTAACTTATCACCCAATGCCCCTCACTCACTGGTCGAGACTCGGTCTAGCCTCGACCAGTCCGTCCCGAATCAAGCATGTCACCGACGGGAAAAGGCTAACGAGGATGTGCGATTGTCGTTCCTACTCTGTACGGAGTACTGTACGCTATCCCCATGTCTTCCAGTTGCATTTGGTGTTTGGTGTCACCTCGAAAATATTCCGACCTTGTCCTACAAGGTCGTGATTCAGGCGCCGTCCAAATCGCAAGACTGGCCTGAATACTTACCTTGACTGTGGTCACTCGTCAGCCATGACCTGAAAGATACAGAGGCGATGTGGCTGGATCATGGCACCAGACCTAACGTGACACTTGCGTGCCGGACAAAAGTCGAGTAGTAATTCAATCCTAGCAGAGGCGAGCGAGATATGGAGCAGATCAAGGCCCGCGTAGTTCTAATCCACTCCTGGAGATATGGAGAAGGAATGGTACGCATACCGTCACTCGCGAAAACCATCCTCACCAGTCCGCAATCGTCCAAGGTTTTTTTCTGGCAAGGACCGAGGAGCGAGGATGTGTGTCTCAAAAGAATGTGTGGGCTTCCTCGCTTCTTTCCTCGGAGGGCCGTTGGAGCCCTGGTGGTTGGGGGCTGGATCCTGATAAGACATTGATAGGCATCGGCGGTACGGGAGGATTTAGTTAAGCTGGGTGGCTAGTCAGGCTTTGTGGCTTGGAACAGCGCCCAATTGGCTGCCACTTGGTGCTCAGCAGTGGGCCAAAGGCCAACCGTAGGGGCTGGGCTGGGGCGGTGGGAAGGTTGAAAGTTTGGCGACGCCATGGTTCTTTTTTCGCAATGGCCTTTGCAGGTCCGGTTTGAGCCTAGGACACCTTGGGAGACCCAGAGACCCTGACAGATCCCACCCGCCCACTCGCCCACTCGCCCACTCCCAGCAACCCAAACAACGAACCTGGTACTCCATGACCAAGAGAACAACATGCCCGGACAGAGTCGTTGATCTCTTTTCGGACCTTCCCTGGTCCGCATCGTTGTTTCCTGGCTCAACGCCTACGCCTCGTTAAATTCCAACAGTTATCTTGACACAAGTTCGGCTTACCCGACCATGCCAATTCACCAAGGATGAGGTTAGGGAGCCACGGTAGCTAGACCATGGACCCAGAAACAAGTCAGAGGCTTGCGGGCTTGTCCAGGAGTGTGGCCGAAAGTCCTGCCTCCTTGCCATCAGCACAACCGCCGTCCTCCGACTCCTCTGACTAGCCCCGACTTACTTGCCTACCAAGCCATTGCTAGGCGTTAAGGCCGTGCTGTATCGTTTGCACACTGGGATTCAGTTTTCCCTGGTCTACCCTTGTCCGTAGGCCCAAAGTCCGTGACCTCCACATCCCGCACAACATTCTCTTCCCCATGCTCTTCATTGTCTATCCCGTCCTGCTCCCTTGACCGACGAGTAATGTTGAGTCCAGCAGTCTTACCAATACTACCACTACCGTACGTACACAATGTCATAGTCATCGTAGATCGCTCTTGGGCTTCTCGCCATCAGAGCATGTGGTAAACCACATACCGTGCGATTGAAACTCTGCAAAACTCAAGAGCTTGCCGCATGGGGGGCCCCCAAGAAGAATCCCAGCCATTCATGATACGATTGGAAGTCTGCGCCTGGCCGTGGTAGGAGCCCGTGGGTCCCGTTGACTCTTTCGTGGCTCGTAACTCGACGAATTGCGGCACGCTGGGGATCGCATCGCCGTGGGCGGTGGGTAGTGTTGGCGGCCAGTGGATGGCTGAAAGGGCTGGTGGGTTGGCCTGGTGGGTAATCCCTCGGACCCAGTCTCTATCCTCTCTCAAGGCTTAAGCGGCTTCTTCTGGCTTTCTACCTCTGTGCTCTAATGCACCCTCTTCCTGTTCCCGCTCGGCTACTGCGCACCGTTCTCCCACCTTGCCTGCATTCCTGCATCTCTGCTCAACCTCGTTGCCTCTTTCTCCAGATCTTCGTTGACCTTGTGCGTCTGTCTCCAATCCTATCGTCCACGGCACATCATCAGGCACTCAGACTATGGCCTAGAGTGCGCGTCACCACGTTGTTGATTTCTGGTTGCTTTACTGACGTCTTTCTACCTTACAGGTACGTACCACTTGCAGCTCCTCGCACTGGGAGCCGTTCAGAGTTGAAACTTCCAATGGCCTGTCCACATCTTTGTGACTGGCACCTCCTCCCTTCGTGCTGATCCCAACGCACCTTCCCCATGTCTGCGTCTTGCGAAGAGAAAAAAAATCAATGCTAATATTCAATGCTGATAGTTGGCGGGCTATCGACGATTCTCTCCATTGTCGACTTTTTCCTGCGCAGCTCAGGCGATCGGTTCAGGACCCCCAGCAGAATACAGAGATATCAAGCTCAACGAAACGTTGATAGACTTGTTTCTGCCTTTGAGCCTGTCCCGATACGGTTTATGATTCTCTCTCAATATCGACAGACACCTCTTAGCTGAGCAGCCTGTTTGATTGAACATAGACTCCTTCCGACCTCCCAACGCCCAGGTCTCACGAAATCCCAAAGCAACAGAAGCAACAGCCTGTACATTGTGTGCCTGTGTGCTCCAGCTTGTCTAGCCTCTCAAGTTCCGCAGGGTACATAAGGTTCAATTCTGCTATACCTTGCCAGGTCCAGAACCAGCCGGACCTCTGAAGCAAGACTTATTAATTTTGCTCGGTGGAGATCGTCGAATTATTGGGCAGTGGCTTGCAGCAGCTTGAAAAGGCGGATCGACAAAGTGAAGAGCACGATTGCAAGGCTTCTCAAGGCGGCATTGTCCTTTCTTCCTGGCACCTTGCTAGTCCACCACCGGTTGCCAATCTCGCTCAGCAACTTCGGAATCGAACTATCCTCACGTCAAGATGAATCAGACACAGTCTTACATGGACATGCACCCCGGGTCACACATATCGTCTGGTCCGTCATATTCGCATTCCGCACCCGCTCCGATAGGTCATTATCAGCAGTATCAACAGCCACCTGTCATTCCTCCGGCTTCGCAACATTATGGCCAACCTCAGACATACGGCAGCTATGCCTACACCAACGGCGTGACCTCTCCGCAGTCTACCAACGGGCCCGTTGGACAGCAGATCCAACCACAAAACCTGTCCCTTCCTGGTAGGTACTCTTCAAGAATGCCCATGACGACCGGAACTGACCGCTTCCCAGCTATGATTACTCCAAGCCCACAGCACTATTCTTTGCCCCAGACTCCTAATATACCCACTCCAAGTCAAGCTTACCCACAGCCCTCAACCTTTGATACTACGGGACAGGTTGCTCCTCCAGGGTCGAAACCACGTGTCACGGCCACTCTGTGGGAAGATGAGGGCAGTCTCTGTTTCCAGGTGGAGGCGAGGGGTGTTTGTGTAGCACGTCGCGAAGGTACGTTTGTGATTTTCAGTTATTGATCTCCCTGGCTCACTCATCTAGACAATCATTTCATCAACGGTACCAAACTTCTCAACGTTGCTGGCATGACTCGAGGCCGCCGTGATGGTATTCTCAAGGCAGAGAAGACACGCCATGTGGTCAAGATTGGCCCTATGCATTTGAAGGGTGTTTGGTACGTTTCCAACTCCCTACTCCTTCATACATACTGACCCGCTCAGGATCCCATTCGAACGTGCTCTCGACTTCGCCAATAAGGAGAAGATAACGGATCAACTGTATCCGCTCTTCGTTCACAACATTGGTGGCTTACTGTATAACCCAGAGAATGCTCCACGAACCAATGCTGTTGCTGCCTCAGCAGCTGAGAGACGCCGGTTGGATAGTGTGGATGCTGGTCGCCCGGCTCAAGCTGCGCAGACGCCTTCACTTCACCATCATCATTCAATGCAAGGCGGAGCGCAAGGGCCTCCCACGCCACATTCCATCGCTCCACATCCTAATGCTGGACGGCCTGGGATCGATCGTGCGCACACCTTTCCTACTCCCCCAACTAGCGCCTCCAGCGTCATGGGTATGAGTAACCAAGGAACCTCCTATGACTGGGGCAATCAGAATATTTCGAATGGAGCGACCGGCCCGCAGCCTCTGTCCATTGATACTGGCATCAATGCTCGATCCATGCCAACTACTCCAGCAACTACACCACCAGGAAACGGAACTCAGGGAATGCAACAGTATCAAACTCAGGCTGGTTACGATTCCAAGCATTACTACAGTACTACGCCGAGTTCACAGACGGGTTTTGCTCAACACCCAGATGGGAGTCGATATGGCCATTCAATGCCCCCGGCCGGCTATGGCAAGTCCGATATGGGACCCCCAACCGCCCCAGGTAACGCAGGTGCGGCTGGTGATGGGCATGACCACAAACCTGATGCGTATTCACATGTCACTGCTCAAGGCCACCCTGCTCAGCATGAGAATGATCATTCTGACAGTGGCTATATGAGCGCCACTGCTTCAGGATACACCTCCAATCGTAGTCAATATGGATATTCTACTGCGCCTGAACACTCTCATTTGTCACCCGAGCTTTCTGGCTCTCCCCACCAGAACGGGTCCGGTCATGCTACCCCTCGAACGCTACCTCCAGGCCAGCCTCAATGGACCCCAGACTACCACACTCCACCTCGACCTGGCTCAAGCAATCTGTATAGCGTCATGGGATCTCGAACCCCAGTGGGCACTGGACCTGCGGATGGCTACCCAGCATATCCCAACGCCGGACACCCGGCCACGCTAACTTCTGCAAAACGAGGAAGAGAAGATGATGACCAAGATCGCCCAGGGAGCCGAGATTACGATGGCTATGACTCGAAGCGACGAAAGCTGGGACGCCCAGAAGCGTTCGGGATGCCTCTCAATTCGACCGCCCACATGCAAGCCATCAAAACTGGAGGGCAGCGATGAACTACTGCTGTTCGTCCCTTTTGAGCCGACTTTGTCTGTGCGCTAGGGATCGGGAAGTGGGGACCACATTTCCATCGACAATTAACGATACCGCCACATGACTTATTCAAAAGCAATTACGACATTACGACGACTATAGCTGAAAAGAGATCAAGAACTGACGAACGGAACAAGCGTTGCATTGTTTGCTCCCCGACTTATAACGACTTTATGACACGATTGTTACCTGAAAGCGCTTGCACACGGTGAAATGACGATCTACTTGTCTGGCTCCGACTTTGTGGTCGGACTTTGGTTTAGAAGTTTCGATTTTTCGTTTTGTGTACGACAGATGATATACGCAGTGGATGGACTATGATTTTAGGATGAAATGGATTGGCGGACTTGGGCGACCATGGCGATGTTCTCTCGACCGTGATGATCCGAAAGCAAGAATTGGACGAGTTCCATGCTTTACAGCAAGGACCGACTATTCCACAGAGGCTGCGACAATCTTTCTCCGGACCCTAGGAGATCCTCGGCTGGAATGGTGCGTCGTCACAGGTGGCTTTTGCTTCCCTAATCGTGGCTCCATTGATGACATGTCAGATAAACAAAAGCTCTATTGATAATCGCACAAATTCGCTCCGTGATTCTCCCTTATGTCGAAGTAAACACTCGGACTTGACACTCGTTCAAACTCCATCGATCTCAGTTGACGTGGGATGGCGTTATCATCAGATCCCTTGATGTAATCAGCCCCAGCTCAATCTTGCCGTCAGCGATTCAAGATAGGGAGTTGACAATTACTATGCATTATGTAAAGGTTGGGTACGTGTGTAAAATGTGGAAGTACCGGTTCGAAACGGGGTAGTCAAGGAATATGCTGTCTTCATACGAAATCCTCAATAAAGTCGGCTTGGTACAATAATATCTATCTGTGTCTCTACAGAGATGTTTGGCTGGAAACCTAGGGAGTGTCGTTGGAGCGAACTAAGTCATGTGATCTAGGTGAGGGGGAGGGGAGTCGTGGGAGTCGTAACGCACCAACACAACTGTCAGAAACAAAATCTGGACAGGAGGTGCAATGAGTCACGTGAAACAAATGCCAAGCTGCGACCACACACATCTCGGAACCTTTGCACTTTCGAAGCACCGATTGTTCAAAACACTTACAAGTTGTCACCGTCGCCATCGAAACAAGATGTAAGTCAAATCCCCTTTCTAGATGATGTCCCAGGGCCTCTTTGCACTTGTCCTCTGTCATTGAAGTCAACGAGCGACCATGACACGACCGGCTTGCATGCGTGAAAAACCCTTGACTGACTTTTCACTTATCAAGGTCGAACCTACGAACCCAGAAGCGCCTCGCCGCATCGGTTCTCGGGGCTGGCAAGCGCAAGATCTGGATCGATCCCAGCGAAATCTCCGAAGTTGCCAATGCGAACTCTCGACAGACCATCCGAAAGCTGATCAGTGATGGCTTGATCATCCGCAAGCCCGTGGCCGTCCACTCCAGAGCTCGTGCCCGAGAACTCAACGCCGCTCGACGGATTGGCAGACACCGTGGATTCGGTAAGAGAAAGGGTACATCAGACGCTCGAATGCCAAGGTACGATGATTTTGTGTTTGGATTGTGATGGAAAGGATACCTGAATTGACACGCTATGATGTGTAGCCAAGTCCTATGGATGAGACGTCTGCGGGTTCTCCGACGCTTGCTCGTCAAGTACCGTGCCGCCGGCAAGATCGACAAACACCTTTACCACGAGCTTTACCAGCTCAGCAAGGGTAACACCTTCAAGCACAAGCGTGCTTTGGTCGAACATGTATGTTTGTTTGCTACGTTGTACTAGAAAGTTTACTGATATCATGCAGATCCACAAGGCTAAGGCCGAGAAACAACGTGAGAGAATCCTCAAGGAAGAGATGGACGCCCGCCGTGCGAAGACCAAGGCTGCCCGTGAGAGGAGACAAGAACGCCAGCAAACCAAGCAGAGGGCTTTGCTGGGTGAGGATGCCGATGACACCAAGGCCGAATAAATGAGATGACGGGCGTGGGTTTTTCCGATGCTCCCACATGGCATGAGACAACCAGAATAGCATGTCCTTGCAAGGCGTGTGCAATTCCTCTCCCACCAGATTTGCATCCTCATGCCACATCCAATGGCTCATGCAAGGGCGCTTACATCCTAGGGTTTTTCCGCACAAACGACTTGACAAGCGGTCATGATTTCAGACAGGCGCAATCAAAAGACATCAATGGAAAGGCGACCATGTGTCATCTTTCAGAAATAGTAGTTGTTTCCATTGCAAGAGTTGAGGTCAATATTCCTTAGAACGTGACATGATTTGGACCAGTGCCCACAAACACTTTCTCGTCCGTGTACCAGACTTGCAGTGTCAAGTGTCCCCAGTGAGATCGATATAGGTAGTTTCCTGGACGGGATTGCTGGCAAGTTGCCAGTGGTGACTGGAAATATCATTGAAACGGAATACCGGCCCAATTGTCACCTCATTACCTTGAGACCTAGTCGATGCTGGAGGCCACGAAGACCTTGTCGCCCACTTGGGTTGACCGCATGCATGGCCAGCGTTACAAATGCAAGATCCTGCAGTGATCTTCCATTTCTTGTACTAACTTACTTAGTCCGGGCTGCCAACTCCCCCGACTTTTGTTGCTGCTAGACTTGGAGGCCTTCTTCAAGCGACAAAAAACCCAAGCGTACTAGTAAGTAGTACATGCTTCCCAGAAGTGCAAGTGTCTTGTGAGGGGCCGAGGGGCCCGCTCTCTCTCCAGATACCAAATGTTTGCTACTGTTCTAAGGGACCCTAAGCATAACCACATCTTCGCCTTCAGTTTGCTTTTGACATGCCAATGGCATTTAAGACTTCTCCCAAGATTCAAAATATATATCGTTCTTGGTCTAAGTCGCTTGCTTTACATCAGCCTCGCACATTCTCTTTTTTCCTTGTTGACTTTGGCGCCTTGCATTAGTCAAGGCACCACGCACCGCTCCTGTCCAGCGCACAGAAGTTAATCTCACGAAGGGCCGAGGGCCCCAGACCTTCCCGATAACATCAACTCTCCGCTTGAGCCAGAGATTCCACCAACGCTCTTGGACTTTGCTTGACTGACAACCGATCTGTAGTCGAGATGTTTGGAGGGGGCTCGCTCTGGAGCGGCGCAGGTAAGCCACGACTTCCTCTCGTGGGCTGTGCTTTTCTTTTCTTGCCTAATTGTCGCCTTATCATCACATCACAACTTGTGTGGTTTGAGTCACGAATGATCATTGGTATCTGCTTCAATAATATTGGCTTTCTCTCTATGCTGCGTGGTGACGGTGTTCCGTCCAAATAAGACTTGTCCGACTTGGCCGATATCGATGTGTTTCCCAGCCACGCTGACAATATGTTTTCTATCCCCTACTCTGTCTTCTCATTCATGGAAGGACAGGGTCGACTAGTTCAGTCGTCCAGCATAGCGTATATGACACTAACATTGGTGGTTTGTTATTTGCAGGGTCATCTACAGAGTCACTGGCAGAAAAGGAACGCAATCCTCCTGCGAGGCCAATTCCTTTAGAATTCCCTTGCTACACTCCCCCGATATGCGGGAGCCCGCTGAGCGAAAATCATATCAAGACACTGTGTAAGCATCTCGCCACGATCAAGCGGCCGTTTGATATTCAGGATTCGGATCTCGCGCAGCTCAACGTACACGTCGAGGAAGAGGTTGGTCTCGAGCAATTTGTCCCGGAGGACCTTTTCCGATCACGGCCGTTTCTTTATGACAGTGACCTCGATCCGATGCTGTCCGAGCTCGATACTGCAAATGAGGATGCCTATCGTGAGATTCTTCGACTCCCGCCACTCGAAGGGAAAACTAAACCGCGACTTGCATACTCGAGAAATTTCTTCATTCACTTGGAGGATATGAGTCGATATTGGGACGACAGCAAGGACCAGTACTATGAGGTCGAAGCCAAGGATGCTGAAAACCAAGACTCGAGTTCTGCAGAAGAGATTCGAGTGAAGGTTGAGCAGCAGATAACCACCACCACATCTGGAGGAATTGTAAATGCCCTTGAGACGGCTGAAGCAGGATCCACTCCACAGCAGCCGGGTATGTCTACAGTGGAACCATCTCTTCACCTTTCTCCGCCGCCTGAAGTAATGGACATTCCGACGCGCCCGAAACTTAAGCATGTTTACAAGGGACAGCGGCTCGGCAACGGAGAGCAGATGAGTTCAGGAACCAGAGTGTCCATGGTCAGGAGCCTACTGAAGATGATTGTGCACAAGTTCAACTGCCGCGACTTCGAGATCAGTGGAAAGGAAAGGCTCCGCATTTGGACAACAAATGTTCCCTCGGTATTTTACAACTTTTGCGTTGCCAAAGTGCCTTCAGAAATGAAACTTGCAAGGGCAAGAATAGTAGAAGGGCCTATACTGGCGGTTCATGCACGATCGGAAGTGAGATTCAAATCTCGAGAGGGCCTCCTGAACCCTGCCAGTGATTTTTTGGGCGAAAAATACGATTTCTTCCGAGAACTTGGATGTATGTTGTCACTCGCAAAGCAACGTGGCCGCGAAGGGAAGGAAGTGCCAAAAGGCGCCCGGCCAGATCAATGGTGGGCATGCAAGCCGCGATGGGGCGGAGGGGAGACTCGATGGGGCCAACTAGCCAACGAAGTCTTTGAAGAGGATGACCCTAGCTGGAGTCCAGAAGAGGCTCGATTACAGAAAGAGAAACGCGAAGCGGCAGCTGAACAAGAACGCCAGATGGAGGCTGCCACTGCAGCAGATTTGAAGAATCTAAAACCGGAAGATATCATGTCCCAAGCGTTACTAGCTAATGAGCGTCCAAAAAAGAAAAAACGAAGCGATCCCAACGGGGGCAAAAGTGCAGACAACGTGGAGTACAAGGATGGCAGGAGACTGATGTATACACAGCCACTGCGGCGAAAATGGTTCCAAGAATGGACCAAAATACGCCCCAATGCATCAACATGGGATGAGAAGGTGATATACCGCCGGATCGGAAAGCCGAACCAGCAACACGGCAGTGATGGATGGGACAATATTTACATGCTGTCCTCGGTAAATCACCACGTGTGTTTACTGGAGTTGTTGATCCATCAAGACTATGTCGAGTGGCTGGAGACTGGCAAAGCCATGGACAAAGGCGATCCACCTGTTATGGAGACGACAGAACAACCACAACGACACATGCTGTACATGAAACGCAGTCGGTGGTACGATGTATTCGATGTTGATCAGAGGAAGGAGCTGTTCACAGGAATCTGGAGAGTGATGAGTTGGGTTATCCGCGAGGAAGTGCCGAAGGAAGAGCTCGAAAAGGTGGAAGGGTTGAAACACCAACGCATGGCAGAAGGGGCGGACCATGCGATGGAAATCTAATGAGGTCACACACGAAGCACGGCAGTGATGAGATATGACGAGATATAACATTGGATGAAATGGATGACAACTCAGACGAAATTGAAAGATGGCTCCAGAATCGTGGCTGGATGTTAGGTACCAAGGTACGGTGCTCATCCCGAAGTCGGCCTGAAATAAACTTAGACCATGCAAGTTGCATACACTCGCCCGTCTGGTCTGATGTGATGAATACTTCGTTATAGTTGAGCATTTGGGGTTGTTGAGGGTGGAGAAGGTCTCCTGAGCTGGACATGGACATGGAAACAGAGGTGAAGATGAGACGAGATGAAGTTTGCACATGTGACAAGGCTGCTAGCAAGGCTGATGACGCCTTCGCCTGGCTCGTCTGGATTGGTCCAATGCGACGAAGCTCCCGAGGCTTCTGTTGTACCCACCAGGCATTCCTGGCCAGCCTGATTGGTAGAGTCCGGCCCCTGCTCCGCTGCGTCATAATTTGTCTCTACACAAGCTTTTGCCTGCTGGTCGAGGGGCCGGCAAGGCGGGGACATTCTCCATGCAACTTTTTTTTACCCGTCTGCGACTAATATCGACTCATATCTCACTTAGCATCCATTTATTAAAGAGTCACAAAGTCCACCTTCAGGTAGAATATACCCATAGCATTTTGTTCGATCACCTTCATCCAATATGGCTACGCCTGCTCTCACAATCCAGAACAATGGTGCCCGTCTTCAACGCGAAGTCTCGCGCAGTCTCTCCTTCTCAACCTCTCCCAACGACTCTTTTAATTCGCGCCGATTCTCCACCAGCATTGAAGGCACATCACCTACCCTACGCCGCAACACAACACAGGGTACACCGAAGCATCTAAAACCATTCAGGGAGGAGGATATCAAGATTCTTCTGCTTGAAAATGTCAACCAGACAGGCAAGGACATCTTGACAAATCAAGGCTATCAGGTCGAATCCTTGAAAAGCTCGCTACCTGAGGACCAGCTTATCGAGAAGATCAAGTATGCCGTTGAACATTCCCTTTTTTCCTTGACTCTTTGAACTGACCTTCCTGCAGGGACGTCCATGTTTTGGGGATCCGCTCAAAAACCAAACTCTCCGCCCGTGTCCTCTCCCACGCAAAGAACCTCATTGTCGTGGGCTGTTTCTGCATCGGTACCAACCAAGTCGACTTGGCATATGCGGCCACACATGGCATCTGTGTTTTCAATTCGCCCTTCTCCAATTCACGCTCCGTCGCCGAACTCGTCATCGGGGAGATCATTGCTCTAGCGCGTCAGATGACAGATCGAAGCAGCGAGTTGCACGCAGGAACATGGAATAAAGTCTCAAATAAGTGTTGGGAAATCCGTGGCAAAACACTGGGCATAATCGGATATGGACACATAGGCTCGCAGCTCTCAGTCCTGGCGGAGAGCATGGGCATGAACGTCATTTACCATGATGTGGTCAATTTGATGGCCATGGGATCAGCACGACAGATTCCCACACTTGATGGCCTTTTGGAGCGGGCCGATTTTGTGACGTGCCACGTACCCGAGCTACCCGAGACGAAGAACCTAATCGGAGCGCCTCAACTTGAAGCCATGAAGCAAGGATCCTACCTGATCAATGCCTCGCGGGGATCTGTGGTTGACATCCCAGCCTTGATCGCGGCTATGCGCACCGGGAAAATTGCAGGTGCTGCCTTGGATGTCTACCCCCAAGAACCGGCTGGCAATGGCGACTACTTCACCAACGACCTCAACCCCTGGGCGACAGACCTCCGCAACCTCAAGAACATTATCCTTACACCCCACATCGGCGGCTCGACCGAGGAGGCGCAGTCCGCCATCGGTATTGAAGTTGCCGAGGCCTTGGTCCGCTATGTCAACGAAGGTGTCACTGTTGGCGCAGTCAACATGCCCGAAGTCACCCTCAGAAGTCTCACCATGGACGAACCCGACCACGCTCGTGTCATCTTCATCCATCACAACGTGCCTGGTGTCCTGAGACGTGTCAACGAGATCCTTGGCGACCACAACGTTGACAAACAGATGTCCGATTCAAGAGGTGACATTGCCTACCTTATGGCGGATATTAGTAATGTGCGTGAGAGTGAGGTTGCCCAGCTCTATCGCGAGTTGGAAGGGTTGAAGGAGAAGGTCGTCACCAGGATTTTGTACTAGAGCCAAAGCCACCGACGGACGACGTGGCGATGAGACGCTAGGCACAATGATGCACGAATCTTAGCAACGTCGGCCGGATACTTGGTTTTGGAAAAGCATAAAAGGGCCAGGAAATAGACCGAGAAATTCAACAGCCGGCTACAGCCCTCGAGAGTTGGCAGACTCTATTAATATCCAGGTTCACAAAAATTCATGGGCGAGGGTTTCAACAAGTCAAAGGCATTGGTCCCCGTATCATATATGCAGGAGTTGTGGAGAAAGAAAGCTCCTTAGTAAGGTACCAGTCTTTTAAAACATCAAGACCCGGCGTGAGGGGGGGGGGGGGGGTTAGGTATGATATACTCCCACAAATTACAGGCTATCTCCCATCAACCAACACACCCATGCCACGATCAATAATGAGCTATGAAACTTTGTTCCGTGCAGGGCGACCTTGCCCTGGCCAGATGTATCCTTTCCAATATGGTCGCCTTCGTTGTGGCGACATGTGAACCCCATTTGGGTGTATGGATCTGTCTGCAATCTAGATACCACCACTTTCAGTGGCATTTACTGCACAACTGTTGTGCGTGGCATGACCGAGTCCCACCAATCAGACGGTATAGAAACGATCGCCGAAGTCGCCCAGGCCAGGAACAATATAACTAAGAGAGGTTAGCAGGTCCACCAGCATTGTGCAAGAAATGTGACTTACTTGTGATCGTCCAGGCCTTGGTCGACGAAGGCAGTAATGACACGAACCTTGGGCACTTGGTTGGCAAAATTCTCGATACCTTGAGGACTCGCAATCAGGTTGAGAAACAGGATGCGGTCCTCGGGGACGCCCTTGCTCTTCAAGACCTCGACGGCCATGATAGCACTACCACCAGTGGCTAGCATGGGATCAAGCAAAAGCACCCAACGGTCTTTGATGTCAGGGGGAAGTTTGTCGTAGAAAAGTTTGGGTTTGCTGGTTTCCTCGTTGCGCTGGATGAGGATCTTGCCGATTCGCACGCTCCGGCAGCACTCACGGAGACCTTCCTCCATGGACTCGCCGGCTCGCATGATCGACACGCCGCAGATCTTGCCCTGGAACTTGACCCCGACATAATCTTTTCCGACGGGTGAGGTCACCGTATGTGTCACAACTGGTAGATGGTTGAGGCCCTCCTCCACCAGGAGACGGATGATCCGGTTCGAGTAGAAGATAAAATCGGCTCTTTCGGTGTCTTTGTCTCGGATCATGGTCAAAAGTGCAATCAGCTGCGGCGTCTGAGGCAGAATATGGACATTTTGTTGAGGTACATCTCTCGACACCGTGGCCGTCGGCCTCTCTTCCGCAGGACGATAAGATGGCCCTACACCCAGAGCGGGCGACTGAACACCGTTGGAGCGGAGGTTGGCGGTGGCCTTGTTGCTAGCCATCTTGCCTCAAATCGGCGGCGAGGAGCAGGGGTTGAGAGCTGTGTGTGTGTGTGTGTGTGTGTGCGGATGCGTGCAGCAGAGCCTAAATTCGGGTGCTCGCGTGAGGTTGGTTGGAGCGGGGAGTGAGAAGGATCAAGAGGGGTAAAGAAAGGAAGGGGTGGTATTTTAGATTCAAGTCGTCTGGCTCTGCAAGCTCTACAGCATCATTCAAGAATGAGAACTTTGCTGAAAATCGTGTAGTGTATGGTCTAGGTGCAGGGAGGATTGTAAGTTACGAGTTTTTGGTCGATACGGGTGGATTTGTGCTTGCTGGTGAAGATCTCCACCATGATGGTGGTATAGAGTAACATTCACAGCCAAGCCATCTGTGGAGGGGCCGAGGGGTGAGGGAGGGACGTATGATGAGCTTTCCTGCACATGCCTCTGGCCCCTCGGCCTACCATGAGGTGCCTATTGGACCTAGAGCAAATACCGATCCCGACTAAAAGTTATGGGCGGTCCAGACACTCCTTAAGACGCTCCAATGGGCCGAGGGGGCTGACTCTGGTACCTTTAACAAGTTATGGTCTTTCGCTAGCCCAATGAGGTGTCTTCAGTTCCTCTTCGTTGTTAACAGCACCTATACGCAACTCAAGTAAGTCGTTTCGAATTGACTTTATTTGATAGTGCATTGTTGGATACTGGTACTGTCGTTGTGTTGGTAGTTGGTGCGCACTGTTACAGATGCACTGTCACGGATCACGCGATTTGGAAACCTGCTTGTGTATCTATATATGTAGGTATGTAACAGCCTAGAGGCATGTATGTGGATGTAGTCATCCAGAAAACTTGGTCATAGTACCTAGTACTCAATGTCATTGTTTGCGGGAGAGTAAAAGGCAGGCGCCCTGAAAGCAGCAAGCATGGAAAACTATTGGGGCTGGGCTGTTCCTCCGCCACCCCCGCTGGTTCAATCCACGTGCATCCACGGTGCCTGCAGTGCCAACTCACGCCCCTGCACTTTTCTCTACTTTTACAGTTATGGTAGGTGCAACGGAGATTATTATTATTATTGGAGACTGTCACCGTTTGCGTCTGCGGCTGCCATCTCAACTTCAAAACATCCAAGTTACAACCACTTTTGGTCTCAGTCATAAATCTATTCTCACTTCAATTCCAGAACCACATGTCCTCCACATGAGCGTCTAGTCCCGACTACATATAAAGCCGCACCCCGAGCTGATTTTCTTCATTTTATATTCAATAGCCAACGCTTGACACGTCCCCATCAGCCGGCGCATTGCATCTCATCATGCTCTTCCGTTACCAAAAGACGGAACTACTCCTCTCTACGACAATCCGGCTTCACCTCCAATAGACGTCGCTCTCCCATCCTCTTCTCCGGCCCACCATGGATTTTCCTGTGCAGCGTCGCAAAATAAACACATATGGCAAGAGCCAGCGCAAAGTTCTCGTCCATGATATCTTTGATGTTGCCTCGTCGAATGCCTTCCCTTCAAGTCAGAGCGCAGTCACACAATTCTCGTCATCCAGTTCAAGTACAACTCCTGCAGAGCGGCTCTCAACCACTTCAAAGCCTGCTCTTGCCACAGGCAAATCAATACCACAACCCAGTACTGTCAAACATGGGACAGCGTCCTCATTAAGCATGAAACCTTCATCCGATTCGGCGTCTATCTCTTCCCGCTCCTCGTCCTTTTCGCCAGTCGACCAGACCGATGCGTCTCTGTTTGATATCCAATCGTCTGATGAAGAAGGCAATCTAGGCACCCAGCATGCACTGGCAGTGAAACGGAGGAAGGTTGTCCCTCTGCAGTCGAAGAAGAGCACCTCTCGAGCAGGCAAATCTGCTACTCACTCTTCAGACAATAACAAACCTACCCACGCTTCAAAAGGAATGCAGCGTATAGATGTCAGCCAGAGGACCGCCTCCTCCAGGGCCGATCTTCACAAAATAGCCATGACTTCCAAACGTCAGCCCCCCAAGACGACCATCGCTAAGGCTCCCGTGAACAAGCCTGCAGCTGTACCTTCTGGGTTAAATCTATTTGATCAGATCTCAGAGGATTCTTCCTCCTCGCGTCTTTCACGACCCACGACCCCAAAGCGGAAGAGACCTCCTAGCACACTAAATCCAGTGAACGCTCCGAGTCCAAGCGATCTACAATTGACTGCTCTGAGTCTGACACCTGAAGCTCATCTTTCTTTGTCTGAGCAAATATCCGCCGATGAGGACATGACTGATGACAGCTCCGTCAGTCCTACTCCTCGCAAACCTCGGAGGCGACTGATTGATCGGTTGGACCCGCCGCGCCTGGCCAAATCTGAGCCGATTACATTGTCCAATACGCCTGATTCTTCCTCCATAATAGATGACTCCATGCCAACGGTACACAATTTAGACAAACTCTCTCCGCCGCGTTCACTGCCCGTGGAAGGAAGTTCCAGCCAGCCTATCCCCAATGGAGTTGGTGCAGGCCCCAAATCTGGCCGAATACGTTCGACATATGCCAGACAACGCTCGCACTTGAGTGACACGATGGATGGCCTCGAAAACCCTCAGATTTCGCATAGTCAGCGTTCTTCCCAACGTGATCTATCACATGCTACATCATTTACCAGCGTTGCGTCCCAACTGGAGCTTGACCAGGATGATATCGACGAAACTGACCTTCCCGCTCAGAAGAGCATTCATGAGCTACGCCGGGGTGGAGCAATCTCAAGGTTCGACAATGACTTGCTCGAGCTCCTTGGCGACATCCAGTCAAGTTCGAAGGCACTACGGATCCCTGCCTTGATGCAACTTGCTGGCAAATTAAGCGACCTAGCATTTTTGCTCCAGTTCCAAGAATCCGACAACGTCAGTCGTGTGACTGATTCAGCACGACCAGATCTTGATGATGTCTCGTCAACTTTGATGATCTTGGTCTTCCAGATCATGACTTCTGCCCACCACGTGTCCCCAAGGACACTACCTCAGATTCTGGACGCAATATGTCGATTACCGCCTTATCTGGCAACGAGTAATCAATCTCTCACCAAGTTGGCGAAAGACCGCAGTCAGAATCTATCTAAGTTATTGGTGAGGGAAATCTGCGACTTTGACGACAAAAGATCCGCCGCGATGAACCTTGCGGCTTCCTCCACCGGTCACCTATACTTGGTCACTCTAGAAAATACCGTGAGAAGAATGAGACAGCTTGGAGACGCCCCAGCGTTGCCGCAGTCTATTCTTCGGGAGCTGGTCTCAGTAATTTCAACAAGCTGGGACGTTCTGCGTCGAGGTCCAACGGAAGAACACGTTGTCGAAAGCATGCGTACTTGTTTCTCAATATTAGAGATCGTCAGTTTGAATCCCGACTTGTCGCGACTTCTTGCCACAACCAAATTTTTGACACAACTCCGTGATGCCACAGCTGGTATCGTCCAGTGGGCAGGTGAAGATCATCCGCACATTGCGCAGGTGTGCCTGAAGTTCATCATCAGTCTGAGCAATGACCGATCAGACGTGTGCAATGCGCTGTCCGAGGGGGGCCTCATCGGAACCATGTACACAATCGTGGAGGACCACTTCATCCGCCTGGCGATGTCCATTCCTTCCGAGTCGGACCCCGCAAGTCAACGGCTGGACACAGTGATTCTGGCGCTGGGATGTTTGCTCAACTTCGCCGCCAGTTCAGACCGGCCTCGACAAAGAATGCTCGAATTGTCAGACAACGGAAGAAGTCTGGTTGAAGGAATGGTCGAAGTGTTTAACAGTTGCTTCGAGAGAGCTTCCGAGGTGAGAGCAATTCATGTCGACATGAGGAATAACTTCTAACCAGAAACCATAGGCCACCACCATAGAGCACACGCACCTAGTCGTCCCACTGGGTTATCTTTCGATGCTGTTGTGTGCTTTGTGCCTCAATGCCAATGCTCGGGACCTGATCGTTCGAACCACAAGAGGTCAAGGATTGAGCGACTTGTTTCTTGCAGTAGAAACTTTTCTGAAGTCTTGGAGGCAGGTCGAAGCAGAGACGGGGGAGACGGATGAGACGTCTAGTGGATTTTCAAGGATGCTGACCGACATTTACGACGCGGTCCGAATGCAGAGCTTATGACGGAGACACGACTTATCCAACAAACGACCATATGGGGACACATATCGACCATGCACGATGTCATTGGAGTGGGGCGATTGGAGATGGTGATTTAATTCTGGCTACAGCGGCATCGCCTTTATTTTGAATAGACCAGATACCCCTGCATTTTCATCCTCTAGGATAGAAACCCAGCTAGTTATTGAGCAACGGACGGAGGTGTTGAATAAGAATTTCCGCATGCAGAACCGGAACATGACATTGAGTGCACGAGCCGGCGAAATGCTGTATGTATGAATGAGCCAAACGTCCGCCGAGTTGGTCAAGCATTGATTGAACTTCAATGGAGAGGTGGGAAGTTGACAGTCCCTGGTCAGACCCAACTGCCTCCGGTTGCTGGCTCGCTGGCTCGCTGATTTAATAGCCGAAGTAGAGGTAGACTGACTCTAGAGGCATCGATTGGGCAAATGATATAATTCCTGTACTGGTTTGCTAACGACGATTGGCCATGCAGTGTGCATTAGGTGCTGGGGTCAGGCCGGATAAGAGCAGCAACGCAGACCGGAAGGCAGCAAGGTGCGTGCGGACTAGCGAAACCCGGTGGTTACATACAAGTTGGACTTTTTTTCTGGTTGCTTGAATCATCACGGAAGCAGAATGGAGGGCGGAGGCCTTGGGCGATGGATGGGATTGCTCGGACCTTCTCAAAGTGTCGGTGAGCCCTAGATTTGGACCGTCAGTCGCTCTTGCCAGTGCCAGGTTCAAGAGGTCATTCATCGCAGCATTCCATCTCGTCCAACAGGTTTGGATAGTTGGTCCAAAACACCATCGACATCCTCATCGTCATTATTGTTGGGCTGCCCGCATTGGCCTTGGGACCAAGTTTTGCATGTGCTCCAGACCATCTCTCGTATACTGTATTTATTATTTGTTTGGGTCCCGCATCATCCCATCCGTCATCCCTCCCGGTTCTCATTACATACAATTTATTCCATCTACACGCTGCCATTTGCTGGCTCTCGAAGCCTAAATTCCTACCAGCCGTTCCGACTTCCCTTGTCCGTGTACCGGTCCACCGCGCTCTCGTCCATCAGGCCCCTCACCCGCTTGTCCTTATTCGTGGTCTGCCTAGGATCTCGGATGCCAGGAAACTTTTTACAGAGCGAGCCTCAACCTCGTGCTTAGGACCTTTTGACACGCTCGCTTCATTTCAGTGCCAGTTGACCATGGCTCCATCGGTCAAGCAACGCAAGATCGCCATCTTGGGAAGCCGCTCTGTCGGTGAGTCTGCATTTGTTCCTCATTCCCCAGCCCAATTGCGGGGAATCGCCACCGTCATGTCATGGCTAACCGCGGCGTCGCAGGCAAGTCCTCCCTCACCGTGCAGTACTGCGAAGGCCACTTTGTCGAAAGCTACTATCCTACGATCGAGAACACGTTTAGCCATGAGATTGTATACAAGAACCAGACATTCCTTACCGAGATCATCGATACTGCGGGACAGGTTTGAACGCCTCACGTGGACATCGCTGAAGAAGGGACGGCTGACCTTTGCCACAGGACGAGTACAGTCTGATGAACTCTAAGCTCTACATTGGGATTCATGGATACCTGGTTGTATATTCTGTTGCCTCCAGACAATCTTTCGAGATGGTCAGGATCATCAGGGACAAACTGCTCAATCATCTGGTAGGGTTCCCGAGAGTCTTGTTTGCCGCACCCAACTGACAATGAGTTTGTTTTAGGGAGCCGATTCCGTGCCCATCATGATCGTCGGGAATAAGAGCGATGTTGATTCAGGTAGACAGAGAAAAGTCACAGCCGAAGAAGGTCAACAGTTGGGACAAGAGCTCAAATGTGGTTGGATCGAGACAAGCGCACGCAATAATACCAACGTCTCCAAAGCCTTTGAGCTGATGATTGCCGAGATTGAAAAGTCTCAAGAGCCAGACAAACCGGCAGGTGGAGGCAAATGTGTCGTCATGTGAGACGTTGCATGCCCACCTGTCAGGTAACGTATCACGAGTAATGGTGAATGGGTGAATGGGCGATTGGGTGATTGGAGGATCTCATGTTGGCAATTTGGATGAGGAGGAAATCGTCTTTGGAGGTTTTATCAGTCGATCGCTGCATTAGGGGAGTCTTGGGGCGGGATGAATTGTTTATATTGCTGGTGTTGTTGTAGACCTTCCATGTGAAGATAGAATGGGAGAAGAGGGAGGGATTTTGTGGGGGGTTATGCCACCTGTATATTTTTGATGTCACGAGTCTACTTAATTTGAAGACGACATTATGGCTGTCGTAAAAGAGCTGAAAACTAATTCAAGATGTTGATACATGCCAAGAACAGGACATGACCTTTCTAAAATACGACCAGTTCCTGTCTCAGGAGTGATGTCCTTGGAATTCCTGACGACAGGTGCAAGCCATCGAGAATGATAGTATGCCCGCCAGCCTCGCAGGACAGGGTCATACATCGGAGGTTACAACCACAGTCGCAGGCTTGTGCATGGTTGACCTGTCGTCGTGGCTGCTTGTTGGATTTGAGGAGCTCTCCGCATCAATATCGACAAGAACGTGCTGCCACCAGCCATCTCTCCAACCACCAGTAGCCCTAGACATGAAGAGAGCAGCAGTTGCTGGGCACAAGCCAGAGTTCAGGGACTCTCGTGACAATATGCTTTTGTCTCGATAAGATGGCCAAACAGTCTCAAGGGACGCCACCGTTGGTCCGCTGCCAGTTCAAAGCTCCTAATACCGCAATCTGCTGGAATTGAAATGTGTTGGAAAGGTAGTCAGACACTGTCGTTCTGAAATGGTATTGACGAGCAAAGTACTGGTTCGAGGTCAGACTTATGTGAAGGTTCTTTCAAACATCTCCCCAGAGCTTAATGAAATACAGCTGAGCCGTTGATGTGTCTCCGCCCTTCTCTAGCGGTTATGCAGTGAGTTTACCACAGGCCCCCAACGCTGTGACTGGCAGCAGGTAAATCGTAGTAAGTACAAACCTAATTGGCATAGAAACAAACCAGGCAAGATCACCAAGAGAGGACATGACAGAAGCCCGTTACTTGGGCCGATCCACTGTCGAAGATCATGTTCGAAGTAGTTTGCGCAGCATCTCTGGTGTTTCGATCAACAATTCCCAGACGGAGAGAATCGAGACTCAAGAGGCGCGAGGGGCCAAGTACATAGCAATAATACGTTCACATGAGAGGCACGAGGGCACGAGGCAATCAATCATGATTGAAAGCTGGGATGAATATTGGAGTGTCAATCAGATGGGATTGGCATCCGAATCTAAACCTAGTACGGACTAGTCAGGGGCATCTCGTTGCTGACCAAGTCAACTGGGTCGTCGATCAAACATCTCTCCCACCAACAATGACTACTCCGTAGGCACGACAAGCCATGTTTGTACGGAGTACCTAGAGTATCACTCAGCCACTGTACAAGGCCAATATGATTCTTCGTGTCTCGACAAACAAGCACGCTCGTCTCTTGCCCTTTCATTTCTCCTCTTACGATGACCGAGAACGGACCAAGACACCTTGACTCCCCATCTGCTGTCATGGACATGTCCATCTCTGACGTGCAGCACAAGCAAATCCCACCACAGTACTTACTACGTGCTACTCTATTCTATAGGAGGTGCTTGGACGCCCGACACATCGTTTCAAGCTCGCCACTTGATGGACATGGACGCTGTCAAATCTATATCTTGAACCCTGAAGGTGGTTCTAGCTTCTTTTTCGATCCTTTCAAGACACGGTTTGCATACTTCATTTTTCAATTTGCATCTTCTGCTTCTGTTCTTTTTCGTCCAGTAATGACTTCCTCGTCTGCTTCGTGTCTCTGCTAGGATATGCCTAGAACAATCTTTTGAGCTCACCCTGGTGCATAGTCTTTGTCATTAGAGTGGACTATTCTTCATAACATTGGCATCGCTGCTGTGTCCCTACTCTTCCAATCCCTGCGCGTTCTTCCTCAATTACACTTCGTCGCAATGGAGCAATCCATTCCTTTGCTTGAAGAATTCGGAAGTTCCGAACAAACGTCGACCAATGCCACCATCAATATCGAGAAAAAGACCGATCCTGAGATTTCAAGGTGGAGAAAGGTGTGTTTCACTCTGAAGAACGTCCTTCCTCGATACTTGCAGCTCCATGGCTTGCAATACGACCACGAAAATCTCCATTCAACGGCATGGTTGGATTCTCTGCGGGGATATGCCGCATGCGCAGTCTTCTTCAGCCATGTAAGTCGTTCCACTATCATGCTCCTCTCATAAGAAATGGTCGCGGCTAACCACAGGCTTTCCTCAGATGTATGGCTTTCCAACGGAGGGATTTGCCTCCCTGCCCATTATCAGATTATATTCCGCGGGAACTGGTATGGTCGACCTCTTCTTTGTCATCTCCGGCTACGTGTTGAGCTTCAAGATGATACAACACATGCGGAACCATCAGGCAACGCGATTGATCGATTGCCTCGCCTCCTCAACCTTCCGCAGATACCTACGTCTATACATCCCCACAGCTTTAGCCACATTTTTCACCGCCATCATGACCTATGCAGGCTGGTGCCAGCCGGGGCTGAGAAAAGACACCATCATCCAACAGTTCCTGCACTGGGTCAGTGATACCGCATATGCCAGCAATCCCTTTGCCAACGTGGCTGGCTGGTGGTATCCAGGAGTCTATCGAACAGCTTATCTTGACCAGATGTGGACGATCCCAGTCGAGTTTAGAGGCAGTATCATCCTATTCGGCTTTCTAACGGCGTGCGCTAAACTAGCGACGAGATCGAGGATAGCTCTTTGTTGTTTCACCCTCTTCATCGCCTTCTATTATCAGGCGTTGTATGTTGCCTGCTTCCTCGGAGGCATGCTCGTGGTGGACTTGTCTATGAGCTGGACACCTTATGGAAAAGCACAACAGCTGAGTCTCCCACAGAGCGAGAATGGTATGGAAGCAGCGAAACAGAGCCGGACAAAGTCAATCGCCTGGCAGGTCGGCTTTATCCTCATCTTCATTATTGGTCTGATCTTTCTCAGCCAACCACAAATTCTGGGCGGGGAACTACCCTTTCCTTACCAATACCTGATTCTCCTGGTTCCGTCGAGTTACAAGGACGGAGCGGAACATTTCTGGCTGAGTATCGGTGCCATTCTGACTGTGGGTGCACTGGAATACTCTCCAGCGTTGCAGAAGCCCTTGAAATGGAACATTTCTCTATACCTAGGCGAGTTGTCGTTTGGAATCTACGCCATGCACAACACATTGGTATGGGTTTTATATCTTGGATGGTTGGCTCCTTGGAAGGATTCGACATTTCCTGAGTCACGATGGCCCTATATCCCAATTTCCATCTTCATGAGCTTTGTGGTGCTTTGGGCGGCGGATTATTTCACGCGAATCGACAAAAGAATCGTGGCTTTTGGAAGATGGCTTCAGGTCAGCCTCTTCGAGAAATGGTAGTAAACAACCAACTTTACGAATTAATGGCGTCGATTTCAATACACGATAATTTTATGCATCTTGCTTATCACCACTACATTTATAGAGACATCTAATAAATGTTTTATATACGGAATAGATATGGTAATTGATTCAAAATGCTGAAGCTCGACAATTGTAGTCACCATGACTCACGAGGCTCCGAGCCTGATGCGGAATCATAAGGGGTTCTGTGGCGCCTCGACCATCTGCAATTTGCGGGGCAGCATTTCTTCAAACAATTAATTCTGTATCGTTCAACCTGACCGCCTCAATCACCACGACCAATATTCAGCACGACCTGATAAATACCCTGAGACCGATTCCTCGCGTTTCTCATCGCACACCCGCATTCTGATTCCCCGTCCTCATCATGATCGACCCAAACGACCTCATTGAATCAAGGTACGGCTCTCCAGCATCAACCTTATAACCCACTAATGCCCGTGTGCTTTTCCAGAGGAGGAGATCCCAAGAAAGTCATCGACAGCCAGAAAAGAAGATATGCGTCTGCGGAGATTGTCGACGAAGCCATCACATTGTGGAATGACGCCTACCAGAGTCCGCAACATTCCTCTCCTCTTCTGCGAACCTCATTCTGATTTCCCCTCCAGCACGTTACAAGGCTCAACAGTATGGCGCAAAGATCAATGCTGTTCAGAAAGAGATTGGAAAGTTGAAGAAGGTATTTTTTCTTGGAGACGCCTCATTGGCGATCCACGAAGAGTCTCAGGCCTAACTGACACATCGTTTGCTCTGCACAGGAGAAACAAGATGCATCAGAACTTCTACAGCAAAAGTTGGATCTCGAGAAAGAGAAGAAGCAGGCGGAGGAAGAAGCCACCGAGAAAGAGAAACTCAGAGACCGAAAGGTCAAACTGATTGGAAACTACGTCCATGAGTCGGTGCCGCTCAATGACAACGAGGTGAGTTTGCACCTAGGCTTGAACGGCCACACAGATTTAGTTCGCTGACTGGCATCTCTCCTTGCAGGATTTCAATGAGGTCGTGGCACAATGGGCACCTGAAGGAGTCACGGTCGAGAAACGCGACGTCCTCTCACATCACGAAGTCATGACGAGGGCAGAGGTCTACGACGGCGAACGTGGGGTCAAGTTGGTCGGCCACCGTGGCTACTTCCTGCGCAAATGGGGTGTCCTGCTGAACCAGGCCCTCATCAACTATGGTCTGCATTTCCTATACGGCAAAGACTACGATCCCATCCAGCCCCCTTACTTCATGAAGGCCGAGTACATGGGCAAGACCGCTCAACTGGAACAGTTTGACGAGGAGCTGTACAAGGTCGTCGAGGGCGGCGGTGCCGAGGACAAGTATCTGATCGCAACCTCGGAACAGCCCTTGTCGGCCATGTATGCCGATGAATGGTTGACCGAGAAGGAGCTGCCCAAAAAGTTTGCCGGTTATTCAACCTGTTTCCGCAAGGAGGCAGGTGCCCACGGGAGAGATGCATGGGGCTTGTATCGCATACATCAGTTTGAGAAGGTGAGTTGTCTTGATATTATGGACACCATGCCACGAGAGAGAGGAAAGGAAGGCACAACTAACATCACGAAACTCGCAGATTGAACAATTCCTCTTCGTCAAACCAGAAGATTCATGGCAGGCTCTCGAAGACATGAAGTCGACAGCGGAAGAGTTCTACAAGTCATTAGGCCTTCCCTATCGAGTCGTTGTCATCGTCTCAGGCGCACTCAACAATGCCGCTGCTAAGAAGTACGACCTTGAAGCCTGGTTCCCCTATCAGGGTGAATACAAAGAATTGGTCTCGTGCTCCAACTGCACCGATTACCAGACCCGAGAGTTAGAGATCCGCTACGGTCAGAAGAAAGGTGCCATCGACTCAAGAAAGACGTACGTTCACGCATTGAACGGCACCTTGTGCGCCACAGAGCGAACCCTCTGCTGCATCCTGGAGAACTACCAACGAGAGGATGGCTTTGAGGTACCCGAGGTCCTGAGGAGGTACATGCCACCTGGAACTCCTGATGTTATCCCCTACACAAAAGACCTACCCAAGGATTCAGCTTCGGCCAAGGCTAAGCAGACAACAAAACCAAAGGCTGATGCAGTGGCTGATAAGCTCAAGGATCTGAAGACATAGTGGCTGGCGACATGACGACTTTGACGGTATAGATGAATCAAGATGACATGGCCTGGAGTAAAGAATCCTGAGGGTAGATGTCCGCTTGAGTATCCCATTCGTGCGCGTGCTCAGCATGACCGATAGAAATGATGTCGATGGTTCCCAGTGCCTACCCTTTTGCTTTGACGCGGAATCCATACTTACTCTTGTCTGGCCAGTGCCACAGGAGACACAAATAGCCGTTCTGACATCCATTAAGATTCTTCTATAGGAAGCGGGATAACACCGCTAAATCACTTCTTTTGACTGGCGGGATGAAAGGCGTATCACGTGATCAATTCGTAAGTAATTTCTGTGACCCACTGGTCAGAAATTCAAGAGATCAATCTTATCACGTGATCGACTATCTGCCACACAGCAAAGTGCTCACTGCCAAGACTTCAAACTGCGACTTGCCAATTTTGCCCACACTGACCGGCACACTTGTAGGAATCGCAGGTCGGTATTCTTCATAACCTTCGAACTCATCGTCGATCCTTCAACAACACACCGACGACCATAGTCCCCTGAAGACCGTCGATATATCGGGATCCCTACGATCATATCTGCGGCACACACTCCCATACTCGATTCCTCTCCGCTACAACCAGCATGGCTGTCGGCAAAAACAAGCGCCTTTCCAAAGGCAAGAAAGGCCTCAAGAAGAGAACTCAGGATCCTTTTGCCCGCAAGGATTGGTACAACATCAAGGCACCAAGCACATTCCAAACCAGAGAGTAAGGAGAACCACCCTGTGTGCACGACAGTCCTTGTCGTGAGGGCCAAGTGAGTAAAGAATTAGGGCTAACGAGTTTGGTTACGTGTAGTGTGGGCAAGACGCTCGTGAACCGAACCACTGGTTTGAAGTCAGCCAACGACGCCCTCAAGGGACGAATCTTTGAAGTGTCGTTGGCGGATTTGCAGACAGACGAGGACCACGCTTTCCGCAAGGTCAAGTTGCGGGTGGACGAAGTGCAGGGCAAGAACGTGTTGACCAACTTCCACGGTCTCGACTTTACCTCGGACAAGCTGCGGTCGCTGGTGCGCAAGTGGCAGAGCCTGATCGAGGCCAATGTGACGGTCAAGACCACCGATGACTACCTGATCCGCCTGTTCGCCATTGCCTTCACCAAACGCCGACCCAACCAGATCAAGAAGACCACCTACGCTGCCTCATCCCAGATCCGTGCCATCCGTCGCAAGATGACCGAGATCATCCAGCGCGAAGCAACCACCTGCACCCTCGCCCAACTCACCGGCAAACTCATCCCCGAGGTCATTGGCCGTGAGATTGAAAAGTCCACCCAGGGCATCTACCCCCTGCAGAACGTCCACATCCGCAAGGTCAAGCTCCTCAAGGCTCCCAAGTTCGACCTCGGTGCCCTCTTGGGTCTCCACGGTGAGAGCTCCACCGATGATGCCGGCCAGAAGGTCGAGCGCACCGACTTCAAGGAGCCCGCTCCTCTTGAGAGTGTTTAGATGAACATGGTGGTGTTGGGGTGGTGCTACGGGCAAGGAAACAGTTTGGTGAAGGCTGGTGAAGAAGAATAGGACGACAATGACCATGATGCGTGTGTGTGTATGAGGGGGTTGATGCAAGCCAACCGCTCGCGTTCCCCCATCATTGCCCTTTTGATCGGAGATGAAGCGGGTTCGGATGGCTAGTGGATTCCGAGTTCGATGTCAAAAGGGTTTCGAGCATCAATGTCAAAAGCAAACATCATCATGGCCTCGACATGCACCTCAAAAGTGTCGTGTCAAGACCATGGCCAAACAACAATAACATCAATCTTGCTGCAGCATGTTCAGGGGCAGAACGCAAAGTCATGGGTGTTGTGTTCGATCGGCACGACCACCATACGTCTTTGTTACTGCTGACGGCGCTGAGTCAAGACCCATGCTAGATATTTAGCATAGCATTGTGTCAATCACTGGAAAAAAACGAATTGAAAAAACTATCCAAGTCCTCTCTCGTGTGTTTGTGTTTGTGACAATGTCGTGTTCTTTGTGGGACCTCTTAAATCCGTGTTCTGAACAAACGCTGTGTGTGATTCCCCCTTTATGATCTTCGAGCCGGCTCTAGAGTCTGCGTTCTCTTTATAATGATACTACTATACAGCTGGACCCCCGGGCCAAGGGGGTACCTGCGCGGTAGATTGATTACAAGTGCGAGGAACTTTTTGGCTGATCCTCTTCCAAGCCAAAGCAAGTACTTGTTGGTCGGTCAGCTGTCAGTCGATCAATCTTGATCCACGACCCTGCCAATCCACTCAACCACTCCAGAGCGAAACTCTTCAAATTTTTCCGACATGACCCAATGACCGCAATCACAATCCAACAGTTCAAACCGTGGAAAGAACCGTCCTATCAAGGGCAGCGCCTCATCCGAGACGTAGTGACTCTTAGTTCCTCGCACCACCAGAGTCGGTCCCTCGTATCTAGCCTTTTCAGGATCTTTGAACGGGAAATCGCCTAGTGACGGCAAGGCCTTGGCCAAGGTCTGCAACGGGATGCGAAATCGATATTCTAACTGTGGACGCGAGTCCTTGGTGTTCTTGTCGTCTTCGGTATTATCAGCCGCCCGCTTAGGCATCTTGACCAGATTGGTCAACAAGAAAGCCCGGATGGCGGGATCCTTCTCATATTTCTGTAGGATCTTGTCCGCATCACTCTGTTTCTCAATCTTGGGATCTCTCTGGTCCTCGATCTCCTTCATGGCCCTGACGTATTTGCCAAAGTCGGATCTTAGCGCCGCATCGACCGGAGCATTGTCCACGGGGATCAAAGCGGAGTATGCGTCAGGCGACCGGAGTGCCATGGTCATGGCCGTTTTGGCACCCATCGAGTGCCCGATCAGGATGGGTTTTTGAGATCGTAGTTTATGTTGGCCAAGGAAATGTTCCACGTCCTGCGCCATGGCTGTGTAATCATGTCTGCCGATATGTGGGCTGTCGCCGTGGTTCCGGAGGTCAAGATTGTAGACGGGCCGTAACAGATCTTTGGCTAGGACTCTGTAGGGGTGTGCAAGTGTTAGAGCGAGGGAGAATTTGCCAAATCGTGATATGCCTGAGTATTCCACTGGTGTTTCCTTACTTACTCATGGTGCGATTATTTCGCTGAGACCCGAACAAGCCATGCATGAGGATGATAGGCGGCCTAGACTTGTCTGGCTGGCTCGGAGGGTCATGTCTCTGGAAGGCCAGGTCTACCACCTCGCCCACAGCCGGTGTTGTTGAGAAGCGTCGCTGTGATATGTGGGTATAACTCCTCGATGGGAGCTTGAGAGGGGCACGCATTGTGGTGCGTGGTTGGGAGACGACAAAGATGTCAGAGTCGAGGTGGGTAGAGTCGGTAGCTGGTGTCGTGTCCCTGCTAGACTCCTATGTTGAGATATACCATGGCTGCGTTGGGGTGTCAATTTTATGATACAAGGAAAAGACGGCGTTGAGAGGTTGAAGTCATAATAAAGAGGTTTGGGACAAACTTTCCCAAATTGGTAGTAGTGTTGTTCTGCATTTGGAGGCTTTTGGGAGATAGAAATACATACTGGAGGCGAGTTGATGAGTTCTTCGACAATCACAAAGTATGCTTGAGACTGTTGCAGAGTAGTGATCTTACAGTTGTCTATAATATACAAGTGGTTCTATACTAATATACAGGGTCTTGTTTTCTATTTCCTCTCGCAACAAAGAGCATCAAGCCACACCATATGTCGGAGCAGTAAGGTTATAACAACCGTAAAGGGAAATGCCTCTAGAGACTTCGTTGGGTATCCTGAGAACTTGAAGTCGATATGAGTTGATGGATGCAGGTCTCATACTCCTCCGAGATCCTCCCAGTGCGTGACCGGATTTGATCCTTCACCAGTGAAGGGCAAGAAAGGAGGCATATCGCCAAACGCCCAGCACATTGGCATTCTGTTCCCTTGCTAGCTTGGCCCATTGTCGCATGGAAATCGTTCATCCACAAGAATGCTCCAGCAAGGGGCTGCATGCATCCCATCATTGTCATCCAAGTCTGTACGCAGCAAGCCGAACATGTGGGCCTGAAAGGGGTCGGGCCAAATGATGTATCGACGGTCTTGTGGATGTCGTACTTATACTTCAGCCACGTTCAGTCGTTCAGACCTTTGGTTCGCTGGCGTCATGGCAAATATCATGCCATCAGCCAGCTAGTCCAAGGTTCTTTTTGACCAATTCGAAAGTAATTGATGATTTTGCATGTGCTTTCTGTGCGCCGAGGTGCATTTCGTCGCGCAGGACGGGGTTATGTGGATCCATCAACTCCCGGAACCTAGATCGGATTCCAGAAAGCTCATTTATAACAGCCTCGGCCACAAATTCCTTGAACGCACGCATCGAGCTGTTCTGATGGTCCTCAGCGATGGTTTTGCATGACAGAGGACTGTTAGTCATATGCTTCAAGATCTCCACCAGGTTGGATACCCCAGGACGTCGTTCTGGATCATAGGAGATACCGGCTTCGGAATCGGTGACAGCACCTTTGATCTTGGCAAAGACATCAACAGCCGAGTCTGTTATCAGGATTCTCGACTTTGGATCCTCGTCGGATTTGGACATCTTTTGTGAGGGCCGCTTTAGAGACATGATTCTCTTACCCTCGACTGATACGGTCAGTATTGAGTGTGCGTTCATACCAAATCGCATGACTCACCAAGAACAGCCGATGGGATGTTAAAGACAGGATCCCCACCATGTTGGGTCAAATAAGAATTAAAGCCTCGGGCTAGATTGCGAGTAAATTCAACGTGCTGTAGTTGATCTTCACCAACGGGAACGAGAGATGTCCTTTGCGATTGTTAGCGGGATTCTATGAAAATCTCTACGTGGTCCACTCACTGATAGAGCAAGATATCGGCGGCCTGTAAAACAGGGTAGGAGAAGAGACCAAGCTTCAGTTTCGCAGTGGCTTCTTCACTGTGCAAATTCACGCTTTCGTCCAGGTTCAATTTGCTCTGATATACCGCGTTAGTACCATCCTCAAAAGCTCCTCCCGGGGAATCATACCTTCCATTGAGTCATGCGAGACAAGTATCCAGTAGATGCAATGGTGCTCAAGATCCACATAAGCTCGCTATGATGAGGAATCTTTCCAGAAAATCAGCACAAAGGTCATCAGGTTGTAGAGGGCAAGGGCCATTCACATCTGATTGGAAAAACACGGCTGTGGACGACTGATTAGTCAAGCCCATTGCCAATAATGAGGCATATGACTCTTTTCTCAAGATGGCCCTCTGCTGACGCGGAATGGCGGAAGTCAAAGCATGTAGATCAACAATGGAGAAATACTGCTCCGTGTCCAGGCCTCCGACCAGTTGAGGGTTCATTGACTGCTCATGGTACTGCTTCCACTGTCGAAGCGCACCTATGTAATTGCCGAGGTGTGGGATTCCTGTTGGCTGGATTCCCGAGAATATCACTCTACCGGAGCGACCGAGAGGACCTCCTGAAGCTCGAGATCCATGGGAACTTGAAGGCTGACCCGATGCTTCTTCGAATGAGTTCGCCACAAAACCAGGAGAGGGACCGACTCTCTTCACACCGCCACCAACTCCACCACCGGCATTGAACTGTTGCCAATTGACTTGACTTTGCTGCCTGCAGGAATCAGAGCTGGCTGAGAAGCACCTTGCAGAAAGAGTTATGAGTTTTGGTCTAACGGCAAAGATCCCGCGAGACGAGCGAGATATGCTCGCGGGCATTTCAGAAGATGCGTAAGGAGCGAACGCACACTAGACAAGGTGCATTAAATAAAAGCAACATTGAAGTTGTGGAAAGATCCCAAGGACAACAATAATGAACAAGAGTATCAACTGATTAAAAAGGTGGATGTACCTAGGTAAGGTAATTTTGGACAAAACACGCCAAGATGAAAAATACACTTGAACCAACACCAATATCCTTCGGTGTTTGGTATCTGCAATACTCAGCCTTCTCGATCACGTGTTTGATTGGGGTCACGATATACATCATCGCTTATCTACCTACTGTGGTGAATCGTCTCATCAAGTCTACCCAGACCTTCTTCTGGACTATCAAATCATAAAAAGGTCTGTTACTGAGGTTCAAGCCTTTTCCCAAGCCTGTTTGATCAGATCTCCAGCCTTTTCGCCAATGCCATATGCCGGCATTTGTGTATGGCCGGAGTGCAATGTTGGCATCACACTGCAGTCAGCCACTCTCAGTCCCGTCACTCCGCGGACCTGCAATTTTTCGTCCAACACGGCTTCCTTGTCATCCGAGCGACCCATCTTGCAAGTCCCAGCCGCGTGGTAGCACGTGGTTGCGTTCTGCTTGACGTGAGAAATCCACTCATCTCGCTTGGTGAATGTGTGATGGAGAGCATCTGTAAAAGTGTGAGTTGAAATAAAAGAGAGGGGAGGGAGTGTTTCCCTCTGGTACGGATGGTACTCACTTTGCGGCCATGACCCCTTGACAACGTCCTTGGTCCCTGCACCCTGAAGCACAATCTCATTGCCGAGTTGACATCCTTCGGTCAGGACCAGAAGATCCAACGGATCAGAGAGGTAGTTGCAATCGATCACTGGATTCTCAAATGGATCCGTCGACTTCAGGGTGACTGTGCCTCTCGATCGTGGGGAGAAAAGTTCCGTGATCATTGCAAACGCATGTTTTTTATCTACACTCTCGGTGAGTCATTCTGTCGTTTTCTTTCGATATGATACAACTCACCAATAGGGAAATCGGCATACTGTTTGGGGCCTCCATATAGCTGTCTCCGTCAGAATAGTCACAAAAGTTAATGAAGAATTCACTTGCCTCGGTCGTGAAGAATTCTATATTTGGCTGTTTCTTAGTCAAGCCCATGGGATCACGACCTGGCTCTGTCTTTGCCTGGCTCCAGACAGGGTCGTCCTTGAGCCGCTCGTCGAGCCTCGCGAATGCAAAGGCTCCGAATGGAAACGACGACAGTACGCCAGTCTTGTGCTCCTTGTACTGCATGTACGAAGCCGTCGCTGCATCGTCGTGGTATCTGCATGAAGTCAACATCAGGCGAGTCCGAGTCATGCAGAGGAAGTGCATACACAAGGTGATCATTGGTGAGGCCTTCTTTCTCAGTCTCGTAGAAGGTGAAGACAATCTGTTGCATGTCAGGCGGTATCCTTCTAAGAGAGAAACAGTGATACGCACAAGGTGATCCAGCAGATTTTGTCCTACGCCGGGGGAGTCGACAATAGTCTTAATCTTCAATCGATCAAGATCTTCTTTCGGGCCAACACCAGACCGGAGCAGAATAGCAGGCGAGCAGTAGGTGCCTTGACCCTGTCAGTCATTCGGACAATCTGTTGATCTCTTGCCAGGAACCTACCCGAGGAAAGGATGATTTCCTTGGTGGCTTTGACCTCACGCTTCGCTCCGCTTTTGTCAACAAGGCTAACACTGGTCGCGTGAGGGCTTCCATTCTTTTCGACAAAGTTGACCTTGTCAACCAGCGTGTCGACGGCAATATCAATATTGCTCCTATGGTAATCATTTGTCACAAAGTCGGCGCCCGTGGTTCTGATCCCTTTGTGGTGGGTTCTCGGGACGTGTCCGCAACCATGCGGCGTTTCACCAGTGCTGAACATGTCGGGAACTAAGGGCAGGCCCTGAGACTCCATTGACTTGAGCAGCAGTTGAGAAATCGGAGCTAGGTCGTATGGTTCGGTGTGCAATGGTCCACTGTATCCGTGGGCTTTCTCATCGGCTTGAAACCATGGTTTGTTGTGAAATGTTTCCGACTGGACACCAAATCTTCAATCAGACCACTGACTCGTCTAGGACCCTCGCCTGAGACAACATACCTTTTCCATGTATTTGAAGAATTCATCTCCAGACCATCCTTGAAGACTAACAGTGATAAGTCGACGACCTTTTTCTGGTCGAGTGCCACTTACTCCCAGTCATCGTAGTCTTGTTTGCAGCCCTTGATGCATAGGGTGCCATTGACTCCTGAAGAACCGCCGAGGAACTTTCCTCTGCTCAATTTGACCTGCCTGTTATCGACGCCATGCATGGGCTCCGTCACCAGATTCCAATCTGTTTCGCAATCAAAGTTCTTGGACCATCCTAGAGCGCACGGCGGGGGTCAGATGAGCAAGGTCAAAGAATCTCATGGGAGGCTGTACCTCCGACCATATGAACATTCTCAAGGTCCTTATTATGAGGTCCAGCTTCGACCAGCAAGATTCGAGTGTTGGGGTTTTCGGCGAGTCGACCAGCTACAACACAGCCCGACGTGCCGCCCCCGCAGACGATAAAGTCATATTCATCGTGCTCTGTCAACAGACCTGGTGACATTTTGAATAGGTGTATAGTGTTGTTCTCGTGACTACAATAGGTATCAAAGCAGAAAGTGCCGCTGGCGACTATCCTACAGAGGAATCACCTATAAAATGCAAGTAATTACGGGGCAAGTGCCGTGCGACATAGTTCCGCGATTCCCACGTAAATGGCCAGCTACAGTATACTGTGGACGTCTGCACCTCGATCACGGTCCGGGGTTGAGGGGTTGATCAATCAGTCCCAGCGAGCTTGAGGGGCCCCGCGATCGACGCACAGGCGAATCCTGGGACTCGGACGGAATTGTTCCATGGTCGTTGTGGGTGATTCCCTTCGTTTATTGATAGAGAGTTTGGCTAACAAGGAGAATGCATGAGAATATCCGAGGCAATGTCTCACTCACTAGCACCCACATCAGCCACGACTTAAACACGACAGATTTGGTATCAGCATCGAACTTGTATTGTGGGTCAATCAATATCAGGGCACGGCAACGGCACACTGAATGTACTGGCTGAATCGCGGCCTATCTGGAGATCTCACAATGGTATCCATATAAGCCCCGTCCCATGGGGCGGGTAATTATATATAAAAGTACAGTAGGGTGGTTGCAACGGGCCATCAAGATAGAGCTCGCTAGGTGTCCCTGGGGACTGCCAAAGGCCAACTCAAATGGCAAGGCATCTATAGCACATCTCCCTCCGTACTTGGCTCGCCAATCCTCGACTTGTCCCGGACGTCTGTTGCCCCGACACCAGGGCCACGGACGCCTTGTTTCAACATCATCCGGAGAAGGTCGCGATTGCCTGCAGCAGCCTGGTTGAACCCGTACAACCGAAGCTTCTCGTCAAGCTCTTTTTCAAGCTCGTTGAATTGTTTGTCCATAGTCTTGGCAACGTCTATCATAGAAATAGCGATGGTCAGCATCATGTTTCGAACGAGAAAACGACATGGATCACGGAGAATGCTTCTTCCCTCGTGCAACATAGTGAACGGTGGAGAGCAGAAAATGTTGAACGCTGCAGGAGAACAACTCACCCAGTCCTTCAAATGACCACACGTTGGCCTTCATTCCCACGCCGTAGAACTGCCACTTCCGGATAAATGCTAACCAAGTCTCTACCACACTTGGGTGACCATCATACACTGTTAACAGTCGCCTGCGCGTGATTCTCTCAAAATTTTCCTGAGTCTTCTTGAAGATGAATGGAGATTTCGGCACAGTCCAACGCTCAATGATCTTTGGTAGTGGCACTGGGCCTGAGAGAGGAAGATTCAGCCAGTAGGCTGCGCGCACGGCAAAATCGGCAAAAAATTCGAGGTTGCGGACGCTGTAGGATCGAAGTTGCAAGGAAGCCACGGGGATGCCGTGGGTGGGCGGGTGTCGTACCGCGGTTCGGAAGGCTGCGAGGACATTGGGAGGAACGTTGACAGTATCCGGGTGAAGAGAGTTAGGCGTGTTGTGTGAATCAGGAGTGGGAGGTTTTGTTTCGGTTGACGTGTCTTTGGATTTGGGCTTGCCTGTCGAGCTCACACGAGGCTGCTTTGCGGCATTTCGCACATGTGGCCCTTCCTGACTGGCAGAAATCACGATGCTTTGAGCAATGGCACGGGTGTTGTCGCTTTTTGCATCTGACAGCGGCGATGTGTCCTGAGACTTGGCTGGCTTGACTGCTTGTGCATTCTCCTGCGAGTCCTCTTCAATCTCCATTATTTTCCTCGAACCGACCTCTGGCGTGGGAAATCCTGATGTGATGTCTTTCGGGGCATAGTACTTGGGCCCGGTCGAAGCGAACTGGCGTACTCTGTGTGATGATGGCTCCGATACCCGAATGCGAGTTATGAGACTGGAAGACTAGATGGAGATTAGCTCATACCCGCCGCATAGCGCCAAATCACCGGGGGAAGAGAAATTCGAGGCTCTTTCAGAAACATAGTGTTGGAAAAGGACAGCAGTCGCGATGGTCGTACCTTGCATGGTCGACACGTTTCAATAGCTGTCCGCAGACAGCGCGGAGTGGCCATCTTGATGCCAACACTGTGATATAAGAAGTTTTCAGTCCGAACGAGGTCTCCGATACTCTGATAGCTCTTGTTGAACCTCACTCCAGGTTTTCTTGAAAGGGCTCGAGTCAAATGCCGCGCCCCATACTCGAGACTGTGAAGTTCTCTGCTTGGGGAATCTGTGACTGCGTCTGGCACCTGATGCTTTCGAGACTCCGAAAAAAGATGTTGGTCTTGGCGTTTCGACATGGGGTCGAAGCGTGGGCCTCAGATCACGTGCACAATCACCTCGCCATCTCTTTAAGGACGAAGCCTCACACGTCGACACCCTATGAGGCTTATTCCCTCTTTGCGAAAGAACGTACAATGACGGTGTGATGCCACTCAAAGACCGTCTTGTTGAGTTGTTCAGAAATAGGGAGAGGATGGGACTCTCAGGACAACCCCAACTGTCTCTATCGAAAAGAAGAGTTGACGATACATCAAGTTCAGTCAGCTGGATACCAGAGTTGGTTCAAGCTACGAAAGCTTACGCAAGAGCTTCTGATTTCAGATTAAGATGGCTGGGTAGCGCCCGAGTTGGACTTTGGTGTGGTTCAGGCAAGAGAAGAAAAGTTCTTCGAGCTTTATATCCAACAGCATGGCCCAGATCTTTCTGTTGAAAAAGCAAAGGATCTTTGGTTCTATCATCGAACACGACGCTAGTCATTAGTGAAGCACCGCAAGTCAATTCGGGCGGTGCTTTCGGTGCGTTTGACGGACTTCCTCTTCGACATCGTGCCATCGCTTCATTGAACAGGGGTCCTTCAGGAAAGAAATCTCTCGAAATGATTTATTCATATTATATGCTCGGTCAATTAGAGCATCATCATTGCATTGCTGCCTAACACTCTAGATTGCCGTATTGGCCCATGCATCAAAGCTGGCAACTTCATTAGAAGAAGGTATGGTTCATGTTCGTCCATATCGTCATCATCGGACCAAATGCCCGGGGAAATTCATACATTCTTGTCCTCATAACCAAATTCTGGTTGACGACTAATCCAAGTCAATTAGAAAAGTGTAGCCCATCCAACAGTGCCTGCCATAGACAAGAAAGAAAGAAAACTTGGGAAACACGATGCCTTCCGAGACAATCCTGAGTCTGGATCCAATTCGAAGGATGCACCCCCGATCAAAAAGTCCTCATTTGCCATTGTAGGCATCATTTTGGTGCGCGAGACATCAAGCTGACGTCAAAACAAAGAAGTATTGCTCCGACCTCCCAGTGAAGGTCGCTGAACGTGATGTGTACCAGAAGATTGAATAGACGATTCTCCAATTCTTCCAAAGCCCTGAGTCAGGTCAAATTCTTCGTCATTATCGAAGCTGTCATTTTCGAAAGAATTGAAGTCAAAGAGGTCGGTGTGCTCGTAGCTCTTGATGACATTGTCAATTGGTGCCCCAAACGGGGAGCCAGTGAACGAGGCTTGCAAGCTGGATTTCAGCATGCTTGAGCGTGTTGGAGTTTTGCTGTACGCCTTTTGTGCATTTCCGGCGGTGTCTACCAGCGCATTTGACACGATGGCTCGTGTGCCAGTCATCCGGTCATCCGCAGGTCTCAAAGGCGAGGAAAACGCAGGAGTGTACGGGGTTCCGACATTGACGGGGTCAGAGAAAATCTCAAAGTTGGAATCCTCAATGTGGCTCGAGGGCACGACTGGTGGAAAGACAAATGGGCTACCACTGCCGACCCACATGCCGGAGCCCTTCATGGGAGAGTTTGCAAAGTCTTGCATGGCTTTGCGATGATAGTGTAGCTGGGTGTTGGGAGAGATAGAAGGGGGCGGTCGCTGGGGTCTCTTGAAACGCACTGCAGGAGTCATAGGATTGACCAAAACATTGGGACTGACGCGCACGGGAGAAGAGGATTGCTGACCATCTTGTGCAGGAACCATGAACCTGATGTGGCTCGGGGTCATATCGTGAGACGAGCCTCGGAGACGTCGAATCTCGTTTTCGGCACGGCCTTCTCGCTTTGTCCTTCCATGCTCCGTATCAAGCTCAGAGGTCAGCACGAAGGCAGTCTTAGGGCGCATTGCGGATGATTCGATAGATGAGAAGTATCCACTGTCGTCCACCTTGGACAATACGCGTCTTGGTCGTGGACCGGACAATGGCTTTTGCATTCGCGCAGTAGGAGAGGAGATATTACGATGGTGGTTGGAAGTGGTCATGGGTGGTGACGAGTTGATGGCGTCAGGAGGAGATGACTTCGGTTGGGTCGGTAGCACACTATCATCGAGCTCTACCGTCTCGTTGTCATTTTCGTGGAGTGCAGGGTCCGAGGCAGGAACAGTGGCATCCGATGAAAGATCGGGCAGAGGAGGAGCTGTCTGTGGCCGTGGGGGCTCACTGGGCAAACTGATGAATTGATTCGGTGCCAGGGCATCGGAGACAGGCTGTGGGACCTTTACAGATTCCGATCGTGTCATCCCTGGCTGGACCAGCACATGCGACATGTTTCCACGACGATTCTTGTCTTTGAAGAATTGACCTTCCATGCCCTCTTCGATCATCCAATAACAACCCTTTCCGGCGTCGCCTTTTGGTCTCTCCTTCTTGGTGAAAGCTTTGTGCAATGAAAGGTTGTGTCTGATACTGTTATGCCAACTCTGTTTGGTGTCTTCACGATAGTAGGAAAAGGTTTTTGAGATCCAGTCATAAATCTGAGACAGTGTCAACTTTCGAGTAGGAGATCTGAGCAAGGCCATGCCAATCATCTGAGCATAGCTATAATTTGGCTTGTTGCCATCATCCACGATTAGAGGCATGTCTTCTGGGGCAGGGATCTCCGCTGTGGCATCCTCGTCAGCCTTTGCCTTTTTGAAGGGTCGAGCGTTTGGAACTTGAGCGTCCGAATATGATCGCTTGAGCGTCTGCTTTCCCACGTAGGATGGTTCTGGAAAGTCAACAAAATTTTCGTGTGTGGCGGAAGCTGGATGGAGGTTTTGCTGGTCATAGGGGTCGAAGTTGCTGTTGAACGTTGTGAACATTGACTGCGGCCGTAGCATTTGGGAGTTGGGTCGATATTGTTGTGGGAGTGGCATGGGTGCTCGCTTGATTGGGGATCCGGCGTAGACTGCAGGGGCGGTATGTGGAGGGGGAATTGAAACATAGTTCATGTTTGCATAGTAGTTCTCTGCACGCATTATGGCCTGCATATCATTCTTGATCGGGGATGCAGGGTGCTCAGAGGCCATGGGTGTGCTGAATACCATAGCCGGACTGTGATGGGAGTGATGAGAATGGTGGGTCGAATGCGAGGGAGGATTGTGAATATCTTGTAGAGGCATTGCGGATGGTTGAAGTTGAGGACGAGGTTTGGTGTTCCTGCTGGGGGAGGAATTGGAGGGTACGGTCACCCGATCCTGATGGATGTGGAAGTACGGCGGTTGACGCGTCGGCGGCATGGTGGTGAGTTGTCTGGAAGTCCAGGAAGACTGGAGGAACCAGGAAAGAGGTATTCGAGGTCGAAGTCGCGTGGATAAAGGTGAAATTCGATCAAAGGCAGGCCCATGGACTGTCTCGACCTATGTGGAAAGATGTGAGCCACTTGGGTCTCGATCTGCACGGCTGGCTAGGCTCGCACGTCTGTGAATCCAGGAAATAATGTAATAATGGAGATGGGCGTCTGTGGTAGCAAGGAGAGATTTGAAGGGTGTCAAGAGACCGAAGTGGTGGCTCAAGTTGCGGGACGTGTCTGTGCGGTAAGAATGGCAAAGAGGTGGTGTGGACTGGAGCCCTCTACGGTGGTCGGATCGAGGGGTGCCAAGTATGAATGCTGGCAAAGGCGGTCCAAAGGGATGGAATAGCAACTTCAGATAATTGAGGATGGAATTAACCAAGAGAATGAAGCATGGTTTCGAACATAGAATGAGCAGTCGCGAGTGAGGTTGGTATGTTTACACGAAGCGTGTCATAAAATCGATTGAGGAAGGTGGGAGGGTTTGGGGCGGTCAGCAGATGCAGGTGCAGGTGAGAATGGGCTGAGAAGGCGAGTGGTGGGCAGTAGAGAGAGGGACAAGACTTGGGGAAGTTGAGCGAGGGCGAGGGCGAGTTAAAAGAGGGCTGAAAAGTTAAGAATCCAAGTGCTTCCAGGCTTCGTGGCGGGCAACTGCAGGAAAAGGTTTTTCGGCAGAGCAGGGAACTCGTTCGGCTGACTGGGCTGAGTGGCCGTCGATGAGGGATGGTAGCCGGAGATGAGAGCAGAGACCAAGAGTCAAGCAATTACTACTACTGCTACTACCACCTCAAGTGGTCAGCTACCGCAGTACAGAGTTACCTAATTATGTGAAGTGAATGAATGATGGAGTCGTTGAGGATATGGGATATGCGGGTTCGTTCCTGCCGATGCCAACGTGACGCGCGACGTCGTAAGGTCAAGACCAGGCGGCCTGATTGAGGGCGCACTGGTCGCGGAACGCGCTCCAACGTGACTTGCCTAAGCCGAAATTGGGTCTAGCGCCATCTCTCTAGGGCCAAGGCCATCTTCGTCATCCAATCCCATGCCGCTGGGGCTCTGGATCCACCCCAATCTGAAAACCCACCCTTTATCCCGCCCGTTGTTCGTTGTTCGTTGTTCGACCCTTGAGGTCAATTGTCCACATCCAATCATTCTCAAATCTTGAATGACGTGAAATGCTGAAAGGCTTCCACATATGTCGCCCGCCTGAAGGGCATTGGTGCTTATTGCGTGGCCATGTCATTTTATCGACGATCTTCAGAAGAGAAAAGCGTTCACGGACCCGCCCTGTCTCATTGGCTACGCCACTGGTGGGTGATAGTTGGCTATCGTGGCTGTACTCAACTACACAATAGATTCCACTACCAACTTCTTCATGTCTCTGACCCGCGACGCGTCCTGCAGTTTCCGGATGTCGCTTGCAATGAACAGCCCACTTCCTGAGCCCGCACTCCTCTTAGTATCCGAGGTCGATTCCTGTTCCCTAGCCATCCATGTCGCCGGACTATCTATCGATGGGGTTGAAGACGACCGCTATCACGAGACTTCGTTGAAGCTGCCTGATCTTCCGCATGGGATTTGAAAGCTGTCTGGCTGTTCCGCTTGAACTGTCACTGACATTCCCGACTTCACTTGTGGAGGTGTGACAGGGGTGGGTTCAAAGTGCTTTCTATTTGACGTCTGTCAGAACCCACTATTCATCCGTGGCAATGCTGATCCAGACACATCCGTCTGATCAAGTCATGTCTGGCGCAAGTATTCTCAGCTGCTGGCGCTGCTTCTTTGCTGTCAAATCAAGATATAATTCCCGAGCCAATCTGTGGCATTTCCACCGCGAGATTTTATGAGCCAGCCAAATCTGGTCATTCCACACCAAAATGCTTGCTGACAAGTTCCGTTTTTGATTACCGGGTAGATCAATGTCCAAGTATTCAGGAAGATTTCGGTCTGGTCCGCTCAAACGCCCCCAAATGCCGCTTCTTCGCTTCTAACCGTACGAGACCCATTGCTTCATGTATCCAGGAAAGTGAATAGATTTGTGTGCAAAATGTTCAACGCCCGGTCCGCGTCTCGCTCTTCGATGACGCAGGTAATGTTGATCTCACTGGCTCCTTTGTGACTGGTCAGTATGCTCAGTTCTTCTTCCAAACAGTGCGCCTGCACATACCTTGCGAGATCATCTCGATGTTGACGTTGGCCTCGCCCAGCGTGGCAAACATCTTGCCTGCGACTCCGACCATATTCTTCATTTGCTTCCCAACCAGGCTGACGATAGCCATCTCCGGGATGACGTCCACCGTGCCAAAGCTTTGGAGCTCTTCGATAGCACCCCGTAAGTCCTGGTCCACAATCTGGTATTCATCATCGCCTCCACCGGTGTACAGCGGAGCTTCTGAATGGAGGGCCATAGACATGTTGACCTCGCTAGTCGAGATAACATCGACCGACAAGCGCCACTTGTCCAGAGTGGCGAAAATGCCGGCAAAGAAGCCATGTGACAAGGATCTTCTGTTGGAGTGGATGTTCATCACGAGAATCTTGTGTTTCATCGTCACCGCCGTTGGCCGCTTGGGTCCTTGACTCTCGGCCAAGTAGCTCGTGCTTCGTGACCTGAACAGTTTGGGGTCGTGGCCTGACGAGGCGGAGCTCAACTCTGATGGCGAGTCGGGGTAAATGATAGTGCCGCTCCCGCGAGGATTCATCACGTTCTTGATCCTGATGGGGATCCGTGCTCGAATGACCTGGTCCATGGTGGAGGGATGTATGACCTCAGAACCATAGAATGTAAGTTCGGCTGCTTCAGCTGGGCTGATCTGAGGGATCAACTGGGCAGTAGGGACCTTTCGAGGGTCGGCAGTGAAGATTCCATCCACTTCTTTCCAGATCTGCAATTCATGCGCTCGAGTTCCTACAGCAACCAAAGCGGCACAAAGATCGGTATAGCCTCGACCAACCGTAGTGAGAAGGCCGCGAGGGATAGAGCCAAAATAGCCGGTGATGACAGGCACTTTGCCCGAGATATTCTCCAACTTTCTGTGTAAAGCGGCTGCCACATTGTCATAAAATTGCTGATCCAGACTGTGCGGAACCTTGAAGTCGATGATATCAGCGAGGTCAATGTACGTGGCCTCGACATCTCTGTCTTGTAGCAAAGCAGTCATGAATCGGCAGCTCAATTTTTCGCCCGTGCTCATGACCTTGTCTCTCGACCTGGGGCTGGTCTCGCCCAATGTCTGGGCAGCTTCGAGTATGCGGGCGACTAAATTACACTCCTCCTCAACCTCTTCTTTGAACCGAGAACGGATAACCTCGGACTGAATAAAAGTATCGGCCGTTTCGAGATGGTCGAGCCGGACATCTTCGATCAAACGCTTATAATCGTAACTTTTGTGATTTTCTGCTTCTGTGGCGGCGCGCAGTAATCTGTTGGTGGTGCCGGCAGCTTTCGTACTGCTAGATCTCTGTTGGACCGAAAAAAGTCAGTTGTGCACGAATGACCTGATGCAGCGTGGGTGAGTCATACCGCTGAACAGACAATAGCCACATCGCTTTGTTGTAAACTAGTTTTGACTACGTTGACAATATCTTCGGGAAATTTTCCAACGCTTGTGCCTGGGAAAGGTCAGACACTCGGTCACGAAAACTCAGAGCGGGTGTACAGACCGCCAAATTTGAGAATATTGAAGGGCTTTGTAGCAGGGGTTGAGGTGCCGCTTAGAGGGGCATGACTGGAGATGGCGCCGTTCAGAAGACGACCGGATGTCATGATTGTAGCGGGGATCGGGAACTTGAGACAGACTGGAACATGCTTCAAGAATATCCCAATATCTAGTATGTCTGAATGCGAAGAATAATAAAGGCTGAGATGAGATGACAGGGAGGAAACGCAGTTAGAACATGCCACTGACAGACAGGAGAGTTGAACGAGTGACTTGCTCATGCCGCCGCCAGTTGTGGGTGGGCTGGACTTCTGGCGCCATCGGCAGAATAAAATTTGTCGGGCGGTGAAGAATTTCATAGGCTGTGATTGCTTGGTCCCTGGGGCGGAGGGGTTAGTCCTGCCTCTCTGGCCCCTCGGCCATCCTCATCCCATGGATTGGCTCGTAAATGGCCTAACCTAACAGGCCATCTGCCGAGCGAGCGGTCAAGGATCGGAGTATTGATGAATCACCCTTGGTCCGCGGGGTGTATCCATCAAATCGGGACCTTGTCATGCTGACCTTATGTTCAACAGTACGAGGAGAATAGTTATACGAGGGTCTATTAATGGTTCCCACAACCAGGAAAATACGAGGGTCATGAACGCCTAAAGATAGCCATTGTATGATCATATGGTAATATAATGGAAGAGTCGACTGTTGTGATTGTAGTTCCACGAGGCCCCAAAGATCTCGAACCCATGTCCGAGGGCAGCACTGGGGCCATTCGTTACACAAGTAGGTAGCCGCATGTAATTAAGTCAATCGCCGAGTACCTGAATTACTCGGTTTACTCAGTTTAACCACAAGTACCGAGGGATTTACTAGACTTGTACCTGACCGTGTCTCTTCCCTACACATATGCATCCACAGATGCTCCTTATGCATGCCTTACTCACATATGTCAGTCTCTCGTGACTATTGTCACTCTTGAGGATGGAGAACATTCCCTTGTGCTCTCTTGGCATTCTGGTGAGCAAAATGAATTGCTTGTGTTGTTCCTCGATTTCCCCCAGGCATGCAACTTAGCCGGGCTGTATTGCCTGATTATCTAATAATGCAGCCCTGCGAACGGCAACACAACTTCACACAATACCCTTTGTATGCGTCCACCCACCCACTCATATTGATAACGACATGTAACTATGCATTTTTACTAGTTCCTCGACGTATTGCATGTCAGCCCATCTGGGCGGTTCGTTAGGAATAGCAAACAGCCCAACAATCAATCTCAGCCGGGGATGACACACACCCTGGTCATCTTAGTCTCACAACAGTCATGGCCTTCAGGCCTCAGGATGCTGAGGATGAATCTCTTCGATGTCCATTCTGCAGCTTCGTAACTGATGAATTTGACGATCTTCAAAACCATGTCGACAGATCTCATGCTGAATCTGATGTCGGCGGTTCTGCTCAGTCTTGGAACTCTTCGACCGCTCACTTGAATGATTTCGAGTTGGCGCAGCTCCTCGCCTTTGAGGAAGCAGGCTTACCATCAGAGCTGGCGTTGTCCGAAAATTCCAACGCACCTGCCAGACCCGGCCAAGGCCCCGAGGAAGCCACGATGAACCCCAGGGATGATCTACCAAACCCAAAAGTAGGTGACCATGAAACCCCGTCATGGGTCCCATGTATCTGCGGTGAGCGCGTTGACATGCTCGAGTTGGACGCTCATGCCGACATGCATGCTCAGGAAGATGTCTCAGCGACTGACGTCGATCTTGTTCTCGAGGAGCGTCACCCTGCCCAACTTTCCAACGGCTTCACTACCACGATATCTCAAGCTTTGCGCAATCAAGAACAACTGCAGTCCAGGACCCCACCGAAGAATGGCAGAACACGGATTTCTCCTCTTAAAGAGATGTTCCTAGGCACTTCCTCGTCCCCCAAACGGAGCACACCCTATAAAGCGGTTGTATCCAAACAAGGCAGGTCCAAACGCTTGGGGGTAAGTCATGGACACTATTATAGGTGATTTGAATGGCCGGCTCACAATCTCTAGCGAGCTGAATTAGGTCCTTTTGCGCACGAGAAGCAGATGCCGGATTGGTTAGAGCGCATGCTCGAAGACGGGGCCAAAACCTCCATCATTAACAGAATCGGACCAGATGGTCTGCTGAACCGGGTAGAAGTCGTTGCCAATGAAACTCCCCATCTAATCCCTGTTCTCGCACGACTCTCTCAATTGGATAGATCGGTCGAGCGAGCGTTCTACTGCAGTCCGGATGTTCGTCACATTGCCAAAATTCCTCGTGAAGGAGGATTCTGTGGATACCGAAATATTCAGATGTTGGTATCCTATATTCAGGAATCCGCTAGCACGGGCTATAGGCATTTCCCGGGGCGGACGCCCAGCATCCTGAGAATTCAGGACATGATTGAAAGTGCCTGGGACAGAGGTTTCAATTCCACAGGCAGGCTTGAGACTGGTGGGATCAAACTCACGCGAAAGTACATCGGGACGCCAGAAGCACAGGCGTTGTTGATGAGCCTCGACATTCCATGCGAAGCGACTGCGTACGCTTCCACCGACACAGTCGAAGCTTCGGAGACGATGCTGTGTGCTGTATGTGAATACTTTGACGACCAGGATAGCCGAGACAACCGGGACAAAGTGGTTATCACGAGCAAGCCACCCATCTATTTTCAGCACCACGGTCACTCGATGACGATTGTCGGGGTGGAGAGCCGAGTCGATGGACTCGTCAATCTTGTTGTTTATGATCCAATGTTCAATCCAAGCGCGGTCCTTAAGAAGCTTGCCTTGACCATGTCAAGGGCATTCAAGTGCGCAGAGCCGGAGAAGCTTCTCAAGGCGCATCGGAGAGGCGAGAGCTATTTGTCCCGTTATCGAGACTTTGAATTGTTGAAATTGATGGACGGCAAGACACCTGCGGCTCCGGCAGGATGAGGCCAAGGCGAGGCCAGGCGGGCATGCACATGATTTGCTGTTCGTAGCATGAGCGCGATGGGAGTTTTCTCGGATCGGGAGGTTCATTCTTGAGTCATCATTGCATAGCGACGACAGGAGAGGCGTTTGTTTGGAGCGGAGGTGTTGCGGTGTTGGCGCACAGATGGTATTGGCAGGGATATGGCATAGAGGTTTATATAGAACAAGTCACGATAAGATGTCCTGAGCAAAAATCATAGTCAGTAATGCTCATAGTAGACTGTCAGTATGCTGGCGAGGGTTTCACTTGTCAAATGTGTGAGTTGCATGGTTGCACGAGATTCGCTCTATGAGTTGGATGGTGGGTGGTTGTCAGCGATCACCCACTTTTTTCCATTTATCCAGACTTTATCTCAACACTCTCTGACGGTCGACTACTCATCCAAGGGCCAACGAGACGACACCGTGAAAATGGCCGCCAGCGAATCTCGCCCAACGACACTGAATTTCATCACCGGCAATGCCAACAAACTATCTGAAGTGCGTGCCATTCTTAGCCATGTCGAAGGCCTCGAGGTCCGCAGCCGGGATGTGCCAGGTCTCTTTGAGATCCAGGGCACCATCGAGGAGGTAGCGAGGGACAAGTGCTCTCGGGCAGCCCAAGTGGTAAGGATTTTAAATTCGATGGTTTTGACGTCGACTCCCCTCGTTCTGAATCTGTCGTTGCCGGTTGGCATGTCTTTTATTTAAAAGTATGATTGGCCATGAGCCCTAATTTTAATCGGCGGGCAAGGAGCCACGAACGACCTTCTCTACAGCGACGCTCTTTCCCACTCACTCGCCCTCTGTTTTTACATCTACAATATCCTGGTGATTGAACTCTTTCTGGAAGTGGCTGACACAAGGTCCATTGCAGGTCCAAGGCCCAGTTCTGACAGAAGACACTGCGTTGGAGTTCCAGGCATTGAAAGGTCTCCCAGGTCCCTACATGTAAGTGGAATCACGCAGTTGAATTGGCAAGGTCGGTGGAATTATCAGTGAGCAAGACTTGAAAATTGGGTTACTACCTACCCTGTCCATTTCAATCTATCCCACAGTACTGGCCAAAGTACCTAAGAATTCCATTTCTACACGGCCCAGTCTAACGCTCGACTGGCTAGAAAATATTTCCTCCAGGCTTTGGGCCATGAAGGTCTTAACAACCTCCTCGCTGCCTATGAGGACAAGACTGCCTTCGCAGTATGCACGTTCGCGTACTCTGCTGGACCGGGCCACGAACCCCTTATCTTTCAAGGTCGGACCCAGGGCAAAATCGTGCCAGCGAGAGGACCAGGGATATTTGGTATGAGTCTCTGTCTCTCCAGGGCCGGACATGCCATGGAGTGGTGAGCTGGTATATCCTTTTACTGACGTACATGCAGGTTGGGATGCAGTGTTTGAGTATGACGGTGAGACTTATGCCGAGATGGACAAGGACAAGAAGGTAAGACAGGCAAACCCCAAGGCGATAAGGGCTCGCTGTGGTGTTTACAGAGCAGGTGCCGTCTCTTGCCATCATCCGTCGATTCTTACAGTGTAGCATGTGGACGCTACTGACTTTGGATCAGAATCAGGTATCGCACCGAGGAAAGGCTCTGACCAAACTGAAGGCGTGGCTGGCGGGGGGTGAGTTGGAGGCGTGATTCGATGATGGACCCTCGAGACATTTGGTGGAGAAAGGCGTAATCATAGTGGCTCAAGTCGCAGTTGGCTTGTCTTTCTGATCCTTGACCCAGTTTAAGATCCATTCATAGATGGACGCGGCATTTTGCTCAATGTCCTCGACCTTGATACTCTGCAGTTCGACAACAGAACCATCCTCTCCCCAACCTTCTTTGGCCTCCTCGGCGATGACACCAAAGATCTCAGCGTCCATGTTTTCTTGCACTTTTGCATCTTTGTAACCTCTTGCGGACAGCCTATCAAATAGGACACTTGTCTCTTCGCACCTGAGGACGACCACCAAGTCCACCCACCTCACGGCAAAGCCATCTGTCGAGTGCCAATCAATGATCCAGCCTCCGGACCCAGCGCCATCCTCGATCTCTTTCTCCACTTCGTCCATCAACTTTTCCTCGTCAACGATCAAAGTCTGCAACTCTTCATCATATCCAGTATGTGCCTGGCGATCCTTGACTATGTCATTTATGGAGAGATGTTTAAGGTGGAGGGGTTGAGGTTCTTCCTGTGCAAGGGAGAGGAGCTGGGTGATGGTAGTGGTTTTACCCACACCGGGCGTGCCAGTGACGATGATGTTAGGGAGGGAACGCATCGTGCATGTGTAGAGTGCGAGTGTATGATCTCGATGTTGGTATAACAGCGCTGGAGGTTTTTGGTCGAATCTGGGGTAATTTTTTTCTGGCTCCAAAAAAAAACCATGTGATTGCTCGAGGATCGACGTCACTTGTGGCTTGGGGGACTACGGATAATCCAACGAGCCTGAGCCACCCAGCCTAAGCGCGGCTCTTCTTGGGGGGCCGAGTGGCTTGGGCACTACCAGACCACGGAGTAGGTACTTAGGGACCAGGCAGCGTTGGTGGGAGTTAAAAGAGTGATAGATAAGGTTAAGCAGGTAGGTAGCCAACCTGGCTGAAGCTTCCTCTTTCGTCCCATTACTTCAATTACGAATAGACACGCTGTGGGAGTCATCACTCATCAAGATGATGAAAATTGAGATCACACGGTCCAATATGAAACCGACCAGACTCGTAACAGTTCACATCCTCTATGATTCAAATAGACTCTCGATATCGTATAATTTCTACTCTCGTCCCTCTTCTTGTTCATTACCTGGCTGACTTGTTCCTGCCGTGGATGCAACATTGAAGCAACAGCAAGAGCCTTCACAGTCCCTTCCTCGATCAAGTGCCTCGCTCATCCTTACTCTTGACTTCTTCTGAAGTTGCCTCTTGCTTTTTCCCTTCCTACACACTCAGTGAAGTCTGACCTCTCTATACAACATGCTCACTTCTTGATTGTTGCAGAACCTGGACTGCAATTGCTCTACACCATTCAAGCTGAAGATTCTCGGGCTTCAAGCTGCCAATCTCTCCACTTCTGATGGAGTGCCAGACACCATTTCCATTTCCATTTCCACAACCCTTCCACTTCCCCTGCCGGCTTCTCCCTACCTCCACCCAAGCCTTTACAACGCCTTCACCTTCCACAGAGACGTCCAAGAGATCAGTATATGCCAACCGTCCGGCCGTAAGGTGATTTGCAATTCAACTAGCTACTGTACGAGTACGAGTACTGTCGTCGAGGCTTTCCATTCCACCTTTCACCCCGCAGCCTATTCCCTCCTCGATGGTCACAACATAGCCGTTGCGAAAGCTTGGCCAGGTAGGCAAAACACCGAGCCAATAACAACCTCCTTCACCAACCCATTCTGCAACGACGGATGCTCGAGATACGCACGTTGAGTCGTCTGATCCGAACCCTTAAAGCCGACACCCCGAAATGGAACTAGAACTGAGAATTCGGATTGGTGACGAACCCAAGTTCTCAACTACCCCGGACAAAAGTCCATATCGGAAGTCCTGGCTCGATCTAGGTACCGTCTGTCCCCATAGCATTTGCCCCATGTCATCCTACGCACGTATTTACGCGCGCTGCTAGCAGTTCTATCAGCTTCGTTGAAGAGATATCAAATCGTACCGAGCCTCTCATGCCAATTCCACCGCAATGAGCAGCCCCACCATAATCACTTTCAAGGACTAGTCATGGCAGACTCTCCCCAGAAATGATGGGATTGTTTGCTATAGATGGCCAACTGCCATTGGCGTTGAATATACTGTACATTCGGCCGTACGAACCCTCACCCAGCTTCTCCTTTTACATCTTTATTCGCCTTCGTTATATGCTTTGTCAACACTCGGGATTGGGGTTTATGAGCCTCGATGGAGAGACTTTCGATATCGAACCCAGCCATCTAGACATACACAGTCCGACCTTGCATTCTCGTGCTGCATATGCCCAGGCCTCCAGACATGCTGATCGAAACCAATCATGGTGTCCCAATTTCTGGATCTTGGGATTTTCGCTGGATCGTTTCTCAAAGAATACGGTCAACTACTTGAGAAGGACTCTTGGCATGTGCTCTCCATCATTTCTATGTCAGTCTATCTCTCGGAGAGCGACTTCTCCCCACGTTTCTGGGGCCGACTGAAGCGGAGAGAGTCGTGGTAAATCCTGGTCACCGAGGCCATAGATTGACTTCTATGCTATATAAGAAGCAAGAGACATGAGGTGAATGACGAGTTGGATCACTACTTCTCCATCTGAATCACCGGCTTCAACCTGACAATAGATAGCCCGTATCAACCGCTCTTAACATGTCTACCCTCGGCAAGGCTGAGGCCACGAGCAATGAACCGCAAATCCCTGTCCACGTCGAGAAGTTGGATCTTGCAGTGTCCATCTCCTCTGGCGATGTGGAACAGACACCTAGAGAACCGGATCAACTTTGGACTGAAGAGGAAGAGAAGTCTCTCGTGTGAGTAGCGGTCCTGGACCATGCACCCATTCAACCTGACACAGCAGCAGGACCAAGCTTGACTGGAGGGTTTTCCCCATGTTGTGCACCGTCTTCGCATTGAGTTTACTGGATCGGGTCAATATTGGCGCCGCTTACATAGCTGGCATGGGCGAAGTTCTTGAACTCGCCGTTGGTTCACGATACTCGATTGCGCTCTTGATCTTCTTCGTTGGCTACGCCATCTTCGAGATTCCGAGCAACCTGGTACTGACCAACAATCGAGCCTAATCTGCGCAATACTGACTCGGCCTCAGGTAATCAGACGGATCGGAGCTCAGCTATGGCTCAGTTTTCTCATCACCGCTTGGGGACTATGTGTCCTTGGAATGGGCTTTGTGCACTCCTGGGAAACCCTTACCGTTTGTAGAGCTCTATTAGGGATCTTCGAAGCTGGCTGTAAGTCTCCCCTGGGCTTACCTTGGTCTGGCATATCTTCTCATACAAAGACTAGTACTCCCTGGCGCCATCTTCATCATTGGCTCCTGGTACAAGCAATTCGAGACCGCTCGTCGTGTGTCAATGTTTTACATGGCATCCATCCTTGCTTCAGGCTTTGGGGGAATCTTGGCATACGTTCTCTCTCTGATTCGTGTGGGAGATGGTATCTTTCGTCAAGGTTGGCCGGCTTTCTGCTCCTGTAATGCTTTTGCTCGGTGCTAATCAGGCCAGGATGGAGGTGGATCTTCATCGTCGAAGGCATGATGACGGTGTCCGCTGGACTCGTGTCTTATTGGTTTCTTGTCGAATTCCCAGAGCGTGCACAATGGCTGACACCACGGCAAAAGTATATTGCAGTGGCTAGAGTCACGCGAGACAGAAAGGTCAAGGAGTACGCTCACCCCACACTCAAACAAAGCTTGAAGATGTTGCTCGACTGGAAGCTTGTGGTCTTCGGCATACAATATTTTGTTTGCACCTCCTCGGTCTACAGTATTGATTTCTTCAAGCCCATCATTTTGTCGCAGGGGATGGGATTCTCCTATGCCTTGTCTCAAGTCCTGTCCTCGCCACCATATGTCTTTGCTATCATTTGCTCTCTCACTACGGCACATCTCAGCGACAAGTATCGAATTCGCTGGCCGATCATGTGCTTTCAGGCCCTTGTCGCCGCTGTTGGATTGGTGATTGTCGCCTATGCCAAACTACCAGGCGTGAGATACTTTGGATTGTTCTTGGCTGTTTATGGAACACAGGCAAACATTCCGTCTACTCTGGCCTATGGGCAGAGCCAGACCGCTGACATAGCCAAGAAAGGTGTAGTTGCAGCTGCTATGATCACTATTGGAGGTGCCGGGGGTATTTCTGGCAGCACAATCTTTCGAGCTCAGGATGCACCTGTAAGTTCTGTCTCAAAGGTGTTCCATTTGACTGGCTTCCTCCTTGGAACTCTGATCAGTTGTAGAAAAGTTCTGACCTAGCTACAGCAATATACCCCTGGAATGTGGGGCACGATTGGCATGCAGCTACTCTACGCCGTCGTGACCTTTGCGTTCAGCATGTGGTTGAAGCGACAGAACAGGTTGGCCGATGAAGGCAAGAGGCCAGCACTGGAAGGCGAAGAGGGTTTCAGATATGCGCCATGATTAACACAAGACAGCCCAAAATAGACCGGACGTGGCATACTGAACAACACTACGACATATACATACGCACGCATAGTTTTCGGACTGCAAGGCTTCTGAGCAAACAATTTCAGGCCGATGGCAGACTCGAACCATTTGCATCATTAAGCTTGGTTATACGGTAGAGAGGGGAGATAACGAGAAAGCATGAGGATACAATTAAAGATCTAGGTACACAATTAGATTGGACGGATAGCTAGATGCATGGATCCATTGAGCGATCGATCAATGGGCGTATGGTATAGGTACAGGAAATGGGCTCACTCCAAGAAATGCAATGCTGACAGCCACACGATCCATCTTTCTCACCTGCAAATCACACATCATTCCCATCTTAGACCATCAAATAAACGAACCTGATGCTACGCCCATGGCCCAAATGAAATGAAATCGGGCAGAGCGGGTCGAAGGTACATCCACCCACGGTCCACCAGATCTAATCGCAGAGCAAAGCAAGCCGATGACGCTGGAGGAGTCATCTGGTGTGGGAAATGAGAGGAGAACGGTCGGACAATCTTTCCCCCCAATCTCTCAACATCGCCTCCAACTGCTCTGCGCCCATCGTTATCATGGCACATATCCACACATGTTTCATTTTGCCATTGCCATTGCCATTGCGACAACCCGCCAGTACTGTACAAGGTGAAATGCCTCATCGTGAGCCAAAACAAGTTGGACTCGCCCTGTGGCGTGTCGCTGATTTGGCCGTAAAGCTAGTTTGAACATCACCGGCATTCTTGCAAGACATTCATTTTGCAAAGTACTCGGCTGTATTTCCGATCACGCCATCCACAGAAACCGGAGAATGGTGGTCCTGCCTTATTCGAGTCGGCGAGGGTGGTCCAGCGAGCCCCTCTAGATTTGATTCTAGGCGGCCTCAGAGTCACTCAGCGCATTTTCAGGAATGTCTCCTCGCTCTTGCTGTGCCATGGCCTGAGCAGAGACAATTTCAGCCAGACGTTTCAGTCGTGGAGTTTGGAGCCCTGTGTGATGTCATGGTTAGTAAAGTGTCAATCTTTCAAGGCTTGCACAATGGTTACTTACATGATGGAGTGTAGGTCTCCAATGCAGTGATGACTCGAGGTTCAGCAATCTCATAAGGTCCACTGTCCTCCATGTCCACGGCCGCCAAGAGAAGAACATCGCTCTTCTCGGTGACTCGAGACGCCACGGCTTTCATTATCTCACCATTAATGGGCTGTTCATAGTCCGCGACAAGGTATTGATTGAGAAGTTTCTGAATTTGATTGGGTGACAGCATCCAGCAAATGTCTTGAATAATTTCAATGTCATTCAGCGTTGCTTTCTTCAATTGCAGAAGTTTGGTGGCTTGCATCAGGTGTTCGAGTTGAAGGGTTCCTTCAGGCATATCATGGCTCTTGCACCATTCTTCGATTCTGGTGATGTTGTAGTTGATTTGTAGACCTCTCTTCCATGAGAGGAAGTTTCGTCGCATGAGGAGATCATTGAATGCAGTGACTCCGACCAGTCGCAATAGTTCCGTCACAGTTTGCGTAATGATCGTGTCTTCCAGATAGTATGCTTTCATAGCCTTGAAGACATTGTTCAGCAAGCTCAGGAGGTTATCCATGCTGTAAGCCGGACTATTGCTTGAGGGAAGGAGCTTGCCCAGGAATCGGTTGCTCTCGTTGGTGACAAAACCTGGAAGTGATTGCGATTCGATAATGGCCGGGACAATCATCTTGTGCAGTTTCTTTTTCAGGACCTTCATCCAAGTATGATAGATGTTGAACTCTAAGCTTTCGAGATCGTGTTTGACAATCTCGAGCAATCTGTCATACTCGTAGTTGTCTGTTTTCTGGGCCTCGTACCAATCCTCAGCCAGGAAGACGAATGAGAGCATTTCATGCACATTCGATAACCAAAATGCGCCAGGGTTGACAGCCTCATCACCATCGTGCTGCATGACCTCTTGCTGAATTGACTGCATGACATTGGCCAGAAAGCGCTCTGATTCTTTGACAAACCCATTGTTCCACATCTCTGACGTGACCAAATTGATGAGATAGGAGGGGAAGAGTACCTCCTTTTCCGTTGGTGTGGGTGTCGCTCCAGGCTGGGGGATCTTGATGCCTCTAATCAGACCCATCGTCACCTCCTCATTGAGTTCGTCTTCCTGGGCGAGGAGATTTTCAAGTTCGTCTTCGACACTGTCCAACCCTTGGTTGAAGGTAGATCCAGACAAAGTCTTGCTGTTCAAATCGACAGCCATCGACATGGGGCGAGCATTGTATGCAGCGCTGTATCTGTCGACTTCGCTGCGCTCAGCGGCACCAGCGCTTCGTCGTTTGACCGGTTTCTTGGAGGACACAAGATTGATCAGACCACTAGCAGCTTGAGCTGCGCCATTGGTACTTGCGTAGTCACCGTTGACGCCGTTGACAACTGGTGGTGGAGCTCGTCTTGCCATCTCCAATTGATCTTGCAGTTCGTTGATCTGTTGACGGAGAGTACCTTGTTCTCCGTCATGGAGCAGCACAGCTTGCCGAAGTTTGTCGAGTTCACTATTAGACTGTTGCAAGGATTCTCGGAGCTTCTTGTCCTCTTCTTGTAACCTCTTCGCATTTCCCAGGTGCTCATCATGGCTAGCCTGCAATTTGGCGTGTTCTTCTTCGAGGGCACTTAACCGAGCCGCGACAATGCCAGCTTGGTTAGCCTCGGTTTGGAGCTCTCGCGAACGTGTTTCCAAAGCATTGTGCCTCGTTCTCCACGACTTCAATTGACCTTCATAATTCTCCAGCTGAGCCACAAGTGATTTGTTTTCGCGTTTGACGGCACCGAGAGACTGTGTAAGTTCGACGACCTTGTTTTCTAATTTGTATGAGATCTGCTTGAGATCACGCGCTTCTTCGCGGATCTTCTTGTAGTCGCGTCTGGCGACTTTGCCACGCCATAAGTTTTGTATGATGACAACCTTCCTGCGGTGTTGCCTGAATGCTCGCAAAGATCTCCAAGCTCGGAAGGCTCTCTGAATAGTGATTGCAGCATTGCCAATGCGAGTTTCCAGGATATTCCTTCTGCAGAGAAATCCTTTGGCATAGGATTCGAAGAGGACAAGGTCGTCTCTGATTTGATTGAACCGCCTTCTTTCCTTTTGACCTCTCCAGAACCTTTGAATATCGGTAGCAGCCTTGGTTTGTCTGATTTCGTCTGCATTTCGTCTCGCCACGAAGGCACGAGTGGCAGTTTGGAAGTCAATCAGTGACTGCCGGGCGTCTAGGTATTTGTGGCGCCAGTATTTCGCACGCAAGTTCTTCTGGATCATGATCGCACATTGCTTCAGGCGTGCAGAGCGTTTGTCTTCGAGGAACGCGAGCATACCAGCTCGGAAGAAGATCTTGGTCAAACCAAGCTGATATTTATCGGTCTTTTCGTGTGCCGTCGCGCCCAGTGCCTTGACGAGGATATTTTGTGCCATTTTTCGAATTTCCGTCGTCCATTCGTTCGAATGGCAAAGCATGTAATAACGAAGGGCAAACTCTTCGTAGGTCCAACGGGTGGGGTAACCAGCCGTACTGATGCGGACAGTTTCCAGGACACCACAAGCTCGAAGCTGACTCAAGACCATGGGACCCTCGAACTTCCAAGATTCTTTAGCTTCGTTGGGCTTGATGCAACGGATGTAATGGGCGTCGGTGTTGTTAATGGTCTGCATTAAGTCGATGAGCGAACTCTTGAAAATGCCTCCGAGTGTAGGTTTGCGATTAACAGCCACTCCAACTCTGCGTCCGCCTCCAGGAGCAACTGTCTTGGAAGAAGTCTGAAGAGATTCTTTCTCTCTAACGGCAGTAGCAACATTAAGAACCTCGATCAAAAAGGTATTTGAAGAACTCTTAAGCACTTCCATCTGCTCATCGGGAACAGTATCGCGATTCTTGTCGATGAAGCCGTCGGATTCATATGTGACATCGAGTGCATAATGACAAACAGTAAATGCTGATTTGCCGAACCGCGGTTTCCTGTAGAATTTCTGCTTGTCGGCTGCAAAATGTTGATGCAATTTCGTTACAAAGTGTTCATCTGAACCCATGGGCAATCTTGATTCCTCGTCCAGCAATGAAAGGATACCGAGCTTTCCCTCGATAAGGTCAATGCAAGGCTGATTGTCTGAGAAATCGATGAATTTCCAGTCAATCTGCTCACGCATGTACTCCTCTTGCTCCAATTTGAAGACGTGCTGATTGAACTCTTGCTGTAACTTCTCGTTGGCGTAGTTGATACAGAACTGTTCAAAAGAGTTTTTGGCAAAATGTTCGAAGCCGTAGATATCAAGAACGCCAATAAAAGTCGTTAATCGCTGCAATACATCCTCGGTGGCAAGACCGTGGTTGATGGTTTCCACGAGCCAGTCGAACAAACTTGAATAGATGAACTTGGCGATGGAATCTCTGACAATGATAGCCTGTTGCTGAGTGAGATTCGACGTAATCTTGTCGCCTCGGGTGATGAGTTGTTTCTTGACGGTCCATTTAGCAAAGTTGGTTGCGTCCAGGCCCAGGATATCACAGGCTCTAGCCAGAGCGGGTTCTGTTGCAGAGAGGGACGAATCTGACCTTGTAGCAGTGATTTTTATGTTGCCGATGTGCAGCAGGGCGGCGAGGATTCGGAAAATGTCCCTCTGAGTCTGTTCCGACACATTGATTGTGGACAAAGACTTGCGTGTGGCAGTAAACTCGGCAGCATCGTCTACACCGTCAATAACAGGGTCGTTGCCTTGATTAAGATAGTCAAACTCTTCGACAGGGAACAGACCGAGTTCTTCTCGTTCTTCCGGACTCGATCCCGCCACAAGTTGGTAGAAAATATGGTAGTTTCGTTCCTTGAGAGGCTGAAAGACCAAACGCGAACGCTCGAGTAGATACGTTCTGATCCGAGCGCCAATGATGTCTGTGTGGGTATCGAACATGATTTCAATGTACTTGCCAAAACGGGAGGAGTTGTCGTTTCTAGTTGTCTTTGCATTGCCAAATGCTTCCATGACAGGATTGGTAGCCAGGATTTGCTCTTCTGTTTCACTGATCGCGTCTGCTCTTGTTTTTGTGCCCTTGCTCGATTGACCTGGGGCGCCACGAGTTGCAAAGTACCGCATAATGTACTTGGCACTGACAGTCTTGCCTGCACCGGACTCACCAGACACGACCACGGTCTGGTTGCGCGAGTCTCGCAGCATATCGGTATAGGCTTCCTCGGCAATGGCGAACAGATGGGGTGCCTGGGAGGCCCTTTGTTTGCCTGCATAGACTTGAACCATCTGAGGAACATAGAGTGAATCGACTCGCGCAAAGGGGTTGGTGGCAATCAGGACGATGCCGGAATATGTATAAATCTCCTTCTGGGCATATCGTAGTTTGATGGCTTGTAAGATGGCAGGTTCGTTGAGGTGGGATAGATTGGTCAAGTCCTCGGCGGCCTCGAACATGGGAGGGTTCATCAAAGGAGGGAGGGCGGCATTTTGGGTATCTTGTAGAGCAAGCTCGGTGGTTTCCACGGTCTGCTGGGACTCATCGGAGAGATTGAAGACAAGAGATATCTTTCCATCGCCTATTTGTTTTTTGTCGGCCAGTTCGCCGGGTATGAAACCATCGGCCTGGTGAGGAAACCAGGCCCTCGTTCCGATCTCCCAGCTCGCCATGGTGGGCGAAATGGCTGGATCAACTCTGAAAGTCTATGAAATGCGGATGGAAGAAGCCATTCAGTCTGAAATTCTTTGGGGGTGAGACGTGTCAAGAGAGGAGGTTGCAATTGACCGGATTGGGGCGTCAGGGGATGGTTCGGATGGATAGAAATTGAGATTCTGAGTAAACGGGTCTCGCAGGCTCAACCCGATTCTCACTTGCCCAAGAGCAGAGGTGATGTGATGGAGAGGTCGAAGTTGAGGGTTTGTTGATTATTGAGTGAACTGGTCAAAGGACTTCAGGTGCGGCTGTCCGTTAAGCCTATTGGGATCATGTCAGAAAGCGAGTTGAGGCTCAGGGATTGGACCAAGTTTAGGTTGGACAGATGGACGCTTGGGAGTGTGAAAACAAGACGCGCTGTAAGCCGTGACGAGTGACCGCGCCAAACCAAGACCCAAGACTAATCGATCAGAGTTGAATGCCCAGGTAGGTACTTATTACTAAAGTGCTATTTGAGCCGACTCCTATGTACTTTTTTACTCCTAACCCTGGCTTTTATGCGGAGGCACACCTATGGGTCTGAGACTTCAAGCAGCAGGCCAACAGGGGAGCGCCTACTCCTAGCGGCTGCTAACAAACCCCCCAATCCATTTGGGCAACCTCCTTTTATTGTACCCTCTGTAGTATGGACTGCCTTAGCTGCCTTAAAGCAGTTCTCAGTGATGCTTAGCGCACTCGTAGCTGCACAAACTGACCGTCACAATAACACTCTGTTGTTGCTCCCAAGTCCTCAGACTGGCGGTCTGGCTTTCCGGCTTGTAACAAAGTGAAGCTCCCCGACACTTTGCTTGAGCTTGACTTGTTAAGGAATGAACTTGATCAGCCACCACGCCCCTGTGCCCAGGCTGGCGGTTGGGATCGACCCAGAATGACCTACGCTTTGGGGGGGTTCTCGAAGCCTCCACAACCAGTCACAGTCATCTCAACCGTCTCTAAAACGCTGGCTGGTGGGCTACACCCATGGATTCCGTGTGCTAGTTCCCCCTTTTCCAAAATACCTTGCTCCAGCATCCATGATGACTCGAATTCCACGATCCTGTTCCCCTCACACCATTTTCCTCCCATAGTCTCTACGTGTCATCAAAAAATCTCGTGCTCGTGGCAAGCATCATGTGTTTCAGGCAAGACAAATAAACACTTTTTTGTCATTATTATCTATTCATGGGCTTTGTACTTGGTGTGAGTGGTAAAACTTGTATCGAGTCTGGACTTTGCCGCAAGTGGAATCATATACGTCCATCACTGTCCAGAAAACCTCCCGGATTATCGGAGTGACACCGCATACAACTTCAGCGGCAATGTTTTCGTCCACTGCCCGGTTGCGGTTGCGTGAATGCTTGATAACTTTGCTAGAACGCCATCTGTGATTCAGGAGCTGAAACTAAAAGAACAAACCATCACTGGCTGGGATAATTGTCTCTGTGCCTGCCATGATATGCATCGACTGCATAAACAGTGACACGTCACCACCCACCCTCACATGCTAGAAGTAGAGGCAGGCAGGCCACTGTGGTTGATGGAAGCGGCCAGATGACAATCTCCTGTTTTCGAGAATGTAACAATAACCCTGCAGTAGTGAGCCGATGGCAATTATGGTTGGTACCAACTCGAAGGCTCCTCGTATCGATCTGATGAGGCCGCAAGCCATTACTGGTTCTTGCACTCGGATTGTTGTTGTGATCGAGGCTTGCCACCTTCTTCTTCGTCATCCTCATCAGACTCGGCCTCCTCCTCGTCTTCGTCGTCCTCATCATCCTCATCGTCGAATTCGGCATCTTCGGCATCCTCGAACTCTTCGTACGCCAAGGCATCCCCGGTGAACCAATCAATGGCTCGGGGAATCAGTTTCTCCTTGATGTCCTCACCCAATTGATAGTCGAGTTCAAGTCTTTCTTCGATATCAGAGGCGATTTCGTCCTCCTCCTCGCTGGGTGGGGTAGGAGGAGCAAAGAAGTTGAAGAAGGACTCTGTTGGGACGGTCTTCTTGATGACCCTCGTCTGCTTGGTGTCTAGATTCTTGTTAGTACTTTCTCAAGGGTTGATCAAGGGCAATGTGAGCATACTCTTATTTCGCTGCTTCTTGCTTTCGATGCGGACGGTCAAGTCCTTGCCAGCCTTCCAGTCGATCTTTTCACCTTCTGCATGATCGTAGATAAAGTCTCCACCATAACCACTCTCTTCTCTATAGAAGTACGTCTTGGAGATGCTCTTGTTGGTGAAGAAATCGTTGGGAGCGAACTCGAAGATCAAGCGGAAGCCTGGACGGTCGAGATACTCCATGCGGATGTCGGTCAGAGATCGGAGAGCTTCTTCGTCACGATCGGTGATGAGCTCTGCGAGAGAGATCTGATTCTTAATGGCAGTAAGCCAGAACTCTGGAATACCCTTGACATCTTCTTGGGCAGGCTTTTCTTCGTCTTTCTCTCCGTCATCCACAGGCGCTTCGTCATCGTCTTCTTCCACACCAGCCTCAACTTCTTGATCGGTGGGTTCTGAATCGCCATTGACAATTGCAGTACGCTTTTGGTAGAGAGGGGTGAACTTGGCAAAGTACTTCTTCTCGAGTTGAAGGACCTCCTCTTGGAACTCAGCCTCGAGCTTTGCATGATCTTTCTGGATGCCTTTCAGGCCTGTGACACGGCGACGAACGTTTTCGGGAAGGGATTCGACGTAACCGGATGGCTTGCCGACAAGAGAGCCGAGCTTTTGTTGCATCAGATTGACCAAAGCAGGGTTCTTGGCGAATATCGACGCAGCTGCCACGCGGTCAAGATCCTCTGTCGCGATCAGTTAGCATCGTCCATCATGAAGATACATTCAGATGCCTGACCTTCTTGGATGTCACCAATGGTGGGAGCCTGTGCGTGCGAGGAGATCGGCGCATTTGTGGCAGGTGCTGTAAAGATGTGAGTGGGATGAACTTGGGAGGACTACTTTGGTGGGACATACTGTTCTGAGGGGTGCTAGTCAAGAAAGCCATGTTAGTAGGCGTCAACAATAGAGACAATAGAGACAGCTTCGCGGGAGGAGGGAAGAGACATACGGAGCAGTCACATTAGAGCGGCTCTTGGGGATTTCTGAAGCCATTGTTGTTGGGAGTTTGGGTGGCTAGTGGCGGTGGGAAGGGTTGATCGGATTGCAAGAAGTGTTGGAGAAATCCTAAGGCAGATGGATCTGCTAGCGCTTCAAACTTTGCTGACAAGTACGGGGCGGTTGGGGGACTGAGAGGACTAGGACTCTCTTAAAATGGGAGCTCCGGGTGAAGGGATGACTGAGGGATGTGAGAGTCAGAAGTAGGAGTGAGACAAAACGTGAAGATTGGTAAAGATTGCAAATATTAACGTAGGGTGGTGATTGCGCTGTTGCGGGCAAGATTTCTTTGAGCGTCAGAGGAGAAAACCTGCATCCGCCAATTTGCACGCCCACCGCGTTTCTCTACCAGCTGTGCCGTTGAGTCGAATTGACGTTACTACGAGTGAAAAGTGCTGGAATTAAGTGGGGAAGACTGGTCTGCTGGGGGTTCTGGACAGGTGCCAGAGGTCTTCTCTTTCGTGTGAGGCTTCTTGGTTGGGTGGTGGCGCTGGTGGGAGGGGTTGTCCACGGGCCAGGCACCCAGACCACTGAGACAAGTACCAGTAGGGGACACTCAAAAGGCTTTGGGTGGGAAATCTAACCATCCAGAGCCTGCTTGATGGCCCGTGGGTGTCGTTTGGGGGTGGGATGCCTGCATATGATTGATCGCCCTAGGCTTGATAAGAACCTCTATTCGCTCACGTGACGAGAACCGTCCTGGATGCCACCTTTTTTGTCTGACTAAATTTTAGGACTAAATAAAGGCGTACTGTGCCAGAAATAGGTATTTGGAACGACATCTTCACCCATCTCCAGGCCACTTAGGGCAAAGAATTCCTTGTCAGACTGTAGCATTATGCTGAGCCAATCCAATGAGTCCTGGTATCCTGTCGCATCATCAACATCCCCACAGTGCCTGCAACATCTGGACTTGAGATAAACTGCATCCCCTCAGAAGCCCTCATCTCCAAGAAGGCATTCTATGGAATATCAATTATAGCTTGCCCTAACAGTACCTTCTTCGGGCCACATCTCTATCTTCACCCCCCTATAACATTTGCTATGCTCTAGTCGTTATTTGGCTGTGCCCGCGAGGCACTTTCCTTTAATCAACATGGACATCCCCGAGAGATCTGGTAGTGCTGCCCTTCGGCGCAGCAGCTCATCACGACGCCATATGCACCGTCGGGATTCTAACATGAGCAAGTGAGCTATCTCTTCCATCATCTGCCTGTGCTGCTCCGCTCTCCGCTCTAATCATTTTTCTTTAGTGCAAGCTTTGTCTCCCAGGTCGAGATGGCCACAGACGAAGTATGTTTACGAGCCCATCTAAATTGAATGCTTTCTAACACAACCATAGCCATTCTCCGGCCCAATCTCCGAAAGTGTCCCCAGCAGTGTGACAGGCTTTGCGTACCAACGGCCGAGACAGCGTCAGGGGTCCATCGCAAGCTTTACCTATTTCCAAGATGACGGGGAGACACCCGATTACTCAGACGAAGAGGCAATTGTGGATCTCAGTGATGAGGAGGACGGTCTCATCAATGGAGAAGATCGTGATCTCGAGGCTGCTGATACTCAGTCGCTTCGTCACAAGTCCTCTAGCAGGTTTCGAACCTCCTCAGACCAACCATTGCTCAGGCGACACGAATCCAACCGGAGTGACACCCAAGAACATGATGATGGCGGTAGCTTCTCGCAAAAGCTCTACATCGAAACTGAGGATCTCACAATGGTTATTGCCGGATTCTCCACCAGCTCAATTGGTTATCTGCTTTACCTCGCAATTTGCATTTTCACTGCTGGCATCGGTTACCTTGTCCTCCGTTGGGTCCCCCGCTGGCACATCTCCATTGTCGGCACTCCCACCCCCTTGAAGAAGTGTACTTGGGTTGTTGTAGAGGTGAGCTACGGCCCACATCAAAGACATACCAGAGCCAAGGCTAAAACACTCCAGAATCAATGGGGCGAGTTCACCGTTCATTATATTTCGACCCAGGAGTATGGACATCCTCTCTCCACGGTCTTCACCCCGCAACAAAAGGAGAAGCTTAATAGCTATCGATATGACGACGATCGAGACTTACCATTCCTCCGTTCTCTAAACTATCGTTATATGCGGCTTCTATACCATCCAGGCCAAGATAAATTTGTTCTCAATAACAATTGGTGGGACCCTCAGTGGCAGAATGTCAAAGCTCTCCGGGAGGGACTTGACTCTGAGGAACGTGATCCGCGAGACCAAGTTTTTGGAAAAAACATAATCGAAATCGAGCAAAAGCCTATACCTCAATTGCTTCTGGACGAGGTATATCGATCCCACCGCTTGAGACGAGTATTGACTAACCAGATGTAGGCATTCCATCCTTTCTACGTGTTCCAAATAGCAAGCTTGATTCTTTGGTCTATGGACGAATACTACTACTATGCAGCTGCCATTTTTCTGATATCCGTCTTTTCCATCACGACTACTGTGATTGAAACTCGTTCGGTGAGCACCTTCTCACCTACCTCATGTTTGGTAATTTCTAACTCGACCAGACCATGGAGCGATTACGGGAGATCTCGCGATTTGAGTGCAACGTTCGTGTCCTTCGTAACGGATACTGTGAGCAGCACTTCTTAAATTATTCTCCAGCTTCTAATAGTTGTATCAGGGCGGGCGGCTAAGTCTGGCGATCTGGTCCCAGGGGACGTTTACGAAGTCTCGGATCCATCTCTTTCACAATTGCCATGTGACAGCCTTCTCTTAGCAGGAGACTGCATCATCAATGAGAGCATGCTGACTGGTGAGGTCTTTATTCCCATTGCACACAGTCATCCTGACTTTTGACAGGTGAATCGATCCCGGTGTCTAAGATCCCCATCACGGATGAGGCTCTCCACTACATCGATCTCGGAGCAACTTCAATCCATCCCAGTGTCGCTCGATATTTCCTCTTTTGTGGTACCAAGATTATCAGAGCTAGACGACCAACCGACACCGACGATGACGAAGCTGTGGCTTTAGCCATGGTGGTTCGCACAGGCTTCAACACGACCAAGGGCGCTCTTGTACGGTCCATGCTCTTCCCCAAACCATCTGGCTTCAAATTCTATCGCGACTCGTTCCGCTACATATCCGTCATGGGAGGCATCGCTGCAATTGGTTTTGTTGCATCCTTCTTGAATTTCATCAAGCTGGGACTTGCATGGCATCTGATCATAGTTCGAGCGCTTGATCTAATCACCATCGTGGTGCCCCCTGCCTTGCCTGCCACCCTGACCATTGGAACCAACTTTGCTCTTTCTCGCTTAAAAAAGCAGCAAATCTTCTGTATCAGTCCTCAACGAGTCAATGTGGCTGGCAAATTGGATATTGTGTGCTTCGACAAGACTGGGACTCTGACCGAGGATGGACTCGATGTCCTTGGCGTGCGTTTGGTACAACATCCCGAGATACGCTTCGGTGATAGTCTCGAAGAAGTTCACGAAGTCCTTCCTCCAGCTTCATATGATCGGGACCCTACTGTTGACTACCGTGTCAATAAGAACATGCTCTACGCAATGGCAACGTGCCATTCACTTCGACTTGTGGACGATGAGCTGATTGGCGACCCACTTGACCTGAAGATGTTCCAATTTACTGGATGGTCATTCGAGGAGGGGTCGAGGAACACCCTCCACTTTGTCGAACCAGGAACCACGCAGCCGGCGCCAAGTGTCTCACGTCCTCCACCCGGACTCGAGTACGACATAGATGATTCCCAGGGCAACGACAACCCCGTCCGGACGGAGCTCGCAACTCTTCGCTCCTTCGAATTCGTCTCCCACTTGCGCAGAGCTAGTGTCTTTGTCCGCCAGCACGGTGATCCTGGTGCCACGATCTATGTCAAAGGAGCACCAGAGGTAATGAAAGACATTTGCACTCCCTCGAGCATCCCCGACGACTTTGAGGACCTACTTAGCTACTACACACATAAAGGCTTCCGAGTGATCGCTTGTGCATCCAGGTACATTTCCAGGATATCTTATGATGAAATCCAGGAATTGGATCGAGGTGAGGCCGAGTCAAGACTCCAACTCACCGGCTTCATCATTTTTGAGAACAAACTCAAAGACATCACCACGGAGATTATTGAAGAGCTTAGCGAAGCCAGAATACGTACGGTGATGTGTACCGGTGACAACATCCTTACGGCCATCAGCGTGGCAAGAGAGTGTGAGCTCATCGACCGAAATGCTCATTGTTTTGTGCCCCATTTCGTTGAGGGCGATAAGATGGATCCCAAGGCGCGGCTGACCTGGGAAAGTGTCGACAATCCCATCTATCAATTGGATGAAAACACGCTTCTTCCGGCGGCGATTGCGGCGGAGTATGATACTGCAACACCGTACGATACTTTAGCGATTGGTGACTACACACTGGCCGTAACCGGGGATGCCTTCCGTTGGGTGGTTGACTTCGGCTCGCGGGAGGTTCTGGAAAGAATGCTGGTCAGAGGAGCCGTTTTCGCTCGAATGTCACCCGATGAGAAGCACGAGCTGGTAGAAAAGCTGCAAAGTATCGACTACTGCTGCGGATTTTGCGGCGATGGCGCGAACGACTGTGGCGCGCTCAAGGCCGCCGACGTCGGTGTCTCACTCTCAGAAGCGGAAGCTTCGGTTGCAGCACCTTTCACGAGCCACATTTTTGACATTTCTTGCGTCCCTGCTCTGATCAAAGAAGGCCGGGCAGCGCTTGTCACCAGCTTCTGCTGCTTCAAGTACATGAGCTTGTACTCGGCAATTCAGTTCACATCGGTCAGCTTCTTGTACGCATCAGCATCGAATCTCGGCGACTTTCAATTCTTGTTCATCGATCTTGCGTTGATCCTGCCGATTGCAATCTTCATGGGCTGGACTGGCGCTTATCCTGTGCTGAGCACAAAACGACCCACAGCAAGTCTTGTGTCCCGGAAGGTCCTGACACCCCTCATAGGGCAAATTTTCCTTTGCATCTTCGTTCAGTTGGTGGCTTTTGAGACGGTTCAAAGCCAACCGTGGTATCAACCACCGCAGCTGGACAAGGAGAAATCCAACGTGGACAATTCTCAGAACACGGCGTTGTTCCTGGTGTCATGCTTCCAGTATACACTTTCTGGAGTAGTTCTCAGCGTTGGGCCACCATTTCGTAAGTCGATGACAGCTAATGTGCCATTCGTCGTGACTATAGTGGTGGCCCTTATAGTGTCGCTCTACATGCTGCTGGACCCAGCAGACTGGATATCCTCCTTCATGGATCTCACCAAGATGTCGTTGGATTTTGAATTGTTCTTATTGGCACTGGCGGCGGCCGGATTTGCAGCAGCATATCTGGCGGAGCGCTATGTGTTCCCGATGATGGCCAAGTATGTCGGGAGGTTGAAATTGTATTTGCGACCGTCGCATCCCAAGAAGCGGAAACAATACAAGCTCATCGCGGAGGATATTCTGCACAGTAAATAGGAGGCCTCGTGGCACGAATTTAGACATAGACGAAGCAATGAGAAGTGTACAACAGCATACCCGAGTAGCTTGTTGACGGCATGTCCTTAGTGCACATAGAAGGCTCAACCCCAGCCCAGCTGTCGACTTGACCGTATGGATTGTAAAGGCGCAAGGATGTCGTCGAGAAAAGCCGATAAGCGAAACAAGGCTGAGATCGATCTGCACTGATAAGTCGTGTTTATCAAGTTACGTCACCACTTGGCTGAACCAGAATAGTTTCTCGATGCTAGTCCGAGTTTGGCCATGCATGCGAAGAGATGAATGCAAGAGTGAGATGTCTTTTGGAATACGATTTTGTTACATAGAAGTAGAATATTAGAGCCTCCCGAGCTTGAATTGTACTATACGCAAGAGTTACTGAAGGCCGCCGTCGATCTTGTGGAACCTTAGAAAGAGCGGAAAGCACGACTGCTCTGTCACTCCTCCTCTGCAATCCTCTGCAACAGAAGTGTCGAGAGAATACAAGATTTAGAAGAACCCCCATATTTTGAGGGAAATTGAGAATCTGCAAAAGAGATCATCTGTCAGTATGGACCCAACTGGTAAGCAAATCAATATGCATATCCATCCCAGTGTTGTCCATTAGGATGTCGAGAGCTGACAATCTAATATAGAATACCTGCTTGATAATGGATGGCTCCCATCGAGTGTGATTCGACTAGGCATACGGCGCCAACTGGCCACAAGGTTAGCGTCTATAGCGTCCACGACACTGTCGACATCATGGGAACGCAAGATGGACTACATCCAGCAGCTGCGGAGTCGACCGATGGCCATCGAGACCGACAAAGCGAACGCGCAGCACTACGAGGTGGGAACATCGGTGCTCCAAGCTTGCCTGGGCCCTCGTATGAAGTACTCATGCTGTCTGTACCCGACCGGTGGCGAGACGCTGGCTCAGGCCGAGATAGCCATGCTTGACTCATACGTCGATAAGGCTGATTTGAAGAATGGGCAACGTATCCTGGATCTGGGTTGTGGATGGGGCAGTGCCAGTTTGTACCTGGCCGAGAAATTCCCCGGTGCCAACGTCACGGCATTTTCCAACTCCCGCACTCAGAGACTCTACATCGAAGGCCAGGCAAAGGCCAAGGGTCTGACCAACCTGACCGTCATCACAGGCGATGTGGTGACACATGAGTTCGATCACGATGCCTATGACCGTGTTGTCAGCATCGAGCTATTCGAGCACATGAAAAACTATGCGTTGTTGATGGCCAAGCTGTCACGAGCGTTGAAGCCCGGCGGCAAGCTATTTGTGCATATCTTCGCGCATCGGGACACGCCGTACGACTTCGAGGAGGGCTGGATGAGCACTCACTTCTTTACAGGGGGAACCATGCCAAGTGCAGACCTGTTGCACTTTTTCCAGGATGATCTATCGTTGGTGGAGCAATGGTGGGTTAGTGGAAAGCATTACGCAAAGACTTGTGAAGACTGGCTGAGCAAGATGAATGCCTCCAAGAAGGAGATCTGGCCTGGTTTGAATGAAACATATGGTGCAGATCAGGCTGCCATGTGGTTCTACCGCTGGCAGATCTTCTATATGGCCTGTGCCGAATTGTTCGCGTATGGAGGCGGTGAGGTTTGGGGGGTTTGTCACTATTTGTTCGAGAAGAAGGTCTGAGAGGCGTAGGGAGCGTCTGCGTGCAAGGAGAGTGCGGTTCTTAAGAATTGTCATGTCCTGCTGGATGGAGCTGATCTTTGGGCAAAAAGGGTAAGCCGATTAAGCAGGTGGGGCTGTGAGGCGAATGCAAGTTCTGTGTCACTGTGAAGAAGAGCGATCAATAGAATCAATCGGAATATCAAGTTGGTCAAATCTCGCGCTGGGGACCAACGCATATCATTGTTTAGACTTGCTGGCATTTCTTTGTGTACCAAGACTTCTCTATTTCCGAAGTTGTATGTTTATTTCTGCAGACTCTGCTGCCCGACGAAGCTTGCGCCGATTGATCGATCATGTCTGTCCACGGCCAGTTCTGCCTTGGTAGTCGGAGCTTCAGAGGCAAGTCGTCATCTCCAAAAATCGTCACAATCGCGACAACACGAGACTCATCGCCAACGCCACATATGTTGAGTTGATATGTACAGGAGGGTTTTTTTATATGGCTCAACAGCCTGCGGTGCTCAGTGATCCCAGGGATGTTTCAGGCCAATCAGGGCAGGACCGTCTTTCTTCGCTCTGTAGAACAACTGAAATATTAAGTCAGTATGGGTGCAACGTCTCGTAGTCACCATGGGGACGTACGAAAAACCACATTGAAGCTCCTAGACCGGTTGCAGCAATTCTGTACAGAGGTCGGGCAGCATTGATCTGTCCGACGGGGTGGTTGCCCTTCCAGACGGGTTTGCCGTGCGCAGCACCTCCAGCCATGTCGAGGAGGCAGGAAGAAGGTCGATATTCAAGATGATAGGGTTGAGTGAAGGTGATGAACTGGTGTCGATGACAAGAGGGAGTGTCGTCGTTGTCGTTGTCGTTGTCGTTGAGGAAGGTGGGTAGAGGTGTGGTCAGAGGCAGGGACGACTGATGTCTGGGCAGAGAACTACAGTGGGTGCGTTGGGCTGATCACGTGCATTCTACCTGGTAGGGCCCTTGCTTCCATCCGCTGTACGGAGTACGATTCGAACTACGATTCGAACTCCCTGCGTCTGTGTCTGCGTTTGCGTCTGCCCACGCGGTTCAACGCAGGGTTTTGGGCTTTCGTCTCCACTCTCAATTGCTCCAAGCAAATCCCAAGGCAATCATAGTAGCGTCGATGTGAGTGCCGATACCAACCTCCAGATCTACTACTCGGCCAGCCAGGGTCAAACTCAAAAGAGCCATCGCTTTGAGTCCTTCCGAGCCACTAGGAGTTGGAGTTGGCATGCCATGTATCTTGCGTGACGTTCGGGCACATCCCATCTCAAGGTTATCATCTCCCATAAGTCACAGTCTCTCGCTCCACACCTCCCGCTCACGCAATCACAATTCCATCAACTTTACCGCCGTCAATAATACACTTTTCCAGCCCTCATCCCCATCCTTCCCTGCGCGAACTCTTCATAAAAGGTCATCCTTTGTCCGAGTTCCAAGTCCTCAAGTCTGCGACAGACCCTGACCCTCCTTCCTTCGAGAAGCCGCTGCCTCAGTAAAAGCCTTCGACTGAGTGCATATTGAGCGCGCAGAGTTCATGTGCGCCGCGGCGTTGACTATTCCTCTTCTCAACGTATTCTCCCCCACCTATATTCTCTCGACGACACCATCACTATCCCCGTCATCATCACAAGCGCCACTTTCTCCAGCCCAGCCAGCCCAGTGCTTGTCACACTAATATCTCTACTCATGTGTCCAACAAAGCGCTGCGGCCCAAACCTACCCCATTCCAAGTTTCTAGACTCCTGATCGTCGTTGCGACTTCTCCATTCCGACGATCGTCATGTCAAACTCACACCAGTCTTCCAAAAAGAGCCTGGAGCGCCTGGACAATGGCCGGCCGCGGTTTCAGGGCTGCTCAAAGATTACAGACTATGAGTATATGGGCAAACTCGGCGAGGGAACTTTTGGCGAAGTTTCCAAGGCCCGGTCAAAGAAAACCGGTCGTATCGTCGCTCTTAAGAAGATCCTCATGCATAATGAGAAGGATGGGTTTCCCATCACCGCTCTAAGAGAGATCAAACTACTCAAACAACTACACCACCCCAATATTCTGTCTCTCGAAGAAATGGCCGTCGAGCGTCCCAAGAACGCAAGCAAAAAGCCCAGCATGTTCATGGTCACTCCCTACATGGACCATGATCTTTCTGGCCTACTCGAGAATCCTCAAGTCCACTTTACCGAACCCCAAAGAAAGTGCTACATGAAACAACTGTTGGAAGGATGCGCCTATTTACATGAAAGCAAAATCCTCCACCGAGACATGAAGGCGGCCAATCTCCTCATCAACAACCGAGGAATACTCCAGATTGCCGACTTTGGTCTTGCTCGACCATACGATGATGAGCCCCCGAGACCTGGTCATGGTGGCGGCGAGGCTACCCGCGAGTACACAACTCTCGTCGTCACAAGATGGTATCGTCCACCCGAGTTACTCCTTCAACTCCGTAAATACACCACCGCTATTGATATGTGGGGCGTGGGCTGTGTGTTTGGTGAAATGTTCAAGGGAAAACCCATCCTCGCCGGAAACAGTGACGTCAATCAAGCCCATCTCATCTTTGACTTGGTCGGTAGTCCAACCGACGAATCTATGCCTGGTTGGCGTTCTCTTCCTGGGTGTGAAGGTGTTGTCGAGTGGGGTCATAAGAACCCTACGCTCAGAAAAGTCTTTAGCGAGTTGAGCTCCACGGCTGTGTCTCTACTGTCCGAATTACTGACACTAGATTGGCGCAAACGTATCAACGCCATCGACGCCCTCAAGCATCCTTACTTCCACACAGAGCCATTCCCAGCAAGACCAGGTGACCTCCCATCATTTGAAGATTCTCATGAGTTGGATCGCAAAAAGTTCAGAGATCAGAAGTCAAAGCCTCCCCCGGCCCCGGCTGGTGGTTCCGTTGGTATTGGCCCAGAAGGCGAATGGGGCATCAATGGTCGCCCTTTACCCCCATATGAAGGCGGCCCAGGTCCTCATGGCCCGAGGGGCCCGAGGCATTCAGGGGGTGGTGGAGCTCGGCACTTCAACAATGGACACCGCGACAGGGACTATGGACGAAGACCTCCAGGTTCTATACCGCCGCAGTCTGGTTATTCTGCCGACTATCGCTCTGGCCCTCGAGATGCCCCGCCATACGAACATGCCCATCGTCCACAGTATGACCAACCTCCTCGTGGACATGGACCTAGTCACTCGTACGACGATCACCACGCACGTCGCCCACCTCCAGACTACAGTCTCCCACCACGTCCACCTATGCCGGATGAATACCGTTATGGTTCAGGTGATGGTTTACCACATCGAGATGATGCACGCGGGCCCCCACCTCGATCACGCATCCCAGGTGGATCGGGGCCTCCCCCTCTCGATAATAGACGTGGGAACTACCCTCCTAATGACCGTGACATGTATCCACCTTCATACTCAGACGCAGATTCAAATGCTCGCATTCCACCACCAAAGGGTCGCCATCGCGACGAAAGGTTGCCATATGGGGACGGCAGACCACCGCCAGATTATGATGAACCCATCCGTTATGACGACCCTGTTCCTGACAGAGGACGCATGCGTGAACCCGATCCTGGTCCACCTACACATGGATCATACGATCGCCGGCCGCGAAGTCGAAGTCCGCCCCGTGAGTGGGAGAGGGAATCTCATCGAGATCGAGATCGAGGTTCCCACCGAGAACGAGATCCAAGAGACTGGGACCGTGATCCACGAGATCGCCATCACCACCACCATCACTCAGCAGATAGAGATCGGGGGTACGGAGGAGGACTTGGAGGTGACAATGGCATGCGCGGCGGTGGTGGTCGCCCAGGTGGCGGAGCCCAAGACCCCTATCGAAGATAGAATCTTCAACAACAACAACAACAACAACAACAACAACAACAACAACAACAACAACAACAACAACAACAACAACAACAACAACAACAACAACAACAACAACAACTACAACAACAACTACGACACCCGCCTGCACAGTGGAATCCACCAGTTTGGAGTATGATTGTTCCTTGGTTCGGACAACTGCCTCAACCTGGCCACGGAAATCAAAAGACAACCTAAACCAAATGAGGAGGGACAAGGTTCTCGTCATACCACGACCTATGTGGCAGCGAGAAATGGGAATGATGTTATGCTTAGTGCTGGCGGGTCTGCTACCGAGGTCAATGATATGGTTCTTACGGCATTGTCGGTATTTAGACGACGGCAAAGCATTATTGTTTCAGCCGTGCCCAGACTGGACTTTTAGATCCGTCCATTACAGGAGATACACCTTCGATACCCAATCACGCAATGTCATATTACTCTCTTGAGACTGGAAGTTCCGTGATGATTTAATATGAAGTCCTCGTACAAGGCTTCTTCGTCTTAGAATGTATTCTTCGTCCATCGCATTGCCATCAAGCTTGACTTGTCATATCTCCTCGCTTCACCTTCACTTCGTGATATTCAGTAGGTCACTCAAAGCCAGCAAACAAGTCATCAATCGCGTTCTTTTTCTTTTTCTTCCCTTTCGTGGCTTTTTTCTCCCCTTCCCTCTTTTTCCGTTCGCTGGTCTCTGCAATGTCTGTAGACTTTGGCGTTTGGGTCTTGGATTTCCTGAGTGTAACCGGATTGGCTTGTCCAGCAACCATTATTGGTCGAGTTGTGGAAGGAGATTCCGGCTCTGGAACAGTCTCAGCGGGGTTCTCTTGATCCAGGTCCCCACTCTCTTGGGAGTCCTTGTGTTCTGGTAACATGGGACGCCGAGTCGGAGCGACTGAAGCGGTACTAGTTGTGGCCAGACCGAGTCTTCTACCAGGTGGAGGCTTTCGTGTTTCTTGCGCTGTAGTCTTGGACGGCAGCTCTCTCGGACCTGGCGTCCTGGATGGAGGAGCATGGGAGGCTTCTGACGACAAGCCTCGACGCTGTGCATCATTGACACGCGAGCTAGGGACTTGTTTGGAAGAGGACCCGCCAGCTTCATTGCCGTGCTCTTGATCGTCTCCATCGTCCACCTCACTCGTCTTTCTCTTCTTATCTGGCCGTCTTTCAATGACCTCGCCGACATCGTCACTATCGTATACCCTGTCCACCACACTACCGGCCGCGGTGCCTGTGATACGGACACTGCGCGCCGTGAGCGTGATACTCGTAGCGACGGGGTCGTTGTCATGACCACGGGCTTTACTAGCTGTGACTTCTCTCGGCTGGCCAACCACTGCCACCACATCGGCCAAAACAGCCATTAGGACCACTCCCAGGTTGGCAAACTGTGACTCTACCACCACGCTCGAGAACCCCACGTAGCATCTAGGACAGATAGTGTCGCGCAGCCATGCGGTCACGGCTTCCTTTTGCGTACGTAGGGCCGCCTGTTCTTCGAAGTTTCGGCGCGCACGCTGGGACATTGTCGAGGCTTCTGATGCGGCTGCGCTGTCGCCACTGGAACCTTTGGGCTCTTTGCCATCCATAGCCGCGCCTTTCTTACGTTGATTAGATGTGGGGAGCCTGGTGCCATGAGCTGCAGTAGTCAATTCCCGTTCTCGCTCTTCGAGCTCCACGAGTCGCGCGACCCACTTCCGTAGTAGGCCGAGAGTCTTCCACCACGGTTGCGTATGGTGTTGGTTCCGGTGTCGAACCCAGACTGCTTGCAGGATTTGTAAAGGCCCTGTCAAATCCGATCCTGGTGGTGTTGTTGTTGTTGATGATGATGACTTGCCCGTTGCTATTGTTGTCGCCGAGGACGTTGAAGTGCGCGTCGTCCGATTCCGACCACGTGGAAGTCGTGGCCGCCTATGAGGCTTGTTCCGAGTGTGTGATTCCATGTTGCCTCGCTTGACTTGTCGCCCTTCTGCGCTTCTGGTGCTGTGATGATTGGCTTGTTGATGACAGATTTAAATTTGCGTGGATTCGTTTTACGGGCTAGACCTCGATGTCGAATGAGGATGCAGCAACGCTCACACGTCACAGGTTCTCATGATCATTGCAGTACCTGGACAATGACCATCGGCAATTTGCAAGTCACCCACGACTATTTGTCTAGCCTATCTGCGATCCGATTCTGTGTGGGCTGATTGTTAGTGCTACCAAGTCTCCCAAAAGTTGTAGTTCCCAATATGGGCCCCACTCCACTTGTAAAGCTCTCATCTCTAAGTACTACCATCAAATCATCCCAAGCAACCTTCAGGATTCTACAACACTTATCATTTTTCAAGTTCAGCGAACAGCCCCATCCCAGCATATATGCAGATGAATCACTGCCAAGAGGCCATAATACGCAGCTTATGTTAGTTTTGAGGATTCTCTCGCAGCGCATTCAGCAGCAACCCCCGGAGGCCCGAGGGGCCCCTGCACACGCCCAAACTTGATTCAAGACACGATGATGCTCAACGAGGCAATTGTGAGTCAAAGGATCATATGGATTTCGGTCCCGTGGGACGTTGGCTATGAGATACAGTCATATGATCCAAGACTGGGTTTTCGCACCTTTTGTCTAGACATGTCCCTTTTCTTTTTCAATTTCGCACCCCTTTTTTTTCGGACATGTCTCTCTTCTTTTGCAATTTCGCAGCTTTGTGTTACAGTTTGGTTCCCATCTATCTAACCTCCTTTCTTTGAGATGTGAACAGGAAACGGCAGTATTAAGGTAAAGTGCAATAACACTTGCGGAAAAATTGTCGCCGAACCTGGATGTATCGCCAGCTCTTGGAAATGATGACACCCTGAAGATGAATGTCGTTTAGCTCAAACACATTTTTGCCCTGCGACATGAGCCTTCACCAATACCACAACAAGGAAGTTTCATCCAAGTCCCTTGGGACAAGACATGGGTTCCAGGCGTTGGATTTGATAAACCTCCCCAATGATGATCCTGAATCACCAACTCGCGATCTGTCATGTACAGTGACAAAATCGTAGGAAAGATGCGGCACTAGTATCGAGGGGTATGGAAATGTTGTTCAATTGGTGAAAGCGCAGGATCTTGAAATCGATGACGATGGATCAACCCAAGCTCCAAATCAGCTCCAGGTGTGCCGCGGTCGAACTGGGAACGACGACGACGCTGTTCCTCACGGTAGGCCTGACCCTGCCGAGGGGCAAAGAGTCCTATCGAGAAGAAAGAGTCAGTATTCTGAAATTGTTTGCCTCATATAATGATGCTCACTGTAGGCCACCACGGGAGTTGCCATAGAAGGGGTCATATGGGGAAGTGGTATCAACATAGACAGTGCTCTGAGTATGTTCGGCCTGGGAATCATCTTCAACTGGGACAACATTGCAATGCAACGACGCGCGGGCTGGAGGGAGATAGTAATCATAGGTATGGCGGGTACCATTCCGGGTAATGATGAAATTACCGGTGCGACGCAAACCACGTCGTGGGGCAGTGTCCAGGGAGTTCTTGAAATCACGAATGCCTTTGAGAGATCCGACGGGGTACAGACCAACGTGTTCAGCGTTCTCGACGGAACGTCTCATTTTCGAAGGATTGTCCGGTCCTGGGAACGCTTCCTCCTGTCCAACAGCTGGATGACCCCAAACGTGGAATAGCTGAGAGACAGTCAGTTGAGTCTAAAGCTAGATGAAGTGAACTCACCTTTGGTCGAAATGCGGGAAACTCCAACATAACCGACGAATTGCGGAATTTCTGGATGAGGCAATCCCTTCCTTGAATGGCTATTGCATAGATCAGCAGTGTTGGCATTGGCAAGTGGGTAACTCACTCGCATAAGAAGACTCGAAGATCTTCGTAGAGTTGAAGAGATTCCATGGCTTCCCATCAAACGCCAAAATGAGCTGGAGGGGGTTAGCTTGGTATCATTCCAGCAGGTGAGAGCTCATACACGAAGGATGGCCTGGATCTGTGAGAGGAGTTAGCAGAAGTCATGCCATGATTCCCAAGTAACGTACATCAATGAAGTTGACGAAAGCATAGCCAACATTGCAATTGTTAGCGAAATCTGGACATGTGCGTTAGAGATGGACGGCCCCACAAAACGATCGTGAACAAACCTATACGCAAGTACAAAAAGTCGTAGCAACCATGACAAACAGTGTCAAGGAGTTGCTTCATCATCTCGACATTGACACGGTTGGGGATATTTCGGATCATGATCTGAGACGTCAGTGAAATCATGGAGGGAGATGGACTTTCTGCTTTACCGTCGTACGGACGTCGTGTCCCGATAGAAGTCGTTCAAGGTCAACGGCATTGTGATTACCGTGACGGTTCATGCGTCGCGATTGGCGAACGCTACGACGAATTGAGGCAGCCAGGCGGTTGTACTCGGCATCAGCAGGAACCACTGTACGGCCAGTGATACTGACTTGGTCGCGGATGGGTGCATTGAATGGTCCGTCTGGTCGATCTGGTGCATATTCTTCAACCAGAAGAACGGTAGACTAAATCGTTAGCGAGGCTGTCCGTGGAAGTAGCTAGTTGATGTCTCACCTTGACGATGGAACTAGTCAACATGTCTTTGGCAACATTTGCAGCGTCCGCATTGGAGAACTCTGCTCGAAATTGTCGAACATGAGTTTGTGCCGAGTTCAATGAACAAAAGGCCTTGACTTTGCCACACTGCCCAAGAAGACGCTTGAGCTCGTCGATGACTGGATAGGCACTGACAGGTGGAGCATTCTTGCTTCCATTGTAATAGACATTGATTAGAACTTGACCTTCATAATCGGTAATGAAATGTCGGAGGCCCTGTTCCTTTGCAAACTGTCTAGGAGGGATTTGTAGAATACCACAGTTCATCCAGATGCTTCGGCACAAGGTAATGGCGCGCTGAGCCTCACCAATCTCACTGAACGAGATGATGAGAGTTCCAGCGATGTGGATATTGGAAGCGTTGATTGATTTCAATGAAGGAAAATTTGCAGGCTATGATGTTGGTTAGCTCAAGTAAACGGTGAGAAATAGATACACACATTGAAAGCATCCGCGATCTGCGATGCTGGCCAGTCTCGGGGGATATTGGTCACCATGAAAGCTCGGGTGAGCTGCTCATCGGTACTGAAGATGCCTTCATTGATGCAGACAACGTGAAGGTAAGGGCCTGGGGGAGATAAAGTGTGAGCCACTTTTGGGTCAGAAGCAGGAGCTTGAGCTGCAGGGCCTTCGGTTTCGACCTTTCCTGTGCCCACGGTAGGCGTGCCCACGGGTCCCTGGAGAAGCAACTGGGTTTTTGTTAGGTTGCTATTGTCTTCGGCAGTGCTGCCTTGAAGAAGCTTGCTTACACCAGTACCGATGATCTCTTCACCTAGATCCTTCGGGACCACAAACGATGTTTCCATGAGAGGGCCAGACTTGGGGAAAGCGCTGAAGGCTGAGGTTTGTCCTGGGTTAAAGACCTTGGCAGTGGGAGACAATTTGACAACCGTAATGGGAGCTGGGGCTGAAAGGAAGACATCGTCATTGCTGTAGGCGTTAGAGCATGATGCTGGAATATGGATAGTATAGAAATCAATATACCTTGTAAACTTTCCGACCAAGATATTGCTTGGACGATGTTTGACGATGTCTGTTGAGATTCTACCAACAGTACCAGGCGCAGCCTTTGGAGTAAAAGTAGTCAAGACCGTAGATGGAGTGCCACGAGAGTCCGAGGGAGATGAGTGTGGGCTGGAAGCCAACACGTCCCCTGGAGAGGGTGCTGTGACTGTTTTTCGAAGGATGTTAGTGAGTAAAAAATGTGGATGAGCTTTTGGGTCTGGATCTCTGAAGGAGGAACGTGGAAGAGATAAGTCTGAACTCGATAGATATCATCTCTGACATCAGGAGATCAACGTAGCCAGCGTAGGACATCTGCTGCTAGAGTTCCTAGCACCAGATGGCAAAGCTTGCAGGCTGGACGCACTGTCAATAGAGCAGTAGCAACCCAGCTTTCTTCGACGATCTCAACGCTGGTTTGCTCACGACTTCGAGTGATAGAAGAGTCTTCAGGTCACACGATTGGGATGATCACAAGCAGATATAGATCTGGGATCAAACCGCAGAGGGACGTGGGCATAACAGAGGGAACTTTTGATGACAGTGTCGAGGAAATCTCAACAGGATACAAGACTCACCAGCACTGCGGCCCTTGGGCGCGACAATAGCCATCCTCAGCAAGGAATGATGGATTCAGAAGAGATAAAGAGCGTGTTGAATCGTGATAGATAACGAGCGTTGGTATGATGAAGGGAATGTTGAAGGGGGAGAAGACAACAGAAGGAGAGGATATAGAGATTTTCCAAGCTAAGAAAAGAGAAAGAGAAAGACAAAGAGCACCTCGTGGCTGGGGGACCAGACAAGGAATAGCGCCGAGTCAACACAAGGGTGGGCGGACGCCCTGATCACTGAGGAGCAATGAAGCAAGACGACCAGGAAGGCGCTGGGGGGGGGGGGGTCTGCTGGGGAAAGAGCCTCAGGATGTCATGACGAGGGTGGGTCCCCTGACATGGAAGGAGCACGCAAGGCTCGAGGTCGATCGTTATACCAGTGACAGTGACAATCACTTCATCATGCCAAGGACAGCGACAGCGACAGCGGCTTTGGTCTGCCCGTCTCCGTCTCACCACGGACGTAATAGGCAAGGCTGTATACACAGCAACGTGGTATACACCTCTTGATTCGTGTCATTGAAGATGATGTTGAGAGAAACTTTCAAGGGCACCTGAAGCCTTGGGCAAACTTGGGCAAACTTCTTTTGATATTTCGTAATACAGCCGGGCTATGCTCTAGAGAGGACATGATCCCCCCGAACGAACCCCCTTTGATCCTTCGTAGTACCACTGGCGTATGCCCCTGAGAGGACATGCTTGCCCAAGGTTCCATTCTTTCCAATACGCACAGCAGGCACAGAGCAGGCGCTTGGCTTGAATCATCTCCAGCCCTTGGCTCATGCTGCAGCGAGCCTGCAGACTTTTTTTCTCTCGAACGCTGCCGAGTTGAGTTAGCTCCACCAACCTGAACTGCAGCACCTGCGACATTCCAGGCCTGGTCTGCATTCCGCTTGGCAGTAGTAAGATCTGTGACACATGTCCTCGGTCTCGATCTGAATTTGCAAGTGTAGACACCTTTTTGGCGGCTCAAAAGGTGAGTTGTCGAGGTTATGACATCCAAGAAGAGAGTTGAGTTTACTTGCTACAAGGCTACAGACGTTTTGGGATTGATGAACGACGTTGAAATGAGTGCATCCACAATTTATCCGAAAGTGGGACGCCTAACCAAAAAGCGTAAGGCGTGGTGTTTAGCGTAGACCAGGACGGAGTTATGATGTTCCGAATTTGTATCACATCCTGTCTCGCAAGGCTTCTGTTCATTCTCAGAGAAATACGCGTCGTTCAAGATCCTGCTCTTCAATCCACCTCTCGCTCACAAAGTGAGGAGACTTAATAATTGTTTGGAAGCAGGAGGAACTCATTTTCTGCAGGCACAAGTGAAAATTCGTGAGGCGAGGACGGGAATGTCCCTGGTCATGTGAACACAGCCCCGATTCAGGGACCAGCCAAACCCCTCGTTTTTCACAATGCCTTCACTGGCTCCCTACAGGAATGACATGAGTAATGTACTCCAACAGGTATGCATCTTTTCACCTGTCTGGTGATGTCTGTTAACCAACGCACAAGATTGTTACCTCCTCTTCCGAGGCTGACACTCTTGATCAATTGATCCCATATATCAAAGACTACAGCTATGGCAACAAAACATCGCACCTACTAGGCCAATTATCTGACCTTGCATCAGCACGCGAGGCTGAGATTGAGCAACAATGTAACACCAATCACCAGGACTTTGTCCAGTCGGTCAACCAACTCCTCCGCATCCGCGAGGGCACGGTAACTCTAACCAACGAGATTCTGGAGCTGAACCAATCAATTCAAACCAGCACAGAAAATCTCGTAGAGCAGAAAAAGGCCCTCGTGGAGTCCCGAGGTGTAAGACAGAACATCGACGAAGCTAGCCATGCACTGCAGGACTGTCTCGAAGTTCTTCGCCTCGCAAATCAGGTCCAGGAACTTCGCGACCAGAAGAAACACTATGCTGCACTACGAGCCTTGGACGAATTACAAACCGTCCATCTGCAGAGCGTCACGCAGTACAAGCTCAGCGAACTCATTCAGTCATCAGTTCCAGCCACTCAGAAATCGATTGCTGAAGCCGTCATGGCCGACCTCAACACGTGGCTCTTCCGTGTCCGCGAAATGTCGCAGTATCTGGGCGAGTTGTCATTCTACCATACCGACCTTCGGATCAAAAGGCAAAAGGAACGGGCCGAGAAGAATGCCTACTTAGCCAACTTCAAATTGAGTTCGGCAATCGAGCTCGTTGCCGACGAACGTGAAGAAGTCAATCTGCTCAAGAGCGAAGACCTCGAAGTCGATTTCAGCCCCTTATTCGAGGCTCTACATATTCATCGCTCACTTGGACAGATGGACAAGTTCAAAGCCGACTACGCTGCAAGTCGAAAGGGACAAAGAGATCTCCTTCTCCAGAACTCAATTTCATTGGTTGATGAGGAGATGGGTGATTTGCACACTCTCCTGGAAGACATCGCCGGGTTTGCCATTATGGAAACCGCAACGATGAAAAAGGTTCCTGACCTACGATCATCGACTGATGTGAGTGATATGCCCTTCGTATTCCCATAGATTAGTCCCTTGATCAACTGACACATATCGACATCAGGTCGAGGAACTATGGGACAGCTTGTGTCAAACAGCAATCAATCTGATGACCAAAGCACTATCTCAAGTGGACAACGCGGAGCATCTCCTGAAGATCAAGAACCTCGTTTCGCTCTTCATTCAGACCATGACGTCTTTCAACTTCAACACCAGTGCCATGTCCAATTTCGTGCTGGTTCTATTTGAGAAGTACGCGACTTTGCTCGAACATCGCTTCAGCGAGGATTTCGTCGAGATTGTGTCCACGGATGACTACATGCCAATGCCGATCCAGAACGCAGAAGAATTTGAAAAAGTCGTCAATGTCTCGTGGTATACTCCAGACCGGCCGATTCAGGAGATGACTTTCCCGACCGTGTTCCCCTTCTCGCAGATGTACCCACTATGCTGCATCGACATCCGCAACTTCCTCAACCAGTTCTACTTCTTCTCGTCGACCGATGATGCTCCGGGCCCGTTGGCATCCAAGATCGACTCTCAACTCTTAAGTTCCCTCGACGATCTCTTGACGACCAAGGTGTGCGCAAGTCTCATCTCAAGACTCTCGTCACAATACCTCGGGCAAATCGTGCAGATTCTCATCAATCTGTCGCACTTCACCACCGCATGTCGCGAACTCGAGACTCTGCTGACATCGGCGCGTTCCAACTCTGTCCACGCAGGGGGATCGTCGACGATCACACTACGGGCGACGTCGCAATTTTCCACACACCAGAAGACGGCAGAGAACCGCATCTTTGAACTGGTCAACAGCAAAGTGTCGGATCTGATTGAAACGGCCGAGTATGACTGGCTGTCGCGAGTGCCACCGAGTGAGCCGTCCAACTACATCCAGACTCTGACGCGATACCTGGCCAATATCATCAATTCCGTGCTGTTGTCATTGCCATCGTCACTCAAAGACTTGATGTTGTTCAATGCCATCTCGTACACGGCGTCGACGATCCTGTCGTTGCCGCTGTCTCCCACAGTGAACCGGATCACCACGCCGGCGGTGGCACAACTCGCTATGGACATTGCCCACTTCCAGGCATATGTCGACACGCTGCCCAACAACTTGATTCTGGTCGAGTCACTCGACGAGTTGGTGCAGACGGTGGCGCTGATGTCGACGGATCAGCCGGACGAATTCTACGATATTTCGCTACGTAACAAGAAATACCGCAACGTCGATCCGCTCAAGGGACCCCAGCTGCTCGAGAAGGTCGTCCACGTCCAGGTCAAGAGTCCAACACTCGCCGGCCCGGGCCATGATCGTGGGTCCAGTGCCAACAGTCCTGGTGGTGGCTTGCCTGCCTCGGGCGCTGCGGCCAATCAAGGCGGTTCCATGGGGAGAAACACGGCCAATACCTTTGCTGCGTTGCAGAATCGTTTCATCAACAGATGAGCTGGGAACCAGTCGGTTTGTCGTTTGCCGCTTCTCGAGGTTTGGGGCCAACGTGGTTAACAGTGTCTGTTGGACTGTGCGGGCTGTGATCGCAATCATGATTGGATCGGACTCGAGTGAATGTCTGTCACACCCGAGTGCTTCAAACCAGCGGTCAGAGGCGAAATGCCGAAGACAACAGGCGGACGTGCCATGGCGGGCCCTCTTGGAAGAAGATAGACAAATTATGGGGCACACATCAACCTTCATGTTGTGGGTTTTATCAATTCATGTACTTTGGTTTTTCGCAAAGTTAAGCATGCCTCTATTGAACATTGCGTGCAAGAACAGGATAATGTCAAGGCAAATCATGCACGTCATCATCGACCTGTGGTATCATTTCCCATTGTCACTCTTATATTGACCCTTTTCATCCTTTTGATTGCCGCGAAATTGGTCCGGCGCTTGTCCCGAATTCGGGGCATTTTCTGGCTGGGTTGGGGCCACATATATGAACTGAGGACTGAACTGTGGAGTTACCAAGCAAGCAAAGGGCGAAATAGAATCGAGAGACTCTCGGATCACGGGCTGACCTCTGCATCACCAGTCATCAGTTCAGTCAGGGCCTTCCATTCCTCTAGAGTTTCTTCCTCAATCTTGAATTCGGCTGTGGGTAGATCATGTAGCGCCTAGCCAGGCCCATAACCTTGTTCATTGACCTGCTCTCGGCCAGCCGTTCCCGGCCTGGCCCCGCCGTATCCTTGGCTTTGGGGCCGTTGCCCCGGAATGTTGGAGTACATCTAGCAGAACAAGTCAACGATTGATTGCAATGGAGTATGATGTGGTTCCAAGACGTACCTGTTGTGCGCCAGCACCAAACTGACCTGGTGCATAAGGGTTGTAGAGTTCACCTCCGCCAAACATCTGCTGTGGTTGTCCGTATCCTTGGCTGGGATCTTGTTGGGCATCGCCGCCCATATGGGCGGGGTACATTTGGGATCTGCCGTATTGATTGTCTGGAGGCCCCATGTTGCCATGTTGCAAACCGTAGTCGGGCGGTGGCATCTGCTGTTGGGGTTGCTGGGGGACCTGGGCGGGCGCCGCTTGACCACTGGTGGTTGGCCGTTTCGAAGAGCCACCGTGTCCAGCGCCTTCCTCTCGAGGGACAATGTCAATCAAGAAATCAAACATGTCACTCTTTGCGAGGGCAGCAGCGATATCACTTCTCTGCAATGTCCTTCTTTTATTGTCCTCGGCGTGGATCCATGCACGCATGGTCAACTCTGTGATGAAGATATCGCACCCTTTGGCGAATAAGATAGGTGCCTCGGCGGAAATCATTTTGACTTCGGGGTCGGCCTTCATGACCTTCTTGATACGGGCAAGTGGCAGCTGATGAATCTTGAAGTCGTGGGTATCGGTTTCGAGGTGGTTGATGGTCTGTTGCCAATAGGTGGCAAGGATCTCACGAGAGGGGCCCGTCAGGCCTTGATTAATCTTAGTTGAGATGGTCAGTATCCCTCGAAGCATGGGAGCACATGGGCAAAGTGACATGTGGGTGCATTCTTACATTTGACCATAATCCAGAGTAAAGTTCAGTATGTGGAACGTAGCCTTGAGCGGATAACTGTTATTGAATCAAGTCAGCAATAGATCTCGTGCCCTCTGGTGAGGATGCAGAAGAATCTTCAATTGACAAGATCATGCGAAAACCATCGGCGCCTCATTCGGCTCGATCATACAGGGGAGGAGATGAACATACAGCAGCGCTTGCACCTGAAAGGCAAAGCGAGTTAGTTATTTACTTTGTCTGGCGCAGCTTGCGAAAGAAACAAGCGCATTGTTGAGAGAAGACATACCATAATGACCACCGGATGAGATATCGTAGACCTAAAACACGCGCGGCAATTAGAATGATTGTCTTTGAGCCTAGAGTGTGCACCAAACGTCTCGACCCAGATGTATTCGAGAGACCTCGAGTCGGCGGACGAGGACTAGGAACGCGCGGAGAGGTAGTTGACTCACTGGAGCACCTGGTTTATTCTCTGTCATGACTGCGGCGGGTGAATTGTCACCAGTGTTGATGTGATGCTAAAAGATCTGCTGGAAGATCGAGCTGTGTGGCCCAAATGCAAGTGGGCGGGCTGGAGCTGGTTGATGCGCAGATGGACCAAATGTGTTACAAATAATCGACAATGACTGGCGCAAGGGAATCGGCGAGGGAGTGACGTTGATAATGATGAAGTCGAGGACAAAGTCGGTGTAGATGATGCAGGATGTGATGTGATGTAAGTGGGCAGGGTTGGTAGAGTGGGAAGTCGCGGTGCAGGAACTGGTGAATGGGAAGGAATGAGCTGTGGGAGGCTGGGAAAGGCGGGCGGCGGAGAAGGTGAAGGTGGTGGTGGTGGTGGTGGTGGAGATCTTGGTGGTGGAATTTGGAGAGGCACGAGAGGAGGGAGGTCAAAGAGTACTCCGTAGGCAATAATAATAATAGTAAGAAGAGGAGAGAGGAAAAGAGAGAGAGAGAGCGAGAGACAGAGGAATAGGCGGGGTTCGGCATTGCTTTTTACGGCCGTCATGGATCATGGGCTTGTCTGTGCTCGAGGTCTAAAAGGTGAACCCATCGAACATCAGTGCGCACTTACTTACTTCCTCGAGCTCCGTCATCACCTGTTCCTTTGCGGACTTGACTAGGATGCAACCTTGGGACCGTGGTTGTTTAGATGGCTCGGATGAATATGATTAGGACTTTGTTGTCCGAGACTCGAGCTACCTAACTGGGGCCCCCGGACTACCGAATGCCGTAGTATGTTGCTGTGGACATGTTGCCTGCTACTACTAACACTTGAGTGATGTGAACAGTTCTCGTTGTTGTGTACAACTACTAAACCGGTGATGTTGACCTTGGAATCCGCCAGCCTTGTGCATCATCAGTCAATCAGCGTCTTCTGTTGGATCAAGCTCTATGAGTGGTTGCTCCATCGCCCCATCAGTGCATCACTTTAATCGTTATCCAGGAACCCTGATGATCGGATTCGTTGGGCGTGATAATGTGATTCTTCAGGTATGCTTTCCCGCTCCAGGCGACACGGGCCACCAGCGAATAGGTGCTCTGCCGGTCAATAAATGACGCCGACTGGTCAGGAACAAGTCAAGACTTTCTCTGGTCAAGTATCATATTATACGGGAGCATTCCACCCATTGTTGTTGTTTCCTTGTGCTGTGTCTTACATGTCGTCAGAGTCATCATGTCTGGTACTCGACCGCTGGCAATGCGTTGGTAGTCAACCATGTTACTTTCATTGTAGGTCATGATCAAATCACAGCGCCTAATGCCTCCTGTCAATCACATTCCACCACTCCAAGGCGCCAAAACGGGGGTCGTCGTTGAGGTCCCAGTTCTGTGGCCGTCCAAATACAAGCTGAGGGAGATCTTCTTCGAGCTGAATCCAGGACAGCATCCATGATGCACTTGCGCTTCACTTCCAATATTCCTGCATCATCATCTAAGGTCGCTGATGCCATAATGAGACAAGTCAAGGCGAAACTCGGTGAGATTGGGCATCAACATGCACAATCCTGCCTTAACCCGCCCCGGTCCCTGGGGATGCGTTGGCAATCAAAGCTTTTTCATGGCACGTGTCGACCTCGATCAGAGATGGCTGTGAATAGCGATCTCGTCCAGCGAGACCATCGCACCCTTCCTACAGATCTGGGAATCCAAATATCGACAGCAGGCGACTAAATGGTCATATCTCATGGCAATCGCTGAGTGCGTTGCAGTACTATAGACGCTAGAAAATCCTCCGTATTGTACAGTCGAGTTTGGTAGACGCTCAAATGATGCAACCAGACCCCTTTATCACCGGTGCGTATATGCCAACCATCGCTCAAATAGATGGATCATGCCCTTCATTTCTGTTTCTGCGTCGCCATATTGCTGTTCCGAACATAGCAACGCTTCGTAAGTAGTCATCCTGGTGTGTCTCATGCCGATATGCCATGGAAATGCCCGTGAACAAGTGAACAACACTCCCGCGACGTCTATCCGTCGGCAGATCAAAAGTCTCTGGTGGAGAGTCACTTCTGTGCTCACTATCCAAGATTTGCCCTCCGTCTGTGTCTTCTGTCATTAGAAGGCTTGCCTCCACCAGCCTCGAAACGCCATTTGTGTTGCACCGTAATGTAAATAATGTGATATACAGCACAGCTCTAGTGAGGAGCTGTTCAAAATGCCGCGATGTTTACTGCTCGACATTGTTTATTACCCTAAGCCCCATCAACCACTGAAATTAATGTGCTCTGGATGATTTCGCGGGGGGAGGGTGTGGGTTTCTTGGTCTGAAAAATGTTCCTGGCTTCTCTTTCTTCAGCCTCTCTTTTGAGCGTGCATTGTCGAGCTGGTCCTCGACCGTCTTTGCGGCTGGGGAACTGCCGATCCCTAGCCCAAGCCCGAGTAAATTCTTGCCCAGACCGTCTTTGACCTTCTGGTTTTGCATGTCATTCGCAATTCGCATGCTTCTTTTTCGCTCCACTTTGGCTTGGTACTCCTCGATGTAAAGAACAGAGTTCTTGCGTCGTGGAAGACTATCACCCTTGGTCAGGGCTCTCCACGCCCTGAGGCTCACCGTCTTGGTGCGAGAGACAGCCGGCCCCGATGTTGCTGATCCAGACTGAGTTGGCGCCGAAAAACTCTCTACCGTAGACCCTGCCATGGGACTGGCTGAAGCGAGCGATGAACTTCCGGTCGAACGATGCCGTCGATGCATGGTCGTGTCGCTCCCACTTCTGCAGTGACCGTCGCAATACACCTTGGACTCCTTTTTCGCCCGATTGGGACTCAACAGATCCTGAGGCGTCGGCAATTCGACCGCTGGTGCTGCTGAACGGCTCACGTCCTTGGCACCAAGTGCGAGCAACTCAACCGCTTTCTGCAGGTCAATGCCGGATCCTGAATCACACATGGCCAACGCCTTACGAGCTCTCGTCTCTTCAAATCCTAGCTCGCGGACCAGCAAATCCATCGCCTTGTCCACTGGATCCACGATATCGGATCGCAGTGCTGCTGCCCGTTCCGTCCGTTGAAAAGGTACCTTCGGCCCAGGTGCAGCATACTGCACAGGGAACAATGTCGCCCCAAGCTTTGCGCTCAGAGTCGAAGTTGTCCCTAATCCATAAAATACAGAGGGATCGGCCGTTGGCGAGGTTGGGAACATGCTGGAGTTCCGATTCGTCGCACTCAGAGGATCACAGTCCGGACGAATTTCGATAGGGGGACTGAGTGTGACTGCAGTAGACATCGGCCTTCGCCGAGGGTTAGAAGTGTTTATACGCAGTGACTGCACCTTGTTGACGCCGTAATCAGGTTCATGTGCGAGGCCAAAATCATGGCCGTCCAGAGATTTGGTTGGTCTATGAACCGGCATGCGTACCATCGAGAACCTGGCTGCTTTAGCCTTGGCCTCTTCTAGCACCCGATCTTGATACACTTGTGAAATGGCATCCAGGACGAATTTCGCGCGCGATTGTCCCGGGGGGAGCAGGGGCCATGCTCGTGTGAGTCCGAGAAGTCTGGCTTGATCGAAGGATCCGGAAGCAACCGAGAGGACTGTCTGTGGACCGAGACACAGCAGATATGACGTCCACTCAACCAGGTGCTCCTCCTCTGATGTGTTGTGTATCAACTGCCAGTTGTCAAACACACCAACATCCCTAGCCTCGGCCACACGTCCATGGAATCCAGCTACCAGGGTCTGCAAGCATTGCCACATTTCACTCAGATCCTCCAGTTCTTGAGTTTTCAGGCCAACACCATTGCCGCCTCCGAAATTTGCACTAATTTGCTTGTTGCCAGCAGCTCTGGAACCGTTCAGCCAGTCGATCTGTAATTGGATCGAGCCTGTTTGACCCGTCGATGGCCCAAAAAGATTGCAAAAGCTCCAAATTCTCCATATCGCGTTGTCGAGATCCTTCTGGCGGGTCGGATCTCGGCCCTCGAGTCCCAGGATGGTTCGATCTTTGGCGAAAGAGGCACAATGTTCCAGGAAAAGAGATTTCAGGGCAGTCAGAGTACTGTAGTGATGCCAGTAGTCCTTCATCCTAAATTCTTGTGAGGGTTGGCTGCGTTGCAGGCTGTGTCGAAATTCCCAGGCTGCACGAGAGTGACTGAACAGGACATGTTCGACCAGTCTTGACTGATTGCGTTGAAATGTCCTCTGGAAACCTTTACTGACCAATGAAGCGGACTTTAAATCTTGGAATGAATCTAGATTCTTCATGACATGAAAGATGACATTCTCTGCTGTGGTAACATTGATGTGATCGTGCTTTTTTGGTAGACGGACGCGCATGACCTGGTGCGATGGGAGCGAATTGGGTGAGAGTACCACGGTTTGTGCGCCTGATCGATGTCTGGGGTCAAGGCCGTGTGGTACACGTTGGACTGCAGCCTCGGAAGCAGAACGCTTTCGTTCATGCAATTTTGAATGCGCATTTGTTCGTCGTGCTTCCCGCACAGCTTTGGGGGTCCAGGCTGGTAGTTCTGACAAGACCTGGCCGCTTGAAGCTCTTCTGCTCAAGACTGTTCTCTCAGGGTGAGATGTATTTCCAGTAGCGGCCATCGGCGTTGAAGCTGGTGCTTTGGACCTTGGTGGTCTTGAAGACGATTCGGCCAGTTCCTTTGGAGATAACAAATTGGGGACTGACAAGGATGGAGCAAACCTATCCCCAGGTCCTGGGGGAAGAGGCTTGTCCAGATTTAGTGGCAGGTGGGCAGCTGAACGAGAGGGTTGGGAGGATTTGCGACCAGGAAAATTGACATGTGACTGTCCTTTGGCGACCTGTGGCACCAGGGGCTTTCTAGGCTTTGATGTCAAGAACAAGTCGCCTCCAGTCTGAGAAATGGCCGACACAGGTTCTTGTATATAACTCGAGCTGGATGACTTGCGGGTGACGAGTGGGGAGAAGTCGCTGTCACCACGGCTGACTTGAGAGTATTGGGATGAGCCCGTCGAGTCGTTTCTGGTTATATCGAGGCGTAGCCTCTGTTGCCGCGGTTCATGTGAACCTGGAGCGGCAGCAAGAGCTTTGGAGGCGAGGGGATCGCTCACGAGAGTGGATACACGGGACACGGACGATTGAGCATCTTCTGCTGCGGTGTAGTTTTGGAAGTGGTGAAATAGATCAGAGAATGATTCTGGATCGATGTGAGAAATGTCTGGTAGGGCAAGGGACGGATTGTCGGCGGTTGAGTCGTCGGTATTGTGTCGTCGAAATAGAAATGATGAGCGGTCCTTGCTTCCCAGGCGCAAGATGGAAGTCATTCTGGAAGGGAAGTTGGCAGGTTGGATGCCGGCCCGTGCAGAAGGGCACAGACAGCAGTTGCACCCCTGCCACAGTTTGAAGGTTGCTTCAGAATTCCAGGCTCAGAGTTCCCTGCCAATATTCAATATCCCAGCGCATTGCGTAAGAATTGAGCCTGTGCACCAAGCAGAGTTGATGATGAAGTCAAAGAGACTGGAAGATCAAGTCAGTAAACAGTCTGGGGGAGTGTTGACCCAAGACTTGGAAGTCCCGATCTGATCATTGCTCGATTTGTCGGTGGTTGGGTCCTTATTGCAAGCAACCCGGATTATAGCCAGTCTGCCAGCCAGTCTGCCAGCCAGTCACCGCAGTATGGCCGAAGATACTGGCCAACCAGACTGGGATTGCAAAGCCCATATGCGTAGCAAAGCTGGACAGGGGTGCTTTGGGGCTCGTCCCAGTGGCGCATACTAAAGATAACCAAACCAAAGGGGCGAAGTACAAATTGCAGGGGTCTTTGATTGGGGGATTCATGGTGCGGTTGGCCTTGTGTGGCCTTGCCACGACCAAGCATCGACCGGGCACTATGGATGGAGTAGGCATAGGGCTGTGGGCAAAGGCTATGGGTGCTACTGGGCACTGGGCACTGGCAGTGACTGGGCACTCCAGGGTTTACCTGTACGGAGTAGAGGTGCCGTGGGTGCCTCTGCGGCGCCATCCTGCGGGGGGTCTCGCGAGGGGTGGCCGCCTCTAACTCGGTGAGTATCGTAGTCGCACCAGTGGGCACTGAACACTAAACACTACTCCATAGGCCCTGGTCAACCCTGGTGGAGGGGCACTGGTGGCTACGCTAAAAGGCCTGGTGGACCGCAGCATTGGTGCTCATTCAATCCCATTGTGCCAGGCGGTCCCCTTGACCCACGCCAGCCTGTGGCAGGAAACACGAGATCTGCGAGACTCTCTGGATAATTCTGGTACAATGCCACGACTTGGTTCCTAATGATCAACAATAACGATCTCCGGTGGGCTTGAACAATGTCTTACCTAACATTCGGCCCTCGAGATCTGAGAGCCACAAGAGCTTACCACGTAGTCTCGACTCTCGAGTGACTGTCAACGCAGGGCAGGACATGCGAGGCTCGAGCTCAACGCAGAAGAGTGATTCGTGGTGATTCAGCCATATCGAGCTGGCAACCATCAACCTTGGCCTGAGTTGGCATTTACAAACGAGTCTCATTGACCGTTTGATTGACCTGATTTCTGCTTTCGGCACCATGTTGGACCTGCCTGGCGCTCTTGGTGCCACGAGGAATCGGCCACTCTGCAGACCTATGCCCTGGTGGACATCATCTGACATTATGCCCTGCCGAGACCCGAAGCGAAGTGAACAGGACCTTCCCCTGGCATGAGGTTGATTTGTTTAGGAATCCTCCACACATAAGGTTCTGGGGTTTTGGTCACTTCGGCTGGCTCCTACAGGACAGTAGTACTTCCCTTTCGACCACTTCCAAGATCACTCCCATTTTTACTCGTACGGAGTAGAGACTTATAACATGTATACATAACGAGAATGAGAAGCATTCTGATAGAATTCTGACGGCGGAATTTGCCGTAGAGTGCAGAATGTGCACCTTTGCACCTTTGCTATTTCTCGCCAGCTGTGACATGGTGGCGTTTGTAGTGCGATTTGGTTCCATCTCGAGACCAAAGTCCTGACCACGAGTTTGAGCCAATTCCTCCAGTGATAAATTTCGGGGGTTGACATAGTGCTGACATGACTGGTCAAGTGTCGTTCATCAAAACATGCGTTGTACTGTACCCGCAACTTGACGTACATTTCCTCCTGACTCGTGATAATTGCTTCTGCAAGAACAGTCACCGCCATCACTATCATGTCTCGTGTGAACGTTGTGGCAAAGCTCTTGTTTGGTTGTACCATTTCCTCTAAAAGCCACCAAGGTCTAGACTTTCCCGGATGTTCGGTAATGCGGCGCCCCATCTTTATTATTGGGTATTGAATTACCTCTAGAAGGAGCGGGCTCTCTCTCAGCACTACTCCGTACACAGACTATCGTGATTCCGTGGACGATGCGAGCAACGTCATTGAGACATCCCAACTGATAATTCGGGTCATGAAATCTCTTATCAAATTGATCAGCCTCACCAGGGCTCATCGGATCCCAAGGTGTATGCCTGCAATGATTACACATAATCTCCGTAGCCCCTGACTAGCCAGCACACACGAATTTGTCGTTTTGCTACCAAGTAAACAACATGCTTGCCTCCAGCTACTGAAGACCCGGAGCTCAGCTGGACTCTGCCGCTTGACCTCCCGGTTGCCAATTAAGTATTAGGCACTCGAACGAGCGACCTTATTGTAAGTTGTGGCCGATCTCCAGATGCAACTTGCCCGAGGACTTTGGCCTTTTCCAGATTCGAGACAATTTCGCTGCATAGTTCATGTAGACTACGCTCACCGCCGGAGCGCCACAGGAATTTTCTGAATGACAGGTGGTGATATCGACATATGAGGGTGACACGACCGGAATTGATCTGTCTGTTGCTTCTGCAAGCCCTTGCTCAGCTGCTGCTGAGCTGCCTCAGAGCTTGCTATCAATCGCTCGTGTCCCGGACATCCGGGAATGAGGCCCTGAACCACTCGTTGGCGTGAACAAAGTTCAAGGTGGTGGGTGATGATAGAACGCGTTGAGCCCTCCATCATGCTTTCGACAGCACCTGCCAATGTCTATCCCAGTGAGGACTGGGTTCGGGTTCTGATTTGGACCACTGTTCCATGAAATCAGAATCCAATGATCGTGATATGGTGTATATCGACCGAGGGGTGAAACGATCACACGAGGAGGTTGTGTGGCACTCGCCATGTGAGTGACCTTGACAATCCCTCACGGCCGTTTCCTCTTGGCAAGAACTTTCTTGTAGTGTTCTTTCTTGCCACTGGTCTTTGCGGCTTGGATTTCACCATACTTCCGCTTGAAGCGGCCGTTCTGACGCTCGGTGTTCATGGCTTCCTCGACGAATGTCTTTGCCCGGTCCTTCTTGTTGATCCTCGAGCTGAAATATTCCGTAGGTCCCTCAATGACCGTACCAGTTTGTGAGAATGTCGGTATTTTACCCTTGCGGTTGTTCTTCTTGTAATGTCGGTGTGGGTCAAGGACGGATCTCATCTCAATCAGTTGTAAGTCTCGCTTGAGCTGGGGTGTGACATCGGTTTTCGGAAGACCAAACCAGTCAGGGCCCGCAGAGGATTGGTCGTTCTGTTTGTCATCAGCTAGGGATTTCATTTGGTGAGGCTTAAAAAGATGGGATGATTGTGTGAAGAGTCAGAGTAACTATGAAAAAAATGCTTTCATGGAGGCAGGGCAGGCCAGAATGGCATGCTGATCTGCGTCAAGAAGAATATTGGAATATATTTTCCTCATGTAAAGAAGGGTGGTGGTGGAATTGTGTCTCGACTTACAATTTTTTTCGACTTCTGCGGGAATTCGACAGGGGGTAAAGAGGTAGAGGTATCCTGCTGTGCTGAGGCTGTCAAGGCTTTGGGGTCGATTTGAGCAACACCATTGTCATCCTTTAGATAACCAGCCCCATCGAGTCCGTGGCGCAACTTTGGAAATCTGCATTGGTTAACGTTGAGTTGGGAGATATCATTCGGAGACATACGGCTTCCTAGCCTTCGATTTGGCCACATTAGACTCTAGACTGATCTCATCTTCAGTGGCCACAGTCGAAAGCTGTCCAACTTTCTCCCGCAGTCTGCTTTCCGCTTGGCTCAGAAGTTGATCAATTTCAACATCGGTTAAGACGTCGGTCGCCATCGTGCAAGGCGTATTGAAATTACATGCACTGAGTTCGTTGAATCATGGCCGGTATGGGATATTCCAAATCCTCCCAGACAGCAGAACTCGTCGAAGAACTTGCACTCGAACATGAATGTTGAGCAGCGTTGGAAAATTGCTCCAGATTGAAAAAGATTTAGAGAACCACTCACCGCGGGCTGGCGAGGAAGGTTTACCGGACAGATCCCCAGCCTTGTATTCTCCACAACCCGACAAGGCTGCAAAAGCCTGCCCAATTGGCGGTCAGACGATAAGCGATAAAGATTGGCTTGGCACGCTGGCACGATTTTCTGTGAGGCAGGACAACTTTTTTTGCCTGCGACGCTGCATCTTTGAAGGCTTTGACCCAAATCTGACCTTGCTCGGACACAATCACTGTATCCGACAAGATCTCAACATGTCTTCAGACGAGATTGTTTGGCAGGTCATTAATCAGCAGTTTTGTTCATACAAACTCAAGTAAGTGCATGCCTTTCCGACTTTTGCACCCCTCTTCAGAGACTTTCCTAACATTTGGTTTCCCCACAGGCTCAGTACCAAAGAACAGAATTTCTGCCGCAATGAATACAACTTGACAGGGTTCTGCAATCGACAGTCATGTCCTTTAGCGAACTCTAGATATGCCACTGTCCGGCCAGACCCAGAAACAGGCGCTCTCTGCCTCTTCATCAAGACGCCGGAACGGACACACTTGCCCTCGAAATGGTGGGAGAAGATACGACTTCCCAACAATTATGAAAAAGCCCTTGCACAAATCGATGAGAAACTGGTCTACTGGCCAAAGTTCTACGTCCACAAGTGTAAGCAGAGACTTACACGACTGACTCAAGTGGCCATTCGTCAACGACGCATTGCAAAGGAAGAAGCCAGACTGGGCGAAACACTCGTCCCGAGACTTGCTCCCAAGATCCGACGAAGAGAAGAGACTAGAGAAAGAAAGGCCGAGAGCGCAGCCAAGGTTGAAAGAGCCATTGAGCGAGAACTTATTGATCGATTAAGAAGTGGTGCTTATGGCGACCGCCCCATCAATGTGGAAGAAAACGTATGGAAGAAAGTTCTTCGCGGGCTAGAACGGGCAGAAAAGGGCGAAGAGCTCGAAGATGACGAGGAAGAAATAGAGAACGAAGCAGAGGGCGAGGTCGAGTATGTTTCTGACCTCGAAGAAAGCGAAGGTGAAGGCGAAGCTGAAATGGAGGACTTTGACGATTGGTTGGGAGGAGAAAGTATGGATGACGAGGATGACTCTGAAGACTCTGAAGACTCAGACGGTGGTGACGGGTCAGAGGATAGTGAGGACAGCAGCGGAGACGACAGCGAGGCCGCAGGTACTGGAGCTGGAAAGAAGAGGAAGCGGACCGCACCAGCACCCAAGCCAAGGAAGAAAGCAGCTCCTCAGCTGGAGATTGAGTACGAAACCAGTCTACCACAAAAGGAGCTCAATGTTGCATACTGAGAGGACGGGTGTTCATGAGGCGTGGCACAATTATCACGATTTCACATTCATGCCTCTCATAACTGCTGTTTATTACTGGGCGTATAGCAGGCCGTCAAGTTGCTGGCAAAATCGAAATGAATAATGATGTACAATCAAACCTGTGTTCCTAGTCCTTACGCGTAAGCACCTTGGTCATGTTGATTCTTCATAGCTCGCGTAAATCAAGCTTTGGTCGCAGTCCCTTTGACATATCTAAGCACCTAGACGACGAATAGATTAATACAGTCTTGAGATAGGAGAAGAGGTAGTGAACAAACCTCGTGTCCCTTATGGTCACCAACGGTTGTGACCTTTTTGTCAGCCCAACCACCCATGCCCAGGACAAGCTTGTCCACTTTGCCCTTGAGCTGACACCCACCGGCAAAGGCTGGCCATACCAAGTTCAGCGCTGAGGCGTAAAGAACGGTGATGGGGTCCGAGTTGCTCTCGACATGCTCAAAGAACAAGAATTGACCGCCAGGCTTCAGAAGCCCCTGGACAATGGCCAATGTGGAGGCGAGTTGAGACTGCTGGCTTGAACACAGAGCTTTGACCACGACAATGGTGTCGAAAACACCATCCTTAGGCAAGGAGGTTGAAGTTCCGGAGATCAAATTGGCACGTTTGAGGGCAGGGAGGAGAGTCCCCGGTTCAGCACCAGCTTCCAGCGCGTGAAATTTGCTGCGTAGTCCATTCTTGTCGGCGGCCTCGAGTAGTTTGGGGTGCAGAAACACATTGGGTTCAGCCGCCCACAGGGTTTCAATCTGTCGAGGATTGTAATGATACATCTGATCACCGGCTCCAGGGCCCAACTCGAGGACTTTGCCGCGGGCCCGAGACAGAAGGTCATGAATTTCGGTCATTTGGACCTTGTCCGCAGCCATTTTGGGACCCACAACGGTCCAGAAGCTCTCGAACCATTTGGATCGAAATGAAGACGGCGAAGTTAAGAGGAGAAGAGGATGGGCGGCCAATGTGATGGGTAGATAGATGATGCAGATGATGAGAAGGAGCAGAGGCCCCGCATAGTCCTGAAGACGATCGCGTAGAGATACACCCATGGCAACAGGTTGAACACCAAAGGGAAGAGTGTGAGGGTGATGGGAGGAGACAGGATGTTCTGATTCTTTGTAAAGAGGATGAGTGTAAAAGCTATATATCTTTGGTCACGGGGCACACATTTTAGCTAGACATGACTGAAGTTTATGCCTTAAGCCCAGACGGAGATGCCAGCTTAGAAGAGGATACGATATTCATCAGGCTTTGACAGCAGCCCCAGCCAGAGACAGGCGCAGTGGTCTTCTGTCATTGACTCTTGGTGAGGTGAGGGGTGTATGGAGACAGGAAGCTAAAAAAGATCCCCATGGGCGCACGCGGTGGGATGGGCCTGAGGGCCCTCACGTCTCCGTCTGCCGCCTCGTATTCCCTGCCGCCAGCTTCACCAACCTCCCCTCCCCCTCCCCCGACCAAACATACGACCAAACATACGGAGAGACCTTCGCCCTTCAATCAAGGCCAACAAGGTCAAATTATATGGTTCATGCGGTATAATGTCAAAGAGCGGAAGGTTTGTGAATACATCCAGCAGTTGTTCTTGACATTCTGAGTCTCAAGTCTTCTTATCCTCTAAAATTGGGTCCTCGGGTCTACCCTTCCCAGGTGTATCGGACTCAAGGGTCGGTTCACCCTGTCCTTGGTCTTCGACATCATGCTCGAGCTCTCCTTCTATATCTTCCAACGGCTCGTTTGATGTGCCATCTGGAAGAGCCTCCTTAGCCTCCTCTAATGCTCTATACTTCCTCCGCCTCTTCTTCTCTGCACTTCTCTTCTTCTTACTATCTCTCAGCCTCTTCATCTCAACTCGACTCTCTGGTCCGTTCTCGGCCTGGTCGACTTTCTCTGCTAAGATCCGCCTTGCAATCTTGTAGTTCTGAGACCGACTTCTGGTTGCCTGCGACTTGACTACAATTCCTGTAGGCCCGTGTGTCATCTGCACCGCCGAGTTTGTCTTGTTGATCTTTTGACCACCAGGGCCAGATCCTTTAAGGTAGACATGTGTGAGCGTCTCATCAGGGAGGGTCGGCTTTGGTGGAAGGGTCGACTTTTTCTGATGGATTGCATGGGAACTGAAGGGCCGAGAGCAGGTAAGACGACTAAAGGTTTTGTTGGTACAACATATAACAGGGGATGGAATTAGTGCTGTTTCGTAGGACGCTCGGCGGAGTTCAGTATCAACAAGAAATTGTTGTCGTCGAGGGACACATCTTAAGAGGCCGCTCAACTGGATCCCTCTAGAATATGGCAACATGGACTGATGATGGTGCATCTTCACGCTTCACGCGTTAACTATTCAAGATGTTCATTGCCTTCGGCGAATGTCAAAGCATCGACATGCAGTCAGGGACGGATGTATCGCCGTGGAGAAAAGCGTCTGCATCTCAACTGACGATGTTGTCTCAACGAGTGACAATACCACGAGAGCATACGAGACCTCGTCTGCAGATGGTCTGATGTTTGGAGACGTGGAGCCTCCAAAGCAAATGTGGCAGGTAAACCGACGCAGTCCCTGACGTCCACGCTAGTATAGGTTGTATACTATTAGAAATTGATGCCACGCGCCCTGGCGGACAATACGTAATGATCACAGTGGCTTGCATTGTCTGTTTGAGCATCTATCTGCAGAAGCCATGAATCTATATTCAGGCCTTGCCTTCGCGGCGAGCTGCACTCCTAGGCCTCGAAACTGCCGTACCAGAACATTACCGTGTTAGCCTTGCCCTAATCCGTTCAAGCCTGGGTCTATCTCGTCCATGATGTTCGCTGCGAGATAGCAGAGCCATCTTCGCATGCGAGGCGCTTTTCAAATCCTCCATTGTACGCCTACAACATCATGTAAGAGCTCAAGACTTTTTTGGCGTCAGGACTCAGCGTCTCCTCGACTGTTTTTCCGATCCTGCCTCCATGTCTTTGGTCGGCGGCTTTCAAATAATGTCCCACCCAGGCACGCAGGTCGGTAACGTCGGCAAAGGGGTCCTTGTTTGGTGGCCGGACTGTGTTCAGTTGTGTGAAGCCAACGCCAAACCCTGAATCCTCCACGTCTAGCTCTGCGATATGATCATCGGACTTTGGTGGTACTGGGGGATCTTCTAGAAGTTTGAGTAGTGCATTGCATGTCAATGGCCAGCCCTTGGGGTATCTAGACACGAATGCCTCCGAGTCTGCCAGGGTTTTGGTCAACGATATGGCCGCGACCTTGCGGTCCAGAGGTCGGGCAAGCTCCTGGGTCTTTGGTAGAATGATACCGACATAGAGCTGCCGGAAAACATCCTGTTGGACTCGATCTGTAGCTGCGATGAAGAAATCGGCCCCTAGACCTTGTTCGGTACGCGAGGATACAAAGTGATAGAATCTGATAAATCTGGAGGTGAAGGCTTGAGTTTGTTTGCTTTGTAAACGTGTCAACAAGATGTTAAGAACGTGAACCCAGTATTGTTCCAAGTCTGATGGAGTAAATGTCGATATCACCGTCTCCAGTAGATCGACTCCGTAGCTCTCAAACACTTTCGTTGCTACTAGCTTCTGAAAGATGCCAAGGACATGTTCAATCTGGTTGGCCGTAATCAGCTGTTGCTTTCCGCGCACAATGATGGCTGACAAAAGTCGGACCAAAGCTGGTACGTTGCCTCTCTGCTCCCACAGCGATGGAGCAAGGATTGGAGCGATCAGTGGTTCGTATTGTGACGGCAAGGGCTTGTCCGGCTCATTCTCAAGTAAAGCTGCCATGAGTTGGAACACATACGGAATGAACTCCTCAACCCCGTTGGACAGGATGGCGAGAAAAGGGGCGAAGAGGACAGACCCAAGGGCCTCCGATTGAGCAGCTCCGGTGAAGCGAATCAGAGCGCCGAGACTTTCAAAATGATAATAGTAGAACCTCGGGTTGCTGGGGTTTGCGGCGATGATGGTAGTGATGGTGGTCAAATGTTGCAGAGCAGAATGGGCCACAGAAGCAATACCTTCTCTGACAACTATCAAAACTCGCATGATGCATCTCATGATGAACTCATTCTCCTGAACTTTTTCTGGCGCGCGGTCTTTCTCGACCAAGCCAAACAAATGCTCCAGGAGGCTTGATGCCAGTGGGGTGATATTGTTCGGATCAATCAAGGGTTTTCCACTGTCATCTCCCATGGCCAAAACTCTTTCTACCGCAACCGCGGCATAGGTATAAACACAGTAATTGGAGTTGCCCAGGTGATTGACTAGCAATGGCATGACTTGTTGCCACTGGTCCTTGGTGATGATGCTGCGAAAAACATACAGATACTTGATGGCGTCAACTTTGAGCAGTGGTTGAGTGTCACCTTGCAAGTCTGTTGCAAGGTATTTGGAGAAGAAATCGCCAATGTCTACGAGACTGTTCGTCTTGGTGACACCATGGGTGGAGGTTCTGGCGCCCTTTGACGCAAGTGCGAAGAAGAGACTCACTGCTGTGTCCTTAGATCTCCAGTTGGCCTCAGGATTGCTTTGGAAGTCTTGCAGGGCTTTTTCGATATAAGTCATCGTGATTTGAGTGACAGATTGTTCGAACTGATCACTCAATTGTTGGAGAAAGTCGCCTGCAGCTCGTCTGCGGGTTTCGCTGTCGGAGCCTTCCAAATCCCGTCGGATAAACTCAATAGGTTCGTCTTCGAACATCTCGATATCGGAGTCTCTCAAAGCGACGTTGGGTATGACGACTTTTTCAATGATTTGAGTCTGAATGTTGGGGTTGTTGAACGTTTGAGCCTGTTCGTTGATGCCGCCAATCGATGTCAGGAACAACAGAGCTTTACTGACAAGGATGTCATTCTTGGGCTCGGCTCCGGTGGTGGTCAAGAGATTCCATGAACTTTCCACGAAGCTCGTGACGTGTTTAGAGAAGTCATCGTAGTACTTGCCGATGTACAAAGTCAGAGCCTCAAAAATGTTGGCCTTTGTGTTCTCGAGCGGGCCTGCTGTGTCCTCATCGTCTGTGTGCAGAAGGCTGTTGTTGTAGACTAGGTACTTGAGAAGTAGGCCGGAGATGCCTTCAAGATGGTCTTCGAAGACAGGAGAGAGATCTTGACACGAGAGATCATAAAAGAGTTGGAGTACGAGATCGAGCTCGGTGAAAGCATTCTGCAGTGCGACTTTGTCAGTGCTATGGTTGTCGATGTACGAATCGAGGCTTTGCCACAAGGAGAGAAACGGCTGGGCGAACTTTGACAGCACATGATTGATCTCGGTGAACAGGTCGTCAGAACGGAAGAGCGGTCGCCATCTGACGAAAATAGAGTGAGCCACCTGCAAGACACCAGCGTTGACGACAGGGTCTCCAGGCTTCAGTCGGGATATCAGATCGTCCACCAAAGTGTCCCACCTCTCCCAGAAGTCACTGTCTGCGATGATACTGATTGCTTCTCCCAATTGCGTCTGGATACCCTTGGGCACTGAGATCATCAGGCCAACAAGCTCAGTCTTGACCGTTGTTACATCTTGATGGGGTAGTTTGTAGTTGCCTTCCACGTCGGTCCAATTGCGTTTGATGAAATTTTTGAAAAAAAGGGCACTGGCAAGCCGTGTGTTATATTGGAAGTCGGTGGAGGCAGTGATTTGGAGTAGTAGGAGGGCGAAGCCGGGCTTTTGTTCCTCTGTTCGAATCTTCTGCTCGGCTAAGGTGGGTTAGGTGCGAGGCTTCAGTCATCAAAGGATTGAGAGAACTTACCTTCTCTGTTTTGACGTGGATCAAGGCTGGCATCAAGCAGCTGTGCCAATTGCGTGAGAGAAGACATTGTTTGAGACTGACAAAGATACGATAGCGACAATGAGGGGATTAGAGTATGATGGGCAATGAATCGTTGAGATTTAGCGCATGTTGAGGTTGCGGACGGACTTTATTGCACCTAATGTGAAAAGGTAGGACACCGGAAGTTCTAAGAATTAGCGCTGACAGGTGGTGCGATTGCTTGCAGGCTTGAAGCAGACCAAAAGAGATGAAGAAGTGGTGTAGATTTGGGGTGAGTTTGTTTACAGTTCACAAGACACTTGATGGAGTTTAGGATATCCACAGAACGACTGCCCACCTGCCACAAGCACTTTTCCAGTTGCGGGAGAATTAAATTCCATCTTCACCGCCTTCCTAAAACAATTATTCACTTGATATGATTTGACTTCACCGTGTTATTTTGGGCAGTTATTACTGTGGACCATAACATCACATTTGAGCATTTTCTGGTGGCGGACTTGGGTGCCTGGTGGGCTCTGGGTGGCGACGTGCAAGGGCCGAGAGGGCCTTTTGCTTAAACCTAAGCGACCTCGAGTTCAGCGCCGAGAGACTGCCTGGATTCCTACTGGATATCCCTACCAGCTCTACCCCAAAAAACCCAGTCTGAGGGAAAAATCATGCGGAAAAAGTGCCTAGGTGTCGTGGGTGTGTCTCTCTGTGGCTCTCAGACGGACTCCGCCGTCAGTCTCTCAATTTTACCAACTTTAGAAGGCAAATTGGGATGATGTGCTGCAGATCCTCATCCAGTCAAATCTGAATGGCGATGAAATCTTTCCTTGGTCTTCCGCAGGTTAAACTTGGCTGATCGGAGTGTTGCATCTCGCGATCCTAAGTAATTTTCGTGGATGTGAAGGGTTGTATGTAAGAACGCCTGTGGGTAACCAGCCGTAAAAGCCAGCCAGCCAGCCAGCAAGCCTATCCACTCCTACCCTGGTGACTTTCACTGGGGCTAAAGAAGTCCGAAGATGTATTTGACATTGTTCGAGCGCCTGTAGGCTTTTGTCTGCAACAATCTCTGTCTGTATTTGGCTCTCCCTTTCAACTTGGACATCTGCCCGCTCCCTGTGTTCTGCTTTATCTCAGTCGACTTGACAATCATCCAGTTGCATCGACATTCGACAAATTTACATCCAGTTGAACGACCATTCCCCTTGAACTTGACGGCAGGCACGACACATATCTGTTCTTTCTTGGTGGCAGACTCTGCAGCCTACGTTCTTCATATACATAATTCAAATGTTGGAGTTTTCATCTTGACGAACCAACTTTTGCAATTACTTTCAACCTCGACCTTGGTAAGCTACAGTCGAAATTATTCCCTTTTCACGGCCCATTTTCGAAACTGTCTGCACTGCAAAGTATCAGATAAAGCAGCCCCAACACCAAATCCTGTTCTGCCACGAGTCTGTTGGAGTCGAACCCTCAACCGTCTGATGGACTTTTCGGGGCTCGTGACTGCCGCGGTTCTGCATAAATCACATGCTTCCTCCTTGGCTCCTGTCAAAAGTTATTCTTGTCAGGCAACCTCTTTTAATCACATGAACCCCTCAAGTGCTACTCAAGTCAACGACTTCTGCATCAACGTCAGGAACTCTGGCACCGCTGCGGATTGATACTCGATTCCGTCTTCTGATCTTCACATTGTTTCTTCTCACCCATGCAACTCGTTCTCGACACGGTCCGATTGCTAACCGGATCCACCATAGACTAAGCGACGAGTCGTATGTCTACTGATAATGATTCACACCATGAAGCGTCCACCAAAGCCACTCCGACTACAGCCCAGGAACCTGGCTTCTTGCGACGTCGGTCGGTGAAGCCAGATGACTCGCTTACTCGCGAGTCCAGCACAGCACCGTCTGAGCAATCGTCTCATCATGGAGCTACCATCAACCTTGTAGATCTTATCTCTCAAGGCGTTCGCTTCACAGATCATCCGGATGAGGCCCGGCAGATGTTGTCTCACCTTGCCAATGTCAAACCCGGCACAGATGTATCACACAGCCTCAAGAACCTTTCAGCCCGCTACGATGACGACCTTCCGCCAAGGACGCTTCTCTACCTGCTCTCCAGATGGCTGCCTATGTGGTTTGGAAAAGCAGACAAGGAGCGAAGGGAGAATAAGTCATCGAGGACCATGCTGGTCAAGGAGCAACAGAATTTGGATTGGCTGCTTCGCTATCTGTTGGATTATTTGAACTTGGGCCACACTGACATTGACACCGAAGAGCTTGCTTCCACTATCGACGCCGTCACAGTTATGTGTTTGAGTGCTACCAAGGAAGGCGACATCAACAACGGCATCAACATCTTGTATGCTGTAGCCTTGAACTACCAATTTCCAAAGCGAAGCCTTGATCAAAGTCTCGTCGTCTTGTGCGCCTCTGCCGCCAACCTTCCTGCCCCACCTGACCATCTTGTTGATGTCGCAAGACTCTTGGTGTCGGGCTCTTTACAAGAAGATTGTGTCCAAACATTGTTCACCTTCATTCTGACACCAACTCTTGGTAACGAGATCAAGAATCTCTCACATGCGAGGGGGGCTGCCAGGATTATCCAAAAACTCATCGATCAGCAAAATACAGATGGTGTGTATGTGTTTTCGCTGCCTCCACTGATAGCAACACTGAAGACGGCGGCCGGTCAGAACATCTTCCGCCTTGCTTTCGACCTTCTCAACACAGTGCAATCCATCCTCTCCTGCCAAACCCGACAGGCCGAAGTGGTTGAACTCGACTTCTCAGAGATCATGGATATCATCAATCTTTGCCTAGATGTGAACCCTGCGAATCGTCGGGCAGCAAAGACGCCGAACGAACCCTTGTCACCTCCCTCGAACCCCCAAGATGATCCTGATCGTGCCTATGAGCGTCATTTTAGAGATCGAGATGCGGCGGCGAAAAACCTGGCACGGGCCTTGAGTACATTACGCGAGCATCTTCCATCGGTCGCCAACGATTTCATAATCGACTTCTTCCTTATGCACCCACAATACGTCGAAGTACCTCAACTAGTCGAAACGCTTGAGCAGGTTGGTCAGAAATTCCTGGCTGCTGAAGATCACGAAGTTAGGCGGAAGTACGCAGACTGTGTGTACCAAAACATCATTCGGAACAATTTGCTTCCTCAAGCATGTCGACTCAAAGGCATAAATGTAGTAGTTCATTCTAAGGAAACCACGGAGCATTTATCTTCAGCCTCGTCACAAACTTGTGGTGCTGAGTACGCCTGGATCCTCAGCAAGCTGTTGACGCAGATTGATACTGAGCGTGATGAGACAGTCTTTCAAACCCTGGTCAAGTCTTTGCACTACATGGCAAATAATTACGAAGAGGCAGCAAAGGAGCCATCTTTGACTCAACAAACTATCAAGAAGCTTGGCGACCTTGTTTTGCTAGGTCCTAAGGTGGGATCATGGAACGATGACCTTGCAGTCCTGGGAACTCAGGTTCTGACAACTATTCTGGCGTACAGCATTCACACAAGTCCTGCGATGGCGATTTATGCATTTGAGGTTCTCTTGGACGTTGCAAGTCCCAAATGCAAATCTCGTCTGGCTAGGCTGGTCTCGAAGCGCTTGTTGTTCCGCATACGGGCTGACGATGCAGGCTACATTTATATCAATTCGGGAAGCGAAAGTGAAGACATTGCCCCAGCACTACTACGGACTCGAGCCACGTTAGACATCTTCCAAAATGAGCAACCCCTCAGTCAACGCCACTCGGCAAGCAGCACAAGTTTGTCTTCAAAATCTGATGGCTATGAGACATTATGGATTTATCCCGAAACCGAAGACACGGACTATCCTTTCAGTGGTCGTCCTTCGTCTGTTCTCAACGTCAACACTACCAGCAGTTTAGAGAAGGTGATGGAATTGGACATGGACACATGGTTAATGAACATAATCAAGTGCCTGCAGACGGACACGGATTGGGAAACCTACAGCTTCACCATTGTCCACACAGCCGCGCAGCTGAGCAACATCGCCTTGTTCTTGAATTCCCTCGAAGCTATCATCAAGCTTCGTCAAGTCCTTTGTGAACAAATCGTCAACGGGTCTTTCAGAGAAGCTCCTGCCTCTACGGGGTTGAAGAAGTCGGACGTGGCGATCTGCATGTTCAATTTCTTGACTTCTCTGGTGCCATATGCCACTATCAAATCAGAGGCAATCCAGAAAGGCTTTGGTGATGACCTTGTGAGAGCTTTCATATCAGGACTTGGTGGCTCGTGGGAGGGGACGTCTCGGAAGTGCATCCACGCCCTGTCGGTCTGCAGCCTCGAAGTACCCTCGTCGGTGGCCGGCCTCTATCCTACTATCATCGACAAAATGTCCAAGAACATGACTCAGGCTCATTTAACGAGCCACATTCTTGATTTTTTGACACAAGTTGCTTTGCAGACTGAGATGCACTCGAACCTGAACTCGGACGAGGTCAAGGTGATCTTTGGGATCTGCATCCAATTGCTCGAAAAGGTTCGAGAACAGCACAGTACGTCGGTGCTTTCACCTCAAGGACGGATAACCGGATCGACGAGACACAGCGGTATGAACTTCCGACGGCCACCATATCGGGCAGCTATGTTGACGGAGCTCGGACTGCCACAGTATGCAGCAGCACTTGCGTACCATAACATGATTTTTTGGTTTCTCGCCTTACCACTGGAGAACCGAGGCAAATACGTGTCATGGATCGTGCCGCGGCTTGTGTGGAAGAACGCCCAGGGAGAGGAAACTATTGATGAACAAAGCCAGGTTCTGATTGACATGATGCAGCGAACGGCGTACTCTGACCTGGGAGAAACGTCACCAGTGGCCGGTTTTGCAGAGGCAGAAGATGGCCCAGTTTCGTCAGCATCATGGATCGTGGGATTGAGTATCATCACTGCTGAAGTGGCAGGTCATACAGGCAAGACGCAGATCATCAAGCGGCAAGCATCAGGCACCACGTACGCCAGATATCAGCAGTTGACTGCTCAATTGCCACCGCACCACGCACCAACTCAAACGCAGATTCACGGGCAGGATGTGACGACGGAGATCTTGCCTCCACACATCATCCTACAAATGATGGAAAGCGCAGCGGCGACTAGTTTGGCGGACCAGCCAGTCCGGCTACCTAGGGATGAGTTTGTGTCTCGCTCTCTGGATCTCTTTGACCGAATCCCAACGGTTGCAAGCCATAAGATTGGCGTGTTGTACGTAGGGGAGGGGCAGTTGAAAGAATCCGAGTTTTTAGCCAACACGCATGGGTCGCCGGATTATGAACGTCTGCTGGCTGGGCTCGGCTATGTGGTGTCTTTGAAGCCTCCACTTCAATTCAAGCCGCAGGGATTGGAGTATGGTCGAGACGGAAGCGAAACTATCGCATGGCGAGATAGGGTGGCGGAGATTGTCTATCTTGTCCCAACAATGATGCCAACCGACAGTGAGGACGACCCGCAATGCATTATGAAGAAAGCACATGTGGGAAACTGTCACGTCAATGTCATTTTCAACCGGTCGGGTGCGCCTTGGGACTTTGACAAGTTCAAATCACAGTTGAATTATGTCAACATTGTGATTCGGCCAGCATGTCGTGGAAGTGGCAAGGTCGATGAGGACTTCATGCCCGGCTTTTACTGGGTACACGTGGTAACCAGAGATGATCTACCGAGCCTTTCGCCAGCAGCGGAGCCCACGATAATCTCGGCCGCTCACCTTCCGCAGTTTGTGCGAGTGCTAGCGATCAACGCGAGTCAGTTCTGCCTAACGTGGAACAACAGAGACATCGACAACGAGTTTCCAAGTGAATGGCGGTCGAGATTACAGCATATCAAACGATTGAAGCAACAGGTGTTGGACAAGATGGGTGACAGAAGAGAAACAGCAGGTCTGTTGACAGGGACGACGGGGCCTTCAGGGGTGTCATCTACCAATGGTGGAAGAAAGACACCAGTAGCTCGGGAGGAGGCGAGCAGGAGGGACGGGCTTTTGGCATCTCAATTGGATTTCAGTTCTTGGACGCAATGGTAGTCTATGGGCACTTGAGTCCAAATGGATATGAGCGGGAAAAGGAGAATTGTGAAAGCACGGCGTTGGGGACTGATGGATATTGGGCAGAGGGAATCAAAAGTTCTTGTTATGACATTAATGAAGCAATACTACCCTACCTAAGTATGTACAGTAAAAGCAACCTTGTCCAGTATGTTGAGGACTGGAGTTTATATGAATTGGTGCTTGACAAATAGGTGAAGAAAGGCAGTCAATGGGGCCGAGGGGGCTGTTTGTTAGCATGCAGGTACCTACCTAGGTAGTACCTTATGTATGAATTGCGAGTACCTAAGGCGGGCGTAGAGGTAGAGACGACGAGGTTGGCTGCATGCCTGGGGAGCCTTTGACCACTTCAGCCTCCAACCCACCAGTGGCTCCTTCGCCCTCAGCCTCTCAGCCACCATCGGTCATTCAGCGCTTTGTTTTACCTAAAGTACTTAGTGCATCCAGAGGCGAGGGCACGAGGGGTCGAGGGGTCACTTCTCGGTGGGGTTAACGTGTTCTGGCCATATCGCTATGCTACTGCCTACCCCCTCCCGCCGATCGTGGCACGCATGGTCCGTGGCTGCGTATGTCTTCCCCCTACGTCACCTGCGACCAATGCTCACCTCCATCAACCAGGCGCAGGTGATACTCTCTCACTCATCAAGTCTTGACCACCTACCTTATTATGTTTGCCTCTAAACACCTAAACTAGGCATCAAGAATTCCACCATCATCATTATTATTACTATTACTATTCCTTCTGCAAGAACCACCCGCGTCTGTCTTCTCTAACCATCTTTGTCTGCCTTATCACAACGTCCAAGGCAACTCAGTCTCACCTCCTCGCCAACCCCACCCAATAACCATGCACTGAGAGTTGTTTCGCCAGCCGACCACAAAGAGTCCGCTGCTCCATCGATACGAAATGACAACGGGCACTTCTTCCAGACCGGGCCCGCCCTCGCCCTCAGCTTCCTTCTATGACCTATCCGACGATGAAGAAGGAGGCTACAATACTATCGCTCACGCCACCTCTGTCCGAGGCGTCAAGCTTCTCTTTTCAAAGAGCAAAGTCTACGTCCACCCCTCTCCCTCAGCCAAAGACAACATCCCTGGCTTCATAGCACTTGTTCAACAAAAATCCCCACCCAATTCTGGTGATCAACGGCCCGCAACTGCCGACTCCAACAAGAAGCATTCAAACACCGCATCTTATCTGCTGGCATGGGTTCCAGAGTCGTCACTAGCACAAGATGATCTCAACACCTATGTCAAGGTCGATATGAAAAACGATGGATCTCCTCCTCGACAGTCCTATCTCGTCCCGCCCCTCCCCCTCGCCACCACCTTTGACGAGTCTCCTGTCGGTCCCTATGCCTTTTCTTTTCCTCTGTCCAACATTTACTCCATCAATGTGCGCCCTCCCAGTCTGGGGTGGTGGTTCGGGAGTATTGTCATCAATACTCGCTCCGGCTCCAGTTTACCCGCTTTATTCTTCCACGACTCCGAGTGTGAGAGCACCATCCTTCAAAAGAGAAAACGTGCTAAGGAATCATTTGATCCATTCGGCGATAGCGGAGAACTCTTCTGGGGAGGCGACGAGGTCATACGCTGGCTCAAGAGATATGTCAATGTTGAACGAAGTACTGCCGAGCCCTCCATCTACCTCATCGATCCCACGGAAGAGGATCGCCTGGGATTCGGTCAGGGCAGAAAATCCCTCGAGAACAAAGACCGAAGAGCCAGTCAATCGACTTCCAACACCAAAAAGCAGCAAAATTCTTCAGGACCAGGGATGGACCCTCTTACTAAAGCCCTGAAAGAGACTAGATGGAAAATTCTCGAACAACTTTCCAAGGTTACCACATTCACTAGACGCACGGCCGAGGATCTTGCTAACAACAAAAACATTCCCCCTCAAGTGCGACGGCTAATTCAAAACCCCGAGGTCCAAACACTACAAGAAGAGTTTGACAGCGCAAAGCTGTACCTGGCAAGATGGGCAATGAGCATTGCCGAACAGGGAGAGAAGGAACGCAAGCAACGCATGTGGAGTGCCAGAGATGTTCTCGACTCAGAGGAAACCAGCGTCGGAGATTTTGAAATCCTGGACATGGAGGCCGGTCGTATGACGTTGACAGACAGCAAAAGACGGCCAGTCACAATGGAGGAATGGAATTCATTCTTTGATGACAAAGGAACACTCAACATCACCGTCGACGAGGTCAAAGAACGCATCTTCCACGGCGGGCTTGATCCCGAGGATGGAGTGAGAAAGGAAGCCTGGCCCTTCTTGCTCGGCGTCTATGACTGGAACAGCACCGATAGCGAGCGACATACTTATATGAATGCTAAACGTGACGAGTACGTTCAACTCAAAGGGGCTTGGTGGGATCGGTCAAGCGATGGTCAGTCGACTCCAGAACAAGAAGAGTGGTGGAAAGAACAGAAACTTCGAATTGGTGAGTCAAATCTTTGCATGCTACTTGAGCTTGCCCTCCTATAGCAGTACAACTAATCATTTCATCGTCGCTGCAGAGAAAGATGTCCACCGCACTGATCGACATATCCCTTTGTTCGCTGGAGAAGACATTCCGCACCCAGACCCCACGTCTCCATTCTACGATGAGAATAGCCCCGGCACCAATGTGCACATGGAGCAACTCAAGGATATGCTTCTCACATATCTCGAATATGACACGCCTCCATCACAAGTCAAACCTACTCCCAACTCCTCCTCCGCCTCCTCTCGACCACGTTATCAAACTCGCAACCCCCACCCACAAAATCTGGGCTACGTCCAAGGCATGTCTGATCTCCTCTCGCCACTGTATGCCGTCTTCCAAGACGATGCACTCGCTTTTTGGGCCTTTGTCAACTTCATGACACGAATGTCTCGCAATTTTGTTCGTTCTCAGATTGGCATGCGCTCCCAGCTATCCACCCTTGATCAACTCGTACAAATCCTCGATCCCAAACTTTACCTTCACCTCCAATCCGCCGACTCTACCAACTTTTTCTTCCTTTTCCGTATGCTCCTGGTCTGGTATAAGCGCGAGTTTGAGTGGTCCGATACCCTTCGTCTATGGGAAAGCCTATGGACAGATTACTACTCGTCACAATTTCACCTCTTTGTCGCCTTGGCAATCCTGGAGAAGCATCGCGAAGTCATTATTGATCATTTGAATCATTTCGACGAGGTCCTAAAATACTTCAACGAGCTCTCAGGGACCATAGAGCTACAAGAGATTCTCTTCCGTGCCGAAGGCCTTTTCAAACGATTTGAAAAGGTAGTCGAAGCGATTGATAGGAAAAATTCGTTTCCTGCACCAAGTACCGCCGAACCCAAGGCGTCTGACAACAGCGGCGCGACAACGGAACAAGGGAAAGTCGGCAGCAGTGGTGCCAAAAACCAGGCGGCCATCAGACAAGCCATGATGTCTGGGCCTGGGCGTATACCATCTCGAACAGAGCAACAGAGCCAGTCCGCCGGTCGTGGGAGAAGCGTGCACCAGAACCAGGCTCAAGCGGGCTCGAGGCCCGGAAACCAAGGAAAACAGCCACAAGCTCCGCTCAACGGTGATGGCAGCCAAGATAAAGTCATCACTCCACAGTTGAGGTTGTTGTTGAGCAAAAAGATCATCACGATTGACACGGAGCAAACTGAGGACGCTCCACGAGTGAGGCCTAGTGGCCTAAAGGACTAGATTTAAAGGCAGCAGCTGTATCAAAAGCACTGTGGATGATGAAGCATCTCCAGGGGAGTCACGACTTTATGTACTTTATATTTGGCGGCAGATTGCGATTGATTAACTTAACTCATCGATTTCGGGCTCTGACTGAATGAATAGTAGGACTGCGTCAGTTTCTTATTGCCTATCTTTTGTCAGTTCTCCAGTGGATCTCATGGTTTCAAGTAACAGCACTTAGCACAAAAATAATGATGGGTTATCAGCCTCAGATCCGTGAACATCATGCTTGCTGCTTCACAAGTTAGAGTGTCTTTTCCATGTGACTAATCGGTCTACTAGACATTTTCCAACCTACTTAGGGAGTTCCACTCTAGGATAGGTTCAATCGAGTCTCTCACTGGGAAAAGAATCAAGACATATCATGCCAACCCACCCCGTCGAGTCCAAATGTCAGCTTGAGTAAGGCGGTCTTTCTCTGGAGCAGCTTCCTCTCCATCTGTATCTGCTCCGGCAGGAAGACACTGCCGACATATCGGTCATGTCTGTGGACCTCGCACGGAGGGTCGGGCCGCATCTGATCAGGCTCCGCATACGTGGATTCCTCGAGATAGGGGCAGAGATGCACATGAAGCCACGATGCGACCCTTTGACCGGCCTGTGGCGTCATGAATACCCTGTCCGAAGCGATCTTATCGTGCACACTCAGTCCGGTGCGGAAGTCCTTCTCTTGGCTCCCCGCGGAGATGAAATCATGGTTCGCATCCACCCAGCCTGTCGTGTCGATCCATGCCGTTGATATGTCCCCTTGTGCACGCAGCATGCTGACTGTCGCGGACAGGCACTCTGATATCACCGAGTGCAAGGTCAAAGGCTCGGTGGACGGGATCTGGGTGAGCACTGACGAGAAGGGAGCGATGAGGAATATCGGTAGAGTCGAGGGGGCCGAGACGTAGCTATAGCTGTCGCCGAAGCTCTGGCTGTGGCTGTGGTCGTCGTTGCGGTGGCTTTTCGGTTGGCTGGCCATATGGGGATACGCAACACGTCGAATCGTTAGGATGAGTCGGACAAGTGATGTAATGAAGTCAATCTTCAACCTTTCCAGCGTATGGTGGCTGATGGCATTGACAGACGAGATAGCTGACAACAATGAAGCAAATTCCTCTATTCCAGGTTGGAGTATCAATACCGAAGGGCGATTGGTCGAGTCAAAGCTCCATGGGTGCAAGTAATGCAGCGTGCCCGGTGGGCCTGAGCGGAAGAATAGGTCCTGAATGGTGACGATTGATTGCTTGGAGTGCATACCAGTCTCGGACATCGGGAGAAGGGTGACATCAAGGGAATTGGCTTTGCTGAGACGATGATACCACGTGTGAAGTCTAGCTTGAGTAGTTGTTGAGTCCTCGCTGGCCGAGAAAGGTGAAAGTGACCTCTCAAATGTGACGATTTCAACTGTTGGATTGGGCTGTTTTCCTCGAGTTGTCGTGCTCCTATGGGGTTCAAGGCAAAGGTGCTCATGGTAATGAGACGATGGCTTCATTGATTGGTCGATTGTGACGTTTGTGACGAGTGCTGGAAGACCGACCCAGAGTCCATGGACCTGGAGAGTGGACTGAAACCCTTCTGTAGAGCCAAGATATGTTATTCTGATGTGATGCACAATTCGAGGGTCAAGTCCCCTGGCAATTGGTACAATTCCCAAGGCTTCTTCATGTCCGAATATATCTTGACCATTAATCTCCACCAGTAGGCTAACACGGCTAGATCCTCTTGTGGAGTCTGACTCTGAGAAGAGGAGAACCCGCCTTGCGGCAACGCGTTGGTGCTCTTCTCGCTCTTGGGTGCGGTCTCTGGGTTTGTTCTTTAAGTCGCAAAAGATCGAGGTCGTGTTGCACACGGTAAATTCAATGTAAGAGCCTGGAGCGGGTTAATTGGAAGAGGCTTGTGTGTTTCCTCTGAAACAACCTACCTGGAAATGCAGCATCCTGCCTGGACCCGGTGGATGTTGACGTCCAACGACCAACAAACTGAATCTCGAGTTAGCTGGCTTTGCAATTCTTCAATTAAGGAGAAACAAACCCGCAGATGGGGATGGTTGGCAGGAACAAACAAATGGTCCTCTTCCAGTGCCCTGCGAAGCAAATACTGGCGAACTTGAAAAGCATCCAGGTTATCAGAAATGGTTTGCCATGACGATGGATGCGTGCGGAAGTTGAGACAAAGTAGTCCAATGATAGATACTGCAAGTACGAGACCCAACCATGTCTGTAGAAGGTAGCTGTTCAGAAGGGACTGCTGTTGCATCTTCGAATGCGCTTTCTTCGACTGTCTTGTCCAATGTCGAGTTTGAAAAGTAGGAAACGAGTCTGATGATTTAAACTAGCGGCAGGATAGGATGGATCAAGCGTATCAAGTGACCCGCGCCTTTCTGCCAGCCCTTTAGGCAGTCACCAACCCCCTAGCCCCCCACTCTCAGGGCGAAGTAGTTTTATTTCACGCTTTATTGATTTCATAGTTCAAATTCCTTCCAACAATTCTTGTGTCTATCCCGTGTTTCGGTCCAACAGCGCCTATGGTGTAGTTGGATTGGGGCGTGAGGGACAGTTCGCCTGGCATGAGACAGCTGCTCTTGGGAATTCCTGCATAATTGGATGAACCTGACTCACTGGCCTTGTTCCTGTAGTCTGCGGACTTCTGTGGTATATACATCACAGCGCGCAGGTTCAGGGAGCTGGAGTTCTACACTGATTCGCACCACATCGGTGGTGGCCGGGGTAGAGAGCACCTGACGAAACGACGGAAAAAACCCCCCGCCGGGGTTTTCCCTCCCCAAGCCCTTCTTGATTCCCCTGATCAAGAGGTGCTTGGGAATAGGTTTTTGTTTTTTTCAAAAAGTCTTTTTTGGAAATATCCATGGCGGGAATCGAACAGTCTGAAGAGCAACATGTGACAAAGCGCGAGGGGGAGGGATCAGTACCAGCATCAGCGTGACTAGTGACACGCGTACCATGGCGCGGGGACTTGTTTTTGCAGGAGAGCACGATGGTTTGCTGAGAGCAGTTGGACCTCGCGCTACTTTTCCCTTTCTTGTTGCACAACTCACTTCTCATCGCTCACGTATTTCTTCGTTGCATCTCCCACGGCATAAAGATAGAGATCATCTTAGACGTTTTGAATCCTGAGTTTGGTATTGCGCTCGCCTTTCCGCCTCGCCACTCGCTGGGGTGAGTGACAGGAGACCATGGTCGTGAGTGGATTCAATGATAGTAAAGCCATCTTTAAGCTTTGTTCACATTGCAGATTTATTCAACAGAGGTCTTGATTGTCGAAGAGTTCATTCGACTTTTGTTTGTTGGAGATGTTGATGGTCGTTGACAGCTATCCAATCAAGTAAGCCCGTCTCGGACCTCGACGGCCGGGGTCTTGTCTCAAAATCTCGGCAAAGTCCCCACTGAGACTTCTACTCCGTAGGTGCCCCGATACGTTCCACAGCCAGAACCCTCTTTGCGCACATCGTACGTATGCAACGTCTTCTGCCAGATGCACAGGCTGCCTCCACATGGATCCGGATATCGGCGAGTGATGGCTCCCCGTCTAAAGCTATCACGACACGAGGCGACCACTACCCAAGGATGCGTAGAGGGTGATCATGCCAATCTCACCAAGGATCGCCAAGGCTGAGAACACAGACACGTACGATGCATTACACCAATGTCCAACAATACATTTACTTGATCACCTGGTCGAGCTGAAACATTGGCCAACGAGTCAGGACAGGTATAACATCGCACTAAGAGATACCTTGGTGAAAAATCCTTGGTGAAAAATCCTTCGTAAGAAATCCTTTGATCCTGCAAGCAATCCTCATCGCTGAGGACGTGTGAGCTGTGGTGGAGATACCCAATTTGGGCAACAATCCGTACCGACGGTCAAAAGTCCATCCGAGCACCTACGACGTTATGCCAGTGTCAGTCTACATGTCATTGTCCATCATGCATAGAAAAATAGAGCGGACTAACTGTCATCTGCGAGAGCTTTGATGCTGGCACAAACATAACGCCGAATTCCGATAAGTCCGAAGTATAATATGCTGAATATAAAACGGGGATTTTCCAGAACAACAACGTCTCCACAACTCCATCATTAGTTTTCCTTCTGCTGGACGATCACTAGGAACAGGGTATCATAATAACGACGTCGAGCAGTCAACAACATGGAAGAGGCTCTGAAAGCAGCTGGTAACTTCCAGCTCCACTCCAAGTCATAATTCGGTTGGCTCACTCTCTGTAGGCATCTGGTTCATCCCCAAGCTTCATCATGACTCCTATCCATTTATAGACTCGTCAAAGGCAGACCTTTCGGGAAAGTCAGTCTTGATTTCTGGAGCGTCCAAAGGCATCGGAAGAGCAACTGCCATTTCGTTTGCAAAGGGAGGTGCTTCGAAAATTGCCATCCTCGCAAGATCAGACCTCTCTGCGGTGAACCAGGAACTGTTAGACGCTGCAAAGAAGGCAGGTCGGGCAGAACCCAAAATCCTTCAATTGAAAGCCGATGTTTGCAAACGCGCGGAGGTAGAACAGGCCGCTCAGAAGGTGGCGGCCGAGTTTGGTACATTGGACATCCTCATCAATAATGCCGGGTATCTGGAAGGCTTCCTTCCCATGGCGGAGACTGACCCGGACGAATGGTGGTACACGTTCGAGATCAATGTCAAGGGAGTATACCTCATGACTCGATCCTTCTTGCCTCTAGTTCTTAAAAGTCAGGACAAGACCATCGTGTCGATTTCTAGTGTCGGTGCCCATCTCACTACCCCTGGTGCCTCATCCTATCAGACGACAAAGTCTGTATTGCTTCGACTCAACGATTTTCTACAAGTTGAGTACGGCGATCAGGGGCTTCTGGCCTACGGAATCCATCCCGGCGGCGTTGCCACTGAACTGGCCAAAACCATGCCTGAGTACCTGCATGCTTCTTTGACAGATACACCAGAACTGGCGGGTGACACGTTGGTGTTTTTGACACAGGAGCGCAGAGAATGGTGGGAAGTCCTCTCGGCAGTAACTGATACCAGCACCGTCACTGACAGCTCCCATTTTCTAGGCTTGCCGACCGATACGTGATGGTGAATTGGGACATGCAGGAATTCTTCGACCGCAAGGATGAAATCGTTCAGAAAGATCTCCTTAAGGTCCGACTTTGTCTCTAGGTTTCTGCCGGTGGTTGATTGTGAGATGAAGCGTGTGAGAGCTCGACTACAACTGCGGCTTTGTCATTTATGCAAACGACCACAGATCCGCTGTGGGATGTTGTGGGAAAGAAAGGCAGAGTCCGTAACTGTGGTCTAACCACCTTAAAGAAGCAGTATGTTTGGTATTCAACTTAAGTAACTCCTTAAACCTAGAAATGTAACGGCTACATTTCGATATTCCATCATGCATCAAGATGTCACAGATTCAAGCAGCCAAGTTAAGCTGGAATAAACTTCATTCTATGCGAGCACGGCAAGCCTTTATCATAAGCGGTTGGTTCAAGTGGGACTAACAATTCGACCCGTCGGGCGTCACTATTGGCGTGGAGGTGCCATCAAAGCCCCTAAAAAGTTATTATTAGCCTAAGATCTCCAGGGCCCCAGAGCCCCTCGGCCCAAGCTTCCCCTTAATCACCGCCTATCAATTCTGCGATAGGGGCGCTCGTCATCCGTGCGCGAAAATCACATGTGGCATTCCTGACACACCTGTCAACATCTACGTCTACTGTAGCTTCGCATCTTGACAACATCCTGTCGTGCCCTTGTATTGTCTTGCTACCTGATCCATCTGATCATGCCCACCGGCATCCTCATCACCACCTTGCAGGCGGCTGGCTTGTCAGCGATTTCAAACACACTAGCCCAATTCATCAAGGCCAATCGAGAACAGGTAAGAGATGGCATATCGCTCTCCCTGCGCAGGGACAACTTGAGCACCAGATCGACCTTTTCTGACATCGCATCTTGGACAGCGCCCACTGGGAGTCAGCCTCCGGCCGTTCCTTCAATTTGTCTTATTCACAATCATTTCATGTCCGCCCAACATCCTATGGCAGGATTTCCTCGAGGACAAATTCCCAGGCTACACATACGATGTCTCGACCGGAACCAAGTCCCTTGACAAGGCCAACACCGCGCGCAAGTTTCTGTTCGACCAGACTTTAGCTGCATTTATCAACACACTAGCTTTTGTCGGCGCCATGGCTGCATTCAAGGGCAAAAGCCTGCATGGCATTCAAAGAGAACTCGAGAGGGTGCGTGCGCCGCATGTCCAGGTACATAAGACTTGATAATTGACATTTCCGATGATCCTAGGACGTCGTACCTCTCATGATCAGTGGCTGGAAACTCTGGCCCCTCGTCTCCATCATCAACTTCACCCTAATCCCAGTCGACCGACGAGTCATCCTAGGCAGCGTGGTCGGCTTGTTCTGGGGTATATACCTGAGTCTTTTTGCGGCAGTAGATTGAGTCCACACGCTCTCTCTAGTCTTCTCGGATTTTTTTGTTTGAAAAACAAAATAAGATTATCGACTACTAAGTACTACTTACTTAGTTAATTGGGCAATTGAGAACAGGGTGATGAGTCGACGAGTCCTTATGCTTCGGACAGGCGCTGCCTCCTTGCACCAGAATCAACCTGGTCGCATGGTACTGGAGGGCAATTGGCTACCCAGACAATAAATCTGGACCACTCCGACATCTAGCAGCAGCTCATCCCGCAGAGACCACCGTACGGTTACACGACTACTTCACCTCGAATCTCGCGGTCTTCAGCGATAATAAGACCCTGTTCATATTATATGCTGGGGTGTGGGGGATCTGGCTTCTGGGAACAAGCAATGTAAGACCTAGTCGCACAACGAGCAGTCAAGCAAGAACGAGCTATTGCTCGACAACCAACATGGCTGCCCATTTCAACGGGTGTTGATGTCGTATGGGCCTAGTTGTCGCGGGGGGCTCCAGATATATTGATATTAAGGGCGATCTCCACGATCTGCTGGCATCGCCTCTTGTCACGGCGCGCTAGATTAGACATCAATGGGGAAATTTCATGTTTTGGAAACATGTGGTGTTCATACAACAGTCTCTGTACTCATTGTTGGCTATTCAACACTTGATCTGACCCTCGCTCTGCTCTCGCCTAAACATTACCTATCGCTTGGGCCGAGGGGCCTTCCTCGACACCATTTTCATTCCCTATATAGGGGGCCCATACAAGTCACAATTGTACAAGCTGCGCTGGAGTACTCGCAGCACTGCCTCCCGTTCGGCTTCATCATGTGGTCTCCACACGCGGCGAATTTCATTGTACACCGCTTCGACCTCAGTTCGTGAGCCTGTACACCGGGCGAATGCGCGGATGATCCAGCATACCAATGATCGCGTTGCCCTCACTTGATGAGGGTTCCACGAAACCTCCCGCGACTGTTCGTCTGAATCCACGGTATCTGAGTCATCAATCTCATCTTCTTCCGTCTCAAGTCGAGCATCCCTAGATGGATCTCGTTGCTGTTTCTCCCCGATGTCCGCCTCAGGATTGGTGCTAGGGAAGAATGGTGACGTGAAGGATTGATTGTCAATAGCATCTGTTCGGTCGTCTGCCTTGCCCGTGTCGTACTGCTGGTCCTCCCCGGAGCGACTCGGATCGATGGTGATGCTCGGCGGCGGCAGTACGTATTCCCCTTCTTCAATATCGAACTGTCTCTCCCCCAACGGGTAATAAGTTTGTTGCTCTTCAGCCAGTGACGCCATCCGCTCATGACTCGTGGAGGGGTCGTCGAAGAGCTCAGAGTGAATCCGCTCAATGTGTTTACGCCGTTCACGCGGAAAGAGTGCCAGATCGAGCACGAAATCGTTCCATGTGCTTAAACGTTTGAAAGTTTTGCGCGAAAGGTCAGCCCCTGTCTGGTTTTGATCCTGCTTTGATTCCGTCTTGTACGGCATCGACTCGGCTTCTTTCACAGTCGGAAGTTGTTTTGAAGAAAGTTTGTGTGGTGACCGCTTATATGCATTTCGCTCCATGATAGCGGCAAGACACGCTTCCCAAATCAGTTTGAGCCGTTTGATGCTCCACGTCGCATGGGGGTAGGTCGTTCCGCCATGGAGGGCAAACCCTTTGAACAGCAGATGGTAGTTGATGCTTTGCAGGGGCAGACCGAAAATTTCAGTCATCTCCTTCATCAAGACCACTATTCGATCCAGGTTACCGGATTCGTTGGCGTGGTGCGAAATCATAGTACGAAATGTTTTGTGGTCAGGCACGAGTGGCATCATGTCTTGCAATTCCTTGTGATGATCAGGAAGCACAGCTTCTAGACGTGCAGCGTTGAGTAAGATTCTGCCGAGGGAATTGGACGCCAATTCACGATCGATGGTCACCTCGTCCGATCCAGGGTAGCGCTTGAAGTAAATAGGTTGACCGTCTTCCGTTGTACTGACATGCAACCGAGAATAAAGACTTTTCATCCGTTCATAGATCTGCTCTGCGGCCGAAGACTCCCCAGCGTTGATTAGCGAGGCTATGACACAGTTGAGCACGAGAGTGTCGACAATTTCGCCAGCATCCACGAATTCTCGATAAGCTTTGCGGACAGCATCCCCATCCCGCCGGAGACCATGATAATAAATCACGCTGACTCGACCCAGGCGGTTGAGCCGAAGACCACGAGTGTGCATCTCCTTTAGAATTTTCTGAGCAATCGAGTATTTGTTGGACCGTACGGCGAGGTCGAAAAGGATGTTGAACGTCACATGGGTAGATTGAACACCAGCTTCCTGTTCCATCTGCCTCCAAACTTCGAATCCTCTCATCATGTCTGCCTCAGTGACTCGTCCAAAAGATCTGCCGGCCAGATAAATGGCAGATGCCCATTCTGCTCGTGTGATCGGCAGACGAGCTTCCTGCATGTCATCTAACAATGATAAATAGCGAACCATGGAAGTTTCACTTTTACTCCATGGCGTTGACATGCGTTGTAAGAACAATCTCACGGTGCCGGTGGGCAGAAACGACACACCGGGGCTGGGGAGCTGTTGGTAGGCCTTGAAGAGTGCCGAGTTTGAGGAATAGTCATCCGCTAAGAGATCGATAAAAACCTGGAAAACAGCAATCTCCTTGAGCTGTCTTGTGACGAGGTTCTTCTCTATTTGTTTGAGGGGGTTCTCACGGTATTCACCGTCATAAAATTTCTTATATGCCTGAGGGGGTGCGAAATCTTCGGATAGCTTGAAGGTGTAGTCTTCAATAAAGGTTGGAGTGGGTGATTCATCAGGAGACTCGGGATCAAATCGTTGTTGGTGAGAATAAAAATACAGATCCACCAAGTTCTTATAGTCATCTTTTGATAGGGTGATTTGCTTTCGCTCAGGCTCAGACGATGAGGACGGGTTCTTGAGAGTCTTTTTGGTCGCGATGCTTCTCTTAAAGTCCCTTCTTGCTTTTGCTAGTTTCTCCTCGAGATTCCTGATAGATGCAAGCAGATTCATTTGCCCCTTCAAATCTTCCTCATTTGGTGGAGTTGCCGCCTCCTGTGTGGCGGGCGCAGTGTTTGAGGAAACACCATCGCTGGTGAGGTTTCGCAAGTTATCGACATCGTGAAAGAATGCGAGGGGTAACCGAGATTCTTGGGCGAAATCCAAAGCGTTGGGCTCGAAAAAGTCCCACGGGTTAGCCTTAGCCTCGGCTTTTGCAGACCTACTAGGGCTGGCTCTTATAACATTATCGGCTCTGCGCGCCGAAGAAGCATGGGTGCTCTTTCGTCGAGTCTGAAGATCGCTGTGAAAGAATGTGAAAGGCTGCGTAGTGTATTTCGTCGAGGAGATGCAAGGCGGGCGTGGAGTGGTCGCAGGAGCTGGGCTAGACTGTGATGTTTTGCGCCTGCTGCTCGGCTTCTTTGCTGTTCTTTGCGAGATACGTTGGCACGAGGTGGTGCGTGACAGAGCATCATAAAAGACCGTCTCGGCCTGAAATCGATCCGCTGGGGATCTGGAATTAAAGGCCAGACATCGTGAAACGTTGGAATGAGTGGGAAGGGCAGGAACGAGGAAATCGAGAAGAGGCGTTATCGTTGCGGCATGTCGCATGCTCTTACAACGCGGGTTCGTGGCAAATTGATGCATACGAATGAGCACATGGTGTTAAGGAAACATGTCTTGATTCGGAGGCGAGTGCTAGCTTGATCTGATGACGGAGGTTGACCACGAGTTGGAATCTCTCCCAGGTTCTTGTATCAGAAATAATTTGGGTGATGCTGTCGTCCTGTGGCACATGTGGCTAGTGAGTTGGTGGCTGACACCTGACGGCCGACGGATTAATTATAACCCGAAAGGCATGGCTAAATTTGTGTGAGACCGCAGGAAGCTCTGAACATTACCACATGATCAAACTCATCTACCACAGACTCCAGACAAGTACCCTGATCTGGGAGGTGCTTCTACGGGCGCCTGGAATCGTTGGACAATCTTCAGGGGGCAAAGTACGAGGCCACGCGCGGTCTTTCCCTCTCCCAGTCCGCGGCCAACGATGGGCAGAATCAACCTCACGGCGCTCAATGTCCGCAAGACGGCGATCAATACCAGTAACTTGAAAGGCACAAAAGACGCAGTTCATCCATGCTGGGCCGGAGTTCTTAGTGAAATTCCTCCCGCACAGGTTCTCATCCGTCAGCAACCTATCCACCACACTTTTACCAAGACGCGCACCCGATCTCTTCCAAACGGCAAAAAGACACAGTACACTCGGCTGGTGGAGCCAAAGAAGTCAAAGTCAGCAGCGACGAACCGACGGCTGTTTTCTCCTGAGAAGTTGAGATACGAGGAGGACGCTCTGCGAAAAAGATTCTTCCAGGACCATCCATGGGAACTCGCACGGCCACGGATGGTTCTCGAGACAGATGGTCAAAGGCACAAGGACATTGACTGGTCGACAGGCATCATGCAACCAGGAACACCTTTGTCTGGTGAATCAGTCGTACAACGCCAGCTTTGGCTTCTGGAGAACATGCCCGACATCACACTCGCCCAAGCCTACGATATTGCCCGCAAAGAGTTCTACGCGCTCCGGCGGCGGGAAGAAACTCGAAATCGGATTGCCGCCGAAGAAGCCCAACACATGGGTGCTCAGTTTGGCATGAGCTGGAACAAGGTCGGCATCAAGATTGAAGGTGGAGTCTACAATGAATGGGAGGCATGGGGTAGGGAGCGGCTGATCGAGCAATTGGCCAAGAACGCTGCACTGGCTGGAAATCCCCAAGCTGCGGAAGAGCAAGCATCAGAACAGGAGAACAGTGGTGCGGGTTCCAAAACGGGCCCTGCCAGGGTGGCCACCGGCAGCGCCGTTTTCAAAGAAGAGCAAAATCGAAACCAGGTCGTGGGACGGTCCAGGCCTTTGACTGACCTGGTGAATGAGCTTCAGGCATGAACAAGTGTACAATAGAGCAGGATGCGGTTGGGGGAAAGACGGCGCATGGATAGATGATGTGGTTCAGCTACTCTACATATCCAGTGGCATCACGAGCATGGCTGTTATAGGCCTTGTCATCAACAGTAATGTCTCTGACACTCTGAATATAACAGTGAGTATGGCTTTGTTATGTGTAATTCCTGCGGTGCTGTAGTCGTGCTGTAAATAAGTAGACAACTTGGAACTGAAGATCGCCAGGTGAAGAGTCTATTCCAAAACGGGTTAGACGCAAATAGCCAGAGAGCCGACCAAGGTGACATCCATGAACCCAACTGGAAACTTGAGAGACGTCTGAAGATTCAAAGACCTCAGTCATCTACCTAAGCTGTCTCGCTCCAAGGGTATTGCGACCTGTGGCGGGGCTTGAAGGTCTTCAGGGCTTGAGTGTTACTCATTCAGACGTGTTTTACCGACTCAACAATCAAAAACAGACCTTCATCTTGTCATCATGGCAGCACCATTTCCAAATGTCTATCATCTACGAACAGTGGCCGAGACATCATCGAAACCGTGCTTTGTGTGCTACAAGCCAACGTGCAAAGTGTTGATCACTCCCAACAACAAGGTAGGTCTCCAAGGGTGCGACCAGTTTGAGAAGGCTGTCCCAGGCAACCTGTGCCAACCGTTGTGTAACTCAGGATTTCTTCTACACGTGTGTTGGACATTTAAATGATGCGGGATTCGCCTCTCCCGTCGTTGATGCCGAGGCCGAAGCAGCCAAAAAGAAGAAAGAGTTGATGGACAAGGAAATCGAAAAGGTCAAGCAAGAATACGAAGAAAGGCAACGATTGAAGAAATCCAAGAAAAAATCAAAGGACGACGACAAGGACAAAAAGAAAAAGGACGATGAGGACCAGGACAACTCCAAAGCTGAGAAGGAACGAGATGAAAAGGTAGGTCCCAAGACCTTCCTCGTGCGCAAATGCGCGGTTTCGCTGAGATAGTCAACAATCTAGATCAAAGCCATCCAGTCCGGTGGGGAGTCCAAGGACCAAGGTGATGACATTGCTCGGATCTACGCTTTGCATAGGTCGGTGACATTGTGTTTTACGCGCCCAACTCTTGATCGTTGCAAGTGCTGACAGTCGCAGAAACTTCTATCAGATTAGGCTTGACAAGCTGCGGAACCTTGAAGTAGCCAAACGGAACCAACAGCGACTGAACACCCCAGGATTTTTCCCCTCCACACCAAAAGGCGACTTGGCATAAAAGCAACGCCCAGCGCGATGTCATATGCGGTGGTGTTCTGGCTCGACTGAAAGCTCTTTTGCTACTTTTGGTTGCCGTCAGCACAAGGCCGGCCAAGGCCGGCCATATTCGCAACCACCTGCCCTTGACACTCTAGTTGTAACATCGTTCCGACCGGTACAGGGTCCAATACCTGAGCACATGTTGCTGTCTTTGTTCAGAGCACTTGCATGCAGCGCAAGGATGCGGAGGTCATGCGAGTAGGATAACCAAACACGAGCATACCCGAAGGGTATCTTACGCCAGCAAGGATGACTTGGCGGGATGGTCAGCACTAACGTCGGAACGAAACGCCTCCACGTTCCGTTCAAATTGCATCTTGACACGCGAGAGAGAGAGGGCTCTGTGTGGTTTCCCGACGGAATTGTGCTATCACAGACAGGGCCATAGGGCTGTCATTGGACCATCGCATGGAACAAGAATGACGATCGATGTACCATCATCATGCATCCTGTCAATCCCAAGCCACCTTGTCGCGATCCAGTCAGAAATCTCGAGTTTCATCATCGCGCAGAGCCGAAATCAAGTGGAGGTAGCGACGTTGGTCATGGCGATCAGAAGCCGTTTCATCCTACCCATAGGACCAATTGACGCACGACTTGGGACCCCGAAAGCTTGCATGTGGGCATCCAAGCCGTGATGTATGGATGGTGACTGGATGGACTTGCCGTTCATGAATTGGAGAGCCCGAGATGTCACTGTGGAATCATCGGTCCGTCCGAGGTCTCCTGGTAGTATAGTAAGTGGTCAGGATCGGACGGCGATAACCACAGAACAGGCTAGATCAGTATCCGTTCCTGGTCAATGCAGCATGCAAATATCGAGGAGAGGAGGTCTTGCAGCGCCAACGCAGTAACGATGACCGGGTTCTTGCATGATTCGCTGTGAGGGAGGTGTGAATACTCATCAAGTCAATATCCTCAGGTCATAAGGTGAGAACGGCGACAATGGTGTTGCGGAGTAAAGTTCACCCGGCTGACCTGGATCGCGTACCCAAAGTTCCTTCTCGTGAGAAGTTAGAGATTTGGCGGCGTATATGGTTCCCCTCAAGGAAGGAACACCTCGCAACGACCGTTTTCCTAAGTCGGATAGCCCTATTGGGCCAATCACAGAGGCTGTATGTCGCCCTGCCTGATTTGGGAGGCGTTAGCAAGTCGACATGGGGGGATCAGCAGGGCTATTTGGTATCGAATCCTGGCAGGGCACACAACAACCAGAGCATCATCACGATGGGCAGGTTGGCTCGTGAAACGAGTCCCCTCTCGCCCGGGGTTCCATCAACATCGGGCAAATCTTGTCTCCTCCACAGCGATGACATGGTACTGTGGTAGACCGTGGGGGTTCCCTCATCCGAAAGGTTGCAATGTAGGTATGGGCCGGCCGTTTCTTGTCAGTGGAGGGCGATAATATACATATCATCTGATACTATCGGTGAATTGACCAGATTTGGCAACTTATATTCGTATTCGTTCATATTTCTGATAGTCAGCAAGCGGCATTGACACAGTTTCCTCCCTGGAATGGACCTTTTCTTTGAATTTTTCTGTTGTGATCGGAAGAGGTCTTCATGTGGCTCTACGGAGTGTGTCGCGGGTGAAAGAAGGTGTGCCTTGGCTCAAACTAGACAGGAAAAAGGTTGACAGATACCAGGGCAGCAAGCCCCCTACAGGCTCTACTACAGCAGACCCACCTCTAGGTGTCTAGCTAGGAATGCTTCTTTTCTGGGGTAGCAGTGGCGAAGCTTTCCAAGAACACCGGATAGGTTTTGATATACGAATACTTGATCATTAGTTGATGGCTTCTAGCCTCGACGGGCTGACATGTTGACACTTGAACGGCAAGACTTTAGAATCCAAAGGGGAGGTGGAGAAGCATCCAATGTTCTCAGTGGACGCCAAGACAGTTTGTTCGTGAGACAAGGAAGGTACTACCTACAGGCTATGTTGTCGAGGCTCGTGGTTTCCTCTCCTCTATCTGACCATGGGCACCTGCCGTCATGCTCCTTAAGCCTCGGGCGGTGTGCGCCACGTGGCGCTACGGAAAACCCCCCCTCCAACTACAGGGGCCGCAAGCGCCATTATTGGCTAAGCCGTCTCTTTGTACTCCGTAGGTGCAACAAGAGAAGTCAAACGCTGACAGCTTACCATGTGTCAGACGACGTGGATCACGTTCAAGTTATTTGGCTTCCCAGTGAGACGCCATTTTATCATCCAACGTGTAGGGCAGCGTCGTGATCAACCTGGTCTGAAGAGGGGGACGCTCTGAAACAGCACCCTATCAAGTGGCCAATTCTACTACAGGCCCATGTAACCTCATGCCGAAATAGTCTATTGCATTCTTTCTATGGCAATCTTGATCATGAAACAAGGTGCATCATGTCACAACGCTACATGAGCAGCTTTCTCACCATAATAGCGTCGGCTTTTGGCAGATGATCGAGATCTCCGCTGCCTGGATCGCGCGCAAAGTTCCTCAATCGTTAAAAGACAGATGATGGCTAAGAAAATGAGTAATGCGGCGTCATTAGTCTCGATCGATGACAGTGTGCAGCCTGAGGACTCGTGCACAAGGTCGTGGCTAAAGATTACCGCTGACCCCCCGCTTCATACCAGGAGGCAGTCGAACGGCCGGATGAAGTCGGTCTGCTGCACCAGGCTGAAGCTTCAGTTGACCAATGCCAGAGGCAATGCCGGGGCCTCGTTTCTGTGCAGGAACTTCATCGACCTTGGCTTTACCAACCCCAAACCCAGGCGTAACCCATCCCCCACAGCTACACCGTAGGCCTTGCCAGGCAAACTTGCCGATATTGGCCCCACATTTCGGATTAGGGCATGTCAATCTCCCATCCAATGTGCCTGACCCAAGTGTGCCCTTCATCCAACTCAAGGGGTGCAGGAAGATATGTGCGCAGCCTTCGTTGCTTGGATCCTGGTGTGGAGGAGGACTGTGGTTGATTATGAAATTGGACTTGGCGATCAGGCGGCGGCACTTGCGACACTTGATGTCGATATCGGCTTTCGACTTTGCGCCCGGTGCTGGATCTGACGTGGTAATGTCAGGATATGTGATTTCTGGGTCTGCTGCAATTTCTTTGCCCTCGCGACGGCGACTCCCAGTATCGTCATCCTCACCATCAAACCCATCGATTTCGTCTTCATCTTCTTCGTCTCGCCAGGTGATGTGATCCAGTTCCGGCGCCTGGTTGACGGATAGAGCTTCCATCACATTGCGTGAATTCATCCATCTGCGGTAAATTTTGTGATTCTCAAGCTCAGATTTCGTAGTCGGGCAACCCATCTCAACGTACATGCGGAGTTGCTTCATGAAGCCTTCATTGGGCTCGACGCGTGGCCGACCCTCTCGGAGGAGGGCAAGAGCTGCATCCACGGTGAGCGGTGTCGGTGGCAAGGGAACCATCTCTGAAGAAGTTGTTTGGGCGGTCTGTGGTTGCCGGGAATGCCAGAGAAGGTAAGCCAGAACTATTGTTGCGGAGCGAGAGATTCCCATGGCACTGTAGTAGAAACATGGTCAGCATGGGGAGCCTTTGATATTATGGTATTGTGAATGCCGCATCAACAACAACATCGAGCCTTGATCTTTACTTCAGCCCATTGAACATGGCTGTAGCAGGACATCAGCACATTCGCTTTGAGCCTTGTCGGGGAGCACCATTGCGATGATGCAAGGCTGAGATACCCCCCAGAAGTCTTGGCACAGCGCGTAAGGCTGGAGTGCACACCTCAGACCTCACAGGTCTTCAAGTCCATACAAGGCCATTGCAAGGGGGACAAACAGTGGGGTCGGACAATTCTTGTTTGAAAGAACGAAGCACTGAGATTACCGCGGGCGATAGCCCGACGGTGCAACCCATTGTCTCAAACTTTCAGTTTTTGCGAATATAGCAAATGTGAGAGATAAGTTCTGCCAAGAGACTGCACCGACCTGACCTTAGTCCGGTTCCATGTATTGTGACATTTCATGGGTAACAAGCAGCAGGAAGCACTTTCGGCCACCCAGAGGCAATCGTGCGAATTGCAGGTGGCATGCAGTGCCTTTTGGGGCAGACCAAATCATGTGGCTGGATGCGGTGAAGATGGGAAATCGGCCACTGTGGAACGGAGAGAACCCATTGGTTGTTCTTTGTAGGGCGAAAAGATCTACAAGTGATTTTGGGACCTACCAATGCACAAGCACCCCGCTTTGACGAGGTTGGTCAGATTTTGCGTCGGACAGCGGAGCAAGATCCGCCTCTGAGCTTTCATTGTTTGACCAATACTTCAAGCCCTGGTCAATGAAAGCATTGCTCTGGGGGAAGTATTCGAGAATGTTGGAGTCGTAAACATCATCAAGGGGGATCTGGAAGTGTTGAAAGCCTTTTATCATCGGAGAGTCGCTGGTGAAGTGGTAGTCGAGCGCCGACACGATGTGTGTAATATTAGCCTCACGGAGGATCTGGGGCCGCCGTAGGGCCATGAGCCTGTTTGGACGTTAGTTCCCGAGGGATTGAGAGACAGCAGGATGGATACTGCTTCAATGATGGGGTTCATTCGTGCCAAGGACGTGAAAAACAAGCGATAATATATGGCATTTACAAAAGGGGGGAGGATTCACACACCCATCAATGAAGAGATTGTAGCCTGGGCATTTGCTGGGCATGAACGGGATACTCATGGTCAGACCGGTAGGATGTTACGAGAAAATTTAGGAAATTGCAAGAAGTGTGTGTTCGGTGTCTCCAGCCTGTATGGGACCTTGGGGGCTGAGGCGGTCAAGTGTTGGACGTGGAGGAGATGAATTGGGCTGATCAAGAGTTCTTCCTTGTTGATGGTGAAGTGGGGGCAAAGGCTCCAAGGATGTTGTAGGGATCTGACAGGTCGTGTTGCTCGTAATGATCCGTGTGGCTCTGGATGTAGGAGGCGAATCCGTTGTCACCTTGTGCCGAATGTCTCCAGAATCTATCATGCACAGGAGTTGAGGGATCAAGTCACATCAGTATGTACCTAGATAGGCAGTTGTGATGGAGGGATCTGAAGTGAAGACTTCAAATGAGTTCTGGTATGCCAAGCACCGAAAATGCCATCTCATTGGCTACTTAGTTGCAAGGCTCTGGCAAGGAAGGTGCGTGGTGGGCAGCACCGGGCGGTCGGGTCTTGCGAGCCTTTAACTTAACCGAAAGGTCCGAGGCATTACTCCGTATTGATAAGACACAAACTTAGGTACCTGGTACTATTCACTACGGAGTATATCTTATCGTATTGGGGTATTATCTCCAACTGATTGTTCGGCTTCTGTTCATGTCCAAGACTCGATACATTTGGAGGCGCTTTACCATTCACCATCAACTACTATGTACCTACGGAGTAGTACTGCAGTTGGCCTTTTCAAACATCGTGTGATGGAAGTCGCACCCCAACCAGAGATGACGTAGTGCCAGTTGCCATTTTGACGTGGGACTCTTCTATTGATTCGCCGTTTCCTTTATTTGCTTTCTCTCCTTTGTTGTTGTTAAACTCTCGATTCATAGTACTGAATGTCTAGTACTGAATGTCATATTAGAGTCAGATTTTGCCTTCAACTTAACGATGGAGTGAAACTCTTCCAGAACAAGTCTGTTCTTCCCTGTACCTCCTTTAAAGAATGCTACAATTTCATGTATTGCCCCCAACCGCCACCGGTGCACCTTCCTGTTTTGCGCAATTCCCCGTCCCCGCTTCTTCCCCTAAAGGGCTTACGATTGCCCTCTCATGCTCCCCACCATCTCCTCCTTTTGCAACCTAGGGCCAAAATCTCAGACATGCATACCTACCTATCATTTACAATCCATGACAGGCATGACAGGCTCCAGATCTGTTTCGTCGCAGGTAATAGCTAAAAATATCCAATTGAATTAGTCCTATGTGGCAATGGATGCAATTATGGATCGTGCTTTATCATCATTGCAATATCTCAAACGGCTACGATGGAAGACAATCCACAGTATGTCTTGTGGCTGGCTACCGGAGATGAGTTTTCAATGAAGTTGGCACCATCGACTCAGCTGACTCTGTCGTGAGTGTCAAGAGACTCGTGTAGTTTCATTTGGCGCATCATGGACCGACATGCCTCATATCAAGCCTGGCGCCATGCTTGCAGTGATGCGAGTAGTAATCTGCTCATGAGGAGGAAAGCTACTCCGTATGTGCAGTTGTAGATCTGTAGATCATCTGACCTATCGCATGAAGCCATACCCGAGCGGCGTCCAACGCCAGCCACAGAAGCCTTGGGCACTAGGAAAATGCTCATTGTTCATCCAACGTATTGGTCCAACAAAATGACACATTTGACATAATGTGTAACGAGGTCTAAGGTTGGGAAAGACCTGTGATCAGCCCTATGTAAAGCGTCTGTTGTGTCGGGAGAAGTGGGGCTTTGATTGGCGCAGTCATGCACCTCAGCCCACCAATAGCAATACATGAAGGGCTTTTTGGAGGAAGAGTGGCTCGACCAGAGGCAGGCAAGAATCTCAGTAGCAGACGAGGAACATTGCCCCAAAATGGCCATCAGAATCCTTCATACAGGATGCTCGGAAACGATCTTGAAGACGCCGGTCATGCAGCCACCATCCAACACGGACCATGGCCTATGCAAAATACAGAACCATCGTACTTGGACCATACATGGAATGATTCACTCTCACCTTTGTCCAGCGTTATGCTTTCCATTCTCTCCCAAAGTTACCTAGGCATCAGTACCCAGACCTGAATGAGGAAATTTCGAGCCCGTGTCGCACGAACGAGCGTTAGTGCGCATGGTGTCAGAAAAACGGCTCTGCCCTCCATAGAACTCGACAATAATAGCGGGCCCGAGGGGTCATTGTCGGTGGCCGCACGATTACAGGGTCAAACGAGCCTTGCTGGGCGCCCCTCGGCCTCCTGGTGGCGCTAACAGAGATGTCCGTTTGTGGCCTGCAGTGGTGATGATTCGTTGCAGGATCGGTTCCAACTTATTGATCTCACCGTAATTGTGGTTGGTCGATCGTAAATGAGAAATACTTTTCCAATGCCAAACGTGCCGGTGGGTTAAGTCATCAAAAGAACCAAGGATGGATGCTGAGTACCTAGGTACTTTAATGGTTGCTAGTTCTCGACCCCATTGGGAGTTCGAGGGGGGAGGGGGGAGGGGAAGATGCAAGCTGTATGACTTGCAATCATGGAGTGTTGGTTGGTTACTCAACATTGATGTGTCCCGCGGAAATCACAGGTTTGGCAAGAGAGTGAGCAAGCTCGAAATACGCTGCTTGCCTTAGGCTGTCATTATTGTTACTTGAAGATCGGTATCGTATACAATGAGGGGACGTTGGGTACCTATCATCATGTCGGAGTTTGGAACGAGTGTTTTAAGACCGAAGTGGCATCTTCCATGGACACGGCACCACGAACAACTTTACCAACTGGGGTTTGGGGTTGGCAAGACGTCTAAACTTCCACGAGGACTTATGGCGCCAGCACAGACCAGATGGGGAGCCTGCTAGGACATACGGAGTACTGGAGAGTACTACCTCACACTTTCAGACTGTGTATTCGTTGGATTTATGCATTCACCGATTAACCAGAGTTGGTAAAGTACTAGGTACCTATGGTTTGAGGCTTCTTTAACGAACACACGGACTACCTTACCCATGTGAGTACGAATACTCCTGTCGGTAAGGAGCCACCGGGGGGGGCATTTACGAAGTTAGACTAGGTGGCAACGGCTCCTACATAGAGACACTGATCAAATACGGGTTACGGGCAAGGGACGAGTTCCACGACACTTTTAGTGACTTATTACGCGTTGTGGTAGTAGTGGCTGTCACGATTGGGTAGCATTGGCACCCTAAGGGAAGGACGAGGGACCCTAGCAGGACCCCACCGCCGGCCGGCAGAAGCCTTTTCTGACGCTAGAAGATGGTCATTGCGATCTGCCCGAGCTTCCTTTTTGCTGTAGGGCTGAGGCACACCAAAGGTCGTAAGTTGTACTCCCGAGGACTCGAGGGAGTCGAAGGGGTGCCTCGCAAGCCTCCGACTCTTCACAAGTTTTAGCGCCCATTCCCAGGGCTGGCGTGCATCGGCAGGCCCCTCTCCCACGGTATTTATTAGTCGACAACGTCACAAGCCCAACAAGGTTTAAACTCTACAAGGCCCCGCAAGCCCCGAGGTGTGAGGTGCGACAGGGTCGTTCTGCCATTGGGACCACGGCGCCCGGGAGCCTTCTCCATCTCTAAATTAGGCTTCCAAGCTCCAGCGCCCCTCTAGAGGCCGATTGCCCCAATGGCGCCTTGCGGGCGTGTCTGGTAATTGAGGACCCCTTGGCCTTGAGCTTTGCTGGAAAAGGCCGTGAATCCGTGGCAAATAACGAACGGCGAACGGCGTGGCCATGGTGCCATGGGCCATTACCCACGGACCCGCTTGGGGAAGGACATGGCTGCATGGCTGCATCTCGATTGTCCCTGTCAGGGTTAAGGCTAGAAAGCTCCACGCGCGAACGCAACCAAGCCCTGCACAGCGGATGCAGGCTCCAGGGTACCTCCGTCCCGCCGGCCTGGCAGAGCGACGGTGGCAGTGGCAGTGACAGTCGCAGGCTGAAAGAGGCACAAGAGGCTGTCACGGCTGTTTGGTTTGCTGCAGGCGGAGCTAGCATTTTGCCCTTTCGCTTTCGCTTTCGCTTGCTGTCGTGCCTTTCGTGCCTTTCGTGCCTTTCGTGCCTTGCTGCCCTTGTGCCCTTCTTCTTTTGACTCGACTTCCTTTCTCCATTCTGCTCCATGCGACGAGGCGTCACACTCAACCAGGCTCAGGCAGTGGGGTGCTCGTGTGGATGTCAGATGTACAGTTTACTTTCCGCCTTTCCACTCCTTCTGCTTCCAACACCATCACCTCCTCCGATCCCATCTCGCCATCTCCCACCCTGGACAAGGCACACTGCTTGTGTGAGCAACCCATAAGCGAATCCTGCGACCCGATCATGTCGGTCACCATCATTCGTGCTTTGCATACACTCCTTTCTGCCACTGCTGATCGCTGTTGGCCTGAATCCTCTTCCGCATCCTTTGCTTCCTCACACCCTGATCGACCTTGATTGCTCATATGGCGCGACCTGCCTCTTGCTAGGCTTCAATACTTCCTCTCCTCGACCTTGGCCTCCTTCAATCTGAAAACGCCCCGCCAGAAATCCTGTCCTTACCGCTGCCAATAAGAGACCCTCTTCGATTCTCGGAAATCTTTGTACGACCATCCAAGTCTGTCACATGCACATATACACATCCCCCTCCACAACTATTATCTTCCAGAGAGGTCCACCCCTGCAGTACCGTCTCCAGCATCCATCGTTCATTCCTCCGTAAGTTCAGTCAAACAAACGGATCATACGTCAGCTAAAAGGGCCGGCAATCACTGGATCCACCGACTTGAGAATCAGGTCACCATATTGCCACCGTCGAACATATTCACAGACGTACTGCTCCTTTGGGGGTTGGGCCCGAGGCCATCTGAACCCGTCCTGGCTCTCTCAGATGTCCTAGTGACAGGGGAAACAAAACCATGAATATCTCTCGGCCTCCCTCCCAGGACATGGTATCAATGTCACGGAGGGATGAGGCTTCCCTCTCTCCTCGCTTTACTCGACGCCGCTCGAATTCACGCTCCTCGTCGGATGGTTCTTTGCGTCTTGGACGTGCCATGTCCATACCTGGTCTACGATTCGAGGATGCTCCTCCTCCTCTACCCCCTCCTCGATTTAACGAAGAGTTGGCCCAAGGCATCGACGTCGCTTGGGCATGGGCCAACACGAACCCATTCGATCATAGTCAAAAATCCTTACCGCCTATTCGCCCGGGCTCTAGCCTCTACAGCGACTCTCAACCTCCATACTCAACCTATCCGCCGACACAAGAGCCCTCACCAGTATTTTCGTTCGACAACATCGAGCGACGCAGAGTGGCCGAGCCATTTGCCACACAAGTTGAAACACCAGCCTCGCATGGTCATTCTAGACAGCTACCCTCACTGTCAGGGAATCATTCTTCACCTTCTCATATAGCCCAACGGTCAGTACTTACTTTCATGTCCTGTATTGGCGATTCAACATTGGTCTATGTTTAACAGCCATTTTCCATTTTCCATTGCCCATCTCGTTGTCTAGCCCTGGCTCTTCTCCAGAAGACCATGATTTTTGACTCCGCGTCGACTTTCCCGCTTGGTGGGGCGGTTTTGGCCCCCACTCGAACTGTTTTGCATCCGTCAGAGGCGGTGGCTGACGCAAGGCTTCTATTTCAGCTTACACGGCGACACTCCTTTGGCGCACGAAAACAATGCACGCATTTCCCAGGCGTACGATCAAAGCCTTCTGTCCAAAATTGGAAAGCAGCAGCCGTCCCCCAGCTCTGACCGGTCAAACTCCGCAGACCCCTCCCACCCGTTCACTAGGCTATCTCTGCGGATCAAGGAACCCAATGCTCTGCATTTGTCCCCTACTGACCTCCCATCTGCCTCTTTGGACCCTGGGAGCAAATGGATTGCCAGCCCGGCATCTGCTGCCCTTTCTCCTGCATCGCGGCAGAACTGGCGCGACTATGTCGACCATGGGCTCTCTTCGGGAGATGCTGTCACTCCCCCTCTCGCTATAGACCCTGACCTATTTGTCCCGCAACGGCGGGCTCTGGGAGCCTCCACCGGTGGCTCCGTTGCGGATAGTGATATCATTCCAAATCCAATGGACGAATCACAACGCGACAGTTATGAGCACAGCATCTTTGCAGATGCAGACATGGAAATCGCTAATGTCGACGGCCATGGTTTTCGCAGTCTGACTTTACCCGACTCGCAACAGCAAGCGGGGCGGCCATTGTCAAAGCAGGGTCTCAAGCGGCGTGCTCGTTCCCCGCCATCCGACATGCTTCATGATGATAAGACTCCTCCGTCGAGCTCTCTCATGGCTGACATGCTTCCACTTGCCAACACTTCGTCATTACCACACTCGCCAACTGTCAGACACCAGGTCAAGTATGGATCAGTGTCCTCTACCTCTTCCAGTGTGAGGCATAATTCCTATGCATCGCCGGTTGCTCCTTCAGTCGCAGGTAGCTCTATGACTAGCATATCATCACTTGAGCGCCAGTCTCCTCTCGACCCTGTGCAGTCGACATATCTGGCCTCGGCACATCTGATCGCTAGCCCTGTAGCTTCGGCTGCTCCTGCTCGCAATTTACTGTCTCATTCATCGCACCAGTCCCCAACAGAAGCAACATCCCCTGGCCGCACCATGTCGAGCCACCCCAATACCGCAGAAAGTCGACATACTTCTGCCAAACGGTTTGGAAATCATTTCATGTGTGAATGCTGCCCCAAAAAACCCAAAAAGTTTGACACAGAAGAGGACTTGAGGTGAGTATCGACTCTGTGCAGAATAACTACTGCGACAGCCGACCGCTAACCTTTTCAATCAATTACTAACAATCTGATCCTAGATCCCACCAAATGGAGAAACAGTACACCTGCCAGTATTGCAACAATCGTTTCAAAAACAAAAACGAAGCCGAGCGTCATCAAAATTCTCTGCACTTACGACGCCAATCCTGGTCTTGTGCAGCAATTTCCAACTATCAGGCAATATTTCACCCTGCGCAGCCGTCCACCAATCTTGAACGCGATACCTCTCCCACCGACGCCTGTGGATTCTGCGGTGAGGAATTTGCTAATCTACCGACACCTGATTGGAACCACAGAATTGAACACCTTACCACCGTGCACAAATTTGGAGAATGCAACCAGGCAAAACGATTTTATAGAGCAGATCACTTCAGACAGCACCTCAAGCATAGCCATGCCGGTCAGAGCGGGAAATGGACCAACATTCTCGAGGCCACCTGTCTAAGGACGAAACAAGATCCCGCGACGTTCTCTCCCGTGGGTAGTGATTCAAGCCCAGGGCGGGGTTTCAGCAGTCTTCCTGACCATCCAATGGACGGCATACGTGAAGCCAACGACGAAACCTGAACGGCAGGAACTCATTACAGACTCATTCAGTTACCGTCGCCCCATGCCGGCTCAACAAGCCACGTGTTGCATGGTAGCCGTCTGCACGCGACCGTCATATATGCCCTTCTTGACCGGGCCATGTAGAGTCTCGAGGGGAGACTCACCACGTTCATACGTCCATATTGGGAGCGCACATTGGTCATTTCGACTTTCGTTCACATCCAATTGAACATTCGTTGGAGAGTCGGGCAGTTGCGGCCGCAAAACTTTATGCATCGCTGTCCTTCAATCCCTGGATTGACTACGAATGAGCATCGAGTCAACGCCGCAGAAAGCGACTCCTAGGCACCATCTACTGCAAGTAAGACCCGCAAAGTCTTTCAGACCACCCTTTTGAGGTCTGATGTCTGGATTGTGCGTTTAAGTCACTACGCTTTTTTGGCACAATTCGAGTTTCCTGACCTCCACTGACCAGGGCTCGTCAAACGCCTGGCAGGCTTTTGATTGCAGTTCACCTCTTCTGTAGCAACAAGCTCATGTCACACTCGAGTGGCTCCAGGATTGGCTTCGTCGCTGCCTGTCACGGATCAAACCGAGTGGGGAAACTCGTTCTGTTGTATGTGCTTACCCTGCCGAGAAGGTCTGCCGCAAGGAAAAGTGGAAAGGCTATCCGAACTGTGGGATTGCGGGCATTGTATGGTCGACAAGAGATCTATCAAGTCTGGGATTAGACTCCTTCGCTGATTCGAGCGCTTTCGGGGACACCGCCTTTGCATGACGCTTGCGAGCTCTCGTGCAGTCTGAGAATCAGACGAGTACACAAAGCCTATTGCATGGCGCCACGCATGGCGCCCTGTTGGGATGAGATCATTTTTGAATACATGTTGAACTATGATGGCCATGATTGGTTCTGCAGGCATAGGCGGCATGGCCGACGTACAGTCGGTCGCAAAAAGCAACCATGTTTCTTGAGGATCACAGTACTTCCTTGTCCTCACAGCGCCAAACTCGACTCGGTATTTTTTCAAAGAGGGGCGCCCTTAGTGCTTACTCTGTACAGTCGGAAAGCGAATTTCTTGCGCCTTTCCAGATATGGCCCACACAAATCATACCCTTTATCGACCGTTTCAGATTGACTTTTTCGTCCCGTCCAGGAGCGAATCTCGGCTTATATTGGTCGATCAGTCGTGGTAGTGGACCCCGGACGCTCGGGAGACAAACAGTCGCCGGAGAGGGTCGTGAAGCCAACGATAAGTCATCAATGAAACACTACCAAACGTTACCACCACTCAAAGGCCCCTCGGCCTGGTTTCTCAACCCTGAATCGAACAAGCGAATATACACGGAAAACATTACAAAGAGGGGGTATTGTGATTGACCAGGCTTTACGATTTGCAACATCATGTCTGACACCGCTGCTAGGATGATCCTCTATGGACGACATGGGTATGTAATATTTAGCCTAGATGCCATGCTTGTTTTGCTGGACATTCATACCCCGCCTCGGAACGAGGGTTATATGTTTGCATGCTTTTGGTTCGACCTTGTTTTGAACGAGAGGGTTTTGTAGAAGTACCGCCTTTGTTCTAGGCACTTTGACAAAGAGAAGTCCTTGTCTATGTGGACGGCATGACAAGGAAGACAGCGGACCGTTCGTAGGGCCTTGCTTCGCATGCAAGGCCGGCACTGACAACGTCGAGACGAGCATCATAGAACGTCTCCACCAATGTCCCATATAAGAAAAAGCCTGTCCTCCGTTTATCGGAAGTCTCATCATTTGATACGAGAACGTAGTAAATGTAGATTAATAAGTTTCCCAGAGATTATATATTAATCAGGTGAGCCTCCCTATAAGGCGATTTCCAGTTGAGACTAGGATTTCCCCGGAATTCAGACTCGAATGACAAGTATGTGTGTGTACTGAGCCTTAGGATCCATGTTTCGAACCACTTCGCAATCCTGCAGCTCCACCATCATCATTGCTCGACAAAATAGCCTCCCAGAGATTCACATCAGCTGCTTGGCTCACGATAGATGTGTACAACACTGTCTCGAGTGTAAATATTACCTTGAGCCAATATCATGTAGGCAGACATGCCAACTCCTGTGTATTAAGGGCTTTGACAGGTCCAAATGATTTTGCCCGATGTAGCTGCGTGTGTTGTGAAAGTTAGATTAGAATCCCTGAAAGGATGATCATTAATCAATGAGAACATTAACCAACCGTGATCCCACTCTCGAGCTGTGGCAAAGACCCCATACCCACCAGCCGGTGGACGGGTGTCTCGGCTCATAAACCAAGACGGTAGTATACGAGCTTCACCCCAGAGATGTGTGTATGATCGTTGGCCAGCTGTACCAGCCAAAATGTATGTATGCTGGATGGATTCAAGGCGGACAATGCTGCTGAGAATCCTGCAGAATGGCATACAAGGTTCCCCCACAATGGTCCTTGGTGTTGTGATGATCGATCCATCGCTGCCCTCCCCAGTGTCAATTGGTCGAATAGTCAGGAATATGGACATACGCACAGCCAATCCCGCAGACTGAACCGTCGGATACAACATGAACATTGCTCCGCATGAATTTGATCCTCCATGATTCTCAATCAAGGAACCCTTCCTTGGCATATCTTGATATCTAGCTATCGATCCGGTTGCGCTGGGATGCCCAGGGCGCCTGAAAATGCCAGCATTTCCTCCAGACGGAGCAGATTGTCACGATATGTGCGGAGTTGTTGGTCTTGTACCTACCTATCGAGGGCTTGCTATGAATCAAGATCGTCTGGTATAAATTCTAAGCAGGACCATAGTTGGTGCTGGCGAGGGGAGTTCCAGCTTTAGAAAGTACGTCCGCATAATGAAGGTCGCTTCTCTTCAATGCGCACACATACACAAAACCCTGTCTCACCGATGCTGTGGAACCACCAGAGCCGCCTTGTCGAGCAAGTTCTGGAGCATTGCTTTTGGTGTGAATTTCCCGCACTGGATGATTTGAGTTTGCTTATCCATAGAATCCCCAAGCCTGAGGTCGAGGTCAGTATGTCATCACTCGACGCAATACACGGACAGGAACTTGTCCGAAGGCCGGTGCCAGAAATGGTCTTTCATCAAAGACTTGTCATTGAGAGTTTTCGCAGTGGTGTACCAAAGTGGGACAGGACTTGTGGGTGTGGGTGGGTATGTGACGGATGCACCCGAATTTCATCGTCTCGAGAAGGGTCGTCTCGTAGAGAAGCACCTTGGCTCGCACTCATGACGATGTACCTGCTCTTAGGCTAATTAACATGAAGGCGTTGAAGATTCTTGGGCCACCAGAAAACTCTCAGGCAGGGAGAAGCAAGGCGTTGTTTGAGTCACCACACTGGAAGCATTCTTTGTGGGCTGGCTGGAGCATAAGAACTAGTACTCCGTAGACTGTTCCCTGTGTCTGCCTCGTACTCCATAGTTGAGTGGGTAGGTGCGTGCCGTTCTCTGGGAACTGGAGTACAGTAAAAGGACCGTCCATAAGGCTGTTGGTGTAATGGACCCTAGTGGCTATGCAGTGCTATGCATACTCCGTACGCGTGTGCATGTGTGTGTGCGTATGCGTAGGAGGCCACGATGGTTCACCTCGGATCCGGGTCCGTGCGGTTAGATCGCAACTAAGTCTTGCCTCCAAGGAACAAGGCGTCCCGTATCGTGGTGTTGTACACGATACGAGGCGGCCGAGGGGGCCCAGTCCAGAGCTGTGGACTGATGGTAGGCTCGATGCGAGCTAGAGTTGGCACTTCCTATTCAAGGCAAGGGAATAGAATCCTTCATGGTTTGGTTGCTTTTCGTGGTCGGTCCTCGGGGGCCGGCATGTTTGACACCATGGTCAAAGCCGAATAGGATGAACCAGTCCCGCCTTGTTGATCCCACACACCATAGAGGATCTCAGCCCCCAACCAAAACTCGAACACTCCTCGGCTAGCACATAAGCGTCTCGCGGGGACCTCCATGTCAAGTTAGTCAAAAGATACAAAAATAGTTGGATTGGCATACTCCGTAGATTTGTTGCGGGGTGTTGAATGCCTTGACTGCGTACGAGCGGCATACTATTTCGATAGGGTGTTTGTTAAGGTGGCCGCCTTACCAATGATCCAACAAATCTGGCCTTTCAAACGGAAGCCTTTCCTTGGCCGGTCAACTTTCATCCGTGTCATCCCTCACATTCAGCTCAGCCAGGTTCTCCGTACATCGAATCCTCCTGGGCCTCGCGTTGTTGATGGATCCTGCGTCTACGATAGTCGTCTCGGCTCCAGCAACCATTACTGGTTATTGCCCTTGCTTCTTTTCCTGGTTCGTGAATTCAATAGGAACGAAGTTCTCAGTTCTCGGCCCTTGAAAGTACATATGCACTCGTAGTACATGCATGAGAGCAGTAATGAAATATGATCACGTGATTGCTATCCCACATACTATCGTCAGCCTTGTCACCACAGCCTTGCCTTGGGCAATATTGATGCCAAGGTTGGAATCTCCTTGGAGCCTCGTGATTCCATCATCATCAACGACTTAACCAAATCTATGACTGAGTTGTGATCACTCTAAAGACAAGAATTCAACTAACAGGCTCTTCAATTCTCCCTTTCAATTTCAAACTCAGCCTTGCACAATCGACGCCTGCCTCCATCATTGACTACCATGTCAATGCAAGTGGCCGCTCTCTTTTCCGACCTCAAATCGCTGACCATCTGCGTAAGTCCCAGCATTGTTAGCACAAATAGACCCTGCTCTCCTTTCAGCTCCCCTTTGAAATACTCCTCTGTTACTTGTTTCTAACAGTACTTTTCTCTTGTCTTAGTCTCACGAGGCCGCTCTGGCACTGGTCACCCCTAGAGCCGGGCAGGATGGAGTGAACCCCTCAACGGATCCCTCACAATTCGTTCACAAAGCCCCAGCCGACTCAGACCTTCAGAAGGCCCAAGAGCTTGTCTCGCTTCACTATGATATCAAAGTGGGAATCTCTGAGTCTGGCCTTGACCCAGAGTTACTTGAATCCCGTCGGAGGGTGCATCAGGTGCTGGCTGACTTGGATGCCTAGCATAGAAACACGGCTTTCACGAAGGCCGGCTTAGGTTAAGATTGCTATATGCTAGTATTTCGTGTTTGGCTCTGTACCATCTTTGCCAATGACTCCAGAGTTGGTGTTGGTGCATTAATGATCTTAAGGATGATAACGACGACGACGACGACGACAAAGAATAACAGGTATTACCAATAGTTTCAACCCCGGACCCATTTCAACACACTACGACCTCTTGCAGTTTGGGTCTGCCGCATTGCTTCACCCGGAACCAAAAGGTGGTCGTCCAGCTCAGACTCCTGCTGGCCTCGCTTGACATGGAATGGCCCACCAGCTGAACATTTACACCTGAATGCTGCCACCCTCGCCATCCCAGTGACGTACCGGTCAAAACCTCCCATATCCGGCCTGTCTCGCTTGAGCTGCAGACGATGATATCTGCGAAGATACCGCGTCCGGGTCAGTCCCCGGCAGTCGGTGCACCTGCGAATCTCCTCAGCCTCGGCGTGCATTTTGGCGCTCTGAATCTTACTGTCAAGGTTTTTCATGCGAGCATTACGCTTCCATTCTTTTCGTCGCGCATACGAGGCCGCCAGATCGCTTGGCCCGTCGACGGGCAGCGGCACATTTGGAAGCGCACTGGCTCTCTGCTGAACAAGGGGGTGGACCGTGTTTGCCAGGTCTTTGCCCAGTATGAGCGCAAGGAGACCCCTTCTCACCAAAATTTTTCGAGCTTTCCCCACCACCTTACTTCGTATATGATGCTTCTTTCCAACATCGGGGACCAAACTTGGCAAAGGCAATCCTGAACTTACCACGTCTAGGGGTAGGGGGATGGCATTGCTTGGAGAATTCATGGGAAGAGCTACATTTGTCGGAGTGACCCCCAAAAACCCAGTACGATCATTAGATGGCGACCCCGGGGGTGCAGCTGGGCTTTTAGCGCCCTGCATTACCGATGTTCCGAGTGAGCTTGCCACAGACGGTGCACTTGGTCTCTGTATTCGAATTTCAGGGATCGGATCTGTAGTCTCTCCAAATGCGTTCGCCACAGAGCCAATAGCGCGGTCGTTGGCTTTATTTTCTGGAGATCTGTCTTCAGGATCCGCCGAGGAGGTGGGCTCTTGATGTCCTGTTGGAGAGTCTGGGGCCTCCTGAGGAGTGACTTTGACGGAGTTAGCGCTAGTGGCTACCTCAGCATTTCCACCTTTTGAACTAGAAGCTGTCTCCGCAACATATGTGGTCTCTGGACCAAGGGGTTTCTGCAAGTGAAGTATCTCTTCTTTGCTGGCTGTGGAATGCTCGTGCGGAGGGATAAAGACAGCGCCCGACGCTGAGACCCCTGAACTTTGTGGAACAAGTACTGATGCCTCGGAAACATTAAGGTGACCTGTGCCAGAATTTGGCCGCCGATTCTGTATCATTTCCACCTTTGTTACGTTTCCATCCTTGGTGAGGTGTGTGTGGGTTGAAGGGTAGGTCTCATCTAGTCCTTCCAAATCCTCTGCCTCGGCCTGATCAGTCGTTGCGGTTTGGGTTCTGGTCTGAGTTGGGCTGTTTGAGCTGCTTCCTTGACTAGCTTTCATCTGAGACCTTGACGGGTGGCCGGGTTGTATTGTTGCTATTGTCGGCAACCGAATGCCCTCTGGAAGTAAAATCCTAATGACGCCGTGGAAAAGGTAGGCTTCAAGCCGTGTCTCGGCTTGTGCAAGACTCTGACTGAATGAGTTGACACCGAGTGAATGGCGTTGATGGTTCAAATATCGAGGAGAACTTGCAAGAGGCTCTTCACCTGTGAAGGTTTCGCTTGCCAGCACCGACCACCTCTTGGACAGGGATCGCTCGGCAGTATCAAGTCGATTCTGATGCTCGCGACGACTCACCGCAAGTTGAGCTGGTCGGTATTCTGCAGAGGTCTCCTTGCGCGAATTGAGAGCGGCAGAATACTTCTCCCGGAGATATTGGGAAGGGATGGTCGGGCGACGTTCGAGCTGGGTTGTGGGGGTTCTGCTGAGAGCTTCTTTCTGAGATCTGTTAATAAGTTTGACAAGGGCCAAGGGATTAGAAGAACAAGCATGCCTTCTCGAAAATATCAACAAGCGTGTCCACCGACGTCCTTTTTGGGATCTCTGGGAATCTTTGGAAGGACACCACGGCGGCGGTGGATCTAGTCGTGGGATAGGGTTGCTCTTGGACAATTCTCTGAAGAGATGCCTAGACCTGTCAGAGATAAGTAAAGCCCTCAGATGATGGGGTGTGAGCGGGCATGCCAGTGGTCGATCCAGGTCCAAGAGAGGAGGAGAATGATCGCAAGCAGGATGGTCAGGCTAGGGCCAGCCCAAGCCTTTAGAGTGAGGAGTGTCTCTTCTACCTGGAGATGGAGACGGGAGAGATATTCGCATTACTCATCTTGGTCAATGTGCTAAGGAATAAAGAGAGAAGGGAGCGGGAATGAGTGCTCTCAAACTGCTTGGTCCCTTGGGAACATGATGTGAGGTGGCCCTTTTTTGAACAATGAGGAAACTACAATGATTGCACCTACCTCGGTTCACAAGCTGAATGAGTAGCGACATGTATATCTTTGGGAAGGAGCCAATTTGATGGGTGTATGTTGCGTGTGGACCGCTCCGCTAGATTAACACGGTTGCATGTATCACAGTTGCAACCAAGCATTTGTCCTGGCCAACGAAACAAAACTTCATCTCATTGATGGCAGCATGTTGATTATTTAGACTGCCAGTTCGTTGGACAAGCTTCTCACCCCAGAGATCTTTGCATTTGTGGGACCGGACATGATTTCCGAAGCCTCCGGCAAACCTTCCACACTTGACCTACCCCCATCGCGTCTTTTAGTAGACTGCGGAGAACATCTGAAAGCGCATGTAAATTATTCTGCTCGGCTGCTCGATAGATTCACCTTCGTCCTTCTCTTGAAAAGCTCCTTGTCTATCTGCGGCAATGGCCTCCGCCGTAGACCAGAAACTGCTTCGGCAGACCAAATTTCCTCCGGAGTTTAACCAGAAGGTGGACATGAAGAAGGTCAATATCGAAGTCATGAAGAAGTGAGTCCATTTCTACTATCCTTTCCCCGAAGACACGACTAACACTATCATACAGGTGGATTGCCGGCAAGATTTCTGCCATTCTTGGCTCAGAGGATGATGTGGTGATCGAACTGTGCTTCAATTTGCTCGAAGGCTCCCGCTTCGTAAGGAAACCTTCCAGCCTAGTGCGTCTTGTATTCTAAGAATCTAACTCTCCCAGCCCGACATCAAAGCACTCCAGATCTCTCTCACCGGCTTCCTCGACAAGGATACTCCTAAATTCTGTAAAGAACTGTGGAACCTCTGCCTCAGCGCTCAGTCCAACCCTCAAGGTGTACCCAAAGAACTCCTTGAGGCTAAGAAACTGGAATTGCTGCAAGAGAAGGTCGGTCGCTGTGAATAAGCTGCCCACCCAGAAGCTAACTGGTGTCCTTAGGTTGATGCGGAAAAGGCAGCGCAAGATCTTCGCAATCGTAAAGACCAAGCACAATCACGCGATCGGGACCTGGATCTCATCCGCCAGCGTGAGCGAACCGAACGAGGTCGTGGTCGAGGAGGGGCAAGAGGTGGTCGTGGCTTTGAATCTCGCAGGCCCAGATATTCCAGGTCTCCTCCACCGCGGAGACAATCTCCTTACAGACATACAGCCTCGAAACGCGATGCTGATACCTATGTCCCTGCAAGCCACCGCAGAGGTCGTACGCCAGGTCGTGGACGCTCCCTCACAAGATCGTTGACTGGCTCCCGCTCTCGATCCCCCGTTCGGCGGCGTCGCCAGGACCGCTCTCTATCTCGATCAAGATCACGGTCACAGTCTAGATCGCCGTCTCCAAAACGACGGAGATATCAGAAATCACGAAGCAGGAGCTTCAGCAGAAGGAGGAGCCCAAGTAGGACTAAGTCTCCGTCGGTTATAAGCTCGCCGGAAAAGAATGGCAAAGCAACAGAATCTCCGAAGAAAGGACGCGCGCGATCCTCATCACTGTCCGAGTCGTCCCGCTCTCGTAGCCCGAGAAGTAGAAGAGAGCGAAGTCGGTTACGTTCCTCTCCCAGTCGCAGCCGTTCACCCCCTCGACGGAGAGCTCCCCCTCGACGGTCATACTCATCTTCACGGTCAAGATCACGATCCAGATCGAGGTCACGGGGCAGGAACGGCGGGCGTCATGGGCGCGATAGGAGGTCCTTATCTTCTTCCTCAGAAGATCGAGGCCCCAGAAAACGACATGATGTCCTTCAAGATAAAAAGCCTCATGACGAACATCGGCTGAGCCGCTCTCCAGATGGAAGGCGCAGATATGATAGCCGCAGCCGAAGTCGAAGCCGAAGCCAACGACGTCGACAGCATGAAAAGCGACGACGATCACTTCGAAGATATGAACCCGCAGCCCGTAGACGGCGCAATACCTCGTCGGACTCGTCACCTGAGCCAAAGCGGAGGAAGAATGCACCTTCAGAGAACGAATCAAGCTGAAGCGTTGAGAGTAATCCCAACGCATTGAATCAGGCCACAGTAGGGATTTGATCAGTCAACAGCGTATATGGCTTGAAGTTAGAACGGTGCTGAAGATTAACGATCCAAAAGAGAACGACAACTCGATTTGCGAGCGACGGAGCTTGTAAGAAAACAGGGCTACGGTCATAAGATTGAGCTAGATCAAGACATGGGAACCAGCTATAGAGGATACGATAGATCTGATAGATCTGATCGACCTGATCTGTATTCAGGATCGACAACATGAGCTTCATCTGGTGAACGAGGTATTCAACCAGTTCAAATTGACCTGATTGGTAGCAAAGTCCAACTCGGAGTTAGCGGCTCAGAATCCAGAATCCGGGTAATGAATTTATTCCGTTCCGAAGAGGCCCGAAACGTGTCATCACGTGATCTTAACCCAACTCATTCCCTTTGGGCGTCAGTTCTAGGCCGTTACAACGCATTGGCCACCATTCGTCAACCATTCGTCGCACCTCAGATTCCAGGCACTGGCCGCTCCTGCTCCTGCTCCGCCCTGAATTCTCCTTGCACTGAGACTGTCAGTCAGCGTCTCCCATCGTACATGACTTTACTTTCACAACATGTCAACTACAACTACACCTGGTACCATAATTCTTTTCTTTCCAACACCCTACCACTTCCATTCTGTCATTTCACTCTAAATCATTCTTGAATCACCATCTTGCCAATTCTTTCAGTCCATTACGTTCATTCTCGCCTTGTCTCGCTTTCTTGTCGTCAATTACACCTCCCCTCCTTAAAACATGAGTTCAGCTCCTAGACTGGTCAGCAGTCCGGCCGCCAGGAGACTGGTGTTGCAATGTGAGTGTGGCATGTGTGAACTGATGATGGATCAGTCAAACTGACTCCCCACAGCACATTCACGCCTGGCGCATACCTCGGCGTCGCGGCTGACCACTTACTCTTCGAGGTCAAAGTTCATTCGGGACCTTCCCCCTCAGCTACACGCCCTTGCCATTATCCTTCCCAGAAGAGCCTATGCCACAGAAACTACCTCACACAGCCATGACTCAGGCCCTCCCCCAGGTTTCAATCTCGATGAAGCCAAAAAACCAATTGCAACCAAGACCCAAGCCCCCCCGTCGGCCTCCGATGTGAAAAAGACTGAATCGAACCAGACCCCAAATTCCGGTGCTACTGCCACCGACAAGACAAAGGCACTCGAACAAGCCAGTTTAACCGAACTAGCCACTGAGAAGAGCAAATCCGAAACCTCAGTGGCTGCCAAAAAGGAAGACCCCAAGAAACTTACTTTGGGTCAGAAGATTAAAAAAGAGGTGGCTCATTATTGGGATGGGACAAAATTGCTGGCCGCAGAAGTAAAGATTTCCTCCAAGTTGGCTTTGAAAATGGCTGCTGGCTACGAACTCAGCAGACGTGAGAATCGACAGGTACGTTGAGCTGCCTCTCATCAGACCCGCAACCGTATACTGACTACCTCCCAGCTCCAGAGAACAGTTCAAGACCTGGGCCGCCTCGTCCCCTTCTCCGTCTTTGTCATTGTCCCGTTCGCCGAACTCTTGTTGCCTGTCGCTCTTAAATTGTTCCCCAACCTTCTTCCCTCTACCTACGAAGGCCAAAAGTCTCGCGAGGCAAAGGCCGCTCGACTCCGGGAGACCCGGAAGCAGGTGTCTTCCTTCCTTCGAAACACCCTTCGTGAGACCGGCCTTCCTGTCTCTGCCGTGGCTGCCAAAAAGGAAGAGTTCACACAGTTCTTCCGCAAAGTCCGAGCCACCGGCGAATCCCCCTCCAAAGAGGATGTCATCAAAGTCTGTCGTATTTTCAAAGACGACGTCACTCTTGACAATCTCTCGCGACCCCAATTAGTCGGCATGTGCAAATACCTCAACCTAAACACTTTCGGCACCGACACAATGCTTCGATATCAGATTCGCCACCGCATGCGCCAGACCAAAAGAGATGACAAGGCAATCTCTTTCGAAGGTGTCGACTCTCTTTCAGTTCCTGAACTCCAGATGGCCTGTGCTGCCCGCGGTCTCCGGACGCTTGGTATGTCACCTGGCAAGCTTCGAGAGGATCTGCAAATGTGGCTCGACCTCCGACTCAAGTACAACATTCCATCTACCCTTTTGGTCCTCAGCAATGCATACATGTATACCTCTAGCAAGGATAGCGAGATTGACTCCCAGATCGATGCCCTTCAAGCCGTGTTGAGCAGCATTCCCGAGGAGCTTTTCCACGAAATCGAACTCGAGGTTCACAATGCCGAGGGCGCTGCCACCAACAAACAGCGACTCGAAGTCTTGAAAGAGCAGCAAGAGCTGATTAACGAAGAAAACGAGCAAGTCGAGTCAAGCAAAACCGAGGACGGCAAAGTCGCCAGTGAGCCGGTCAAAGACGACAAGGACATTGACGAGAAGCCGAAGCCCAAGGACGAAGACGTCGAGGCCAAGGCAACTGAGACTGATCCTGCAGCTGCTGAGGCACGAGAAGCCGAGTCAGATGTGGTTGAGCAGGGCAAGAATGAAGAGGTGAAGAAGGAGGAAGACGTCAAGAAAGCCTGATCCTTTACTTTCACTTCCCCATCAGAGCCTCACTCTTTGACTCGACGCTGAAAATCCGTGTGGACTGAAATTTGAATGCTACATCCGTGGATGACCACAGGCTGCATGACCCCTTTTATTTCCCCTCTGTATCAAAGAAAATTTGCGCATGTTCTGACCATCAGGTTTTAAAACCTCGTTTGCGTTGCCCGGATCTCACAGGCATTTGCACCTGACTGAGAGCAGCAGCAGCAGCAGCAGCAGCTTCTGCGGCCTCCTTGTCGAAGCGTAAAGGAAACCCCAGTCCAGTGTGATAGACATGGTGGTGTATGCAAGACTGGACGTTCAGGCATATCGGCGCTTTTGGAAAAGGCATGAAAAGAGTCAGGAGTCTCTACACACCGCTCAGAACGTTTATATGGCTCTCTCATCATTGGAGGCTGAAAGAAGAGCCCCATAGAGAGTCGGCTACGAATCTCATAGAATGTCGAATATAGAAAGAAACCCTTTTAAACCTGAGATTCCAGTTCTTTTTACAAAGCTATGATTAATCCTGAACAGCTCGGACGTAAACAGCGAGGTAGCTCATACTAGTATGATGGTTGTTCGTCGTTTGTACATCATCTATCTCATGTCGCATGGCGCATGGCGCATTCTGCATCTGGTGATTTTGAAGTCCTGGGTCCATAACATTTTCGTGGATGATTGGATATATCATCTTGATGAGCACACCGACATTGACTGATTGCGCCATTTCCTGTACATCCACTTGTTTCTGGCGCGGTCTGGAAGGCGAACACAGAAGCGTCCTGTTCTGATTCTCAAGTCTGAAAGAAAGGATAATCTGTCGTATACATGATGAGTTTGACTGTCTGTGCACAGGGTGTAGTCTGCACTGCATTTCAGGACAGGTTGACCGCACTTTAACATTAGTGTCGAGTCACAAAAGATTGTCCAGCTGCAGAATAAAGTCCAACGTTGTCAAGCTGGCAAGAGATCTCTCCCGGATAGTAGTCCTAGACTCGTTCAAGGTTGATACTTGCGAAGCTGCAGAGGGAGAAACAGCGTCAGTTGGAATGGTCTCGAAAAGTATGCAGCAAATGGACGGTGCCGTGTTAGAGCTGGGGATCGAAGTACTCACATCTAGTGTCAATACTTTGGAACTGTTGGCGCTCTGATCTCTGTACACCCCAACGAGGGCTTCACTGCCTTGGAAGAAGCCGGTTTTCAGACTAATGACAATAAACTGCATGCCGGGGCCCTATATTGGCACAAACGTTGTCAGCGTGCTGCTGCACGGAGGAATACACGAATTCAGATGTAAAACTTACCGCATGGTTTCTCACGTAGTTGACGAGCTTGCCCACGTTAGCGTTGTCCAATGCGGCATCGACTTCGTCCAATACAAAGAAAGGGCTAGGCTGATAGCTGTGGATGGCAAACAACAAAGCCAAGGCTGCCATTGTCTTTTCGCCACCAGACAAGTGTTCCATGTCTCTGAATCGCTTCGTTGGTGGCATCGTGTGGTAATTGACACCAGCGAGGTATGGCTCCTCGTCGTCGGCGGTGAGGTACGCTCGACCACCGGCGGGAAACTCGTCGGATTTGGTGAGATTGGAGTAAATCGGCTCAATTTGCTCGGCAATGTGGCTGAAGGCTTTGTGAAACAGTTCATTACGGTTGGAAGTGACATCTTCAAAGGCAGATTTGAGCGAACGATATTGAGTGCGAATAGTCTCCCACTCCGCTTCTGTGGCCCGAGCGCGTTCTTCCACTGTTGCCAAACGTTGGGCCGCATGGGCGTTGGGCTGCATCTTTTCCAGCGTGGCATTGAGTTTCTGGATGTCCTCTTGGAGTTTCGCGTCCACAGAGTCGGAATCTTCATCTTTGAGATCGTCATCGAGCGCATCAAAGTCAGGTTCGATGCCATAGTCGTTGACATTTGCAGCCTTGCCTGACGACGATGGCTCGTCTTCGTCAACATCCATGGCATCGGCATTTTCCAGAGGCAAGTCATTGATGGGCACAGTCTCTAAATCCGCTGAGCCAGGAGCAAGTGGAATGGCAATGTTTTCGATCTTGGCTCGACGTAGAAGACTGTAGCGTGCTGACGCGTGCCGCTGTAATTGCGCATTTAGAGCGTCAATTGCGGTCAGAACGTGATCAATCTCCTTTTTGTGTTTCAGATATTCATTCTTCCGCCTGGAGAAGGTTTCTTCGGCTTCGGCCTGGAGTTCCTTGTGCTGATCCAACTCAGCTTGAAGTTCATCCAATTCGTGTTTCAGAGAATCGAGATCATCTTGCAGACCTTGGCGTCTTTCGGTCAATTCATCAATCGTGTCTCTGTCACGTTGTTCCTTGTCTCTTAATGCTTGGATGCGATCGTCGGTAGCTTGTAATCGGCTTTTCTCGAAATTGAGCTGACCCTCAATCTTGCCCTTTTGAGTGATGAATTCAAGTTTCTTCTGGGCTGCCTCTTGCTGGATCGATCCTTGTCTGGCTTCGTAATCACGAATATCATCAAAACCATGTGGCTGGCAGAAGGCGGCAAAGATGTCATTTTCAACCTTGTTGATGGATTCTTGATAGTCGGCAATGTCTTGATCGATCTTTTCCAGTTTGGAGAGCTCTGATTTCATCTTTGGCTTTTCGTCTCGTAGCTGAGAGCTGGTGTGGTCGACTTCATGTTTCTTGCTCTGCATATTTCTCTGCAGTGCATCGAGCTCTTCTTTCGAATAGCGCAGTCGAGCTTCGAGACCACTTAGATCATTCTGCAAGCTTTGCTCTTCGGCAACACGACTCCTCTCGGGAGGAAGGGCTTGCCACTCTTCCATCAGCTTGTCCTTTAGTTTGTTGAGTTTGTCAACCTCGGCATCATCCCATCGTCGAGCGTTTTGCTCTCTTCCTCGACCACCCGTCATTAGACCACCTTTATGAATGACACTCCCATCGAGGGTGACGGCCTTGGCATCGACGTGCCTCTTGTAGCAGAGATCTTTGGCAATTTCGAGATCATCGCACACAATTGCGTTTCCGCAAGCATATGAGATTGCGCGTGACACGGAGTGATCGAAATCCACAGTCTCAATGGCAGGGCGCATGCCGCGGTGCATGCCTTTGAGATTCGTGTTGACGGCTTTGACTTGAATGGTGTCGAGTGGAATGAATGTAGCCTGGCCGGAGCGGTGATCGCGTAGATATTCAATGCATTGTTTCGCGGTGGCCTCTGTGTCGACGACAACGGCGTCAAGGTGACGTCCCAACACTGTGGTAACGGCCTCTTGGTATTTCTTTTGCTTGGGTTTGCACAATTCATGCACACGACCTTTCACACCAGGGTAGGTTCGCTTGAGCATGGCAACTGTCTCCCTCATCCGCCTCTCCTTCTCGCTGGTGCGGCGACCATCGTCAGCTTCCAGGAGCTTCCTGGCAATATCGGCCAGTTTCTCGTCCAGCTCGGTTCGAGCTCGAGCGGCTTGTAATCTCTTAGATGTCGCGGCATTGAGTTCCTTCTTCTTTGCGTCAATCTCGGCCTGAATCTGTTTGTTAAGTTCTTGGATGGCGGCTTTCCGGTCTTTGATGGTGTTGTATTCAGCTTCAAGAGATTTCAGCCGGTACTCGGTGCTCTCAACAACATTTTTGAGGTTGTGATAGGTTGCTTCGATCGGGGCACGGTCATTTTTGAGTCTCTGCACACGGATCAGGTCTGCAGAAGCACGTTTGTTGACCTCTTCACGAAGTTTGGTATATTGTTGGAGGTCGGCAGCGCTTAACTGGCCACCCATGCGGCTTGCGTTCTGTTCCCATTCCTTCTGCCACTGGGCTTGAGCCTTCTCTACCTTCGAAAGGTCTTTCTCCAGCTGACCGACGGTGGATGCTTGCGAGGCATGTTCTTTCATGATTGAGTCGACACGGGAAGTGTATTTGGAAAGCTGCTTAGTTGAGACTGAGATTTGCTCGTCAATAGGAATGAGGGCCGCGTTGCTGTCCTCGATCTCTCTCTCCTTGGCCTTGATAGCCTTTTCGGCCTTGGTCACGGCTCTGGAAGCTTGGGCATGATCCTTCTTAGCGGCCTCGAGTTGACGATCGAATTTTGCGGCGGCTCTTGTGGCTTCCTGGAATTCGTCGTTCAGTCTCGCGATTTCGGCATTGGAGTCGTTGATCTGTTGCTGTAATTGAAACAACTTCCACAAGACGTGACGGGTGATGGCCTCGTCTCGCTCAGCTGACTTTTTCTGAAAGTTGTCAGCCTCTCGCTTTTGTTCTTGGTATTGTCGAATTTCCGAATTGATGCCCCGTCGGCGATTGAGCTGGAAGGCCTGTTTCTCAGATGCCTCGTCCAATTCTGTCTTTAAGCGATCGTATTCGGCTTTGAATTCGATACTGCCCGAGACTTGTTCGATGAGGCGGGTTAGATCCTGGGGTTTCTGAATGGCAATTGCCTCGACATCACCCTGAAAGACGAGAAAGTTGCGGGCTTTGATGAGAATGTTTTCCTGTTCAAGAGATTCATTGTATTGTTGGGCGGTGACTACACGGTCGTTGATGCGATACTCCGACACGCCTTGGCTGGTGATTGTTCTCTTGAACTTTTGCTCATAACCGGCATCGTCCTGGTAAACAGCCATGACCCATGCAGATTTGGGATCATGGCGCTCTTGGGTTCCGTTGACCTGGCTGGAATCGTGGTCGGCGGCGGCATCTGTGCCGTTGGCTTGTAGGTCTCCGTTGGCAATGGACTTCTTAAGTACGCGACCTCGATAAACCAATTCCCGAAGATGGGTGGAGCGGAGATGGGAGGATTTTATGCCCAGGACGAAGGATATGGCATCCATGGAATTGGACTTGCCGGAGCCATTGGGCCCGATGATGGAGGTGAAATAAGCATCGCCAAAGAGGAGGGTGTGGTGATTTTTGTACGATTTGAAGTCTAGCGATTGTTAGTCATGGCTCATGAAGCGCATACAGGAGGAGTTACTGAAGAGCTCGAGGCGGATGAGTTTGCCCATGATCTTGGTGCGTGTGAGAAGGTGGGGGTGATTCACCCTTTAATGCGCGGACATGAGGGAGACAGGAGGCGCGGGAATGAAGACGGAGGCTCAGACCGGGCCTTGGTGATCTGGTAGAGGGATGTTGGGGAGTTGTTGGAAATTTGAGGACGCAGTCACATGAATTGGGATGCGATATGACGATGTGGACGCGAACGAACGGGGCAAGCGCGACTGATGCCCATCGACTGGAAGGAGGAGAAATTGATAAAGCGACGCGACACGCGCACCTCGGGGTTGCTGTGGGCCAACGCTGCTTTACTCTGAGTACCAGCGTAGGAGGTACAGTTTTATTAGCCCAAGGCTAAAGGGGCTTAGGGCACTTTGGGCCGAGGGGCCAACAGGGTGTTCAAACTAATTCCCTCTTAGCTGCCTTGGTTCCCTAGACAGGCATCGCAGCCTTTTGCGTCTAGGCATGAGCATAGGCGTCATAGGCGTGGGTATGCCCTCAGTTGTATGAGGTAATCATACAGCCTTGTCCACACTCAAAGCGACAATGGACATGAATTCACATAACCTTGCTCCTAAACCTAGAGGACTCGCCTTCAATGCAATATGATTAAAAAATATGCATAGCTAGGTATATCTATGGCTGCTCAACCAAGAGCACTTTCCTGCTGACTTCTCCTGAAGACCAAGTTCCCTCTTTTTTCCTTGTGTCCAATACCATTTTCCCTCGCTCTCACGTGCCGTATTATGGATCGACAGTATGATGCTACCAGAAACGACCCAGGTCTCACATCTTATAGGGTGGGAGGAGAAAGTACATGCCTCCATTCAACCTGTGCCTGAATCAGTGCCTGTCAAACTTGGTTTTGAATTGAAGACACTTACAATGCTGCAGTAAGACTGCCTGTCCAGTGGATGTAATGATAGGTGAAGTTGTGAGAAGCCACGGCGACTCCCAGACAACGAGCGGGGTTCATGGCTAGAGGTTCATATCAGCACAACGTTTCGAGATCTGGATTCTGAACCTCGCCAGGAAAACGTACATGCACCAAGATACCCAGGACGGGCGATGGCTCCTCCGAAGACGGTGACAGCGCTCGAGATACCGATCAAAATGGGTGGTAGTCCTGGGCCCAGTGGGCCTGCGTTTCTCGGGTCCAGACCAAGACCAAAGGCCAGAAACAAGGTCAATAGTGTAGCCATCAATTCAAATCCAAATCTGTAATTCTCCTCGTATTAGCTTCCTGATTGCATGATCCCAGTAGTTGGCGTGAGAAAAAAAAAACTCACGCTTGTCCAGGTGTGACAATAGAGGTGTCTACCCAGCATCCAGGCACCACCACCAGATCGGCAGGCGATGCTCCAATGCTTTCTCGAAATATCAGAGAGCCGATGATGGCTCCAGCGCACTGAAACACAATGTAGAGGACTGTTCGAGGTAGACTGGACAGTCCCGCGAAAAAGGTTCCCATGGTGATGAGTGGGTTGAGATGCCCACCAGTCAGAGGACCTGTCGAATACACAAACAAAGCAATGACAAAGACCTGAATGACTGAAGCAAACGCCACTGGCGTTACTGGACCCAAACTCGTCGCGTCACCTGTCGGCAAGAGTCCCACGCTAATACATAGACCCAGGAAGAGCTGTAGACAGGTGGCAATGCCTTCGATGATGGCGTATTTCCAGATCGAAAGGTGCTTGAAGTCGGTCGGGTCCAGCAGTCTAGCCCAAGAGGCATTCCTCACAGCATCGGCTGTCACAACGCTGTCGCTGCTGGAGGTGAAGCGCTGATTACCACCCAATCGACCCGCGAAAGAAGGGGTTTGCACATGCCCGGCCGTGGTCTTCGTCCGCTGTGGTTGACCTAATGATCCTGGATAGGCCTCGAGATTGCGTGAACTCGAATATGAACCCCTGTCGCCATTTGGCTCTGTGTCCGGCTTGTCGTGAGCCATTGAGCTATCTGTACTAAACCGCTGTGTGGTCGAGCATGGCTCGATTCAATTCTCAGACGCCGCATCTTGTTACTTATGAGATCTGGACCTCCTGGCAGATTCGAAAGGCTGACCACGCAACAGACTCCTGACTTATGGCTTGGCTGGAGATTAATCATGGGTATACTAAGGCCCGTTCTACAAAACGAGACATGACTTTCCTTTCCAAATTACCACTGAAGGGTTGAGGTGAGATGATTGGTTCGTAAGGTTGGCCGCCTGAAGGACCTGGGTCGCTGAGTCATGATATTTTCCAATCTTCATCGGAAGATCGCCCATGCTCCAGGAGATGAGGGTCCACTACAATTACTAAGTGTCCTATGACGACAAGGGAGAAAGGGTGTTGGGTAGACTGGAAGGAGATATAAGTCTGGTATTTTGCTGGGATATAAACATCATGTCAATTCACACCTTTCGGGTGCATGCTTCGTCACTTTCAAACTGTGATGCAATGATACGAGGGAAGTTCACTCTTTAATCTTGAATCAGCATGAATCATTTATGTGCATGCCGCCGCGCCGGCGTCCTCTCGGCCAACCACAGTCGGCGAGACATGGCCCGTTGAACGTGCAAGTTGAACCCTTTTCAAAACGATATGTCGTGATAGCGAGGTATCGCAGGTATCGGCCCAAGTCCTGCCTACCAACCTCAAGTGTATAAATTTCATACATGATCCGACATGACCCAAGTCTGTGATTCTCATCATCTTCAAATCTCTCGAAAGAGACGGCATTGCTTGCGAGGTAGACCAAGAGTTGACCAGAACATTTGACCATTTCAGTTGGCACCTTGCCTTTGACAAACCCAAACTTCCAACCAGCTCGCAGCAATCACAATGCCAATCAACGGCTTCTCCAATGAACATGACTACGAGGTGCAAGCGTACATGGTAGCTCGCAAGAAATACCTCGCAGCAGAGAAGGAGCGGAAACAGCGGGACAAGGCGCAAAGACGAGCGATCCAACAAGCTCGCCAGAGGCACTTGGCCACGGAGCAGATAGGTAACGTTGAGCGACTCCGTCACATATGCTGTCATGCTGACCCAACTTGTCTTGTCTCCAGGTGACGGCAGTGTCTTGAAGTATCTGAAATCCTTGGTCTTTCGACAAACCTCAAGTCATGTCTCGCAGGAGCCGGCATCACTCCTAGGATTGGACGCAGGATTTTCAGAAAGCGATGCGGACGAAATATCGTTGAAGAAAGCATTGGACGAGTCTTAGCAGCAGATGGTGTCGTGATTTCTCGGTCGCCGGCAATGGTATGCCTGTGGCTTGAATAGCTGGATTGCAATGACTTGACCGGTTGGAAATGGACATGATAGAGATGATTGTTTGTATGTCCTGGAGATAGAGACTGGTACTCGGACTGTGCGCATTGTGACTATCAGATAGATAATCATCGTTGGGCCTCACCACCCATATCCCATAGCTGTCGTCCTCCAGTGGCTCTGCCTGTGACTCCGCCCAACCATGTCCCCTTCTGTTCGATCTTCCATGTCAAGTCCTTGGTGCCAACCCACTGGCTCAAACTCGCAGTGACACCGACCTCGTCATCTTGTGGCACACGGATCCAGACGTTGCAATCTTGGACTTTCAAAATGTCGATCGAAATCGCCGTTCCAGTTAGACCTAGGTACTGCTGCAAGGCCGAGCTCAGATGAGTCCGCGCAGTAATCTCGTCCACTGACTCCTGTGGCTGTAGAGAAGTCAGGGCTAGACGGCGTAGAGATAGGTGATAGTATGTGTATGGCGGCTGTCGAAGTGTGAATTGACGAGGTGGCTGTCCGTTGGTGGACATTGTTTCTTGAAGGCAGTATAGGCTGGAAACCTAGTGGTTCTATTTTCAAAGAGAGTTTAGATTCATTAGAATCTTATATTAAGATAGAGTCGAGGCATTGTTGGGCGTTGATGAGAGATTTCAAGGACTGGAAGTTGAACAATTATAGTGGTGGGGGAATTTTTACATCCATAAGGTATATAGGTACCTACCTAGGTGCCTAATCATGCTGGTAGGTCATTCGCTACAAATGTCAAAAAGGGTACCTGAGAACGTCGCACATTAGGCGCATCTATTGTGGTTGGTTCGGGGGCTTTAGGGGCCCTCGGGCTTCTTGCGCCCAATCTTCAAGGCTGAGCTTCACCAAGCTCGGTTAGATTGGCGGGATTGCTTAAGCGATTATAGGCGTAGAAAGACTCAGTCGAAACACTCCAACCAAACAAAGCCTTATCAATGCCCAGTAGGCCGAGGAATATTCACTCATCTCCAACCTCTTCACAATGACTCTTTGTTACAGAGTGTGATTCAGAACCTATTGACTTGAGTATTTAAAGATCTACATGGACTCATGGTTGCATCATTGCATCTACGACCTCGACACCTCAAGAAACTCGACCTTGGGATCTTCAGCACCATCCATCTCAGGTCATCCATTCACTCAGTTCACACCTTTACCAAAATGTCGTCCACACCTCCGAAAGACGAGACATTCTCACTCCCTGCCACAAAGCACAACCCTGTGGTATCGGTGACAATTCCCTCACATCTCACACACAAGTTGAATCAAGAAATGATCGAGAATTATCCCGCTTTCAACCTCTGGCGATCCACCCTCATCAACTCCCTCTCATTGCAACATAGTCTCCCCTCACACCCATTCCACGCCAGACCATATACGCTCCGTCGTGTCGACATCCAAAGTCTCGACGTCTTCACCAACTCCAAGATCGGCTTCTTGAAATTCGTTGCTTCGGTCACAAATGACTCGGGCGAGTCTCTGTCAGGATCAGTCTTTATGCGAGGAGGGAGTGTGGCCATGTTGATCATCCTGACACCATCAACCAACAACACTACCACCACAGTGACTGGCGAGTCAGAAGAATATGCCATTCTCACCATTCAACCTCGCATTGCCGCTGGAAGTCTGTCCTTTGTCGAGATCCCCGCTGGTATGGTGGATGACGGTGGAACCTTTGCCGGCACCGCTGCCCGCGAAATCAAGGAGGAAACTGGCCTCGAAATTCACCAGGACGAGCTCCTTGACCTTACCGCTCTCGCCGCCGACAATGACCACCCTGACCAGGATTCTTCTGAAATTCTCCAGTCGGCAACCTATCCTTCACCTGGTGGTAGCGATGAGCATATTCCAATCTTCCTCGCGCGCAAGGCTCTTCCTTTGCAAGAAATCGAAGCCCTCAAAGGCAAGCTGACTGGCTTGAGGGATCAAGGCGAGAAGATTACGTTGAAGATCGTTCCCTTGCGCCGTGTGTGGCGGGAGGCGGCCAGGGATGGCAAGACCCTGGCCGCTTTGACTTTGTACCGCGAGTTGAAGTTGGAGGGCAAAATCTGATAGTGACAGGGCTGATAGAGGACCGAGAATATCAATTGGTGGCTGGCAGTCGTCGACTGAAATCGTCACTCAGTACACATGGGTATCTATCTTGTTCACCAGGTCTCAATCATAATGCAAAATACGTCCTCAGCCTGGAGCCAACGCCGACAGTGGCCTGATGTGCTCCTATATCCTCCGAGTGACTTCAATTCAACCAACTGGTGTCGACACTGAACTGGGAGTATCAAGGCCTGTCCCAGGACCTGTACTTGGTCCGCCGTTGCTCGTGGCGGCCAAATACTTTTCATGTGCTTTGCGCTGGTTCTCCCACTCCTTCTTCAACCTCTTGACCTTACTCGCGGTCAGTGCGCTGCCGTCGCTGCCGACGGTTGGTACCCCATCTCCATCCCATTCCGAATAGTCGTTGGAATGGGGTGGCTTAAACATGTCTCGCGGAGACACTCGGCCCTTGTTAAGCTTATCCAATGCCTCTTGCTCCCGCTTCTTTTTAGCCTCTTCCTTCTGCCGAAACTTATCCTCGCGTTCCCGTCGAGCCACCCGTAGACCCTCTGTCACTGGTCGAACCAGCGCCGGTGCATTCTCTCGGTCCTCAAGGTAAATGTCCAGTTGCCACAGGTCGACGTCGCGCACTCGATCGCAGAGAGCCAAGATTTTCTTATTAAGCTCGTTCTGCTCTGCGACGGAAGCCACGTGGAGAGCACTGCGGTTGAACTCACTCAGAGTTCGCGCGTACGATGGCCTTGGTCGCCCACTAGACGCCGCTTCTTCGACCCCAGAGGATGTGGTCGATACAATTTCTTGCACAATCTCCGGCGTGATGGACTTGGCAATGGCAGCCGTTCGGAGCTCATCACGTACCCTTGCCAGCGGATAGACATACTCCTTGGCCGCTTCAGGAATGTCAATGCCCCTCCAGCCAACCTGTGTCGAGTTCGCCGCCGCATCACCATTGAGACCGAGAATGTTGACAAATCTAGTGACAAATCTCGCAGTATTGACGTGATCGGCGTGGGTAAGATCGATCTTTTTGGTGCTGTTGTAGGTGTTGATCAAGGATGAGATGGCACTCATCGCCAGCGGAGTGTTGAATGAGTCCAAAAACGCCGTATGGACCTTTTCTTGCGCTTCTTCGAGGACTTGATCAAGGGCACCTTTTTCGTTATGGGCAGCTTCTGTGCTATTGATACTTTCGATGACGTTGAGGAAAAAGTTATCCACGCGGTCCTCCCAGCCTCGTCCTTCTACTACCATGTCATCGGTGATTTCTATGCCGTCTTTCCAATTGCCGAGTAAGAACACAATTCGGAGGCTTCGAGCTGTCCACTCTTTGCGAACGTGCAGAGCTTCGCGAATAGTAGTAAAGTTTTTCAACGACTTTGACATCTTGGAGCCGGCTATCGACAAATGTCCCATGTGAAGGAAGTAGTTGACCCACTGTCGATGGCTACCATCCGCCCAAAAAGCTTCACTCTGAGCCAACTCGTTGTCATGATGCGGGAAAGCCAGATCGATCCCGCCAGAGTGAATGTCCATCTGTTGACCCAGCTTGCCTGAAGCCATCGCTGAGCACTCAATGTGCCAGCCAGGCCGACCAGGACCCCACTCACTGTCCCAGCTTGGCTCGCCGGGTTTGGAGGCTTTCCAGAGAGCAAAATCAGCATCGGACCTCTTAACGCTCCCATCTTTTTGAGAGAGCGCGCCCTCGCCATCCGCCTGTAGTTCTTTATCATTTCGATTCCACGGTTCGAGCCTAGCGTAGGGGAAGCCGGCCGCCTCAAAGGCGTTGATATCGAAGTAAACGGAGCCGTCAGTAGTCCTGTAGGCCAGCTTGTTGTCGGCAATTTTCTTGACGAATTCTGCAATCTCCTTGCCATGTTCCGTGACACGAACAAGATCGTCGGGGTCGAGGACATTCAGATCGTGCATGTCTTGGAAGAATCGAGCCTCGTATTCTTTTGTTAATTTTGTGAAAACGGCGTAGTCATCTCCGCGGATAGTGTTTCCCAGCTGTTCATCCAGCACCAGGCACATTGGATCGGCGACTCGGGCGTAGAATTCGTGTGGAGTCAAAAGTTTGGGATCCTGGAGCAGTGCTTTGGCGGTGCTTCTGACAGTATTGATGTGCATCTTGATCTTGGCCTCCCTGTCACCTGGTTTGGTTCCTTGCTCTAGAGGAGCGCCCGCCAGGACATCTCCATATGCAGCATCAACCACGTCGTCTAGCGTCTCGGGGGTAAGGAGGGTCTTGGGATTAATGCGCTTCAGGTTTTTCTGGATGTAGTAGAGCCAGGCTTGTCGAACATTCTGACGCACCTGATCATCAATGTACCTACGAACAACGTCAGTGGGCTGGGTTGACTGGGTGTGATTCGAGTGCGGACCGACCTGTGTTTTGTTTTGTACTCTTCATAGAGATGGCGTTGCCTTCCCCGCAGAATGATCTTGTCATCGACATCGGTAATATTCATAACGAATCGGACTTTGAAACCAAAGTAGTCTCGTAGGATGCGCCGAATGATGTCTGTGGTGACATAGTTTCTGGCATGACCCAAATGGGCGTCGTCGTAAACTGTCGGACCGCAGGAATACCATGAGATGGTCTCGGGTACAAGGGGAACAAATGGGACTTTTGATTTGGTCAAAGAATTGTAGACTTTTAGCTGCGGTTGATGTGTTGAGCCGGTGGGTTGCGCCCACGCTGGCTGAGACATTCTGGGACGAGAAGTGATACAACGGACTGTAGATGAAGAGAAGAAAGTGCGTCGTAGATGAGAGGTGAGTGAGAATAGGAAACGTTGATTCATTGACTCATAATGCTTGGTGGTGAATTGTTAACAGGCCAGTTGAAGTAAGGCTGGGATAAAGTCACAGTTTACGTCGATCGTGCCTGGCGGGATTATATGCCAAGAACCACGAACTCTCGCCTACCGCCTACAGCCAACCGCTTAGCCTACGAATAGGTAAGGTAGCTATCTAGGTAGGCACTTACCTAGCTAACAGTGCTAAGGAGTTGTGGTAGGTATCGTTGCACGCTTGATATGCCTGTATTGTCCATATCAATTTGCAGCCTTCAGCTCACCCCGTTGCCTGTTCTTTCGCCCTTGATAATTGCCCCAGATTCTTCTGACATATGAACTTCTTCTCCAAGTTCTGAACAAATAGGCAGACAATATATTCCAAATGTTCGAAAGCAACTGACGGAAATCTCGGACATATGCCCTCTACTTAGGTCAGACTTTCGTGAAGTACCACTTTTTCTCCTTTGAGCCACCGCACACATGTCACTCTCAATACTGTTGTCTTAAGTTTATAAGATCATTTTGCTACCTAGGTAGTGAAGACCGTTTACTACCGTCCATCTCGTACACAATGTCAGGGCTACTTGACACCTTGTTGTACTGTCCTTTGTGCACCATGGTGCCGCCGCCTGAAGACGCCATGGTCACCGGCATTTCTCCAAAAGAGTCACCTTGCATCTCATATGGTTCTATGGTTCGCTTAATAGAGGCTGGAGTACGTCTTTTCCGCCTGAACTGGAAGAATGCTAAGACTGTAATGGCAGCGAAGGCGGCTACAGCACCCACGGCTGCACCAGCAATCGCACCACCGGATATTGTAGACTTGCTCCCTCCCTCCAAGGTTGGGGATGAGGATGAGGATGAGGATGAAGGCGACGACGATGATGACTGGGCAGGCGACGAGTCCTCGCTGCAACTTGGACTAGCCTGGTCTCCCACGACAGCAAGGTCCACATTTGTAGAAGGATTGGCCTGCCAAAGAGTAAAAGTGCCAGCATCTTGGTCGACCATGAGGTAAGCTGCAGTCAGAAAGTAACGACCTAGTGTGGCAGGTTGGTCTCCCAGAGCCCCAACCAGGACTTCTCTCTGGCTTTCGTTGAAGATACGAGAGCTGTTTCGGTCGATTGCGACAAAAGGGACGATGTACTGATCATTAGGTACACGGATTGTGAAGTCGGAGTCTAGCTCGAATGTAATGTCGCCATCGAATCTGATCTGAGATTAGTTGATGACGTCTCCAAGAGCTGCTTGACTTACTCTGTGCCCCGATCGAAGAGCTGAGCTCCCCAATGAAGACCAAATGAAAGGCCAATGCTGGTGGTGGCGGTGACCAGCTCAAAATTGGAAAAGATGGAGCTGGGAGCTTCGAGCAGAAGTTGACGCTGAGGAACTAAACATACGGGCATGATGCTGTTGGTTTGAAACAGAGTCTTGTCCGAACCATCGCGAAAATTTACCCGAATGTCGTGGACATTGAGCTTCATACCCGTCCAACATCCTGAAGGCCCGAAGTCGAGATTCTGTGTTAGGTTTCTTCCAATGACCTTTGCTCGGTCGTAGCCACCAAGCACAATGGATCCGTTCATGGGATTTTTGGTTTGCCACATCCGACCCCAGAATATTGACCACACCCTTGCGCCAATGTGCCCTGCATCAAGTAGAGCAGTGAGGTAGGTGGAGTTGGATCCCAGGCCTAGTGCATGCAAGGTTGTGTAGCCCATATCCCAGGCTTGTCTGGGTATTCCAACCGGGAAGGATTCAAGGGAAACATTGGCCCCAAGGCGAAACACATCTGTCCCTCCAAGCCCTGAATTGATCAAGTTTTTGATGCCTAGCTCCGATCCCTGGACCTGGGTCTCAGAAGAAGCCCCGCCAGCAGACACGATATCAAGAGCCTGTTTAAATGTCGACGACTCGCTTTCGATGTAATAGTTGCCACGGCGAACGAAGCAAATCTCGTCAGAGAAGATGACGGTACGGTCGCAGAGTGCTTGCTGATCGTAGAGCCATGTGTTGTTGAGTTCGCTAGTCAAGAATTAGGGAACTATTCTCGATGTCCAACTGGAAAAGAAAACAAACGGCCATGGCAACAAGACAATGTCCTGTGGTGGAGTTCCAACCTGGGCTGGGATGCCCGTCATAAAGGAGTCAGTGACAGTGGCATTGACTTGAACATCTCGAAGAGGAAGTACCAAGGGCTGAGGCACACAAGTGCCAGCCATAGCATAGTTAACGATGACGAACAGAAGCAGGAAAGGACCAACTGCGGACGACTGGCCACATGACGGACAGAACTGAAAGGAGAGATAGATGAGGGAAGCAAGTCATTGCGTACCTCGATGTCTTGGGGAAGCATCTAAGTACTTACCTTTCTTACCTATGGACGTTAGGTAGGTTCATCAAGCAACGAGGCCAAGTTTCAATAGCAACCAAAACGTAACCCTGAGACTCGGTGGATTGCTACCCAGGACATGAGAGATTAACGGGCGTTTTTGGTGCTATGCAGCAGATATGCAGCAGCACCGTTTGGTGTTGGAGACTCGGCGCTTGAGGATTGATTGATAAAGGCGTTTCGATTTCCAAACCAGAGTACTCTGAACAAGGTTAGAGATGCCAGCTTGTCTCTGTGGAGCGGTCAGGATTGGCTTTGCGGATGCACCTAAAGGTTAGAGCCAAGTCCTGACACCGTCAAGCTAAAGGGGCCACGAAGGGGCCCGAGGCCCTCAGGCCACGCGGGCGCTTCCTGCGTCTAAGATTAGGTTCAGGGGCAGCGTGCGGCCCAACGTTTCCGTTTCCGGCGGCTGGTGCCACCTGTAAAATGGTCATGTTTAAGCCATGCGCCACAGGCCGTAACCTAAATACGCAATTACTTGACAGTTGACACAGTCTCCATATTGCTTAATTACTACCTAGTACGTCTTCCTATTCTCTAACGACGATCATCAAGGCCGACTAGGTCTTGTCTCGAGATCCATCACGCCTTTCCTTTGTTTGTCCATCGTCGGCCACTGTGCTCGCTGTCCATCCGTGCCATCTTCCTTTATGCCCCCGCCACACAGTCGTGTATTTCGTCGTACCGTTCCACCCTTGGCCGAAGATCGTCCCTCATCTCTACTACAAACCGAACCAAAGTAGGCTGCGCCCACAACATTCAGTCGTCTTGCATTTGTGTCATGAGTCAGGCGCTGGCCGCCTCCACTTATATGACTGTAAACATTTGCTCCTCCCCTCTTCATGTCCCATCGCCACTTCTTCAAAACCTCGTTTCGATGGTACAGAATGTACATTCGCTGGATTGCCTACGCATGTCTACTTTTTGTCGTGGTGTCGCTATGGAACCTACGAAAGGAGCAAGTCTCTCACATCGCCGTCACCAAAGGACGCTTTGACTGGTCTACGGCCACCATCCACTATCCTCTTTCCCTCACGACTACCCTCCCACACGATAGACCGAAACCATTACGCCGCATACAGCACAACTTCGGTCGAGTCTCAAAGACGACGGCTGATACGCAATCACAGCGGCGCGATGTGGTCCGCAATGACTTCTCCAAATGTTGGAAGAGTTACAGAAGGTTTGCATGGATGCAGGATGAATTACTACCACTCAGTGCCACGAGCAAGAACAATTACGGAGGATGGGCTGCTACCCTCATCGACTCACTCGATACTCTTTGGATCATGGGTTTCAAGGACGAGTTCAAGGAAGCAGTCAGAGCGGTAGCAACCCTCGACTTCAACGACACACCAGAGTCGTCATGTAATCTTTTTGAGACCACTATCCGCCACTTGGGCGGTCTGTTGTCAGCCTATGATCTGAGCAAGGAGCCTGCATTGTTGGCCAAGGCCATTGAACTTGGCGACATGCTATACATGGCCTTCGATACCCCTTCAGGACTGCCTCCCTTTTGGCTTGACTTCGAAAAAGCAAAGATCGGACTGCAGGTTGCCGGAACCCATGAGCCATCTGCTGCTTCTGGAACCCTGTCGATGGAGTTCACGAGGTTGACACAGCTCACACACAATCCAAAGTACTACGATGCCATCTCGAGAGTGACCAGTCTCATGGCCCAGACTCAAAATCAAACCAAGTTGCCTGGCTTATGGCCCTCCTATTGGGACCTAGCCAACAAAGACCTCACCTTCGATAACACTTTTACGCTTGGAGCCCTCGCTGATTCCCTCTACGAATATCTACCCAAAATGTACGCTCTCCTCAGCGGGCTAGACCCCCTTTATGAGCAGATGTACAAGCATGCTGCGGCAACCATTAAGGAGAATCTCCTTTTCCGGCCCATGGTACCCGACCACGATGACATTTTATTTTCTGGAACAGCCTGGGTTGATGAAAATAACTTTCGTTTCAATCCAGAGGGTCAACATCTAGCCTGCTTTGTTGGTGGTATGTTTGGCTTGGGCGGTAAGCTCTTTGCTATTCCCGAGCATGTTGATCTGGGTTTGAGATTAACAAATGGCTGTGTCTGGGCGTACCGCGCCTTTGAGGCAGGCATCATGCCTGAGTACTTCAACATGGCTGTGTGCGACTCACTGGACGGGTGTGCCTGGGACGAAGAAAGATGGCGTCGGGAGCTCGAGGCAGACAGCCATGGTTACGACGGACTACCGCCAGGATTCACCAACGCCCGTGCGCCATCATACATCCTTCGCCCTGAAGCCATTGAAAGCGTCTTCTTATTATACCGAATGACTGGACGAGAAGAGCTGCAGGAGGCTGCTTGGGAAATGTTCCAATCCATTCAAAAAGCCACCGCCACGGACTACTGTAATGCTGCCATAGATGATGTCAATTCGAGCTCTCCAAAACAGCGAGACTCCATGGAAAGCTTTTGGCTCGCCGAAACCCTGAAGTATTTTTACCTAATATTTTCACCACCGGATGTCATTGATTTGGACGAGTGGGTACTGAATACAGAGGCCCACCCACTTCGAATACCGAAGTGAATTTGTATAGAGAAAGAAACTTTGGGATAGAAATAATGGGTTGCATATGATGCCAGAGTCAAGACAGCATATCAAGGTCTGAAAGAAGTTTGGTATATGCTTAGCCAGCTCTCTCACGAATCAAACTATCAAGACATAGGGCCACCTATCAACAGACAAGAAGCACCGTGGTGAAGAAACAGCCTCTCGGTATTGATATCTAGGGATATTGGTACGATTGGACCAAAGGGATCATGATATCGCCGTCCATAGCACGAATCCAGACATCACTCGGCTGCTCCCTCGGTCGTGGACTGAACTTTATCGCCGCCTTCAGCAGCGTGCTTAACACCGTTCTGTCCCTTTGTTCGTTGCTTGGCCTCCTTCTTAAGTTGGCGCTGGCTCTTGGGGACATTTGAGCTGACATTGACGTGTTTGGACCACTTGGCTTGCATAGCAGCCTCGTCTTCTTCGGACCAGGCTCGAGGCAGCACGGCAAAGGTCAGGTACGAGGTATGAGTCTTGAGCTCTGGCTCAGTGCGGTGAATAAGTTTGCCGCCTCGCGGGTCTAGTCTGGTCGGGTCCTGCTGCTGTTTCTGCTGTCGCATGGCCTTCAAGGAGGTGCCTTCGTCCACACTACCCGAATGGAAATCCTTTGCCCGTTTCTCCACCATTCGCAGCCTGACCAACGCATCTTCGACGTCCGCCGCGACCCCATTGACGCCTCGCATCCCTTCATACTGCAACCCCGTGTACTCTCGCCGCACTTCAATCCGTTTGTGCTGTACCTCGACCGTCTCAATATCTAACCAGTCGTGTTTTCGAAGCGCGACAATCGTCTTCTGGACTTGCTCCATACACGGGCTGAACGTGCAGATATGCACCGGCGACCCGGGATCCAGAGCTGAAACCGTCCCGTCTTCTGGCTGTCGTGTGAGATGAGGGATCGCTTCCCACGGTGCAGGAAGATCCAGAAACACGGCGGTCGCCCGGGGTGAAGATTTGACTCCGTCCAGCTCGTCATGGACCAAGAAGCCATCTTTGTACACGTCGCGATGAGATGCTAGAACAATATCTTGTAGGCCGTGCTGTTCCATCTCCACCTTGACTTTTGCATGTCGCTCTTCATGAAACTCGAATGAAAATACTTTGCCCTGCTCTTCTGCGCTTCTATGTTCAGGCTGTGCACCCACATCCGACTCAGTGGTGATCGCACATCTCGGATATCCGTTGAACACGGCTCTCGCGGCAGCATGGGTGAAACTTCCACTTCCACTGCCGGCTTCGATCAGCCTCGACCCCGGGCGCACCGCAATCCTGTGCAGGACGTAGCTGTAGTCAGGTGTGTAGACAACTTGAGTCCGATGGGGCAGGCTGACGGTCCAGTTCTCGGGCGTTGGTGGTAAGACATGCACAAAGCCCGAACTGGCAAAGACGGGATCCTTGACGGCGACATCTCCGCTAACAGACTGGTCGCCGCCGCCGTCGCCGTCTTGATCTGCTTGATCTAAAGCCTCAGCTGCCTTTCGTTTCTTGGCGTTTTTCTGTTCTTTGCGCCCGCGCGAACCTGTGTCGACGATGCTAGCACGGATCTGGCTGCCCCATGGTTGCCCGATGATGGTCGAATGGGGAAACGATCCAAACCGCGTGTTGGTGACCATGCCTTCAGCGTACCCTTCATCTTGGGCGCTGGTCACTGTAGTCGAAAGCACAACTGGTAGTGATGCATCGCGTCGAAGATGCAATGACGCTAGGTCGTACTCTCTCGCCACAGGTCCTGGGCTCAAGAAAGACGAACCCATTGGGGATCGAGTGTGCGTGTGCGCTGGCGGCCGAGAAAGGGCGGTCATGTGCTTCGCCAGAATAGTCACCAATGGCTACCAGCTATGGATAAACATTGACTGCCATTTTATTACCAAGCAATGTTTCACTTATGGCTTTTGTACAGCTTTTGAAAGGAATGACGAGAAAATGCGAGGTGGTGAAGAAAGAAAAAAGGCTTGTCTGATTGGTCAGCCTCGTCAACACCAGGCTACCACGCTACTTGGACAAGGCTGTGACCCTTGAGCATTTCTCCATCCAACTTGCTGTGCTTGCTTTTTTACAGGGCCATCAAATATTTTCGGTTTGTATGTCTGAAACAGGGCAAATGATTCAATCAGATAGTCCATGTCATGGTCTTCATAGATCCATCACCTCTACATTTGATGGTGGCGATTCTTATGTATCCCAAGGCCAACGAGTGCGTTTGCAATCCAGCCCAGGCTCTGGTAGCGTCCCGTTTGCGAAGAAAGCTTTCGTGGCTGTAAATCCGCACGTGGTTGGGCTAATCTCCGAAGAGCAGTGGCCAGGCATGTCTTGGGTGAGCACCACACTACCCTCGTGGCGCGAAGACATTCTGTGAGCATTTCGCACAGGAGTCACAGGATCAGCAGTGTTACCAATAAACAACAATGGGCTCGCTCGAGAATGGTAATCCGAAAGTTTGGACTGAAAGGGGCCTGTAAACCTGTTGATGTCGGAGGGTCGCAGAGCTTGTGGCCAATGAACGCATCTCAGAGTGATTTCCGCCCATACGGCTGCGTCTAGCTCGGACTGGCTTTGAAGCAGTCGAAGATAATCCGTTTGGTTGGCCTTACTCCGCCACGTGATATCATCGCCATCGCCGCACAGAATAGAAACTGCTGCCTCGAGCGACCATGTGTAGTCATCTTCTGGAGACCCAACGGGACGACCGAAGTGGCCTCTAAGCAGCGTCGGTACAGGTGGAAGAGAAGGCAGAAAGCCGATCGTATCGGCTTCGGACCGGAAATCAACATCATTGAGAACGACTGGCTTTATGCCAAGTCGGCCCTTCTCCAGTGATGCAAGAAGTTTTGCTAGAATCGGGCTTAGATGATTGGGGGTATACAAACATGAATGAATTGCGACTTTTAGCAAAAAGTGTGTCATCAAGGCTGCATTTCCGTTCACAACCAAGGGAAGCGGGTTTTCTTTCAGATGCTCCATAAACCTCTCCACGTGCTCTTGGAGTTGGGAGGATGTGGTAAACGTTGAGTTGTACAAAGGGCATTTCGAACCAGCTGCAAAGCAGTCATCAAAGAATGCTGTCCAAGTTTTCATGTTATCCGACAAATTAGTCGTCCAGCCAGTAGCCGCATAATCATCTGCATCGACCACACCGTCCAGAATCATACGTCCAACTCGGTGAGGAAACATGGAGGCAAAGGTATTGCCGAGGTAAGTTCCATAGGAAAATCCATAGTAGTTAAGAAGTGGAAGGGTGGGATATGGGGCCGAGTCGCTATCGAAGGGCTTCTGCATTCCAGCATTTCGCATTGTTCTCTTGAGCTCGGCTTTGAGGTTCTCGTGGAGTTTGTCGACGATCTCAATCATGTCCCTCGCCACCAATGCGGTACTGACATATTGACGTATATTGGAACCATCGGGAAAGGAGCCTGAATCCAGACATGATGTCCCCAGGCTTTGACTGATTGCCCATTTGACATTTAACGCATCTTCGGAGCCGTCAAGACCACCCACAGCAACGTTAAAAACGTCCTGGACTTGCCTGGCTAACTGATCCTGGAAGCACGCAACGTTGGGAGTGGTGTACTTGACTCCTCGCGGATCGAAAGAGAGGATCTCGAAATGCCGTTCGCTATCAATCATCTTCTGCAAAGATCGCCCCCCTAATAATAGGGTATCCGTCCCAGACCCGCTGGGGCCGCCGGGGTTGATGATGATTGTGCCACCGAAGTTCTTGTCCGTTCTGTCCACCACGGCTGGGAGACGGATGATGGCAAGAGAGATATTGTTTGGGTTTATTGGATCGTTCCAGTCCAGAGGCACAGTCAGTCTCGCACACTCGAAGGAGCCACCGTAGCATTTGCGGAAGTTCAAGCCGGTCGAAGATTGCAATCCAGCCCAATCGAAAGACACAGCGGGTGATTCATGTTTGGGCAAAGGTACGGGAGAAACAAAGGCTTGACAAGACGTTGTCAGCAGCGCCAACAACAGGATGAGGCATGGTGACCAGATGACGGCCATGACTGATACGAGCAACTTTTAACAGAGTTTCACACAGTCACATCATCTACGCAGTTGATGAAACTCTTGATTCTTGATCAAGCTCACTCAGATAAGTGCTGCAAGAGGAGATACATAAAATGGCAGCCTAGTTACACCGACTGTATCAGGATAAAAGCAGAGGCGGGGATCAGGCTGCTTCACGTGATGAATGGTTCGCTCCTTCCTTTCCAGGTAAGAGTGCCTGCAGTTTCAGTTCCAATGACGACACGCAAATATCGCGTCGTTAAACGCGTTTCGCTTAGAGTGGCAGCAACGGCAGATCTCCATTGTTGCTCAACCTCAGGTTGCCGTCGACACATTTGATTTTGTTTCCTATCTTTACTAATTGATTGACAGAAGCATGGGGAAATATGTCCAGAAAAGCTCTTGAACAGCAATCAGATCAAGTCGAAATGGGCTAGTAATGAACCCAGCTGTGGTTCCTCATGTCATCCTCTCAACCCTTCTTGAACTCTTCACCATTGACTGGGCCAGCTAGACGGAAATCACGCTTCACTTATAAGCATCTCCAAACCCTCAGTCAATCCTCTCCCACATGTCCACTTCGCTGCATCGCACTTATCGACTATGATGCGTTCTACGCTCAGTGTGAGATGGTCAGGCTTGGCGTGGCCGAAACCCAACCATTGGCCGTTCAACAATGGCAAGGCCTCATCGCTATCAATTATCCCGCTCGCGACTTCGGCCTCAATCGCCATGTCACGGTGACCGAGGCAAAGACAAAGTGTCCTGATATCATTGTCCAGCACGTGGCCACATGGCGAGAAGGCGACGACAAATGGGCCTACCGCGACGACGCTGCAAAGCACATTCAGACCGACAAGGTGTCCTTGGATCCTTACCGCCTCGAGTCCAGAAAGAGTCTGAAGTTGATCAAGGAGATCCTTCCCCCGGCACCGCTTCAAAAGGTCGAGAAAGCCAGCATCGACGAAGTCTTCTTAGACCTATCGGCCCACATTCATCACATTTTACTGGAAAGGTTCCCCGAGCTCGTTCACGCGCCTTATGACGATCCTACCGAGAACTTGCCTCTCCCACCTTCAACCGCGCTCGACTGGCAAGCAGATGCCTTGATTGATCTCGATTCGGCAGAAACCGAGGATGACGACCCTGATTGGGACGATGTGGTTATGAATATAGGATCCGAGATTGTCCGAGGTGTCCGTGCCAAAATCTGGCAGGATCTCAAGTATACATGTTCCGCAGGCATTGCTCGGAATAAAATGATGGCTAAGCTGGGCGCAGGGTACAAGAAGCCCAACCAGCAGACTATTGTCCGCAACCGAGCAGTCCAGCATTTCCTATCGGGCTTCAAGTTCACTAAAATCCGGAATCTGGGTGGAAAGCTCGGGGATCAAGTCGTGGATGCCTTCAATACCGACGAGGTCACCGAGCTCCTCAAAATTCCAATGGAGCAGATGAGATCTAAATTCGGGGCTGACACGGGCACATGGCTTCATGAAATCATTCGAGGCGAGGACCACAGCGAAGTCAGTTCACGGACACAAATCAAATCTATGCTGTCGGCCAAATCATTTCGGCCCAGCGTCAATAGTACGGAACAGGCAAACAAGTGGTTGAGAATCTTTTCTGCAGACATCTATGCACGATTGGTGGAGGAAGGGGTGATTGAAAACAAAAGACGACCCAAGACCATTACCCTCCATCACCGCCAAGGCGGGCAGACCAGATCCAAACAACTTCCCATCCCCCAAGGAAAGAAGATTGAGGAAAGCACTCTTTTCGACCTCGCTAAGACTCTGCTGGGACAAGTGGTGGTGGATGGTCGAGCTTGGCCGTGCGCGAATCTGTCTCTGAGTGTGGGCGGCTTCGAGGAAGGTGTGGCGGGGAACAAGGGCATTGATCTGTTTCTGCTCAAGGGAGAGGAAGCCAAAGCTGCCCTGGACGTTCGAACAAGAAGTGGAACTGCTACCCCGGTTCGAGATGACTACCCCGCGGAGAAACGCCGCCGCCTCGACGGGCCCCCTGGCATCAGTAGATTCTTCTCCAAAAGCGAAAGCACTGGAGAAGGCGAGGAGTTGTCGGCGGATGAGACCGGGCACGACGACCATGCAGCGCCCAACGATGGTGCGACCGAGGAAGCTCTAGATCACCGGGTTACCAGTCTCCGTCAAACGGATGTGGCGTCGTATTTTTGCAAGGACTGTCAGAAATCGATTGCTGAGACAGATCGGACGGAACATCAGGACTGGCATTTTGCCAAAAGTCTCCAAGAGCACGATGTCCCTTCTGTCCAGGCCAAGATGCCAGCGAACAGTCGCCCACCCGGCTTAGGCAGCAGTAAAGGCAAGCGTGGCGGGAGCAGTAGCCGCGGGCGTGGTGGCAAGGCTGAGAAAGGTCAAAGTCGACTCGCATTTGGATAAGATTTTTCCCTTGAGCTGGTCCCGAGAACGCGATAGATGGTAGACATGCGCAACAAGACTCTAAATACCTTGGTCCTTGTACTGTTTGTTGAACGCCCTGCCAATGACCATCCTTCGGATCTCGCTGGTGCCGGCACCAATCTCATAGAGTTTGGCGTCACGGAGCAAGCGTCCAGCGGGAATCTCGTTGACGTAGCCATTGCCACCCATCAACTGGATTGCGTCCAGGCCACACTCTGTAGCCCGCTCTGCAGCGTACAGAATGGCACCGGCACAGTCCTCGGTACGAACGATGCCTTCTTCATCGACCTTTTTAGCGGTGGCATAGGTGTATGATCGAGAAGCCTGTAGCTTGGTGTACATGTCGGCCAGCTTGCCCTGGATTAGCTGATTGTGGGCGATTGGCTGATCAAACTGTTTTCGTTGATGGGTGTAGGGCAGAACCAGGTCCAGACAGGCCTGCATGATGCCCAAGGGGCCGGAGCTGAGAACCAGTCGTTCGAGATCCAAACCCTCCATGAGAACAGTCACACCCTTGTTGAGTCCACCGAGGATGTTTTCCTTGGGGACAAAGACGTTGTCAAAGACCAGCTCGCCCGTGTTGGAGCCCCTCATGCCAAACTTGTCGAGTTTCCTCGCCACACTGAAACCCTTGAACGACTTCTCGACAATGAAGGCAGTGATGCCTCGGCTCTTCTTCTCCGGTTCTGTCTTTGCATAGACCACAATATAGTCGGCATCTGGTCCATTGGTGATCCACATCTTAGTTCCATTCAGGATATAGCCACCGTCGGCCTCCTTGGCGGTGGTGCGCATGCTGACGACGTCGCTGCCAGCACTGTGCTCGGACATGGCCAAAGCCCCGATCTTTTGGCCCGAGATCAAGCCTGGTAGAACACGAGCTTTTTGCTCGTCGTTGCCGTTCAGGCACAACTGGTTAACGCACAGTTGAGAATGAGCTGCGTATGAGAGTCCAATGCTTCCAGAAGCCCGGCTCAGCTCTTCGTTGATGATGCAGTGTGCCTGATAACCCATACCGAGACCGCCATAGTCTTCATCTGCCGTTGGACCCAAGAATCCTGCTTCACCCAGCTTCAGCCACATTTCATTAGGGAATTCATTGGTCTGATCGGTCCGTGCCGCCACTTCTTCTGGGATCTCGCGGCGGGTGAATTCTTGAACTCGTTCACGCAATTCAGACAGATCTTCGGCGGTGGGGGCAACGAAGCCTTTTGGATGTTTGGAGGAGGTGGAGGCGGCACGGAGGGAGAGTGAGAGTGAGGAGCGGCCTAGGAGCTGGGATTGATGACGGGAGCAGGTCGCGAGGGAGGTGGATCGGAGGATGCGAGGAAGGAAAGCGGTAGTCATTTTGGATGGAGAGAGGCTGAACGGTAAAGGCAATCAAAAGGATTCAGGAAGCACAGGAAAGCAATGATTAGCCAAAATGAAAAGAAAACCTGTAGAGCTTTGAAAGATGTCCAGACCTTCTTTACAATGAGGATTCTAGTATTGGAGAGACGTTGGAGAATGGGATGGCATGGCATGGCATACCCGGCCCGCGACCGCGACCGTGCCAGTCTGGCGGCTTCTTGGACCGACAGTAGCCGCGCCGTGGCACGGAATTGGCCGAACCCGCGTCTCCTCATTCTTGACTACGTAACTCCTCATCTTCATCTTCATCATAATCAGCCATGAATGTGGGGTAATACGAACAACCAAAGGGGGGAAAAATATGCAACGATTGTTCAAGTAATGACCTTCATTTGGATCAAGTATCTCAAACTACTTGATCTAGAAGATCTGGCTCATGGGGCGTTTGAAGCATACCCATGAGTAAGGTACCTTATGTGACCAGCAACCGGTCCATCCACTGCCTGTGACCTTCGATACATGACCTGTGGTTCTGTCGTTGCTTCTAGGTTGTCCCTGTTGCTGATACGACTGCGGACTGCGGACTGCGGACTGCGGCGATGCGACGGTCGTTCCCACTCATTTGCCTCGGTGACAACTTTTTCCACAAGCGGTACAGAGGTGAGGTGGTGCCGCGACTTTCTCAATGACCGCTCGTCTGTATTTATCTCCATCCATCTCCAAAACCACTCCCTTGGGACCCTTGATGATGACTCCAAAAACTCTCCAGACTTCGGCCGTCGAATTGAGGAGAGAAATGGCTTTGGAGAGTTCCGTGATGATACCTGGCTTGCAGTGGCAAGGCTCAAAGAACAGGTATTGTCGTAGATCGTCGGAGAATGGGAGGCCTGGCGCGTTCATCAACCTCCATTCTTCACGGTTGGGGCCGACGGGAAGAGACTCAAAGATCAAGAGTCTTCGTTCAGGCGGCATCGTGTCTTGAGATGAGATCTGTTTCTCGTATGAGTCTTGTGAGATTTTCCAAGCGCGCCGCAGCAGATGACTTACACTACTTGTTGCTGACTGTTCGGCTGCTGACCCTGCTGGTGATGGCTCACAATGGTCGACGACAAAATGATTGCACAAAGCTTCAAGATCTTCATCTGAACATGCGTCCCTGAGCTTCGTGTCGCGGAGCTTTTGAGTGATGTAGGTAGACATCTTGAGTATATTTGTTTAGGAAGGCACGCGTAGGTATTTAGCTGAGGTCTCTAATGGAGGAAAGAATGACCAAGTTTGGTGTTGAAATTGTGCGCAGCAGGAACGACGTGGGAAAAGAATGCATCAGCAAGGCACCTTTTATCTTCAAAAATGAGAGGGCTGCAGCATCTTAACAGTAATATTTCAATAGTAACAGATCAAGCTCTCACGTGGATAGGAGCCAAATACAGCATGGATAACAACCCCAGAACAACTTTCAAGTAAATAGAAGCCAAACACGTTACCATACACTTGTGAATATCCTCAACATCTGGGTCAACGAAAATCACACATTCTACGCAAGACATGCAAGTCTCCTTGCTGGAGTCCCTGCCACAAACCTTTCTGGATTTGAACCCCCAATCAACTCACCACTCCAGCAGGCGAAGAGTTTGAGAACTGACATTGAAGCAAGGTTATGTACCTGTCAAGGCCTCGCCGATCTTGTGACGATCAACCGGATCAATCAACTCACTATTGGAGAAATGCTCCCAAGGAACTACGAAGCTTTTCATGCCACGCAGAGCCTGGTGTCACGTGATTCTCCAGTAGTGATGGCGACTCTCAACAGCGATCGCCGGAAAAATCCCAACCTTTTTTTCTACCCACACTTCAACCTTCCAACCACGAGTTTCGTGTCCACTCAAGAATAACGGTCATGACAGTGGCTACCTTTATTCCATGGGCTTATTACATGCCTGGAAGAGGAATATATCGACACTATTTTGCCTAGACAAGCCGCTGACCGCCTATCTGCATCTTCCTCCCTCCCACGCGGTCTACGCATTGGCCAATGGCGGCGACATTATAGCGTCATCATACATATTGAAATTCCCATACTTCGAGGACCCATTTTCCAAGATTTCCAGGCTAAGCATGTGCTTTTTTCACGGTAGCAACCCGTCTCCTTTCGCCTTCTAGGCCAATCCCGCCCCGTCGAAGGGTTCCACCTGCTCCGCCACGCCGTTTTATCTGCTATCTTCGACCTGCTGCCATTCCACTGTTGTCTCGCCCAAATGATGTAAATTGCGTCAACATACATCAACGCCTTTCTGCTGGACCAATCCCAGCACGCTACCGATCTCCAGCATTGGCCTCGATCATTGAGGAGGATATCAAGGTTTGATGGCTCAATACAGAGCCGCCATCGCAATGACCATGTTGAAGTGCCACCCATGATACTAGTCCCACAGCCGCCTACGTATAGATACTCCCTTTCGCTCAATCCAAATCTATTTATTCCTGCTACCTGCTCCAACGACCTTTGGCTGACAACTAGGCCGAACCTTCAAACAACCTCCATACACATTCTCTTTATCCAAATTTTTATAGATCGCTAGCACATCAAGCCATGGCTCCTGTTGCTGTGACCCCTCCTCCTATCGAGGCCAAACAAACTCGTCCTGGCTTTCAACGTGCCAACACTGCCAACATGGGCACGAAGCGCAAGATCATTTGCTTTTCAGGTATATATTCTCTCTTCAGCTCCCTCAAGCAATATAAAATGGTCACTAACACCACCCAAGACTTTGATGGCACGATTTTCATGCAAGACACTGGCCACACTCTGTTCGACAATTTCGGCTGCGGTGCTGAACGAAGGGCCACCCTTGCCCACCAGATGGAAACCGGAGAACGGACATTCCGTGAAGTCTCTGACGAACTCTATGCATCGTTAGACGTCCCCTTCGAAGATGGCTTTGAGGTCATGAAGTCAGCCTTGGAGATCGACCCTGATTTTCAATCCTTCCACGAGTTCTGCGTCAACAACAACATCCCCTTCAACGTCATCTCGGCTGGTCTGAAACCTGTCCTAAGAAGAGTCCTCGATCATTTCATCGGTCAAGATATGAGTCAACACATTGAGATTGTCGCCAATGATGCCAAGATTGCCGATGACGGTAGCAAGTGGGAGGCCGTGTGGCGGCACGATACCGACCTCGGCCACGACAAGGCACAGTCAATCAACGAATACCGCCAAAGTGCCGCCCTAGAAGCCGACAACGGTACAATCCCTCTGATTGTCTTCATTGGCGATGGAGTCTCGGACCTCCCAGCTGCCCGTGAGGCCGATGTGCTCTTTGCTCGCCGTGGGTTGAGACTGGAGGAATATTGTGTCGAGCACAACATCCCCTTCATCCCTTTCGACACATTTGCAGACATTCAACGCGAGGTCATCAAGATTGCCAAGGTCGATGACCAGCAGACGCACGGCAAAGGTTTGCCTGCGACCTTCAATCCTCGCGCCAACATGTGGCGCCGGGCCAGCAGCAAAGCTGCCGTCCCAGTCTTCGCCGCCTTTAGTCCTGTCTTGGAGAAATCAACATTCAACTTTCCAGAGACATTTCCCACCACACAGTCTGCAGTGGTATCGGACAAGGACGCTGCAAAGACCGCCATCGCTGCTCCCGTCGCTTGAGCCATTGTCCTCAACTGAGCGTATTGTCAAGCGTGTCAAGACATCTTTCTAGCTTCATAAACATTGTCTTCTTTCAGCGAGGGGTATATGGCGTTTGCGAAAATCTTTTCATGTCATTGAACTTCACCACATCAACAGGGACTGTATTTCTTTCAAGCTAGATTACACCTAGAGTAGATTTGCTTCATGTTGGAGATACCAGCTCGAGAAGTATACGAACTGTTCGACGGCGAACCCTGTTACCATTTCCTTGGGCGACTGTATGGCACATGAAACATGCATTTCGTGATCAACCCGGGTAATGTTTCTGTATGTTTCTGTAAGCTCACATCTGAGGCTTCTTTCTCCGAAGGCCCCCCGAATACTCATCAAGCATCTTGGAAAACTTGCTTAATTTGCTCGTCTCCTCGAAGCCAGGCTTTATTCCCCGGCCTGTCGGACCACCTGAAGACGACATTCCAGGATAAGACATGGGTGTCGAAGATCCTGATGGGCCTTTAACCATTTTCGAATGGTAGCCTGTTGGTAGGGATGCTAGGGATGGTGCGCTGTAGGCCGCTGGCACAGTCGGTCCATCCATCTCATTGTTTGGCAGCGAGGACGAATTATTAAAATATCCCTCGGCCAGTAGTCGTTGATTGGAGATCCAATCAGAGGTTGTTGGTGAAGGTGAAGCAAGAATTCTGCCTGTCTCAGACCCAGCCAGGCTGTTGGGCGAAGCAGGAAAGCTGTGTGAGACATCAGGAGAGGGCCTGTATGAAGGCATCGAGCCTACTGCTTCTGATCTGTTTGCAAAGCTGCGATAGCTCGCTAGGCTAAGAATATGAGACGGTCGAGGCTGAGATTGGGTGGCTTCCTTGTTCTGAATGACTCTGGGGAAGCCACTTATTGTCTCTGCCGTTGGGGGATCGAGGTCTAACAGTAGACATATCCTACTCGTCATGGCTTGGTCGGGGACATCAAATGTCACTCTGATCTCAAATGAGAGGTCCTCTAATAGAACTCCTTCCAGCATCGTGTCCGGTATTTCTACCGTCTGCCACTGAGGAGACAAGGCGTTTGGATAGACTAGAAACCGCCGCGCTATACAGATTGCGTCAGATTTGGCACCGGTCCAAGATGTCTTCTGCTTACCACTGGGTCTGAGCTTCCGTAGTCCCCGAGCCAGTTGTGCCAACGGACCATCATAAGTTCGATCCTGACAAAACCGGCATTTAACGAATCCTGAAGCAAGAGTTAGTAAAATGGCCCCAAAACATGTCTGTTGAACCCAACCTGTGATATGTTCCCCAAGTCTAGCTTCTAGATCAAAGTAGAAGACTGACGCAACTAGTTTCGCAGAAATTCGGGCGATCTGAGAATGATCCGGTCCGCCAGGTCCATATTGCTGCCTGGTCATCTCTTCTAACCTTGCCATCTTATCCACTTCGTCCAGCTGTATTTTTGACCCAGGAATGCGGAGTGAAAGTCGAAGCAATCTCTCTGCCCTCTCAGGGCTCTCGGGGAAGCTACAGCTGAAAAACTCGGTCCAAGTCTTTTCACAGTTGAGACCACTTTCTATGGCATCCATACCCATTTGTACCAACGCTTTGACACCGTCGATGATGCCGATGCCGTATCAAGGACCCGCTTCGCCGCGTTGGGTCCGACTGTCCGGAAAGAACCCAGTCCCAAGGGACAGCATAATGTCTGGCAGCTGATTTCTCGATTCAGGCCAGATTTGTTGACGTTCTAGATCAGCGGCAAGAATTGGGTTGTTGAACTTCGGAGCGCCATCCCAATAAGTATGCCCGTTTGAGGATAGGTAAAGGCCTTTGAAGTACCCAGGAGCAGCGGAAGTGGCTCGTCCAGCTTCCCAGATTTTCACTTCTTGAGCCAGCTTATCAAATCGTTGCAAGATGTACGGGGTGTTGGGTTGGCCTGCACGGTTGTAATTTGCAAGGAGGCGAGCTTCCCCGCTGGTGTCAGTAGTGGTGACCGCGACTTTGCAGCGTGATGACGATTGAGTAGTTCGCGGCCCGCCGAATAGATACTCTGTTCCGAAGCTCTCCTTCAAAGACTTTTCAAGACCTTGGGTGTGATATTGTGACTGATACTTCAACTGGATGATTCGTCCAATCAGGGGAAGCCTTGACCCTCTGCGACGACTGAACGCTCGTCCTGCGAAGACTTTAAACATGTCTGTCGCGGCAGCGACGCTCATATCTTTCTCTCCGATAGCCAGGGCAACGATTCCCCCTCCACTGAACGTGATCTTGTCAAAGCTATTGCCATGGCATTGAGGACTTAGTCGACTCACCTCGTACCGACAATGAGATCGAAGAATTCTTGGATCGGGATATTCATGCCGATTTTGTCCTCGATGATACCCAAGATTACGGGATCTACCAAAGCTCGGATGCCGCCTCTGTGTTCTCGTCAGCAATCAGGACAAAGGCCAACTGGGTCATCATACCCGTCTAGAGAAAGAATTCTCAGGCCTGCTGAGGGAGGTTTTCGCGTAATCTTGACAACGTCACGACCATGGTTCCAGGATTTGAGGCAAATTGGGCACGAGACAATTTGAAGAACATTCTCGCCGACAAATTTGCCATGTGCTAAGAAGCATTGATCGCACAGAACATGCCCGCAGAGCAAAGGATGACTGGGTAGGCCAAAAATGCAACATAAGCAGATAATTTGACTTTGTAGAAGCTTTTCATCCCTGAAGAACTCGCATGTTTCTCCTTGGATGGTTAGGCGATGATGATTCTCAAAGGCAATCTGTTTCTCGGCTATTGGGCTCGATAGACCTCTTTCACGGGTGCTTGACATGAGGACCCGGTAGAGCTTGAGAAGTATGTCATATACAGCGTCGATGAACACCGACTCTGGATCAATATCCTGCTCACTGATGTAAACACCGCCTCACATTCTCCCATCAGCAAGCTGGTGGCCTACGGTATTGTGGCGTGCCAGTACGACAATGCATCGCTCTCCCGATTTGGGGTGACGCGCTTCACAAGGCCATTCTTCGTCTCGAAAAGATCTCATGGCTTGCTTAAGTTGCTGCACGTAGCGCGGAAAATTGGCATTCGGAGATCCTGTTTGACAATATTAGATCCTGTCGTCATGTACTTGCCATTGGTGCGAAAAAGGAACCAAGCTGATAAAGTAAAAAATTGTAGGAGATCGAGGATACGAACCAGGTAATTCCCTTCGAGCCATATCCAGAATTATTGCCGATCCTACCAGAGGAGAGATGCTGACGAAAATGTCGAGACAACCAGAGCCAGCCTGGAAAGCAGCGGTATACGCCTTGACAAGACACAAGACTGGACTCGAGTTCGAGTTGAATTCTTCGAATGCAGACGATGTTCTGACAAAATCGAACGGTGTTTCGAGCGTTCTCGAAAAGTGTTCGAACGCAAATTGGAGATAGGGGTTTAGTTGCTCCGAGTTGAGTAAAAGTCGAGCATTGAGCCTTCGAGACTGACTCCTAGAAACGGCGCTCTGGATCTCGTTGCGTAGAGCTTGGTACTGCTGGAATACTAAGGCAGGCTGGCCCTTCTCTGGCACGAAGACAACTCTAAAGTCTGTATAGTACCTAAGGAGAAGCTCCTTTGTCGTGTCGATATCTTGCTCAAAATTTTCTCTCCAGAAGGACGCCCAGTTTCGGAATTCTGGGTTTTGATGGATGGCTTGTGATAAACCGTCTAACAACTTCTGAGTAGCATTGCCCACATCGTAGAGATTTCTATCAGTTTGAGAATCTACTGCATTGATAATGATGATGGCGAAAGGTAAAATTGGCTGATTGGATGATTTCTCGATGGCCGATGCAGCCCACTTGATCAAACGTTGGATTTCTCCCTCAAGTTCTCTGTTGAAAATTAGCGAGCGAAACCTCAAATGTGAACGACATCTCCTTGCCGGGCAGTCCTCATCACGAGTACTACAATGTCTGAGAAGGTATAAAGAAGCCTGGGGTAAAGATTCTCGACAATGAATTCGCGATTATGTTGACCTTGAGTCTGTGCCCAGGTTATCGCTCTGGTCACACCTCGAAAGTTTTTGCCAGATGCAGAAGCCCATCCAGGTGGCGTGTTCAATGAGCCCGGCATGCCTGACTGCATGACACGGTGTAGAGACGTATCAAGATATTGATTCGACCGGTTGACGTTCACTCCCGATCCATTGGCTGTTGCGCGGGCTGACATTGGTTCCTGGCTACCAGCGCCGAGACCTTCGCAGTCTGCGTATAGCATTGGTCTGTTGGTGTGGAGCGAAACAGGATCCCAGAACAAATGAACCTCGCCGCTTGTTGGTATTTCTTGATGCTGTGGCATACCGACGACAGGGGTCTGTGGCATTCCTGATTGTATGCTGGCCGAAAACAACTGTACTAGGCCTTTGACAATAGTGCTCTTGCCGGCGCCAGTTTTGCCAATGAATGAAATCAGACTAGGATACTGTCCGGACCTAGGGCTGAATGTAGACTCAGACAGAAAATCTTCGTACCTTCCGAAATCATGAAGTGAGAGCCGGCCCGCCTGGTCTGGGAGAACACCGAACCATGTAGTCTCTTCATCGGCTCGGTGAAGGCTTTCTTGAAGCACTTCGTCGCTGCACGGCTCGATAATGGAAAGGATCTGCGTTGCGACATGGGGATTCGTTTTCTCGTGGGGGATGCCAGTGGTTGGCCGTCTTGATCGGTGCAGCATTTGGCTGTCCCAGTGTTCGGCACAATAGTTAAAGGAGCAGACTGGGCAAAAGGATACGTCTTCTCGTTCCAACTCACATTGGTCGCAGAACGCTGTATATGAAAGGGGGTTTTCGGGGTTTCGGGGAGAAGATGACGAGTTTACCCCTTTGTCGTTTTCTAATCTGTCATTTTTAGGGAGGTTCGACGGTTTGCTGATATGCTCGTCTGGAGACTTGCCTAGAAAGGTCCTGAAGTGAGGATCAGGGCTCTGTTGTTGCCGGGTGGATGTGGTTACATTGAGAGTCGCTCTCCCAACGGTGGGAGAATCGTTGACATTTGGAGTGTACATGGATGAACCACCCAAGGTCACCGTATCCGGTGTGTTGTTCCTCTGACTCTGGAAATTGCTGTACACAGAGGGAAGAGGTGGCAGCGGTATCTGATACGTTTCGGGAGAGCTACGATCAAAAGGGATGTCATCATGCTGGCGAGAGATGTCAACAGTCGGAAAGGACGCCATTTCTTCCAAGCTGAATTGTGTCGCCAGTCGCTCATCGAGCCTAATCTGTTCAGCAGTGTTTGGCATTGGGGTTGCTGCAATGCGCTGTTGTCCTCGGGCCAATGCCATTGCTTCCATCTGGCTCTTACGTGCACGGCGGATTCGATCCGCCTCGGATTCAACTTTAGCTAGGTCAATTCAGATTTTCAATATGCAGTGGCTTTGAATTATAGTCACCTTGGCCATAGCACCGTGAAGCGTTACCATGCTTGGAGGGAAGGGTCGGGGTACCATCAAGCTCTGCTGGTCCCGTGTTGGTCTAGCAATGTCAGTCAGCCTCTATGGCGGCTAACAAGCTTTTGGAGATGCATTACCGTACGATCGGTCGTGATGCTTACGGAGTTGAATTGGAGACCTTGAAGAACTGGGGTGTAATCTGACTTGTCTATGACACCATGTTCCTCATACCTTGAAGTCGACGCAGAAGAACGGCGTGGAGACTTGACCGATCCTCCATCTTTGATGGCCAAAAGGCTGGGATCTCCAGGGCTGACGTCTGAATGTGGATACGGCTGTGATGGAGGAGCTCTAGTTGGTGGATTTAAATCGATCTTTGGATTGTCACCAAGAAAATATCCACGGAGTCCACGTGCTGATCCTGGCGTTGTGTATACATAGCATAAGTCGGACGTGGCGGGGTATAGAAGTCTTGGTGAAGGGTCACTGAAGGCAAAGGAAAGGTAGTAAGGGGCTCGAAGAAGGAAGGGAGAAAGTAGAGAGTGCGAACCACGAAGGCTGGCACTTCGATCAACTTGGGGGTTAGTATGTGGCATCCGTGGCGCTGAGCCTCAAAAAAGGACTGCCCGGCTCATGATTGATTGCCCAATGAGAAAAGAGGCAGATGTTGCTGGTAAGGCTGGAGCAACTTATCTCGGAAACCAGGTGACAACGAGACCTTTTGGCAATCTCAGTGGCTGTGTGAACCTTGTAGGGTGCTACGAGACACATCACCAGCAATCTTTGATTGAGCTTCCTCACGTGGATATTTCTACCTTGATATAAGAGGTGTGTGGCGCCCTTCAGAGGCGCCGTTTGAGGTTGCGGGCTGCGAAATTCGGGCTTAGGCTGATTGTTGATATCTTTTCGCTCTCCTCTTTTGGTGCAGTTGAAATAGGGTGGCGTAGATGGTCAGGGGTCAGCCAGGGAGACTTCAGGTAGAGAATACAGCCGAGCGGCCTCCATAGTCGTGGCGCTGTACCTGTATAACCTCCTCAGTGTACCATGCACGTGACTATATCACGTGGGCTCGTAGGTCTGTAGCTCCGTAGGGGCCAGAATCCTGGCGAGCCTCACAGTATTTGCTCGTTGTTGAACCGTGAAGAGAGTGTATGGAGTTTGTGTCGACAGAGCAGAGAGTGATCATGGTGACTGACTATGAGAGTCCAAAGCAAGCAGAAGGAAGTCAGATAAGTAATTCGATATTGCTGCCGACGTCGACAGCCACCCACCGGCCTGCGGAGCTTATAATTGATGTTGCCCACTGGGTCACACGTGGTTGTCCCTTACCTAGCCATAATATTAACAAACGTCGATTTGAGCGAGTGATCAACTCCGTGGGTGGTAGATTCAACCTTTTGTTGTCCTAGTCCCTGTAGTCAACCAACGTTTGGGAGGTCAGTAACAAGAAGGATGGGATAAAATAGAGGGCTCGATAACATTGTGATGCTTGTCTTGGGGCTCACAATTTCATTCGTCTCCAAAGCTTATTCTGACTTGTAAACCTCCACTTTTGCAACAATTCGATCGCCCAGGTCGACTATTTTTGTTCTGATCGTTCAATGAACGATCCTGTCGGCCAGAGCCCCCTCTAAAGTCTGCAGCAGGATCGTGTTGAATGGATCATGGACAGCATCACTCCCTCGTCCGAATCTCAGAAACCACTCAATTCCCACCCACTGTTCGCTGCCAAGAAGAGCAAGATTCTTGCACAACTCGCCCAATCGGAGAACGAATATGCGGACAATTCACCCAAGGGGAGCGTCGACGAGCAGATCGTTGACTTGATCGATGAGATCAATTCTTATGAAGGACTGGTAACAACGAGCAGTTGTGCAGGGAGAGTCGCCGTCTTTGTCGAAGGCAGTGCTGGCCAAGAGACAAATACGAGTTCGAGGGAAGGAGCGACCCAGGAGACGCCACAACTTCTGAGAGGGAAGGAACAAGGGACTGTGAAGACGTCGCCAGGAGGCAAGGGCGGCGGCCAGTGGCTCTACGTCTCACATGATCCCATCCCACGTCTCACGTCGCAAGCGACCGATTCTCAGACGGGTGGCCCCGACCACGACCGGCATAAGGCAGAGAGCCAGCACAAGAATGAACCATATACGACTCTGTTCAAGTTGAATTCTACCACGCACTCAGGTCCTCAAACGACGAACCCTCTATCTAAACCAACGACAGAACCCTCCACCGCCACCCAGCTCATTCACCTGATATTTTCTCCACTTATCCTCCACATCCACTGTGCATCCCTGGCACATGCCCGACCCCTGCTCTCCGCCGCCATCAATTCTGGCTTTCGTGAAAGTGGTGTACAGAGTCTAAGGATTCTGGACGATCCTGGAGCTGGCGTTATGCTTGCAATTCGAACAGCGGGATTGACCTTTGAGACCGTGGTGGGTTATTTAGGAGAAGAAGGCCTGCACAAGATGGTGACCGAGGACTATCTAGCCATGTGTGCGGATGTGGTCAATCAACGATTTCGGTGGAATTCTGAACGGAAAGAGAGACTGACAAAAGAGATCCGAATGGCTATGCAAAGGCAAATGACTGAAAATACCCGGACCCAGGGCTGGGAGGACAAGGATGACAGAAGACGGCGAAAGAGAGAAGAAGGGTTGCAACGGCAAAAGCAGCAGCACAACACAGCCTTGGAACCGGATCTACACGACGAAGGCGGCCACAGCAAATCAGGACGCCGACAAAGCAACGGCGAGAGCGAGGAATCAATCGACCTTGAAATGCTTCAACTCGACTAACAAACTGGGTAGCAGACATGTCAGGATGATAGAAGCAACCTTTTGTGCTTACAGGGCAGCTTCACCCTTCATTGGCCGCTGTTCTATCCCTGTCAGATGCGGCTTCCTGGCCCTCGCCAAAAGAGGCTCTCTCGGCTCGATACCTCTCATCTTCATCGCCTGGCCTGACTTCTTCATCTTAAATTCCACCAACCCAGCGCCCTCGAAGTAAGCCTGGAGTTGTTGCTCGTTGAATCCATGATGCGCAATCGTTGGTGCAGCAGGATGGTTCTTTTCGGAGTCCGAAACACCGTGTGAGACGAAATCAAGAACCAACAAAACGCCGCCTGGCTTGAGGCGCTCCACCAATCGCGCAGTTGCCAGAGTCAAATTGGAAAAATGGTGGTAACCACCTCCTATGACAACGAGATCGAAGTCATGAAACTTGGCGCCATCGAGTGATTCTGGAGTGCCGGACTCTGCGAGAAGGTTGCCCACCACAGCTTGCGCGTTCAGGCTTTGGTCCACAATATCCTCTGACGATCTTGTGGCCGTTGAATCTATGACAGGCTCCGGGTTGAAGCGGAGGTTATATGCTTTCACCATGTTCTCACTTATATCGACACCAACATATTCGGTAGCTTTGCCAGCTAATGCGTGTGTCATCGTGCCGGGACCGCATGCGTAGTCGAGTACTCTGACAGCCTTGGGCAGAGCACTGGCCTCGGAAGAAGTTGAAATGTCCGCAAAGTCGACGCCAATCCAATCGTGGTTGGCTACCATGAACTCGGTCATGAGCTTGACCATGTCCTTCTGCCACTGCTCTTTCATGTAAGAGGCAGCATAGTCACTAGAGAGTTGAGTCAGATGTAAGGACTCAAGACAGAGTAATACGAAAAGGGTGTGCAAGGCTGCAGATCAAAGTTGAATCAGGAGTTTTGGAATGCTGAACCTACTTCCAGTGCTTCCGATTCATTTCCGTAAACTCATCATCGGGTAAATTTTGTTGCAGAGAGTCATCATGATGATGGTCGTGATGGCTGTGGTGGCCGTGGTCGCCATGATGATGATGATGGTCATGCTTGTGGTCGGCCATGACGAGAGTCGAGATTGTGAAAACCAACGTGAAAGAAAATAGCAAGAATGAGCTCTGTAGTAACCTCATTAACCAGCTACTAGATGGAGAATAATTGTACAATTGACGCTGAGAATCAACAGCGATGCAGCGGCTGTTTAAATAAGTCGAAAGGACCAAATGGTTTCATGGGTGAACAAAACCCTCACTGGTTCGGAGACAATCACCAGCTCGGAGACATATTCACCTAGCCAATGTCAGCGAATTGTTCTCGTCTGCCTGCAACCCCTGCTTCTTCGCCTGAATTGTCAGCAAGAGAACAGTATAACTTGCAATTTCTGTAGTCTTGCTCATAGATCCAATTGCACTTCAAATTCTGTAACTGTGCAAAATTGTAAGTCGAATGAGGCAGGCTCGAATTGAGGGTTTAGGGCTCCTTCCTTCTGAGAGGCCTTTAGGTGTCGGCGAGCCAATAGGAAGCGGATGATGTCATCACTCGGACACGTCGCGACGCGTCCCGCCAAAACCACTTTAGCACGTCTCAAATTATAGGCCGCAGCTATCGACAAGCAATTATCTGGATATGTCGCTGACCCCTTTCTGCATACCAACGAAAGACCGGCTGACTACCATCTCTCGCTTGATTGAAGATCTATTAGAGACATCGTGGCTTTTGCATATTTTGGGTTCTCAAAGCGCCTGTGTCGAGAGATATCTTTGGATACTTAGGTACTTTTACGACATGCCTCCCCGTCGCAGATCAGCAGCCAAGGGGGATGCAACTCCCACCAGCGCTACGTCACACAAGCGACGGATCTCTGAGACACTGACCACAGCAGCAAGCAACACACCCGGGAGTAGAGTATCGAAGCGACTCAAGGACTCTGCTCATAATCAAACCAAGGCGACACCCACCAAAAGCAAATATTTTGAGGGAGCCGGCACCGACGATGAAGATGATGCCGACTCTGTCGACAACGACTCCGGCGATTCGGGCTACGAGGACGAACAGGCCTCCACGGCTGATGCTTCCGACACCAATGCATCGGACGAGGACGAGGACGAGGACGAGGATGACTATGATTCAGATGAGAAGCCGAGGGCCCAAAAGAAGAAAAAGGGGCCTGCCAGGTCTTCGGGCGCCAACGCCAAGGATCTTTGGCGACCTGGTGTGAAGACTGGCCTGGGGCCTGGTAGAGAAGTCTTTATCGAGAAACCTAAGCCAAGAGGCGACGGCGGAATCAAATACGAGCCGGGCAAGATCCATCCGAATACTATGGAGTTCTTGCGGGATCTCAAAAAGAACAATGATAGAGAGTGGTTGAAAAGTAGGTCGAGACTCTTTGATATATGGTTCTGTTCTGTCTGGGAGCTGTTCGTGGTTCATCTTGGACTTACCTGAATCCTTCGAGCTAGTGCATGACCCGGACTATCGCACCTCGTGGAAAGACTGGGAAAGCTTTGTCGAAGTCCTGACAGAGAAGATCTCAGAGATCGACGAAACAATCCCCGAATTGCCACCAAAAGACCTGGTTTGTTGTTGTTCCTACACTTGGCCACTGCAGGAGACTGACATCGTCCTTCCAGGTCTTCCGAATATATCGAGACGTCAGGTTCTCGTCTGATCCCACACCTTACAAGGCGCGTCGACCCCCAGGCTATCCTTATGGTCTTTGGCTATCATGACTGACACCTTACCTTCCAGCCTCACTTTTCAGCTGCATGGTATCATTATATTCTTGTTACATCTCGTGTTCTTGTGATCCCTCAACACTGACACATGGATCCAGGTCTCGTACCGGACGGAAAGGACCGTATGCATGTTATTATGTCCAGATACAGCCTGGGGGCAAGAGTCTAGTCGGTAAGCCGTGGAACTCTTTTTGATCAATATTGCGCTAATGACGGTTTCATCGAGGTGCTGGACTATGGATGCCCGAAGCACAACCTTTGGCCCGCTTGCGAAGCAATATCGACAGGCGACCTGAGCAAATTCGATCAGTTTTGAACGCGCCCCTGATGCGCAAGCACATTCTAGGAGGCATCCCCGCCGATGAGAAGAAAGCAGTCAAAGCCTTTGCGGCTCAAAATACCGAGAATGCCCTGAAAACTAAACCAAAGGCAAGTCTTGCATGTTTATCTGGCCAGTTGGCACAGAGTAGGCGACTCCCAATCTCGCGACTGCCCGTCAAAATCATTTCGCACACATATCGACACGCGGACGGCTGCCATCTCCCAGGACTCGCTTGCGTAACGATTCGACAGACATAAGCCCGGGACGACCGGCATCATGTGGACCATGGGACCCTGGGGTCCTACCAGAGAATGGCAATGGGTTCGCCACATGGGCTGCACAGACAATACTTCGGGAGCCTAGACATCCACCAACCCCTCTCCCGCAGGTTTGGCCAGTCAAATCCCCCACCTGGCTGCGTGTGAACGACGTCCAGCACCACGCCTGACATTCCAAGACCTTCGCTAAGAGAGACCAACCTACGGAGTAAAGCATAAAGACTCTTGGAGGTGGCTCCCGGCGGGCATGTGGAAAAGGAGAAGGAGAAGTAAAGACCTGGGCCTCCTGCGAGCGGGAAGTCCACGAGCTGGGAGGTGCCCCCTCGGCCCCTTCTAGCCACGGTCTCGGGTCGTCCCCGATTATCGACTGCAACCCACTCACAGGCGCACCTCTCATCACTACTCCCTATACGTCCCATGAATCGTTTGCAGCACGTGGCCGTGGACGACAGAGAGAAAAGATATTGCATAAGAAATGGAACCAGCTAACCGTGACTTCCTGCAGGGTTACGAGGCCGATCATCGAAGTATTGAGCTCCTTCGCCTACGGAACTTCACAATTGGCAAGAGGTTGCCAGACGAGCAGATAGTTGGGTCCCGTGGCCTCGAGGTGATTCTGCAGCTGATAGGTGTAATGGTCCCCTTTGTGAGTCCACCATCTTTTTCCTGATTCGCTTCCCACCGGCCACAATTCGTCCCAGAGCTGGCATCATTGCAAGGGGATCAGGCGGCTTCGTAAAGGTTGCATGCACCGACACGGCATTGTCGTTAGTCTTTGGTTGCATCCTCTACACAACCCTTTTCCTTTTTGGCCAAAGAGAATTTGGCTCCAACTCGGAGTGGCACATACTCCGAGCAATTGATGCACCTTGTTCTGCCGAAACTCCGCAGGCAGTACGCCAATGATCCAGCCGGAGAGCCCAGACTTGATTCCACATGGCCTTTTTGACTAATGAAACTCTGCATCAGGTCGCTTATCTGAATACCATCGTCATGCCGGATGAGGACGACAGTGATGGAAGCGACGACAATGAAAATGACGTATGAATTGATCCAGATTGATAAATTAGGGAAGCGATGGTAGGACTCAAGTCTCAAAAGGTTCGACATACCTGTTTAAGAGGGTCATTGTGGGCAAAAAGGGAGTCGCTGGGCCACCAGGAGGCTCGTGCTGTTGAAGCATATTGATCTCCACGTGCGTGATGGTGGTCTTGGCGGCGAGTTTGGACAGCAAATCGCCACGCCAGTGGAGATGTGATCCGAGGCTGGCGGCTTGAGCGACGGCTTTATCCATTTGAAACGACGATGATGCTGGTGAGGACAGTGCACTGAGCTCTACGGAGTATATTGCTTGTGTAGGTTATAGTAGCGCGAGCGCCGACCAGATGTCAATCCAACAGTGACATTGACAGGACGCTAGTCTTGTGTCAGCTGTAAGCCCCGGCGAGTTTGACAGGTGACAAGTGTACAAAAATGATTGAGAATATTCCCTTTTGACCAAGGACCGTGCCCATTCGACAAAATTAAGCATGGCGCCACCACTGAAATGGCGAAAGTTGTAACTTGAGGTATGACGCCGGTGTTGAAGACAACCATCCCCGGATCTTTGCGAGTCACCGAGTGTACTGTAACTCTCCGAAGAGGACCTAATTAGATCATGTGGATTTGGGGTCCAGCAGCTCGCCGTCATAGGCACATACATAGGAATTTCAAGTTGAGACAAGGCGATCTAATGCGGTAGATCAGGCCACCGCCACCGCCACCGCCTTTGACCGCCTTAGTTGTCAAGTCGAGGAATTTACTGCAATTGCTATGCTGATTCTCCTGGCGTTTTTTGTCGACTGTGATCACCAACTATGCCTCTCGGCAAACGATCTGGGCAAGACTCGTCCTGGGGGGGCGGTGTGTTAAGCTGGAGGCCACGATCCGTTGCTGCACAAGTGGACCGAGCCGAAACAACCTTGAGAGACTAGAAAAGCGACTCGCATTAGAAAAAGGTCATGTGACTGTCCTGATGATATTTGGTAGGATCATCGGGACTGCAGGTGCGGCTTGCAGGCGCAGGCGTGGCAGGCTGGCAGGGTACGATTCATGGGTGCCATGGGTACCCAGGTGGCCCTGCAGCCCAAATGACAGGCGTCATTTCAAAGATGCCTGCTAGGGCCAGGTTCCAGGTTACCCTTGGTGCCTTAGGACGTCGTCATGGTCCAGGCTCGCTCGTCGATGATACAAAGTTTCAGGAAACCCTCGAGGCCAGATCAGGGACGTTGGGTAGGAAGACAGAAACCCATATCCCCAGAGGACATCGTTGCAACAGCCATGCTGGATTTGGGTGTGACAGACAGATGATATGCCTGGTATTTTTCGAGCGCAGATCAGACACTGCTATCAAAAACATACCTGTTTTACCTGCCAACTCTGGGTTACATTTAGAAAGTATGTTGGCGCGGCTGGATACCAGTTCAAGTCTCCTGCAGAAGAAGCAGCATTCCCTGTGTATGCGGAAAAGCAAGTACCGCCAGAGACATTATTACAGCACTTACGAAGGGATCCCTGCATAGGTGCTTGAGGTTCGACGGGGTGACAGGCGGAACACGGCAGACATTCAAGGGCCAACAACTTAGGAGGTGTTTGGTTGGAGCCCACAACGGGTCAGATCAGCTGCCAACACACGCGAGGGAACGCGATCTGGAGGCCACGACGCGCATGAAAGCTGCTTCAACGGTTGGTCTGCAAGAAATCGAGGTCGGTGCCGGCCCGCAGGAGGAATCTGATCCGATTGCATGTTCCACAGACACGCCTGTCCGATCATGCATGCAAGGAAGCGACCACGGTTAAGTTATGCACCACTGATTCGCTCCCACAGTGTTGGTTGGAGACGAAGAACCGTCTTGAGTCTGGTGCATTATCTTCGTGTCACACCTTGCACCAGCTACCACAAACCTGACAACATGCCTTGCGCAAACCGAGTGAGGCCAGGAAAACATGCAGCGACCAACCTTTCTATCGCTCATAGTCTTGTCACGGTTTCCAGGTTGGGAGGGTTGCGTGCCATATTGAGCTAACCTGACCTGCCAGCCTGCGCCTGAGATTGTGGACCATGCATCACTAACATGATCCTGCAGGTTCAACTTCTTTGCGGACACCCACCCACCTATCTTCACATGCAGTTCAACCATTCCATCTGCTGAAGGGATAGTCGTTGAGCCACCGACCTACTCACAGATGCCTCCCTCGGAGTATCTTGTTTATCCCTATGAGAGATAAAAAAACACATGCTTGGACACACAGCACACACTTTGCATATGGCGTTTTTGCTAAAACATATCATTTGGAGGTTTCATCATGACATCTGGTTGATGACCACGGCGCCTGCGCAGTTCGTCCCTCTCAACCAACGGACGCAAGGGCTGCACATCGTAGAGGCGGAGGGCGGCTGCACAAGGGCAGGGCCGGGCCTCCCCCACCTTGCTTATTCAACTAGCTGACGGGGTAATTTGCTTCGTAGAAGACTCCCTCGGTGGTGCCTCGGGCCCTAACAATACCTCCGCTAAACATAGGCCTGAGGATACTTGGGCATTTGTCACAACCACAAGGTTTCGCGCTTTCCCTGCCACCATTAAAACATTGACACATGCTGGGAAAAAAGACACGATTGACGCGGGTTTCATTCCATGTTTTGGTTAGCTTCATGTCGGGAGCCCTATGCCTCAGCTGCAGACTTGATCGATGTTCCAACTAATAGTACCTACGGAATGTGTTTCAGGTGTCCCAGTGAAAGTGCATTGGGCTCATGCATCAATTAATCGAGATGCAGATGTCCGTTCAATAACGTGGGTCTATCATAAGTCTCCATGAAGAGTGATAGGTCTTACAGAGCAAAGACACATGAGAAGAGCCCTCTTTGCTTGGTTGTCCTCTGCACCGATAAAATCTTGCGTCTGATTCTGACGTTTGAACATGCTGCAAGGTGACAGACTTAGAGGGCGCCACTGCATCAAACGCATGCCGAGGTTGGGTCAAGTGACTTCGTCTTGGTGCACCAGGTTGGTAGGTTGAAAGACTAGTGACCTCGTTGGACCGATATACAATCCCGCACAAGCGCTGTGGCTCTAATAATGCCCTAAAAGAGGGAATGCTCACCGCCTCGAGTACATGAGAGTCAGTTGCAGGGCAGTGCAAGATGGCGAACTTGTGATGCCGATGACATCGTGATGTGTAGTATATATCCATACCTAGGTAGGGTAGCAGGCGCAGAAGATGCAAGTACCTACCTGATTAGTTCCCAAGGTGTGAGACTAAGTACGCCTGGGGGAGCTACGAAGATACCATGATAAAGTAGGTACCTAAGGCATACCTAGAGATTCATGCCTAAGGAGGTGCGAGTGTGCCCCCTCGGCCTAGGCGTTAGATGGTAAATACCTAGTCGAGAAAGGGCGGCTTCCGCTTCCTAAACATTGGCTAATCTCGTGGATACCTTACACATGTACCTGATAAGGCGCCAGGTGGCATACGGAATGCTGAGCTCTGAACGAGCTGGTAGGTATTCTCTGCGTAGAACAAAGTGTTCTCACGGTAAGATATAGGTCAGGTATTTGGGGCTCTTGATGTGGTGACAGTTCGACAGGCTGGTACACACTGGATGAGGCACTTCTAGAGGAGGCCAAGACATCAATCTGTAGGGGTGAGTATACATGCGCCTCCTTAGTATGTAACTCAGCACCTGAACCAAGGGTGAACGGATGAATTAACCGTTGGATCAACTGCAATGTCTGTTTGCCCGTTTTCTCGTGTCAGACCGAGTCATATTGTAAATCAACTCCTCCATAGACGTTGTGTATCTTTCAACCCTGTCCAGGCTTACCGTACACAGCGACTCCCTAGTGTCACTAAATTGGACTGGCCAAGCTCACTGTCTAGGTGCGCCGGGGGCGCCGTGGCTGCTCGAAGGAGGGGTACTAGGCACACGAGGAAAGCTGCATTTGCATTCTTACGACATGTGAAGTGGGGGAGGACCAATTTTTCGTTGGATGCTAATCGACGGAAGCTGGTGTCCGCCGCCAAATCAGGGCATCCTGCCGCCGCAGGAGCGACTGGAGCCAAGTGGCCGCCAACTAAGAAACCGTACCTACCGTAGGTAGGTATGCAAGATGCCAGCTGCCGTTCCTTCCTTTAGCTTTTGACGTCGTGAAGAATCATGGCCGCTAAAAGGACCGGACCAGCTGGACTCTCCGTCGACCCTCTTCAACCGAGCACCAGAGAGCACGGAGCAAGACCCAGAGAGGGACCATCAATTTTACTCGATAACTATTCCTTGAGAAAAAGTTAGCCAATATCGACTGGATTGCCGATCGAGCCAGATTGTGGGCATCCAGGGCCGAGGACGCTAAGAACAGACCTAGGTAGTAAGTACCTAGTTGATGCGAAGCTGCCTCAAGGCTCTCGACTCAGGCACACCAGGCACATATGCAAGGTAGGTACCTACCTGGGAGTCAGCATACAAGTGCGTCTCTGCTTACAGGCGGTGGCAAGGCTCTTCAGCGGCAAGTCAAAAATGGTCCTGATGCCTAAAAATATGTGGAAGGCAGCTGCCCTTAATGGTCCCCAACATCTCCCAAAGCGACGATGGGTTGAATGAGCCACTGGACTGACTTTGGATTGACGGTCGCTGCCCTCATTTTCTTCCCGCTGCGTGCAGATCTCCCGTACATACGTGATCGCGGCGCCCTTTCCTCACACAAATCTGTAAGTCGACCTCAAAATCGGGACACCAAGTAGCTAGCCACCTAGTCCTTGAGCAACTTTCCATGGCGGCAACTCGGGTGTCCTGGCTCGCATCGCATCGCAGTCTAAAGATCCACGCTTCCCTTCACATCCCAGGTCGGTGGCCGGGGTCCCCCAAACGAAGCACTGATGGAGAGTGCCCATTGAAGACTGAGAGTCAGTGCCTGCGCAATCATGGCGCCTGGCATCGGGGGTTTGAATCACGAGGACAGTCACAATCCGGCCATCTAGCTTGATCCATTGCATTACCATCCCCATTGACGTACTTTGTTTGCCATTTTGCCACCTTGGCTTGACTGAGTACCTATTCACACTTTTGGTCCCAAGTCTCAAGAGGTCCTTGCAGACCAATAATGCACTGTCGCCTTCAGATATATTTGCAATGTACATGTGCTGCCCCTCTTCTCTCAATGGTGACTGAGACTAGTCCCATGAAGCCGTGGCCAATCGTCACAATGAATTATCGACGATTGACTCTCGAGCCCACTTGGATCATTTCTTCCGTCAGCTGGGACTCGTACTCGGCCCACCAGACCAGCATGATGCCACCCTTCCACCCTCCCACCCGTCCCTCGTCCCTCACGCATCACGCACCACCACGCCCGCCCACTCCACAGGGCTCGGGGTTTAACCTTGGATTATTGCAAACCCTAGTGTCCTGCTTATTTTGTCTTTGGGCCGTCGCAGGGATCCCAAAGGCGCGAACCTAGCCTCACCCTTTCATTCGGTCAGCTTCAAACTTTTTCGTCTCGCACGTTGACGGGAAGTCTCCATCCGCGAACCGATAAAAGTGCTGAGAACGTCCCATCCTACTTGTCTTTTGAGCCGTCTGCCTCCCTGACTGGTGGATTTTCACTCTCTTGGCCGCCCGTGAATCCCACAATTATCGCCTCTAGCTTTCCCTTTTCGGCTTTTCCAGTTGGTCCCAGAGGTCACACAACGTCAAGGGTCGTGCCTGAAGCCTACCGTCTACGCATCGCATACGGTACGCTTGCGCTTACGCCTCCGCCCTTGCGCTCGCCATTTCCCGGGTGGATCTTCCTGCACGTCTACCGTCTACCGGTGACGATTTGCCTGCTGCAGGCCATCGTGGGCCGCAGTGCCTCGCGTCCAATTATTTGGCGGCTTCTCCCACTTACACCGGGCTGCCCCCGACCTCTTCCAGAGGTCGTCTTTGTACGCAGGCCTACCACCACTTTCCACATCTCTGTTCACCTCTGCGAGCTTTTGTGTTGGGCTGAATGGCATGCGGACGGTCGAGTGCGTACTTCTGTTGTCTTCCTTACGAGCCTGTCTCTGAGTATCTAGTAATCCTGGTAGATCATGGCAATCATATCAATTCCATATTGTCATTAACTTGCTAACAATCCAGTGGCCGACTCAAGATCAGAGACGATCACACGCTGGCGTGTCAGTCAGATGGCAGAGGATCAATAGTCTCCTCGCCCATCAAGCATCCATTGACTGCATTACCCCAGTGCCAAATAATCTGTTCATTTGAGCAAAGGCCATATCGCATATGCATCCCATCTCTGGCGATCAGAACCGTGCATCTAACCGTTGTGGCCAGAGCACAGCGAAAAAAAGACCAGACAGTTCTGGCTGGACAATTAATAATGGATACGGTCACAGATCGGGCCTCTTCATGCAGACCCACGAGTAGGATGTCGATATATGCGTAGGTAGGTACCCAAGAGAAGGCAGCCACGAAAGCCTTTGCCCGCGTGGCCAACCCAGATACCCAGGTGCCCAAAGACACAGGTTGGTGAGATGGAGGCTCCATATCGTCGAATCTCGTACCCATGGTGCCCTCTCAACACGCGGTAGGCGGTACAGGAGGTACCGCCCGCTCGACAGGTCCGAGCCAGGGGTGCATTCGAACGATCGTTTGGCGTCTTTTCAACCCACAAAGCTAACCAGGGATCCAACTTCAGTGGAGCGTTCCTACTTAGTTCTGCTCTCAACGCTTCAGCACCTGGCATCATTCGAGTGATTTTTGACTCTCAGGCAGCCGACGCGGGCCTGCCCAAGCCCAAGTCCAAGCCCAAGCTTTAGAATCCCTCGCTCTCCCACACCTCTCTTCAACGAGGCACACTGTCGAACCCACAAGTGGCAGATGCTCAGTGCGCTCGTTAGTTTGTCCGTAGGCGCGATACTACGGTATTGGACAAGTAGGGTACGAGCTCTGACACGGACCCTAGCCCCAAAACTGCCAGGATCCAACCCGACCAGGCCGACTAAGCACACCCTGACAGGCTGGCAGCTGGCTAGCAGGCATTTTTGACAGACAAATCATCCTTGCCGAACTACCTGGTTCACCTTGTGCCCACCGTCCCGATTCACTGGCACTCCCACTGGGGCCGAGGGGCTTGCCTTTCCAGAATTTTAAAAAGCCCGCACCAGGTGCATCTTGCCATCTCCCCCGCCTAAGTTAGTTCTACTTAGGTTTGGCCCAGCGCCCATCTCAGGGATTCCTCCCACCCTCTTTCGCCTGTGACAGCCTATCCTGCAACCTGACCGGCTCGCCACGGCCGCAGCCCAAGCACGACAAGCACACACGCTCCACCTCCCAGTTGTTTGTCACATCGCCAATCAGTCCTCATCAACGGCCATTTCCTCTTCATCATCGTCATCTTCAGCTCATCACTCTTTCACCATCCTGTCCACTCTTCCTTCGCCGTACACCTGACCTGACCACCACCACCACCGACCACCGACCACCTTTGTACCTCGCACCTTTTCTTTCCGCCCCTCGCAGTCCCTCATCCTTCCTCCTCACCTCACGCCTTGACCCGCCATCCTCGCTCTCGCCCTCCGCCTGCGCTTCCTGGCCAACACCTCCTCTCTCACCACCCTACCCAACCCTACCCTCTCACGCCTCTCCATTAGCATCTGACATCCTCATCCGTCGCTCTACCGCCGCCTGTGGTCCGTTGCCGCAAGTAATATACCTGCCTTTTCTCTCATCCACTACCACACCCTTGCAGGAATATTGTCCTCTGCTTTCTTCTCACTGCGCGTCTCTGCTCTGCACCGCGCCTTCCATATCCCTCGACCTCGAGCTGGTCCTGAGGTCCGACGCTTTGGATTCATTCGACTTTCTTTACTAGGCTCTGGAAGCAAGTCTTTTTCCACCGGTATCGACTACTTGGGTTTTTCTTCGTGACATTGACTTGTTCGGCTCCTGTGGCATATCGTCTCAATCAATTCTCCTTTGCCGCAAACTTGTCCTTCTGAAACAATGGCGCAGATGGCAGACCCTAGGGAACCCGCACGGCAACAATATCCTCCTCCTCCGGAGGACCCTAACCACGGTGGTTACTATTCGCAGCAATCACCTCGTGGCCCTCCACCCCGAGATGAGAGGAATTCCTATCCTCCTCCCGACCCAGCACGACAGGGTCAGTATTCGGATCCAAGAACTCACCAGTACCCCCCACCGCAATCGTGGCCTGGCCAACACAGTGCATATCCCCCTCCTCCGCCACCACCTCACCATTACCCGGTAAGTTCTCCATCGTCCTCCCTCAGGGTCAGGGCAGACAAAATTAACGATGACAGGATCCTCAACATCCAGGATATTCGTACCCACCACCACCCCGGTCGGATCTAGGCCAACCACCTCAGCAAATGCCGCCAGATCCGTATCGTCTACCCCCTCCCCATGGTGGATATCCATATTATGCGCCTCCGCCGCAGCACTATCAACCCCAGCCTGCTGCTGCCCCCAGGCAGAGGACAGCCATTGCCTGCAAGTATTGCCGGAAGAGAAAGGTATGTCTCTGATTTGTCGATATGGACGATTCCTCTAACCGCTTGTTCTAGATCCGATGCTCTGGTTACGATAATTCCCCGGACGGACGGTGTCAAAACTGCGTTCGCTTCAACCAGCAATGCTTGTTCCATCCAGTGTCGTCCCAGGCTGCCTTCGTACCAGCATCTGCTGTCTATGGCCCTGGTGCTAGGGCCCCTGTTGCTGGTCAGTCTGATAACCGTCCCGGTCAAAATGGACAACAGCCTTACTCTCGTGAAGGAGACCAGCCCATGCTCTATGGTGCCCATGGCCAACCTCTGGGTCCTGCCGGTCCACATGGTCAACCTCAGTATAGTTATCCACCCGCACCCGCAGGCCACTATCCTCCACCCCCCCAAGGATATCCATACCAGGCGTCTCCCTACCCTCCTCCACCGGCCACCGCGTCACCGTACGAAGGACAGGGCCAGGCACCGCCGGCCCAACATGATGAACGTGTCAGTCTCAAACGTCCCCCTCCTGATGAAGATCCCCACAACGAGAAATCTCATACCTCCCAGTCTCCTCACCCAAACTCGCGCCCACGTCATACCGCGTATGATTCTCGAGCCAATAGTAGTGGGAGCTATGAGTACACCGACCCTAATAGTGGAGCGCCGACCTCACCGGCCACTTCCACCATGAGTTATCAAGCTTATCCACCTCAGTCTCGCTATCCCAATGGTACACAGCCTGCTAAGGGCAATGCCTCACCTCCCCCGGGACTGACACCACAATCGGCTCAAAGTTTCAACTCTCCCCATCAAGGGTCGGCGCATGACGACGGGAGAACGCCACCACCAGCTCATGTCAATTCAGCAACCTCGTCAGCCAATGGCCGAAGTGGCATGAAGGTGCACGAAATGCTAGGTGGACCAACCGGTGGAGGTGCGGGAGAACGCGGCAGAAGCGACAACGAGATGCTCAGCAAACTGGACGGCAAGAAATAGCCGGTTTGACTTGCTCACGAACGACGAGAGCATTCAAGCCCATTCCTCGAGTGGTCTGTTTCCTAATCCGCCCCAATCTTGGTGGCTCGCACAGACTCATCTTGGCACATAGACCTATTGGACACGGACTTGGAAGGTACATCCTTTTCCAAAACATACACAACCGGGGCAACCCAACATTTCTTTTTTCTATGACGATGTCTATCGTTACCAAAACTTGGGCGAGCTAATACAAGGGTGGCTCTGTTTATATCGATGATTCCCATGGGGTGGCTATTTGATCAAACCTGTTTTGACTGTTGGCATACAACCTGGGCGAGGCTATCAGAGCCCTCCCTTGCAGGGCTTTTTGCGCTTGGCCGCAGCACGAAGTGTACAACTGGGTGGTCAGCTCTGCTTTGTTTGATTGTATGCGATTTTTGACCTGTAATTTGGGAGGCCGCACTGCTGTTTATCACCTGCACAACTATACTAGTGGGTAGTACTGACGATCATCTTGGTTGGTCTTCACGGCCATGAGAAAATGATTCGTGGGCTTTTTGACCAATGATGATTTATCCTTTTGCTGGACATTATTTTTTGAGGGGTAGAGATATGTAGGAAGTGCTAAGGGGACGGTGCGAACTCGGCAGACGTGAACCCTCCGCCCCAGTTTGGAAGAGCAATCTACCAGATCGAAGGGGTAGCTGGGATTTCCCCCCGTTTGTACCGAAGCGCAGGATGCTTGTTTGCGAGGCCACGACTGGAAGGTCTAGTGGCAAAGTGGCGAGAAAATGTTGCCCACGAGCGACATCATAGGTGTAGACAGCAACAAGTGCTTCAGTTTGGACAGTCTTTGAAGAAAACCATCTACAGTGATTCGCTACTGACTCTGTCGACTTTTGGGGAACAAGCTGTGGTTACATTTGACACAATAATAGTGAAGGATTCAAGAATGTCGCCATGACCGGAGCTGCGGCCACGGCAGGGCCCTTCCCTGCATGACCCAGGCACAGCAAATGACTGGGCCATACCCGCCGAATATCGGGCAGTTGGTCGTCAGGCAGCTGGCGGCGGGAGGATGGCGGCACCTGTGCATGGTGCAGCACAGTGCAGTGCAGGCAAGCGTGACAAGGCAAGGCACACGGTGCGGTGCGGCGGGGCTAGGGATACGACGGAGGACTTACGGAGACAGTACCACAAGTACGAGTTTAGGTACTTATTAGGTCAGACATCCGAGTGGCCGAGGGCAGGCCCGAGGGCCGTCACAAGCACCCCTCGGCCCTGATGCGGTTGATTGCTGGGCAGAGCCACTCTGGGCACAAAATGTACCCCTCCAAGCGTCAGGTACCAAGACGACAAAATATTCGTACGAGCAGGTCCTATCAACTGCAAGCGAAAGGCCAAGTCACCTTCTATTAAAGTTGATTAACTGACCACTGGCTCTCGCGTGTGATGTGGGACCGAGAGCGCCCAATCAATCGATGAGGGCGCTCTGGACTTTCAATAGGGAGTGGAATAGAGAAAAAAAAAGGCATTAATGGAAGAGGCTCTAGATCTGTTTGGAGGCTGCCTATCTGCCCAGTTACGACTCATGCCTACCTACTGTATGTTAGTTACGAGTGCATGGGTGGATAAGGTAAGTAAGGTACCTGGTAGCCTACTTAGATCTCTGGAGTTGAAGTCGTCAGAGTACAAACGTACCCAGGATGCCCCTCTGAAAGGTGTGTAGAATCTTTGTGGACCATGGACCATGGGCTACGGCAATCCTGCTGCGGAATAACTAGGGACAAAACACGTGGCTAACATGCAGCGTACGGAGTAATGCACCCGACTCCAGTAGTTTGTCAGCTAAGCGGGAACCGACACCATGGTCATGGACTCACTGGGCATGGCTACGGGTTGGGCCACTGCCATGGCATGGGATGGCATGCCCCTCGACCCACGTCCTCTCATCCCACGCTGTCAGTACGGAGTACTTTTTATTACCGAGTATTTTAGTGGATGGAACCCCTCATGTCCTTTCTTACCGCCCACGACGACGCTTGTCTCTTTCTGGTGAGGAACTTTCATGCCCCTACCAATCTTACCTTTCCTCTTTGGGACTCACTTTTACGAATTCGTATGCTGTGCAATTCCTGAAGGCCCGACTACCTTGCCACAATCCCGCTGTCTTTGGGTCCAAATTGCCTGGTGGATACAACTAAGTGATATACAGTACATGCTTGATACTTCGACGTCTTCTGAAAGTTTCGCCTTGCTGAAGTATGGAAACTTAGACATAAGGGTAAAATGTCAACCGTCTCCTTCCTTTGAATGTCTCCAGGCAGAATCAATCACCTCTGGCGCTCTTGCCACTGGGCTGTCACCAAACTGCCTTCACTTTGTAGTGCTAATCAAAGGTAGGTGCAACCGCGATCAAGTATATATTTATGAGGCATGCACGTCACGCTGGTCTCTCTCTTGTGCTGGGCTGCCTTCTAGAATCAATGGTCGTAGGACAGACACGGGGGTATCTACTGTCACGGTCGTCACTCCCCTCTACACCTACCCAGCGAGGCATTTCCTTCGCTCTGATACTTGATCTCATCTTGGCTTCAGGAACCTGTGGTGAAGGCAATCAATCTCGTCTTTGCTGATTGCAAAACTACTTTCTTTGTGAGCTATCTGATCTCACTGCTGGCACAATGCTCTCTCAAGGCCCATACGATATCTTCCATTCAAGATGTCTCCAGAAATGATTGCAGTGTCAGTAGCGAGACTGATACTGACAGCACAACCGTCCAAAGGACCACTTTTTGCAGTTCTACCGACTGAGCCCTGCCCTCATCATTTCCACAAGCTTTGCACACGACCAACCTCTGCCATCCCAACCAAGTGTTGCAAACCATGTCCCAATGATTCCCCTGGAGCCTGGAAGCTGAAACAACCTCAAATACCTAGGAAGAGAAACTGATCAAGACCACTGAAATCAAATTTGCACTGATTCGTAATAAGTCGAAAGCCTTCATTCCACTGAATATCCAACCAGTTTGATTTGTTTCATTTCCGTCATCTTGACGGGGTAGATGTGTCAAGCACTCGTCAGAAGATCAAACTAACCAAGAAGGAGCAAGTGACAGGTCGAATAACCAAGGGCGGCAGGCTTTGGGGCAGTGACAACGTCCTTAATTGAGCCGGTCAGCGAACACATCATCCTCTAAAGTCTCGGTGATGGTGTCAGGCCGTCCACTTCCTCCACCACGAGCGTCCTTGAGTCCAGGAGAGGCTCTCCAGAGGTTTCCGGCAAATGGTGAATTGGAACCAATGTTACGCAACGGGGTTTTGACCGGCGTTCCGTGAGTCAATGGACTTCCCCGAGCACCATTCAAAGAAGCTGATATACCACGAACTCCTGACGATGGTGTGGCTGTTGCAGATGACGTTGGGGTGGACATGGCATTGTTGACAGCCTTGCGAATGGGTGAGACCTTCCGAGAAGCGTTCGCAGAGACCCGATCTTCGCCGTAGGACAGGGAATTACGGTGAAGAGAGATCATCGCCGATACTGCCTGGTTTGGATCGCGCGGCATTTTGTAATCGACGGTCTGGCTGTTGCTACGAGCAATAGTTCCGCGATCCGAAATACTTGCAGAACCATCATGGCCGAGCCCATTATCACGGGAAGGGGTTCCAATGGGGTCAAGACCGCTGCTTTGTCGTCGGAAAGGAGAGCCGGTCTCTGAACCACGGGTTGACCAAGTTGGAGTCATCATCCCGTTCGATGAGCTCTGTCGAGAGCCAACGAGACCACCGACGCCGTTAGAGGACACTTGCTTGTTGGCCAAAGCGCCCCGACCGACAGCTGTGAGAGGACTCACATTACCAGAAGAAAACGGGTCAGATGCGCCGGCTGTACTGCTGAAGCTGGATTTGCCTTGCGCACTGCCAAGCTCATCACTGTCAGAAGATCTAGCACCGCTTGGAATTGCGATGGGGGTGCCGTCAGGCTTGCAAATGACCAAGGCACGATTCTCACGACGACTGGCGCTCGAAGGTGCGGAAGCAGTGACACGACCTGTGCCCGTGAACAGTCCAACCAGATTGGAGATTGATGCCTTGTCGTTCACACCTCTAGCCGGTGTAGCGGTGGTGACAGATGCTCGTCTCGCCGTGCTGATTCGTTCTGGAGTACCAACGGCGCCGTTTCCAAGCCCCTGGCCGGTAAAAGTTTTGGTACGATCTGCTTCACTTGTATTTTTGATGGTGGTCCAATCCAGTCGGCCCTCTTCAGTATCTGGCTTGGCGGATAACTCGAGATGCCTCAACACAACGCCAGATCCGAGCTTTGTCGTCAAGTAGTCAGGTAGCTGCTGATGGAAAGGAGTTTCCAGAGTGTCGTCAATTTCGACTTTAGACAGTCCGTCGGTAAGCTTGTCTACAGTGATGGTCGAAGGAGTCTGTGGGATCGACTCTGTGGCGTCGCCTGGAATGGTGCTGGTAAGAGGAAGAAGAGCTAAAAGTTGTAGTCAGACCCAGCTAAGAACAACAGTACACTCAAAGGCCGGTACTCACTCTCGCTTTCTAAATCATCAAGATCTTCGCCGACATCGATAGCATTTCCAAGCCACTCGACCCATCCCTTGCGCAACAGCTTCTTGACGAAATGATGTTCAATGTGGGCGAATTGGCGACGAGTAAGTTGGGCGCCCTCATTAGTAGCCTGAACAACGACATTGCCCTGATTGTCCCACTCAATGTAGATGTAGGGAAGCAGAGCAACGGGTGTGTCCTGAGGAATCTTACGCAGTACCGCTCCGACACCTAGGTTGAAGACACGAAGCCAATGATCCAGATCGGCCTCAGAGACATTGGAAGGTTCTGGACGGAGGGTTTGGAAGGGCCACTGCGAAGCGTACCGACGGAAGCCAAGGCCATTCCCTGCACCACGGGAGATCTCGAGGAAATTGGCCTTCTGGCGTTCACTGAAACCTGGGCAGTTCATTCCAGCAAAGAGAAAGTCGAGAAGAAGTTTGTACTCCAATCCGACTTCACGGCGATCCGAGACGATCATGCCGGCACCACACTTGAAGGCGAGAACCTCGAGCTGGTGAACATAGGTTTTCCAGATCTCGTCGCGATCTCGCATTGTGTACAAATCGTCAGCATACCAGGGATACTGCATCGTGTTAGAGTCCACGGGCACCTCACGGAGGGAGAGTATGAGGGAATGAAACTGCATACCTTGTACAGGGTACTGATCATGCATTCAAAGGTGCGTTGACAGCTTCGAGAGGCAAACGGAGACTAGCCAAAGGTCAGAAAAAGTCATGGGAAGATTGCTCAATGACGGGGCAAAACTCACACGCTGGGGGGTCTCGGCATGGCGAGTCATTCCATTCAATTCTTCGTCGGTCAAGAAACTCTTGAAGCCAACGGAATACTTGTCTGTGTTTGGGACAAGGACGGGGTTTCCGGCATTCTTCTCGTCCCAGACGATGCATCGAGCGCGAGGGAACAATTCTTGCATCAATTGAGCCTGAGAGGCCAGCTCGAGCGTGACATGGCGTTGACCTAGCTTGGGGCATTTCATGGAACGAAAAGTGCGTTCGAGGGCCTCCTCTGCAACGGCGGGGGTTGAGACCTCGATGAATACGTCCATTGTCTCACCCGTGGAGCGTTCCATGAGAATATGAATGGGGAATCCCTCCTTGTGCATGCGGACCAGGTGTTGGTCAGAGACAAGCTTTGTAGCAAACTGGTGGACTTCGGCCATGGTGATACCGTATGGAATCTATGAAAGAAGATATGCATGTTAGCTCAAGGTCTGTGTTGGCGTGAGATGGCATGATTTTCATGTTGTCTGTGTAGGGCTGGACGCTGAACACATCGCGTTGGGAGGACTGCATCGATCTCTCCCCATTCTTGAGACTGAGACCAGAGAAGGGGATACTCACATTCTTGATCTTGATGACACCATGGTTTTTAGGGCCTCCCAGGCGATTAGGGTCCGCGAAGGGTGGCTCGGCATTGGGGTTGAACGATTCCACAGACACGGTGGCGGGCATGGCAGCAACAACCGGCAGCATGGTAGAGGCCGCCGCCAGAGGAGACTGGGCCGGGACTTGGTTCGGAGTCACTGCCTGAACTGCGTAGCCGAAACCAGCCAGTGAGGCGTAGGGGTTGGGAGCGACGTTGGCGGGAATCTGCCACGCCATCGGTGCAGTAGGAGCGAGGTTGCCGTCTGGGACAGCGTAGGTTTGATCTGGCTGCTTAGCTTGATAAATGACAGGACCAGGGTTAGGAGCGACAGATCGAGTCGATGAAGGACGAACAGGAGGAAGGGGAGAGAAAGGTCGATGAGACCGAGGAGGATGGACAGAAGGATGACGAGGAAGAAGATATGGGTTGACAGAAACTGCCTGGTTCCAGGAACCCGGCAACATGATCGCTCTCAGCCTTGATCTTGAGCAAGAAAAAGGTCGATTTGGCGAGGTCGGTGAGAGAAAGAAAAGATGATCTTAAGAAGACCACTGGTGAAGAGGAAAAGGAAAAGGAAAAGAAGTGAAACTTGAGAGACAATAACAAACGCTGGTCCTATTGACCTCAGTTCTCTCGCTGGAGCGATGAATCAACATGAATCAACCACCATTCAGAGAGCGGGGGAGAGGTCACAGCTGTAGGGAATTCACATGCTGGATCCTATTCAGGTGAAGATAGATCTCAAAAGTGTGAAGCTGGGTGGCGATCAGATGTCGCTGAGATGAAGCGCAGACATGACAGGTTGGAACAAAGCGGCAAGCGTTTCATGTGAGGCCGCTAAGGCTGAAGGATAATACTATCATGAATAGAATCGAAATGTATGACACCAGAGCCTCGTCAATGGAAGCGGGTCTGGTTGTAAAGGCGCCCCGTTCGAGAGATTGGTCAATTCCTGTGAATGTGGTCCCGTCAATGAACAAGAGGCCGTCCAATATTGGGGCTGTTTAGTACATCTCAGTATCATCTCAGTATCATCAGAAATATCACACACTGGCTCCTCAGGAGAACATCCAAGTCAATATCAGATCACATGACTTCAGGGGCTCACATGTGGGAGTACAGCAATAGTCACAATCTAACTGCCCATCACAGCAAGGGGAATCACATCCATGGTTGATAAAAGGGCTTCATGGAGGAATGTAGGTCATGAAACACATCATTTTGGCCTAACGAGCTAGGCTAGTCTAGTCGAACTGAATGATGTTAGTCGATGCTGACAGAAAGGTGTGTAGAAGGATGCTTACAGGAGTCAGGAATGACTCGGCCACAAATCTAGCTCTAGCATTCAACTGTTTAGAGAGTTAGCAACGCCAGATAGGCCGTTTTGACAGCATTGTCACTCACAAATAGCTTCATTTCCGAGATTTCCTTATCGACTTCCTCCATGAATTGAATGATGAAATCCACCAGCTTGTGCTTCAGCATTTCCTCAGTATGGGTGTTGGTAATCAAGAACGAGATATCGTAGCCCTAGACGATAAATGAGCGACTGGTCGGTCCATTTAGATAGAAGAGACCAAGTACTTTGACAGGTTTCCTTCGTAGGATGAAGAATGATTCGGCTCTCTGTGTCAGGAAGCGGGTGAACTTGTGGACCAAGATGTTTTCAATTTCATCGGCCTGCTTTATCCTTATGCTGACCCGCACACTGTTGACACTCGGTTCGATATAGACCTTCTCGTTCTCATTCCGGGCCACGGTCAGCGGATTGAGGAGTAGTTCTGGAGAAGTGCCCGCTTCGATTTCTGGAACATTGTGTCTCTCTGACGCCTGTGAGGCAAAGTTGGAAAGGGCAAGGGCGGCGGTCAAGGATGATCGAACACATTGGAGGTATGGTCGCAGTGATTGTGACTGAAAAAGGCGTGTTAGCAACACGTGCGGACAGTAGGCGACCATAGACCAGGCAGACCATTTTCGAAGCGGTGATCGCTCAAGGACCCATGAAGATATGCAAAGCAGACAAACAGCCAATGTACTCTATTGTTGGTCCTGAAGCAGGAATCCTGACCAATCCGACGGCTGTTTGCTCGGTATGCAGTCAATGCTGAGAGGTGGTGGTGGTGGTGGGAGTAGTAGTGGTAGTGGTGAGCATTACCATCACCGCAGCCGTGAGTTTTGGAGACTTGGAGGGGAACCCAGAAACCATGCTAGTCGTGAAGGCCGCCCATCATCGGAACCAGCCACAGAACACGCGCCACTGTTGACAGCCACAAAGACACCCAATCACCAATCAACCAAGGCTGCAAGAGCGACCCTTCAACCCTTCACGCCTTCCGTCATTCATGCGGCAGCCTTGGCATCTCGACTCTCTGTGGACCGTGGGACTCGTACTCTCGACGTGCCTGGCGCCCTCAAGCGCTGTTTACTAGTGAGTGCATTGGGCCATTTGTTCTTGCAAAGGCGATTTCAAAGCACATCGTCCTCTCTTCATCCTTTCCCATCCCTCCTTTTGCCTCACCGTTCTTTTTCGCAATCCTGCAATCATGGCGACCATCCCAAGTAAGTACTGATTCACCTGTTCCCCCGCTTGAGGTGGTGCCCTGACCCTTTACAAGTTATTGTCAAGCATCAAGGCAAAAAGTATGATGTTGATCTCGACCCGTCGAGTACTGGCGAAGTCCTCAAATTCCAGCTCTTCTCCCTCACCGGCGTCGAGCCTGAACGACAGTCCCTTCTCATCAAAGGTGGAAAGCTCAAAGATGACACCGACCTCTCCAAACTCAATGCAAAGCCCGGCCAACTGTTCACCATGCTAGGGACTGCGTCCTCTGAAGGCAGCGCCCTCATCGCTCCCAAGGAAAAGACAAAATTCGTGGAAGACATGACCGAAGCTGAAGCCGCTGCGCAAGAAGGTGCAACACCTGCAGGGCTGCAAAACCTCGGCAACACCTGCTACCTTAATTCCACTCTACAAGTCCTCCGAAGTGTTCCCGAACTGCAGGATTCACTTCAAGTATACAAGGCTGAGAGCGCACCTGGTAGCAGTCTGCAGGACCTGAGTCGCTTCGGTCTTGGAGGTCTGAGTGGCAGCAATGATCTGACCGCTCAACTCCGAGACTTGTATAGACAAATGTCGGAAACGCAAGAAGGTTTCCCTCCCTTGATGTTTCTGAACGCCCTCCGCACGGCATACCCGCAATTTGCGCAAAAGGCAAAATCCGGTAATGGATATGCACAACAAGATGCTGAGGAGGCTTGGTCACAAATCATCCATCAACTCAAGCAAAATCTCAAGATCTCGGGACCAGCCAGCGACAGTCGGCTCCAAACCCCGTTTATCGACTTGTATCTCGCCGGCAAAATTCATTCGACTTTATCACCCCCCGAAGCTGTTGCTGAGAGCGAGCCCGCTATCGAATCTACCGATTCTTTTCTCAAACTCGACTGCCATATTGATTTGACCATCAACCACATGCGCGATGGCATTTTGCTCGGGCTCAAAGAAGAAATTGAGAAGAATTCTCCCACGCTAGGACAGGATGCAATCTATACGAAGACTTCACAGATTTCACGCCTTCCGAAATATCTCACAGTCCATTTCGTCCGCTTCTTTTGGAGAAAGGATGTGCAGAAGAAGGCCAAGATCATGCGAAAGGTCACTTTTCCCGAGGAGTTCGACGCCGTGGAGTTTTGCACCGAAGACCTGCGAAAACGGTTGATTCCAGTTCGCGACAAGATCAGAAACATCAGAAAGGATGAGCAAGATGTTGCACGGGCCAGGAAGCGACTCAAGATGGCCAACAAGCAAGAAGAAGATCGAAAGCACGATGAAGCACAGAAAGCTGCCGAGGCCGCCCCGATCGCCAAACTGCGCGAACAGAAGGAGAAAAAGGATGGCAAAGCCAAAGAAATCGAAGGCGGAGAGATGGATGTCTACAAAACAGACGCTGAATACGAAGCAGAACGTGTGGAATCTCTCAAACAGGCAAAGAAGGAGCTCCTGGCTGTCATAGATCCTGAACTCGAAGCCGATCCGGGTGCTAACAAGTCAGGACTGTATGAACTGAGGGGAGTGGTAACACATCAAGGAGCCAGCGCAGACAGTGGTCACTACACGAGCTTCGTCAAAAAGACTGGCAAGCTGGTAGATGACCCCAAAGCACCTGGCGACAAGCGTCGTGAGGAAGACGGCAAGTGGTGGTGGTTCAATGATGACAAAGTGTCAGAGGTTGAGTCTGACAGAATCATGACCCTGGCAGGTGGTGGAGAGAGTGCGTCCGCTCTGATACTACTGTACAGAGCTATCGACCTTCCGACAAGGGACGAAGTCGATTAACCTCGACATTGTCTCACGGACGTAAGTGAATGCTAGGTATGGCATGTGGCCTTCATCTTCATCTCGGGCATGCATAGCGGGTTTGCAGCGTCGCCAGAACAATAAGCCTTGATGTTTCTTTGATAGACCAAAAGCGTGGTAGTCAAGATACCGCTAGAGCTAGATCATGCCATACGAGCATCATTGATGATCAGCAGTGATGATCACAAAATGGACCTTGCCTAAGTCATGGGTTACTACGAAGTACTACTATATCTGAGCCAAACAAGGAGATGGAAATCTGTTCGTCCTGGGTTTTGGAGAGTTTTGGTGTTGGTGGTTTGCTAATATACGGAGTAGTAGGGCCGAGGGGGCCCCACTCAAGGCAGCCTTGTCCAGTTCCGCGCCAGGCGCGACTACAAACACGTGACTACAGTGGCGAAGACTTGGCATGCCAAGGGCCGCACCACCACAATTCCCCAGGTAGCAGATTCTAACAGTTCGACATCCATCCATCTCACCATCGACGACTCCCACTCTTTTCAGCCTCTACCGACGACTGAAAATCACTCGCAATCATGGGTAAAGTTCACGGATCCCTCGCCCGTGCCGGCAAAGTCAAGTCTCAGACCCCCAAGGTGAGCCAATCCGTCCTCCAGCAGGCCTCCTTCGACAGCGCAGCCGCGAATGTCAATAATAATCGACCCAACGAGCCTGCGCAAGTCTTCGTCCAAGACCCGTCACTGACATGAGATGATCAATAGGTTGAGCCTCAAGAGAAGAAGAAGACCCCCAAGGGTCGCGCGAAGAAGAGAATCACATACACCCGACGATTCGTCAACGTGACATTGACTGGTGGCAAGAGAAAGGTACGCACACAAATATAATCCATCAAAAGGCCATTCGAGTCGGACGCTGACCTCAACACAGATGAACCCCAACCCCACATCATAAAGTCTCGAATCGATGAAACTCCAAGGATGCAGTTGGTTGAGGAATTGTAAAGCACGCCAGGACGAAAGGAAACAGGATTACACACCTTTTTCGCGTATGGGCTCGGTCAATCAGTCATCATTCACCATTTACCTCAACATGGAATGTCGTGTGATGATTCAGATATAGAATCCCCAGAGCGACACCAATTCAGGCCTGTCGCTTGAAGACGGGACCATCTTTTATGGACCGGCAAAATCAGGCGTTATGGCTGCTACAACCACCACGAAATACCAGACTTTTTGTCCATGATCTTGCTCTTTTATCTTCCTTGCGCGATCAATTTTCTTTTCTTCATGTTTGACCATTCGGCTGGTTTCAAAACGGCCTCTCATTCTTTGTTCTCCGCAGGCCTGCTTCCCATATGCAAGATTTGAAACGAATCCTGTCTGTGGCCTCCCGTCCCCAGTGGCCACAAGACACCGCCGGAGCCCACTGTATATAATCTCCCTGCTATTTCTCTGGGATTGTCATCCGCCGTCTTGAAAATCAGATATCACTTACCCTGCACAAGGCATCGCTCTCCTTCTCTACTTACCTGGCTCCCCAGGCAGTACAGTACTGCCTGGGGAGTAAGGCCATCGCCCCTCGATATAGTATGAAATAACGCCGACACTACCGATTCCGTGGCTCCACCTCAAGATGTCCATACTGACTCAACCAGATCGACAGTGAGGTTCGAGGCCAGGATCGGGGTTGCAAGCTGAACGAATTGTTTGCAAACACGACTAGATACGATATTTCTCAACCAGTCTTCTGTCCAGATCAAAAAAAGTAATTCTCGCAGCGTCGACAGCCTGGTCAGCATGTTGGAGCCGCATGCCTAGCCCTTTCATTGAGATGGGCCAACGGTCGCAAATTCCATCAAACAGACACAACGCTCGCGAGCATGCCCCGCGGGCAAAGAAAGAGAATGGGCAAAAACAATCAACAACTCGGATTCGCAAATGGTCACCCACTTTACTACTAACGAGTCGGCATATAGCTTAAGTATGACTGAGCGAACGGGAAGTCCTGTTTTCTATATCCAATCGTCGATTGCGAGGGCATTTACTACGGCTTTGGTATATATTTAGCCAACAGCTACTTGCACCATTACCAGCATTTCACCGATGCACTGGACCAAGCATTTCTGCATCATTTACGGCTCTTTGTTTCAGTGCTGAACAATGATCGATCTCCTTTCTGCAAGCCCTTGTTTGACTCAAAAATAAGCCAGGCTGTCAGGACATGTCGCCCACAAGTCGTCGTTGCAGGATTTTTGCTCACACGCCGCCCGGCATCGAATGTCAGAATGCGTTCTTATTCGAGACACCATCTTCGCATCGACATCATGATCATGCCAGCATCCAGAAGATTGCCCCAAGTGCTGTGTATTACCAGAGGACCTGTTTTGAGCATAAAGGCAAGCGCCGGTCTCCTGAATTGCAACAACCGACATCTTTGTCGGCAACATCAACACAAAAAAAGCAGCGTACAAAGAGAGGAGGCGGAGTGAACGAGCTCGTTTTAGTTCCCTTGTGCTCCCTTGTGTCTATTATATACAACCAACCTACGGCTCAAATATTATAAATAACGCTCATCAGCAGGATCATGTCATGATACTCTCTTCATTTCTCATCAACAAGCCACAGCAAGCCAATACAGACTTGAAACCGCCACAAAACAGAACACACAACCATTCCAAAGCTATCCTACTGTCGAAATGGACCCACACAGCGAGGCTCTTCGCATCGGCGCCGATGCCGCTATGTATGTGCTTCAAAACACCCGATTCCCCTTTTCTACCCTGAAACCTGTACGAGCCGCTTACATCGCAGCTGCTGACGTATATGTCCAGCAATTGGTGGCAAGTAATAGTGTCGACCTCCTCTATGGCCCGAACTTGTCCATAGAGATCTCCGACCGAGTGATGCAAGGATTCATCGCTGGAACCTTGTCTCCACTGCAGTCGAACATGATGTTCGCACTTGTGCACGTGGATGCTGAATTTTACCGTGACTGCTGGCGCGACGTGCGGCATCGAGCAGGCTTGATGCATCAAGATGAGCTGAATTCCCCCTTGCTTGCACGTGAGGTGTACTTTAGGGAGTCCAGCATCCACAAAACCCGCGAGGTGCTTCGTGCCTGGCGTCGGTATGCCGACGCCCTCCAGGCGAACCGCGCTATGAATGCTCCCGATGTTGAACAGGACCGTTTCATCGCCAGCCTTGTCAGCCAGGCGACGGTTGGCTTCAATCGATGGGCAGACTTGGTCTTTGCTCAGGGAGGGTATGCTTTCGAGGAAGACCCTGCTGAACCAGCTGGCCGATTGAGGGTATATCCGCCGTCGAGGATGGAAGGAGCTTCGACTTTGATCGATTTGGCCTTTTCTCGACCTCGGACCCCGACCGCTGCTCTGGCCGCTGCGCCGCCTGAGCAAGGTGAAGCCCTCCCCATCGGCTCAAATAGCTCGGACAGTGATGTGACCATTGCGGACCACGAACTGCCGCGCTATCTGGCGGAGGCCCAGGCGAGGGCTGCAATGCGGGCGGCTAAGCAGACTCGCCCACAACAGGAGCCTGCGATTCCAAACACTCAAGAGGATGCAGAGATGGCTGAGAGCAATACAGCGAGCGAACAAGCACCTGCTGTCCCTACTGTCCCCGCTAATCCTACCTCGTCTTTCGCCATGACCCAGGCGACACAGATCCCTATTCCAACTCATGCGCCTGCTCCTGCTCCTGCGTCTGCTGCTCCCGCACCTGCGCCTGCTCAGGCTCCGCTTGTGCGTCGATTTGTCTGCGACCTCTGCCGCGGTCATAAGGGCGTTACCAACATCGCCATCTTGCGCCGCCACTGGCGCCTTGTTCACGATATGCCCGTGAAGGAGACCCAAGCAAAAGCGAAGGAGATGTACCCAGGGGAGCGTGGATGAGCATTTTCGCTTGCATCTTGACAATCTTCAGGGGACCGTTGCTGGTGAGTCGTCGATGCCCAGGTAGATACGAAAGCGGAGGAAATTGTCATTGCCACAAGCCCCTAAACGAGAGTAAGTATAGATAGCAAAGTGTAACAGACTGCAATAAATGCGCGATCATAAACGAACAAATCACAAAGTCCAGAGTAAGAAATTGCTTGAGTGCAGTAAACTAACCGCATACTGAGAACAAAGAGAAGCGTTTGTCTATTAAAGATGCCACCGCCATTCAGGAGATGGCATAGGTATGCGAACATACCTCAACGCCTCCTATTGAGTCTTGCCCCAACTCCAACTACCCTCAAATACATTTGTAAAGTTGAACGATTACCGTACCGCTTTATAGTTTCCTCTTTCACCCTTGCCACTGGCCAATCTGCTTGAACGCTGCATGACTTTCTCTTGGAGAGTAGAGACGAGGATTGAAGGATTGATGTTGTAACAATTGGTGCAAGTATTGGTACATGAGTTGCAAAGACGAAATGCATCGTGGTGGTAGTCATTGCGTAGCGCTGAATGTGAGGACTGCCTTGTCGCCTCGTCATCGTTTGCCATGTGCATGACCTGAGTGGTGGCCGTGAGACCTCTTCAAAACAAGTCCCTTTTCTCGTCGAGCGTCAGCCTTCATTCTCTCTTCTACATTCTCAACATCTTCGTGGATGGTGACACTAGGATTGGTATCATCTGTGGCGTCGGCATCGCTGTTGGTATCAAGATCGCCAGCTCGGCGGTCATGGTCGTGACTCGTGCCCAGTTTGTGGGTCTCCAGGCCATCCATTCCAGGCCAGAGAACAGGTCCATTATGAGGTGAGGTTGCTGCGCCTCTACTGTCTCTGTCTAGGCGACTGAGCCGCTGAGCCTGACTTTCCACGGCTTCATTGCGCCAGTTGCCCCGTCCACCAATCCTGCCATGTCGAGGACGACCAAAGACATCCGGTCCCTCACCCCACATTCTTAGTTTCTGCACCTTTCTCAGCTTGCGCATCCCATAGACACAGACGAGCGCCGACAAAGCAAAGCACACCACGCTGACACCGCCAAATGCCAAATCGCTCTCTTCAACAAAGTTTTTCAAGTTCATGCCGTACAGTCCAGCAATCAGTGTACCTGCAGCAAGACCCAAGGTGCCGACGCTGAACTTGATTTCAAGGAGCATGAGCTGGTTACGATTGGCGTCCAGGATGGCTTTGACCACTTCCTCGGTGTTTCGAATGTTGCTGATCAAATTGCCTGAGATTTCCACGATTTCATCACAAATCTTGTGATATGACTCGAGCAGCATCTCCACTTCCTGGTGATTGTGATCCTCTCTTGGCTTACCCGAGTCTTTTCGCTCGGTTAAATACATGGCTGCGAGATCGTCGTCTGCCTCTAGCAAGTCATCGATGGCGTCTCGAACCAAGCGTGCTTTCTGTTCAAACGTGCCGAGCTTCTTGGAATGGATCAGGAGATGTCTGAGTTTGTCTCTGTCGATATCTTCTTCTAGAGCTTGGAGGATATGAGCAACGGGCTCGCGCACCAGAGCAAATTCGGCCTCGAGGCCCGAGGTGACGGAAATCAGGACGGCTTCAAGAGCGCGCAACTCATATGGCAAATATGTGGTGTTGTTTCTAGGGTCCGGTTTTTGACGCAATTTCCCTTCGAGATCATACATAAACAGAGACTGTGTGTATGAGTCGGTACTGCCATAGGCATCAAAAACAAGGACTCGGTCAGATTGAATCAAAACTCGAAGGTGGAGTAGATTGATGAGGATAGCGGTGGGTCGAATGAGAATATGCGGGAGAACGGAGGAGTCAATCTTGCGCAAGTCCCGTGGAAGTAGACCATACTTTGCAATCAACTCTGATTTTCGAAATTCGCCAGAAACGAGGGTGACTGATCCATTCGCGTCGAACTCGGTGCAACGCAGCTTCAGGTCTGCGCCCGCGGCATTTCTCGCAAGTGTTCGGGATAAGTTGAAAAGCTGGGCAGAGGTGTCATCCTGGCCGCCATTGCTGGGAGGAGAATTTGGAGGATGCTTAGAACGTCCTAATGCCTGTCTATGTCGAATCCATCTTCTCCAGAAGCCAAGAGAATGGCTTTCTGTGCTGGCCTTGCGAATTTGAGGAGGAGTCGGAGGGGTATGCTTGGGTGCAGGAAGGGCCTTGCATGTCTCGCGCGACCGAGACCAGACATCGTCAAGTGAGGAAACCGATTTTCGACCCGGTCGAGACGGGCTTGTGCTCAGGGCCCGGCATAATGAAGGTTTGTATGCTGACTGAGGAGGATAAGACTGTAGCACGCAGAGCGACTGAGATTGGTGTCGAAGGAAGCGCAACAAACTCTTTGATGGCACAACGGACGACTGCATTGCCTGTCGTCGTTGCGCTCTCTTATCTGCCCTTGTTCAATCAAGTATGGCGACCTTGTCGAAAGGACGTTTGGGCAACATCATCCTTTCAGAGCAAGATAAACAGGCGTCTGCAATCGATAGATCATTGAAAAAAAAGAGTCGCTGCGCTCCCCCGAAATGAAAGCCCCACTTTTTTGTGAGCAAAGGCCTTGGCATCCGTTCTTCCGCATCCGACTCTCTCCTCTCCCACAAGGCTTTCTACCCATCATTGAACCTCTTCATTAAAAAATACAGAAAATATCGATGCGACCTCTGACAAAAATATTGATGGCCAAAAAAGGCAAAAAATTGTTGAAGCGAGTGGGATTTGAACCCACGCAGGTTTCCCTATGAGAACGCGATCCATCTGGTGATGGATAAGTTTATTGGACTTGAGTCCCACGCCATAACCGCTCGGCCATCGCTCCGTATGCCAAAGTTAGAGACAACTTTCAGGGCACATTTAGGGGCTGATTTGTGGAAGTAAAAACCATGTACTCTATAATTTACCCACCCTCTCTGGCAACGAATGACAATAGCAACATTAAACACGTCCTCACTTGTCCTTTTCTATCGACGTACTCCGTAGGTATTTGAGATGATAGCATATTCACTTCACCGTATTCTGAATACGGTCAAGCACTCCAGGCATCATCGTCATTTGTATCTGTGACGGCCACAAGACAGACTCTGATCCTACTCAATTCATCTGTTGTCCAGATACAGCTGTGATGTGAAGATGCCGGCGGCACAGTCTCAGCCGCCGGTCAAGCTCTCGTTGCCACTGGTATGTTTGTTTGATGGTCCTGTCATTCCCCATGCGCAGACTCCATGACATTGTCTGTGGCGATGAGATCACATGACTAACTTGGATTTCATTGCCAGCAATTCCAACAAGAGATCTATCATTTGTTGAGGGCAGAAGATGTGCTGGTGGTACTTGCGCGAGGCTTGGGGCTCTTGAAGATATTGACCAACCTACTGCATTCATACGATGCCGCGGGAAACTCACTAGTCATCATCGTGGGAGCTGAAGACCGCGAAAATGAATGGATCGGAGAGGCTCTGGCTGAGCACTATGCAATTTCTCGAAGTCCACTTGCCAAAGGCCTTCGAGTCATCAATACCGACAAGGCCACTGTGGCAGCACGAGAGAAGATCTATTCAGAAGGTGGCATTGTCTCGGTAACCAGCCGGATTCTAATCGTCGACATCCTCTCAAAACTCCTTGATCCCGAAACGGTGACTGGGCTGATTGTCCTCCATGCCGAACGGGTGATTGCCACAAGCAATGAAGCGTTCATTGTGAGGACCTTTCGACAACACAACAAGATTGGATTTTTAAAGGCGTTTTGCGATTCGCCAGAGCCTCTGACGTCCTCATATGCTCCGCTCTCTAGTATGATGCGGAATCTTTTCCTTCGGAAACCATCACTATGGCCACGTTTTCACGTATCAATAGCTCAAAGCCTGGAAGGGAAAAAGACGGCAGACGTGATTGAGCTGGAGGTGCCGATGACGGAAGCAATGCAAACCATTCAAACGGCCGTCATGGAGTGCGTGGAAGCAAGCATTGGTGAACTTAAAAAGGCAAATACAGGTCTGGAGATGGACGACTGGACACTGGACTCAGCTTTGCACCAGAACTTCGATGCCATTGTTCGAAGACAGCTTGACCCAGTATGGCATCGTATCAGCTACCGAACGAAACAAATAGCAAATGACCTGACGGTGTTACGGTCTATCCTTCATTCACTCCTCAGCTACGACTGTGTATCTCTACTCAAGTATCTCGACACGGTCCTCGCCAGTCATTCGCCTCCACCTGGATCAACAAGACAAAACCAGTCGCCGTGGCTCTTCCTCGATGCGGCGGCACAAATATTCCAAACCGCCAAAGATCGAGTGTATAGTGGCAAGGCGGAGGATGCTGGAGCACTTCCGTCATCAAAACTGCCAGACTCATTGACCCCGAATTTGGAAGAACAACCGAAATGGGCGGTGCTCGCAGAGATCCTTCAAGAAATCGAAGTGGATTCGTACCTCAACCCACGACTTAAGGATGACTCGAGTGACACCGTCTTGGTCATGTGCAACGACCAAAGAACCTGCAGTCAAATTCGAGAATATCTTCAAACGATGCATGTCAAGCCCCTGGCTCAAGACGTGGCAGATGGACAAGCACCACATGAAATCGAGGCTGAAGAAGATCGGGGTTCGGCTGAGTTTATGCTGAGGCGGAAGCTCCGAGAGTATCTCGGATGGCGAAAGACATTTGCCCAAGTGAGCGCATCTCTCTTTGAGGAGAATCAAAAATCTTTGAATGATATCAAGAATAACAACAACAACGGAGTGACTTCTCGACTTAATAGCAAAGGACCCGCCAACAAAAGGAGGCGCGTTCGTGGCGGGGGAAGCTCAGGATTGAACCCTTCACGAACCGCGACAGGAGCCGTCGCGGTCCATGAGGATCGAGCCGCTCAAGTGGCAGGACTGCTTGCTGAGCTACGACCCACCGAGGCCGAGTCACAGCAGAAAGAAGAAGTAGTCATGGACGATCTTCAAGACGCAGGCGAAAGCTACTTTGAACTGTACACGCCAGAGGATCAGATTGTGGTTCACCCATACGACGGAGATTCGGATGATTTGCTCCTGGAAGAAATCAGACCAAAATATATCATCATGTACTCGCCATCGCCCGACTTCATCCGGCGGGTCGAAGTATATCGCTCCAGCCACACGGATCGCAGCGTGCGGGCATATTTCATGTACTATGGAGGCAGTGTGGAAGAACAACGATACTTGTCGGCGGTACGACGGGAGAAAGATGCGTTTACCAAGTTGATCCGCGAGCGTGGCAGCATGGCAGTGACGCTCACTGAGACTGGGACTGTGGACCCGCAAGAGGCATTTCTACGGACAGTCAACACGAGGATTGCAGGAGGAGGACGGCTGGCGGCCACGGCAGCACCGCCGACAGTGGTGGTGGATGTGCGAGAATTCCGCTCCGCTTTGCCAGGCCTGCTACACGGGCGAAGCATGCAGATTGTTCCATGCCAACTGACTGTCGGGGACTACGTGCTATCGCCGACGATCTGTGTGGAGCGGAAATCGGTGCGCGATCTAATCGCCTCGTTCAAGAATGGACGTCTGTTCAACCAGGCAGAGACGATGCTGCAGCACTACAAATACCCATTTCTTCTGATCGAGTTTGACCACAACAAGTCGTTCACGCTCGATCCGTTTGCCGACCTGACATCACTGTCAACCTTGAAAGCGCCCGACTCGGACAACAAAGACTTACAATCCAAGCTGGTGCTCCTGACCCTGGCCTTTCCCCGACTTAAAATCATCTGGTCGTCGTCACCTTTTCAGACGGCTGAAATCTTTGAGGAGCTGAAAAAACAACAGGAAGAGCCGGATCCCATGCGTGCCGTGTCGATTGGATTGGCGGACGATGAGGATCCTGAGGACAAGACGTTCAATACTGGTCCGCAGGATCTACTCAGGACGATTCCGGGAGTGACAAACAAGAATGCCAGTCGACTGTTTTTGGAGGTCAAAAACATTCTTGAGATAGCCAATATGAGTTTGGAGGAATTGGATCCTTTGGTTGGCAAAGAAGCCGGGAGACAGATTGTTAGGTTCTTTACAAGGAGTGTCTTTGATGACGATGAGTACTGAAGAAACGGGGAAAAGAGCACACGACTGTCATGTCAAGCAAGAGTTGATATTGTGATTCCCGAGGACAAAGAACAAGAAGAAGAAAAAGCCACTTCTAAAGCGAGATCCCAAACTCCTTCGATCATCACAATCGTAACAATCGTATTTTGTGAATGCTAGTAAAAGTGTGGATGCGTCTTGACACAGCGGTTGAGGGATAGAGGGATATTCTGCTGATGAAAATTGCCCGCCTCTTGTGTGTAGTGTTGCACCTTGCTGGGTCTTTGACCGTTCAAATATCATCAATATCCACATCCTTGTCCGAGTCTGAATCGCGATCCTCGTCGAATTCGATATTGTCGTCGTGACCTTCGTGACCGTATGTATCGGTCTCGTTGATTTTGGCACTTTCGGGCAATTCTCCATAGGCTTTGAGTGAACGGGCTTCGTCGGCAGAGTACTTGAGAATGACATCTCCCTTCTCGTCCTGGTAGTCTCGTAGCGAGAGTAAGATGATGTCGCCTTGGTTGATCCACACCTTCTTCCGCAGTTTGCCTCGAATGTGTGCTAATCTCTTTTCGCCGTCAAAGCATAACGCCTCCAGCCGGCCGTTGCCCAACATCTTGATGACCTGTGCATATTCCTGACCTTCTTCCTTGAACGTCAACTCGCGCTTCTCGTTGTCGTTTTCGTTCTTTCCTCGACGCCTGTTTTTACCTCCCTGTTATGCAGACAGGTGGTTAGTCAAATCGTGAGAATGGGGTGGTAAGAGATCAAGTGGCGGGGTGTGGATGTGGGATGTGGGGAAAGGCAAGAGTTGCGGTGTGTGTGCGGTGGGAGACTGACCTTTCCCTTGTTCTTGGGCATGTTGCAGGTTTATTGATGTGTTCAACTGTATTTCTTGGGGTTGGTCTGAGCGATCTGTGGTGGTTGGTATGGACCAAGAGTTGTCGTTGTGGTTTTGAGGCTTTGTGTGATGAGTTTGGATGTGAAAGTGGTTGACCAGATTGAAGGGTGGTGGGGCAAAATTTAAATGACGGTAAATCGATTACTTAAATTACAGCGGTACGAAATGGCTGCGGCACTCTGCTGGAAATGTTGCATTCAAGCCCACTGTAATTGGCCCTATGTTGTCCTGTATGAGTCACTGATAATTCTGGAGGACGTCAATTTCCATACCCCAGAACAACATCTTACCGCCACGGTGAGGATAAATTACGAGTCACGAGAATTATTAGATGTGCCTGCGCAGCCTCGCACAGCCTTGCGTCTGCACTTGCACCAGCCCTCTCTCTACCTTGACATGACATGCGCCTCACCTCTTCGTGAAATTGACGACAACCAAACCTGAGTACTTGGATTTCTCGAGCATCTTTCCGACAGCAGGCTGCGCCATTTACTAGTCATTCCTTCATTCTTTCCGTTGCTGTTGTTTCATTCGCCTGGATGTATTTGTTCATCATCTAGCCAGACAACATTTTGGCTGGTTCCCAAGACTTTGTCACAACCTCCACCATCTCATCGTCTCGACCAATTCCCTCTCTACCGCCGACCCTCATCATTTTCCTCCATGTCGATGACATCCTATCCCCCCTTTCGACATCTAGCCCATGCTGGAAGAAAACACATTACTGCCAAATTCTGTCCGATTCTCGTTCCATGGGCTTTTGAGCAACGAGATCTTAAAGACAAGCTAAGCGCGAGCACCTTCCGAATCGAAGATGAAATGAAAAGACGCAATCCGGATATTCTACATTGGAAAGTCATATCTAGCATTGTCAAACAAGTTCCGTACGCTGTTCTTCGCAATCGCGCCAAGATGAGGTTTGCCAGTGCCTTTGGAACAGCATTAAAGTCCCAAGGCTACCATGACAATGGCCAGCCTCGTAAGGATGCCATGGATGCGTCGCAAGAGCCTTTGCTCCCCTTGAAAGGCACGCTTGAGATCTACCTGTTTATAAAAGACCCATTGACAGACCCTTTTCCCGACTTGGTGGCAGAGTCAGCTGGCATAATCCAAGCCGTGAAGCGCCATCAGATATCGTTTAGGTCGAATGACCAAAACAACAAAATGGGTTCCGCCCTAAATCAAGGACCCCTGATTCGCCGCATTCAATCATCGTGACGGTCCTTAAATTAAGAGGTCGCAAGAGAGGTTGGTGCATGCTCTCCCTGGAGCAATTGCTAATGGCCATTTGGATCTACCCTACTAAACAGCCACCTCACTGGTCAAATTGACTGCCATGGTGCGTCTTTGTTCACAACTAATTTCCAACCCTGTGATGATGCTACCGCATCACCCTTGATGTTGATAATACTTTCTCCAATCATGCACGTCTTTGAACCCCAGCACGTGACGAATTTTCTGATTAGACAACGGCGCCTCCCATTCGGCCATGTCTCTGGTGATCGGGGTGTTGGGACAATGAATTCGGAGAAACTCTTTGGTTGGAATCGAGGTTGTGATGGTGTCATTTGTGGCATTGAAAGCTTGAAAGCCCAAGCCATCCTTGAGAAGACAGAGGTGGCAGATCTGACCCAGATCGCGGGCGTCGATGTAACTCCATGCATTACGCTTGCGGGTTTCAGGTTGGCCCACGTGTCTGGGAAAGTCGCGGGAGTATTCGTGGGGCTCAATGACGTTGCCGATAATGAGGGCATAGATGTCGACGGAGAATCGGCGAGCAAAGGTGCGGGCGATGCGTTCGCCGGTGAGCTTGCTGCAGGCATATGTATCCATGGGATTTCGGTCATAGGCATCTTCGTCCAGTGGGAAGGAGATGTAGTCGTCGTCACCCTGGCTGAAGCATACGCCATAGGTGGTTTCACTACTGGCAATGATGACCTTTTTCACGCCCAGCTTGCACGCAGACTCGATTACATTGTACGTGCTCATGACATTGGCTCGGAACGTTTCGCTGTCAGGCACAATCATGTTGCGAGCATAGGCGGCAAAATGGATGACTGCGTCTGGAGGACCTGGATGTTTGGGCAGTGCATACTCGTCCATGGAGAAGAGGGACGACAGGGCATTGAAGGTCTGTGCTCCATCGGTCAAGTCGGTCTTGAGGGTGTAGACGGATTTTCCCGGTGGTACGTGGTCCTTTGGGAAGTCGATCAGGTCGAGATTGAGGACTTGATGTCCCTGATCCAAAAGATAAGGGATACAGTGGCGACCCGCCTTGCCAGAACCGCCGGTGAAGATGATTCGTTTCGGTGTGGATGATGCCATATTTGGATATCTTTTGTTGTACTACACACAAGGTGTCAAGAGAGTGTAGGACTGTGTCGACAGCCGAACTCGTTCTTGTACGAGGTCTCTCGGTGAGATTTGGTCCGTTGGAGAAAGTGATGACATAATGGCACATGAAACCATGTCGGTCGATTGGATGGGCCCGGTCAAAGGTTTATCTTGACTGAAATAGGAAGCTCTCAAAAGACGGCACTTTTCTTGCGTTGTAATTTGTTGGCGTCTTGGTCGCTTCGACGTCGAAAGCTGAAGATACTGGATTTTTGCTTCAGATTTGGCTGTTGCGATGGGCCACCAGGGGTCAAGAATGTGGATTGCGCTGCCGCTCCGGTCATGTAAGGCCCTTGATAGCTGCCCCATGCGGCAGAATATGGTGCACCGGGGCCCGGCATGTGAGGATTCCCATACGATGAGTGACTCGAGGCCGAGTGGTGCCTTCCGTCCTGGTTGAATCGAGGTGGAATGGGAGGTCGTACCGCAGCAGCATCCTCCTGTCCATATATGCGACGGAGATGTTCTGTCTCACGGTCAATCTCGGCCCGTCGTCGTCTTCGTTGCTCTTGTTCCTCGGCCTCCAATAACTTGCGTGTCTGTAGTTCCTCTTCCTCTTGTCGTCGTCGCAGTTCACGTGCCTCTTGCTCGGCATCACGTTTGAGTCGAGCGGTCTCGGTGTCAATTTCCCACTGACTTCGAGGATCTGTCGGAGGTATGCGAGAGTCTCGAATTGGAGGGTGTTGAGAAGCCGTCGACGTTTGGCGGCCAATTGGGCTGGGGTTGGATGGGACTGCGGTAGGGCTGGACGGGACGGACCTGCGGCCAGAGTTGGATATGTTGAAGGTTTCTTTAAGTGAGCCAAAGTATACATCGCGGATGACCACAGCGCCGAGTAATAGAACAACCTCGAACCCCTTCAAATCTTCAATGTCCATTCGGTGTAGGTTAGGCTCGTACAGAGTGAGTTCTTTTAGACCCTTGAAGATGGACACTGTAATGTCTGGTTCTTTATGCTTGGGTTTGATGCCTTCGAGATTGGTACTCTTGCCTGCAAGAAAACAGGCTAGGTCCTTGGAGAACTTTCCATCCTTCTTCCATTTGAACACAACCTTAGGCGTGATGTCTGATGCTGTAGGGTCATGCTGGGCTCGGTCAAGGGCCGATACGGATGGTGCCCGGAAGGTCTGTTGGGGTAATTCAAATTCCCATGTAGCTGCAGAGGTGAAGCTGGCAGGTTTATGTCTCACCACGATTTGCTGATCTGGGTTGTAGAGTTGAATGGAGAATTGTGAGGGGAGGATGGGTTCTGGAGGAGGAGGGACGACACCGTTGGAGGGCGAGGCTGATTGTGTCCATTCAGGGATGAGTAAGACTTCTGCATAGAGAACTTCGGAACTATAAGCATCGTAGAGAGCAGCGGCATATCGATTACGAGAGGCGTGTTGTTCAGGGTCAAGATGGCGCAAGGTGTATGAGGGTTCGAAGTCGGCGCCATACTGGGCGAAAAGGAAGGTAGACAACTGTTTGGGTTTGTCCTTGGAGGGCTTCAAAACAAAGGCTTGCAGGGCGTTAGTACTATTCAATCGCTCTGGTATGGTAGCATCAATGTCAGTATCACTTACTGGGCAGGTTTTCGTCCAACATGTCGATGTGTAGGATTTGGGAGGGACAATATCAGCGAATGGGCTTCTTGGTCGAGTCGACCAGAAAACTACGGTGGGCACAAAATGAGGGGTCTGATGAATGAAAGAGGGTATTAGGGATTAAGAAGAACAGAAGAACAGACGAAAAGAATGGCATTTAGGTGGACAAGAGGCATTCAAAGTCACATTCATAATACCAAACACAGCCACGACGACAGAGAGGAGTGAGTACTTTAGTCGGGCGACAAGGCAACAAGGCTTCAAGTTTGACGATAAGCAAAGACGGCGTTGGTTATGGGCCCGAGGGCCCACAGCTGCTACCAAGGAATGGACTCACATAATAATGCAGGTGTATTCGTACTCATGGAGGGGCATTGTCAAAAGAATAAGGTAAGTACATACCTAAGGTACCCTTGATGCCGTACTCCCCACCTAACATTGGCACCATTGACCACCGCCAACAGTTCAAGTCTCGGGGATGGAACAACCTGGGGCTGGTGCCTGGAAGCACGCAAAGTGTCACAAAGGACTCGGTCACTCACAGCCCGCTAGCCCGCAGCCAAAGCGTCGTTCAAGACTTTCGAGTGTGACGCGTTCAGCGGTTCAACGCCCCACAAGGCTGCCATGTTTCTACCCGTAGGCGGCACATCAAGGGCGGAAAGGCCCCTTAGTGCCTAACAGGGGTGCTTGAATTCCCCTTCTTTGGCGTCATTGGGCGGAGTCATGGGGACGGGAGGAGCACCTTAGGCGTTGATATTCAAGGCTTTATCACAGTTTGAAAACATTGTTTGTTCCGAGTGCACAGCCTGGCCGCCCAAGCACAGCCTCGTCAAATGAGATGATGCCACGACTTGCCCACAAGAATTGCTGCTATTCTGTCCAAGGTACGTTTCTCAATGTTCAATCCTTGCGACGGTGGGCTTCAAGCCTTGCATTATGAATCTTGCTTTAACCTCCATCACTCCTTGCGGGGAACAAGGCAGAATTGTATCCCACCAAATATAGTACGTGGACAAGATCAATCCGCATTAGGGCCACCTCATCCACGAAGCTTGTTCACAGTAATAAGGATACGACGCGTGGACAACCCCGATTAGGTAGCCCTAGAGCCACGGGTATACAGAGAGCCTTGGTACTTTGTTTAGCCGGGTATGTTTCACATCACACCATCTCAGTACTGTAGGCATATCCCCTTCATCTCATTGCAACCTCAGGGCCTCTTCGTCAAGCACTCCAAACAACTCTTCGACATCACTCACCACCTTGTCAATCCCAACGCTCAATTGTCCCGTGACGAGGGCATATGTATACAAAAGACTATAGTCTTCGTCACTCGTCCGTTGCTCCTCAGCGTCATGTCGTCTGTAGGCGAAAATCTTGGCAAGGAGACGGTCCCTCGTATGATCGATATTGGGCAACGCGTCACTGGGAATCGCGTACTCGAGCTTCATCGAGCTTGCCAACACGCTGAACAAATGACTGATTCGTCCGCACAACTGCGCCCTTTCCTTGGCAGTTGCTTTGAGCAATGCGTCTTCTCCAGGCGATGCTGTTAGATCCTTCAGGATCACTTCATTCATTGCGTGGAATGCGTCCAGCATATCCTTAGTCTCGTCCAGAATTCTTGCATATGTCGCGTGGGGGAATGGCCTCCGCAGTTCAAACTCGCTCTTGGACGCTTCTGTCAACGCCTGAAGGCTGGCCAGATATCGTTGCAGATAGTACTCTTCACGCAGATTCATGTACCCGTCTGGATGCATTCCTTCTGTCAAGGTTGCTAGTGGATCACGCTTCCAGATCAGCCCCATTCGTAACCACAGCAAGGACAGCCCATCCTTTAATTTCTGTCGGGCCGACTGAGGCCAAACCACCCGGGTGATGATCAAGCCCCAGAGGCAGCCAGAGAGAACTGCCACAACTCGATGTGTGGCAATGGCGAAGATGAATGGATTGTTCCCTTCGTCTTCTTCATCTCCGTCGTCGTCATCGTCCAGGGCCGTGAGACTGTAGGCATAGAGCGCACTCAGGTTGTATGTAAGCATGATGAACCGGCCCATAGGACCTTTGCCCTGCCCAACGATTATGTACGCAGTCCAGTATGCCATGCAGAAGCCGAAAAATGCCATAGCAAACGGGTTTCCTTGACAAGTTTCCCATGCTGCAATGGCAAGACCTGCTCCTAAGCAGGTACCCAGCACCCTGGAATACCCAGTAGTGTTGGAGGCTCCAATGGTCATACTGCATACCAGCATATACGACACCAATCCCCACTCACCTCGCCAATGTGAGTACGTTGGTCGGCTTGCGGGAATGAAACTTGCCGCAGCGTAGAGCATCGCTCCTAATCCAACTTTGATTGCGAACTTGACATCTTCACGTCGGCCAAATGACATGACCGTATACAGTCGTTGAAACAACCATTGCTTGAACTGAGACCGGCCTGGCCACATCGGCTTTGAATGGAGCTCTGGCAATGTGGTCGGCGGTTGCCCAACCTGCAAATCCAGTGCATTTGCTCGGTCAAGGACTTTCGCAAAGTCGGGATCCACCCCATCGAGGTCGTGCGACGCATCTGTTGACGACCAGAATTTGAGCCACCTCCATGATCGGCCGTTGGGCTTTTCATCCACCTCGAGCTGAAATTCATCCAAGATGAGCAGGTAATCTTTGATGGATTCGGCAACCTCGACAAGCGAAAATGAAAAATACCCGCAGCAGGCAGCCGCCTCCTCCCAGTCGGCTTGCACAGGAATCGGTCGGGAGATGTCCATAATCTTCTGCTCGTACACCATGTCCAGCGAAGCCTTGCGTGTGGTTTTGTAAAGTTTCAACGCACGGTCAAGACTGACCTTGAACTTGGGATTAGTCAAGGCCGCATAGTCTCTAGGCTTGTCGAAAGGAAAGTCATCAAGAATTTCCTTCAAGGTGAAAGCTAGTGATCTCATAGCTGGTCCAAGGTTCTCGATGAAGATATCAAAGATCTGCACAGGAGTGCGAAACTTGAGCGGAGTCTGCTGGGATTTGTCGCCGCCCTTGACCAAGTCCGGGGACAGTGGGCTGAAGAAGTCCGTAATGTTTGCGTGGGTGGTACTCGGTTTTCGATCCAAATAAGAGTCAAAAGGAGACTGTACCAAACTTCCAAGGGGGGGAGTATGTGTCCAAGAACTCGTAGGAGGCTGTTGATTGATAATGATAAATTGCATTCTTGCCGCACTTCGCAGCCCACCTATGCTTTGAGATATTCGTTGAATGCAATGAGCGAGTTTATCTTCGGCCGCAGCCTGACGCTCGGTGCCCAGCAGGTAGTGCTCGTATTTTGACTCCTTCAAGCCCTTCGGCATAGAGGCAGAGAGCTTCTTGTGACGCTCACTGATATCAATAAATATTTTGTCTTCCAATTCCGCCTGGTCCCCCGATAGAAAACTGCTCGTAGTCAAGGCGAGCATGTCTGACAGGCAATCAGTAACATCTATCAGGCTCTGGCGAAGCTTTGCTCTGGCGGAAATCGGGAAAACAATAAATGAGACGAGCATGGTGGAAAGGACGCCGGCAATGAGCATACGGAGGATCTGGGATATTTTTTCAAACGAGTAGTCCCCAGCTTGGACAGCGCCTTCTTTTGTCAAGACGGTAATCAGACCCAAAGAAGCCAACGAACATGCGATGTTAACCAGGGGATCGTTGAGCTTGAGTTTGACCCATCCTATGAAGCCAAGTCCGCCGCCAATAAAGACGACAAGCACCACGATATGTCCAAGCACGGCCAGATGCACCGCGTCGGCAAAAAAGACAGCAACTGTCATGCTCAAGAGCGAAATGAGAGCAGTATAGATGAAAGCTGTTGTGGCAAGGAGCAATGCGTCCAGCATGCTCCCCAGAGACCTTGCAGGATGGAAGTAGACGGTTATTGTGGCTACCATGTGCTTGGAATCTTGCCGGCCCAGTAAGCTGCTGATGACGGGTACAAATGTGGCAAGGCTACCAAGCAGGTATGCAAGTGCGCATTTGAAGATGCCCTTGCCGGTATCTGAGAATAAGAAGTTCTTTGTATTGGTGGTATGTTCTTTCAGCGATCCAGCAATGGTATTAGGCCTCGAAGATGAGGGATTCTGAGGCCGGTCCCCGCTGGAGGCGAGTAATGGAGTGGTATCATCAGGGTAGGAGTTTGGAGGTAGGACATTGTGGCTTTGGGACGAGCGTAAAGTGAAGCTCTTGTTCCGCCGGGCGCCAGTAGCGGGATCAATGTATGAGGACAGTCGCAACTGAAAGATGTCCTCGTCAGCAAGAGACCGTTGGACGACGGAAGAAGTGGCAATACGCTTGCTCTATGATTCACGTGATGATCGATGAGAGGAGGGTCAGCCATGTTATGGGACTGCTCGGTAGTACAAGGACGAGACGAACGCGCCTGAAGATGAGGGAAATGGAAATGTCAAGTATTGCATAGTTATATCAAACGGTGTCGAAGGTCAACGGCATGATGCAAAGAGACTTTGACTGTGACTGAGAGGAATGTAATAGATGGATGGAATGAGGAAGAGGTACAAGACAGTCGATAGGTAGTGATAATCAAGATGGTTCCAAGGAATCTGTCTGAGATGGAAGTATGGAAGGGTTGAAGTGTTTGAAGTATTGAAGTCTTGAAGTGTCTCGAGATAACTTTTAACGCGGTTCCCATCAGGGAAGGAACGCGAGCTCGCATGTCACTCTCTCCCAAAGGCAGGAACGACTGGGCTGGTCTCGGTCCGACATTCTACCGAAGTTGCAGCAATTTTTATATCAAAATACTTCTGTCGCATTTGACCATAGATAGGCCTAGATGTCAGCCACAGCACCATGAGCATTTTGATCAGAAAGCCCATTCTAAGAATTAAGTCAGTGTTGCCGCTCTGATGCACCTGCATTGTGGCTCCCGTACGAGGGCTCCCGCCACTTCTCATCTAACCTGTTTCCCTGGCACTTCTTCCGAGTAAAGGAACACCGCAAAGCTGAATTGCCCCTAACCAGCAATTCTTCTCTCTCACATGTCTGAAAAGCATGATGCTCATGCTAGGCCACCGGAGTTCTTGCGTGAAATTTTCAAGACTCTGCGCAAATGCCCTCCCTTAGAGTTGCCTTCTCTCGTCGACACCTGGATCGACAGCAAGCCAGGAGGTGAAATGATAAGGCAGGTCGCCGATTTTCCAGATGGGTTTGACCCTTCACAATGTGAAGAAGCCCTTCAGGCTTTCTCCCAGGCAGTCGCACACGCTACATCCTGCTGTCTCCCCAATGTACAACCTGAGGCAACAAGGCCGGTATTCGAGATACCTTCGCTACCTGGTACTGACATTTTTCAAATTTCTGTTCGCCAGCGGATTTGTTCTGACATTTACGAGCAGGCTTGTATTTGTTCCCGGGTCTGTTGACGCCACAGGTGCAGGTCGCTCTCCTCGAACGACTGCTTCATCGAGATCTTAGCAATCCTACTCACAACACCAACATCGACTTGCACTTTAAATTACATGATTTGAAACATACTATGCTTCCTTCCGATGGCCCTAACAAGGGTTCCAATTCATTCTTCTCCCTCGATCAAAAGACAGTTATAGCGCCCCATGATGCCAGCATTCACAAACCAATCACGGTCAAACAGCTCCTCGACAGCAAACTCCGATGGGTCACACTGGGCGGGCAGTATGACTGGACGAATAAGATATATCCTTCAGAGCCCCCTCCAAGATTTCCAGCAGATATTGCGACACTCATGGAGAGGCTATTTCCCAACGTCGATGCCCAAGCAGCTATTGTCAATTTCTACAGTCCAGGGGATACTCTAAGTGTCCACAGGGACGTAAGTGAGGAGTGTGACAACGGCTTGATCAGTGCAAGCATTGGATGCGATTGTATTTTCATGATTGGCAACCAAGATGGAAGCTCTGCAAGCGCCATCCGGCTCCGCTCCGGAGATGTCCTCCTCATGTCCGGAGAATCCAGGTTTGCATGGCACGCAGTGCCAAAGATCATCACGGATACATGTCCCTCTTGGCTAGAAGACTGGCCTGTGATGGATAAGACCGCGTCGGAGCAGTATCAGGGTTGGCAAGGATGGATGCGTAACAAGCGAATCAATCTCAACATCAGACAAATGCACCAAGCTCGGCAAAGAACTGGTGCGGGGCATTAGCAAACAGTTATTAAGCAGATATAGCCATGGAGGGGGGCAGAAACTCATATGCGAACCAGCAGCTCCAACAGCTTCGGGTAGAGAGCATAGTGCATACCTTACCTTCGTAGCCGGGATTCAAGTGTGGAGATGTTCATGTCGTCTGCCGGAAAAGCCCACCTTACAATTCTCGAACTGGTAAATAGACACCTATCTTAGTAGTTGATGATCATTCCCGTATCGGCACAAATAGCCAGGCAGCATCCAAATATTTAAATCCTGATCCCCCCCTGTGTTCTTAAGTCTAGTATATCATAATAATCACCTCAGTCGGCAACATGACGGCTAACTGGGAGATCAAGGCCAAGGCCAAAAGAGAGGCCATCTTCAACTCCATTCCAGAAAAGTGGCGCCTAGCCAAAGTGCCAACAGCCGAGGAACAGAAAGATGTCACCGGCACTTATGTTCATCAGTTCCTTGACAAAGGCGAGATTGAAATCACCGAGACAGATGCTGTTGGCATCGCTGAAAAGGTAGCATCGGGAGAATGGACTGCCGTTGCTGTGACTGAAGCATTCTGTCATCGCGCATCACTGGCCCATCAACTCCTCAACTGCCTGCACGAGACATTCTTCGACGCAGCACTGGCATCTGCAAAGAAGCTCGATGAGTATTACGCAAAGAATAAAAAGACCATCGGACCTCTTCACGGAGTGCCAATTTCATTGAAGGATCAATTCCACATTGAAAATGTCGACACCACCATGGGATATGTGGGCTGGATCGACACTTTCCAAGGCGATGCCAACGACCCAAGAAAGCGTAAATACGAGAGTGAGATGGTGAGAGAGTTGAGAGCCCTAGGCGCCGTCTTGTACTGTAAGACGAGTGTGCCACACACTTTAATGAGTGGAGAGACTGTCAACAACATCATCGGATATACGTGGAACCCCAAGAACCGATTCGTTACCTGTGGAGGCAGTTCTGGAGGCGAAGGTGCCTTGATCGGATTCAGAGGCTCGCCAGGTGGCTTTGGTACCGATATTGGTGGTTCCATTAGAATTCCCTCTGCTTTCAACGGTCTGTATGGTCTCCGACCAACCTCAGGACGTCTACCGTACGAAGGCATGGCCAACAGCATGGACGGTCAAAACACCCTTCTCTCCGTCGTTGGACCCCTAGCCACTTCGGCTCGAACACTCAAACTGCTCACCAAATCCCTCTTGTCTCAAACCCCATGGCTCTACGATCCACTGGTTGTCGACATGCCATGGCGTGACGCTCAAGAACAAGCAATTCGTGATGTTGTCAGCTCTGCCGCCTCATCCAGTGGCCCATTGAGTTTCGGCTACTTCAAGTCGGATGGAGTGGTCAACCCTCAACCTCCCGTTGCACGAGCAGTGGATATGGTAGTGGAGGCGTTGAAAACGGCAGGTCACAAGATCATCGAGTGGAAGCCACCACCACACACCGAGCTTATTGCTATTGCGATGAAACCATGGCTTGCCGATGGTGGAAAAGACGTCTACGACTCGTTCGCATTATCCGGAGAGCCCATGTCGACTCAAATCCAGATGAGCTACGGCGGGGGTCCTCGGGAACAATTGAAGGCATCGGAAATTGCAGCCGTCAACGTCGAAAAACGAGCAATCCAGAAGAAATACATGGATTACTGGAACAGCACTGCTGAAATCACTGGCACAGGCCGACCCGTGGATGGAGTCATCTCACCCGTGGCTCCTTACCCAGCCGCCAGACAGTTGAAATATCTCTACTACGGCTACACTGTTTGGGTCAACGCCCTCGACTACACCTCGGTGGTCATTCCCGTCACCCAAGGGGATGCGGCCAAGGATGTATATCCCAAGGACTACTCTCCATTGAACGACCAGGACAAGCAAGTCTTTGACTCATATGATGCCCAACTCTACCAGGACTCGCATGTTGCTGTTCAGATTGTGGGCAGGAGATACACCGAGGAGAAGATGATTGCCATTGCCGAATACGTCGGTGGCTTGCTGGGGAAATAGATTGTTCAAGCTGCGTCAGTCAGAAAGAGTTGGTAGATCTTCAAAGTGACGCCTATATTCGCAGAAGATATCGTGTTCTACCTGGTGTCTATTTAGATAGTCCTCAATGCATTAACGGCTGTTTGCATGTGTAGACTGAGAACAGCGGTCACAAGAGCCATGGCTGAAGTCAAAAGAACAATGAAAAGTCGTATGCCTAGGGAAACAATGTTTTGAATTGTGTTTGTATTTGCAAACTCTCTCTCTCGCCCTAAGTGGCAGAACCCGACCGTATCAACAACCCGTCCGAGTAGTTGTACATGTGAAGACTATTCATCTCTCGGCTCGGATTGCTGTTGCTGTCAAAGCTGCCTCTCTAGTTACAAGCCCCAATGACTATTCCATCCTGGGGGGCTCCAGATCAATGTCCTCGAGATTGTTCCACAGATCAGGACCGATGAGTTGTTTGAGCCGGTTAGATTCTCGAGTCTTTTGGTCATCAGGCTCCGAAACCACCCTCTTTTTCCCTTTCTTGCCTGTTTTGTTGGGCGATGAAGCCTCAATGTACGAGTCTGATGTCATTGAAGTGTCGTCGTTGTCGTCCAGAATGTTACTGAGGATCTGGTCAAAATTGATATTCTGGTTGGCAGTAGAGACTGGCGCGGGAATCGACACAGTGTCGTTGTCTTCATTGACGTCAGATTCAGACATGATGTAGTCGCCATCGCTTTGAACTTGGCCAAGGTCTGTCTCTTCATCGATCTCAGGTATCTCATTCTGGTCGACATCTTCTTCGGGGTCGGGAGGATAACGACATTGGCTGGGAAATACACATTTCTCACAACCTTTCAAGGAACGTGGGCTCTTGAGGATTTTGCGAGCTTTTCGTTTCCACGCACCCCATGCCCGCCAGGTCACATAGTCAAACTCGCTGGAGCAACTTTGTCTCTTTTTCCTCTTACGCAGATTGGGCTGAGCGGCTTCCCCGCTGCAGTAGTAGTGGCCATCTACCAGACAACGGCGGGTTACTCCAAGTGGATAACGGCTGTGACATAGGTGACAGATCCACACCCAAGTGAGAGGCTCTTCTGGTGGTGGTGGGAGTTTGGCTTTGAGGTGAGAGTTGGTCATAGTGGTGACCTGATTAGTGGAGAATGGCTGTTCGGAGGAACTGAGGATCCTGGCAGGATCAAACGGTGGTAGAAAGGTTAACGCAGAAGGATCAGGCATGTAAGTTGGAGATCGGGGTGAACGAATACCCTCATGAGATTGAAAACTAGTGTAGCCAAGTTTGTTGACTGAAGTGTCCACGGCTGGTTTGGATGCACCTCCTGATCTTGTTGAAAGCATGATCCTGGCACAATATGAGAGGAAATGAATAGGAAAACAAACCAATTCGAACCGTTGCGGTGAATAGGTTCTCTGCGCAAAGTCACATCACAATGGGTAAGGGTCGGAGAGGGCATTGAAAAGAGAGTAAGGCGTTTGCAGGATGTCATTGTTCTTGTGAAGACAATGAGATGGACATGCGGAAGACAAGAGCGCGGTTCAGTAACAGCAGACACGGGATCCTGCTTTGTTGGGTCAGTACTAAATTTGAACTTAGTGATGGATTGAACAGAATTTGATGTGCAGAACAAAGATGGGCGTCACTCCTGGTGCAAACCTGTGTTGGTTGTAAATTGGATTGTAGGTGGACAGAAAGTTAGAGGTATTGCAGTTGTCTTCAAGGGCTGCAGTCGACCTCGATCTCTCAGCGCAGAAGAAAGCCATTCATTCGACATGACTTTTACACCAGATCCTGGCATGCATGGAGAGACATAAGCATGCCACATGGATGTACAGGTTGAGTGAATACGCTGGTGGTAGTAGCGTAGTGTGATGGTAGCGTGAAGTTGGTAGTTGGATGTTTCAGACAGGCGCAGTCGGACGCAAGGCTGGAAGAATTAAGCCCTCGTGATATTCCTTGGCAAAGCACCAGCCACGAGTTTCTGATCAACGCTAGTACCAAATGTAGTTTAGATCATGTGTCACTCTTGGCACAATTGATGTGGCGGGTGGGCGGGTGGCTGGGCAATATCTTCTCCTCTCCTCTTCTCTCTCATCGCCATTCACATGATCATCTTCTGCTCTTCTGCCCAACCACTTGATGCCCAGCCCAGCCTCAGTATAATGAATCCTTTCCCATTCACAAGAGGCTGGGCTTGCAATTTGCGGAAGACTACATCTATGCAGCTTTGACTCTGCGCTTGCTAACATTCCACACTCTTCATTCCAACATTCTGAGAAACTCACATTGACTCTGGTACAGTAGACCGTCAAAGTTAACCCAATCCAACCCATCACTCACCAACCCAACTCAACCCAACCAACCCTCCAAGTCCGAAGACACTGCCATTTTCCTTAGGATCAATTGATCAACCGATCATCACCTACCACTGCAGACCGGACCTTTCAACACCATCAAAATAGCTCCCCCAGCGCTTGTAGAAACTTGTTTTGTCGTTTCCATCCCGCCACCCTCGTCGTCACCCCCATCATCCCCTACCTCTACCTCTTCCTCACCGAGAGCATTGACAGCCCGTGTCGCTCAAACCCACCCCATCCCCATCCGACAACTCCCCGACAGTTCGACTCTTCTGATCGGACCTGGCCTGAGCCCACCAGCACCCAAAAAGTTTCGAACATTGTTGGATTTCAATTTCAATCCGTTTGGACATTTCCGTTCACGCAGTTCTCCGTCGACACTTCAAGGATTTGTTGGATCGCATGCGCTTGTGAAACCTTCAAGCAGTAGCAACAGGAAACCATCTCACAGCCGAAGACACTCGACACCCCCATCCCATTTCCACCGTCAAAATGGTCCAGCAGAACGTCGTCATAGCCATCATCGTCCTGAGCCTGTTTGTGGTTCTGGCTCTAGTGGGATACGGCATCTATGCAGTACAGAACCGAGTGAGCCTGTTTGCGAGTCGGGAGAAGGAACTGGACGAGGAGGAAGAATAACGTCGACTCAGGTTCCTGAGTCGGCGTCAAAACCAGCACTGGTGCCAGTGGAAACTGCGGTACCAGTGCCGAAACCAGTCTCTGCTCTCAAAAGATCTTCTCCCAGCGATGAGAAAACCGGGGAATCTTGTCCCATTTTCACCAAAACATCTTCTGGCCCACGAGGCATCGTGGTATCTGAGAGTGTGGCGAACAAAAAGATGCGGACACGATCGGTGAGGTTCAAATTAACCACGGCGGATGGGTTTGATGAGGAGGTGATTGTTCCTCCTTGGCCAGACCCCGAAGTCGTCGTACTACCTGAACCAGATCCGACTGGCAAACGCACGATTTCGGGACAATTGAGGTATGAAGACGAGCGAGACACGTGGTTTTGACGGATGGACTCGCTCAAGGAACGATTTTTTTTTTTACAATTTGTTTTCCTACCGACGATATTTGTCGGACACGACGACGTTGATGACCGATCGACCGACCGATTTGGATGATACACATACAATTTACGACAGCGCGTTATACATGTATCTCTACAACGATATCATGGATTCATGGTCACCATTTTTTGGGCGTTCTGAGATGAAATCAAACAAAGGAAACGGAAAGAGTTAGACAATTGGGATATACGTGGAATATATTTGGAATAAATACAACCCTAGTTCTATGTCATGTCAGATGAGATAATCAACGACTTTGCATCAAATCCTTGTTTGCGCTGTTGCCGTGAACGTGAAGATTAATATTGTACAGATGGTCATTTGTTGCCACGGGGATGCCGATCGCAGCCATAATAATTGGTTTTCGTCTTTTGTTAGAAATCCGAAATGATGCTGATATTGCCTCTTTGCCTCAGAGCAGTAGCACGTCTGGCATCTTCTTCAGCCTGATTGACCCCGTTCAAACCGGTTGTAGTTGCGGATGTAGGACCAGACCCATTGGTCATGCCAGGTCCTGCTGAGTCGGGGTGTGGCTTGGTGAATTCACCATATTTGGGATTTTCTCCTGACCCACCCTGCCCAGGGTTCCCTAGGCCGGGCGCGGAAGATGTGGAAAGAGGTATTTTCCGGAGTCGATCCTCCTTGATGCGATTCTTCCACTTATTGACTAGACGGTCAAAGTCCCACTTGTCAACGGGGGGACCGAGGTTGGCGCGGTCTACGTTGATATTCCGTAGCGCCGTATTGGAACTGTCCTGCTCTGACATGCCGTCGCCGGTATTGTGACTGGGGTGAGCATTATTGTCGTTGCTATTGTTGTTGGCGGGTAACTTAGTCAAGCTGATCAACCTGAGTTCCTCCCTCATTTCCTTACCCCAAGTGCGGCGTTCAGGCGGCCATAAAGCCATTTCGCGCGGCCACTGACATTTGCTGAGATAGTCAACCTGCTGCTGCAGGTGTGCGGCCTCTTGACGCACAGTCTCGAGACTTTCCTCCAGCTCGGCAACGCGGGTCTGTTCAGTGTGGTAGGCACGGAGGAGCTCGACGTGCCAGAGCAAGGTGCGAATGTCGAGTGGGTTGGCCATCCAGTTCTGGAATGCTGCGTCGAGGTGCAGCAGGGTGGATTCAGTCCACTGTGCGGCGGACCGGGTTAAGAAATCGGCCTCCTCGGCGATGTTACTGGTGGTAGGCTGGGAGAGACGTAGGGTTTGCCATTTCCACAGGTCGATGCTCTGTGTGATTTGTTGACGGAGCGGATGTAGTTGCTCCGGGCCCGGGGCCGTGATGGGGATCGAGTTGGCCGTCCCAAATGGAGCGGCTTGGAAGAGTGTTGGGGGAGTTGGGAGGATCTTGAGGCATAATGACGGGAAGGTCTGAGAATGGACATCGAAATTGAACGGCGAGGGTTTGGGTGAGGCGTTTTTGGTAGCGGCGCGCAGAGAATCGAGGACTTCGCGGAGTGAAAGCTCGAGGGCTCGTGTGGTCTCGGGGCTGTTCATGTCAGAGGAATATGTCGCAAAAGATCGTTTGGTGCCTTGAGCTTGAACCTGGGGTTGGTTCAGATTGGATGTCATTGTAGTTGAAGGGCTGGAGACGAGGGCAGGGGTGGGGGGCGCAGGCAGGCCTGGAGAGTCGAGGGAGGTGGGATCAGTAATGACACCAGTCGCTTGCCAATTCAGTCGATTGAGTCGCATGTGGAGGCCACCTGGAGGGACACGATTGAGCTCTTCGGCATTGGTGGCCACAACAGGAGCATTTGAGGGTGCGACTGAGGGACTCGCTCGCCGAGAGGCTGTATCTTCGCGCTCAGCACTGAGGTCGTTGTTGAGACCCTTCTTCTCAGCGGCAGCACCTCCTCCTCTGGCAGTCCGTCGCGTGATTCCTCCACGCATGCGACGGATCTCATCCACATTATGAATACCATCAGGCTTCTTCTTGGAGATGAACTGGTCGAGATGTCTCCCTAACGAGGAAGAAGTGAAGGGTTGATGACAGTAGGGACACTGCTTGTCCTTTGGGGCAGGAACTTTGGCCTCGTTGAGTTTTGTAGTTGAGCCGTTGGCATCGTTGTTCTCCGAGTCGGAGGAGGAGTCGGCATGGGCACTTTCAGCCATGGAGAGGAGGCGGTGGGATTGCGAGATGGGGTGTGGGTGTGGCCTGGCTCGATCCTGCAGGCATCCACAAAGACCTTAGTCCAGATTGTGTGCAGATTGGTTGATTACCCAGGATTGTCTAAGCAAAGATGGGGATGGCAAGCGAGAGATGAGTCAAGCTGCATCCGAATCAACTACTGTAGATGCTAGATTCCTGGGTGGGTTAAGCTGGATAGAGATGGCCAGAGATGCCCAGGGTGGAGGGGTGTATTTCATTGAGGGAGATTCTGTTGGATGGGTGGAGGGTGGAGGTGGAGGACTGAGAGAACTGGATTCTAGGGCAAAAAATGAGAAAAGACGACCAACCTGAGTGGAAAATGGATGTGGTGGAAGCGGAGCATGAGAGGGAGCTTGGTGCAGGGCCAGATCAGGACGACATTATCGAAGAATTACCTAGGTCCTCAGGTACGGTAGATAGTGATAATACTGCTCCTACGAAAGGTGAGTCGAGTCGAGTCGACCTGGTGATGAGTTCTCGTCCGAGCGGCGAGATGCAGGATGCAGGATGTGGTGGAGGCTGAGCGGAAGTCTCGGGAGGTTTCATTCCCGGTGAAAGAGTTCCTCCGTGGATTTGGGGGTGGAGGGTGCCTTAACTCCAGTTAACTCCCGCCCTATGATCTGCACCCAGAGCGTACTCCGTAGGTGGTATTTGTGATTCCTTAGGCACCTGGGTAGCCTAGACTTACCCGGAATGGATTGTTGCGTCTATGTGGACATTGAGGCGCCCCAGTCTTCCCTTCTTTGGCCCACGCTAACCAAATCTTGCTGAATCACGAGTGCAGGTTCACCCACGGCTCGTTCCGCACTGATGCTAATAAATAATAACTGACTAATAAAGAACGGAAGAACTCTCTTTAGGGCCGGTGCCTGACACGTGCATAGGCACCAAATCCTCCACTGACGTCCATCAAATCTACCATCTCTACCCAAATGACAAAAGAAAGAAAACAACATCTCTTCTTCTAATACATATACTTTCTTCTCTTGGCTCGTCATGTCTCATTCACAGACTACCAGACTACCTAGGTAATGTTCGTGTTCGTATTCATGTCATCATTTCCAATCACAACGCTTATTATATATACATTCCTTCTCCATTCACGGACTAGAAGGCTTCCAACTCTGTCTCCTCCCTGTTGCGCGCAGTCTCCTCTCTTCTCGTTCTCTTTGACTTTGCTCCTCGAACCTTCTGCGGCTCACATCGTATTCTGAGGGACCTTCCGCCATGATGGGTTCATGTGCACTGGTTCTATGACTGCGATCGGTCCGGGGTTGCTCCTCGAAAACTGTGATGCGGTGACCCTCGCCATCGTTCGGCCGGGAGAACTGGTCGTGTCTGTGTCCCTGGTTCGTCTGGCGATAGCGGCTCGTCGACGAAATCCGGGAATGGTCCGATGCTACTGGTGTGGCTTTGATTGGTCCCGGTCCTCCTTCCACCACCGTCCGCACTCCGCTCGCTGGCTCCTCCCGTGTTGAGGCGGGTATCAGGTCTCGCCAGGTAGCCGGGGATGTCCCCGGTGGAGCTGGCCTCGACCTGGTGCCTATATTCGTAATATTGGCTCCTGGGTTTGCCATTATCGTCGTGGGCATGGGCATCGTCTCGGTCGTGCGACTCGTCATCTGCCATCCGTCAGCCTCATCAGAATCTGACCGGGCACGGGGAACCACGTGGTTGGGATAACCACGAGGATTTAGAGAGTCACGATAGGTTTGTGGGATTGAAGCATAAGGGGGAGGGGAAGTGGATGGGCAATAAGGCTCAGCACGGTGATGGGATTCATCAAACGAACCAAGGTGAGAATCACCCTTAACCAGACCTAGTCTTTCTTCTTCTGTCGCATTCCTTGTCGCTCTCCTATCATGTGTGGCGCTTGACCCTCGACTGCGGAGCTGTGGCCGCTCTTGTGATGAGAGTACATCCGGAGTCCGTGAACCCGGCCGAAGGAAGTTCGTAAAAGAAAATTGTCGCCGTGCCTCGTGGCTGGCTGGGAGGTTGGGTGAAGATTCCAGTTTGGGGGCAAGTGGTTTCGATCTTGGTGATGGTTGTGCTGAAAAGAAGGCGGATTTGTCATCTGGGGGTCGTCTTTCGCCTCGAGCAAGCCCATAGATGCGTTCTTGGGCGAGCTCACGGCTGCCAGGACCAGACGGCGAGACGGGAGATGGGGAATTGGCAGGATGGATCTTGATCTCATCCAGAGCCACTGGGTGAACAGGACTCTGCAATGCGCTGTCATAAGCGGCGTCATTACCAGGAGATGCATGTCGGGCAGTCTGAGAGCGGCCGCGGAGGGACTGGAAGAATCCAGGGCTGGGATGTCGTTCCTCATCTTCTGGATCTGGATAATGTGACATTCCCAATGGGTAATGAACGGTTGGTCTCCGTGGGAGTGGAGATCCTGGCTGACCAATGATAGTCTTTCTACGTCGAAGGCCATCCCATTCCACAATCTCGTTCTCACGCACAGGCTCGAGTTGATCCTTGAGCGTGTCCTCTCTCAATCTCCTGGCTTCTTCTTGCTCCATCTTTTGCCGCGACACCGAGATTCTTCGAATCAAAGCAGCGGTACCGCGAATCGCGTCGGCTTTTGGTTCTGTTTCTGGCTGCTCTACCTCTCCGATTTCTCTGACTTGGTCGAGGTCGCCCTTGAAGACAGCAGCATCGGGCACATCTTTGGCTGACTTGGACATTTGTAGCAGCACGACTCCCGTGCAAATTTGGAGGAAGCCCATGATGACAGTGGTTATGCTGACCGGAGTTCCCTTGAAACCCCGAAACAGAATGGCTGATGTGATGATGGTTGCGCTGGTGAAGACTACATAGTAAGTTGGGGTGACGAGCGCGGCATTGAAGATGTTCAAGGCCTTGTTGAGGTAAATGATTTCGGTCAGGAGCGTGGCGATGACAAAGACCAAGAGGACGTAGAGAAACCACTGATTGAACTGAGGCTTGCCGCCAATCTGAGCGACGACGGCGCTACCCAACCCCTGAGTGGCGACGACGCTGAGACCGCCAATGAAACTGCAGATGCTCAAATACACGAGCATGCTTTTCTTTCCATACCTGGGAGCGACCCAGAAGGCAACAAAGAGGCAAGCGACGATGACGACGCCAGCATAACTCAAAAAGCCCGGTGATATGACATAATTCTTCATCTGCTGGATATCGGCCACTGCGCTCTGCTCCGGGGCGTTGAGAACAATGACGACACTGCCAACAATGCAATTGAAGCAGCCAGCTTTGCCCACAAAGCTCAGCCGTTCCTTCAAGAAGATGGCAGATAGTATAGTGGTCACAACGACACTGAGGGCGCCCAGAGGGGTGACCAGGATGGCATCGACAAAAGCATAAGCAACAAAATTGCAGATCTCGCCAACGATCATCAAGGTCATGCCTCCCCACCAGTAGGCATTTTTCAGGTACCCATATCCCTCACCAGCCTCTTCGTTGTATTTGGCATTGGCCTTCAACAAGCCAACCTTCTTCATGACAAAGGAGATACCGATGAAGATTCCCGATGCGACGGCGAGAGAGAGGCCGACAGCCTTGAAGACAGGCGGCCGATCATTTTCAGAGGATGTTGTCGATGTGGTGGAATTGGTGTCGTCTTGTCGAGAAACAAGTGTATGGGCGACTGCCCATACCTGGGGAGAGACGGCGTCCATGGTGAGGAGGTTTGCTGTCCGTGCAGGCTAGAGGGTAAAGGGGGAATGTAGGACGAGGACCAAGGCTCAAGGTCATTGAACTGCCATGGACGCGGTGTTGCAGGGCACGGGGGATGTCTCTGCTGGTCGGACTTGGAAATGTAACAAGGCTGAGAGGGGTTGAGCGCTTGCAAGGAAATGATGGTCTAGGCGTAAGTAGAATACGAAGGTGTCAAAGAAGGGATCTAAACGTGTCGGACAGATACCTTGGTATAGAGCAAAACACGAAAAGGATACAGGATGCAGCTTGGGCGCCGTGGAAACGGTCTCAAAGTGGATGACGCAGTGGGTAGAAACGTGGTGGCACGGTGGGAAAGCTGCGTCGACGAATCAGCTCGTGAGATTATCGACCAATTCGAGAGACTTGCGTAGTCGGGTGTGTGATTCCGAAGGCGCTGAGCCTTTGTTAAGACCGCCGATTCTAGGCCTTCGAGGCCCCCTCGGCCCACCTCGAAGGCTAGAGGACATTTCCGAGGGCCTAGCGCCTTGGTGCCACTAAGCCTCCTAATAGTATATAGTACCTAGGTAGTCAGACGGCTCGCCAGCTGTCTCTTCGAATGGCCAAGTCTCTTATGAATCGCGGGTGAGCGGATCAACTTGCAGCTCTGGCTCCAATACTTTGCCTTTGACAGCATCAGCTTGATAACGGTAAGCGCTTGCCATGACTGCCCACCTGGTACTGACCCATCGCTCAAGCTAGGGAAGTCCTTTGATCTTGTTCATGATGGGCAAGACAAACATAACTTCTTATCAGCGCTCCATCAATCCCTGCTCTATGGTGCCAATGTGGGAGTGTGTTCTGAGCTTCACTGGTACCTCGGGAAACTGATGAGTTACGTTTCGAATTCGGGTGTCGACTGGATGGTCAACTTTGTCAGCACCCAGTTTCAGGAGCGGATCGCACAAGTCGGCTACCAAAATCTCGCAGATGCCAAGGAGAAAGACTTCTTAGGCACCACATTGCGCCTCCATACGCAACAGCCTGACAAGATTGGACTCAAGGACGTCTTTGGCATGAGCCTCCAAAATATCGGAGCCGGGTCTGATGCCACTTCCGTCAGCCTGGCCGGGATTATGTACCACTTGATCACGCACCCCCATTACATGCAAAGGGTAAGTGACTGCTCCCTGTCCAAGTCGAGGACAAGAAGACACCACGTTTTTGGCCGGTGGAGAAGTACTGACTCTGGAATAGCTCCGAGAAGAAATCGACGAAGCTCCAGCCCAGGGAAAGATCTCTGAACTTACGATATTCACCGAGGCACAGTAGTTGCCGTTCCTGCAAGCGTGTATCAAAGAAGGATTACGCATGCATCCGGCTGCAGGTCTACCGTTGACACGGGTGGTACCGAACGAGGGAGCTGTAGTCAATGGCGTCGTATTTCCCGCAGGGGTAGGTTCACGGGACCGCCTTCTTGCGTCTACTGTATACTGACACAGACCTGTAGACCGTCCTCGGCGTCAACTCCTGGGTGGCACATGCAAACCCCAATATATTCGGACAGGATGCGGAACAGTTTCGACCGGCGAGATGGCTTGAGAGCAAAGAAAGAAGCGCGCAGATGGAGAGTTGTTTCCTCTCGGTAGGTGCTCTGCTACTCATCTATCAGGTCATCAACCTCGAGTTAACATTTGTCGCGTTGCAGTTCGGCGCCGGCTCAAGGACCTGCATCGGCAAGAACATCAGTCTGATGGAGATTGCCAAAGTCGTCCCGGAATTGGTCAGGAGATTCGAATTCTCTCTCGCCGACCCTGGTGCACCACTCGAGATGGAGAACGTGTGGTTCGTGAAGCAGAACAGATGTCAGTTGCAGTCCGGTAACCCTCCGTCCTGTCGCATCGTGCGGAAGTGCTTCTTTTACGTTGTGATACACTTCAAAATACATTGGCATACGCGCCTCTCGTTGAAGGTCTTGCTTGCCTTTCTCGAGCAGAAAAGTGTAGAATGGAAACCATGGAGTATCAATCCCCATGTCAACCACACAGACAATAGCTTTGCTTCAATCGCTCCGAGAAGAGGCCGTGAAATAGTAGCGGTGCCGGGTTTTCCTGAGCGTGAATCTCGCGCAAAGCTAAACTTGCGCCGTCTACGGCCTCCCGGCCTTTGTCCTGCACAGACACTGTCGTGCATCCGCGTCCGGATGACCCAGGAGCCGGGAGAAAGGGCTGTTCAGGGTCGCATCGGGCTCTGCGAGCCTCGCTCCCCTGCTGTTATTGTGCTGCCGCGTGCCCGATGTCCGCATTTTCCGAGACTCGCACACATGTGACCCCACATCTCGCTCCCGGCCACGGAGTCCTCACTGGCTTGGTGGCATGTAAGCCAACCTTTAAGAAGCAGGTCCAGCATGTTTTTTCTTCAAGGGAGGCCAAACAAGAACAGATCTCGTCAGAGCCCATTGCAAGGAGTTCTCAATCTCGTAACCAAACCGCTGCAGCCATCCCTGACAATCACCACGCGACCAAGATGCCGTCCTCCATCACCAAACCCGATATTGAGAAATTCGTGCCGGTCAAACCCACATCCGAGCAGTTGGAGTACGCAGAGCTGGTCACGTTAGACCTTTCCACGTACGACAATGGCCCTCAAGCCCGCAAAAAGCTCGCCGACGAGCTGAAGCATGCTATGCGTACACAGGGCTTCTTTGTGGTAGTCAATCACGGCATCTCGATCGAGCAAATCGATCGACAAGTCGACATTGGCCACCACGTGCTCACCAAGACTCCATTGGAAGAAAAGCAGCGCCTCGAAGGCAGAATGAAGCAAGACGGCAGCTACCAAGGCTTCAAGCTCCGCAACTATTGGCAGATCGACCAAGGCGTCCGGGATCAGATTGAGCAGTACAACTGGAATCGAGACCTGAGCTTGCGTGAACACCCTTCGACCTTCAGCCCGTTCAAGGACGAGGTCCAGGAGCTGAACGACTTTGTCCACAAAGAGATCCTGTTCCGGCTACTGACCCTGTTCGCCATCTCGCTAGACCTGCCAGAAGACTTCTTCGTCAAACTACACCAATACGACGTCGCAGACGACTCGTGGTTCCGGTATATGATGTACTTCCACAGCCACAAGTCGGAGGATATGGACAAGACAGGCGGCGTGTGGCTCAAGGGACACTGCGACTTCGGCTCGGTGACCATGCTCTTCAGCCAGCCCATGGCCTCGCTACAGCTCATGGACCACTTCACCGGCAAGTGGCGGTGGGTCCCCTACGTCCCCGGCGCCATCGTTGTCAATGCCGGTGAAATGATGGAATGGTGGACGGGTGGATACTACAAAGCCACGATCCATCGCGTATGTCAACCACCACCGGACCAGCGCAACCAGGACCGTTGTGGGTTGTTCTACTTTGTGGTCCCCAACGACGAGGTCACCATCAATACTCTGTTGGAAGAGTCCAGCGTGCTTCGCGAGGCTGGTGTGCCGAGGAAATTCGAGCCCGGCACTGAGCCCACGTCCAAGATGTACAGATCTGCTCGTATTGGTGCATACGGACAGACGGACCTGTTCAAGGGCAAGGGCAAAGGTGGCGGCATACAGGAAGAGACGATTGCGGGGATCAAGTTGAAGCATTATAACTAGGCAATTTGACGAGTTTAACATCCCGAAGAGGAGCATGTATTCCTGCGAGACGCATTGCTCGCCAATGTTATTGATGCCGCTGTCACAATGGTTGACTGCTTGTATATGGCTTTTCCATGAACACCAAGTCTGGTCGCACGTTCTGTCCCCCTGATTTACCCCGAGCGATCCTCAATGTCCCTGCTCTTAATCAGCTGTACGTTTCTTGTGTCATTTCACTGTCTCGGCATGATTGTACAGAGATCGATACTCGGCCAGCTCTCGGTGCAAAATTTGTCAAACAACGGCCACTCGAGGTCTGGAATCGGGCCCGCAGAATCCAGATTGATCAAGTCCAGATTATTATTATCCCAAAACGGAGTAAAGTGGTCAAGATTGAAGTTGGCATTGTCGTCCGCTAGAGACCGAGTCAGTTCATGCGCGAGGGTTCAAGAAGAATCAACAGAGCAAGCTCATACCGTTGTGATCTCCATAGACACTGCTTTGTCCACCGAATTCCTGCCGCCACCACCAGAAGCAGTCGTACACCATACTCATGCCCAAACGGGCCTTGCTTCGGACTCGCAGGCTGTCCACCACGCCGTCCGAGTACTGGAAGATATTGGTGCTGGACCAAAGTTGCGTCAGGATGATGCTGAATCGAGCAAAGGCATCGTCGGGCCGCACGGCGTGTCGTTTATGATAATTGATCACTGCAAAGAACGCGCGTTGGCCGCGGCCCAGATCACTCCTCGGGGCGATGGCGCTTCTCTTCAACCGTAATAGTGTGATAGCGGCGCTGTGCAGGAATTTGGTGATGTACACGGGGCCATATTCGGCCATTTGGAGGGTCGAATCCACATCGATGGCGAGCTCGACTGTCCGGCAAGCCAGGTCGTGCATGGCCAGTAGTGTTGCATCGGCGATCGTAGTTCGACGTTTGAACAGGTGGAAGTTCAGAAGGTGTAGTTGTGCCGACAAAGCGTAGAATCGGTCTGTTCGTGTTAGCATATCTGTCTCAAGGGTGGGAAGACCATCGACATCTTCCCTGGAGGCTGGACATGCCTAGCGGCTCCGTTGCGTCGGCCTCTAGTATCACCAAGCGATCAACGGCAGAAGAGATGATTGGATCCAGAATATGAGGTAGTACATCTCCGGGCTTGTGCAGTGCATGGTTTTGGATGTAGAGAATGGTCATGCTGAGAAACTGACTGACTTGCTTTTGGAAATGCAAACTTGGTGTTACGAAAGGAATCAATTCCTTAGAGTCGTCGCCATAGGTGTCGGGAATCACCAATGGTGGTGTTCCATTCACGGTGACGATCCTGCCAAAGTTCAGCATGGCCGTAACACGCCTGTGAGAGAGAGTGGGATGGTGAAGACAGCACGCACCTCTGTGAAACAATCACACATGCCGTCCACAACCGACCTCGTTCAACACGGTAGGTGAGATCGGGACTCACCCGGTCTCGTGCAAATTCTTGTCCAACGCCCGAGACGTGCAGTCCGATGGTTGTAGCTAGTTGTAAGACCACCCCTGCGAGAATGGGTGTTATATCATTGCTCAATGCTTCAAAAGGCATTGGCCACGAGCACAGTAGAAGATAAGCTTGTATGTTCAGGAGAACAGGTTCCTGTGCAAACAGAGACAGTTTTGCCAGGTTGGACACTTTGGGACCAAGTAGGATGATCAAAGTTGGGTTTTCGCTGTATTTGCGTGAACCAACAGCCACTATTGTCCAGAACAGGAGTGCGGACCGGCGGTGGCATTCGTTGGGGTCCATCAGGGTCTCGATCATGGGCACATAAGTCATGCAGTGTTGTTTGAAGCTGTGCACAGTCGTTTGTTTAGTGGCATGCCGTTCACATCAGGTTTCTTGACTTACATGGCGAAACATTGGTCAATGTCCCAGGCGGTAACTCGAAGCTCGTCTATGCTTTGAGGTAACGTCCGTTGCATCGGGGGCGCCGTCGATATGAAACTCCGCACGGGTTCATGGTCGATAGGCACCGGAACCGAAGGTGATGTGGAAGTTTGCGGCGTGCCTTTGGCAGACTTCTGTCCTTGAAGTGGTGCACTGCTTGTTTGAGTGATAGTTGTGATCGGGGCCATCAATGTGGCTGGAGGGAGAATCGCTTCATGTACTTGGTCTGGGACAGAGGCATCGCCCGGCGAACCGCTCAACCGCTTTTGCAGACTCTCTATCTGACTCTGCAGCTCGGAAATCCTGGATCATGGTTCAACGGGGATATCCTGGCAGAGCAAAACAGGGGAGGGGACTGACTTGGGACGTCGTTGTCGCCGGAAGTGCTTCGAGTAGACACACTGAACCCCAGCTCGGCGACAGCGGGAGCATGAGTTGGGAAATACCTCGTGACGGTCACACTTTACCTATGCCAGGTCAATGAGTTCCTGCAAGACGGAGGGAAATACACCAGCAAAGTACCTTTTGCTGCCGACACTCGTTACAAGCCATGGTTTGATCTTGATGGTGTTGTGTGCAGCATGATCTTTGGAGGTCGAGCTAGCACACCAAAGTACATACAGTACAGATCAAGCGGAGAGACGAACCGAGGCCAAAGAGTTTCTGATTAAGGTAGAACAGGACCCTTAGCGACACCATCCAGGGCGTTGATCACATCGTACAACCCCGCCGGGACCCTGAGTTCCCCACATGGCTCAGAGATCAAGGGGGAAATGTACCTTACATTCAATGAAAAAGCAATCTCGAGAACCACACGTAGCTTGCCAAATTCGCTGGGCTGCATGCTATCGTGCACTGCAAGAGTCTCCTGTACTTACCAGATGGCGACCAACGCGCGAGACTTCTACCGGTCTCCCCGCAGAATCTCAACGACTGGGGCCGCCGCTATCAACTTCCACGCAAGAGGATTGAGCAGCGTGACGGCGGGTGATGTCATTCTTGTGCTTCTACATGGGTATCCTCAGTCGTGAGTCTGCTCGCTGGTCGCTGCTCTAGCTCTGGCTGTCCCGGGTCGCTAACTCCTCCAGGAGCTACATGTACGTTGGCTGGCCTGATGATAATCGTGTTGCCTGACCATGATCAATGTCACACAGATTTCGCTGGGTACGACCTTGGACAAGGCCATCTAAACGAAACCCACTCGGCTGACACATGAATTGCTAGCTGATCCCTTTACTGCCTTCTCATCTCCCCCTCTTCGTTCCAGATGTAGGTCTTGATCTTGGTCGCCTTTGGAATCAGATACCGCGTGGACACTGACGCGAAGGTTTCAACTTCACGTGCAGCTTCCAGGCTACGGCGAGAGCACAGCCAATAGCTCGACGCATGACAAACGAACGGTCGGCAACACGATCTTGGAAGCATTGGAGAAAAGTCTGCCGGACCGGGGAAGCGAGCGCCAGAAAATCATTATCGCAGGGCACGATCGAGGCGCACGCGTTTGCCATCGGCTGGCCGTTGATGCCGCAGACATCTCCTCCTTTGATATCGTCTCGGTGATCCTTCTCGACATCGTGCCCACGGCCGCCCAATGGGACACGTTGACGATTCCCCGAATGGCGGCGTCCAGGTTCCACTGGACGTTCCTGGCCAACGTGGAGATTGCGACGAAGCTCATCACCAGCCGTGGCGGTGGCTTGTGGTGCTCCGAACTGATCCATCGGTGGGCTGGCAGCAACGAGAAAAGGAGGGCTCGGCTCCTGAACCCCGAGGACCTAGAGGTCTACTGTCATCATTTCAACAAGGAGGCCGTGGTCAGAGCTTCTTGTGAAGATTACCGTGCAGGAGCACTGGAAGACGACGACCTCCAGAGACAGGATCAAAAGGTCGGCAACAAAATCCGAATTCCTACATTGGTGGTTTACTCCGAGGCGTACCTCGGAGCGGCCTACGACGTCGAGGCTACATGGAAAGCGTGGTGCGACGAATCGACTACGCTGGAGACCAAACCCATCGGCGACGGCGCAGGACATTTTCTGCCCGAAGAGGCCCCGGAAGAGACGGCCGCGATTGTGAACACTTGGATCAAACAGTGGCTCAATTAGATTCTGTCTTTAGCTACTAGTATATAGAAGTGAATTCTTTGGACCCCGAGATCTAGATGTGGGCATGTAGGATCTTTGTCTCGACGGGCTCGAAATCGTCCGGCAAGAGATTCGTATGCGATCTAGCAGCCGCCAAAAATTGTTCGTCCGCCTGATTCAACTTTTTGAAGAATGCCTCTCTCTCGGAAGCGTCCGCGTCTTCCACTGAAAACAGCCGTCGGAAATTGGTCTGGGAAGTTGGGTTGATGAAACTGAGCCATGTCGACCGTCGGGCTTCTGCCGCCTTGGTGATAATTTCATCCGGCTCGCCTCCTCGAAGGTGTCGGATGAGCGCATTGCCAAAGACAACCGCATCCAAAATTCCTCCGGTCAGACCCAGACCTCCCACGGGATTGTTGCTATGCGCCGCGTCCCCAGCGAGAAGCACGTTACCCTTGCGGTATGTCGTTGCACATCTCTGGTGGGCCCAATATGGGCTTAGACGGGTGATTTTGTAGTCGAAGATGCCGTCCTTGTTCATAGGTTTCAGAAAGCCCATGATGCGACCATGGGCACGGTCGTTCATTTCCTTCTTGTCCAGGGAGAGCTCAGGCCGTTCGCCTGGTACGAAGCACAGTTAGCCAAGTCTCCTCTCCAGAGTCATTCACCGAGAGGTTGGGTGCCTACCATAGCAGACACGCCAGATGTTTCCATTTCCTGTCTTCGCAATGACAGCCCATTCTTCCGGATCCACGACCATGTTTGCTTGAGGAAAGCCGCAATGGCCGACGAAGTCGTAATCCACGTCGACCGCGGTGAAGCGAAAGTTTTTCCAGGTAAAGCCTTCAAAGGGAATCATAGACATGCGCCGGACGCTGGAGTTGGCCCCGTCGCAGCCCAAGACGAATTTCGCCTCCCAGATATGATCCTCTGGTCCGCATTAGAGTCTTTCTCGCCAGGCGTAGGCTCACAGTCGATAGATCTTGCACTCACCCTCATCACCAGTCGTCATCACCCTGACCGCCCCAGTCTCCTGCTCAAGTCCCACACCGCGTTGGCCGAAGATCACTTGGACGGTCGGACATTCTTCTTTCAAAACGCCAAGGACCGCAAGGGCGACCTTGTCTTGACCGAGAGTAAGGCGTTCCTGCTCAGGATCAAAGTACGCGTACTCCTCGCCCGCTTGACTCCTCCAGGTGACACCCCGATTGTTGACTTCTCCGATGGCTTTAAGCCTGTCGTAGATGCCGAGCTTCTGCAGTTCCTTGACCACTACGGGCATGTAGCTATGTGTGCTCGTCAGTCTTGACGAACAGCTTTGATGGGAATTGGGCCTCCTCACGCAATCGCCCGAGGGGCTCGGAGGATGTCATTGTATGCCTCCAGCACGATCGTATCTATGCCCGCTCTTCCAAGCTTGAGGGCTGTGAGCAACCCAACTGCCCCAGCACCGACAATGATGATCTCAGCCTTACGCTACTGGCTGTTAGCGGAGGCGCCTCAGCAGATACGTGCTTGCATGTTCTCACCTTGTCGGTCGACAGAGCCCGGGCACGCTCTGTTGGTACAAAGGACATCGTGCTGAGCGAGTCTCCTGCTTCTCGGGCCAAGTTCCAATTGGTGGTAGCAACAGCAACTAAGGGACATCCAAAATGATATTGACGAGGACTCACGAGTACTTCTGTGGGGGAGCCTCGGCCTGACTAGGAAAGATGTTCGCTGGAGAGTACTGTACGTGCCTGAGGCGGGGTCTCACAAATACATCATGACTGACCTCTTCTCAAGTGGAGGTTCGCGCCGCACACGGCTTCAACCCACCAGGGACCTTGACCCCACATTCTGCGACGCCCGGTCTTGCCACTCTTCTGAAGGGAAGATGCTTGATTTTGACCGACAGCAACACCTTAGCCCCACAACACTACTCTATGCATTAAGATGTCCAGAAACTGGTTGACAACAATGGTCTTCTCGCCGAAATTTCTCTTGCCGCAAGCTTCCGTCTCATCGGGTCAGGTGCTCTGGGCCTCTATGACGGCGCAACCTTCACTACAACCTTGCCAAAACGCTTCTGATCCCACATGTACTGGTATGCTTCTTGCAGCTCCTCCCACTCGAAGACCTTTTCATCCACGATGATTGGTATGCTACACGCCTCGATGGCGCGATTCATATCCCGGAACAACAGTCGGCTGCCCACGGCGCTGCCACGGACAATGCAGGCATGAGGCAGTGCATCTAACATGTTTGGCGTCTTTTCCGCTTCCACGCCTCCCAATAACCCAATGACATTGATGACGCCTTCAGGCTTGACCGCCGTCAGACTCTGGCGCGTGGTTGTGGGCCCCCCAAGCTCGACGACCACATCCACCCGAGCCCTCCGGGTGTCAAGCCTTTGGCTGTTTCGCCCCAGTTGAGATCGCTCTTGTAGTTGATGACGTGCCTCACGCCCAGTTTCTTCAGCCTTTGGGCCTTTTCGTCGGAAGACGTGGGTGCAATCACAATCGCCCCGGCAGCGACGGCGATTTGGACGATGGCGATGCTCACCCCGCCCGTGCCCTGGGTCAGCACATAGTCACCCAGCTTCAGAGCACGATCTTACAAGCCAAACAGCACATTCCAGGCCGTCGCCCAGGCACAGCTGAGCGTGCTAGCCTCGATCGCGGTGAGATTAGCCGGCGCCTTGACCAGCCATGTCTCAGGAAACACCGCGTACTGGCGCAATGTGCCGTCCACCTGCGCGCCGAGCCCAACCCACAGGTCGGCTGCCTGGATCCGGCCTGCTTGGTGCGTGGGTCGGAACTGCGTGCACACTCGATCCCCGACCTGGAATTGACTGACTTTGGAACCCGTAGCCAGTACAATGGCCGACGCCTCCGAGCCAGGAATACGAGGCAAATGACATGGAAAGGCATATTTGCCCTATAAACGTGCTCGAGTCAGCCCGAGTGACAAACTACGCTCTATACCAGCAGGCATCAAGAGCCCGCCGTATTTCTTCCAAGACGTGCCAAGGACAGGACTCGTACATTTGCAATGATCAAATCCCGATCGTTCAACGACACTGCTTCGATCTGCACCAAACAGCCGTAGTCGTCCACCTCGGGTATCTCAACGTCATGTTCTAGGGTGAGGTCCTGGAAGCTCTGGTTCTGATTCAAAACGTATCTGGCCGTTTTGGTTGGAAGCGGTTTCGCCATCGTGGCTGGAGATGACTGGTTGTGATCTCTGAATGAATTGCTTAGTACTTGGCGGGAAACCGAGGGCAAAGCAAAGCTGTCCAGCAGAAGCAGCAACACGTCCACAATTTCATACGCCGGCAATCACTCCGAGACTGGTGCTCACGTCTACTATTTTATTCGTTGTGGAAATCTGCTGACTATGCTGAAGTATATTACGGCAACGTCTGCAGATCGACTACGACTATCCTGGTCGTTCAAGCGGCTTGAATGTTGAACTTACGTGCCTGTCTCTCTCAGGACTTGTATAATTCCAAAGACAAAGGATCACATGCTGTATTCCATTGGCGTTTCTTTCACAATACAATGATTAGGGCGATATCGGCACTCTGAGTTTTGGGAAGCTCCTTTGCCGACATATACCTACAGTAAGTTCGACACGCGGCGGGCATCTCTATACGCGACCTCTCCAACAACCGTCCTGATGGATTGGTAATATCAGGGCGGAGTGTGGACGGCTTGCGCTAGGTAGTCAGTGTGAGGCACTCTTCCGATGCATGACGGTGGACTCTGGAGGAATCAGCACCCACTTTACCCCACTAACCCCACAATACCGGGGCTTAACGAGCTGCGAAACCCGGCCCTGGTCAGATGCTGTGGGGTAGAGGGCAACGGCTTACGAATCGGACACGACCATGGGGTTCTGTCTGCTCTTGGCACGATATGTATCTGTTGACGTCTTTGCTTCTGCATCGAGGGTTACCGGCAATAGTAGCTTTCTTTTACCTTGAGAACCTGAAAACAAAGAGGCCGAGGAGAAGAAGCACCGACGGGCTTGTTGAGTATGGACTGTGACGCCTCAAGTTCATTCCAAGAAAGTTGTTGTGTTATTCTCCACGAGCAATGATACGAATGAAATGACTCGTGAGACTGGGATTCGTTGGCTTGCCTTACCTTGGCGGTCACATGCCATATATTGTCCTCCCTGGCGGACTAGGGAATGCGTTGATATAGGATTCCGCTAAGGCACCAGGCTTGAGCCGCATATACAGGGGTGGTCTATAGACACATTAGTACTAGCCAAGCACCTAGCCATCGCAAAGAAGTCCTCTCACACTGCCAGCTTCGCTGCGTCCGGTGTGACTACGGTCTTATCACCGTTGAAGAGACTGCTCACAATAGTCCAGACTGGGCTTTCCCCATGGTGAACGACCATCACGTCGAGCTTATCCCCACCAGAGAGCTGACAACCCGGGGCAGGCAAATTGCGCCAAGCAAATTTCCCGGACTCGGATGGCCGTAGAGGAGATGTCTTCAACACCATCGTAGGATAGTCGATATCAGGCTGCAGTGACAGGCCATTGCACCCACGCGGGGCTCAAGTCTATAAGACCAGCCTGTGCCTTGTTGAAATCGCCAGCGGTTAGAAGCTGGTCAGAGTCCACATTCTTTCCGCCAACATCTTGATTCTTTGAACAGCCATCATTGAAAATGGGGTTCGGGGTTCTGGAACCCAAGCAGGATGTCGTGCAAGGCACGATTCAGTTGTTCGACGACAATACCATTGACCCAACCGACCGACATACGACGGTGCACCTCAAACATTCGCCGGATGGGAAAGTCGTCCTGGCTCCACAGCCAACTGACGACCCGTACGATCCCTTAAATTGGTCACAGTGGCACCGCGATGCCTCATATGTGGTGATCCTGGTCACCGCCATCTTGTCGCTGATCCACGGACCGATGCTGTCTCCGGTGACCGTCGAGCTGGCGGCAGAGTACGGCGTGAGCATCAACGCCATCGCCCAACTCAGCTCTTACATGACGCTGATGGTCGCCATCTTTTCCTACGTCGACAGCGCCCTCGCACGTGCCTTTGGCAAGAGAGGTTTGTTCGTCGTGTCAGGTCTCTTGTTGGTGGTGTCTGATGCGTGGGCCGCGTGCGCCAGCTCTTACAAGTCGTTGCTCGGGGCACGAATCCTCTCGGGTGCCGGACAGGCCATGTTCGAAGGGAACGGCCTGGCCATCGTGCCTGACTTGTTCTTCGTCCATGAACGTGGCAAGCGCGTGGCCATCTTCTTGTTCTGCTCTCAGACCGGTGTCACCTTGGGCACACCCTTGGCTACTCAGATCGCCACCCGATACGGGCTGAGATGGTGCTTTGGCGGGCTGGCGATTGCCGAGGCAATCATGACGCTCGCTATTTTCTTCTTGTTCGCCGAATGCGCCTATCCCCGTGAGCATGTGGATGCTCTCGCTCACCAGGATGAGCAAGAAATCCTGGAACACGTGCATGAAGAGGTTGCCAAGACCGACCATGCCGGCGCTGTTCCAGATGCACAGTCTCCTCCCAAGAAATCCTACCTGCGACAACTCAACCTCTACTCGGGCAGGGTCAGCAATCTCAAGCCGTTGACCCTGATCTGGCGGACGCTGGCCTTGACCTTCCATCCCACCATCTTTTGGGTTGCTTTGTCGGGTTTGACCCTGTCGTGGCCCGTCGGTATCGCCTTTACCTCAGCAGCCCTTCTGATCCCGCCTCCGTACAACTTTTCGGCGAACGCAGCAGGGAACATCTGGATAGCGCCATGGGTCGGGGCCGTGTTCGGCATGCTACTGGGCGGCACCAATGATCATTTTGTCAAATGGCTCACCAGACGCAATCGGAACATCTACGAGCCCGAGTTCCGGCTATTTTACATGCTCCCGGGAGTCGTCATTTATCTCATCGGCTGGATCGGCTGGGGTTGGGGTGCCCAGGATCAGATTGCTTGGCCAGGCCTCGTCGTCTTCTTTGGAATAACTTATTGCGGCAGTCTGATTGTCAACATCTCGGGCATTGCCTATCTCCTCGATGCCCATCGGATGTATGCTGTCGAGAGCCAGGTAGTGCTCTTCGCCATCAAGAATTTCTTCCCCTTTGGAATGGGATACTTTTTCGTGCCATGGTACGACTCTGCGGGACCCAAGACGGTCTTTGGAATCGCTGGTGGGATTCAAGCCGCCATCACGCTGTTTGCTATCCCCTTCTACCTGTACGGGAAAAAGCTTCGGGCTTACTGGATGAAGCATCCGTATCTGGGGATTCGAGACATGCATGGAGCGACACAGTAGCACACTGATGTGGCACCTTCGTAGCTTGTTAGGAGACATGGAGAGAGACTAGGGATAATCAAAGAATGGAATTCAGATCACCGTCGGTTAGAATCCTGAATGATAAGATGCTGGTAATGCCCACGTGACACCCACGGGAGGCCGCCGACGTCGCTGGCGTTGGCTCAGCTCGCCGAAGACTGCTTGTGTGACATCTAAGGAGTGTAGAAAAGTGTTGCGAACCGCTTGAGTTGGTCCTGTCGACGTGAACTGCCATCCGCTAAGTCGATGAGTGCGGATAGACTAATCTTGGCATATTTATCATCACGTGATGAGGGCTCGCAGCTGGCTACTCCGTACTTCGGACTCGGCTTGAAGGGGCCCCGGGGAGAGGAGGCTTCACAGCTGCTCATTCTCAGAATTATGGGGACGTCGACTTGGGGTAAACCCGTTGTCACATCCGTGTCGCGATCCGGCCTCCTCCGATCCGACGAACAGAGATCACGTGCCGAGCTGCCCACACCATGGGACGTGGAGAGGCAGAGAATTGAAGCTACAGCTGCCTTCTGGACTACTGGATACGCGTGTATAAGCGACTTTGACGCGGATACCTGCCGAGTAACATGGTGGAAACAACGTGAAAGGCAGTCAATGATCAGCAGAATGTTTACACACATGTGCTTGCTTACGTGGGGTGAATCAGACGGTCTCGATATCGAATCCACAGGGATCCTCTTCCGGGACTGAAGCATTGACCGGCTGCATGTGCATGGACAATACAGACGCTAATGAAAAAGCTACGGGGGCGGGGGTGGCAACCCCCGTGACTCGCCCTTTTCCAGTCAAGGCCTGGGCGAAACTTCTGGCCACAGCGCCCGATGTCTTTCAACCTCTTTTCTGAACAACGGCCTTTCTGCTGCTCATCCCACAACAACTCCGTCGACCTAACCCCCATTTTCCCTCTGGCGTACACATCGCTGTAGTGGCGCCCGTTGTCCTTGCAGGCGACCGGCCCCGGCTGGACTTAGCTTGACCATGGCCCAAAACAGTACGTCTGATGAGCCGCCCGCCCACAAGCCTAATGGACTGATGCCGTCAGGTTCAGGAGACAGCAATCAGAAAACTCGCTCCTATGGCTGCCACTATTGTCCCAAGAGCTTTGTTCGAGGGGAACACCTCAGACGTCATCTCACCTCGCGTAGGTCGCCGCTGCGTGTGCGACACGAAGTAGCATGCCTCGGCCGTGGTTCACTGACTTCCTGATAGATGAGAATCGAAAACCACATGGCTGTGTGGCCTGTGGCTCTAGTTTTGGCCGCGCCGATGTCTTGCAACGGCACAAGAAGAAATGCTCTGCCTACCAGCGTATCATGGCTGGGACTCAGGATGTAGTCAATGCACGCGAGGTGCATTCACCACGCGACAACGAGCAATATTCGGCGCTGACGGGAGACACATCCCAGCCCAGACATGCCTCGTGAGTCTGACCATTCGACCACCTCTTCGACGACTGGACACTGACTTTTCGATCAGGTCCCTCGACGATGCCAGCTCGACTCTGGACAGTACGCTTCAGATCATGGGAGTTGAGTACGTGTTTGGAACACTGCCTGAAGAAAGTACCAAGGGCCCGCCGCGTTGCTCATTGTATTTTACAGGAACTCGTTGGTATATCAACCGCAAGCCTCGATCCCCGAGTCATCAACCTCGTCAAGCGTGCGTCCAACAGTCTTCGCATCAGACTCGATCTTGGCTGATGATACTTCTTGGAGATCAAGTATGATGTTCGATACAGTCGTGATGCCTTCGACGCACCCATGCGTGGACGGGCATATTCCCTTGAACTCGATGGCACCACCGGGTCAGCTTCCCACCACAACACTGCCGATAACTCAAATGCCCAATCAGTCATTCTCCAACACCCGTCACGAGCTTGTCCCCAATTCCCCTTCATCACAACGTGTGCATCATGCCCAGGGACAACCGGGCGAAGCAGGATCGAATGACCAAACGCAGACCCAGTCCTGGGAGATGTCGAATGACAAGTATAACGTAGATTTCACCGATCTGAGCATAAACGATCTCATTTTCCTGGAGGACTCCCTCCTCCCTGACTTTGCTTGCGAATCAGTCGAGCTGATCCCGCCATTCTTTCCGACGCCCGGCGTCATGGCCAATGCAGAGCGCTCAAGCCCTGGCCCCGCTCGGCTGCTCCTGAGCTGCACGCGACAGGTAACCCCTTCTCCAGAAAAGGCGAGCACCCCGGGCGACCTCCAACGAGAAAAAGTGGCGACCAGAGTATTGCAATTCTCTCAAGAAGATATCAACATCTTCAGAAGCCGTACGTTGGCTCTCGATCGACAACAGCTCTCGTCCGACTTCAAATTCCCGACTCGTGTACGGACGATCCGGACGATCAGCGCGTACTTTGAATATTTTGACCCGCACACGCCCATTGTGCACCGAGCCACCTTTGATATCCGAGGCAGTCATCGTATGCGAGTCTGTCCCCAGAGAATTGATGCCCAAGCTAACGCTTCTGAAAGCCGCGTTGTGCCTTGCCATGCTGGCCGTCGGCGGCCTGCATGTCTCAGAGCACGATTTTGCCAACATGGCGTATAATGCCTGCTGCGATATCCTCCACAGTGTGAGTGACGAAGATTCTGGTGGTCCTCAATAAGCAAAGCTGACTCGGAAAAGATCGAAAGACAGGAAGAAGAAGGGGTCCAAAGAACGCCAGACATTGGAGTCATACAAGCTTTACTGCTGTGTGCACACTTTGGCGTCTATAGCGACAACCCGGCATATTTTCGACGTGCTGAAAAGCAAATACCCACAGCCAACTCGGTTCGTCACCTTCTCCTCACCTGCTGCCCTCGGCGTGGCAAGACTGACACTGTGAAACTCAGCTACTTCGAGAATACCTGGATCGATTAGGTTCACGAGACAATCAGCCGGCGTCAGAGTGGGAATCTTGGATTGCTTCAGAGACCTGCAGTCGGTAAGCTGCACCAGCGAACGAAGATTTCCCTTTCGCCAGATATTCTTCTAACGACGTATTCTGTGGCAGACTGGCTGGATGGCTTCCCATCCTGAGCGGCGTGGTCCTCTCATATCAACCGGCGGCCGCCCTCCTGGTATACCTCGACTCAGATATCCCACTGCCACGCTCCGAGGAATTGTGGAAAACACGGTCAAGCGCCGAATGGATGACTTTGACGGCAATGACACCGGAGAAGGAGGTTCTCACCATACTAGAAATGACCAAAATCATCTCGGCAGGCGGATCGTTTCAGAAAAAGCTCAGCACCTTTGGCTTGCTGGTCGTGATCGGATCCATCCTGAATCATATCTGCCTTCGTGAACGACTGTTGGCTGGACATCAAGCGGAACCTGACCCATCATTCATCGTGAAGATGGAAGAAACTCTGGCGTCCTGGGAGCTGCTCTGGCGACAGCATCCCCAAGCTTTAAGAGTCCCCAGTAAGAATGGAAGTGTTCTTCTGCTCGATTGCCTCTCGCCACTTGGTTCCGCTTACTATCACCTCTACATGCCGATCGAATTGCGGGCTCTAAAAACGTTTGCTCGGAGTCGTGGTCGGCTGGCGCCATTGCCGCACCCGCAGTCGCACAAATTGACCCTGAAGGCTGTACTATACGCCGCTCACTCGTGGTTTGTACGCGCCAAGCTGGGCATCGCCCATCTCCAGAAGACGGCTGCTTTGGAGTTTGGTGCTCATACATTGGTGGCTGCGTATGAAGGTGGTAAGTTGGCCTTGCACGATTGTCAAAATCAGTCTTTCAGCTGTCCATACCTCTTTTCAACACCCAACAGACAACTAACACGATTCTGTCCTGTTTAGCATTGATCCTTTCTTGGTGGCTCCGAAATCATAAGCAGATCGACTCGGCCACCTTATCGTCTATGCCGGCAGGACACGGTGAAGCCAGGCTTCAACATCTGGTCAATGAGGTCACCGAAGAGCTTCAGGATCAAAATATCGGCTGCGGCCCGGAAACTGATCCATGCCTGGTACCTCTCGTGTGCTATCGGACCCTGATACTACCGTGGGTGTGGAACTGTATGACTCCGCTGCTTCCTAACTGCTCGCTTCTGTGGCTGACATGCTCATCATCAGATGCTACTATCATGCGATCCCATCTCGATAACGTCCACGAGCAATTCAGTGAACCACTCGTGTCATGAGTCTTGCATCGAATTCGACTTCCTGGCATCCTGCCCTGACCCGGTCGTGTCCGTTGGTTGGGAGCCACAATGAAAATCAACCATTGATCTCCTCGTCGTCTCATGATTACATAAATGGGCCGCACATGTACGTTCCATTCCGGAAATTCATGAAAAGTCTCCCGGGTTCATCTTTCCTGACTCTTTGAAAAGAACAGTCTGTCCGCAAATTGAAACGCTCAGAATTCTTGGTGTCTCCGACGGAATAAGTCTGTGAGCACCGCTCTCGGTGCAGCAGAAAGTAACTGGCGCGCTTCATCGTTCCACCACGAGACTATGTCAGATGGTAACATCAGATGATGATCCCTGAGAGCCATTTGCCTTTTAGTAGAGTCTGATATGAAGACCTACTGCTGCCGATTCATGTTCGAGTAGCAAAAGTTAACCTGCCAATTTGCAGAGAGGATAAATTGGTATTAGTTCAAGAGGATGACTCCTCTCGAGCCTCATTGAGCTGTATTTAGCCCAAGATGGGCGCAATTATGAGATATCAAACCGATCTGAGCGGACGCCGACGTCTAGAACATATCTTCTTTTGCGCAGGCCAGGACACATATTATACAAGCTGAAGCAGTCCATTTCTCAGACCGGTACCAAGCACACTATGCCTACGCTCCCATGTACGTGCTCGCCAAAATAGCCAGAAGTTGAATGCAACTGGAAAGAGCTCTAAAGCTTGCTTCTCAAGAACTCGCCATTCTTTGGCGCCGTGCCCAGCTCCTGCTGGACTGCCACCGCCGTGAGCTTGGCCCGTTGTGCCAGAGTCTCGCTGGCTCTGAAATCTTGCGTTCGGTGGTTCACATCATCTGGGGGAATGTTGTGCGGTACGTATTCCGTGCCCTTCTCCACGGCTTCCAGAGCCTTGTCGAACTCGTCGTATGCGTACTTCTGGCAGTCGAATCCAAAGATCCAGTCCGGACGAGGCATCTCCAGCATGGCGGTGTTCTTGCCCACGGCCGACCAGTCGGTTTTGTGCCACGCGTCTCGGGTTTCGATGCCCATGCGCTGGATCTTGCATGCTCGTTGGTACCTGTTTCTATCGCGTCAGAGAACTGTGTCGAGAAGAAATAACATGATTTTGGAGTTGGGTTAGATACATACCTCAGTTTCTCGGCGGTCCTTAGTCCTTTCTTCACATTCTTCGCCCCAGCGAGTTCGAGCGCGATGGCCACGGTGGCAGCATCTTCGATCGCCTGCCCGGCGCCTTGACCCGAGGTCGGCAAGTATGGGTGCGCTGCGTCGCCGATCAACATGATGCGACCGGCGGGCGAAATCCACGTCTTCAACGGATCTCGCCATAGTAGCTTAAAGTCGATCAACCTCCCGGGCGGTGTCTTTTCCACCACGGCTTTGAGTTTGGGAAGCATGGGCCAGTCGGCAACGTATTTGAGCATATCTTCGACCTTGCCCGGGAATGACCATGATTCACCGATGTCGAACACGTCCTACACCATTTCGAATTAGACCTCAGTGCTCTCCTGCAGTTCAACACAAGTTGGCCTGCTCCTTACCTGGTGTGTGCACATCCAGAAAACTTCTTTGCCTCCTTTGGCCGTCCCCAGCAGGCAATGGATGTCTGGTCCAATGAACACCCACGTGTTGTCACGATCTCTCCCCTCCGTGTCCGCGACGATCCAGCGCGACGCGGGGTCGGCGGCGACTTCCTCTGCATCAAACCATGCTCGGTACATGGCGTAGCCGGACGTATGAGGTGCACCACCGTCACCAGTAACGTACTTGCGGGCTTTGCTGTGGACGCCGTCGGCTGCAATGACACAGTCGGCCACTATTTTCTCGCCGTTGATCGTGATCCCAGCTTTATCTTCAGTCTCCCAATAGTCCGTGATGCGGTGGCCCAAGCGGAATTCCACCCCGGGCAGCGATCTGGCGTACTCGTAGAAGACCATTGCCGCCTCACCCCGGTGACATGGATAGCCGTGGCCTGCACCATAGCCTGCCATGCCACTTTTCACATACACATTGCCCGACGAGTCACAAATGTTCATTACGTCGGGAAGATTGATCAATGGTGCCAGAGCTGCATCTACAGAGCCTTCTCCCCACTTGTATACCACTCCCGCTGCATTGCTCGCAATGCCGATGCTGTCGCCTGGGACAGCTGTGAGCAGGGCATTCGCGTTACTTGGTATCGGGGGGTTTGTCACTCACCAATGGGACGCAATTCCGGCTGTTGATCGACGGCGATCACATTATGACCTTTTCGCTGACATTCAATCACCGTCGCCAGTCCACCTATTCCACAGCCTACCACTAGGACAGTGATGCCACTCGACTTGGGAGGTGCCTTGCCCGACGGGCCTGATCCGCGTGAAGAAACCATGGAGGGCGGGGGCTAAGGATGAAAGAGATGATCACACCGTTGCTGTATTCAGAGAGGTCACTGAAAGAGAGAGAGATCAAAGACTCCGGCCAGGTTCTGCTTTATGGTCCCAGCCGCAATCCGGCACGGTGACTGGCTGGGAACCTTGCCGGGAACAACATGCGGGGCTCGATCCACTTTCTCCCCACACAAATGTCACCAGCGGATCCCCCCACATCCGATGTCTTGGAGCAGTGGGGTATGCATGGCATTTAGCATTGGTTCGTCGGGTAGTGACAGGACATGGCTTCCTCACACCACCCTTTAGATAATTGATCCAAGGGTGCCGATGAGACGGTGCTATTCTCGCATCAGCTCATTACCAGACGATCACAATGTCTCTTTTACAGAACCTCCTTAGTAGCATCAGTGGGAAGGGTGATCAGGTTGTCAGCCTTCTTGGTGACCGGCTATCTCAGCTGGATCTTGAGGTCTCCGGTCCCTTTGATCCACCCAACAGACCAGACGACGATGTTTGTAATCTGGCACAGAGCCTGGTGACCGACTGCCAGCAGCTGATCTCGCTGCTCGTGCCTCGACGGATGCAACTCTTGCAGATCGCTTTTGCAGGAGCGTTACCGGCCGCGATCGCGGTGGTTAGTCATTTCAAAGTTGCCGATGCCATCGAGGAGCTGGGTGGCAAGGCAACGGCGGGCGAAATTGCAGAGAAAGTGGGCACCGACACGACGAAGTTATGTAAGTCCTTCTTTCTCTCGGGCTGGGGACTGCCGGGGTGGAAATTCATTGCATGTCTAACTTCAATAGCTAATGTCCTTCGCACACTGACGGCACACTATGTTTTCGAAGAGCTGGAAGGGGCCTATTTCAAAAACAACCGTCAGAGTAGGGAAATCGTGGTTGCTGGGGGTGGTGCCGCAATGATCGAGTCATAGTCAGCAAATGCCCATACCGTATGTGACTACTGTCTGGCTAACGCAGCACTTCAGCGCTCAAACGTCGGGGAAGTCCCTAGTTGGCCTCCTTCCTGTGATGAGAGACAAAGAATGGATGCACAGCTTTGATGCTCGCAAGTCAGCATTCAGTAAGGCTTATGGAGAGCCCGTTGGTATCATCGACTATATGTTCGACCCGAAGCACGAGGACGAACTGGCCACCTTGATGGCTGGAATACCTTGGCTGAGCGAGATGTCTGCACGCGAAACGGTCGAGCACTTTGACTGGCTTCGCTGGGGGAAGACTGCTAAGGTCTGCGACATGGGATGTGCCGATGGCGGAATCATGGCACACCTGAAGATCAAGGAGCCCTCGCTTCACGTCATCTGCCAGGATCTGGAACCCGCATTACCAAGGACACGAGCGGTGAGGCAGCCACGGACGTCGGGCACGATGATTGTAAGAAGTTACTGACGACATCTGCTTCTAGGTCATGGATCAGATGGTGCCAGGCGCGGTAGAGGCTGGCACAGTCGAAATCATGGTACACGACTATTTCACCGAACAGACACGGCCTGCAGATGCCTACTTCATGCGGGGAGTCTTGTAAGGATTTTCCGCGTTGCAAGGAAACAGCATGCACTTACTAACCGCTCTTCTCCAGACACGATTACAGTGACGACGACTGTGTGACAATCCTGAATCGTCTCAAGCCTCGACTACTGGAGAACCCCCGGGCGAGACTACTGGTCAACGAGGTCTTGGTGCCTATTCTCCCCACGGTTCCGGGGCACGAAAACAGACCGATATCAGACACGAAGCCGACGGATCAATCGTGTTTCGTGGAGGTCACCAGTGCCATGCAACTACATTCGGTTGCCATGCAAGCTGGATTTGAGAGGACATTCCAAGAATTTGATGCGATCTTCAAGCGGGCCGGGTATCAGGTTCATCAGGTCTATCAGCTGCAGTATTTTACCGCCATCGTCGAAATTTCGCCGGACAATCAGCAATCCAAGCTATAGTCAGCGGGATAGCGGAGAAGGGAGGACCGAGCACGACAGCTCTTGCTCTCAAGCTTGATGCTGAGGGCTGGATGATTGAGGTATACTAGTATAGGGTGGTGTGATAGATATCCTTTTTGATCCAAAAGCCAGAGGCGTTTCCTGCACACCCAGAGTATAGTATGTGTGCAGGGCTTCTCCAGCCGAGCATCATGTGACCATAGCTCCCCACAACTTGGGAGGAGCCCTCCCCTTAGACCCCATTCCCCTGCCTCGCCTCACCTCCCCACCGCCCCCGCTCACGGCAAAAACTCTGTTTGCACCGGACTCCTTGGTAGATATGTACAAGTAGGCGTTGCACCCGACTCATCGCGCTCCCATGTAGAGAGTAGAGAGTATCGTTGACGAGAGTCAAGGTTCACAACATGGCCCTGCTTGAGAGCATTCTATCCCATCCCAGGCCGCTTGTCCTGGCCGTCTCCTTCCTGTCAGCCTTGTCTCTTCTCTTGACTTACGCAATCCTCTTTAGTCGTAAGACCGCAGTCCCGAAAGGGCTTCGTGAGCCTCCGACCCCGGCCGGCGCTCGCCCTCTGGTCGGGCACTCGCATATCTGGAACGGCAACGCCACCAGCAATCCCACAGAGACGCAGTTGGTGAAATGGGCCCACGAGTACGGTGAGATCTATCAAATCTGGCAAGGTTTGGAGAGATGGGTGGTTGTCAGCTCGCCCGAGGCTATCAAGGTACGTGTCGACCGAGGTGACAGATGAGATGTAGCTGGAGGCATTCTGACCGTGGATGCAGGAGATTTTCGATAAAAATGGTATGGTGACGGGTAGCAAGGCTCCGATGCGTGTTGCTATGGATGTTCTGTCCGGTGGCTATCGTATGTTATTCATGGTACGTCTAACCTCCGTCTAGGGGTGAGATATGGTGGAAGGGTTTGTCCAATTCTCGAAAGATCGCTCACATGGATTTTGCCCCGTTGTAGCCCTACGGAAAGCACTGGCGTGCTATTCGAAGCGTCGTCCACCAATGCTTGTCCATCACGTCGGCCGAGAAGATGAAACCTTCGCAAGACCTCGAGTCCCGTCGCTATCTGTATGATGTCTTGACGGATCCGAAAAACTTCCTCGTGCATATCTCGCGCTACACGGCGAGTGTCATCATGTATTCCACCTACGGCCGCCGAGTCACGACCTTGGACGACCCGACATACCAGGCTATTTTCAAGGAGGCCCAGGTGTTTGGAGGTGTCTTCGGGACGACTTTCCTGGTGGACAAGTATCCGATCCTGGCGAACCTGCCCAAACCCCTGCAGTGGTGGCGTCGCAAGTATGAGCCATATCATCAAATCGAGGTCGAGCTGTGGATGGGTCTGTGGAATGGACTTAAAGAGCAACTTGCTTCTGGAGTTCACACGGGATGTTTTGTTGAGAAATTCATGGAGACTGATTTCCCGAAGATGGGGATTTCTGAAGTCCAAGCCGCCTATATTGCGGGCACGATGATTGAAGCTGGGAGTGGTGAGTTCCGTCTATATGCACAGATGACAAAACGGATGATGGTGGGCTGACATTCCTGGGCCGGCGTGTAGACAGTACCCAAAACACGCTCAATAGCCTCATCCTCGGTCTGGTGGCGTTTCCCGAGACCGTGAAGGCCGCGCACGAAGAGCTCGACGCGGTAGTTGGCGATCGGATACCCCAGTTCGAAGATTCACCCGACTTGCCGTATATCCGCGCCATGGTGAAGGAGGTTCTCCGTTGGCGCAGTGTTTCGAACGACCGCTTCGAGCACCTCAGCACAGTGAGTTTCTACATTATAGGGGTGCCCATCGAGAATGCGTGACGCAAGAAACTGACTTTTTCACCACCAGGGAGACGTAGTTTACAAAAATTATTTTATCCCCGCCGGGACCGTCATTGTAGGGAATACATGGTAGGTTGAGAACGATTCGAACCACAGGCGATTTTGCTAGTATATCTGATGCTCGTTTCTAGGGCACTACATTACGATCCAGAACGATACCCAGACCCGCACCGCTTCAATCCCTCACGCTTCATGGGAACTCGAACTCTAGACCTCACCGCAGGAGAATGCATCAATGTCAGTGACCCGAAGGACCGAGACCATTGGTCTTTCGGAGCCGGCAGGCGAGTCTGCCCCGGCTATACATTGGCAGAAAATTCTCTCTTCATCTTGACCGCCCGTCTCCTGTGGGCGTTCGACATCAAAGCCCCGATCGACCCTGCGACGGGGGAGAAAATCGTGCCGGATCTCTGGAATTACAGGCCGGCCCAACTGTTTGGACCCATGCCGTTTGACGTGGACTTTAAGGTCAGGAGTGCAGGGCGGGAACAACTGATCTTGCAAGGAAACAAGTAAGCAATCAGTCAGTAAGCAATTGGTAGACGTGCCTGAGGCGCTACACGTTCAAAAAAGACGAATAGATTAGATTCACGTCTACGAATTCAAGTTCCTTGGGAGGTTCATATCCCGAGTAAGCTATGCTCGCTTATCTGAGCACTGAGTCTGATAGTGGCAGACCGTACTAGTTATGGCATTGCACGTGAGAGCAAGCTTGTTGTCAGCCACTTCTTTTCTGACTGGTAATGTTACCTTATGAAACTTGTTTACCAATCCAATCGAGCCCATCGTGGAGACGGTGTTCGACGGCATTTGAAATTGAAAACTGTGCTCCGGGTAGGCGAAATGCCAAAGTCCATAGCCATATCAGATCCTCCTACCCTCTTAGACTTGTGCAAAGCTTCATTATGCCCTACATAACTCACTATGCTTACACGATCGTCATCGGATGCGTTCCAGGGCAGGGTGTGGTGGTTCCAACCCCACATGTCATTTTGTCAGCTGGGTGGCCACATGAGTCTGTGGCACATGCACCGGACTCACAGTCCCGATCAGATGCCGATTTTGCTAGACTGCCTATATAAATTTAGATTCTCTATTTTCACTGGTCTCTGTGCTGCGACGGGTGCACGTGTAGAACAGGACTTCGCTTACATTTTCGCAACAAACACTGTGGACAAAATGAAAGAAGTCATCAACCTTGCCGGCCCGTCGAGCAAGATCGTCGATAGTCCGATTCCCGAGCCCGAGGACGATGATGTCTTGATCAAAGTGGTCGTGTCGGGGTCTAATCCCAAGGACTGGAAGATGCCCGAGTTCGCACCGAGTTATCCGCACGATGATGGGTCGATGCTTGCGCGTGCGCGGAACGGGCTTAATCAAGGTGACGATATCGCGGGGATTGTCGAAAGAGTTGGCAAGAATGTCGTCGAGTTCAAGGTGAGTGAGGTGTATTGAGAAGAATGAACGAGCGACTTGAACGGCTACGACTGACGGGTTCGCTTCCATTAGGCCGGCGATCGCGTGGCAGGATTCCACCGCATGGCGACACCGGGTGGATCGTTTGCTGAATACGGCGTCGCACCAAGCTGGACCACGTTTCATCTGCCGAGCCACACATCATTTGAAGGTTGGTGACTCCTCCAGCACCAGGTGGTGACCAAGGTATGGTATCTGTACTGACTGTTGGTATTTTAGAAGCGGCAACGATCCCTCTCGCGGGCTTGACGGCAGTGGTGGCCTTGTACGAGAAGCTCTTACTTCCTCTTCCGTGGATGCCTGCCACAGAGTCAATTCCCCTGGTCGTCTACGGAGCCAGTACTGCCGTGGGCGCATTCGCCATCAAACTGGCCCAGTATTCCAATATTCACCCCATCATCGCCGTTGCCGGCAAGGGTATTCCGTTCGTGGAAACGCTGATCGATAAATCGAAGGGCGACGTTGTCATCGACTATCGCCCTGGAACGGCAGAGACAGTCAAAGCCATCAAGGATGTCCTCAACAAGCGTGTGGTCAAGTACGCGCTCGACTGTGCCATCGTGGATCAAAGCGCCCAAGTCATGCGCGAGGTCGTCTCGTCGGACGGCCACGTGAGCTTCATGTTCCCAAATAATTTTGATATATCGCCCATCACCGCTTCGCTGACGAATGTCGGCTCGGCTCATAATCAAGATGGTTGGGGCGACTCCCGGGAGCTTGCATTCATTTTCTCCCGCTGGTTCACCTATGCGCTGCAGCATGGCAAGTTCTCGGGTCATCCGTACGAGGTGCGCAAGGGTGGCTTGGGAGCGGTTGAGCAAGTCCTCCGAGACTTGAAGGATGGCAAAGCTAGCGCAGTGAAGTATGTCATACCGATATCTGGATAGTGGTCTACAGACTTTTCCCGCTCTGATGGCAATTGGTATTGTCCAGGCATGTTCTGCTTGGGCAGTGACTTATCAAACACAGGCACACGTGTCCGTCTTCTTTGCCCACAAAAGGGCATTGTTAGATCTTGGTTATAGCTTCTTCATAAATCGATCTACTTGAAATTGTTGCTGTCTAAGTGGACTGCGAGCCACGGAGTCTATTGAATAAGGTGCAATAAGGTCAACACGGTCACTTCTCTAGCTTCCTCTGATTTCACACTGCTCTAGATCGATTCAAGTGCGTGGTCATCTTCCAAGGTGTCTGCTGGGACATAGACCGCCCCGTCCATCAGCCGTCTTGCGGTCCTGATAAAGGACAAGGTCAGAAATGTCGGTACACTTCCGTAGTCGCGGAGTGAGTCGATCTCGACTGCAATAGGCATGATGCCCATGGGATGTTCGATGTTGACGGTGTTTGCTTTGACAGCCTCGGGCCCGATGAGGTTATAGACAACAGACCCGAGCACCCGGCTGGCCGCCCCCAGGCTGACTGTCCCAGTTCCTGCCATGCTCTCGTGGCACATGTTATCCAGAAAGAGCCTTCCCGAGACGTGTGCGCCTTCGCTTTGTCCCCGAGGTGTGGGCGCTGCAATCAGCACGGGCATAGGAAGGAAGGGCGACTGCTCATCGACCTTATCCCAGTCAGCACACATGCCGACCAATTGCGCGGCTCGACCGCGTAGCTCCCGGGTATCGTCGATGAGGCTTTGGTTTCCGGTCAGTGCTGCGGCGCTTTCGTGACCCGTGATGCCCAGGTCTTGTGCCAGCGCAAAGACACAGATGTTGCCTGCATCGCTGATGGTGATCGGAATCTGGCGACCACTGCTCATGGTGA